GCAAGTTGCAAAAGCCGCTAAGCGGAGCACTTCCAGGACGAGGAGGCGACAATAGTGACCGTTTTTGTGCAGTTCTTAGTTGACTTAGCGCCATTAGAAGAAGCAGTTTAAAGGTTCCTTGTTTTCACAATACGGAGTTAGTGTTTAATATAGCGTTTTTCTAGTTCAGGTAGTTCCTCAAGAAAGAAGTTTCTCCCACAACGAACTTTCTTCCTCCTCTCCCAAGATGAGCCAGCTCATCTTCTCCTCCCTTTATTCTTCATCCTCTCCCGAGTCGCAACTTTCCGAAGTGCATGCCGTTGGCGACGAAGACAGGCGTGGCCACGTGCGTCGTGTTTCACTTGGAGTGGACACGTCTCGGAGGATGGGAGACAGAAAGAGTCCGCGTCCAAACCCAACTAAAGCCAGGAATACCTCTTCGGAAGAAGAAGATTGATTATAATAGCCTGTACTACTAGACTTGGGAGGTGAAGGTGTAGTACTTTGTTCACATTTTTAGGGTTTATAATGAATCAATGTATGCACAAGTGCACTCCTTGTTGTAATATAAGAAGATATCGGGTTGAAACTAAAAGCAGCCTCTTTTTACCACAATATTCAGGAAATAGAAATGCAAGACGGCCGTGAACAGGGAGTAAGTGTAAGATTCCAACACTAAGCACATTTAACGATCACGACTTCGACTCGTGAATCAAAGAAAGAAAAATCATGATCATCTTGATGTTAGAACTAACGTAGGAGATGACTCAGAAGGTCTTCGTCAAGAACTAGATCGTTCCCACGTCGAGGAGGTTCAACAGCAGCACCCGAGGGACCGGCTCGACGCCGAGGGTGACAGACAAGCACCGTCTGAATGTCTCGAGGAACCCCAGGAAGGTCACGGAAGGCGCTGGTCGCCTGACTGTCTGGCGAACACTTCTACGAACAAAATACACCAAGGCTCATAAAAAGGGAAGTTTGATGTTATGATCGAGATCGCGGAGGCGGATCACAGATGATCTGCAACAAGGATGACAGAAATGATAAACAAGGCTCTTCTTGACTGCAATTTGTAGAAGATTACGATTTAAAGCGGGTCATCATTTTTATCATTAGGGACGTTCGTACAAGATCCTAAAGGTGAAGATCATTAGTACAGCTCAAAACACATTCTGGAAACGACCATCCAACTATCGAAATCAAGAGGACCATAGGAAAAAACACTTGTTTATATCTTCAGACTGAAGAACTTTTTTACATTTACTTTCTTTGGATCCACTTGCACTTCGAACACAACTCCAACTCCATCTCCAAACATTTTTGGCGCTGACCTAAGCTGGTACATCCTTCCTCGAAACCATATTTCCAATCATAGAAGACTTAGTTGTACCTTCGTATAGACTAAAAACTTTTTTACGTTTTCTTGCTGGCTCACTTATGTACCATTTTTCGGTTTAGTAGCTTATTTTTTTTTGACTCTGACCGGACCTTTTTCGTCGCACCCTTTTTTGAAGATGAAAATTACACCTTTCGCTGGGAGTGGCATGCACAGCCTTGTTGTGTGTGTTGCTGCGGTTCTTTCGATCTGGAGTTGTTGGTCGCAAGAAGGTCCAATTCTGAGTGTTGTCGCCTCTGGTGATGGATTCTTGCCACCTTCTTGTGAAGATGGAGTTCAGGAGGCACCTCCGCCTGCACCTGCTGCAGTTGCTCAAGATGGTCATCATTCAATCATCTTGCAGTATTTGAATGGTACCACAGAAGCCATCACATACAGCACCGATGAAACGCGTACAGCCGGGCAGGTGAAAGACGCCCTCGAGGCAGAACGACCGAGGCATGAAATTCGGCTGATGCGTGGCGGAGAGATTCTCGATGATACGGCCGCTTTGATTCCTGGTGAGACGCTGGCTGCAGTGAGATACAACCTTCCTCCTGTCAACACACTGATGAGCCTTGCCCGAGTGGTGAAGAGAAGTCTACTGGGTGGGACTCTCAATTTTGTGTCGAGCGAAGAGTATTTCCGTAGGGTGTTGAAGTTCGTTCAGAGGCTACAAAATACTGCCGGTGACGGTCTCTGCGGCATGGCGAAAGGGTTGTTCGAAATTGCAGAGGATAAAGACGTCTTGCCCCTTGGACTACGGAATACAGTTGTGCTTGAGAGGGGACTTAATATTTTCGCGCGGGAAGGTCGGGCAAGCGGCGCCCCTGTCGTTCTATCTGATATTAGAGGAACCCCTTCCTTCTACGCAGTATGGAGGCGCACAGGAGACGAGGAACAACAGCCGACAGAAGAGCAGTTTGAACCGCTTCCAACGACGAAAGCGGGACGCCGCGACGCACGATGGAGCATGCGGAAGCAAAGCGCATTTACAGTGAAACAAGAGGTGATCAAGATGTTTTGTGAAGACGAAGCACAAGTCCAAGGCAACGTGCGACTCGCGACTGAGGGGACGGAAATGAAGCTCGCAAACAATGATCCCGATCCCGGTGTCAAAGCTTGCGCGATTTTGACGCCTGCAGTCAAGTCTGAGAGCGCAAGTGGCCAGTTTCCCGCTGCCGTTGTCGAACCTCTTAGGTGGTATGAAAACTCTATTTGTTTTGAGTACGACACATTATCATTAAGATTAAATGGCCCAGACGACATCTACGAAGCCGACCCTGACGTGGTGCTCAGCAGCACGGTTACCTTAACCGGCTCTGCGTCTCGCGCGTTTGAGGAAGAACCATTCAGAGCCAGCTTCACTTTTGACTTGCGAGAGGGGGTAGATTCAGACATTGAAGAATCAGCAGATCTGGACGGCCTTGCTTAGCCTGTGAAAGCAGTTATAGGTGGAGCACATTGGGAAGAGCTTGGTCCCCGGGAAACTTGTTCTAGTTGTTCTGCTGTCCGTCAGTGGCGTTCTTGGCTTGATGGTAGTTGGTCTGACTCTTTTAGTGCGATTTCTACGTCAAGGTAGAATTGACTATTCGGTCATAGGCTTGGCATTGATTTCCCCCTTCGTCCGTCCCTGGTCATAATAACGAGACACATTTGCTTTCAATCAATCATGTAAGTGAGTGTAACTGTGAGGAGTAAGATCAGAACTACCACACAAGAAAATCAGGATTATGCCACTTCTTGCACCCAGCACGAGAAGTAGTTATACTTCAAAAATGTTTTATGCGTAGGACCACTAGGAGCAGCAGCAGTGCTGCCTGCGAACAATATGAATTAGCGAACAATATGAATTATATTATAATGCAGGCTATGGCTAGGGTTACGGTTGGCAGTCTAATGTCATGAAGTAGTAGGTTCTCACAAGAAAGTAAAGAAGACCAAACGAACCTAAAGGGTGTAGAGAAATTGGACCGAATACACCGAGGAGTCGCACACACTGCAATCACGATCAAAGAGGGCATATCTCATGGAGAGGCATGAGAAAATGCGCCACGGGAGCAAAAAGGAGAAATAGCAAAACTGTTCCGACTGCGATCAGTTAGATCGTCGACCTCTTGCCAGGCACATCAATCAAATCAATCAACCTGAAGGCTGGCTTCAGCTTCACGCTCTCTTCAATGATTTAGCATCCGTCGTCTACGACCAGCTGGGCGACACTTGGCCACTGGCAAGAAGAGCGTAGTTGTAGTTCAAGAGCTCACTGGAGTTTAGGTGCGAAGATATTTGCGCCACATGACCACATCATCGCGGGACAGGGCGTTCAAGTACAAGTTCATTCCATTCATTTATTTGTTTGGGCGATGGATTTCCAACTATCTGAATCTGCCAAACAAAAAGATTGGACAGGAGATGTTCAACTTAAAGCTTTGGACAGGATATGGACATGGAGATAAATGTTGATAGAAATGAAGAAAAGCGTAAGGCAGACTGAATTAACCTCTCACTCAATAAGTCAATTTGAGCACCGAGGTTCCACGACGTGACATGACGTAAGCCCCGTCAGGGCCAGGGAGTCAGAATACACTTCGTGGACGAATTGCCCTGGCAGCTTGTGCATTTCAAGCTGCTAAATTCGTGTTGCACTACAACGCATTGTAGTTGCTACTTTTTCATTCCAAATTCTATTCTGCTATGAGAGCGGGAGAGAGAGAGAAGGCAGTAGATTGAGAGAGATAGAACTAGAAGCGTCAAGAAATGTGGCGAAGGAGTGGCATCACCTCTTGTTCTACTTAGTCTTCCTTGCCTACGAAATGAAATCGAAATACTTGTTGCTACTTTTTCTACTAGGAGAGAGCGAGGGAGAGATAAAGGATGCGGAGATGAGAACAGAAGAAGTACCAGTGAAAAACAAGAAAGCACCGACGACAAGCTTGATTCGATCAGTAGATTGAGAGGGATATTAGAAGAACTTGAATAGAAGAAGTAGACAGTAGTAGAAGATTATAAGCATATTCCTCTTGTTGTTCTAGTTCATCAAAGCAGTGATGATCACTCAAAGAAGCGTGTACGCGTTTGTCTCATTTAGCAGTTTACCAGGACACAAATTTGAATTTTTAATCGATCTCCATTGTCCGACGACGAGGATCTGAATGACCTGCTAAATCGTGCCTTCTTGAGGCAGTACGCTTTCACGGGAACGACTACGCACACCTAGGGAAAAAGATGGTTCCACCACATCAGGTTGTGGGTGACACCACGAGTGAAAGCGAGCCTGAACCTTGCGCCGCTGAGATTTACCTTGGGGTAGCAGGCGAAAGCAAGGGATCTACGACAGCCTCAGGCTCGGAGGTAGACCTTGTTGCCGGTGGACGTAATTTAAGACTAGGAACTTCGATTGACTCTGTTGCTGGTGGACGTAATTTAAGACTAGGAACTTCGATTGACTCTGTTGCTGGTGGACGTAGTGTAAGGCTATCCATAGGTAGTTGTGCTGGTTCAATCATGTTTTTGCAGTGCATTGATCATTGAGGAAAAGTAGGAGCAGTTTACTTCCTTGGATACTTATTTCCAAGAAATGTGTGGGCAAAGGATGAGTTGTGGTTATAATAGAGAGGTCTAATCCGTGATGGTGGCGGTAAAAATGCACATGTAGCACTCAGCGGAGGAGGTCAAGGTGGTGGTGACGAAGCGCAGGATGGTGGCACGTCAGATAATCTTATGATCAGCTGCACTGCCATGAGAAACAGAAATAAATATTTCTACCTAAGTAATACGGTAATAATACGAATACGTCCCTTTTCCTGTCATTTACAATAATAAATGCTCCCTTTCAACATACATCCTACTTTCATACATCCAGCCGATTCCTCCGATGCGGCAGAGATCTCGGAAGGCGCAGTGTCGGACGTGCCCATAGATCATAGTTCACCTACAAAACCAATGCGTCGGGAAGAGATGATCCATCACTCTTATGAAGAAGATTCTTTCACTTTACTTTCACAACCTTGTCCTGTACTATCTTCCAAAAAAACTTCTACCCTGTATACGTTTACGTAACACTACTAGTACTAACAATGGGTACACTACTACCACAGCTAACACCTCCTTCAGAGTACTTATGTAGGTGGAACAGCTTATTTCCTTTTTATCTCAATCATTGCTTTCTGTTCCAACGTCGATAACGCGTTTTTTGATTCTCCTTCACCCCTCCTTGAGTCTCTAACCCAGTCTCTACCCAGAGTCGAACTTGCCATGCAAGACCGGGATTTTGATACCGATGATGCTGCAAGAGAGGAGGGATAGGCTTTTACACAACTACGTACCGGAGTTTCTTGAGTACACTCACGAAGCACAACACCAGCAAATAGGTGCATCGAGGACTGGAGATGTTCTGCATGTGGAAAAGCTACGCGGCAGTGGAGATGCTCCTGACCAGCAGGGTCAGGACTCTGCTGGAGTGGTAAAGTCAGAGGCAAGCTTGTTTCACTTATGAGTAAAAGGAACAACGTCGCTTCAAGATTACAATTTCACAACTTGGTCTTGGTCCACCCCATGTCAAATTTCCTTTTTCATGAAGCCAGTATCAGACAAACGTGATGGAGGAGGTCGTGAAGCATGAGAACGAAAGACTGGCGTTTCCCGACAAAGCGATGAATCGAGTGGTCTATGATGCGGTGGATGCAAGCCCTTTTTACAAGAAAGAGAAATTATGTTGAACTACCACTTCGACTTCGTGCAGCAGTATGCACCGCATGTATGGTCTAAACTGAAGGAACAACTACCACTTCGTGCAGCAGTATGCATTGAATCCCAACATCACTTCTAACAGTTGCGGGTAAAATCAAGAGTGCAGAACAACCAGACACGAGTGTTCCTGGATCCAGGAGCGCGACCACTGGCGCAGCAGCAGTTGGTAGTATAACAACTGAACGAATTATGAAAGGAAAAAGTGCACTCACACTCAAGAACTTGGCTAGGATTCAAGTGGGAAAGTAGCTCCTTTCTTGAGTGTGAGCGCGCTTTTTCTTTTCATATGAATAGCAGGCGAAAGCGACAAGGAAGACGCCAGCACAGGAAACAAGCCTCCAGGAGAGCCTTCAGCTGGTTATGTCCAGTAAACCTACTTGATGCTAGAACTAATTTTCTTCCCGTTCTTCCCCCTGGTGCCAGGGCAACACTCAAGCAAGTTTCTCACTTTCGTCTCATTCTATCTTACACTTAGCGAACTAGTTTTCTATCTTACGCTTAGCGTGTTGTAGTTGTTGTATAATCTACAACTGAATCTACAGGCGTTGTTGACGATATGTGAATCCAGGAGCGGCAGCGCTCACTCTAATACTTCCATGAGCAAACGCAAGACGCCGGCACTGCAGTGCCATCTGTACACCCGATTCGACAAACCCCTGGTCCACATCCGTCATCATCTTCAGGAGTTACGATCCTCATGCTCATATATGATAAAGGTAAAAAACGTAAACTAAAGGAGACCTGTGAGTCTACTCACAACTCATGCTCACACCCACGCATGCTCACATCGACGCATGCTCACATCAGCTCTTACTCTCATCCACGCATGCTCACATCAGCTCTTCATCACAACATCACCCAGGTTATGTGATACAAACCTGCATTCAACGGAGAAGAAGTCATACTGATACTTCAAACTCGCTATCTAATCTTCCAGGAAGACGAGTTGGCTGTGTAACGCATGAGCTTGATCCGTTCTATCGGTTAACGTCGGACACCGACTCCACCCTCGTTTTTGAAAGTACTACGAGCTTTCGTTTCGCAGTATATAGCCTGCTCTGATATTTCATATTTCTTAGAAAATAGTTAGATACAGTTAGACTGCTGGAGGTAGACATAGAGATAGCCCCGTACTAGTAGAACACCTTGGAGTCGTCCTGCTACAGCCTTAAAACTCTATTATTCAGAGAATTATTTCGTATTCTAGCACTTATATATAACGACAGCATAGTGCATGTGCAGCTATTGCTACTTTATCTCAACATATTTCTATTCGTATTCCTTTCGCGTTCCACTTCCACGATCCACAAGTACTACTTCTACAACTTCCTCATCCAACGGAATCCCAAACAAGGAAGCCTCTCCTGTTCCACGCAGATACATGAACTTGTTATATCCACCCGCCGTCTCACTAGGTCGTTTCGAAGGTGGTAATTTGCGTCGGGTTGTACAAGTGTCAGAAACGGAGTACGATTTGGTGTTGAATCCAGACTATAACACCATGTCACACGCGCAGTGGTTTTATTTCCGAGTTACCAATACACGGAAAGACGTGGATTATCGCTTAAACCTCATCAACATGGTGAAACCAACGTCATTGTACAACTTATGAAGCCACCGTCAAGGAACATTTTCGAAATAATCCCGAATGTATCGTATTTCTTTTTCCTACTACGGCCGTCGTGAACGATGGTAAGAGGGACAACAGCATGCATTCTCCTTTCAATCTCAAGATGGCGCCAGCTCTAGGTTTCGTATTGTCTTTTTGGCTCTTCAGTAGCCAATGAAGCTTGCTAGTTTTTCTGGCGGGCCCCCACCTAACCTAACGTAACCAAGAAACTCTCTTCTTCATACACCGAAGGGATGTGTCCTCTGGTGTACTCTGTGCGCGATGCTGAAGAACGGGGCGTGGGTTGGATAAGAGGAGGTCGCGACTGTGCCTACTATCAAAATGGAATCGCAAAAAGGCGTGGCGTATACTACACCCTGACGTTCCGAATACAGTTTAACCACGAAAAAGACACCGTTTACATCGCACAGTGCTACCCCTACAGCTACTCCGACCTACAATGGGATTTACAGTTATGACTGGAGTTGTTACAATATGCAAGGAGATTATTTTTCTTAAACTCAATGGGTGAACAAGATCTGGCTTTATTTCTTCGTGACTGCTCCAGCTCCACCAACTGCTATTTTTTCGACTGCGATTTTTTCGTTCAACCGCAAGTGTGTGGACAACTAGAGCAGGTTCGTCAACTACTTTTATTTGTACAAGAACTGCAGCCCGATGAAAGAAATTCTTCTATACTACATCGGGCTGCAGTTCTTGTACAAATAAACTCTCTCCATAGTAGGAAGTGATTTTCTTCCACGGGGAGTGGGAAACTCTTCACCAGTCGTGGGAAAGTGATTTTCTTCCCACTTCCCACTTCCCCAGTCGTACGAGAATGTGGGAAACGCTCTCCATAGTACGACTCACTTCCCACTTCTAATCCATGAGATCGAGGAAGCAAGTCGAGAAAGAAACTGTTTCCGACGGCGAAAGCTTTGCGAAACTCTAGCAGCTAACGCCTGTGACCTCGTGACAATAACGAATTTCAACATAGACTCTAGCTCGGATTTGCGGAACCGATTTGGGGTTGTCATCACCGCTAGAGTGCATCCCGGAGAAACGAGCGCTAGTTGGGTACTTATACTTTCAAAGATATGTTGTAGTTAGTTGGGTGCTTAAACTTATACTATCAAAGATATGTTGTAGTTTGATTGAGGGACGATATTAATGAAAAAACCATGTGTTTGAACAACAGATCCAACTTTGGTACACTTGCTGCTCTCTCCTTTCACACAGGTAATGCTAGGGATATTAAAATTTCTCACTGGACCAAGCGAGGAAGCCAGCAAATTGAGGGAGAAGTTCGTGTTCAAACTGATACCGATGCTGAACCCGGATGGCGTCATTGTAGGCAACTACCGTTGCTCCTTGGCTGGGCTGGACTTGATTATGAGTTGTTGTGGTCGAGGAGAAAGAGAAGTGTAAGCTGGTCGTGGTGCTGGTTTTCGTGTCACCAAAGCACGCTGGATTATAACTATAGACTTGTAAACTAGAGGGGGCACTCGTGGTCCGCGCCTGTTGCTCTTAATGAATGGTTCTGGTATTTGGTAATCTGAATTTGATCCTAAGGGAAAACAAACCATACACTTAAGGTAATTGATTTCCAATGTTGGTCTTCCTTGATCTCGTCACCTGGATCATGGTCTCAATATAAGTACTATCTGTCTACACGCCTTCAATACATAGTTTTCAGAAGTTGGCACCTGATGTGCACCTTAAAGATTTCTATAATAATCATCATCTAGTGCTTTGTCTAATGAAAACCGGAGATGGCAGGAGCCTTCCCGGAAATTGAGTCCCACAATTTTTTTCACGAAAAACCTCATCAAACGGTTGCTGGAAGATAGGGATATTGCTCTATTCCTCGACATTCATGGCCATTCGCGAAAAAAGAACATTTTCATGTATGTTAAGGCTGGGTTGTCTTGTTCATCGGGATCATCATCTAACGAGAAGACGAACGTAGGTTGTAGACAGGATGAATGTAATTAAGTGCTTCGGTTGTAGATGTAGATAAAGAGTGAGAGACGACTCTATAACTGGTACTGTATGTTCCTGTAGTTCCTTTTGTTAGATCTTCCAGGAGCCTATCGAAGCAGTAGCTCGTTCCCCTCCTGAATCGGAGCCACATTCTAATCATCGAAACATGCCTAAAGAACAAGAATTCGGAGTAGAGCGGTTATTTCCGAAGTTGTTGTCCCAGAGGAGTGACTATTTCTCTTTCGACGACTGCAACTTCAAACGCGTGAAGGAGAGTACCGCTCGATGTGTGGTGTACAAAGAGTTCGGCATCGCAAACAGCTTTACGCTGGAAGCCTCTTTCTGCGGAGCGAATATCGGAAAGCTGAAAAACGCACACTTCAATACGAAACATTTGGAATTATGGCTTTTTACAAGAGATTGCTACCGCTGTACTTCTAGTCCTTGAAGCGGAGTCTATCACTCTAAAAATAAGGTTTGAAGATCACTCTAATAGTAATAAGGTTTTTCACGAACAACAAGCATTGGTTCAACATTTGATAGACTACTTAATAGAGGTTCTAATCTTCGACATTGGTCGAGATCTTTGCGTCACGCTGCTGGACTACGAGAATCAGAGTAAATTGACGCTCTTGGCCAAAGAGCTCGCGCAGTCTGGAAACACAGTGAACTGCTTAAGGCTTGTTCTTGCATGTCGTTTTCAATGAATCATATTCAGGTCTTCACCCAATCATCCTCGGAGTTGAGCCAGGTGCCGGGGGGCTCGATGTGCAGGCTTCAAAACCTAACCTAACCACTATCAAGAGCATGGACTATTATTCCATAGGAACACCTCACGGACTTCTATATTTGCTTCCACATGGGGTCTAGATGAAGGAATTCACCACAAGCTCTAAAGTCTGATAGCGATGACAATTCCGATGAAGGACCTGTCCTATCGGAGACGGAGATGAACGCATCGCCACCATTGTTCCTTGGGAGGACAAGTGGACATACTGGAACTACACCTGCGGGAAAAATTGGTATGAGATACATCAGATACTGATGAAGAGGATACAGGTAGCGTATCAGATAGGTGATACTGATCATCATGATACAGTTACAGGTGGCGTATCATAGATAAGGGTGGACGCACATAAAGATCTTCTCTACAACTGAGTGGCGTAGTACCTGTAAAGTTTTTTAGACACGTGGTAGTATAATGAGGCGTAGAGACGCTGACACAGCATACATTGTAGTTTGAGTTACTCGAGAGCCGAACAGATACCAGACATAGGTGAAAAAGACATGCCTCTCATCGCTTTTGCCCTTACCGTTACCAAAAAATGGCTTTCCTCTAGAAGAAACTTTTAAAACGAGTACTTCTTCTTCTATATTGACACATAGATTTACACCTATATTGACACATCTTTCTTTTTGCTGATTGCTCTAACTCTCGCAACGGCACTAGCCACCTTGCAACGGCCGCAGAGGAGGGAGCTGCTGTAATAAGACACACGCCAGTAAAGAAAAAGAAATCCTCTGCAGGAGCAGACGGCTCTACGCGAAGGAGTGCGCATAAAGGATCAACCGGTAAAAAAGACAAGCACTTTATTACGAAACAAGGGTGATCGACATCTTTTCTTGTTCAGGTTGATCGACACCTCTACTAGGGCAGGTTGATCGACACCTTTTCTATTCCAGGATATGATTGACACCTCTACAAGATCAGCAGGCATCACTCCACCACTTGCAGAAGAGAGATGAATCACTTCACTTGATAAGATGTGAATAGGAATACAAGAACGGCCAATGCCTCAGACTTGACTCCTTGTAGATGCAGTGGAGCGCATCTTCATCTTGGACTTTGCTTACCCGATTTGTTCTCACTTTGTTCATGTTCTGTGTATTCAACAGCAGGTCATCGCCATAGCTAGAGAAAGACATAAAATATTTTACCACGACTATGCTGATCAAAATCACTCATAGATGTCATGACTAAAAGAATACAGGTTAGCTGCACATGCACTTACTCAGAAAGTATTGAGAATAAAGCTATGGAACATGATCATGAAGATCTTAAAACTGTTATGAACAACCAGATAGTGACACCTTCGACCATGATAAGTAGTATTCAGTTCCTAACGTCGCCTAAATTGTTTTGATTTTTTCTTATAATTGGTAGTAAATTTATCCGCTTCAGCTTCTTTTGTGGTCTTCTGAAGATATTCACAGTTTTTATTCCCACTCTTACAACATACACATAGAACAAGGTTGTACCAATCTTCTACATTTCAGTTCCGAGTTTCCGTTTCGCTGTGAAGCACGACACTTCCAAGGCAGTGCGCAAAGAAAATTTTGCAACCAAAGGATCAATTATGTTGTGACCTCGACTGCCACCTCTAACTATATCTACTCCCAATGTCATCTGTTAATGTCTCTGAAAAATGTCAATTATTTTTCCTCGCAAATGCTTTGTTGACCAGTACTATTTACTTCAATCATCTTCTAGCTGATAAAATCGCCTGACTAACTACACATGTCTCTGGAGGTAACTTACCTGTGTTAAGAAAAAACGTTAACCCTGTGGTAAGAAAAAACGACACGTCATTCTCATCGTCGTCCTACAAATTCTATGATAATATGCGGAATGAAAATGAATAATGTCAGAGAACTATGAGGAAAGAATAAGAAATAGAAAAGAAGCTTCTCGGGTTGTCAGTGTCGGTGTTGCCTAATACGCTAGCTCGTCACAGCGTTCGAATCTTCGCTCCAGACTCGTGACTGTCGCTTGGTCGCAAATAAATAATTGCTTGGCGTTCGAGTTCGTAAAGATAGACCTGTGTCGATCTCCTCTGAGCGTGAGTGAAAGCAGGAAAAACATCAAGTCACAGTCTCACAAGAAGCTACTGCAGTGTCACAAGAAGCTACTCATGGGAATGGGAAGCACAACGTAGCAGGAACATGATAAAGATCAAAGAGTCAGTTCTTACCAGAAATCTCAATTACAGAACTCTTTGATCTTTATCATGTTCCTACAAGTACAACTAGTATGGTCCACCACCTACAGGAGAGATTGAGATCACGAGAGAGAATGAAACAGAAAAAGGTTTAACCTGGCGCCGCGTTCTCGACTCTTCTGGTCGACGTTATGCTCAACATGATAACTCCTTCTCTGTGGTGCTAGTTTGGTTCACAGCATTAGATTGCCTGACAGCACAACGCTGGAGGAATTTTGGTAAGAGAGAGCAGCTGTTGCTTCTAGGTTCTACTTCTACACCAAAAAAAATGACGGCGATTGTTTCTGCCAATGGCGGTACTAGTGGAGAACAAGAACAAGAGCGACTCACACCGATCGCTACCTGCGATGTCGTCGCCTGCAGCATCGTCTCCCCCTCACATCTGGCAGTGCATCCGCTAGTAGCGCATCCGCTGGATCGTACTAGGAAAATTTCTGACATTGACTTCATTATCAGTTTGACTTTAGATTCTTTTTCATCAGGATCAGGATCAGACTCCACCCTGCTTACTAGGCATATGCTGACGCTGAGTCAACTCAGATGAAGAGAATAGTTTGTGACTTTCTATTTCAACATCGTGATGATCCACCATAATGCGTACTTTCAGCCTTGACTGTCCCGAAAAGCATAGCCTTGACGGCGGCTGAGACGACGCATTATCGTGGCGAAGAAGTTCAGGCTTTCCTTGGCGGATTTCATGGCCAGGCATTTCTTGGCGAAAAAGCTGGGTACTTAATTGAAAGTATTAGAACTACAGACGCACACGCATCATGATGTAGTTGTGTCTCCAAAAACTCCTATTTAATCAGACGAGATGAAGATGAGCATGAAGCTGAAGTTGTATTATACTGTAGAATCTGAATTTGTGTTTGCTAGGCAACGTTCTTTGTAGTTCTTACGCTGACTCTTGTTTTCGTGGAACTTGTATTCAAAGATAGAAGTCTATTCATACATCCACCAGGTTATCGGGCAACAAGGATTTGTTCATGATTTTACCTGTTCGACACAACGCCGAAATTTGGAATTCGAAGCTGTTACGTGCTAGCTTGAGCTTTACCGCAACAAAAATGGTGAAAGTTGTAGCTCTTGCAGGAGGAGTCGGAATTGGAGAACCACAAATGCTTACACCAATTTTTGCCTACGGCGTCGTCTTCCCCTTCGCCTCACTTCCAGAAGTGCATTTGCTGGCACGTACTAGGAAGTTTTCCAGTAATGTCATTGCAGATCATTCTTGTTCATCAGAGGGCCACTGAGGACATTCATCAAGACATGTGTGCTATGTGAGTAGAAGACTCAGATGAAGAGAATAGTTTGAGACTTCTATCCTCAACATCATGATCCAGGTAGAAAAACAAGGCGGTAACCAGCTACTAGGGATAGAGTAGATGAGTACTTCTTTGTAAAAGAACCATTTCAGGTCCTCTCATCTACGACGATTTTCGTGCCATCCGAACTATCCCGACTGAGCTGCAGTTGCCGCTTTATATGTATGTCCCGAAGAGCATAAACGTGGTGTTGACGCTGGCCGAGATGTTGACGTATTATAATGGCGAAAAAGCTCAGCTTCAGGCATTTCTTGGCGGACATCAACGTGGTCAGACGTTCCTACGCGAACACCTACATCATGGCCAAGCATTCCTTGGCGAAAAAGCTGCGTACTCATTCTCGTTATGTCTATCTACGAAAGCCCTTGTAGTTTTTACTCTTAGGCGTACTGTCCATGTCCTACTTCTCGTTCTCATAATGAAAAACGGTAAAGCTATGATTTGAGCCGAAGTATCATGCTGTTGTTCCTCAATATCAAACGATTTTTGTCACACGTTCAGGCTACTGCGAAACTACAAGGAGCTTTTCACGATGTTGCCTGTTAATGCTTCAACAAATTTTGAAGACAGCTGCCGTGAACTCGTCCAAGGCCGACGCCGCAACAAAACCAGAGTCATTACGGCTATACTCAAGTTTTAACTATCTTCAGTCACAGTAGTTAATACCACTATAATTGCCTTTTTAATCAAACTAAGTAGCTTGAAATTTTTATAGTGCTATTCCAGGTCAGCGTCAGGAATTTCCTGACCGTTAGCCTTTTTGAATATTGTCAGTCTCATTCTGAAGAGATATCTTTCCTCTCACCTCTCAACTTTTCTTCGAGAGCATGACTGTAGCACGACCAAAACCGATTTCCTCCTAAGTTAACTTAAGTATTAGGCTCGAAGCAGGTTGATCTTGAAGGAAAGTGGAGAATTGACATAAGCACAACAGAGAAAGATAATATTGTGAATTTGAAAAATATTACGACTTCTAATATTAGTCGGAGAGAAGCCATTGGCGATCACGGAGGTAGAGCAAAGGGTGAGGAAAAGTCGAAAAAGTTGCGCTCTTCATGCTCTCGCCGCTCTTGTTCTACGTTCGCCCGAAGAAGTGTTATGAGATGTGTTAAAGTCTCTTGTGTAACTCTTGCTCCTATGTCTATGATGAGTCTCCTTTTTGTGCAACATGAACATGCTTCTGTGCTACTTTAGCAGTACTATCATGATGTATACGGAGGCGCTTGCTAGATCCTAATTACTTCACAGCTAGTACCAGAACAAAAATGTTGACCATGACTTGTTCTGCAAATTGTACATCGGGTTTTCAAGATGCTAGCTTCATCTTATCCTTGGTATTTATACTTATGTTAGTATGGCGGGTTTTCGTCCTTTTCTTCAACTTCCCACTGATTGACGAGAGTTTCAGTTTCATGGATATGCTATTACGTTCACTAGAAGCTTATGCTCTCACTCTCACCTCTAAGAGTGCTGCCATGGCTGTCGCGTCTTACGCTGTGCTAGCCTTACAGACGAACAATGACCAACGTCCTGCAAAGCACAGACCGACATCGTTAAGGCGACTTGTAGTTTTCATAGGCACTGTTTGCCTCTCAAAAATAACAACAACAACAACAACAACAAGAAGTTCAAGTATTTTGCTAGTACTGCTGCTAAATTCATAATAACTCTCAACAATGCCAAGTTCAAGTATCGTGTGCAAAAGACGAAGATGATATTCTTGAGACGATATATTACCACAAATTTCAGGGATATTATTATCTATCAACTGATACGGGTCGTGCGGCTACTGCTAGCTCTAACATCGATGGCGGGCGACGTCAACAGCCAGGGTGAGACGGACATCGAGATCACACCTGAAGAAACCGCTTTTGCGCTCGTCCCTAGTAGCGGACCTGCGTCATTTGTCAATGTCAACGTCAAGAAAAGCAGTGCGTTTGGAAAAGGAATCTCCCTTTTTGCGACGAAGTTTCTCGGTTCCAACACGCCGAAAGAACAAGACAGTACATGCTTATTACTTCTTACTTTGCATAGATACCTGCACTTGATCATATGACTTCTATTTTTCTTCGTGGTACATGAGTATGAAATTGAAAATATATTTTGGATGTTAGTTCCCATCTGTAGTCCTCCAATTCTCCTGCACAGGCGGAAGCTTGTCCAGGCCGCCCCTGATGGCTACTTCTGAAGATAAGGATGAAATGGAGCAGGTTTCCGAGTCCAGCACGCCGAAAGAAGACAGTACATGCCTACTTATCATTTCTTGCTTTGCATAGATACTTGATGACTTTTTCTTCGCGATACACGAGAAGAAACGAACAATTTTTGGATTTTAGCACCTTCCAGTGGTCCAACGTTGATCCAATTCTCATGCACCAGGCCAGCCGCAGCCACGTTACTCTTACTGCGCGCCGCCGGAGTTCGCTGTGAGCTCAATGACAACATTGGGGGTCCCTTCTGTTCTTGGGCTGACGAGCGACGAGTACACTGGGCTAAAGAGAGCCGGTCGTGAAGAGAAGAGATACAGGCTCAACGCCGCAGCTAAAGACGATGAGAACTACAAGCTGAACGATTATTCTTGTCTCGATTTGGGACCATCAAACACCGGCTCAGGTGGATATTACGATGATGAGACTGGCGACCTCGTTGATGAGAGCGACTACCTGTTCTTCAAGAGAAAAGCATCGACATCGACTGACTCGTTGGACTTTGCTAACGCCTGGAAGAGTCCGGGTAGCGCATGCCATTTTATGATACCTAACAACAAGAACCCCAAGCCTTACTGGTCGAGTAGAATAAGGCAACTACGAAAACAAGAACTAGAACTGGACTCACTTGGCTATTGTTGCTGGAATCAAGAAGAAGCATCAACAGACTTACTGCGACACGCGGACCACTCTTAATATAATTTGCCAACCAGAAGAACTAGAACGAAAGAGAAGAGTCTTACAACACTTACTACAACCACTCCAGCGGATGATGACACGTAGAATCGCCTCTAATTTCACACCCTTACTCGATGCGAGACCGCGCCCGAGGCAGCTTGGCGAGTGCGTTTTGATGAAGATCAGCCAGGGAGAGGCTTCCATTGGGAACACGGACCAGGGCGCTGCGTCTCGAGTGGATTGCGTGATTACAACCTGCAGTACATGCCTATCGATTCTTGCAGGATGTTTTTACTTGTGCTTGTTGATCGTTTATATGACCACTATTTCTATTTTTCTTCGTCATGAAAACAAATTTCTGATTTTGATTCCTTCCAGTGATCTAATGCTGATCCAATTCTCATGCCCAGGTAATGAAATCTGGTCCAGGCCGCCGAGGATGGTGGTGCTTGATGGGTACACGCAATATGTGGACGATGAGCCTCAACGACCCGATATTACAAAGGAAGAGCGGCTGGCCATTACAAGACATAAAATATCCAACATCGACGAGAGGAAGCCCATTAGCCGAAACCAATTGTCGCACGTGCGACAAATTGATTCGGAGTTACATGCACTTCAAGTTCAACGATTGCCGATACTGTCAAAATGCGTAGATTTATCCGAAGGCAACTTTAAGGCCAAGGGAAACAGGTCTCCAACCTTCAGTTATATCTATGGGAAAGCTAATCACAACTATCGATCCTCCGTATGTTCTGAGAAAGGTTAAGTATAGGATGATTAGTTTTAGATCGAAACCGATCGATACTTGATGTCCTGAAGGAAAATCGGTTTTTTAGAAGCGAGTTAGAGTTTGTCTCGTCAGATCGCCTACAAGATAGCTTTCTTAGCCGTAGTTTGGGTCTTTTGTCGCTCTAAACAGGACATGTTTCGGACGTGTGAGGAGGTATCTTTTGATGAAGCGACGGAAAGGTCTGTGTCTGGTTCTCCCAGCAACATTCTATGTTTAGATAGCAGCATCGAGTGGGACGATGGTACTGGATATAGCGCGCTCAATGTTGATGGTCAATATAAGTTTGTTTTGGAGAGGCAGGACGGTTTCGATCCGGCCAACGCAGACGCGTTTTGGAAGAAGCAAGGGAGCCCGTGTAATGTTATGAGAGCAGAGATATATCGCCTTACTATTTTCCGTATGTTCCCTTCCAACGAACAGTATGTGTATGAGTATGCAGGAGTATCTCAATCCCGTTAGATTCAACAATTTTTTGATTTGAGATCTGCTCATCTCTTCTAACTATTTAGACCGACGTTTGAAGGCTCCACGTCCACCTCCAGTTGAAGTTGTATTGCAATCTATCGTCGACCCGGAAAGCATTGTCAAGAAGAATCGGGGAGGAAATTTGCTGACCACCGCGTTTGCGGAAGGGGTTTGTATGGTGAAAGAAGAGGGGAAGGTTGCGTGCACCTCCGAAGTAGATGGTTTTCATCGACCAAGAGCAAAAGAGGATTGTAGAGATGAGCAGGATAAAGCCGGGTACGTGAAGACTTACTATCGCACTGAGTCGGTTTGCATGCGTTACTGCGAGCCACCGAAGTTCGCTGTCACCAGATCCGGAACTGCTGGAGGAAATGAGATTGCTGCTGTTGTTGGCCTGACGGACGAGGCAACGTACAGGTCCCTGAGGGAATCCGAACCTAGTGCAAGCCGACAAGCGCAATTCGAAAAGATCAAACAAGATGAAAATCTGAACCATCATTCTTGTCTCGATCTTTCAACTGAAACTCATTCAGCTGCATACAACACAGACAATAACGCTGCCGGCCTTCGCCTCGATTATGACCCTGCCTTCCACTTCTTCACGAGAAAGGCATCATATGGAGATAACCTTAATTATAAGTTCTTGTTCTTGGGTTTCGCAGGCGCATGGAAGGGGGTGGATAGCGAATGCATGCTTATGATGAGAACCATCATTAGTGGTCGAGTAGGATACTACCGCAAAAACAAGAACTACAACGAACTGGATTAATTCGGTTTGAATCAAAAATGGACACTTGACCCATTGATGTAGTTCGTGAACCAGAAGAACTACACAAGAGGAGCTCGCTTCGTATCATTGACATTGTCATTACACGGCTTGTTTATGTTTTACAACACTCATTATCTATCATTTTCACAGCAGATGATAACACGTAGAACTACCACAACCACCACTAATTTCATTAGCGATGGGACCACGATTGGCAAATGCGTTTTGGAGGAAGACCACATCCACGGTTGCGTGATTACAACCTGCCAACCACAAGGAGTCGCGTAAAGCGACAGGAACTAGTCGACTTACGCACACGTTGAGGTAATAGTGACATGACTACCCGTAAATCGAAGTCGATTCTACAGATAGAAATAGAATCAAAATTGCGATTGAGATCTCATCTTTACGAAGTGAATCAACTACAACTTCAAGTTCAACTTTATCGATCTACTAGGTCCAACTTGGTAAAAATCTTCATCCTGGTACTTCTGATACTTATATATTTGATGGCGTGAAGAAACTCACTTTTTTAGGTTCATACCCGCATCATCAATTCACAAAGGTTATACTTTTAGCGTTGGAAACGGGCACTCACGGAAGGCGAGGAGTATTTGTGGGTGAAATATGACTAGTACGGTGGCGGGGCGGAAAGTAGAGCGGTGTGGGGGAAGTAGAGCGGTGTGAGGGAATTAGAGTGGTGTGAGGAAAGTAGAGCGGTTTGAGGAAATTAGTGGACGAAGTAGAGGACCGACGTGATACTATGGTTAACAGCTTAGTAAGGAATGAAGATGGAGGACTTATTACAATGATGATCGAATGAGTTCGAGTTGTAAGAGAAAGTTTCTCACGATTGGCTGCAGTTCGTTGGGCTCCAACCTTCGAATTGAGAATCACAATCAGATGTGCTGATAGTAGAAATATGTTGATTATGTTCGTGTTGTTGTGGACCAAATAAAAAATGTTAATGCTTAACTTTCTGAAAATTTTGTAGTATGTAGTACTAGTAGGGTTTCGCTATGCTCGGAAAATGGAAAAATGAACATGATGAAAAAAGAAATTGTTGGCGTTGTCGAGGAAAAGAATGGAAGCACTTGCACAGAGCACAAAACTTCGAATGGGACTACAGGCCATGACGAATTGAACTAGGGCTAGTTATGATGATAGGCAATACCACCCCCAATCTAATTTAAACGTGAGGCAATTTCTTGATACAAATCAACACTTCTCTCCAAGTCAAGCAGTTATCTTTTGTCTAGAACATGGCCTCCCTACTGCTTCAAAGAACAGTACCTGAATAGACTTCCCAAATCAATGCAACAGCAACTACAACAGGCACTCTTGTTAATGAACAATCTTCGTGGTTGTACCATCGCCGGCACTAGATTTCGTAGCGTATCAATCTCCTCTCAGGTTTAGTGAAAATGTAGAAACCTAACTCCTGTGCGAAACTTACAGCTTTTGTCTGCTAAACAAAGATCAACATCAAGACCAACCTTCCTTGTCTCCTATCCCGATCGAGTTATCATTTGAATTTGTTTTCGTTTCGGTTGTATCGGTCCTAGATGGTTAGTATTTAACGCTTTCCAAGAGATACGGATAGTGCCTCACTATTACGCTCGTAGATATTCTTGTATCCTGCCACTTCTGAGACAACGTGACGAATTTTTTCAGAAACAAACCACCGAGACCCAGTTCGGTCATCAAGATCAAGCTGTTGCGTTTCGCCTAGATTTTTTAACTTACCTCAATTATGATGGTCGAAGAGGCACCGCGATGAATTTTTTTAGAAGCAAACCACCGAGACCCAGTTCGGTCATCAAGATCAAGCTGCTGCGTTTCGCCTAGATTTTTTAAACTTAACTCAATGAATCCTGACGGTCGATCTACTTCCTTCAGTTGTAGCGTAATCGCGAAAGTGTAGACCTCTCATCATGATCATAATTTTTAGAGATATAAGCCAGGCCACGAAGTATCCCATCATTGAGGGACTCCTGTCTGAGCGTAGCTTCTGAAACGCCCGCTGTCGCGCGCTTCGTCACCGCCGTGACACAACGGTGAACCGAGGGAGCAGGGAGCGCCGCGTGGGACTTTTAGGGGACTGGAAAGGTTTTGAAGGGACAAGGAGGCTGTAATAGTTAGGTAGAGAAGAAACGTAGACAAAAAGAAAGAGGTCCTCGCTTATGCTTATGCTATCTGCGCTTTCGGTAGCTTGCGCCCGCGGCCGCCGCGTGATATCGCTTGCGCATCTCTAGCTGGGCCGGCGGGAACATCGGCAGGCTGGCGGGGTGCGAGGGTCGGCGGACCCGCGGGGGCTCGAGAGTTGTCGGGCGGTCTAATGCTGCCCGTCCTCTCGCCTTGTCGTGAGCAGGTAAGTCCGGAATGGAACCAGCGGCGCGAAATATCCGCTCGTGGAGAGCAGCGGGAAGGGAGTGGTTCTGCGGCGGAAGCGATAGAGATAGAGTAGATAAAAAGTAGCGTGTAGTAACACGCATTCTTCCCATTAAACCCACTACAGCCACCGGATCCCCAGGGAGGTCCCTTGAGCCCTTACATCAACGTCCTTAGCGACAGATGGTAAGGGCGCTCGCGAGCGCGTCATGCGTGAGGCGGTAGGGTCGCGCGCGAACAGAATGATAATAATAATACACAAGGTGAATATCTTCACCGTTTCGTGTGTTAAAAACATGGCAAACGATCGACAGCATGATGAGGCCTTCCTAAAAAAACAGAGCCTAATTTCGACGAGGACCACACGGTTACGTCTGAATACGTCCGATGAAGAAATCTGCTAGTAGGTGCACGGTCGTCTAGATTACGACTCAACAGCTGACTCTCATGTCCGACAAAAATGTCGTCGGCAGGCATACTGGATATCACTGGGGTCACCCTTTCGGCGATCTTGGCATACAAAAAAAAGCAAGGCTAAGGCGGGAACCCCTCTAAATCCAAACCTAAGTAAATCTTGTGTCTCGTGTGTTGACAGCAGAGCTGAGCTGAGAGGACCAACTAAGTTAGTTTTACTAGAACAAGTAGTTGACAATGAGTGAGAGTAGAGTAGAGCAGAGGATGACAGGACAGTAGAATGAAGCGAGATGAGATCATAATGAGAGCAAATTGGCATTGATTTGGAAAACACGATGACCACGACGTACAGCTACAAGTACATCCACATCGGATGAGAAATTACAGCTCTAATAAAATTAAAAACTCCAAAAAGGTCATCCAGGGAAGCGTCTTTTTCTTCTTGATTGATACTCAAAGAGTAAGAAAGTATGTGAATGGCGACTAGGGAACTACAACTATACGATGTTGCTATAATTGCATATCAATCTACTTCTTCAAGCTCTTTCGACACCTCAATTTCTATCTTCTGTATCTGTTTAAGTAAGATTTTTTTATCTCGACTTCCTAGTTTGAGTTCCTACACCTGCACTGCTCTAAAAAAAGAAGGTAAAACAAAATGCAGTTTAAGGAGCTCGATGCGCCCAAGGCTTTGGGCGAGCGCCAGGCAGGCGCGGCGTCGGCGGCACAGGGTATGATGTCCATGACGCACAGACAATTCGCAGACAGGGAAATAAAGGAGGCCTTCGACACTTTTGACCTCGATAACATTAACAACAATTTCGTTGGCGCAGCAGAAATAAAACATATATTTTATGGCGTTGTTCAACTTCAATCATATTGAAAGACGACATAGAGATAGTTATTCTTGAACTTGAAATTGTTTATGATAGAGTTACAGATACTGTTAGAGACGATTGAGAATATGAGCTTGTTCTTGATGGAGGTAAAAGATGAGTTCTGCGGTTACTACTTTTATATAGCTAAAGACTCTTCCGCTTCCCACACTTCCCACTATGGAAAAGAGTCAAATTAGAAGTGAGTTCCTCTGCTAATGCTATCGCTGTCCCTGGAGAAGAAACCTTCTTTGTAAGTGAATTCTCTTTAGTGTTTTTTCTTGGAAATGCTTTCCTCCATCAACTGCCGAAGAAAGTAGGCATTTCACATCCGAACTGTTCTCAGTTCTCATCCTCTGCTACTCAGTTCTCATCCTCTGCTACTTAATACAGTTGTGCCCGTATCTTCCTTGACCTCGACCTCGTCTGCGTATTCCGTTCCTCTGTCCAGATGAAGTCTTGTATAATCAGTAAGAGTGTAACTAATGTTATTTCTTGATCCTGACCACCTCTTCACCGGTTGTAACCAACCTAGTAGTTATTCTAACCTTAGACATTGCCATTGGTCGAGACCTTTGCGTCACGCTGCTGGACTACGAGAATCAGAGTAGATTGACGCTCTTGGCCAAAGAGCTCGCGCAGTCTGGAAACACGGTGAACTGCTTAAGGCTCGTTCTTGTATGTCGTTTTCAATGAATCATATTCAGGTCTTCACCCAATCATCCTCGAAGTTGAGCCAGGTGCCGGGGGGCTCGATGTGCAGGCTTCACAACCTAACCTAACCACTATCAAGAGCAGGGACTATTATTCCATAGGAGGACCTCGCGGACTTCTATATTTGCTTCCACATGGGGTCTAGATGAAGGAATTCGCCACAAGCTCTAAAGTCTGATAGCGATGACAATTCCGATGAAGGACATGTTCTATCGGAGACGGAGATGAACGCATCGCCACCGTTGTTCCTTGGGAGGACAAGTGGACATACTGGAACTACACCTGCTGGAAAAATTGGTATGAGATACATCAGATACTGATGAAGAGGATTCAAACGGTAGTACCGAGACTTTGGAAGGGATAAGATACGAGGGGTAGGGAGTAGCACTCATAGATAGGTGATACTGATCCATCATCATGATACAGTTACAGGTGGCGTATCAAAGATAAGGGTGGCTGCACATAAAGATCTCTTCTACCGAGTGGCGTAGTACCTGTAGAGTTTTTTAGACACGTGGTAGTACTAGAACTCGTATAATGAGGCGTAGAGACGCTGACACAGCATACATTGTAGTTTGAGTTACTCGAGAGCCGAACAGATACCAGACAAAGCTGAAAAAGACATGCCTCTCATCGCTTTTGCCCTTACCGTTACCAAAAATTGGCTGTCCTCTAGAAGAAACTTCAAAACGAGTACTTCTCCTTCTATTTAATGACACATAGATACACCTACATTGACACATCTTTTTGTTGATTGCTCTAACTCTCGCAACGGCACTAGCCACCTTGCAACGGCCGCAGAGGAGGGAACTGCTGTAATAAGACACACGCCAGTAAAGAAAAAGAAATCTTCTGCAGGAGCAGACGGTTCTACGCGAAGGAGTGCCCATAAAGGATCAACCGGTAAGAAAGACAAGCACTCTAGTGCGAAACAAGGGTGATCGACATCTTTTCTTGTTCAGGCTGATCGACACCTTTTCTATTCCAGGATGATCGACACCTTTTCTACTCCAGGATGATTGCCACCTCCACAAGATTAGGAGGCATCACTCCACCACTTGCAGAGAAGAGATGAATCACTTCACTTGATAAGATGTAAGTAGGAATACAACGGTCAATGCCTCAGACTTGACTTCGTCTGTTTGAAAGTAGATGCAGTAAAAACATCTTCATCTTGGACTTTGCTTACGATCCGATTTATTCTCACTTTGTTCATGTTCTGTGTATTCAACAGCAGGTCATCGCCATAGCTAGACATAACAAAGAACGACTATGCTGATCATAATCACTCATAGATGTCATGACTAAAAGAATACAGGTTAGCTGCACATGCACTTACTCAGAAAGTATTGAGAATAAAGCTATGGAACATGGTCATGAAGATCTTAAAACTGTTATGAACAACCAGATAGTGACACCTTCGACCATGATAAGTAGTATTCAGTTCCTAACGTCGCCTATTCTTTTGATTTTCTCTTGATTGGGAATAAACTTATCCGCTTCTTTTGTGTTCTTCTGAAGATATTCACGGTTTTTATTTCCGCTCTTACAACATACACATGACCTCGATACTCCCAATGTCATCTGCTAATGTAGTCTCTGAAAAATGACAATTATTTTTTCCTTGCAAAGAAATGCTTTGTTGACCAGTACTATTTACTTTAATCATCAATAAATTTATCACCTGACTAACTACTACTACACATGTCTGCGGAGGTAACTTACCTGTGGTAAGAAAATGCGTTAAGCCTGTGGTAAGAAAAAACGACACGTCATTCTCATCGTCCTCGTCCTACAAATTCTATGATAATATGCGGAGTGAAAATGAATTATGTCCGAGAACTATGAGGAAAGAATAAAAGAAGCTTCTCGGGTTGTCAGTGTCGGTGTTGCCTAATACGCTAGCTCGTCACAGCGCTCGAACCTTCGCTCCAGACTCGTGACTGTCGCTTGGTCGCAAATAAATACTTGCTTGGCGTTCGAGTTCGTAAAGATAAACCTGTGTCGATCTCCTCTGAGCGTGAGTGAAAGCAGGAAAAACATCAAGTCACAGTCTCACAATAAGCTACTACAGTGTCACAAGAAGCTACTCATGGGAATGGGAAGCACAACGTAGCAGGAACATGATAAAGATCAAAGAGTCAGTTCTTACCAGAAATCTCAATTACAGAACTCTTTGATCTTTATCATGTTCCTACAAGTACAACTAGTATGGTCCACCACCTACAGGAGAGATTGAGATCACGAGAGAGAATGAAACAGAAAAAGGTTTAACCTGGCGCCGCGTTCTCGACTCTTCTGGTCGACGTTATGCTCAACATGATAACTCCTTCTCTGTGGTGCTAGTTTGGTTCACAGCATTAGATTGCCTGACAGCACAACGCTGGAGGAATTTTGGTAAGAGAGAGCAGCTGTTGCTTCTAGGTTCTACTTCTACACCAAAAAAAATGACGGCGATTGTTTCTGCCAATGGCGGTACTAGTGGAGAACAAGAACAAGAGCGACTCACACCGATCGCTACCTGCGATGTCGTCGCCTGCAGCATCGTCTCCCCCTCACATCTGGCAGTGCATCCGCTAGTAGCGCATCCGCTGGATCGTACTAGGAAAATTTCTGACATTGACTTCATTATCAGTTTGACTTTAGATTCTTTTTCATCAGGATCAGGATCAGACTCCACCCTGCTTACTAGGCATATGCTGACGCTGAGTCAACTCAGATGAAGAGAATAGTTTGTGACTTTCTATTTCAACATCGTGATGATCCACCATAATGCGTACTTTCAGCCTTGACTGTCCCGAAAAGCATAGCCTTGACGGCGGCTGAGACGACGCATTATCGTGGCGAAGAAGTTCAGGCTTTCCTTGGCGGATTTCATGGCCAGGCATTTCTTGGCGAAAAAGCTGGGTACTTAATTGAAAGTATTAGAACTACAGACGCACACGCATCATGATGTAGTTGTGTCTCCAAAAACTCCTATTTAATCAGACGAGATGAAGATGAGCATGAAGCTGAAGTTGTATTATACTGTAGAATCTGAATTTGTGTTTGCTAGGCAACGTTCTTTGTAGTTCTTACGCTGACTCTTGTTTTCGTGGAACTTGTATTCAAAGATAGAAGTCTATTCATACATCCACCAGGTTATCGGGCAACAAGGATTTGTTCATGATTTTACCTGTTCGACACAACGCCGAAATTTGGAATTCGAAGCTGTTACGTGCTAGCTTGAGCTTTACCGCAACAAAAATGGTGAAAGTTGTAGCTCTTGCAGGAGGAGTCGGAATTGGAGAACCACAAATGCTTACACCAATTTTTGCCTACGGCGTCGTCTTCCCCTTCGCCTCACTTCCAGAAGTGCATTTGCTGGCACGTACTAGGAAGTTTTCCAGTAATGTCATTGCAGATCATTCTTGTTCATCAGAGGGCCACTGAGGACATTCATCAAGACATGTGTGCTATGTGAGTAGAAGACTCAGATGAAGAGAATAGTTTGAGACTTCTATCCTCAACATCATGATCCAGGTAGAAAAACAAGGCGGTAACCAGCTACTAGGGATAGAGTAGATGAGTACTTCTTTGTAAAAGAACCATTTCAGGTCCTCTCATCTACGACGATTTTCGTGCCATCCGAACTATCCCGACTGAGCTGCAGTTGCCGCTTTATATGTATGTCCCGAAGAGCATAAACGTGGTGTTGACGCTGGCCGAGATATTGACGTATTATAATGGCGAAAAAGCTCAGCTTCAGGCATTTCTTGGCGGACATCAACTTGGTCAGACGTTCCTACGCGAACACCTACATCATGGTCAAGCATTCCTTGGCGAAAAAGCTGGGTACTCATTCTCGTTATGTCTATCTACGAAAGCCGTTGTAGTTTTTACTCTTAGGCGTACTGTCCATGTCCTACTTCTCGTTCTCATATATAATGAAAAACGGTAAAACTATGATTTTAGCCTAAGTATCATGCTGTTGTTCCTCAATATCAAATGATTTTCGTCACTACACGTTCAGGCTACTGCGAAACTACAAGGAGCTTTTCACGATGTTGCCTGTTAATGCCGCAACCAAATTTGAAGACAGCTGCCGCGAACTCGTCCAAGGCCAACGCCGCAACAAAACTAGAATCATTACGGCTATACAAGTTTTAATTATCTTCAGTCACAGTTAATAGCACTATAATTGCCTCTTTAATAAAACTCAGTAGCTTGAATTTTTTTTCTAGTGCTGTTCCTGACCGTAGTTAGCCATCATTCTGAAAAGATATCTTCTTTATCAACTCTCAACTCTTCTTCCAGAGCATGACCGTAGCCCGACCAAAACCAATTTCCTCCTAAGTTCATTTGAGTATTAGGCTCGACCCTCATTTGCAAATCACACAATCCAAGACGATATTGAATTTGAAAAATATTACGACTTCTAATATTAGTCGGAGACAAGCCATTGGCGATCACGGAGGTAGAGCAAAGGCTGAGGAAAAGTCGAAAAAGTTGCGCTCTTCATGCTCTCGCCGCTCTTGTTCTGCGTTCGCCAGAAGAAGTGTTATGCGTTGAAGATGTGTTAAAGTCGTTTGTGTAACTCTTGCTCCTATGTCTATGATGAGTCTCCTTTTTGTGCAGCATGAACATGCTTCTGTGCTCCTTTAGCAGTACTATCATGATGTATACGGAGGCTCTTGCTAGATCCTAATTATTTCACAGCTAGTACCAGATCCAGAAGATGGCCATGACTTGTTCTGCAAATTGTACATCGGTTTTTCAAGATGCTAGCTTCTTATACTTGGTAGTTATATTAGCATGGGTTTTCGTCCTTTTCGTTTTCTTCAACTTCACACTGATTGACGAGAGTTTCAGTTTCATGAATGTGCTATTACGTTCACTAGAAGCTTATGCTCTTACTCTCACCTCTAAGAGTGCTGCCATGGCTGTCGCGTCTTACGCTGTGCTAGCCTTACAGACGAACAAAGACCAACGTCCTGCAAAGCACAGACCGACATCGTTAAGGCGACTTGTAGTTTTCATAGGCACTGTTAGCCTCTCAACAACAACAAGTTCAAGTATTTTTCTCCTACTATAGTCTCTGACTCTCACTCTCTCAGTGTTTAATCCGTTTCAACAACAACAAACTCAAGTATCGTGTGCAAAGTGCGATATTCTTGAGACGAGATATTACCATACTACAGGGATATTAACTGGTAGGGTCGTGGCTACTTCTAGCTCTAACGTCCGTGGCGGCCGACGTCAACAGCGAGGGTGAGACGGACGTCGAGATCACATCTGAAGAAACCGCTTTCGCACTCGTCCCTAGTAGCGGACCTGCGTCATTTGTCAATGTCAACGTCAAGGAAAAGGCTGTAGCTTGGCTTAGAGAACGAGTCTCCCGTGCGACGACGGCGGTTCTCGGGTCCCGCACGCCGAAACAATACAGTACATGCCTATCGTTTCTTGCTTTGCGTAGATACCAATACCTGTACTTGATCATATGACTTCTATTTTTCTTCGTCCTACAAACATGAATATGGATATGAAATTGAAAATATATTTTGGATGTTAGTTCCGGTTCCCATCTGTGGTCCTCCAATTCTCCTGCACAGGCGAGAAAATCTGGTCCAGCCCGCCCCTGATGGTTATTTCTGAAAATATTCAAATGAAGCCGCAGGAGCTGCCCTTGTTTGTTCAGAACGCGTTTTATTATGTGCACGGTGAACCCGCCGACGAACAAGACCGGCTAACAGTAACAGATAACCAGCGCCTGGCTATCGCCAGAGCATCCTCTATTTACCCTCAGATCGAGGCAACGCCAATGCCGATTCTGTCATCATGCGTCGACTTCTCAAAAAACTTTAAGGGAAAGAAGTAGAGCAGGGCCCCAAGCTGCTCTGAGCAATTTAATTAACAAAAAGCATCTGCCCGCTTCGAGAAGTGTCAAGATGAATCGAGTAAAAACTTTTGCCTGACGCTCACTCTGAAATATTACCAAAAGATTGAACGTTATTTACGTTAGTGCGCCCAGAAGACTGCCTAGGCCTACACCCCACATTACACAGCCCCCTCAGCCTCAAAGTGGACCTTTTCTCCCTCTAAATAGTACGAATTTCTGAAGTGTGAGGGGATTTCGCAAGACGCGAAGACGGATTTTTCTCAGCCGGGGTCTTGGTCGCGGCGACTTACAACATCGAGTCGGAACTGGTATCGTCAGAATTTCCCCAATATTTGCACGGACTGTAAAGTCTTCGTCAAAGGCCAGCGATATGCATATAATGCGCTGGAGCTTTCTCCTCCTCGTGAACTTTCGACATTAGAAGATGTCAGGTATCGGTTTGTGTTGCAAAGACGTGCTGCTTACGATGAGGCGTCCTCCTGGAAGGAAGAAGGGAGCTTCTGCAATCTTATGCTCTCGATTCAGATTGTTGATTCCGACTCAATCTTTATACGGGTGAGCTTCAGAATTTTCGGTCTATCCGAATCTCTATTAACAAGCCAACTGCTCGCGCTGTCAATCAGACTTCATTTTTTTCTTCCAATGATACAGATTTTTTTCCTTGCTTTTCCTCCTTTTCCGCACTTCTAACTTGTTTGGAACTTCGTTGGGCACCAATTTGACACCCGATGACATAGTTCGCTCATTAATGCAACCGAGCCACACCTTTGACCATCATGATGTTATCGAAGGGGCTTGCGCGCATAAAGAAGTAGCCAAACAGAGAAAGAGCACACGCCATCCTGGCACTGAAGAAGAGTACACACGACGGGAATCGGTTTGCACTCGATATTGCGAGTCGCCGAATATCATTGTCGTCAGGAGGACTACACCCGGCGAGGGCGCGCTACCCGTCAAGAATTTTCGTGCCTATCGCAATCAAGACCCCGGTGCGAACGCTCCTCGTCGGTCGTTCGGCATCGGGGACGGGACTGCTCTCGAGCGCGATTATGCTTGTCTCAACCTTGAACTTTCAGAGGCCTACACGAAAGCAACACCAGAGACTGACGAGTTCGACATTTATCATCGGAGGAATATGATAGAAGAAACGACAGACCAAGTAGCCAAAGGAGTGAATACGAGGATCAATGCGCCAGAATTTCAAGACTTATGGCTTTGGGTTTGGACTTGGAGGAGAGCAAGAAATTTTGTATATTTCAGTCAGGTTTATTATAAATACGAGATAGAAGAGGTGAATACTTACAGATCGGCTTCCATGCATCCTCTCACCACTACGGGCCGCGCATCCTACGCGCGGGTACTCAACTTCAACATATTCCCGCCATTTTTAGCTATTCTTCTAGTACATCCTACGATGCATTTGCATTTTCATCCACTGAGTCACTTCTGTTCTTTTTCTCCCTCCCACCCTCCCTCGCCTCGTTCAACCTACCCTAGTCCCCATGTCGCACTCGACCTGCAAACGGACAGCTGGTGCCAATGATCATCAATATAGAAGCATATCACTGAGCCTTCCTTAGCTCAACTTATGTCCGTTTGGCAGGCGAGTCTGGAGTGTTGGCTTTCGGACAAAATCTATACCTTTTTCATGTTCCATGACCCGCAGCGGGAACGATCTATATAAGCGCGAATGGAAACGAGCCCTAGCCGAGAGGAACAGAAGGGCATTAGCAGAAGTTGCTAACCTCTGGAAGAAGGACGGAACCCCCTGCAGTGTTATGATGAATTACTTTTGAGCTTGTTCACTAGTCGAGTCGAAATCAGGACTACTTCGTAGGGCATTCTGTTTGAAAAACAGAAAGAAGAAGAAATCAGAATACGCTAGACATTCTAATTGTTACAGGCATACAACAAATATCACAACTCATTATGAAGGACCACGCTATTCCAGACCTTTGACAACCATACAGACAATGATACGTTTTGAGAGACCCACTAATATTTTACCTGGGAGCCTGCAACCAGGCGTGTGCCGAGCCAAAATGAAAAACGAAGACTTTTTCTTTTGGAAAGACGATTATGATCCCAACGATCGCAACACGCCTCGCGTAGCGAGAGAAGAGACAAACAGGAGAGACTGCATGATTACAACCTGCGTACAGATAAACGAAGGCCAGAAGGCAGAGAATGTCGAAGAGTCGGAGTCTGTCAAGGTGGAGCCGGACCGGTTGGAGGTGGTGTCTGTCGAGTCAGATACATTCGGATCCCAGTAACCTCCCTAAGTTAGGGAAGTTCCGATATAGTGAGGTAATATCAACTTGTTGATCTACTTCATTTTTCGTATGTACTAAGGTTAACTTCGTGTTAATCTGCTGAGATCAACTACGTCCTTTTCCTTTTTTATTTCACAATTTAATTATGAATGTTTGTCATTGTCTCTAATATCATGATGTATTACAACTCAGTACCAAATTGATAGTAACTTTTGACTTTTGATTTCATATTCATCTTTGATTTTCTCTCTAATCCTACTTCCACAAAGGTTGTACTTCTAACGTTGGAGCGGGCACTCACGGAAGGCGGTTAGTATTTGTGGGTGAAATATGACTAGTACGGTGGCGGGGCGGAAAGTAGAGCGGTGTGGGGGAAGTAGAGGGGTGTGTGAGGGAATTAGTGAACTGAGTAGAGGACCGACATGATACTATGGTTAACAGCTTAGTAAGGGATGAAGATGGAGGACTTATTATAATGATGATCGAATGATTGGTACTTGTAAGAGAAAGTTTCTCACGATTGGCTGCAGTTCGTTGGGCTCCAACCTTCGAATTGAGAATCACAATCAGATGTACTGATAATAGAAATATGAAGATTATGTTCATGTTGTTGTGGACAATGTTCATGATTAACTTTCTGAAAATTTTGTAGCATGTAGTACTAGTACCTACAGGCCATGACGAATTGAACTAGGACTAGTTGATGATAGGCAATACCACCCCCAATTTAATTTAAACGTGAGGCAATTTCTTGATGCAAATTAATACTTCTCCCCAAGTCACACAGTTATCTTTTGTCTAGAATATGGCTTCCCTATTGCTTCAAAGAACAGTACCTGAATAGACTTTCCAAATCAATGCAACAGCAACTACAACAGGCACTCTTGTTAATGAACAATCTTCGTGGTACCATCACCGGTACTAGATTTCGTAGCGTATCTCCTCTCAGGTTTAGTGAAAATGTAAAAACCTAATTCCTGTACGAAACTCACATCTTTTGTCTGCTAAACAAAGATCAACATCAAGACCAACTTTTACTTTCCTTGTCTCTTCTCCCTATCGAGTTATCATTTGAATTTGTTTTCGTTTCGGTTGTATCGGTCCTTCTAGATGATTAGTATTTAACGCTTTCCATAACAAGGTGAATATCTTCACCGTTTCGTGTCCTAAAAAAATGGCAAACGATCGACAGCATGATGAGGCCTTCCTAAAACAGAGCCTCATTTCGACGAGGACCACACAGTTACTTCTGAATACGTCCGATGAAGAAATCTGCTAGTAGGTGCACGGTCGTGTAGATTACGACTCAACAGCTGACTCTCATGTCCGACAAAAATGTCGTCGGCAGGCATACCGGATATCACTGGGGTCACCCTTTCGGCGATCTTGGCATACAAAAAAAAGCAAGGCTAAGGCGGGAACCCCTCTAAATCCAAACCTAAATCTTTTGTCTCGTGTGTTGACAGCAGAGCTGAGCTGAGAGGACCAACTAAGATAGTTTTAGAACAAGTAGTTGACAATGAGTGAGAGTAGAGTAGAGCAGAGTACTACAGGACAGTAGAGTGAAGCGAGATGAGATCATACATATGAGAGCAAATTGGCATTGATTTGGAAAACACGAGGACCACGACGTACAGCTACAAGTACACCCACATCGGATGAGAAATTACAGCTCTAATAGAATTAGAAACTCCAAAAAGGTCATCCAGGGGAGCGTCTTTTTCTTCTTGATTGATACTCAAAGAGTAAGAAAGTATGTAAATGGAGACGAGAGGGTCGCGCGCGCGAAATAACAATAATACTAGTCGTTTCCCGTGTGTTTAGCGGTCCGAGAGAAGGGAAAGGTGAACGAGGGAGAGGGAGCTGCTAGGGGCAGGCTTGGGCGGACTCCAGCCTCCGGCTCACCGTGCCGCGGTTGGTCCACTCCAGGTGCGCGATCCGATTCGGGCCCCTTTGTGGTCCTGGCGTTAGCCTGCCCAAACGCGGCTGGCGGCCGCGGTAGAGCCCGCTAACGGCTGCGTGACTCGGTGAAACAGGGCCTCACGCCGAAACTGTGACCCGCGAAACTGTGAGGCGCTCAACCCTGACACTGCGCCACTCTGAGGCGGGAAGCCCTGACATGCGCCAACCCTGAGGCGCGAAACCCTGACACGCTGAAACCCTGACCCGCGAAGCCCTGACATGCCGAAACTCTGACCCGCGAATCTCTGAGGCTCTAAACCCTGACACTGCGCAACTATGAGGCGGGAAGCCTTGACATCTGCCAACCTTGAGGCGCGAAACCCTGACACGCCGAAACCCTGACCCGCGAAACCCTGACATACCGAAACTCTGAGCCGCGAACCTCTGAGGCCCCCAACCCTGACACTGCGCCACTCTGAGGCGGGAAGCCCTGACACCCGCCAACCCTGAGGCGCGAAGCCCTGACACTGCGCGACTCTGAGGCGGGAAGCCCTGACATCTGCCAACCCTGAGGCGCGAAACCCTGACACGCCGAAACTCTGACCCGCGAAACTCTGAGGGGCTAAACCCTGACACTGTGCCACTCTGAGGCGGGAAGCCCTGACATCCGCCAACCTTGAGGCGCGAAACCCTGACACGCCGAAACCCTGACCCGCGAAACTTTTGGGGCCTAAGCCCTGACATTGCGCAACTCTGAGGCGGGAAGCCCTGACATGCCGCAACTCTGACCCGCGAAACTCTGAGGCTCTAAACCCTGACACTGCGCAACTCTGAGGCGGGAAACCCTGACATCCGCCAACCCTGAGGCGGGAAAGAAACCCTGACACGCCGAAACTCTGACCCGCGAAGCTCTGAGGCTCTCAACCTTGACACTGCGCCACTCTGAGGCGGGAAACCCTGACACTGTGCCACTCTGAGGCGGGAAACCTTGACATCCGCCAACCCTGAAACTGCGCAACTCTGAGGCGGGAAACCCTGACATCCGCCAACCCTGAGGCGCGCAACCCTGACACGCCGAAACTCTGACCCGCGAAACTCTGAGGAGCTAAACCCTGACACTGTGCCACTCTGAGGCGGGAAGCCCTGACATCCGCCAACCCTGAGGCGCGAAACCCTGACACGCCGAAACCCTGACCCGCGAAACTTTGGGGGTCTAAACCCTGACACTGCGCAACTCTGAGGCGTGAAGCCCTGACATTCCCCGACCTTGACGCGTGAAACTCTGAGGCGCTAAAGAACCCTGGCAGGGGCGAACCCTGAGGCCGTCAACTCTGGCATGCCCAACCCTGAGACGCAAAACCTTGGCCGCCGTTATTGCTTGCAAAACCCTGGGAACTGGATCCTGACTTTTGTGCCCATTTTTGCAAACCCTGAGATGCCAAACCCTGACCTGCCCGCGATTTAGCCCTCCCTGGCAACCCTGGGATTCCCTGGCTTTCTCCTTAAAACCCTGAGAGTCCTGGCCCTGGTTTTTGTGCCCCTTGTGGTTCTCCTTGCTCGCCCTTAAAGCCCTGACGTCAGACCTCGACTTTTGCCGATCATTATTAAATATAGAATTCATAATTATATACTATGTTGCTATATTTTTAACTACTCGTGTCCCGTGTGTTCAGCGGTGCAAGACACGAAAAAGGTGAAAAAGGGAGAGGGAGCTGCTAGGAGCGGCAGAGGCAGAGTCTGGGAGGGTCAGCGGCGACGGCTCCACTGTTGCGCACTGGTCCCCTACCCGTCGAAGCCTCGGCGTTCACGCCGCAAAGGCGCCAGCGCGTTGTGGGCCTCGCAGTCCTTTTCGTCCCCGCCCGCGCTCGCGGCGTTGTCCACCGGGAGCAGCAGGCCGGCGCCTGTCTCGGCAATAGATGCCAAAACCTTGCCCCTGACATTCTACCCACTGACCCGCAGAACTCTGAGGTGCCAAACCCTGACATCGGCCAACCCTGAGGCGCGGAGCCCTGACATTTCCAAACTCTGGCCCGCGAAGCTCTGGCGCTGTAAACCCTGACACCGCCCAACCCTGAGGCGCAAACCCCTCACAGTCGAAAAACTGACCCCCGGAACTCTGAGGTGCCAAACCCTGACATCGCCCCACTCTGAGGCCCGAAGCCCTGCCATTCGAAAACCCTGACCTGCCAAACTCTGGGGCCCCAAATCCTGGCATCGCCCAACTCTGAGACGGAAAACCCTGACTGGTGGAACGCTGGGGGGGGCACGCCCTGACATCGGCCAACCCTGAGGCGCGACACCCTGACATTCCCAAACTCTGGCTCGCGAAGTTCTGGGGTTGTAAACCTTGACACTGCCCAACCCTGAGGGGGAAAGCCCTGACATTCGAAAACACTGACCCGCGGGACTCTGCGGCGCCAAGCCCGGACATCGCCCAACTCTGAGGCCCGAAGCCCTACCATTCGAAAACTCTGACCTGCCAAACTTTGGGGCCCCAAACCTTGCCATCGCCCAACCCTGAGGGGGAAAACCCTGACTGGCGGAACTCTTGGGAGGCAGCCCTGACATCGGCCGACCTTGAGGCGTGAAGCCCTGACACTCCCAAACTCTGACCCGCGCAACTCTGGGGTTGTAAACCTTGACACCGCCCAACCCTGAGGCTGAAGGCCCTGACATTCGAAAACACTGACCCGCGGAACTCTGAGGTGCCAAGCCCTGACATCGCCCAACTCTGAGGCCCGCGACCCTGCTACTCGAAAACTCTGATCTACCAAACTTTGGGGTTCCAAACTAACCTTGCCATCGCCCAACCCTGAGACGGAAAACCCTGACTGGCGGAACTCGGGGGGGGCAGGCCTTGAAATCTGCCAACCCTGAGGCGTGAAACCCTGACACTCCGAAACTCTGACCCGTGAAACTCTGGGGCTGTAAACCCTGACACCGCCCAACCCTGAGGCTGAAAGCCTTGACACTCGAAAACACTGACCCGCGGAACTCTGAGGTGCCAAACCCTGACATCGGCCACCTCTGAGGCCCGAAACCTTGCCATTCGAAAACCCTGACCTGCCAAACTTTGGGGTTCCAAATCTTGCCACCGCCCAACCCTGAGACGGAAAGCCCTGACTGGCGGGACTCTGGGGAGGCAAGCCCTGACATCGGTCAACCCTGAGGCGTGAAGCCCTGACACTCCGAAACTCTGACCCGCGAAACTCTGGGGTTGTAAACCTTGACACCGACCAACTCCGAGGCGGGAAGCCCTGACATTCCCAAACCCTGACCTGCAAAACTCTGAGGCGCTATACTTTGGCAGTGGCGAACGCTGAGGCCGTGGGCTCTGGCATGCCGAACCCTGAGACGCAAAACCCTGACCACCGGTCTACCCTGCAAAGCCCTGAGAATTGGATCCTGGCATTTGTGCCCATTTTTGCAAACCCTGAGACTCCTTGGCTTTCCCCTTAAAGCCCTGAGAGTCTTGGCCCAGGTTTTTGCGCCCCTTGTGATTCTCCTTGCTCGCCCTTAAAGCCCTGACGTCAGACCTCGACTTTTGTCGATCATTAAGAAAGAGGGAATTGCATAGCAGTCTACAACTTCTTCAAGCTCTTTCGACACCTCAACTTCTATCTTCTGTATCTGTTTAAGTAAGATTTTTTTATCTCGACTTCCTAGTTTGAGTTCCTACACCTGCCCTGCTCTAAAGAAAGAAGGTAAAACAAAATGCAGTTTAAGGAGCTCGATGCGCCCAAGGCTTTGGGCGAGCGCCAGGCAGGCGCGGCGTCAGCGGCACAGGGTATGATGTCCATGACGCACAGACAATTCGCAGACAGGGAAATAAAGGAGGCCTTCGACACTTTTGACCTCGATAACAACAATTTCGTTGGCGCAGCAGAAATAAAACATATATTTTATGGCGTTGTTCAACTTCAATCATATTGAAAGACGACATAGAGATAGTTATTCTTGAACTTGAAATTGTTTATGATAGAGTTACAGATACTGTTAGAGACGATTGAGAACATGAGCTTGTTCTTGATGGAGATAAAAGATGAGTTCTGCGGTTACTACTTTTATATAGCCCGAAGACCTTTCCCACTTTGGAAAAGAGTCAAACTAGAACTGAGTTCATCTGCTATCGCTGTCCCTGGAGAAGAAACCTTCTTTGTAAGTGAATTCTGTTTACAGTTTTTTCTTAGAAATGCTTTCCTCCATCAACTGCCGAAGAAAGTAGTTATTTCACATCCGACCTGTTCTCATCCTCTGCTACTCAGTTCTCATCCTCTGCTACTTAATAATACCGTTGTTCCCGTATCTTCCTTGACCTCGACCTCTGCGTATCCCGTTCCTCTGTCCAGATGAAGTCTTGTATGACCAGGTCACCTGTGCCTACCTTCATCATCGAGGCCTTGTTGGAGAAAAGGCTACTGATGATGAGATAGACGAGATGATTAGAATGTGCGACGCAGACGGAGATGGGCAAGTGACGTACGACGAATTCTATAAATTGATGTCGAATCCCTACAATTAAGGCTCCAAAGAACAACATGATCCCACCGACCCCCACGTGGATCCCGTTCCACCCTCACGTCCGTCATGTGTAAGAAGTATCCCGTTAAAGTACTGCGCCACCGCCACGTCCGTCACGCGTAAGTATCCCGTTAAAGTACTGCGGTGGCAGGCGTGCCTGGCGTATTCTCCAGGTAATGCACTGAAGCAATTATGTACTGGGGCGCGTATTTGAACAGGATCTTCTCCTGTTTCTGATATTCACGGGACAGGTTATAAGGGAACAAGCTCTAATGCAAGGAACGACCACTGCCGACTATGCCAAAGACTACCTTTCAGCTGCCGTCACATCCACGTTTGGGTCCAACGGCACCGAAGGGAGGTATAGATAAGCCTGTACCGAAAACACGAGTTGCAGAGGTGCTACAGGACGTCATCACACAGCTTGCAGGAGGTATTGTTCCGTGTTCTTAGGTGGATTTAGATGTAGTTATTACACAGGTTGAGCTACTTGCACGATGTATAATTAAATAGTTCAAGAATGATCATAGTTCAATGACCTACTCACAGGATGTTAGAGCTATGGTAATCACACAGGGTCGGTGTGATTGTTGCAGGAGGTAAGTACATCAAATGCAGTGTGATGATCTATTGTTCTTGGACAGTCGTTCTTAGAGGAAAAAGCTAGTACAGACTGACTGACACTGAAATTGGAAGTTGCGTGTGTACTTCGATCACATCAACCCCAACTACTTCTGCTTAAGTGTCCGTTTGAAGCCATCGCATGCCAACCCCAACCACTAAATAGTACGAAATTACTCCCAACTACTACACAACACTCAATCACAATCTTCATCAGGTGGCCGTCTGAAGCCTTCGCATATCAAGAAGATTTATAAGAGCTTTCAAGCCGTCGACAAGGATCAGACAGGGTTCGTGGATTACCCTGAATTCCTTATAGTGCTGAAGCAGCAGGACTCTCCCATCATGAAGGAAGTCTTCAAGCTCTTCGATCTAGATTTCAACGGAACTGTCGAACTGAAGGAGTTCGTGACATTATGGAAGAATTCCTTTTTTTTTGCTTTTTCTGACTCCTGGAGTAGGACGGTCCGCTACTGAAATGAACAGATCATAATAGATACGATGGTTACTGATTACTCGAAAACTGAAAATAACCGAGTTACTGACTGCAATAAGGGAGGCAGCTTAGCACCAAGGCTACTCTTCCTTCTCGTCAGCATCTCGGTTATTCTAAGTAGTTACTCGCTTATTTCAGTTTTTCGAATACTCCTCTGACCCGGAATCCAAAGAAAGAATAAATCCAGCACCTGCTCCACCTTTCTACTCCTTTCTTGTCCTTACAACAAGAACAACACCGACAACAATCTATCATCAGCAACAATATATCATAAGCATGAAAAACTGATCTCCTCTAACTCTTGTCCTCTCGTCGTTTACGACTGCGACCAAAACGGACAAGTTGAAGTTCGCCTTCATGATGTTTGATGAGGATGGAAGTGGCATGTTGGAGAGGCCAGAATTGGAACGCATTCTGCGTGCGAATTTTATGACCGCAAACCTAGCAGCTGGCGAGGTAGAACGCAAGGCAGACGAAATCTACAGAGCAATGAATTATGAACAGAGTAGGTTCAGGTTGGTAGAGGACCTAGACGTAGAATTTCTTCAACATCAGGGTATGGGTATTAATCATGTTTTCTTGTTCATCAACAAGGTATTAATTATGTTGCATGATGTGCAACTACAACTACTCTATATCGACTATAACTAATGGTTGTAAAACTGCTAGAGAGGACGCATTGATGAAGATGATGCCATGTCCATGACACAGTTTTCTAAGAGTTTTTATTTGCAGTGCTGGTGAAGATGGTAAACAGCAACAGACTGAGTAAAGTATGAATACGAAAACCAGATTCCATATGAATGTAGTTCAGACACTTAAAAATATTCCCCATTTTCCTCTCGTCACCCCCTTTGTTCATCTTCCGGTCGAATTGGGTACACCGCTTACGTACGAACAATTCATGGACCTGTCGAAGACGAATATAGAACTTCTCTACCCAGTCGCCCAAGTGCGAAAGAGCATACACGATACTGGATTGCAGAAGTAGTTGTAGATGGAGGATGATTTTTGCAGAAGTGCCGATTTTGCAGGACCACGATTGAAACCACGCTGCGAGACCTGAAAAAAAGATGATTCCTTTGTCTTCCTTCATGCTGATGATTCCTTCAAATCTAAATCTAATATCCTTTTACCACCTCTACGTCTACTGCTACACATGTTGTAAATTACTTCCTTGGCAGCTGCATGAAATTGAAAATTCCTGTTGCGAATTTTCCAGGCTGGCATCGCCCATGCCCTGTATCATGTGCATCTAGACTGAACCCGACACACAAACAAACATCCGTGAGTCATCAACACGCTATATGTCGCTGACTGATATAGAAAAGTTACAATAAGCTTGTACAAGGAGGTTGTGAGCCAACATCGAAAATGGGTGCATGACTTGTAGCACTAGTTGTGGCTCTGTGACGAGCCTATCCGCAAGTGTTTAAAATGTGACTCTAAAAGAGTGACTGAGTTGAGAGTAGGAGGAGAGTTAGATTGGAACGCACGCAACAATTAGTATGCGAAAACTAATTTTTTCCCTATCAAACTAAAAGGAAATGAAAACGAACAACCCTAACCTCGAGTGTGAGTGAGCCACAAATCTATAGTGTATGCATCTGTAGGTGTAGTTGCAGCATCTGTAAAACCGTCCTGATTCTTGTTCAACGGCATCGTAAACGCCAACTCATCAGTGCGTGTCTTTGAGTCCCCAGAATCCCCTCACTTATATCAGGTCTTACAGTCATATTTACAGTAAGTGTTCTTTGTGTTCGTAGTTTACAAAGACTTTGGCTAAAAAACATGACTAATACCTCTTCTTAATCTTCTTGCCGTGTGACAGTGAAGATACTAGTTGTAGTAATTGTTCAGTCTAAATGATCTCTCTGTCTGAGTCCCTTTGTTGACAGCGGCTCCTCCTAACTCTAGATCAAATTATTTGATTGCCGATCAAGAGGAAAAGCATCGATTACCATCATGTGTGGCTGCATAGGTTTTTATCAAAAGGGACATATAAAACAAGTGCCGATTTAATATCACCATAAACATAATTTTGTATCTGTTCTTGTAAGTAATCTCTATTCGGTTTGGTGAATCTTCGGTTTGGTGAACTAGAACAACCATACTCTTTGTCTTTAGATCATTGACTCAGCCTCGCCACTTCCATGCATACGAAAGCAGGAAACAATCAGAATCACTCGCCCCAATATTTTTAAACACAATCAAAGCGTGTTGTTAATAGTTTTCTATGTCCCATTAGGATTAGCGTCCCTAGTGCTTCTCGCGCTTCACGGACATAGTCATAGATTAAAACAGATGGAATATTTTTGGAACGTTTCATCAATGAGTCTTAAATTTTCTAAATCCCTCCAGAACTACAACTACAAGAAATAGAATGGTGCTTCTAGAGAAGCTGATGCCACTAGAAGTCTAATTTGTACTCGCACCACCCAAACGTCGCATTCATGGTGATCAGCTGCGTTTTCACAACAGGGTCTGCGATATCCTGTACGCTGATCTAGTTTGCGTTTAGCGAAAGCTCACAACGCCCGCGAAGGGCGAAAAAGACAAAGAGGGGAAACCCTCTTGAGCTTGAACTTGGACTCCTCCACTGAAACTCATTGACCTTTCAGGACCTACTTGCCGACGGGCTACAACTTCTACTGGTGTCTTGTTACCATCAAGAATACTAGAGATAGAGTGTCGTGTGCGACAACTCTTCCCGCCCACGACGTGACGTCAAGTACGAGCTCCTGAGGCTGAGGCTACCTAGGCGGGCCCGAAGCAGCAGCAGAAAACAGGAAAGAAGTACAGACGAGTCGAAACCTTACTGGAAGTGGAGCAAGGCGTGTCAAATACGTGGGAAAGCGCAGACGGCGAACCCAGCCCCGCATCAGGCGGTGCCCTTGGGGCCGACGTGAAGGTGTCCTACTCGAGCTTGAACAGTCAGCGCTTTTTGCTGAAGAAGATCCACTCATCATTTCATCAGAAATAATGTCGCGGAGCTTGGGACCACATCAGTCCGTGTGTCTAGCCCCTTCATCATTCTAAAACAGCCGCTCTATTAATCGTTTTTACGTCTCACACTTCATCTCAGAAATGATTCCCCTCATTAATCAGAAGAAAAATACAAACCGAAAGTTCATCTCCCCAACGAACACGACAACGATCAGAAGTAGTGAAGCGGAGCTACTGGGCTGACGCAAGTAGTGAAGAAAGTATTCGGAACTTTCGGAATTCAATCAAAATCGCAGCACGACCGGTTTAAGCGGAGGACAAAACCTTCTCATCTCGAAGGACCACGTCAACAAGCACCAGGGGAAGCGTTCAACGAACTGTCGATGCAAGTAGAATCACAGCCAGTCTTACTTTTACTAGTTGTACAAGAACTACATCATGGGTTCTTATCTTTCCGCTCCTGTGACGCGCAAGGAGAGCGTGGAAGGGAAAAGTGAAAGCAATCCTTATGTCGCGGATTGCGCATGTACGGGGATGCAAGGATGGCGCAAAAAGATGGAGGATGCGCACATCTGTCTTCCTGACTTGCAACTTGCCAATCTGATCGATCAAAAAGAGGAATTACAGGTATTTTATTTAGCGTCGATATTTATTATCATGGGTGAAAGTATTTATATCTTTTCAGGGAAATAATCTTAGGCAGATTGCCGAGTAGGTTCCCAACTCATGATCTATATCGTTTCAAGGAAAACCAAAATTCTTGTCATTTATTTGTTTTTGATGATCGTTTTTCCATTTCTTTAGAGGCAGGACTTCGACTTACTAGTTTCAATTTCAGCATTCAATTCATGTCCACCAAACCAATACTTTTATTCTGTGAACAATGCAGGACCGATGGAAGGGATATTGTCTTTTCAGTGTCTTTGACGGACATGGAGGCAAAGCGGTAGCAGATTTCTGCCAGAAGTTTGTGCCAGAGCTGCTCATACGGAGAAATCCCGAGGATCTGGAAGCATTACTGGTGCAGTTGCATCACAGGCTGGATGACCTTCTTAGGGATGAAGGGTACTTAAAATGTGAATTATCTTCTGTCACTGTGACAATAATTGATGAGATTGAAATAATAACCATGATGAAGTAGTAGATTCAATATACTATGAAGTAGATTCAATCTACTTCTACTTTTATAGATCCTTATCGACCAGGCATACGTATTTATATGTAACAAACTATCTTCTACTTCTATCTCTTTCACTTACCCACAAGCAACAGCTTCCGCAACGCATTCGGTCTCTGTGAGGGCCCGCCTGGCGGTCCTGGCGGTTTTCATTCAACGGCAGCAACCCCTGGACGCGGCACATCAACTCGCAGTACTGCAGGAGGAGCATTAGGGAGAGTAGATTTAAGGCTTGATGTCCTAATTGTAATTCATCTGATAAATAATAGGATTAGGAGCACCCATCTAGCACTACTACTTTGACCCCCTCAAATTTCTTCTGTGCTAGTACTACTACTTTGAACCACCTCTACTTTATTTTATTCTTTGACGGTGGTGGTCGTCGTCGTGGAGAGAAAACACGTCAGAGACGAGAGTCTCTAGATTGTTGAGTTTTAGGTAAGCCCACTCTAACAGATCCAGATGCTACAGGAACAACTTCCGATAGTACAGGATCAAACAAAGCACTGACGTTACTCCAGAAAAGCATAGATAAGGACTTGCTGGGCGCCAAGAGTAAGGGATCACTCACGCAGAAAGAAGCAACCAATGTGATGGTAAAGATGATGCTATTGAAAGAACTGAAGTTAAGCAGGCGTCGATTATACAGAGGAATACATAGATAGTGTCTTGCTGTGGTTAATATACATTCATAGGAATACGTAGATTTAGATAGTGTCTTGATGCTGTGGTGAAAGTGAAGGGTATTGCTCTGCAAGGAAAAATGAAGAAAGAAGAAAGAAAGAATGAGTTCTCCATCTCCTTTTATATGAATTACAGGATTTTTTAGGAAGAACAGTCTCAACTACAATACCATCTCAGAGAAGTCGGACCCATTAACATAACCAATAGTATCTTGTTGATGCTATGCTCTAATCAAGAGGAAAAACAGTGCTGACAGCGGCGAAAAAGGATCAGCATCAGAAGAGGAGCAAAAGCGTACTAGTGGAGAACCAGGCACATCCAATCCAAGTAGCAGTTCCACTTCGACCGCTACGACAACAGATGAAAACCTCAACTCCTTGGAAGAAGATCGGCAGGAGCAAAAAGAGAACAACTCATCTAGTTGTACCACAACATCATCAACTCCCACACCCACAACGGAGGAAGAGAAGCGGAGATGTATGCTGAGGAGTCTGTGGGACTTAGATACGCAATCTAGTGCCTTCAAGTGCGCCTCCAGGTTATCTGCCATATCCTCTACGTCCACAGCCGCGTCATTCGAGAACGAAGGAACAGTTGCCACTAAGTGCAAGTAGTGTATCTTTGAGTTTGATCTGCATGTTGAAACGGAATATATTAGTTCCTGTAGGAAATCTTAGGCAGACTGCCGAGTAGATTCGCGTCGTCAGTTCCTGTAGGATAATTATCGCTGTTCTCCGAATCGGTAAATCTAATATCTTATTTCCCACTTTCAATATCAACGTCAGGGAAATCTTAGGCAGATTGCCGAGTAGATTCAGATCATCATCAAGGAGAAAATTAGGGAAAACGCATCTGTTCTAATCCATCCACCTCCCCATCGTCGAAGGCACAAGTGATTCCACCAAGAAGTGTCTCACATCCAACACCCTCTGTGAAACCCAACGTTGACGGCATAGCCAGATTTATAGGTTGCACCGCAGTTCAAGCCCTAATCACGCCGTCTGGAGAGGTACATATTTTTAGGGTCAATCTCATATCATCTACGTTGCGCGCAGGAATTCCAAACAATAATACTTTTAAATAAACCAATAAAGTCTTTCTCTCTTAATCATGAATCCAGGTCGTAGTGGCGAATGCAGGAGATAGTCGCTGTATCATAGGGAAGAGAGGGGGAATTGCGCATGCTCTGTTACGGCCAGCATTGACCTAGTCAGCTCTCGGGCCATTTGGCTACAAACCTTCTCCCATGATAGGCTACAACAAACGTTTTAACATTCCGGAAAAGAAAAAGGCACACCCGCATGCGAAACACGCTATTAGCGCCATGAATTGTTGAAGCACACTCTAACTTCCTCTGAAGACCACAAACCAGATCAGGAAAGAGAGTCCTCTCGAATCGTTAGTGCAGGAGGGCGTGTGGAAGTCTGTAGACCTGTAGCCGCGAATGGTCGGACGCATCACCGAGTGAATGGGAATCTAAACCTCAGTCGAGCCATCGGTGATTTGGAATATAAGCAAAGGCAAGACTTGCCACCGCAAGAACAAGTATACTACCTGTAATTTCAAATGGCATTGCTTATTATGTTGTGTTCACAACTTCTTAGTGCATGGAAGAAGTACTTCAACTTCTTCTTGTTGCTAAGGTCATCCTCTAGGTAGCAGGAACAGTCGACAACTACTGTTCCCTATTTTCAGGTTATCGTGTCGACGCCAGACGTTGTAAGGTATAAGATTCAGGAGGGAGACGAATTTCTTGTCCTTGCGTGCGACGGTGTCTGGGATATGAAGATTACGGCTTGACTTTTGATTCTCGAAGTAAGATCATCTCTTTGCTTGTCGTGGATACACCTTGTGTGAGAACGAAGCAACGGCGTCCTATCCTATCCTACCCTATGGTTATCTATATTTTTCATATCAACTACATGTCGAGTTGATGTAGCTAGATTTTATTTTTGTTGATCAAAGAAAGAGAAACAAGTACAACAAGAATATGATTTCCTTCTCAACACAAACAGAAGATCCTGCGTGCTGCGTGCACGTTCCGGGAGGGCTCGGGGTGCAGGATCGATAAATAACCCAAGCTACTTAATTACGATCGCTTTCTAAATCCAGCAACCAAGAGGTGGTAGATTTCATTCGAGGGCGGATGCGCAAGCAAATGCCACTGAAGCAAATATGTGAGGAGCTTTTGGACGCTTGCCTCGCAGACGACCCAAGAAACAGAGGTGGACTTGGAGGAGATAACACCACAGTCATTGTTGTGCGGCTTAAGGATCCTCTTTCTGCTACTTCTACTGTGTCGTAACTTTGTTGTGGTGAAAAAATGAGGTTTTCAAGAAGTAGTTTGTAACCCTAAATGTATTCTTACAAGTAGTTCCCTAACCCTATACCTAGACCTACAAGTAGATTTCCGAGTCTAACTATCGTCGTGAACACTAACAAATACAGGAACGCCAGTGGGTTGTATCAAATCTTCCTACATCCAAATCTAATCTATCAGTTGAACACTAACAGGAGCAAGACCATTACCTTGTAGCCTGTCAGAGAAGTTCATACAGAGGACGCCTTTTTACGTAGCTCGCATTGTATAGAACAATCAAAGGCAGATACGTACGGTTGTAGGAATGTTAGTTTCAGGTAAGTAAGAACATGAAAATGTATCATAGCAAACGAACAAGCAGTAGCTGTACCTGTAGCGGTACAGTGTGTATTAAAAGCTACCTGAAGTAGGAGGTGAGAAGGGCCAGTACTTGATGCTCATCTTCTAAAGAGCTCCCGCCATGTGAAGATTTCATGAGCTATATCTAGCAAACTGGCTCTGGCTTGTCGAAAGCACTCATATTTATAAACAACGAACTGAGACAGAGACTGGCAAGGTGCTTGAGTGAGCATTTTTGAGCGTGTATTTTTACTAGAGTACCTCCATACAACATAGCAATACCTTCTAATACAGTTTCGGTCTCGTCATCATGTAGACCAGCTTACTACTCAGTCAAGAGTTCATCTGGTCATACAATGAACTAAAACTACAGGCAGACAACTGTAACGATCTGCAACATCTCCCTTTCTACATTCTTTCTGGCAGTGAGAGAGTTCTTCTTCTTTTCATCAATCCCAATGCCAATGCCAATCGTATCCTAGCTGCATAGGGTTTCGACCACTCTATTGAACAAGTCTTTCTATCTAATCCTTGAAATAATCTGAACTCGGCACGGCCACGGCCGCGTTAACTGGATTGTCTTTCTTCCAAGTCTAGTTTCTTTTTGTCTCATCACGTATTTCTACACCTAAAACGAACCTGCAGATATCGTCATGCATGAAGATGACGCATTCTTATCATTTTCCCTTGCATCTCGGACCTAAACGTGTCTTGTGTTCTTCGGAGCACGAGGACTCGCGCGAGGTCATTTTTGCACATTCAAGCGGAGGAAGATCTGAACATTTGTGACAAAACAGATTTTTTACGATCCCCTACACTGATCAGCATGACGGTTCCCGAGAGCTTGAAGAGGAGAAGATCTGAGATGATTGGACCAGGCCTTGGATCTGAGATGATCATTGCGCGGAGGTTTTGTGAGAGACATGAGGATTGGGCTGAGACGCATTGAGTTCATAGTAAGCTTCCTCTATCTGGTACCTCTGGCTAATCTGCAACGCAGATCCTCCCGGCGGACTCTCTTGACGATGACGCTCACTATCACATAACGACTAATATTATAACATATCGAATAAAATATATAGACGGGCCTTGGCTTCCGTAGAGGTGTTGTGGTTTGATGTTCACTAAGAAGGACAACATCTAGGTTGATATAATTTTTTTTCCAGTAAAAAAGTCAGTGGTAATCATCGACTAAAGAGACCACTGAGGATGTCGTCGTCAGCATTGATGGCTGATATGCCCAAGTACGTGTCCGAATTTGTCGGCACGTACATCCTAGTCCTCACGATTGGATGCAATGTCCTTGGCGGCACTGCAGTATGGGCAGTAACCAGCATCGCGTGTGCGCTCATGTTATGGACTTGGACTAAGGAAAATGAAAAAATAGATGTGGACTACGGAAAATAAAAAAATAGATGTATTTTCCAAACGGAACTAATAATAATAATAATAATAAAACGGACCTGCAAAAGCAAATGCAAATTGTATTCATAGAATCTTCAAATAGAAGGATGTCAGGTTTCATGTTGAACTTGAAGTTGATGGGTAATCGTAAAGCATAAGCTTTCTAATCCTCGTTAGCATTTACGCATTTGGAGCTGTGTCTGGTGCACACCTGAACCCTGCCGTCACTCTGTCCATCGCGCTCACAAACAAAATGCCGTACAAGGAAGCCGGACTTTACATGGTTTTCCATTCATTTATTTTTAGAGTGATGTGCGTGCAGTTGCAGATACGATACCAGGGGTTTTGTTTCACTCTGAACGTGGTGATTTAGAAAAGTTAGAAGAAAGTTTCCCTCCATGTCTTTGATGCAATAGCAATCAGCAAAGAGAAGGACAAAATAGATTGTTATTTGTTTTCACCCTCGTCGACTCCCACAGGCCGTCCAGCTGTTCGGTGGTTTCTGCGCTGGAATGACCTATTTAGGCCTATTCAAAACCGCATTTGAGCTCGGACCGGGGAAGGGTCACTCCTGGTTGGCCGCTGGCGTCGTGGAGTTACTGTATTTATGGCTTGTTATTTCACAGAGATTGATTATGACGCGGGAGACTTACTCTTGCAACTGTTTTTCCGAGTCTATCGATTTCATACGATAATGACCCTCTTTACCCTCTAATCCTTACCGCGATGCTCTGCTTCGTTGTACTGAACGTTGCCTGTGCCAGCGCGAGCAGCGACAACCAGTACTACGGTTTGGCTATCGGCTTCGTCGTCGTTGCCGGTGGATACGCGGTTGGAACTATTTCTGGTGGCTGCTTCAACCCCGCTGTCTCCTTCGGCATTGATGTCGCTAGCTACGATCAAGGTGAGACGTTTTTTGTGGAATTTTAGATTTTTTAGATTTGATTTTATTGAATCTAATCAGAATGATCTAAATCTGACGAACAACTAGACTGATACACTCGGAATTTGAGTGAAGGTGTGCACACTTGAACGTAGATACTAGATACCGTAGCACATGTCTAGAGTCCATAAAGCATTTTCACATGATAGGTATCTACATGTGCTTCGTTTACACCGTGTTTCAAATGATCGGTGCTGCATTGGCTGCGGGTTTGTTCCGTCTGATCCGCGCTGAGGATTTCGGTGGGGTCGCTCTTACACTCAACAGCAAGTTAATGGCTGAGGCAGTCGGAACATTTATGCTGACCCTGACGGTCGGCTTCAACGTGCTGACGGCTTCTGCGGCTGGCGCTTACTCCATCGGAGCATGCCTCATGTGCATGATCTACGCACTTGGAAACGTCTCCGGCGCACACTTCAACCCGGCGGTGACGTTGGCGGTATTCTGAGCGTGTTGACTTAATAGTTTCAATTCCCAAAAAATCTGGCGGAGTTAGTGTGTCAATTGCCGCTCCTGATTTAAAGGAACACACACACACAACGACAACCCTGCCTCTTAGGTCTTTCTTTCCGGACGTGATATCATTTCCAAGGAGGATGCGGCAAAATATGTTGGAGTTCAGATCATCAGTTCTATTGTAGCCGGACTCACCTATATGGCAGTTCTCGGTATGTCGTTCCGCGTCGCCCCAGGCCTCGGCTGGTTCAAGACCGGTCTCGGAGAAATCATCTTTTATGGTGATGATGCGAAAAAGTGATTTAGAAGATTTAGAATTTTTAGAAGTAGAAGCGAAAAATAACAAGTGGTTTTACATCCTAGTCCTACCCATTCGTGCCTGTCCAGCTCAGTCCAAAGAACCCCCTCGTTGTCCTCCCGCTTTTCTCTATTTTCCTTTCATACTTCCACCGCGCTCCTCTGCTTCGTTGTCCTTTCGGTTGCGACGACCAAGAAGCCGTCTCAAGATATGTTCGGCCTTGCTATAGGATCCGTTATCACCGTTGCCGGATTCGCTGGAGCTAGCTTGGGAGTGGTACAGAAATTTCGATATGACGATTTAGATTGATTAGATTCATCAACGTTTTAGATTTACTACATGTTGGGATAAAAAGAAGCATTTTCTTCGTCAAAACCAAAGTACTATAGCATATTCCGCAAGTAGGCAGGCTAGAACAAGAAGAAAAAGAATCCAACAGGTCCTGAACCCTGCTGTCGGAATCGGGATTGACTTCACCAACATGGTGAAGGGCGGCCACTTCGGAAACTCTCTACTGTACACATTGTTGGAAGGTGTTGGAGCAGCAGCAGCCGTCGGGCTTTTCAAGACTGTCCGACCCGGCGAATACGACTCCGTCAAGGGAGGCAAATTGATGCCCTAAGTTGATATTTGTCGATTTACATGTAGATCTAAATCACTACTTATTCTTAAGTATCTTTTTCGTGTAATAAAGATTTGGGAAGAGGAAAATTTGGAATTCACAATCTAATCATTTGTGGTAGTTGAAGCGATGAAAGAAAAACATTACTACATTCAAAAATAGAAGATAGATTCTCTGTGGTGTAAGCCATCTTGCATAGGTGTCATATTTTCTGGCAGGCTCATAAAATGAACAGGTGTGTGGACAAGAATGATTGAGATGCCTCCACATGATTGTGGTTGATGGTCATTGTCACAACGCGGCAGCTGCCTCCCTGTTGCGAGCAGTTCTTTCTATTTAGATATTCTCTAGGATAAGGTTTTAGGTAAGAAAGTAATGATTCCTTGGTCTCGATATTGCTTAGTTTTTTCCTCGATAGCGACAGTGTGTAAGAGAGTTATTTTTAGGTTATTTGGTTTTAGGTTGGATACATTTGTAATATGAATGGATAGTAAATTGGCAATCGAATGTTGGTGATGTTCCCCAAATAAATCATCATTAATCAGTTGTGCGCAAGCGAGAATGTCAAAATTTAAAGAAACCATCGTAACTGGGTTGATCAGCTCCTGAGCCTTGCTGACCATGATCATTACGGGAAACCTTCTGACGCTTACCCGAGTAAGACATGACGGCCTGTTCTGCGGACGAAGGCTCATCATAGGTGATCCTTCTCGACAACGCCATTGGATTAAAGCATGGAGTTCACTCCACTCATGACCGTGACTCAAGATCTACATTCGGACACGGCTTTGCCGCGACAACTTCGCATCAAGTCGCGGTTGGAGGATCACTGCAGATCTTTTCCGAGTTGAAGATCCATATGTCAGGAACTGGAATACTTGGTTGTGATATTTTTTTTCTGTAAAATCACATTCACATTGATTGGTTTTTCTGTTGTCACAAGCAACGTGTATCCATCTGCATAAGACCATTATGTACGGCTAGGGGAACAAAAGAGCCCTGGTTGTTCTCGAGTTGATATTTTCTCGAGGGACTAGGGGTAAAGAGCCCCAATAGAGAAGGCAAGACCCCTAAATATTCCTCAGAAAGAGAAGAGAATGAGGCTGCTCTCGCTAGCGTTCCCTGCCCTCGCGGGCGCTGCTTCAATCAAAGGAAATGCCATTTCGGGGATCATAAAGACGCTCAAGCAGCTGCTGAAGAATAGCGAGACGGATAGTACAACCCTAATGTCAGTTATGACGTTGACGTATGAGGAAACATATAGAAGCAATTATCGTTATGCATTTTCTGGTATATTTTTTTCTTCATCAGCATCCCCTTCCTCAGCCTCATGAAGCAGTATTTTTGATGGTGTTGTAGATACCTCTGAACTTACCCCTTTTGCTATTACTTCTAGGCAAAGACAAGGCAGAGCTTTACGATAAGACTGCATGCGATTGCCGAGATGATATGCGGTCTTACACGAATCAGTTCGAGGTCGCGCAGAAGGAAATAGACAGGCTGACAGCCGTAGAAGAAGAGTTGCTTGGCACAAAGTCCGCACTCGAGAAGAGGATCGCGAAATACAAGACCTCAAAAACCGACCTCGAGGAAAGCATAAAGAAAGTTATGATGAGAAATGGTGTTTGAACTACTTCATCTGCGTTTGATGTGCTTGTGATTTTCCCGCTGCTGCTCTTTGGAGAACCACTGCGTAGCTTTTGAAAAACTTTGCGACGTGTGCGAGGGCCAGTGCAGGTTTTCGACGTCAGCTACATACTATCCAGGCAACCGGAAGTGCAAGTAGCATCAGCAAACATGAAACGAGCATTGTTGTACCAGTGATCTTTACACACCGTCTCCTACCTCTCTAACTAAGAATATTCCGAGATGATGAGCAAGACCGAAGGAAAAGCAGTGAACTTCATTGAAGAGACGACTGCTGATCAAGACGAGGCATTGGAGGAATTGAAGAGCATTAATCAGCCATACATGAAGGACGAAATCAAGCTGCATTCCGCCGAACTCGACACAACAAATTATGACGATAATTTGGCTCAGCCCTCAGGGGTACTAGATTAGTGCTTGTCCGACCCAGTAGTCGGCAAGTGACTTCTGGTGGGTTACAACTCGTACCTGTTTCACTGCAGGCTATCGACTTTCAGACTAAGTAGTAAAGGCTTTTGAGATTTTCCTGTGTATCATCTAATGTACGGCAAAGTGCCAAGAACGCATTGCGAAGTGCGACGCGATGATTGGAGCTTGCGATAAGGTCGTCACTATAATGGGCGAGTCGAGCAGCAAAGCGATCATCTCCATGGTGGAGAAGCTTCGCAAGCACTCTTTTTTATGGCACCAAGTCTCAGTTGCATTCCAATAAGTTATCCGTCAAATATCGCTTCATTCAAGCTTACTTTCATTTTCACCACGGCAAATTTTATAAATATGTATTTGTATTGGTATTGCACGTTTATTTTAATTTTTCTCCTATCACTATCTAATACCTGACCGCAAGACCGAGATGCTAGAGGGCAAGGACGAGTGCCAGGCCAAAATCCACGACTTGGAAGAGAAGATTTCCTCAAACCAAGGCTTTCTGGAGCTGTCAATCACGGCATCCGAAAAGCTGGAAGCTGAGCTAAGTGAGACCACAGCTAAACTGGGCAAGACGCGTGAGCTCTTGGGCGATGAAAAGGAGATCCGCTCGACAGCCAAGAAGGGTGTTGCTGAGACCACGACATCGTGCGAGAAAGCGGCAAAACAATATGTTATGATAGGCGGGCAGTGTGTACTGGTATTCTTCTCGAAAAGTAGCAAAGGTAACTAAACAAGGAGCAAAAGCGTCATGCGAATTTGAATTCGAAGAACTGATCGTAAATTACACTCTATATGAGTATGAGACAGCGTGACCGCAGAGACGTAATAATATCATCAGCCTGGACTTCTTTTTCGAGCTCTAAAACCAACGAGGACGCAAAACTGCTGACGGCCGAAATCGCTGGCCTTACCGGAGCTATTGCTGCTTTGCAGAAGATGCCGGCGCCAGCTGGTGAGAGTTCGTTCTTGCAGCGAGGAACCAGCGAAAAGGAGTTGCACCAGAGAGTCGAGCGCACACTAGCGCAACTCGCATCCTCAGCCGCCGTGTTGCACAGTAGCCGACTTTCTTCCATCGCCCTACAGCTGAACGTGCGCGCATCTAAACCAGACTACTTCATCTCGATCCGCAACTTGATTGAGACCATGGTTACGCGTTTAGAGGATGAGCAGGATGCCGAGACCAGCAAGAGTGACTGGTGCGCACAAACTCTGCAGGAAATGAAGGGAAACAAGGACACCGCAGATACGGATCATCAAGCTGCGGTAACGCTGGTGAAAGACACGCAAGCTGAGCTTGTGAGGTTGAATTTATGGCTTTTGGAGTATCACAAACAGCTTTTTTTGGATCGATGATAGGAACTAATAGATCTAAATTTTCTAAAACGTACTAGACATAGACTTCAAATACAGGAGTCTTTTGAGCCATAGAATCGTTTCAGTAGATTTTCCGCTTTCATTTTCCGAGGAGCTTAGATCCGAGCAGAAAACACTGGCCGACTTGAAGGCGGACTTGTCGGAGCTGGAAAAACTCATGGCCGAAAAAGATGCTTACTACAAGGCTCTCCTTGAGGAGAAGGTTGCAGGCGAGGCTGCTCTCCAAGAGGCTATTGGATTTTTGCAAGAAATCTACGGTGAGACTGGTGGATCTGGCGACTTCAACTCCCAGCGCACCACCAGTGGCGGCAGTGTCATCAAGCTGTTGCAGAATTTGGAGGCCGACTACGGATGGGCAGCAGATCAGGCGAAGATGGAGGTATTTTAGATTTTTAGGAAATTTAGAATCTGTATTTTCGAGTTTAGTGAGCAACCTGATGTAGGAAAAGTGCTGTATACTTCCTTTTCTCTTTTGTTTTTTATGCACATAATAATCTTCATTCTTTCAACTACACGAATCTCCATTCTTTCAGACCGGCTGCATTGCCGCGAGTAGTTTCGCTGACCGCAAGGGTGAGACCATCGGTTGCGATGGTGTCATCGTCAACGAGGAGTCTGCCCAATACGAGTCCGAGCAGTACAAGAACCAGGAGCGCAAGATCACTCTCGAAACCGACATTGGAGTGTCCGCGAAGGAAATCCAGAAGCTAGAGATCGGAATTGATACCGAAACTGTCAACCTCGAGAAGTTTCAGAAGGAGATGGAGACCAAAAACGGAGCCCTGGAGACGGCCAAGGAGATCCTGAAGGCTCGTCAAGAGGCGTGTGTCAATGCCGGAGACCAGTTCGAGGCAAGAAAAAAACGCCGTGAAGAGGAAATTGCAGCTCTGAAGGACGCTTTGGGCGTTTTGGAGACGCACTCAAAGGACAGTGAGGAGAATGACATGGGCGCACTCGGATTCCTGCAGAGAGGCATCTCCGCTTGAGGACAGGAAGGTAAAATTTAGATTTTTGAAAAGGCTGAATCACGTTAAAGAGCTTTGTCGAAAGAAGACCTTGGAACTATTTCCATTTACCTTCTTTATCCTGAAAAAATCGTGATCTAAACACTGCTTCAAGGTTTTTAGATTGCGGAGGCGGAGCTGGTCCGAGCGACACTTCTTCAAACCAGCGTATTCGTTATCACTCGCACGAAATACAGGTGAAAGGTTGCGGTAACGCTCCGGACATCTGGGGGATGTGGACAGAAGTGAAAGTCTCCAAGTCAAAGTCTACATAGAAGAGATACATTTTCTGCACAGATGAAATGATGAGTTCATGCGATTGAGTTTAGTTTTAGTAGGATTACCAACGTTGAAATGTGACGTAATGTACTTTGACCTGTGATCTCGTTGACGTGCCGTATTATTTTTTGTTGACATTGACCCACATCATTCGTAGCGTTTGTTTAGATTTACATTTAGATTTTGTTGACATTCAATAACCATTTAGTTTTCATTAGACTTCACATGCACGAGATGCACCAGCACCTCACCTTTACTTTCAAGTACGTTTCAAAAGCAACTATCGTATGATTTTTTGTTGACATTGACCACTTGTTTTGTTCTCTGACGATCTGTTTTCCAATGACATCATATGTCGAACGAACCTGGATTCTTGGCTTTTGAAGAGATTATCATGTTTACACGACCGAACGAGATGCAGACATTCAGAAACTCATGCATGAGCTGACACAGGCATCCATGGGGACCGCGCAGAGTAACGTGGTGACTACTGCAGCTTTTGCCCAACCGCAGGGAAATGCAGCGATGGGACCTCTGTACCGACTCCGTGGCGGAATGCTACGTGAAAGCGAAAAGGTTTACAAGAACATATTCAATAGGGCTACTTTTTACATTTGTCAAAATAAGCAAAAAATCTAAATTACAACGACGACGACATCACATCCACATCAAAACGAGAAATAGTAGGGGAGACACGGATCCTACGTCTTCGAAATAATGCGGCGTGACGTGATTCGGCTACGCCATGCGGCGTTGGCCTTGGCCACCGGGCGCATTTGTGCCGGGCAGAACCCAGAGGTGACCGGCGCCATGGAGAGCACATCTCCGGATTTGGGTGAAGTCAGGACTATGCTCGAAGATATGCAGACCGGAATTCAGCAACTGCATGATGAAGACTCAGCGTTGTACGAGAAAGAAGCATGCCACTGCGAAGACGAGACGGAGAAGCTAGCTGTGCCAGGGGAAGGAATTATTCCGAAGGTACCAGTTACTCGCTAAAACACGATACATCATGTTATGACTAACGGTTATCCAATCTATGTCTCCAGCTCAAATAAGACCAGCACGAGTGACTATTCTAAAAAATCTAAATTTGGATTTCCCTCCTCTGCAGTCCAATGAAACTCTCTCGGCACCTAAAACACACTTTCAGGCGGTGACAGCCATCAATGAAGCTTCGCAGACGATCAAGGAGAAGACAGCCCTTCAGAAGGAGGAAGAGGAAGACTTGGCCACCAATACAGAGGACCTCGCGGCTGTCCGCAAGCTCGAGAAAGATCAGGCCACGGCCTGGGCTAAGCGAAAAGCAGAATTGGAAGCCAACATCGCTGAATCAACGCAAGCGGCCAATGCTTTGGCCGGCGCCTCGCAGAAGCTGCAGTCGGAAAAACATGCGACCATCCTCGAATTGGTGGAAAACATGATGACGGAGACAAAAGGTATCTATAATTTTTTTTCAGGTTCTTGGAATCGTATGGGACTGTTTGAGAATCTCTACCTTTAGATTGGTTGATTGTAGCTTTAGATTGCTTCAAATCCTTCATGTTAATTTTTTCGCAACAAGAAATGAAGCACCTTGATTAGTGGTCCACTACCTCATCTTCCACCACCTCATCTCACCATCCAGCCACCCTGAAGGGGTACAACACCGAGAAGAGCACTGAGCAGTTGTCTCGCGACGACCAGAACTCGGCTAACCTGAAGACCGAGGCCGATGAGAAGGAGTCTATCCGCCTTGGAGAGGAGTCCATCGCTGACTGCAAAGAGAAGATCGGTGCAGCAAAGACCAAGTTGCTCGACAACGAGTCGGATTTGAAGTTATGGAACTGGATAAATTTTCGTGTAGGACTTTTTTAGAGCCCTGCCACCTAGCCTTCCTCATCCACCAGATTGTTTGCTATGATCAAAGTCCTAATTATGCTCGTCGGCTGTGGGAAGACATGTGTGACCTGAAGTACTGTAGCTCTTTTCTTCTAATACCCGAAGCCCACAAGCAGCTGACCGATTTGACCTCCTTTTGCGAGGCCCAGGCCGCGGACTGGGATACCGTTAGCGCGGAACGCAAGAAGGACTTCGGTGTCCTTGAGACCGCTATTAACGTCTTGACCTGTGGCAAGGAGAGCTGTGGTCGCAGTGCTGCAGAAAGCACTGGCAAGGCTCCAGCAAGCAGCTTCTTGCAGCGCATGATGGCTTCGAAGAATTATGGCGTTGGATATACATTTAATAGATTTTCTCTTTCACTAACAGCAGGCTCGTCAACCACTACATCTACACGGGTCTTAATAGATTTTCTCTTTCACTAACAGCAGGCTCCACCACTACATCTACACTGATGAATCGTGTCACCCTCTAATCTGCATCCTCCTCCCTCGTCCGCGCGAAGAAGACCCTGCAGCAATCTTCCGCTGCGCAGCGCAACGCCCTTCGGTCCTTGATTCGCTTTGGCGAGAAGAACGGCGTCACAGACCTCCTTCAGTTCAAGAGTTTGCTGAAGGAGAAGAAAGACCCGCTGCTGGGTGCCAAGAACCTGTTGCGAAAGCTGATCGAGAAGCTAACCACGGAGATGGCGTTGGACCAGGGCGAAATGAACAAGTGCGCGACCCAGCTCGCCGACTGCACGACCAAGCGTGACTTCGCTTTGGCGGAAGTCTCGAAGGTAGTACACAACTTGTACTCAGAAGATTGTGAGAGTTTGAGGAGACTTGCTTTGAGATCAGCTTTGAGATCATGTCGCTTGAAGATGACACACATTTAAGAGATAGATCAATGGGACGTGGACGAGTGCAACTCTATGTCATTTTGAAACCTTTCGCAACGGCTGATCGCCTTTCTACATCAACCTAACCATCATCTCTCTCCAGTTGAAAGTCGAGGCTGAGGAGCTCGGAGCCAGCGTTGAGGAGGACAAGAAGGAATTTGCCTCGAAGGCCGTCGAATTCAAGGAGAACCAGGATGACGCGAATGAGAAGACCGAGGTCGTTATCCCTGAAATGGAAGAGGCCTACGACACTGAGAAAGTGGAATTGACGAAGCAAAAGACCATGTTGCACCAAGCTGTCGTGATCTTGAGGAAGCATTTTGGTATTTCGAAAGTGTCTAGTCTTGGAATTGATTTAGATGATTTTTTGGAGTTGAAATCAACCGAGGACGTAGAGGGTATCTTTCTTCACCGAACCGACAACTACAGGCGTCGAAGAAAACGATATGCGTGCTGACGCCCAGGACAGCGCTTCTGGCCTCACTGAGGGTGTCACGGAACAGTCCACCAGCGCTGGACGCAAGTTGGGCGCTCGTGGCCAAACGCAGTCCATGGGCCAATCCGTTGTGCACATGATCAACGACTTCCTGGAGCAGCGCACTGCAGAACTCAAGTCCCTTCGCGAGCGCCACATTGCAGCACTTGCAGGTGAGCGCAAGCTGAAGCAGGACTTGTCCGCGACCGCAGGGGGAGCGAAAAGTCGCGCAGCATATTTGAAGGCAACCATTGCAAAGGAGACCGCAGCTTTTGCTGCTAAGATCGAAGAACTGCAAGCGCGATTGGATGCAGCGGGAATTAACGGAAGGTAAGCTAAACTTACTTGCTAAAGATTTGTGATCATTTAGATTTTGTCCCAAAACAGGTTTTTTCTGCCGGATGCTGTTATCGTTGTCAATCCGCAAACAACTGGACGTTCCCTTGCTACAACTATGTTGACTCAAGCAAACTTCTTTCACCTCCCAGGTGTGTGCAAAAGTTGGAGCCCTGTGGTGTTCAGACAGATATGCGCGCTAAGAGGGAGGCAGAGATGCAGGCCCTGAAGGATGCGTGGGATAAGCTGGCAGAGGGCACGGAAGCCGTCCGCCCGGCCACTTGGGAGTAGATGTTTCCTTGTTGAATGTTACCCATGTGTTTGCACAGAAGTAGATACAGACAAAAATGTGAGTGAAGAAGATACAATCTTGGTGAGCGAGTATTATACACCCATTTTAGATAAACAATAGGATTTTCCCATGTGTCATAGTCATACCTCATCTTGAAGTTGAACATGCACTTTTAGATATTTTAGATTTTTCTTTTCCGGCCATCCAGGAAACCATTCCCATGGCTTCACAAGTCTTTGTTTCGGAATAGACTCTTGACAGACAGTGACAGAGACATGGACAGACCGCTGCGACAGTGGCACTTTAGTGTAAGCAGGATCTGCAGAGCTTGCATCTTCGGAGCGCTTGCTCTCACTTGACTCAGGAGACCGCCTTCGCGTGGGTATTTTCCTGAAGGGAAAAGTACACACTCGGAACATGTTTTTCCAGATCCGACGTCAGCATGAACTACGGTCCAATAGCATCAAGGTCGACAAAATCTGTTGCCCTGAAGTCTGTCCTTTTGGATCTGTTGAGACGCTTTTGTGGTAGGAAAACGTGTGTGCTTCAACGGTTTAGAGACGATTCTTGGGCATTGGAAATGCTCAGTCATACTGTCCGGAGAGGAGTCAGTGCTCGCAGTTCTTAATTTTTATGCAGATTCTGTGCTGGTGCGTCAATATGCCGTTGCCGCAAAGACGTTTTTCTTTTTGTTTTGATGTTCTGTCCCAAGAAATGATCTGTCCTTGAATCAAGATTCTCTGTCTGCCTTTTGTTTTGTTTGTTTTACCCCAGGTTCAAACGGTTTTACGTACCCACGCCTAGTTCGATCTAGTTTGTCGTACATTTAAGCATTCAAGGATACTCAAACTCATAAGGATACTCACTCTTCGTCTTCAAGAAGATTTTTAATCGTAGCAAGATGGTTCGAGCACGTGACGGTCCTGGGACGCCTTCATTGGTCGATGTCCAGCGACGAGTGAAGAAATGTAGTCCCAGCGTGCTTCGTGCGATAGGAGAACTTCTGGATGAAACGGAGCAATCGTCTGGGTACCACTCATGGTCTACAAGCAATCAACCAGCAACTGCGAATCAGTTTTCAACACCGGTCCGAGGTGGACGAAATGGTTATGGGAGGGCTTCGTTACAAAGATCAACCTTGCTGCCTACCTACCGCGACGTCCTCTCCACGATATACTAGAAATCACACAGCCAACACAGGATAAGATTCTTTGTTTGGAAGAAAACATTACTACCCGATTTGAAGTTCCTTGTTTTTGCAGTATCTACAATCTGTAAGATTACAAAGAGCCTAGACCTAGTAGAAGAGCCTATCTTTGTAACGAAGCCCTCCCATAACCATTTCGTCCTTCTATGGGAGGGCTTCGTTACAAAGATCAACCTTGCTAGTGTCATTGTTGACAAGTGACCAGTTGGATTGAAGGAAAAGAATCAGAAGTAAGTACCTGATATTTATTGTTTCCTACCCGCGAAGGGAAATGTCGATGTGATTATTTCTGAAGAAAGTTCACACGACTCGCCAGATTTCAGGTTCACCGCGCTAACCAAAGCACCACGCACCCGCCACAGGGTCGCCCCGTAGACGGAGACTAAAAGAGCGAGTAGTTCCGATTGCTCAAGGCTCACCACCTCCACGTCCAGCTACCGCGCGATCCTACACAGCAGGCTCACCGCGTGTGATCAATTTATGGAACGAATGCTAGCGTCTGCTGCACTTCAACTTTCGTTCTCATGAAATGTGCGCCCACAGAAATAGACTCGTCTATATTCGTCCACCTCTTGGGAGAAGGACAATACTAGTACTCTTGTGCTCAAGTACTACTAGCATGCTCATGCTCTTTTGGATGACGAAAATCTTCTCTAACCGCTGGTCTCCCTACGGACCGTGATGGCATCGATGCGCAAATCGAGAAAGCGTTTGCCTTCTTTGATAAGGACCGTAGCGGAACGATTGAGAAGTCTGAGATCAAAGCTGTGATCCGTGAGGTCGCTTTGGATATTCCCACACAGGATCTCTTACATCTCCTCGAAGCAATTCCCGATGGCCACCAACTCGATTTCCATGAGTTCAAGGCGCTGGTATTATGGAGGGATTCGTTGAAGATCAAGATTTTCATTTGTACTTTCGGATTAGCTTTTTGATTCGAGAACTACAAGCAGAACTAGATGCATAAGCATGTCATAGACCAAGAGGTTAAGTACTTGCGTCTCTCTCTCCCACCTTCAGGTAAAAAGCAGTTTCGGTTGCCTCCGTGACGTAGTCGAAAGCACGCTGAATCACATGCGACAAACGGTGGTTCGCGCGAAGGCGCTCGCGGTAGAGAGCCACGGACGGGAATCGTTGCATACGCAGTTATGATATTTAGTGTCCATCTCTCTCAGCATCAAGTCCTAACCGATCTGGTTTCACCTGTGGTGCTATCTACCGTGTAGTTTTTACCAGGGTTTCAAGATTTGATGGAGATGGAGTCACTCTACTTCCCCCTCTAACAACCATGACGAATCTTTTCAATATGCAGCATCATTACCGAGCCATCTCTGCTGCTCAAGCTTCAGTCGATAGTTGGCACTACAGTGCCAATTCGAAATGCTACCACAGTCTCATCGCTTTGATTATGAACCGCACCATACTTTTTCATTTGTGTCAAAGGAAGCTTTGATTTTCAAGCATATAGCAAGAGATCATCGTCCACCTGCATGTTGACCGCCAGCATTTCCTTGACTGCATCTTCCACCTTTTCTCGTCTAATCTAAAGGGAGTCAACTCCCAGAGAAAGAGGACAGGGAGGATGCTTCCCATGGAGCGCATGCATCTGATTTTGACAGGTGGCATCAATCCCCTATCGACCAGCACGTACGCAGAGCATGGATTTGGATCCGATGGAGACCACGATGTGCGTTCACCATCGCCTCTGAAACTCAGTAAAAACGTGAAATTCATCAACGGTGCAGCAAGTAGGCCGATGACGGCGCCAGGTGTTGGCGTGGGGGGAGGTCGTGGCGGGGTTGGTGTGCGTCCCATTAGTGCTCAGCCGATGAAGGCGGGAGATGAAAGACAGGAACAGCCGCAGGGAATTCATAATCACTCTTGTGGAGTCGATCATGCAGGCGGAGGTTGCTCGAATAATACGTTTTTTTAAGGCGACAAATGGGATCATGTTGATGGAGTTGTATTTTGATTTATTGTTGATCGAGTTGAATCCATTGCGATTTCCATATTTTTCCGTTACTAGTCTATCTTACACTTACACTTTCTCTCTCTAATTTCCTGCACAAACTACATCAACAGCTACTGCTTCACCAGTGAAGACGCTATTGACTGCGGGTTCTGATGACGTACGCTGTGAGGATCTTTTGGACTTCGAGGAACAGAGAGCTGCCACGAAAACCTCAACGTCGATATCAAATAGCCAAGGTGGACATGTTATGCATCAATTTGAATGGTTTTTTTTTGGAAGTAGGATGACAGGATTCTGTTCAATGGGAACCCGTTACTACAACTAACAATGCAATAGGACACCGTTACTTTTTGGAATTAAAATCATGTATTCCGTTCAATGAACCCCTACCCGGCTATATGATAATGAATTGGAAATAGTCTTCCAGGTGGACTACAACAGGAGATGGATCATGAGACCCTTTTTCCCATGGACATTTCTGTCTCTGATGTTGATCTTCTAACGGCTCGAGCACCTCTATCAAACCGAGACAGCGTCGATCTTCGTTGCTAGGCAATCAGGAAGTGCATGACAAGAAAAACGACTTCGTGTCGCAGCAACTGCAAAAATTGGGCGTCGAAAAGCCGCTTGGTGCTACTCCACGTCGTAACAGCATCGAACGTCGAGCATCGTGTGAGTATCACTCTTATGGAGCAGGTGAAAGACACTACACTTGACATTCGTACTTCTTGTCACTGTCTACACATTTAACTAAGTACTTAAGAAAAATGGTGGTGATGGTACAACATGATGCATGAAGACCAAGTTCCATTTATAACACGATCATGATAAGACAAAGAGATGTTGTCCATTATTATTTCCTACTCCTTCTGTTGTTCCTTCTAAGCCAAAGGCCTTCCCTGTGGTGTCCGAGACTCAGACACACCTGGAACCGAATTGCCTAATGCTTCTCCGCGCCGTGCGTCTCTGGTGCAGCGTCGCGCCTCTGTAGAGATGAATCCAGCGATGGATTTCTCTTCTCCTGCGCCCGTTGTCCGACGACGGAGCTCGATTACGTAATTTGCTCGAAGCACAGTGAAGATCTCGTATGCTCCACATAGAAGAAGATCGCGACGGAGTTATCATACTCATACTCTACATAGAAGAAGATCGCGATGGAGTTTGTGATAGTGTAATCACTCATACTCAACATAGAAGGAGATCGCGATGGAGATAGTGTAATCCTTGTTGTAGGTATCCATGTAAAATATTTTTGCAGAAGAGTCTTTGGGTGCTCGTCATATAGCAACATGAAAATTTTGAATGGGAATAAAGTGAGATTGTACAGACATCACGCATTTGATACTCGTCGTCTTCACCGACGCGGAAAAATCCAGTAATTGTGATTTCAATGTACCTGTACCGTTGGACCAGAAGTTGTGAAAAAAGTATGTTAGTATTGATCGTAACCGTAATTTTGGTTTAGTTACCTTCGAAATCCGATTTTGATAGATTATACGACAGACGCATAGACGTAGAAGTAGAACGAAAAAATCCATAATGCAGATTGACGTCACAAACACAAAGATTACAACAGGTATCGGAGATCTTGAAACATCACTGAACAAGCGGCAGGATCGAAAAGAATAAGATCAACAATTAAGCGTCGAGCAAGATCATAAATGAAAAGAAATAATGGCATCATCATCGGTGTATTGTTTGGGTGCCATAATCAAACGTTCAGGATCAACGATCATGAAGACGGATCTTTGTTTCCTCTCGACTCTAATCAGATTGTCAGAAAGAGAAAAGTGGAAGATCAAACTAGATAAAAGCAAAAATGGACCGTAATTATAAGCCGCTGCACCGTTTTATTTTTATGACACGAACGTCAACCAAGGTACAATTCGAATTTCAATTTTCGAGCATCAACATGAAAACTACTGGATCCATTTTTTTCCTCATATGCATTCAGTTCCAGGTTTTTGTCCGCGCGCGTTTTGGTCATTCTTTTACGATTGATAGGAATCTAGAACATGAGATGATGCAGAAAACTAGTTCATCAGAACATGAGTATGAGATGAGTGGTCCTCGTTTCATCATTGATGTGGTTGTTCGAGGAAAAAAGGAGAAGGAACTCGATGGCCCCTGCTCCTGCCGCTTTGAGTCATAATTCCGAGGATCATATGCAGGAGGCTGATCAAGTAGATCTTGACGACCGAGGATACGAGCGACCGTTCTCCTTGCTAAGAGCGAACATTCCACAAGAACAGCTACCCCCCGCTAAGAGCGAGACAAATAGCGCGAAGGAACTTGATGGCTCCTTGCCTGCGCCAGCCGCAACTTGTTTGAAGATGGAGCAACAAGCAGATCAAATCTGGTTCCAAGAACAACAGCACAACAAGCATTTTCCATTAGTACAACAACAAGAGGACAGCACCCGAACATCGAAGCAGGAGAGTCCTTTAGTGTCGGACGAAAGTGCGGTCGAGCAAGAAAGCGGAGGCTTCAGATGTGTCACGAGCAGGAGAGAGCAATTCATTTCGTCATCGCCATATACTCTCAATACAACTGGGTCTCCATCGGCGCAGGGAGGCGTTTTTTCACTGACATCCACGTCAAACAACAACTACGCTTCTCGACCGGGGAACAGTATTAACCTTGCCGGAACCTCCAACTACCACTTTGGAGTGAGCGCTACCTCTACATCTTCATCTTCCTCATCTTCTCACCGACGAGACAATTTTTACAGTACGCCAAGTCCAAACATTGTTTTGATAGACGACGACGCTGACTTCTCCACAGGAGGAGCACTAGGCAAGCAGCAGAGCAGCACTTCGAATGAAGCACGTGATCATGGAAATAATAATGGTACGATGATATTACCTGAGGACAACATCAGAGCTAGAAGGAACTACGACAACACGAACACGACGAACACCCACACGGACACAGCGTACACGACCTCCTCCCGAAGTAGGGCTAGGGTTTTTAAGAATAAGATGCTTGTTGAAGACACTGAAGAAGACTATCACCGTACTAGATCTCGCTTGGAGCATCGGAAAACTCCGGCATCAAGTAGAGCCAGCAGTGCAAGACCAAGACCGGGGAGAGGTAGGTACTATGAAGAAGAAGAACATCAACATATTAGAGAACGTCACGACCATAGTAGGAGTCGTCGAGGAGAAACAAGAAGAACGAGAAGGCGCGGTCGGTACGTTGACTATGAGCATGAAGACAACGATCTCGATCATGATATGCCGATGAGAATCAGAAGGTCTTCTCCCACGCCCTCACCTTCCAATAGAACCATGGCCAGCACGACCAGGACAAAGAAGATACTGACGAAAGGCCTCCACTTTATGGAGGACGATCAGCTAGTGTCAGATCTAGTAGACCTAGACCGGGACCGTGACTATACAGGAGCACCTAGGACATCAGAGAAAATGGACATGGAGAGAGCAAATCACGTTGAAGCAGCTCCAACGTCGTCGAGCAGTCCCACTGAACCAACTAAAGCGTGCCTTCAACGTCCCGCAAAGAAGCGTGTGTGGCTTTTTTCAGCGTTGTTTGTGGCATTGACGGTTATTCTGGCGATCGCTTTCAATATAGAATTTTCTCCCCCGACTGCGACCGACCCGCAGTCATATGAGGAACGGCAGCAGAGTGCACCTACAAATGCAAGTGGTGTCTCCACTTCTACCACCTCTTTCCCCGCACATGCGTCTTCGAACGATAATGAGAATGCAGCACGACAGGAGCCGGCTTCTCGTGGAGCGACCCTTAATACTGCAGGAGCCACGACAGGTCTTCAAGCTTCGAGCATAGCAACAAGCAAGAATCGTCGTTCCAATGCCGGTCATCAAAAGCAAAATGTTCAAGGCGTGTTTCATCCCAGAGCAAGGAATCTAGGAGCAGCTTCAACTACGAAAGATCCGGATCAATCTTCATCCAAGAAAAATGGCGATCCTCATCAAGTTGACAACGACTTCTATCACCGACCACAAGTTGTTGAAGATAACGACAATCCAAGTGCAAGAAGTGTAGACGGCAGGAGACCACGACCTTCCAATGGTGACCATTATGACCAAGGCAGCGCCCCCAGTGGCCTTGATGCAACACTTGACGATGAGGAGGAAGACCTCTATATTTCTGTTAAGGATCGAGAAAATGCGCAGAAATGGAACGAAAGTCGTAGTCGGATCGCCCAATCTGACAGACTAAACGAAGACAGGCTGAACCGTATCGTTGCTGCTGCGCTACCTCCGAGACGCACATGAAGATGAAGGGATCGTTGAAGACCCACCCACGAAGATAGCCCCAGCCATATAATTACCTAATCCTAAACTTCTGCCTCGAAAAATGAGCCTCTGCCTCCCGACCCAAACCCACGCCTACTCCATTGCCCTCAGGTTTATGCGATTGGAAACCTTCACCCTTGCTCCATATTTTTGTTGTCTAGTGCCTGCAAGGTGGATCTACGCATCCGTCTTCGCGCTTACGAAAAACTTTACATGGTTCTCTTCGGTGATGAACTACATGTTGAACATATCTTACTTGTCTTTGTCTTAGAGTTAGACGCCCGAGCGGGATTCTTTTTTCAAGACATATTGTTTTATACGGTGCCAGGCACGCGGACGCGCATTGGCTTCGACATTGCTATTGTGATGTGCGTTGGTTCGAGTAATATTAAAGCTTCCAACAAAGTGTTCGGATGTCTCTTCGTATGAGATAGCAGGCGCTTTTTATGGTTACGCAACAGCCCTATATCAAAGAATGTTGATTTGATATTTGATTACGCAACAGTCCTATATCAAAGAATGTTGATTTGATGAATGTCCCTGGAGAATACGAAAAGAAGCATTTCAACAGAAGAATTTCGTCTGCAAGATCTGAACCCCGATGAACTCAGCACCATTTCAACAGAAGAAGGTCGTCTGTAAGATATGATGAGCTCATCTTCCAATTCTACCTCATGAATGTTAATCTTAATGACCTCTCTGCAGAAGAACGCACTCCTGCGGCCCGTTTTCTTGATGTGCCTTTAAGTTGAACCGGCAACCATCTCGCCTATTTTTCTAAGAGGGAATTATAGTCAAAAGGTCTACTAAATGGAATGTATCTGAGATCATAGCTATTTTTCCAGTTCTATATTACGTATCTGAGAAATTGAAATATATTGTTGACCTGGCCATATCTTCCAGTTCTACCTCATGAATGTTTATGTTTTCGGCACATGAAGCTTGATGCCTACCTACTGCGACGTCCTCTCTACGATATACTAGAAATCACACAGCCAACACAGGATTCTTTGTTTGGAAGAAAACATTACTACCCGATTTGAAGTTGTTTTTGCAGTATCTACAATCTGTAAGATCATTACAAAGAACTTAGACCTAGTAGAAGAGCCTATCTGTAACTGTAGGCTGCCACAAGAATAGAATAGTTATATGAATAATAAGTGAAGAAAAAGAATTGTAACAATAACTGAACAACAAGATGAAGTTTTTTTGCAGCACTTCTTTGGTCCTCGTTTCTCTCAACATCGGGTGCTTCCAGACCTTGAGGCATGTTTTCGCCGCCGCCTCTTCTCGTGGAGATGGTGCTGGTGGTGATGGTGATCGCATGGTCGTGGATGATGAGGCCCCCTTGGATGCGGGATCGGGATCAAACGATGAACCACTACCAGATGGACAAGAAGAAATAAAAGAAGAAGACAATGATCATCGAGTACAGGTGGAGCAGATGCAAAGGAAGGAACCTGCTTTGCGTTTTTCAACTACATGGAGGGGTGACCTCCAAGACATAATAGAGAATTTCGACAATGCATCCTACGTTTCCGCCCTACCGATGAAAAGCCTTAATCACATCGACATGGAGGGCCTTCGCCAGGCTCTTGATGATGTTATGACAAAAGTTTGACAGAAGTTTCTTTATGACAATATCTGACGAGCCACTATAAACGAAGTCCACGACACCTATACCTGTATATATAAATTTATGGGCAAGAAGGAATAGACATAAACGGAAGCCGCGCTCTAACCTCTCTTTGCTTTCTTTGGCGATCGAAAATCGAAAACGCGCACTGCCTCAAAAGTCGGGCCCAGAAAAGGCCTTTTTAGGGAAGACGCGAAGAAAAGCTGACCCTGACGAGCATGAGGTGGATAAGAAGCTGGAGGAGGAGACGAAACAGAAAGAGCTGGAACAAGAAGAGCGAAAGAAGTTGCAACGGCAGCTAGAAGAGATCCGAGTCGAGAAGCACGAAAAGTATCAGGAGTGGCTGGAACATCACCCAAACGCGTTACAGCAAGGAGGGGAGAAAAAGAACGACGCCCCATCGACAAGTGGTACTTGTTACGATGGAAGTGAGGAACAATTGACTTCGACATCAAATGGGAAGCGAAAGGCAGAGACTCGTCAAGCTCAATCTGGCTCCAGTGACCACCAAGAAGATACGTGGCCTCATTGGACAAAGCTAACCCCTGACGGGCAGAGGCAGAAGCAAAAGGACGTAGATCCACTTGATGGGAGCTGGGATTTGCTTGCCTCTGAGTGGCTCTTCTTCGAGAAATTCAGTATCGATTTTTGTTTTTGACTTGGTGTTAATAGAGAAGCACTTGATGATCTTGCCAAAACGTAGATGATGATGAAGTTGTATAATTTTCCATTTTTCGTCCATGATGATGATAGACAGGGGTCTGAATTGTTCTGGTATTTGGTAACCTGATTTTGATCATAAGGACAAAAGGAAGAGAATCCTTGTGATCCAAATCAGGTTACCAAATACCAGAACCATACGAGGCCAGAGTGATTAGTGAAGTCAATCATGTGCTGGGCACTTCCATGTCCTACGCATAGTAAACTTAATGCTTCTACAGGTCGTTCCAGTAGCTCGTATGCGCTCGAACTCTTTAATGGAGAACAAGTGAAAAAGCGTCCCCTCGAGCCAGACGCGACTCGGTCCCTCCACCACCTTGGGTCCAATGCTGCTTCGCTTTCCCTCGTCAACGCTCTGCTGAACCACGAGATTTACTACCCGAAATTGAGGGCATTGATTAAGAGGGAGTTTCGGAATTCTCGGGTTCCTACATTCTTGGTCTATGGGCATCCGAACATTCCTGGATGCGCAGCAAACGGGACGAATCACGAGAAGGGATTGCTCATTGAACTGGCGTTATGACACCTTCTTGAAACGTTTCAATCAAGTAAATATACATCATCTTCGTCTTCCTCTTCGTCTTCCTCTTCCTCTTCCTCTTCGTCTTCCTCTTGTTCGTCTTCCTCTTCGTCGTCATCAGAGCTGGCAGATGTTCAGGATCGTCCATCATCACAGCCGGTAGATGTGGAGGATCTTCTTCTGCGGTTCGTCAGCCACGTCCTAGGTACTTTGTAGTAAGTGTTCACTGACTTCTCTTCTAATCAAAGCACTAAAGGGACGCAGGCTCGCCACCGTAGAGGAGTTTCTGTCTCTTCTTCTGCACGAGCTGGTACACAATTTCTACGGCCATGGAGAGGGTGCGAGAAACGAAGAAAATTTTATGAAGCGATCATGAACTTGTTCTACTTTGCTTGGATATTTTCTAGCAGTCTATCATTGGCTAGCATACCAACCCCTAGACTATACGATGACAAATATTGTTCTTCTTGATCTTGTAGGTGTAGCTCTAGGTGTTGATGTAAATTTGACGCCGTTCTTCTGGCAGTCTGCACTGATCTTTGTGCGAGATCTACTGCATTTCATTTAAAAGTAGCACACCAAGACTGAGTACTAGGACACTAGTGCTTGGACTTGGTTGAAAAAAGACTCAGTAATAGTGGAGTTATCGCTGAATGTCGTTTGGTCGTCCGATACACTCCTGGTCTTATTTGTCTAGTTATCTGCAGAGAGAAGACCCACAGAGAAGATCTATTATATAGCAGAGACAGGCTTCCGTCTTCCGAAGCCTGGCTTCGGCCGCCTTTGAAGAGAAGACCTCCAGGGCAGTTGGACGGGCTAGCGGCGCCTAGAATAGACGGATCCTAGCATAAACATGGCCACTAGGTATTTGCCTCGCATAACGATAACGTGGCCCCTGGTCTTAATATTTGTCTGATCTATTAAGTTTAAGTATATAGAGACCACACTGCCTCCCCATCCTGTTCTTGTTCTAAGATCCTGAACTTTTGGATGACCTTTGGGGAATGGAAAACGGAGGTTATGGGAGCCACTACAGACGAGGACGTCTCGGACGCACTTCGTAGTTTGGAAAGCGAGTTCCCAAACGACGACCACGACATCCGTGAGAAATATGATCCTTCCGCAGATGAGTGGGACACGTCTAAAAAAAGCTCGACAAGCAACGTTCATTACCCTGGTGATGACCGACATGGACCCGGTGACTACTTTGCCTACAGTTCTTCTTTCGGCAGAGGACCGCCACCGCCTCCGGCTGGAGGAGCGGTTCGGATCGGGGGACGAAGGGCAAGAGGTCCTGGGCTTGCATAAAGAGTTGAAAAGAGAAGGTGAAACGCGAAGTTGAAACGTGCTGTTGATGTTGAATCCATCGCGCAGTTAAAACGTGATGAAGGTGAAGGAAATGATGCTTTGACGACTGCGTTCTCTATCGGAGCTGGAGCACTACTTGTTCTACAAACTATAACTTTTTTACAAGACTGGGAGGGACAGCGATATAATCGAGACGAGACTCATTCTCGAAAAGCATTTAAATTTATTTGGATTGGAGTTAAAATTTCGATGAGCATCAGGGTGGGAAGTAGGGGAACATGGTGAAGCAAGAAGGGAGTGGCATACAGCGCAGCGTCATTATGCATCTGAATTTTGACGCAGACGCACTTGATTTTTTTCGAATCACCCCCACTGACACTCAACTTGCTTCTATATGTGTACTTACGTTTCCTTCATGAGCAATATTAAATTTTTTGTGTTGTTCTCCTGTACAGTCAACAGTATCATGATGTTAACCATGACGTTAAACGCCTATAAGGCCATAGAAGCGACTGTTACAAACCCCGATCATAACCTCAAAAACGTTGTATTGTTGTCGAGGAACTACATCCGAGATGGTGCACATATTGTTTTATCATCTCGTACTCTCACGAAATACAGGACGAAAGTCAATGTCAACATATTGGCGTTTACGAGAACAATATCAGCATTCTTGTGTCTGCGGAAAGCAAAAGACTTGTCGTGGTACCATAAGGAGACCCAGGACGCGGAAACATGTTGCTGTATAACTGTAAGATGCCAAGGCGTATCAGAAATAACGGGCATCGGTTTCATCAGACGACAACTACAACTGCTCAGTAAGTATGCACTCCGACCGTCGTCATAATCACTTCGGATTCGGTGGATCGTCTTGTGAAACAACCGGAGAGAAAAAAGACCTGGGAGGGACCCCTGCCCCACGCCCACTCTGGCTTTTACTCATAGATACGCTAATAAAAAAATCTCGGTCTTCCTAAGTAATGTTTTATTTCTCCAGGTACCACAAGCACAAAGTGGATGCCCGGATTTGAAAAAAGAATAGGATACGGTTACTACATTTACATAGTTCCAGTTCATTGACGCAAGCACTGGATCTTCGTCCTTGTTCTAGCATTGGAAGCTAGAAGGTCTTGAATAATAATCATAAGTGAATGCGTCAGCTTTACTGGTAAAGGAAGTAGTGGAGCACATCCAAAATTATGGCTCCGAAGCAGCAGAACGCGAAGGCCTTGAAGGAGGCCGCGAAGGACCCAACCCCAGCAGATAATGTTGAGGGATTTTCAGTTATGCACTTGTTCTTGGACTGGACAGACATCGAATAAGCGTTCTCAGATGAACTACAAGTAAGTTCCTATGCACCTGATGATAGGATACAGCCGCTCGTAGATTTTATCACACTGATCTTTTCTTTCCAGACTCCTGCTTCTGTCAAGTAGATGCAAGTGCAACAATGTCCGACTGACAGAGTCATCACCGCTCGTAGATTTTATCACAGTGATATTTTCTAGTCTCTAGTCTAATCTGAAACAACACGGTGTTTCCATGGCTGAGCTGAAGGAATTCAAGGAGCTTTTCAACCTGATCGATTCCGACGGATCCGGTGCCATTAGCAAAGAAGAATTGGGCAACCTCGTTCGAATCCTCGGCATCAAAGTCAGCAGCACAGAACTCCAGTTGATCCTGAACGAGATCGGGAGTTCATCCGATGATGGAGAGATCGAGTTCGATGATTTCGTGTCTATCATGACATGCAAGATCAGTGCGGACTACAGCCAAAAGGAGATTAAAAACTCGTTCAAGAGGTTCGCGAAACAAGACGTACTGTTCATTTTTCAGATTATTTTATGGATGTCGATGTTTTGTGCTTGTGGAGTTCTTTTTCTGAGTTGAAATATACTATCTAAGTCTCATGTTGTATAATTTGTATGACGAGGTAGCTGTAGAAGTAGGAATCATCAGTCACAGTCAGGAGGAAATTTACGTTCCTCCTCATGCTCATCTCTCTATCTTAGATGATTCTTCATCACCTACAATTACAACACTACAACAGGCTGGCGCACCAGAGGGCTGCATTAGGATACAGGACTTGTTGGAGGGCTTGCGAAAATACAGTGATGTACCACCGGACGCGAAGGCGAATCTGGTGGATATCATAAATCGACTACAGGTCAACGATAATTACTTCGACTACGCGAGTTACGTTGATATGATGATGAAGTAGGTTGATATGATGGTGAAGTAGGAGTGGAACAGCAGGATCGTTGTATCAACGTCGACGCGACGAGGAACAAGATCGTGTTAGGATCGTGTCCCATTGATTTTGATGAAGAGCAACGAGTGCAGATAATTAGCTTTCTTGGAGCTCATCAACCTCAAGCTCAAGTAGCTTGAGAAGAAAAATGGATGATTCGGAATTGATGAGGAGCAGACTACGAGGACTAGGCGCAACGCCAAGCTATGTCAATTTCAATAATTGAATTGATACTAGGCACGAATTCGAAATCGAGTCGTCCCTTTAATATCATCATAGATATTTCGACCAATTCATCATCATATTCCGATGAATCTCCATTCCATCTAGTACTCGTACTGACCGGTTCAACCACCACTTCTAGGCGTCTTCCTCAGCAGCTCGGTTTGGTCATCTTCTGTAGCCATGATCTAGAATCTGTGATGGTTTCGGTGCACTTCAAGAAGGTCACAATCTGTCCACTTATTGTAATCTGTCTAGCTCCTGTTAATTCCCGCACCCAATCAATCACAATCTCGGAGGCTCCAGATACTTTCGAATTGCGATTACCTATGTGAAAGTAAAGCAGCAATATGTAGTAAGACAAGGGCATGGGTGAACGAAATTCTATCGGACATAGGTAAAGGACCTTCGGGTAGAGGTTTGATACTATTAAAGGCAAAGTCATACTACAGAGCACCTACAGCAGAACCAGAAGCTGCTGTGCAAAAGGTCATCATCACAAAAAAGAGGGTGGGACACGATCATTACAAACATGACTGGTGAATCATGACGTTATCATCAGCAGGAGCAGATAAGCCTCCTAGGAGGCATGTTCTGTCTTTGTTGCTTGCCTTCTGTCGTTGCGCGCCATGCTGCAAGCGACGTCACGGCAGTGAAGATGAAGCACACATGGATATGAAGCGAGGACTGCGGGACCTTGAGGCCAACCATCCCAGAGAAGACCGGGACAAGGGTACTAGAAAACGAGGCTCGGCAGAAGGCAATGGTCCTGCATCAAGTACCTCTAGAAGATACAGTTCCTGCTGCGACAAATTATGTTCTTGCTGCTGTTGTCGAAGACGTCCAAAATCAGCATCTTCTTCGGATGTCATGACGCTGGACGAGATGGAAAAGGGGTCTCTGGAATCGTCGATCGATAGCAGTATAATACGAGAAGAACAGAGGCAGGCTGAGGTAAAAGATGCAAGTTTTCAGATTTAGAACGTGACGAGGATGAAAGTCGTAATATCCTTCTCCTTGATGTCATGCTAGTCGTGGCCAATGCTTGTTGTTCTTATCGAATAGTAGTCTCAATCTCGTCCTCCAAACAACAATTTTACTTGATGTACTTTCATCCTGATTCGTTCCATAGTTTAGTTTCCTCCCCCTACAACAGAAAGAAGCAGAGCGGGTGCGAGAACGTCAGGCTGACGATAAACTGAAAGAGCCTCCTAAGCGACTGAAAAACACGAAATGGCGTGTCGGATTGGATTACGATCAGAGGAAGATAATAGTGGACCACTTGCGAGCGGAAAAAATGCAACTAGAGGTCCAAGAGACAGGTAGAGGCAGGTTTAAGAAAGTGAAAGGAGATGCATCAACATCGGAAGACGAGGACTCTGACGATGGACAGCCAGCGAAGAAATATGGTATTTCTTCTACGTCCAGTTGAAATGGTGGGAAGTCCATCCGTTCCATCCGATCTATCCCATCCCGGATCTGGCACCCCTAGAAATTACTCTATAATCTGGCACTTCTTCTACGTCCAGTTGCTTGTGGCACCCTCTTGCTTGTTGTGTGGACTTTTCTCAGGCTTTTTTCTGCTCAGGTAGCTAGACTGGGTATATTCAATCATGATCTTCATGTCATTCTCATTGTCACCTACTAGCAACTAATGGCTTTATCCCCATCACAGATCTCGCAACCAAGAAGCTTTTGCGGAAAATCGACCCCTTGACAGTTGAGCAAAGACAGTGGATTGGCGATGGAACTACTTCTGCAACGCGTCGCGAAGACGTGAATTTCCGCAGACTTCCTAACGTGACGTCCTTAGCTGTACCTGTTGTGTCGTGCAATTCTATAGGTGAAACGGGAGAAGGAGATGGAGAACGAGATGATGAACATGCTAGTGCGACTACACCTTCCTCCGAGATGAAGCAAAGAAACAGAAGTAGAGAACAAACTCCTGACGAGGTAGTCTATGAAATCGGTCAAGCTGTGAACGTATTCGAGGAATCCGGTGGGTCGTCGACTTTGCCTCAACAGCAACTAGGAGGAAGACGAGGTGTTTGGCTAGATGGTCGGATAACATGTTTCGTTAAGGCTTGAAGAAATGCATCATCTTCCAAAGCATCGATCTTGGCCCCGTTTTGAAGAGAAAAGTGAAACCAAGATACTGACGGAGATGGATTTAGTTTTAGTCAAGGTCTAACTTCGGTATTTCGTCTACTTTTGGAGGCCTTCCCGCAGGTGCGTCCTCCGCAAGTGCACTTAGTGGATTGAGACGGATGAACAGTGGCGCTGCATTGAAGCGGATGAATAGTGGCGCTGGGTTGCCTGGCGGTGCACGTGGAGGATTTGAAGGGAGACATCGGGAAGAGCCACGGATGGCGAATTAAGGCATGATCAGTTACATTTTGTTGAGGTTCTTTGTGATCGTGTTGAATTGAGGGAAGAGCAGGATAATACATGATCTCGATTTCGATATTGACTAGAGGAAAAATGTGGCTGGACAACGTTCCACATGATTTGACGTGGAACTTCTAGCAAAATCAGCACCACCGTGACCGTCTAATCCATGGGATCCACCCTGACGAACGATGCGCCTTTTGCTCCTGCAGTGGATGATCTACTAGAAAGTCGGATGATTGAGGTGCGGATTGTCCGCAATCCGAATCGTGGAGTCAGTCAGACCGGGAAGGAGTGTGAGTATGCAGTGTTGACGGTCGGTCAGGCGTCTTTGTTGATGCGACCATATCGACATAGTGCCGCAGCGGCTGGCGGAGGGACACGACTGGCGAACACTGCAGGTTCGTCTTCAGGGTTTAACAAAACAGGACTAGTCAGTCTAGTCTCTGGGGAGGCTTCACCTCGACGCACTTCCCCATTTCTAGGAGGAACCACCAGAACATCAACCATCGCAGGTGGCACAACGTTAGATGGCACTTCTACCATCGATGTCAAGTACATCGATCATGAAGCACGTCTAGGAGGCGGGCGTGAGATTTTGGAGGAGCTGGGAACCGCAGTTCGAGCGCGTGGAGCAGGAAAGAGTCCAGTAAAAGCAGCGCCGCTAACTGGTGGAACTAAGATCTTGATTGAGATGACAAGGCGAAGGGATGGAGATCAACATCGCGGTCATCAAAAACAAGGTAGAAGAAGATCTTCTCCCAACACGACAAGGACAAGAAATGATTCACCATCACAACAAGTCTTCGTACGGGACCAGCATCTGAAGGTGAAAGCTTCACGCGGTTTCTACAACACGTGGTCTCAGCAACACGAGATAGGCAGCCTGGATGCGGCATCGGAGGAGATGATCATGTTGAACAATAGTACGAGTATGATGCACATGCACGGACACGGACACGGAGATGGTTTTGATGATCTTGTTCAACAAGGTGGTGCGCCTCTACAACAAAGAAGGAGCATCGATGTTTCCTACTGCGGCGGTTCGCAGAGGGAGTTTTTCAACCTCTCAGGTAGGAGCGATTCTAGTACTCACTATCTTTTACGCGCAGACGATGGTCACAACGTGGTAGATTGGCAGAAGGACACGCATTTCTCCAATACGAGTACGAGTAGCCTTGGCTATAGTGCCTTTGGACACATTGATGCTGCCCAGGGTGGACAAAAGAGGCCAAATCGCTGGCTAAGTGGCAACTTTGGAAAACGAAAGAGTGGACGAAGAAGAGCGCGATCGTCTGAAGATCTCGGAAGAACTTCGTTGTCACCTCGCTTTTTTATGCAAGGAAGTCTACTATTTCTATCACTATCAGCATTCTCTGAAGTCACTCCTTGACCACTTCTATTACTTCCATAGCATGATCATCTTCATCACTACATTATATATAAAACAAATTCTAAGTAGGCTAACCAAAGCAATCAGAGGCACAAGTACCACGCAGCCTTCGAAGATGAGTCCCGGACTCGCAGACGGCGGAGGAGGTCTAGGGCATCTTTTCTAGATGAAGACCTTCAAAGAGACGACGAGGACCTCCGTCGTTTCTCTCCTACTCGACATGCCCTCTCTCTAGAGCATCAACACTCGTGGTCTCAGCTGGGCGCCTCTACCTTTGAGTTGACGAAAACAGGAGAGGGAAAGGAGTTGCTAAAATCCAATCAGCATCAACATCAATCGTCTACGTCGGTGGTGAATGCGCCAGGAGCAGGAGGAGCTCCTGGAAATACGACACTTGTTGGTGCTGCCTCCTGTACGACTTCTCCGAATTTCTTGCGCATGACAAAGGGAGTCCCACCTGAAGCTTCGCCTTACGAGTACGCATTGCATGTTCGTGATATCTCTCCACTCAAAAGCATCCACGACAGTCCAATCGGACCTGAGTGGCCAGGTGCTTCTAGAATCGACCTCGCAGCTTCTCGTGGAGGCGGTGAAGTTGCGCTTTTGCTAGAGGAGCCACGCGACATAACCGATAGCAGCTTTGTGGTCACGCAGAAAGACATGTTGGAAAGACTTGAGAATTCCGCTGCCTTCCACGTAGCTGGCGAGCCGCACAGTCGCCATTATGCCGCACACGGACACGCAGGTATGTATCGTTTACCTAGCGTGCACGAGACCGACTTCAGGGCTGAGCGAGATCGCATATCCAACGCTTTGTTTAGCGAGGCAGATATGTCGCGTTTGGCCGCTGCGGGGCCCCCGTGGTTGGGCCGTCCGGGACCCCAGAATTTGGTGGGAAAGACGTTAGGAGTTGGTTGAAAAGTAGATGGGTGGAGATGTCAGAGTAGTTTTAGTTAGAGGCTGTCCAATGGTGGAATTCTAGAAGATGATGTGCTGCACTGTTTGTTCTACTTCGTGTCATGATTAAACCGCATCGATCTGCAAGAACATCAACACACATTGCTTTGATTTTGAAAAGCATTCTTCGATTAATTTTAAGGAAAAACTTGAGATAAGCATTTCTAAGATCGTCCACAGCAGAGGATCCTCCTTCCGGTAGCTCGACATCTCTCACCTCCACTCGTCGAAAAGAGGAGCAGCATCATGGCGATCATAAGGGAGAGCAGCAAGAGGGTAGCAGCAAGAAGGTGACAGATCAGGAGTCTATTAATCGTTTCACCGACGCTGCGAACAATCCGACAACTAAAGACGTGCTAGACGCCTACGCAGAGGGTGGGCATGCTCCTTTTGGCAACAGTATGGTTTCCAGAAAACAGATAGTGCAAGATGCAAAGAGACGATCAGTGTCTGCTTTTGAGGAGGAGAAAGAAAGACAGCGACAAGGCATCCGAAAGCAGATCATCCATCATGCTCGTGTTGGACTTCGTGCCGAGGAAGAGGAAGCATTGAAAGCTGAAAGTGATACTGTGCAAGCCAATCGCTTGTCCCTACTAGCAGAGCCGCCTCTTCAGCGCAAATTAGCTGAAGTTTCAAATGCAGCAGGATCGTCAAGAGGCAGCAGTCGCCTTAGCTTTAAAAACACTGGAGCGGAAGTTACGCAATCCACGCTTCATCTTTGAGAACGTCGATCTTGGTCCCCGCTTTCTCTTTGAAAACGGGGACGAAGATGCGGCTGGGGATGGATTTGTGGTAGATCTAACGAAGGTGGAGCAGGAGGAGCTTCTAGCAAGAATCCAGCAGGAGTCGGTAGTCTCGACCTTCCACCTGAAGGTGCCGGTAGTCCTGGTAGCGCAGCTGGAGAACCTCGAGGCCCTTTGTCAGCCATTCCAGAAGGAGCCACAACAGCGACAAATATTACGGTCAATAGAAGTGGTTCGAAAGAGGCGAAGGTTAGCCGAAGTGGATTCAGGGAGGCGCCAGCAGAGGCGAGATCGCCAGAGAAGACAAGCGGCATAGTGTCTCCGGGAAAAGTCTTCATCCACCACGAGGATGACGAAGTCCTGGAGGACACCTCTCCCACTGGACGCACTGAGCATGCGAGATTACTGGAGTACATGGAACTCGATAAGTTAAGATCATTCGGTCGTCGGCGTGCATGCCATCTCCTCGAGTAGTTCCTGCCAGGAGTGCGCCAATAGAGTGCGCGGCTGCTCTGCATCGTAATGATAATGAAAGCACATAGCTCGTCAAAGTCAAATCCACGACTAGAAGAAATCGAGGAGATGTAGTTGGCTGCTCATGATCTCGTCATCTACGACCCAGACTTGCAACTATGCATGACATACATCGACTTCTGCAAGCTCAATCTTATATCCATTCTAAGCAGAGAACTCGAAAGGATGCGAGCGCATGAAGAGCGGAGACAAAAGGAGCGATCCCCAGGAGCAAAAGAAAAAGGCTCGAAGGGTAGTCCCGTTCCTCTATGTGCAGACGTGGAGGCCAAGACGATGGGACTAAGACGGGGAACGAGCTACGGAAATATGAGTCATCCCAGCAGTCAAATTATGATCATGTCTGGTCATGATGTTGATCAAGATCATTAAGATTATCTCTATCATCAGCTGGTCCTCGTGGATTCTTTTTCTCTTGTGATTCTTCGCGTACGCGTACAGTTACACGTCTGTCATAAGTGTGAGGATTTTTGTTTTTCGTTTTTCTTCCACCTTTTTCATCTTGCATGAAGGAACAAATCACCAAAGCCATTTTCTCCCGAAGCCTCGACCTCTTCACCCACAACTCTAAGGCTAATCAAAGTCGCCCGTCCTCACGTGGTCGCAACATGTCTTCCCGGGATAGGCAAAGACGACCCCTAATGCGCTACAAGCCGCTGACTCTTAGCAATGCTGGTTCTTTTAACCCCGCTCAGAAAGATCTGGGCGACTACGAGTTTAATTTGGTAGCTAGTAGAACAGATCCAGGTCAGGCATTTACCCTGGCGGAGTCATTAGCAGGCAAGGCCGCTGAGCAGCGGAAGAACTTGTCAAACACATACGACTTTCAACGGGGACGGCACGTTTTTCGTACAACCTCATGATCCGAATATTATAACTGTTTGTTGTAGTTGAACCTGCTGATTTTATTTCTTCATCACAAATACTTTTACTTACACAAAAGAGAAAGAGATTCATATAACATCATTGATTGGGACTTGAAGTTGAAGATTGTAGTTTGTTCTGCATGTTGTCATATACATATCGCAACATGGGAGAATTCCACCTCCACCCCCCTCTTCACCACAACAGACGGCCGCCCGCCTCCGTTCCAGCTACAGCCTGGAGAGTGTGGTGCGTCAACGCTGCCACGCTTAAGTCGTCCTCTCACGTTCGTGGATACAGCTGCCGATGTCTCAATTCTACCGGTCATGACACTCGAAGAAATCCACGCTGCTGGTGATAAATGGAATTCTCCGAATCGGAATAGAGCTCGTGGCGTTGTGGGAGGTAGTGACTCATTCGTTGTTGTTCCCGAACGATAGTTCATTCATTTGAGGTGTTGTTTCTTGTTTCATAAATTGCCTCGGCTTTCTCCTGTAAGAAATAGAATCTCAACAAGATCGCATCATCACAAAAAACAGGTCCACCACATCGTGGCATCGAATTGGACACTCTACCTTCGACGCGAGTCCTAGCGTTGGATATCCAGAGGCCTGCTGGAGTATTTTTTCGTGACGCACAAAAGAGCGAATCGGGACAGAAACCGAGAAAAGTCACGTGAATGATTTTCAATCCGTAGTTGTAGATCTAGATGCACGTAGAACATATTCAACATTGTTTGACTTCTTTGAAGACATACTGATTCTCGTTGTTGTTGGTCTCTTCCGCCTTATAATTCTGATGTACAAGGTAGCTCGAACTACTCATCGATAAAGCAACTGAGCACATAAGCATAACAGATGATAAGATAGAGTCAACACGATGTAAAAAACGCACTTGGATTGATTGTATTCTAGTTTCTGACCCACCTGTATTCTGTATGCAAATGCAAAACATTGAAATGCACGATCTCTCTCATGTAAATGTAATCGCATTTTGGTTTAGAAGTGACAAGTGTCTAAGACTTAGACTAAGACTAACTATTGTTCCTATCATCTTGACAGTACGAAGTAGCGAAAATGAAACCGAAAGGTATTATTGGACAGAGAAACAAAATAACAAAAGTAGAGCTAATTAGCTTACTCAATGAAAATCACAATGAAGCACGACTGGAATCTATTCATGTTACCACGATTACGAAAATATTGGCATGTAGTACAACACGAATTTAAGTCTAAGTCACTCATATTCAAAAACGCTATTCGATTCAGAGCACAAACTCGGAAAAACTTGAATTGCACTCATACTCATACTCAAGACCATGACAAAGACTATCGCTAGAAGTTGTAGAAGAAGTAGAAGCATGTTTAAATATGAAGCGAGGACTTACATATACTCTTACTGCGAAACTATATTGCGTATCGGATGCTACACCTGCACAACGTGAGTCCTGAGAGATTGTGAAGCGTGGGCGTGGGAGATTATTGAGACTGAGAATATAAGGAACGAAAGCAGGGAGCGTGGTTGAAGCAAACAACAGCGGCTTGAGCTTGAGGGAGGACCAAGTAGTCTACTTGTTAAGTTGTACTCAAAATCTAGAAACTACGTTCAAACCGCATACACATCACGCAAGCACTAGCATGCAACTCAAGTAAAACATCCCGAAATCACACAAAAGCATTCCCCTTCCCAAAAAACATGGATACTCGCCTCTTCAATTTGCGGCTGGACGAAATCCTTGTGCAGTATGATTTCGATCCAGGTGTCAGAGCCCAGATGGAGAACGGTCAGAGGAAGATTTTCGAGGATGCTGAGAACATTTGGGTGGAAAAATTAGGAGTTTTCACTGCTGAATCCAAGCCGCCGCTAGCAGAATGTCAGCGGCTCTTGTTTTTTCCTCGTCCCAGCGACATGAAGATCTATGCGACAGCTTTGCGGAAGCGACATCCACAAGACTCGAAAGCTTATGAACGTGGAGACTAACTATTTTTCTAACTCTAAGACAAAGACTAAGACATGGACATGCACACTTCATATATTAATTCGTTCCACAACCATCTCTATCTCTATCACGACTTTGCGTTTAGCAGAATTTTTCGGTTCATTATTTTCATTCGCAAAGGAGGACAAAGGCAAAGCCTGTCCTCTGTCTTCTTGTTCCTCTCTCTAACCTCACCATCTGACGCGCTTGAAGCTGATGACTCTATTCTACAGCTTGCATCACGGGACGACGCCTTTGCTGGAGGCTTTCGTCTCCTTTGGTGGATTGATGATGGCTGGGGAGTTAATGGCCTACAGAAAAAATGCCCACATCATGAGCCAAGCAACGGAAATTTTTCAGTCGGTATTGATTTGTGATGATCCACTTACAGTGCATCAAGGGTTTCTCATGTAGACGGCGAGTCAATTCCTACACCAATCGTCCTATCCGAAGATTTTTTTTGCGAACAAAAGAATAACCCTCTCTACTACTTCACGTTCACCAGCTTTTGATCGCCCCATACCTTTCTACTTTCTCCTTCAGGCTTTGGTTCTCGAACCTTTGACCAAACTAGCTGGTGAAATTCAACAGCGGCAAGTGCAAAAAGCTGTGGACTCAAAGGATTTGTTGTTCAATCATCCATTGTGGCCTCAACTCCGAGAAGTCATCTTCGAAGGACCTTTCTTCGACAGCATCACGGAACTTTTGCTCGACACAAGTGACGTCTTCCCGCATTCGCGCAGCACGGCGTTGAAGCTGTTGGGGTTTGTTTTGCAGGTACTTTAATAAGTTTCTATCAAGCATCTCGTCTTGTTCTAGCTCCTTCTTGCCGTAAACAGAGAACTACAACTACCCCAATCATCATGCTCATCCATCAACTTCCACCGTCAACAGGTAATCTGCCAGCCCTTATTGAAGCCGTCTATAATCTCGCAAGACGAGAGCGATAAAGCTGGAGATGAGGAATGGCGCAATGTCCGAGTCCCTCCAAAACTTTACTCAAGGATAGTGCAGTTGCATGAAGGAGGATCCCTAAAGCCGGATGAGATGGACATTGCGTTGGAGATGCTCAACTACCTAAATGACTGGGACTTCGATGCAGAGAAAGCGGCTGCCGCCAGAGAAGACGCGGAAGAGGCAGCTGCACTTGAAAGGCTGTACCAGGACAAACTGATGAAGAAAATGGAACAAGAAGCTTATGGAGGAGCCTCATCATCTTTGACGAACAAGAACGACAAGTCTTCAGCTGAGAGTAGTGGAAAAGAAGCTTCGTCCCTCTCCACCCTGCAGTTCATTAAAGATCAGTTAGTTTCCTTCGATGAAGTAGCACCAGGAGACGCCGCATATCAAGGCGACAAGGGCGGTGACGCCAATAGTTGCGTTCCTTCATCTTCAAGCTCGACGAAGACATCTGACAAGATTGAGGACCTGTGCAAACGCGATATCGAGAACCATCTTGCAGCTTTTAAAAAAATGGGCAATCAGTGCTTCAAGAAGCAGGACTACCCAGATAGCCGACTTTGCTACGAGCATGCGATTGCTGCAAAACCGGGGGCATGCGACCTCGTACAGGCCTACCGAGTGTATGCGCTGCAGATCCCAGACGAGCAGACTTCAAAAGAGGTGGAATCTGAAGATCCTGCTTCTATAGTTTCAACTTGGATGAAACAACATCACCTTCAACATCATGAACAAACTGGTAGCAGTTTCGATTTCGCTTCTTGGGTACGAAGAAGTCGTCCCTTCCATGCTGAAATGTCGAAGATTGAGGCGAATCTCGCGTTTTCAAACCTAAAACTAGGAAACTTCTCCGAGGCCATCGCTCATGCAAAAACGGCCACTTTGCTCGAACCAAGCTACGGCAAAGCGTATTATCGTCTTGCCGAAGCATACTACAATCAGACGATGGCCGCGATGAAGGGAGCAGGAAGTATCGTTATGAAGAGAGTAGCTAATGGTGTACTTTTTCAGTTGTCTTCTTTGTAGTTCTCCTAACAACTTTTTTATCGCTACAAGACGACTAGAAGAGGATGTAAGTTACTACAGTTTGGTACAGCTAAAGCACATGCGATCCCCCCCTACCCCATCTAACCCACACCGAGTCGACGACCAAGAGGACAAAGAGAATCACGATAGTGCTCAATTATCTGAGTCCTCCGAGAAAGCTGCTGCTGCGGCAGCGATTTCAAAAGCTTTGGAGCTGGAGCCCAAAGACAAAGCGATTGCAGAACTCAAGAAAAAGATAGATGGCATTGCTGCATGAATATTCTGAATATTGCCACTGCTGATGTTCATGTTGCTCTTGCTGCTGCAAGATAAGTAATTAGTATAATTAGATAGAGCTAAAGGAGACTATCACGTCGCCTGAAAAACCTTAACCTGATAACGACAAAGAAACATTAAGATTAACATTGCAACATTTCAGTATTTGTCGGCTTCATGGATACACGTGCACAATCTGGACGTGCGAGGCGCCAATAGGCTAAAAAAGGGTTTGTTTTGATAGCTGAAACTGAATCTAGAGTTGTACTACTTCTGCAAGGTCCAAGTCTGAAGCGTAGGAGAAAGAGAGAATATCTGATGTGATATCATGAGGAGGTTGATCCCATTTTGATCAGTTTGCTTTGGCTGCGCCGTGAATCTCAGTCTGTCTTACTTTCAGCAGCAGCAATTATAAGTATAACCCGTAACTACTACTACAATGAACAAGAAGAAATGATGAAGGAGCGCAAGTCGAATGTGAGAAGGTTTCTGTAGTGGCGGCAAAAGAACCTGGAATGGTGGCATGACCTGTTGAGCATGTTGAGATTGAGAAGACTACAGTTCTTGTGCCTGATGCAAAAGGTTGAATTTGAATCGTTCGCGGAAGCTTTATTTACTTGTAGATGAAGAACAAGATGACCACTAGAACACCCATAGATGATGCCGATGGAGACGATGGGCCGTCGCGAGGTCAACTCGGGGATGCGGTGTGGCCGGATCCTTACTATGAAAACTTCGAAGAAACGACTACAACGAGGAGAACTACGAAGTCAACGTTACATGTTGACGACGTTTCACGCCTCTCAGCAACGTCTGTCCAGCGTGTCTTCTTCCCGCGTACCGAGGCAGATGTCGTTTCCATTCTGGAACTGGCTGTGCAAACCGGCACGAAGGTGGGCATGCGCGGGACGCAGCATAGCATGGGCGGACATTGCATTGCACAGGGTGGATATGTGATCGACACGAAATGCCTACACGCGATGCAGTTAGATGCTACAGCCTCGCACGTCACCTGCGGACCGGGTTGTCGCTGGAGCGACTTGATTCTCTTTTTGAACCAAGTCGGCCGTTCACCACGAACTATGCAATCTTACTGCTCGTTCTCCGTTGGGGGCACCTTGGCGGTAAACGCTCACGGGATCACCACTGACTTCTGTTTTGCGGAAAGCGTTGTGTCTTTCCGTTTGGCGGTGGTTGAAAATGGAACTGGCGTCTTAGAGGATCCCACGAAGCAGGACAAGGACGAGGTGGGAGTCCTGACCTGTTCCCGCGACTCCACAGATCCTAGGCTTCGTGAGCTGTTTTCTCTGGCTCTAGGAGGATTTGGACTCTTTGGCGTGATCACAGAAGTGACGATGAAGGTAATGGAAAATGCTACGCTGGAAATGGATGCCATGCAGGTTTCTACCAGAATAACGGGTGACGAGAAGCATGGTAGCAGCACTTTGATGCAACGAGGATCATCACGGTTTTCATCCGAGTTTGAACGAATCTATCATGAGACTCGGCGTATTTTTGATAAAGAGGACGTTGTACAACTTTTGCACGACTGTGAAGATGCTGAAGATGTTGCACAAGAAGTAGCAAAGATTCCTTCCGGTGAGACCGTGACTGAGTCATCTTCGTCTTCCCAAGATTCTACTACAACAATTACATTTACAGCGCAGATGCAAGATCGAACCGTCCCTGGCGGCGTCGAGATGAAGCTTGCTCGGTTGAACATCTTGAATTGCAACTCTGCTTCTCTCTACATCTTCCGCCGTGGCGATACTGGCGCGACGATTTCCTCACTTCCCCTGGCACCCAGGAGACTGACTCCTTGGAAGAGGATTCTGTTTAAGTGGGCTGTGCCTGCTGGAAAGGAGGTTAGGTATTTGCTAGAGAGCCAGACCGGCACGGCCGTCGACTGGGCATTAGAAGATGGAGCTAGTCGAAACGACCTCTTATTCGAGTCTGCCGAAGACTTAGCCAAATTGTACGAACCACTCTTCGTAGCCGATGATACGTTTATCTTGCAAGAGTTTTTTGTGCCGTCGGATGCTTTTCAAAGCTGGTTGGATCAAGCTAGACCGATCTTTGCTGAAATCGATGCTAGGGAAAGCGAAAGCGGCGTCATTCTTCTCAACTGCACTATACGTTTCGTGGAGGAAGATAAAGACACCGTCCTAGCCTACAGCAGATTTCCAGGCGGTTGCTTCGCGTTTGTGCTCTACTACAGGTAGCTTTGGTTTATTCGAAAACTCAAAATAACCGAGTTACTGAATGAAATAAGGGAGGCACTAGCTTAACATCAAGGCTACTCTTCCTTCTCTACAGTATCTCGGTTATTCTCGTCTGTTACTCGCTTACTTTATATTAGTTTTTCGACTAAATGTTTCATCGAAAATGCAGTGGTCCTTGTGGTCATCTTCTGGTGGTTGACTTTGTTTCCTCACTACAACAGGCTCCCCCGCAAGCCGCAGACCATCGAGACAGAAGTTCTAGCAGATTACCATCGTCAGTTTGTGACATGCACTCTGAACGTTGGCGGTTCCTTCTATCTGCCCTATCGGAAGTGTTATTCACGCGGAGAATTTAAGAGCGCCTATCCAAAGGTTTCAGACTTCGCAGCATTGAAGGAAAAGCATGACCCGAATGGGATATTTACCAATGCCTGGTTTGAGGAGTACGTGCTTCCAGAATGCTCAATTGGCTATAGAGGGAAATACGAGATGAGCACGACGAGGACTGTTCTTGATGCTCGAAGTAGAAACATCGATATCCCACTGCTTTTCCCAGCTTCACGAGCGTCTTGGTCTCTCCGTTCCCCAACAGACTTCCCGAGAGCGCATTACCCTGATCTCACTCGACGCAGTACCTCCAGTTCTTACAGGCGCCTGATGCGACAGAAGCGGCTTCGGCGTGCTTTCGAGACTCAGTTTTTAGTGCGGATATTCAACGTCGGAGACCCAGGAGAGATAATGAGGGAGATGGGTCGAGCCTGCTGGGATCCGGCAAACGACGGAGATCTCGAAATCTTCCGCCATTTGCGTCGTCGGTGTGCGATTGCTGGGGAGGAGTCATCGCGTAACCCACTTACAGCGATGAAGGAGAACTTCAAGGCGTTGCGGCAAGGAGCCCGCCAAAAGCAGGAATTAGTTCGACAGCTAGCAAGTCTTTTGACACGTCTTGGAGGGATGTCTAGAAGAAACAGTTCCAAGAATAAGCGTGGAGGTGGAGAGAGCGCAGCGACGTCGACAGGGACAGGGACATCCGCATCATCAACTGTTGTCGAGATCAACGGTTACGTCTCCATCGGTGACCATGGGAAGCTAGTTTTGAAGATGCGAGAGCATTTTAGGATCACAGGAGACGTCTACATCTGCCATGACGCGGTGAACACACCATCATCCTCCGGGAGTGGGGTTCTGCCAGCGATAATCGAGCGTGGGAGCATCCCCTTGGTTGGCCAACCGGTTTTGTTCGATTTGTTCACCAAAGCGGACTGGGCAAAAGAAATTCCTGATGCTAGTGTGGGCTTGGTGACTATGAGCCAAGGACTGCACCATATTCCGCCAGACGAGAGGCTGCTGGCTTTCCTTAAAGAAGTTTTGCGGGTTCTTCGGCCAGGCGGTTGGTTCGTTTTCAGAGAACACAATTTGCGGCTGCTAGAGGCTGATAAAGCGGAATCCACTGCGACACAGGCCTCTCCTAGAGCTACAACACCTCTTTCTCCCCTTCTGAGGGAACCCGCAGGCGTCGCAGTGGAGATGCTTGACTTAGCGCACTCAGTCTTCAATGCCGTCACTGGGGTAAGTGAGGAGGACGAAGTGCGGGAAATCAGAGCTTTTCGACCGATCCAAGAATGGCGTGAGATCTGCACTAATGTGGGTTTTAGAGACGCAATGCTCTTCGAAATAGAGCCTGAGGACTGCACGTGGGACGAAATGCTGCTTTTCTGTAAACCGGAAGAGGACGCAGACGTAGAAGGTGAAGGAAAACAAGAAAATATTGAAGCTGTTCAACGTGATCGACTTGAAGAAGGAGAACGGATAGTACTGAAGGAACAAAGTCCTCCTACTGAGGCTGGGAAGGACGCGGATTCGGACCTCCAGACAGTCGCAAAAGAACAGCTTCCGCCACCTCCAGTCATCGACATTATCAAGACCATTCTTGGACAAATCCCCGCTTCTGCTGCGAACAGCCTTGCTAGCCTACTCACAACAGTAGGCGACGACGTATTGCCAGCAATAGCGCAGAAACTCCAGAGTCTGATAGAAAAAGACGTTTTAGTACCTAAGGCCATCTTCGCTGAGAAGTTGTTTCCCGCAGTGGGTCAGTTTTTGGACACCTGTAAAAGAGCGATTCAGAAAATCAGGGATATGCTGGAGAAGGTCAAAGTCAGAGACATCATGCAAATCCCGGATGACGTGGTACCAGGAGAACTGTTCTTGATTGTGCCTTACTTGCAATGGAGAGAGATGGAGCAGAGCCAAGCCAAAGAACGTGAACCTATAGCCAAATCAACATCTCCATCTACCTCAGCGTCCTCTGAATCTCCGAAGCTTGACGACATGGAGCGGATGGCACTGCAATTCTGTAGAGACTACCTTCCATTTCTGTTGTTACCAGAGAAGGACATTTCGTCGGGAGTGCGTCGGTTCTCACGAGGGGGCGAACCGGGTAAGCATCTTCCAGGGTCGTCCTTATCGTCCAGTGGAAGCGAAGTGAACGCCAATGAAAATAGCAGTGCGATATATCAAACATCAAGGGAAGGCCACGACATGGAAAATCACCAAAAGTCCTATGCGTCTGCTCCCTCAGCCAGTGCCACGGTAGTATGGCAGGACGCCCTCAGCCGACCCTCCAATCGGGAACTGATCGCACAGCCGGTCGTTACGACAGGCATGGTGTATCGAGAGTTGCTTCTCCTTGACGCAGACTTACCAGGTTTGTGCAAACCCGAAACTTTAGCTAAAACTGGTTTCACTGTCAGACAGCAAACGGCGCTTATAGCGAAATTTGGAGGTGGGAAGAATTTACGCGATGCAGCTGAAAATTTGGCATGGTTTTTAACGCCAGAAATCTGGCGAGACGTACTCGAAGCTGTAGACGAAGTGGTGAGACACGCTCATAGTTCTCCAACAACAACATCTGCGCCATCTTATTCGCCATTGCCTTCACCAAGAACCCTCCTCGAGTCGAGAAGTATTCCAACAAAGGAACGTCTTTTCGGTGAAACGACTCCAGTTCATCCTTGGCATTTGGTGCTCATGGCTTTTTTGAAGTCCCCAAAGGTCCGCTTTACAGCAGCTGGAAAACTGGGAGCCCGTATGGCCGGTTTGTCTGAAGTCGTTTCACTGTGGGAGGAAGCGCAAAAGCAAGCGAAACGAGATGGACGTAGCAGTGGCGATCCGAGTAGATCGACAGGTTCTACAAGGGGAAATCGAATGCGGGGAATCGAAATGCATCAACGTGGAGAAGAAAGAACAAATCCAAATTGGGTGAGGAGTGCAGAAACAGCGCCAGAGAAAGCTCCTTTAGGCGGGAATCGTGTACAGGAGTTGCGAGAATTAGCCAAAGGCGTGGAAAAAGTGAACAAAAAACAGCCTTGCACCGCGAAATTTAACTTCGGATCAGGTGCTCCCAGAATCCTTCAAATTTTTATCCACTTAGATTAGACGCATGTCCTCGCTGTTGTATAATTCTGGTGTACAACTACGTTAGGTTAGCGTGCTCGTGCTGCATGTAGTCGTGCATGATTTTAGATGAATTTTCTTCCCGATCGCAATTCCAGGTATCAACAACGCAGTCGTGCAAATCCCCAACGTTGGGGAGATATTGAAAGCGGAATTTGGCTATACGAGTCTCACTTCAAAGCCCACGGACATCACAAAGGAGCTGCGACGCTTCTATGAACGCCAGTTGCAGAGCAATTTGCATGTTCTTCGTGACGAGAAGCGAAAGAGACGAAAAAGTACCGACGGTGGGACGGATAGAATACTAGGGGAACAAGGGGACGATTGCGATGTTGACACTGGTGCTGCGACTCCACGAAGAAGCAGAAGGTCGTCTGCCGTCTCGACGGTCTCGGAGAGCCCTCTTCGTGCTCCACCTGGTCGTTCTCGTTCATCACGAAGGAGTTCACATTCTGCAGTAACCTCCGAGAAAAATCCTCTATTTCATCCTGTTGAGGTTGACCCATCGTCACGCTTTCCACCTTTTGGCACTCTTGAAATCGATGAGGAAACTTTGAAGTCCTTCCGCAACCGAGACAGCAACGAAAAGCAGGTACTAGACAGTGGAAGGAAGAGTCTGGTGCAAGCTTTAACTCTGGGACAGGCCGGGCAAAATCATCTGGTTGTGACCTATGTGCCGATGATTGGTGGACGACAGGGGGATAGAAGAGAAGATTGTGGCGTTATTGGAGTTGATACAAATTATAGGGGGAGGCCAAGCAATACATGCGCTTTTGACGAGATGGACGCTGCACATCCACATGTAAATGCGCGCGCCCTGTGCGAAAAGCTGAGGGACTTGAAGCTTGCACGAAGACTGGAACGACAACCAGAGTACACGTGGTACAAGCTGTGCGAGTGGCTTCAGGTGGAGATCATGGAAGTTTTGGTGAATTCCCTAAGTCACACTCCCTGGTTTCGTTTCCCTTTCATGGAGTTCATGCGAATGTATTTTGAGGTTCTACAAAAGGAAGCTGGAATCGTCGAAGAGCTGTACGGATTTTGGAAGGCCTATGCCTCTATGGCTTTTGTAACCGATTTGATTCCTGGAGTGGTCATGAGCGGAATCTTTGCGCAGCTATCTTTGCTCGCGCAGCCGTTGAAAATGATGCAGCCAGAAGCTGGGTATGAGGGGTTTGATCAAGGGAACTTATGCGAACAAGTCGTTTTAGTGTGTAACAAACGGCCAGATCATGACTTCAGGCTCCTAGCGGAGGAAGGCGACGAGCAGGAAGCTGTTGATTTTTGGGTGTCCATAGATCCAATCCAGATCAAAAGAGCTGATTTGGTGGATCTGGGTAGAAGATCTCTAGAAGGAGAAGTCCATGACCCTACTTCTCTACGGGGACAGCAAATAGAGCAAATCATCGTTCTAGAAACTCTACCCTTCAAGGCTTTAGGACAAGTACTCGAGAAAATCGCTCTGCGCGTGCCCGATGCGCGAGTCCTTGAAATCAGCGGACAGCAAGAGGTGCAAATTAGAGTATCTGTCAAAATTATCAACAGAACTGGCAGTCGTGGAAGGGATAGGGAACAAGATGGACCAAATGATGTTGGGCATCAACTTAAGAGTAGGTTAATGGTGCTTTTCTTACCGCTTTTTATGCCTCTCCTAAGGGAGAAAGGCATAAAAAGCGGGGTAAGCAAGCACCAAAAACCTACCTCTAATCAACTACACGACGAACAACATCAACCAAGCTCTCCCGATAGAAGTACTTCTCGTCATTCTCTGAACGTGAGGAAGCAAGAAGTCCTTGATAGTATCGAACAAATCCCAGGATGTAAGGTCGTCCTCGATTACAAATACCCTAAGATCGGAAACGTCGAGTTACCACACCAAGTAGCTTTGAAAGTGCAGAGTTATGCAATTCTGGAACTGTTGCGAACCTGTAGGATGCTGAAAACAGCAGAGGTCGAAGTAGTAGTCGAACAAGTGTACGATTTTTGGGGAGGAGATTCATAATGTGGAGGAGAGCGTGGTGCGCATGCACGTCAGAGACCAATCGTTCAAATACTACCTTTTGAAAAAATTAAGTACAGGGTTAGTAGTGCTAGTGTTAGTGATGCTATCTTCTATTTATTTTGAAAGAATAAATTAATAGTGATACTTTTTTCTAGTTAGGTCGGCTCCACCACAATTAATAATGATACTCTTACTCATTTTCAGGATCGTTACTAACACGTAACACGTACAGTAGTCATTGTCATGGAATAAAATCATATACGCGATGAAGGGTTTTCTTCGCAATTAAGTACTTAGGTTTTCTTCGCAATCGCAGTACCAGCGGCTGGGTTATTTGTTCACTTTTGAATTACAGTGACGTAACTTACTGGAGTTCTTAGTTACAACTTGTAGTAGTGGAAGTAGAACGAAGTAGTAGAAGTTCTACTTCTGTAGAAAGCGACAAACAAGCCAAAAAGAACGACATGGAACTGTGCATTGTCCGTGAGAAGGACTCGGAACTAGAACAGCCTACGGCTTTGGCTTGTTCTTGACCAATTTCATCATGCACAGATAGGTAGCTGGTACACACATGTACAACAATGAATTCCAAGAAAGAACAAACTGGGAGTTTTTAGAATGAGATACGAGTCTCTCAGCAACACCCCTACGGAGATGAATCTGTGCTGCCGCTGTTGAGAGAGTGGCGTAAGCGCGTGCTAGCTGCATTTTGTTCGAATCTTTCAGACGGCTCGTTGCTACCGAGTCCATTTTTCAGACGGCTCGTTGCTTCGAATCTTTCAGACGGTTCGTTGGACGCCAGGCTTTTTTTTTCTTCCAGGTGATGCAGACGCTGAGTGAGTCCGATTCTACTAAGTAATCGATCCTTAGCTGAGAGACTTCTTCTAAGCACTACACCTGTCCGTGTGAGCTTGGACACCTTACCGTTACCGGATAATTGACATTTTTTCTTTGAAGAACAGGGAACAGATAATTATTGGTCGTAAAGTAATCACTTTGTATTTATAAGTCATTTTGTTGAAGAAAAAGCGAACACAAGATGGCGAAGGACTACACAATGTGCGCAACAGTTTGCCAGCTGTTGTCAATGGTCGCCATTCCGATGCTCCTCTACTTCGGTACTACGTTTTCGATAGAGCTTGCCTCCTTTCTTGTTCTTCACTCCAACTTCTAAAAAGCTTTTTGAATTTGGAATGCTTCGAGGACCACGTCGTCTTACTTACACTTACTACAACAATATACAGTTACAGATAGAATAGGCATAGTACTTCTTCCTTCAGGTTACCTCGGATACACGGAATCAAGACTATTGGAGATTCCGCTCGAGAAGAAGCAAGGAGCGGCAGTGGGATGCTGGGTAAGATACTTCTAGACCACACAATTCTGGGTAAGATACTTCATAAGAGAGACTCTCTGACGACCCTCCTCCTGCGGCTCTACCATTTGATTATCAATGTTGACAACCATGAACACGATCATAAACATAAAGGGGTGAAGATGATCACTTTCATTCGTCGTACATAATCCACAGGGCGCCGCGGCCTTGTATTGCGTAACATTGGTGTTATCAATTTCCTACAAGCAGACACGAAAGCCGGACGTGCCTGCCGACCCAAATACTTACGCCTTGCGCGGCTTCTCCCAGTGGTAAGACGAATTTTATTTTCCCTGTTCGGATCCATCACTAGTTGTAAGAGCACGCAGGGGGAGGGTAGTTTACCTTCATTCTATTGATTTTTCAAGATGTTGATCTTTGAAGAAAATATATCGCCTTACCAATCGCAATCATTCATTTTTCTGAATGTCAACAATATGTTCATGTTGAATATCTACCCGTCCTCCTCATCCTTCTTCAGATCGCCGCAGCAATGTATGCTGGGACCTATGTTTTGTGCAAAAGCTACAAGGATTCACGTAGTGTGGGCTCTGTGGGTGGCGGCGTACACTATCGCAGTTTTGGAGAGTTGGATGCTGTTTCTTGAAGAGGTTGTTCTCTTCAAGAGGAGGATCAGAACAGCCGATGCGTAAATGTGTCCAGCAGAAGAAGTTGAAGTCAGGTCTCTGTCTCTCCCCATGATCTACTTCAACACCATTTCATATCATCATGGCAGTAAGGTTCTTCTCTACTCTTCAAGCTTGTGGATTCAGATTCTATTTCATCTCTCTCTCTTACACGTATTACTAGGCTACTTCTAACTATTACACCAACAAGTCATAGAACTTGAACTAAAAGTCGCGTTTGAACAATTCGCGGACGGATTCCATCTCGCTCAACGAGAATAACTGCAGTGTGCAGAAGCAGGTAACTTTTGGAAGATATTTTTTAAGCAGAGGGTGGGGATCGTGTGTGGTCCCAGCCAGTTGCAATTTTCGACGTAAGCACTAAGCTACGGCTTCTTAACGTTGACACGCCGTTTAACCGAACCCCAATATCCAATACTTGTGCTTGGCGTTGTACTTGTATGAACAAACCAGGAAAACGAAAAGGAAACAAATTACGAAAAAGACGAAAAAGAGAAAAAGAGCGTACGAAAAAGAGATCGAAGACTTTCTTTCCAAATTATATTTGCAATACGACCAGGACTAGGATGTCTCAGTATAAGTAAAAGGTGAAATCTAAAGACGAGTAGAATACCAATACAGTGCAAAATAAAGTTTTTCGATCGCAACATTTGCAAAAGAACAAGAAATACAAAATTATGGTAGTCGACACCGCGGGCCACAAATTCGAGTTTTCGCCAGTCCGGCGAGAGCGGTTCAATCCTTCCGCTCATGCGCAGGAGCTGAAGAAGATAAAAATTTGTTTTCTAGGCGACTCTGACGTTGGCAAGTCGTCACTTTGCACGACTCTAGCCGAAAGGAATCTGTCAGCGCTCTGCAGACATAATATGAACCTCTTTACGACCGGAAGTGGAAATAGTTATGCTCGTCAGAAGATGAGATATTCTTAGAGCAGGATCAGAAGAAGTACTCATTGGGAAGTACTTACAGATACAATGATCCTTCCGCTCATGCACAGAAACTTCTTGAAGAGTCATGCTTGTCCTAGAAACTTGTTCATGAGGAACTACAGAACACTGCTATCGTCCGCATCTAATCCCGCGGTTCCTCCTTGAAGACTGTTGGCGTGGACCTCTGTTCGTTCCTGATCCTGAAGGACCGACCCGGCGCGGGCGCGGCCGGTCGCGGAGCTGCAGCAGCAAAGATGAACTCGGCATTCAGGACGTATCAGGTGAACATATGGGATCTTGGTGGAGGCCCACAATTCGACGAAATAAGGACCGAGTTCTACAATTATGGAGAATGATCCCCCACAGGAGTTCGACGAAATTATATGGACAGAGTTTTACAATCTATCCTTTATCTACATTCATTTCTTCTTACTTTTCCTAGTTAGATTGGCTCCACCTATATTATTTTGAAGAATGATGCATGTTCTACTTGATGTTGTTGTCAACAACAACATGCTGTATGGTGCCATTCTACTACCTCTTGCCCCAAGCTACATATGATCCACCAACTGCAACAACTCTACCCCTCCTATGGAGTCAGTTTGAAAATGAATAAGGCTCAATCTTCTGGATCAAAACTGCCTCTCCTCCTCTAATCCTTAGAGAGCCATCTCGTTTGCCTCGTGTGCGACGCGGGGAGTAGACGGAGCCAAGCAAGCCTCGAAAGCTGGTACCAAGAGGTCCGAAAAAGCGGCAACGAAGGCGCGACGGTGAAGATGTGCGTGGTACTGTTTACTAAGTAATTGCAAAAATCTCTAGAGGATCTTTCACGCTTTATTTCTAGACGAGGCCCCCTTTCTTCACGCTTTATTTTGTGTAGCTGATTTACCTGCAACCCCGACCACCAACGCGACCACGCTCCACAAAAGGTAGTAAACAAATCCGATTCCACGCAAGCGAATAGCAGCACGTGCAAAGAATGGGCGAAGGCGAAAAACGTGCCTGTGTTCGAAGTGTCTGCAACCGCGGGAACCAACGTCAACATGCTTTTGGAGTATTTTGTACAGGAATGCGGATAGATGCCCCGGTTGCGAGCAAAATCTTCTTCTTCACATGTAAGGACACTTTTTAACGAGGATAATGATAGCAAGGATGTTAAAATTAGTGATGGATAGAAACGATCCTGGAAACGCAGTATTTGGACTGTCGCCAATATCCAATACTTGTGCCTGGCGTTGTACGTGTATGTTGCACAGTGTAGTGATAAATATTACGACTACGAGAACCTCACTCATACATTAGAGGGATTGGGATGCTTTGTGGGTGTATATGTGTTGACACGCATGCACTACCTCGTTGGCAAAGATGATTTAAGCTGAGAAGGGTGCATGAAAAAATTGGAAAACGACTAATCATATGAATTTGGATTTGAGAAAACAGGACAAGAAACTACTGAAAAAAAAGATTTCAAAAAGAAAAAGAACCAAGTAGCCCTCACATTATCGAATCTTTCTCTCGAATACGATTACGACTACGAGACAGGAGGGACAGCTAGACATCTGAACAATCTAGCACAAAATGGCAGACCTTTTTCGGGCCGGGCAGCTTGTCTATGTGCCACCGCAGGCACTGCAAGCTGATGACACCTCTGACGTTCTTGCGTCAAGAACCACCATCCTCGCCGGGGGACGACAAGAAGCCGGCCAATTCGGTGCAATTTGTACAGCTACAGGAGATCCTACAAGTTTACAACTTCGTCTTTTCGAACAAGAGAGCTCACCAGCCGCGTCCCCCGACGGAAATCGTGTCACCACAATATCAACAAAGACAGGAAAGATGAGGCCGAGCACCAAGGTTACACCATCCTCGACGCAAGTCCTTGTGCCGTTTGAAGAATTAGAGGATAAAACGGCGATAAAACGAATCGAAATTTCGGTGTTGTGGGGAGTAACGATTGAAAACGAGGCTCAAGCGGCACGCCTATGCGCATCATTGGCGTCTATTATGAGATGGAGATGGATGTTGTTGAGAAGAAGATTTTAGAGACATGAATCATTGATGTTAGGGACCAACATGTGCGATTCTAGAACGGGCAAAAATTCGGTAGAATGTGCGGCTTTTTATGGATGTTGTGGGGAGTAACGATTGAAAACGCAACGATTGTTGACTCTCGAATTTTTGTTGTGAGGATGAGAAATTGGAAAAGTGTGCGACTTTTTACTTCGACCTTGACAAGCCAGATCATGATCACTATTGACAGACTCTCCTCACTTCATATCCCTGAATGGACAGTTGCATACGCTTGGAGTGCATCCACGCTTTTTCCTGAGCTACGATTTCGGTTCCGGGGTATCCGATGCGTTGCGACAGGAAGTAGATCAGCTAATCGACTACTTAGAAACCAAGAGCGCGCCTTTTGCTGGAAAGTTTGGGAAGATTCTTCGAGAAGGAGACAACAGTGGGACGGATGACAAGCATGCGAAGGACAAGAAGCAGAAAAGACGCGGACATATTAAGAGCACTTTAGAACACTATCGTGACCTCATGGAGTATGTGCCTTCTTCATCTAGTAGTACGTCAGATAAGGATCTTTATGGCAAGAGGAAAATGGACGCAAGTAGGAGTGCCGAAAACACTGGCTTCGGTGGAGGAGGACGAGAGAATATCCTTCCTGGTGGAGGTCGAGATACCGAGCAAAAACCGACAGAAAATGCGAACGTCCCTTTCGACTCTTGGGTGTTTTTCCATGGCGGTGATGAAGTTTTGTCGGGACCTTTGAAACTCAGGTTCTTCCTAGAACCTTTCAAATTCGCCGCCTTGCAACGATTGAGCTACGGGTACAAAACGATGTCGGTTTCTGGGAGTAATTTAGTTGTTTCCCCTACGGCGACTTCAGCTTCATCGACAACAGCTAGTACATCAGCATCTCCAACTCCAGCTACGCAAAAACAATTTGACGTCCCTGATATCATGCGAAAGATATCGGAGAATAGTCTCCAACTCCTAGTACGCGGAGGAGAAGATGAGGAAAGCGGAAGAGAAGGTATAATAATTTTGTTTAACTATATGCAACTTGAAGATCTTCATCAACGAACTCGTTGTCGAACTAATGTGAAAAATTCGAAAAGGAGATATGTCGTGGTAATCGTACTTCTTACAAGAAAATACTATTTTCTTGTAAGAGTAGAATGACATTATATGAACATAACCCAACAGGAGGAGGTGTCCCCACTGGTCCTGTCGCTGTTGTTCCTGGAGTTGGGTGTCATGATTTCTCGATACGTGGGGAATTGTGTGAAGTTGCTGTTCAGGCAGATATCGTGAAGGAATTTTTCAACACTGCAACGCCTGCTTTGCTTGAAAGCCGTTTTGGAGATGTCGCTTTGTACTACTTCCTGCGCGACTACAACCGTGTCGTAGAGGGCAAGATGCAGAATGTAGTGGATGCTTCGAAACTGGACGCGCGTCTTGTCTCCGAGCAATACTGGATGCAATTGCATACGGCGAACGCAGAACCGGGACAAGAAAGTGAGCAGTGGCTGACGTGTTTCTCTCCCGAATTTAATGCAGCAAGAAGGGCTAGCATGGAGCAGCAGAAAGGAGTCATGGACCGCATGAATGGAGGTGTTTGTGTGTCTGGTAGTGGCGCTTCGTCTTCTTTCAAGCCACCAGCTAGGGTAGGTACTAGTACTAGTACGCCGAAGATGTTAAAAGACATCTCCGCCTCTTCTGCGTCTGAATTCGACGACGAGGTGCTTGGAAGAGTAGAGGCATACGCGTTGGGGTGGCAGTCGATGTTGCCATTCCTGAATCCAGCGCAAAGAAAGACCCTGTTCGCAACCTTGCGCGAAAATCTTGAACTCCTGGTCTGTTTTTTCTACGGCCTGCAAGCACAACGTGGGAGACAACAACAGCACGGTAAGCTTCTTCGTTCTGGTGGAAATATATCCTCCAAGAAGAGAGGAACGAAAGAGTCACAGCAGGCAAAGTTGTGTGATAGTAAGACGAAAGCGACTAAAGCTCTAGCTGGTCAAGATTATAACGGTGGACGACAGGGGAAGGCTGGTACGAAACAAGTCGTCCAAGAGGAGGAAGAGGTCGATGAACAGACTCTTAAGAAGAGAATGCTGGATCATGTGATAGAAAAACAGAAGAAGGAGCAGTTAGATGGCAAGAAGGAGTGGACCACAGCGGCAGATATCATAGCTGCTAACACTGGAGGGGACAAGGGAAGTCAATGTCAAGCACAAGAGGCAGGACCAGGCGCTGCAGGAGGAAATAAGACTGCAAAGGAGGGAACATCTTCAGGGGAAGGCGGTGGAGGAGGCGACCCCATGGATTTGTACAACTGCCGTTCATCTCGAAAGGGTGGCGCAAATGCTACGAAGACCACCACAAATCCTGCGGCAATTACGATTGTGTCCACGGCAATTACGATTATGGCCTTACATACAACGACGCTCCTCCATTTTGACTTCTAGCGGTCCTTCTCATTGAAACTTCTGCTCATTTTACCTCCACGACATGACTTTTACTTCATCTAATACCTCAACCTCCACATCTTCCGGCCGAGGACCACCACCACATCCTGGGCCTCCGCCTCTCCCTCCTGGAGTAGAGATGCCATTTCCAAACGCGTTTGCTTCAGCACAATGCAAGTTTCAACCAGGATCGAGGGCTTCGAGACAGACTAGTACTACTACGAAAGGTGCGCAGACCAACAATAGCACTAAGCTGGAAGGTGTTACTGTTACCACTGTAGCTGAGATGATGAAAAACCTTAGCGGAAGTGGAACTAAAAATGGTGACATCAGCAGTTGTAGTGCTACTGGTGCACCACCGAGAAAAGAACAAGATGAGGAAAAAGAACAAGACATAGAAGAAGACGAGGATGATGTGGTAGATTTTTTAGACGAAGAAGAAGACCGATTAGACCCTGTGAGCTTTGCAGATTTCGATTTTTCCCTCTTCGAGCTTGCTACGAAAACTGGTGGGATAGATGTGGGGAAGAGCAGTGCTGGTGAAAGAGAGGAATCGAAGAAGGCTAGTACGGATGAAACGAAGGCCAAAGATATTAAAGCAAAAGCGGGTAGCAGCAATATTGAGACGAAGGCTGGTGGCGCACTACCTACAATACAAGAGGTTCCATCACCAGCTAAATCGTCGAACAAAGTAGATTCTCGATCTACATCTTTAACTTCATGCACGACAACTAACACTACAACAAAGCCTAAGCCTCAAACTCTGAAGAAAATAACGTGCGGAAATAGAGGCTGCCCTACGCCTCTAGATGCTTCGCAACGGGAGGAGAAGATTCAGGATCTAGTGAAAATGATAGCTTACCAAAAAAACGGGATGGCCAAGAAAATGGAATTAGATGGGGTTCCTCCTGAAGATGATGATCATGACGTTGATGGCGAGGCAGGTTATGAAGATGGAGGAGTTAAAACAAGGAAGGATGTCGATGTGGATAATGAAGAAAAAAAGAATTATTCTTCTAGTACAGAAGCCGCTACATCAACATCCCCTACTAGTACAACTTGTTCTAGCGCTACAGCGGGCCCCTCTCCGGAAGATGATGAAAAGCAGAGTAGTATCGATGGAGGTAGTAGCAGTAGTGCAGAAGATGAATCTACTGAATCTGGTACAACAGGTGCACCTTCAGAGTCTACCAGCAAGAAGGAGAAATATAATAGTCGTGGCGCAGTTTCATTTGCTGACGACGTGGAGGAGGTCCTAGAATATGAGGTAAAAGATGAACAGCCGGAAAGGCTTTTACCACTTCTTGATTCCGATTCCATGCGAGGACCAGTATGGAGCTCGTCTGCTAACAGCGGGAACGGGCAAAACGATGTTGACTCCCCTGCCCCCACATCGCACAGTACTCCAACGGGGGGTCCGCAATTTGCCTCTAAGGCAGCTGAACTACGATCTGCAGCAGACAAAATGCTGGACAACGAAAAATGGGAACAGATCGGAACAGCACTAGGTCGCATCCCTATTTATCGTGAGAAGAAAGGAACGGCTACAGATGCGACGATGGATTTGCACGAAGATGACGATCATCGAGGCTCTCCTTCAAGTTCACCCTCGCATGGTAACAAGGGAAAATGCACAGAAGCTGAAACCACAAAGCAGGTGCAACGACAAGACGATACTACCTCGTCTTCTTCCTTGTCGCGTCGTGTTGTGATTCCTCCTGCGGGACGGAACGGAACTGTGGCTGATTTCGAGCAAGGTCATGAACTCGCAGAAACTGAATTTCGGCAATATTTGCGCGCAATTCAACCGGATTTTATGACCTGTTTGTTCATGGTGTGAGATATGATATATTCTTTGAAGGGCTACACGCTAGAGGTAAAAACTAACCGGTTGAGATATGATATAATCTATATCTGCTTCTATCCTCTTTGATAAGGCTCACTGTTTTTTTACGCATAGAACATAGTAAGGGTGAGAACATCTTCAACGGACTTCAGATTTCTATTCCCAAGACAATCTTAGTTTTACTATGACCAACACCAACCTTCTCCTCCTCCTCAACATCCTCCTTTCTTCATATCTCTGGTCTTGCGCATCGCCACTCGTTTCGGTATTCCTGTAGTCAAGGACGCTGACAAGCGCGTTGCAAAGCACTTTGCTCAGGAAATTAGAGGCTTAGCCGAGAGCTGGATGGTGCAAGTCCCACCGGTGCAGACTAGAATATGATGAAAAAACACTGGGACGACTGGGAGGTCAGGGTCGATGTTATTAATCTTGATGTACTGTACAGCTCTTGTTTCTTGACTAGAATCATTCGAAATGGGATGAACAATATGTTTATGTTGGAACAGTGAAGAAATCATTGTCGAATCGGAGTTTTGTTGTATTTCCCGCAGCTCAACGCGACTCAGCAAAGAACAAGAAGTAGAACTAGAAGTCCTACCTAATTTATGAATCGGACGAGTTTGAGTTACTCGAGATTTATCGTTGGAAAAAGTTCAAAGTCGTTTTTTTCAAACTGAATAGGAAGGTTTCTCAATGTAGAGCTAAAGTATGAGTGTTTACGAATCACGAAGTTAAACAGAGAACTGTACAACCAGCGCACGAGGAATCCTCACATGATAAACAAGACCAGCTGCAACAGAAATTCCTCATGAGCAGCACTCATTTGAAGTTGAAAAAGCTCTGAAAGTTCAAAAAAGAAATGAAGAACCAACTCCGAGAAGCAAGATCTACTTTGCCCACATGTAGATTGTCCCCGTCATGTTGCCGCGATCTATGATTGCTAACGTACATCTTCCGAAAACGGCAGAGTTCCTATGCGGATCTTGTTAATCAGGCCTAGCAGCTCACTAAAGGATAATGATCTTCAAATGACTCCTGGCTCTACTACTTCTACTGCTCACGTTCGACGGATCCTTTTTCCTGAAGACGTGGCGCTCGAACTGAAAGATGCCACTCTCCAGTTCAAGAAAGATTAAGATCTGAAGAAGAAGATCAAGATTTTTAATATTCTCCTGTCATTTAGATTTACCTTTACGTCTCTTATCATGATTTACCTGTATTAAACAGGACGCCATGATTATGTCTGCTGACGAACAAGTAGATCTAGATGTAGTAGAAGTAGATGTGTGATGAATGGATGAACGGCATGCATCAAATAGTCTTCGTTCCTAGATGAATCTTCTATTGCGATAAACCTTACATGTTGCAAGACCACTACTTGTAGACGATATTATCCATCTTCGTATGTTAACTGCTACAACGACGAGAAAATGAAGCGTCCATCAGAGGATTCACGAGGTGGGTCCACCACCGATGCCGCAATGAAACCTTTAAGTGCAACCCTCAATGTACAGACCAGTGTCTTGTTTCGTCCCGCCAGGACGATGGGTGTAGTGACGGACACACCGCCTTTCTCGCTCCAAAAGCTGGGAACTGCCGATTTCGTCACCGTCGCTTCAGGTAACAGCTACCAGGTCTACGACACTGAGAAATTACGTCTGTCCTATCTGTCGCCAGAGTTCAACGAACGCGTACGTGCGATTTTAACCGTCGGCGAGACGACGTTGACGGCTCTGGCGGACGCGGTTGTGGTCTGGCGAAAACAAGTGGAAATAGGTAGATTTGGTCCTGCTGGCGTGTGCAAAAATGTGCGACAAATGTGCAACATAGGCGGGCAATACGTGATCACAGTGGATAGCAGTGGTCTCGACTGTCAGGTGTGGGAACTGAATGCTGATACTAGCGCATCAGGAGCAGGAGCACCTACTCCAATCGGCGCAAGTTCATCTCGTAACAAGTGCAATCCGCGATTGCATGGACGAATCCAACCTGTGAAAGCAGGAGATCGCATTCTCAGTGTCGCAACGGTGCCAACTTTTTTAAACAAGGTGCTCATCGGAACGGAGAAGGGTGACCTGATCTTGGTCAATGTGAGAACGTTAAAACACGTATTCTGCTTTCAAAATCATCGAGAGGTGGAAGCTGGTTCTAGAAGATCTATGAAGAAGAAAGCTGGAGATTCTGAGTCCTCAGAAGAGGAAGATAGCACCTCAGCTGCACTTTCGGCAGACGAGATGAACGAAGATAATGATGAGGATCTTGCTCAAGACGGCGCCAAAGAGAACAAAAACGCCAGCAGCGGAGAAGATGGTATAACATGCATCGCCGCTTGTCCTACTGTGCTTGACGTAGTAGCGCTGGGATTCGCTTCCGGTCGCGTACTCGTGTTTCACGCCAAGAAAGACGAAGTTTTAGTCGAGTTCCGTCAATCTAACGGAGGCCGAATCCATTCGCTGTCGTTCCGCAGTGACAAACTCCAGAAACAACAGCAGCTCATTTCTGCAAGTGAGATTGGCTTTGTCGTTTGGGACCTCACGAAAAAAGCCGTCTCCCACGTCGAACCGGTGCTGGAGTGCGCAAAAGCTTGTTTCCTTCAGCAACAGCCGTTTCTAGTTGTTCAGGGCAAGAATTCCCTTTACATGTTCGTGTTCGATACGCCTGACGGCTTGCCGAGACCACTGAGATCCAGAAAGGGAACGACCGGACCAATTCGCGCCATGCAGTATTACCAACAGGACGGGCACGAATTGTTGGTAGCATGTGAAAACACGGTCGCAAAAATCAGTACGATCCAAGCTCACCAGAATCGAGAGTTCTCACCAGCGGCTTTGCCCGAAAAACTGCCGCCGATCACGACACTCAGCTTTAGCGCAACAAGACACTTTGACTGGCCAGCGGTTGTCACGGTACTAGAATATGTTTCTTTGGAAGTAGACGATGGAGATACTTAGGAATAGAGATAGAGATAGCCTCCTGGAAAACATTCACCTTGACAGTATGTCATAATGAGGAGAATACAACAGCTAAATGCTTAGCAGAACTACCTGTTACAAATACAACTAAATTCATCGGAACTCCTTGTTACAAATACAACTAATAATTCATCGAAATATCATCAAAATTACAGGCTCACCGCGATTGTCGCACTGCGTATTTATGGTCCGCTCAGTACCAGAGCTTGATCCCGAAGAAAATTGAGCGCTCAGACAAAAGCCTTAGTGCCGTCACGGGTCTTACGGTCACGGCCTGTGGTAATTGGACAATCGTCGGGTATGCTGACGGAACCCTCCACCGTTTCGCCATTCAGTCTCAACAGTCACGAGGCGAATTTTCCAGGAAAGGAGCAGTTGTGAACGGCCAAACGACTAGGCTGTCTGCACACGCAAGCTCGGTGACCTGTGTCACAGTCACGAAAGAATTGGAGGTACAACTTGAACGTAAAAAAATGAAAATGAAATCGAAAAAATTCATTCGCAGACACCTCCCTTCTTGACCTCCTTCTTTTTCATCATCTCTCTGGATGTGTTTACTTCTGTAGTCTCTCTGTCAAATCTTCTCCAAAAGGTGATCAGCGGTTGTTCCGAGGAGAAGGATCCTTATTTGCGTGTCTGGAGACAGCGCACACAGGAATTGCTAGGTGAAATCCGCTTACCGACTGGAGCCCGCTTTTTCACGCGCCCTCTAGGATCGTTGCTTGCAGTCGCACTCATTGACGGCTCCGTCGCTGTCGTAGATTTGCTCTCGAAGCGTGTGGTGAGACACTTCAAGGGCCTCAGCTCTCAGGTGCTGGCTTTGGCGTTTCGCAAAGATGGTCGATGGCTAGCCGTCAGCTCAGTGAGTGGCAAAGTACACGTCTTCGACCTCGCGTCGGCTCGCTGCATCGACGTTTTGCGGTTCAGCTCTCCGGTGTTGAGTTTGGAGTTCTCTCCGAACAGCGCATACCTTTTGACTTGTCACCCAAAAACCGCAAGGCTAGGTGCCGTCCACGTTTGGGCCAACAAGTTCCTGTTCGAATTGGACCATAGTGCGCCATTGCTGAGAGCAGAAACCGATATAGCCAGTGTTGGTGTTGAAATGGACACAAAGCCTAGCAGTTCTGCTGCATCCTCATCTCTATCCTCAACATCTCCTGCCCTGAAAAAGCCGAAGTACATTGCCGAAGCAGTCGGAAACAAAACTGCTGCAACGATTGCTGATACCACAGAAGCCATGAAGAGACTGGAGAAGGAGAAAGCGGGTGATAGTGACAAATCTAGCACAAGTGTTGAAGCTTGGCGTGATGCTGAAGACATATCAGAACAAAAATCTTATGATGCTTCTGCTGACAGTTCTGAGAACTTGGATGAAAAAGAAATCGAAAAACTCTTCAAACAGCTAGATGATGTCGGGCGACAGGAGGAGGACCAAGAAGATGGAGCAGTTTCTAGAGGTACGACAGAGTTGAAGCTCTCTGGCGTTCCCACCTCAAAGTGGGAATCTATTCTCCATTGGGAAGCGATCAAGGAACGAAACAAGCTAGCTCAACCTGAGAAGGCGAAGAAGGCTGCGCCGTTCTTTCTTCCGACGACCTATGAGGGTGCCGAAGCGAAGTTCTTGAAAGTCACAACTCCTGATGGTGCAGAGGGAGACGAGGATCCATTTGCGGTCGCAGAAGCTGCGATCGCAGCCGAAAACGAAAAACTATCCAGTGGCGACTTGCTAGCTGGGTCAGGTCTTGATTTGAAAGACAACAGTAGTTTCTTCCTGGGCGGTGAAGTAGGAGGTTCTTCTTCATCTACGTCTCCTGCGACTGGTGGAGCGGCTGCTGCTAGTGCTGCAAACAAAAGAGGCAACAACACTAAAGGATCGACGTCTAGTAGTGGTACAGCTTCAACAAGACTCCTGAATTTCGAAACAACCTCAAAAATCGGACTTTTCAATGATAAAAATGCCTTTTCATCAACGTTGCAGAAACTGCTGAGGAGAAGAAGAGATGATGGTGGAGCAGAAAAATCGTCAACGGCAATACTCGATCAGGAGATCCTAGTGTACCTTGAGAACCAAACCCAGTCAGGAGTTCACTTGGCACTTTCCGAGCTGGGTCCGCTTGCTGGCGGCGACGACGAGGAACTGACCCAGATGCTAGACTTCTTCCGAACACAGCTGAACACTGGTTTGCACGCAGACCTACTGCAAACGTACCTAGCAGTTTTTCTAAGGAAACACCATGCCGACCTAGACCACAGCAGTGACCTATTGCTGCAGTTGAGTGAAGCGCAAGACAGAACGTGGGGAATCGTTCAGGCAAAGTTTCAAAAATGCATCTCCTTCTTACGAATGCTCACGCAAACGCAAACGCAATGGTAACCATGAGTTGGTCGCCGGGTGGGTCGTTAACTCAAGTGGTGTCGCAAAAAATTCAAAAGAAAAGTTCAGGCATCCTTGAACTCACCGAGCATCTTACATTGGTGTCCTATTTCTCCGCAATTTCTCAAACTGACTCTTGCACTAAGTAGAACCAAACTGATATCTAGCATTACTATGCGGCTGGCACTGCCGCGCCCCGATGGCTGGATTCACGACTCGTGAGCATAGACTCGCACTCGCTGATATCAGCTGATTCAAAGTGTTCATAACACCGAAAATAGCGATATTTTTAGCAGTCATTCTTTCACATTTTTTTTTCGTTGTTAGAGGCTGTCGAGAGCGAGCGACACAACAAAAAAAAGGAGTGAAAAGCTTGAGCAAAGGTGTTTGTCGACAGCGGTGGCTGCATTATCTGTTCATGAATCAACATCATGGATTCCCTCTCTTTCCACCTCCTCGTTCTCCTACGATGCACCTCGCGTCACGACTCATTCTTGTTCGTAGTAACTACGATCTACGAACATTCAACATTTCGAGCTCGAAGTACGGTGGTCTACTTGTACGGCCTTATACAACTACTTGACCTGGAAACTAGACTGTTAAAACTTGTTGCTGTATTGTTATAGTTGAACGGACCTAACTAGAAAGAAGAAAGACCAGAAAAAATCGAAATGGCGCCTTCCTTCAGCCGCCTAGGGCGTGCTGCGCTGCTCTCTTCAGGTCTTTGTCCTGTAGTGTCACAGTTGATTCTGGACTACACGAACCTTGCAGAGACGAATACAACGAAGTATGAAGATGCGCTCAAGAAGGATCAGCATCCACTTTACAAAGCAAGAAATCCTTTTGCTAAGGCTCAACTTTCAATGGTCATTGGGGTTGGTCACTGAGATCGAAGGGGTTGGTCACTTGAGAACACAGGGGAAAACACAGGGAGAACAAGTAGAGGGGTAAAGGGCCCTTTTCTTTCAGCATCAGTGACCAATGAATGCTGAGCTTTAATTTTGCTAGTGAGACACCGATTGTACATGAAACGATATTGAAGGAAGGAATCGCAGAGTGCGACCCACAAGTGAAACAGCATAGCGGGTAAGAAAGAAATAGCACTTATTTGGATTCAGATCGCTGTTGAATCTTCAAAATAATTGTACCTACTCTTGATCTTGTTCTTCCTTCTAAGTACTTCCAATGACTCTCCTCCTGTACCAATGTACATGGCATTCGATGGTTGTAAACAAAACTTTCACAACTAAGGTACATCGCATTCGATGGCAATGGAGGTGCGAAGAAGAGCTACTTTTTTTGGCTGTTCGAGGCCAGAGAAGCTGACCCGGCCAAAGCACCACTCGTCCTCTGGCTTACAGGTGGTCCAGGTTGCAGTTCTATCATTAAGGCTGTGCTGGCTGGTGGAATAGGAATTCATTGACTTTTCTCCATTCGAACGACGAGAATACATGTGAGCGACAAAACAAGTTGTTTTGTCGCTCACATGTATTCTTGTTTTATACAACCTCCTCTTGGTCAATGACTCACTACAGCGCTGAATACTTGCCACAGCTTGATCGACCACTAAGAAGTAAGAAGACATTCTTAGACTTAGTCTTCCCCATCCTCCAGCTGCTCCTCATACCCATCTTCTAATCCAATGGCCCTCCTATCCGAGAACGGACCTTGCTCAGTAGGCGAGGACGGCAAGAGCTTGAAGCCCAACCCGTATGGTTGGAACCAAAAATCGAACGTCATTTGGGTCGACCAGCCAGCAGGGACCGGATTCTCAGAAGGTACGACCTGAATTGAGTCGCTGCATTTTCTCTATCACTATCAACTATCCCTTGTTTCGTAATATTAACCTGATTCCTCACAGCACGAGATTTATTTAGTAGTTGTCTTCTAATTCTAATTCTATGCTAATATGTTGAATCATCTACAGGTGACTACGACCACAATGAGGAAGGTGTAGCGGAGGATATGTATGCTTTTCTAGAGGGATTTATGAAGCAGTTTCCGCAGTACAAGCCACTCGACTTTTTCATCACCGGAGAATCCTATGCGGGACACTATGTGCCGGCGGTATTTTTGAGTTAATTTTTTTCATGGTGTTTGTTAATACACTGACTCAGCGTTTATTTTTTAATGGTGTTTGATTGTTATTTAATACACTCAGCGGTTGTAGTTTTGGAGGAAGTGTAGGCACGGCAACAACTTATGCATTTGGTCGATATTTTCGAACGACTCTCATGATTAGTATCGCCCCTTGAATTTCATCTCTGAACCACTTGTTCTACACCTTCTCCTCAGATCGGCCACCATGTCTACAGCATGAACAAGAAAGCCTCGGACGCAGACAGGATTAACTTGAAGGGTTTGGCGATTGGAAACGGTCTCACAGACCCAGAAGAGCAGTACAAGTGGTACCCAGAAATGGCCTATGATGGTGGAAAATCGAAGGGTGGATCCCTGGAAAAAGGCGTCATCACGAATCCAGTGACGCAGGCGATTATGAAGGTACTTAGTATTATTTTGGTTTCGAGGAAGTCGAGAGCAGCTTCTTCACTGTCGAGCATTATCCGACGAAGGATAGGAAGCCAAGTCGAGGGCCGCTCGTTTGTCCCTGTGTTTTAAATCATAACCTGTTTTTGTAGGTCGTTTTTTTAATGCTGGCGTTTATTACTACTAGCTACTTGTACTTGGACTGATCATTAGCTAGAGCTACGGATGGGGAGTAAAAGACAGCAATCTCCATTCTTGAAGGACATCTTCAAGAGATAACCAGCAAGCAACCAACATCGTTTTCAGGGCGGCGTCACCCCCTGCGTAGAGGCAATCAAGTCCTGCAACGCTGGGTCGACAGCAGGCTGCATGGGTGCATTTCTAGTATGCAACTATGCTGAGACAGTGCCGTACCAGTTCACAGGCATGAACGTCTACGATATGCGGATTAAGTGCGAGGTGCCACCACTCTGCTACGACTTCAGCCAAGTCACTTCTTTTTTGAACTTATGGAAAGAAGTTTTGAATGACGATGACCACCTTCCAAGAATCGTAATCAGATGGAATGGGCAAGGATGACTCTTGATCACATGATTTCAGTCTACGAGTACAACGAGACTATCTACAACGTTTATTTTTTCTAGTTCCTACCGACGAGTTGTCATGATGACTTTCCTCCACAGCTCCAACCCCTTCTAACCCGCGACCCCGACGTCCAATCCAAATTAGGCGCCAAAGGCAAATGGGCCAGCTGCAACATGATGGTGAATGCCTTCTTTAGAGCGGATTACATGCGGAATTTCCATCTGAAGATTCCGGAGATGATGGCAGACGGCATCAGAGTCCTAGTGTATGTTAAGGCTTCCCCTAAAAATCCATCTCTGTACAAAATACAAGGAAGACGCTGACGCATATCTATATGCTTGAGGGATTTCCACAGGGATAAATAGGTGAGAGCTCTAAGGATGCAGGAGACGTGGATTACATCTGCAACTGGCTCGGAAACAAAGCTTGGACGCTAGCATTGCCATGGTCTGGAAAGGATGCATTCAATTATGAATTTCATTTTTCTCGTAGTACAGCTACTACTCGTAGAAGCAGAGTTCGAAAAGCTATTAAACCATGGTATCCATCGATAAAGGTGTCGATGATTTCGTTCATCTGAAGTTTAACTCGAACAGCGGGAAATCCTCATGCTCATTCTCCAATATTCTCTAACCTATCGCCGCCGCAGATGCAGACTACATCCTCAGCGACTCAGAGGGAGGTGAAAACAAGGCAGTAGGTCGCCTCCGACATCACGAGACGTTCTCATTCTTGCAGATCTATGCAGCTGGCCACATGGTCCCGATGGATCAGCCAGCAGTGGCATTGAAGATGCTGAACGAATTCACTTTTAAGGATAATTCCTTTTGTTTTGAGAGCAATAGCGTTGATACAACTGATAGATAGGGATATTACTACAGATAGACTTAATAGATAGAAATAATCAATTCATGACAATGAATGGACGATAACGATCAAAGACACGAAAAAACCAAAACCAAAAGATGATACTTACCAATAATAGTTTGAAAAGATATCAAGTTCTTTGGTATTCCTAGGTCCACCTCGTCATCAATACTAGCAAAAATAGCAATAGCCCTGCTGCCGTGTTCTATGTAGTAAAAATAGCCCTTGTAGTTCTAACTTATCCGCAGACGGAATGGGCAAGACCACAACCTCATCATCGGCAATGGCCAAGACGAAGAAGACATTTTTCAAGAAGAGCGTCTCAGAGGTACAAACACAACAGGAATTGTACAACTAGAGACTGGGAGACTGGAGGATGGACATTGGATTTGGAACAGAGGTGGCTCATGAAAAATAGTTGATATGGCGCATGGGGACGGATGTGGGGATGTTGAGGTACTTACTACCTCAATGAGGTAGGTTGGGAAGGAGTATTTTTTTTGAACGAATTTCTGTGCAAGTGTACCAAATGTGTATGGGCGTGAGTTGTCGAGAAGATCCTCCCTGTTATGCTTGCTAAGCATTCTTGACCACGCGTGCGCGTCGTCTACTCTAGTTCTAGTAGATGACACAAATCGTGATTGACGATTGATGTTGAAGGAAAGATCAAAAAACGAGAAGTATTCGCATCGATTACAACCCGCCCGGCAAGAAGAGTTATTCACAGATTTTTTGGTTTTGATTTTGCTGTTGATGTCTTGTGTAAAATTTTTTGGTAATAAAGACATCATCATCAAGAAGCAACGGGTACGACGAACTATCCTAAAATAGAGAAATTCCCAGATATCATTCGACATTGTTCCATCCAACATTTTCCTTTTGCTTCGTGTGTACGTGGAGTCACACTCGACCTTGTAAGCTACAGCGAAGCAGAACCCAACGCAACAGTGCTTCCTCGATTACTATTGCTATTGCATAAGCAACAAGCCAAAAAGTGCAAGATTACGTCCAGCTCCAGCAGTAGTCGGCAAATGCGATAAATGAACACGATTTATTATTTTCAGGACCCGTCAGTTTCAGTTCAGTCTGACCGCGGAGACGTAATTTCGATTGATCATGCTACTTTCTGCTGGAGGCGTGATGTCCTATCGATCTTACGAACCAAATGGTGACGACCTATCAGGAAGCTCTGCCAACACCAAAGTGAAGGATCTTCTACAACGAACTAAAAAAGATCACAATCACGAATACGCTTGTATACGCACCTGCATCCATGAACATCTTCATGATGTACTCCAAAATTGGCTTCATCTAGATCTACTACAAAGATCCTAGCAGATCACGGGTATGAGATTCAGGATGACGATCTCAAAAATAACGATCAAGAAATAGAGATCTTATTTGCCAGCCAAATTATACTTGACCTACCTGTTGTTGCGTGCAATCAAGAACATCAACATTTTTCTCGTCAGTTGGAGAGTCGACATGGTGTAGAGCAAGAGCATGTTGTTGTTGTCAAATCCATGTAACATGTTTACGTTCGTACTTCTTGTCTGAATATTACTAGGTCGAAAAGAACATGGCCGTCCCAACCTTGAACACCGCTACGACTACCTTCAGCGCCAAGCGGCGTGCTGAATTTCTTGACGACGGGCATGAAGATAAGCGTCGTCGTGTGGAAGAGCTTCGGCACCTCGCTTTCGCCGACGATGGCGCAGATGAAGATGACATTTCCGACCTGGACGAACCGAGCAAGGACCAGGAAGATGAACCAAGTTGCATGGGTACTAAAGACTTTGTTGAGCTTCAGCAAACTCACCACGTAGGACATCAAGCACCAGTCGAACAAGATGCACGACCTGGTGCAACATCAGCTGTGGCGAGTAGCTCTTCTATTTCTGACTTACGAAGAACGCGAATGATTGGTCCAGAGGCAAGGAACCTGAATTACAGGCCTAACAACAACGCTGCCTATAGAAAGAACAAGAGTAACTTTCGGCGACGTTCTAAATTTGCAGGATTGTTCATGCAACCAGATTGGCTAGTACCTACTCCGGATGTCGTGCCGAGTGACCTGATAGCGGTATCATCAAGTAGCTCTTCAGGAGCCTCGTCCACATCGAAAAATAGCAAGGGTTGGTTTTGCTGCGTCCGTCCCGAGGGCGACCGCGTTTTGGTTTTCTCAGATGGAGGCAATACCCAGATTCGCCGTAGGAATGGGACAGTCTTACAAACCTGGTTCCGGGATACGAGATTTCCGAAGGGACAGACGATATTAGATTGCGTTTTGAGTACGAATTCAGCTTCATCAAGCCTTGGTGGTCGAGGTCATGGTGGCAGTCTTTACGTTATGGACGTCTTAGTTTGGGCGGATCTTGCCTTGTACGACGCCGAGTTTGAGTTTCGGCACTTCTGGCTCCAGTCCCGTATGCAGGAAGCGGATTGGGCGAAGGAAGTGCCTTTCGTATACTTGAACAATAACCCTAGAAGTGGTGGTGGTCTGTCGAACCAGAACAACGGAACTGGTAACAAGGGACAAGGCCGTGGAAATCGTCGGCGGCGAGGGGGAGGAGGACGTAGGGCTGGCGCGTCGAGAAACGAGATGCAAGTTGACAATTACTTTCTATCTCGTAACGAAGGCGAAGTAGAGCACGACAATACAGAGTCGACAGCAGCTGGCGTCATGGAGGTAGAAGAGGGTCCTCCGCACGGTCCTCCCCACTCCGAAATGATCGGGCCAAGCCTCCCCCCTTCGATGGATGGAGTTGAAGGAGGTGAAGAAGCACCACTAGCAGCTCGTCTGAACGAAGTGGACCAGCACATAAAGGTCAAGAAACCGATCAAGAATTTGTTCAGACCATCAAATTCAAAGGACAAGGATCAGCAGATGACAGAGGATTCAATGCCTGCAGCCGCTGCGGCCGTCGACCTCAACTTCTACGTAGAAGCTGCTACAAAAGGCAGCAGTTCTCGTCTTACCGCTTTCAGTCTTCACCTTGTCGCTCAGGAGGAAGTTGCCTCCGTTGCGAGGTTACAAGAACTGTACAAAAGCGAAACGCAATACGTCCCTGACGGTTTGCAATTTTCGCATCCTGAATGCCGCTACATGCCAGGATGGTCGCCCTTGGTGCTTGTTTGGAGGGATTTCCACTGCAGCCGATACGCCGTCGAAGACTTGGCGTCAGCATTTGCGAACTCATGCTCTGTTGGAAGTGCGACTTTATCGGCATTATCGTCAGGCAACACTGCTGTGCATATGCAAGACGATCATGATGTTGATGACGACCGCGATGACGTGGCTAGTTTTTGTGTGTTGCAACTGCGTGAGGACGGCAAGCTATGCACAGGCGATGACCTTGTGGTAGCCGAAATAGCTTCACCGGTGACGGTAAAGGAGCCTGCTCTTGTCACACCATACAGTTGCAGAGACAACGATGAGGAAGACCACATATCAACAGCGATAGTACAGGAACATCCGCATCCTACAAGCAATCCATCAGCATCAGTGAATTCGAGTCGAACCTACGCTTTTTCAGCTGGTAAGTTCTTGCGTATACCGATCAAGGGGATTGACCGCGAGCAGGCGAGAGTGATCCCAGGACCGATGACCTTAGTCCGTAGAGCCCGATCAAGAATCTACGCTGATAGCTGGAATCGCATTCAGTTTCACTACCTCCTCAGAACAAGGCCCAACGAAAACCTCTTTCAACATTTGTGTGATGTGATTGCTGCAAATCATGCAGCTACAGAAGGATAAGACGGCTATAATACCCAGGTTGGTCCATTCGCGACATAGACGGACCAGGACTACCTTTCTCCCTAGCCCTTAATTTTCATATCCTGAGCTTCTTCATAACGGCACATCTACCGTCCCTGTTTCTACAGGAGGGAGTGGAATTCGTTGTGTTTGATATTAATTGGTGAAGACACGTCGTACTACTGTTCTAGACTGAGATAGAGATCGCCAAAAGTTTGGTCCTGATGATCAAGGAACAGATCTTGTCTGCTCTAGGCCTAGCTCCACGCTCCAAAAACCAATGTGATCCGACATGCCACGTGGGAGATCGAGATCTCAAATGAGTCGAAATTATCCTAGGATCGACAAGGCCTTCGCTGAAGCTATTTGTACTTATGTTATCTCTGATAATCGTTGTAAATTCTCGCCTAATTATCGTATCATTTCACAAAAACTTATGCAGAGGTGATGTCATCTTCGTTCTAACGATGTTCTCATCTCTTCATTCTCGTTTGATTGACTAGGCAACTACATCTATATAATATATCACAGAATAAAGATGAAGATCGACCGCGCCAAGCGAGCTAGCAAGGACTTGCGGCGCTACCGCATGGTCTTCGGAGTCACTGAGCCGTACAGAGTCCTACTAGATCCGACCTTAATTCACGTGGCACTGGAGTCCAAAATCCACATCAAGGAACAGCTTAGCAAACTCCTGGGCAGCTGGAAAGTAACGCCTATGGTCACCTCTTGCGCGATCAAGGAACTAGAGCAGTTAGTCGAAAAAGTAGGCGGACAATACAAAGGAGCCTTGAAAATCGCGAAAACATTTTATCACTTGAAATGCGGACATGTTGATCAGTCTTGTGCGAGTGCGGGTAGGGAGGTGCAGGAAGGCCAAGTAGACAAGAACAAGAAGCAGAACAGGAATGTGGAAGGTCAAGGCGCTGTAGTAGATGCCTCTGCGTCAAGAAAAGATGATGAAACTGGCGAAAGTAAAAGAGAAGATGAAGATGGTGAAGATGAGCCCAAGCTTAGCCGACAAGCGAGGAAAAGGAGACGAAAGACCCAAGCAAAACAGGCAGAGCAGGCAAAAAACAAGTCTTTCTCCGCGTGTGAGTGTATTTCCAACCTATTCAGGATGTGCCCGAAAGACGCCGATGGGGCGAATCTACAGGAGATAACTTCTACCTCTAGTTGTTGTTCTAGCGTCGAGGACGCTACTTCAAGAGGCGACGGTGTCACGGCAGAGCGTAATTTCCGTTCTTGGCTTGTTGCTTCTCAGGATGAAAACTTGAAAAAGTCATTGCGACAGATCCCAGGTATTCCGATTCTCACTTTGCACGGCCAAGTTCCAGGTCTAGAAACCTTGTCCGAGGCAAGCAAGCGCTATTTGTCCACCTGCAACACCGACAGAGTGGAAAATTGCCTGTCGGAATGGGACGCCAAACACATGCCAGTCTTGCAGAGAGAAAAGCGCTTGCGCGAAGCTGAACTTGAAGCAAGGAAAGGCAAGAAGAAGCGGATGCGTGGTCATAGGCCGAATCCGTTGTCATGTCTCAAAAAGAAAAAAAAGTCTGCTACTGCGGTGCACAAGAAAGTACGCAAAGCAGATGGCGATGGAACCGCGGGAGACGAGGTGAAAAAGAAAAAGACGAGGAGTCGGAGCAAGAATAAAGTAGGTGGGAACCAAACCAACACAGGACCAGAACCTGGTGAGTAAGTAAGATGACTCTCTAGTACCTAGAAGTTGCACTCGTTCCCTCTCTCCGAAACATGTTTTAATTACTCCAAGAGAGGTTAAACTACAACCTACTACTACGTACTACTACCTAGAGGTTCTTGCAGGTCCTCTTGCTTCAACTAGGACAACTGCTTCGAAGATGCAGTATCTATTGTGACCCCAATGATCCCAAATTTACTTCAAATTCAAAACCATGCTGGAGATGAATACCACGACACAAGATAACAATGCTAGCAACCATTTGCTTCGGATCCGAGGAGGACGATAAGTTCCTCCACCTCGAGGACTTGTTCATCTTGACTTGCAAATCATTGCAATCTTCGAGTTGTCGACCTTTCTTTGAGAGTCATCTACATCTACTTCTAGGCTCAATATCTACATCTTCTTCTCTGTCAATTATGCGTGTCTACATTTACGCTATGGCTAATGCTAATCTAGTAGTGAAAGAAGAAAGAAATAACATCTAGAGATCCTCCAAAGTACTAGATGCGGTCGACTGAAAGAGTGGCATTCTTCATGGACAGAAATCGGTAAACGCAGAAGCAACATCAACGGAAATAGAAATATCTCGAGTTTGAGTTGCACCAAACTGAGAATGAAAATGATCAAAGGAAGAAATCAGAAATCCTCATAGTCATGGACTTGATATTCCAATGGCAATCTTCCAAATCCAGCCGAAAATACAAAGAAAGAAATCAGAAGTCCTAAATCATGTCGCAAGAAGGACATTCCACATTTGAGAACAACTACAGTCGAGGTTGCAGACTGATACCCTACGGTGGTCGTCACGAAAGGCGATATCAGGGCAACAAACATGATGATGATATGCTATTCGATTACAAATACAACGGTAGCTCATGAGATTTAGTGATGTAGGGCCATAGTGGTCATGGACTTGATATTCCAATGGCAATCTTTTTCTCCAAATCTTCCAGGCGAAGATACAGCTAAATTTTAGCCTCCGCAACCGCATACAACTTTGATGTTGTCCTCATATTCTTTGAAACTTCAATAAGAACGAGAACCTTGTGGTCCTTGATGATTTTCGTTTCTCGGAAATACCTACACATACTTACACCAATAATAGCCTTTTGATAGTTTTGTTTCTATTCATTGTCCTTACAAGTATCGTTTTGGAAATCTTTTTTTTGACCCTTTTTTATTCCTCTAGATCGATTTCCCGAGATCGATTTTTTGAATTTTCACCCTGTCCCGAGATCGATTTTTGAACTCCCATCGAACAACATAACCTATTGCTTGTTTTGAAAATACATACATACCCATACTTCTTACTCTTTCGGAGCAATAAAGAGAATTCTTATCGATAAATTGAATGATTTGTTGAGGTCTTAATCTTATTCTATTGTTCTGAAAACAAACAACAAAAACAAAATGGCACCGTCAGCGCTCGCTCATAACAAGAGAAGTTTAACATCTTCCGCGAACAAGATGGAGGTGCGGAAGACGTCGAAGATGGTCTCTAGAACCTCAATGGCACAGCTTTTGATGGTCATGCTTTCGTTGCCTTCACAAGCAGAAGGTGCTGGTTTCCAGACTTCAGAGGGAACTCAGGGGCATGGAAGTGTAGGAAGTTTTCTTCCACAACAGGTGGGTCAGGATGAAAGTGACGAACCTCCTCAGGGACAACAGGTTCAGGAACCGGAACCCGCTCTCGATGACTTGACCAGAAGAATGCGTCGACTTGGACTGGACGATGCTGCTCCTGAGCGTGGTGCTTTGTCTCCTGAAGGGTTTGGATTACTACCCGCGCTCATGTTCTTGGATCAGAATCAGGCTCCTCCTCATGATCCTGTTTTCCATTGCAACTTTTGGTTCTATCACGTGGTCGAAGAACACGATAGTAGACAAGAAACGCAAGATGACACAACTTCAGCATCGCTGTACGGAGCTCAGAAACAACTTGAGATGGAACAATCAGAAAAGTTATGTAGCGAATTCAGTACTGAAGGTGGACGAGGACGAACAACTGAAGCTGGTACTGCAAGAACTGGCCCAACTGACACTGCTGTCCAAGAAACGTTTCCCACTGATGGCCCGCGAGGGCTCACTCTGTCCGACGTGGACGATGCAATGAAGCAGCAGATGGAGTTTCGCGCTGAAAATTTGTCCTGGTTGCATCCCGAGTTAGGCAGATGGGCGGTCGCATCTGCAGTGTTGCGCAATCAGGAAGAGGTGGCGACGAACTACAACCCGAAGACTTTGGAGGGACTGAAACAAGAATTTGATGAGAAGCATGGATTTGGAGTTGGACTTGAAGATCAGCATGGAGACCATCTGGGAGCAGGACTAGGTGAAGGAGCACGACCACAAGGATTCCCAGCTCTGGGGTCTTCTGTTCTTAAACACAAGCCGTCAGAACTGGAGAAATTTGTCCTACAGCAGAAAGAGATGAAGAAGCAGAACATACAGGAAAAGAAGCAAAGCATACTCATCAAGAAACCACAGGAGATGGAAATTGACGAACAAGACGATGACGAAGGTGCGCGGGAACAGCGAGACGCGTTCTTAATCGAGAATCCAACTTGGTCTTCTCCTGCTGTAGGATTAGGCACCGGAGAATCTTTACGTAATATTAAAAAATCTCTAGAAGGAGCAGAGCCAGAAGCAGAAGAATCCACACGACTCTCCTTTTCCGCTGTGGTCCTTGCTTGCGATTACTTTTCGAAGCGTGCTGGAGAATTAGACTACTTCGTGCGAGGAGGTGGAGGAGTCGCGCAACCTGCGTCGCAACAAGTATTTCCACGTCAACAAGTCGAAATTGAGATAAGTCCAGAATGGAAACGTGAACTGCAGGAACAAGAAGATCGACGACTACTTGGTAAGGGGTGGGGTACCAACCAAAAGCGATTCCATTTTCCCGAAGGGGATATGATCGAGACGGTGCCAGAGCTGCGCGTGTCACGGTTTGTGGACTTTGTTCGGGTTCTCGGTCCAGAAATCGACAAGATGCTGACACCAGACCGGGATTTTGACTACGAGAGTTTATATTCCGTCTATGCGATGGAGGACTACGCTTTGACGGCAGAAGAATGCCACATTTAAGGCTTCCACAAATCCATCTTCAAGGGCATCCAGGAAACGTTTTTAGAGGGGAAACAGCTCTCAGGATGCGCTTTAGGATTGATTCAGGGAATGTCTAAGACATACCCGACGTTCATCACATTTCACCACATGCACATATTAGTATTAGAAGGAGCTCTCGCCACAAATCCAAGACTTCTACGAAAACGACCGCCAAACCACGTCACCCGATCGAAACGATGCAAATGACATATCTACGTGCGGCTGTTGCTGTGGCGCTTGCGCACTTTGATAAAGTCCCCTTTTGGGAGATGACTGAGAAAGAGAAGCTGAGGCGAGACTTCATACTCCAACAAGAGGAGATGAGAGAAGTTTATACCTCAACGACTGGAGATGCGTTAAGGCTCTCACTAATTCATCCTGCAAGTGCATCCTTGAAAAGTATGAGGGAGTATCTACCGGAGGGAACAAGTACTCGTCTCCCACACTACTTTTCAAGGATGTACATCATCAAGGACGAATATCGGACAGCCCTAAAAAATGAGGACGCTGCCACAAGAGCGAAGATAATGACTGAAGAGTGGAAGGCCGCTTTAGTCGAAGAGGTGTTGAACTTGATCAAGATGACTTACGACGCGTTTTCCTTGAAGCAAGTCGCGCCTCCGACGCCGTTGATGATGAACGCCGGGAAAACGTGGAACTTCGCAACTTGCTTTACTTATGGGTGTAGCTGTAGGGAATTCGAATTCATCATCTGAATGGTTCTGGTATTTGGTAACCTGAATTTGATCCTAACAAGGGTTCTCTTCTTGTTTTCCCTTAGGATCAAACTCAGGTTACCAAATACCAGAACCATTCACATCCCCAAACAAAGCATCTCTTAGAGAGAGAACAAGACACGTCGAGGGAAAAGAGGCCCAGAAGATGATCCCTGGGATGAGTCTCCTACTCGCTCCTACGCATTTTCTAATTTACTCAGGGAACTTTCGATCCAGTGAGGCTGGATGATAACTTGAAACGCATGTACTACGGCGCGCACGGCGTTCAAGTGCAGGCTGTGTCCGCGGGGCCCGCTATGGAAAAGTATAAAAATGCCGCGATGAAGAGCATCTTAAGGCTGCAAGAAATTCCCCTCTCCCAGCAACATCTTGGTCTTCCCGTTTTTCATCAGGGAACCCACGGGCGCACCAGGATGAGTCGTCGGAAGAGGGATTTCGCTTGGTTCTAAGCATTGAGTACCTCCGCAAGACGAAGGTGCGCCGACCGCCTGTGTTGGCCTTCTATCAGGATATATGCCACAATGGCGTGCTAGATTTTATTACATGGAAGGATGCAAACAAACATGGATTCGACAAATCTATTGGGCAACACCATGTCGCTTTGATGGTATTTTTTCAATTAGTTTCTTTCACACCTGCTTTTCTTTCTTAGTCGGATTCAAAAGCAAGTAGAAGGCTCAAACCGGTTGTTGTCTCGTCTATGGACTACTATCATTACTTACTATCAGCAAGAATACAACTCCAACTAAGCACGTGCTTAATCCTAATAAACATCTACATCGGCGTGTTGTATACCGGTAAATCTCATATTTCTTTAAACTAGTACACTCAATTATGAACAGCGTCATACTCATAACTCATTTTCATGCTATCTCTTAATCTTCCACATCACTTTGACGGCGAGAACACAATTACAAAGCTTACTAATACTAAATTTGAAACAACTCTAGGTCGCGGACATTTTCTACGAGTTTGTTTTTGGTCAAAATTTGTGGCCTCTCTTCCCGGGACATGTGGTGAACTGGTTGGTCGATCTCGGAAAGGCCGACTATGAACTTTTTGTCAGGTCTGTGAGCATGCTAAAACATGGTCCTCAGGATGATATCAGCCCACGACATGCTGCACCTGGTGATGCTCTTCGAAGAGCGCAGTTGCTAGAACAGGCTGCTTCTGTTTGCCACGATGGTCCGGATTCGTATCGCAGATTCGACGGCAATGAACCAAGGTCTTTTGTACTAGAAGGAGAAGCTCCTGAAGATACGCCTGTGGGTAGTGGTTACCAAAGTGCCGGTCTTCGTCCTCCCACTGATGACTGGAAGGCAGAGAAGTGCGAAGACAAAACCATTCCTGCTCTTTTGGGTAGAACGAAGTGGGTCTCTGCGAAAGAAGAATCCAGATATTGGTAAAATCCGATCGTCGAATCTCTGTGCGGAGATCGTGCAGTACTCAGACGAAACGGCCGTGTCTGTCTGTGCAGTGCTGGCAGTGAACTTTGCGGCTTTTGTCAATAAGCAAACATCATCGGCATCGACATCGAGGATTTCAAAAGAAGCAAAAGAAGCAGGCTCTCGTAGTACAACTACTTCCAGCATCTACGATTGGCCTGGCCTAATTGCAGCATCAAAGGTCGCTCAATTAGTCGCTGACGCGCAAACTGGCATGACAAAGTACGATGAGAACCGCGGGGCTCAGCATGCGTTGAAAACGAGGTCTCTGGGGATTGGCGGAATCGGGATCTCCGATGTTTTGCAGCATTTCGATCTACCTGTGGACTCAAAAGATGCCGTGTATGTAACAAGAAAACTTTACTTAAGGCTCCCCCTAATCCATCTTTATGTCTATAGACACCTTCCCTCAACAAGCATACGCAGCCCAGTACAAGGGAACGAACGCTGAGGACGCATATGCTTTTGAGGGATTTCCACAGGGATGAATAGCGGGCGAGAGGTCTAATTTGCGAACACGTATACTACGGAGCCGCAAAGGGGTCAATGGAAGGAGCGAGAAACCGCGTGGGACAGCATGAATTGTCAGGAGAATATGCTTACATGATCAGCCGTGGAGAAGGCAGAGGTGGAGGAAGTGCCTTAGCTGCTGCAGGCGACCTTGAGGACGCAGACCACACGACTAACACATCACCAAATAGTAGTCCACCGTGGAAAAAAGGGCTGTTTCAATTCGATCTTCATCAGAACAGAGTTGATGTCACAGAACAAAGGGAGATGTTGGGAGCCTCCTTTGATCATTGGGATTTGCATAGTTCCTTTTCTAAGAGTCTCCCGCTTATTCCCACTTGTCAACGTCCTGCGGATCTAGATTGGCATGTCTTGAGTCAAAACGTCAAAAGATACGGCGTCAGGAATGCGCACTTGACCGCCCAACCTCCTCAGGTCGGTTGGAGTCGCATTTTTAACACGCAATCTTCTGGTGCAGATCTGGCTTACTCCAATGTGTACGTGAACAAGGACCGCAAAGGCGAATTTTGGGTCGTTAATGCGCGCTTAGTGGAGAAATTACGATCTTTAAACCTGTGGACCGAGTTGCTCGCCAACGACTTGAGGAAAAATGGAGGAGATTTGGTCAAAACATACAACTCGATCAAAAGTAGAGAAGTTCTCTCAGATGACAAGTTCGACATCCTCTTAAGATTGGCGAAGGTGTTTCCTGCAGCAACGTCGAATATCCCTGACGTGTACAAGATTGCCCATTCTGCGGCACGAGCACCCTACCTGGACCAAGCCGAATCGTTCAACAACCTGGTGGATGACCCCGCCAAAACCCGTCTCCTTAGTTTAAGGCTTCAGGATTCTAATCGTTTACCTCACTCTAGGATAAGGGTGACTGAAAACGTTTTTCTGAAAATTTCAAGTTCTAATCGTTTACCTCACTCTAGGATCATAAGGGTGACTGAAAACGTTTTTTTGAAAATTTCAAGTTCTAATCGCTTACCTCACTCTAGGCGACCTGGTTGGCCTGAAAACAGGCGTCTACTATGTGAAAATGCTGCCAAAGCAAGAGGCTGTGCCAGTTTCCACTAGCTTGCTCACGGATGGGCTAGCGGACGCACGAGCCCTGATAGACCAAGGGCAGGTGAGACATGAAGTATTGGGAGACAAGCTCAACGGCGTGGATCTTTCACGAGTTATATCGAGTGCGAGCGCGAGTAGCACCGTGTCCGGTATCAGTCGCGCAACGTCGACTTCCTCAAGTTTCCAAGAGCGCGCGGTCGATTCCCTCTTTTACGACGGTGAGAACGATGAAGTCTGCGACGAGGTGGTCGCAAAGCTAGACGCAAACCACTGGAGCTTGTCGGAATATCTGCCGCCATCAACTACAACATCTTCTACTTTCAACAAGGTCTGGTTTCCTGCTCCAACTCCAGCTCCAGCAGATGGGACCACTGCGGAAGATGTAGTTGTGGGGCTTCCTCCTCCTCAATTGAGCATACTAGAGAAGATGAAAGTCTTCCTCAAGCACCTACTCGTCAAATATTGGAAAGACGCACAAGCATGGAAAGAGAAGCATGACCTGTTGGAATTACAGGGTAGAGAACAAGTAGCTGCTGCACCGGGGGCGTTGAGTAGGAGCATATCGACGTTATCACAATCACAGCCAGGCTGCAGCAGAACCGTATCAGCTTGTAGTGATTCTGGAGGTGGTCCACATCTTCGACCTCCACAACAAGATCCCGAAAAGTGGGGATTTTCCTTACAGAAGTTGGCCGTGTTGAAATTCATCGTGGAAGAGAAAATGCAGGTAGTTTTCGTGCTCAGAGCGTGGCTGCGGTTTCTCCTGAACAACGACGATGAGGCTTTTGCATCCTTCGTAGACAAGGATATCGCCAACATGTCACAGGAAAGGAAACTTCAGGAAATGAGGAGCCTGGTGCACTACACGCGGGAACTAGATCTACTAGACACAATGTTTGTGGAATTTGGAGGGTACTATGATAGCCTATTCAGGATCTGGAACGGAGGCACCCATAGTTCTGCATCAACCGCGTCTGGCTCTTCCATTGCCGAAACATTGAAGCAGTTTGCGAGGCAGCTGCACGCGGACGAGTCGGAGCTTCTTGATGAAGCGAAATCCAAGTGCCTCAAGTCGATGTTTACAAAAGACGATGACGAAGATCGTCTATCTCATGATGTTGTCCTTGACTCGGCTGAGTCTGCCTCCCTGATGACGGCTGACCCTCTCGCGGAAAAGTACCTGCACATTTTCAACGGTAACCACTGGGGAGCGTTGGACCTGGACTACAAGACAGATGAGAAGAATTTTCCGAGACTCGCGAAAAAGTACCCTCAGGAAGCTCTCGTCCTAAAGCGCGTTCTCTCGTTCTTCGCAGTTGCTGACGCGATTGTCTCCGAAAATTTGTCCGGAAACTACTCTTTCGATTTCGACAAGACGTATACTGATCGCTTGCTCACGCAAATGCAGGATGCTCAGGAAGCAACACACAGCAAAACCTACGGTTTGCTACTGAAAGCCTTGACGGCTGGACCAAATCAAAAAGAGGAAAGAGAGATGCTCATCAACGCCTTTAAATCCTCTCCAGCAACAGCGCTGCCTCCTGTGACAGTGGTGCTGCCACATGTTACCCACACGCCACACTCGATACTACCTCCGATACCTGCATCACCTCTGTCTCTGCCTCATGGAACTGCTCCTGGAGGCTTTTTACGATCATCTCTATTCTCTCTCCCAACAGGAGATGCTGAAACAGGAAACGCTGGAACAACTGCAGGCACAGAAGCTGGATTTGCTGTCGCTGGTGCAGAAGCATCTTCAGGACTTTATTTGGTAGGGAGTCCTACTTCAGGACTGAATTCGTCAGCTTCCGAACCTCCAAAATTGATGAAGAATTCTTCTCGTCGTCAAAAAAAGAAGAGCAGAGATTTCCAGTCTCCAGGAATCAAAGCAAAGCTTGACTTTGCAGAGCGATATATGAACACCGCTGAGCGCTCCATGGGCTTCCCTGGGGAGCATCTTGCCACCCGATTAATCGCTTTCGCCTGTGTTGAGGGGATCATGTTTGCGAGTGCGTTCGCCACCATTTTCTTCTTCAAGCATTCTTTGGAGTTTGCGACTTCACTGCCCTCTTTGATTGGCAGCAACGACTACATTTCCCGCGATGAAACGCTCCACACCGAGATCGCAGTCTACAGATACTGGTCCTTGTACGGAAAATCTAGAAGCCTAGTAAGACCTAGAAATGAAAAGATCTCACAGATAATCAAGGATGCAGCAAACGCAGAATTGATGTTCGTGAATGAACTCTATGGAGGAGGTGCTCTTGGTGATGTTGATGGGGGCCTACTAGAAGATTCTGACGACGAAGATATCGTCCACATGTACGATCCCACTACGGGTAATCACATGAATGGCGAGAAAATGGCGCACTACGTCAAGTATGTGGCCAATGATTTGTTCCTGAAGTTTGTAGAAGTGCCTGATCAACATCATACAACAAGAAGAACAAACGCAACGCTGGAGGATGGAGATGGTCATGGTCATGGTACTACAAGAACTGTAACATCTCTAGCAGCCGACCAAAGAGACATCCCTCATCTTCCTTTCCCGGGAGTGACTGAGCTAAACCTTGCTTTTATGGCAAAACAAGGGGCTGCGAACATGGTGGACATGCAGAGTCGCCGATCGTTTAACTACAGGTCCGACGCAGACAAACTGGACCTAGATGCAGCGAAGAAAGACATAGTGGAGGGATTGAAGCAACTTCGGAGCCTGGGTATTGGAGTGGAGACGAGCGCACAATGGTTGTTGAACTAAGAGGAATCTGCAAGAAGAGACGAAAACGAAATAAAGATAAAGAGCAGTAAGAGTTTGAAAATATAATGTTCATCTTGTAAAGAGCGTAATTTATTAGAAGTGCTGGAGCACATAGCGCTGGTTAAACTTAGAGTAGATGATGATCAGCACATGATGAGCAGGATGATATTATGATCACGGACAGGCTCTTGCTCTACTTCTTTTTGCTGCTAAGTAAAAGTACTAGTAGAAGAGGCAGAGTGGGAGACGGGTGTGACTAAGGAGCAGGTGAAGCTCTACTACAGCCAAAAACTACACTGCTTGTTGTTGTTCTACAACACCCGTTTATAACCGAACTGGGTTGTATCTCATCTTCGTTATGAAGAGTTAGAGTAACAATTAGTAGTGTAAGTATTAGAGCTATGGCTATGCATAATTAAGAAAGTCCACTTCGAAGAACCACGAGCAGGACCACGTATATGGGAGGCCAACTTAGCATTCATACTAAGTATGTGATGTCAATTCGGCACCTTAGAAGCCAGTTTAAGCGGTCAACGCGGTGGTTCGTGGATAATACTAAAACTAGTGGTCCAATGTTGTATCGGACTTGACAAACTCGAGAAACAATTACACCAGAACGGAGAATAGGTGTAGTTTGTTTTAGACGAACAATACGTTAGGAAGGTGTGGATAAAGTAGCTACAACAGCGTAGTAGGTGTGGGAGGAAAAGTAATGAGGAGTCATGAAAATAATAGATGCAACATGGGAAGGAAGCAATAGATAAACGTGCACCTATTATAATTAAAGACTCTATATTTCCCCGCGAATGGGTACATCAATCAATCAATCAATCAATCAACCCGGTTACCGTTATGCTGTTGCGTTAGATCCTATTCCTCTACCTGTTCCTGTTCGTCGCTTGCAACTAATTGAAACAACTTGTTGAGTCGTTGATGTACGTTTACTTCCCGGTTTCATAAAAAATTTTCTAACTCGTGTGATGAACGTACTTAGCTAGAAGGGCTTACTTGATTCTGCTTCGCGAAGCATCATGGTATTCCATCTTCATGTAGAGGGATCTCGGTAAAAAAGACAAAAAGTACTTCAACTATGCAAGTTTTTAAAAACTGATGTCGTGGGAGTGCAAGTGGACGTCTGAGGATTGGACTGCGTATCGATCATCAACATGCCCACGTCTACCACATCTCGACCTTCATTAAGAACACCACTACATCGAGGAGATCATGAGTTAAAGTTGCGGTAGAAAAAATTCACGTAGATTAGAATATAGAGATCTTCGAAAGCACTATTTCATCAAAGAGAAAGGGCGTTAGCGTTACAGAGGAGGAAGGCATGCAACGCAGTTTTGCTTTTGGCGTTTTGAGTATGTATTTTATCAAAAGTAAGAGAAGATAAAAAGAAAATGATAAAGAGCGGGAAGAGGTGAGCCACCTGCAGCTTTAACAACCTCCTGCCATAAAATACAGCTTAAGGTATTAGAAACAGAGGCGAACAAGAACATATTGCAAAAACTTAGACGAAACATCACAACCTCAACCTATCCATTAGAGGGGAAAAGTGTGATCTTGCAAATGCAAAATCTAAACTCTTATAACCTTATTACGCAGGCGTGTTGAACATCACTTTTCTTTGAATTTGCAAATCGTGTCTGAAGAACTGGAACTGAAACAAGAACAAAGAACACATGTCACAGCAAATCGAGTATCGTTTCGATGGATTTGTCGTGTTCTTCGCATTTGGTCGCTTGATATAAGTTTAGGAATTCTAGAACGCCGTCTAGACTCTATCAAAACTGATCTCCCTGATTGGAAGCAGCCTCGTCTCTCAATTTAATTGAACTTTATGTATAAGCGAGAGTTGAGGAGAGGGAGGTTCTTGAGAAAGAGGAGGAGAGGAAGGAACGGGCCCCTTCTTCGGCAAAATTGTTTTCGTGTTTGCATCGAGAGATAAAATCATGTTCACTAGCTACGCATTGAGCGTGAGACGGAGAGTGAGAGACAAAAGCAAAGACTACTCGATGATTCGCTATTTATTTTATGCAGCTTACGATGTTGAAGAGCAGAAGTATTAAAACGTACTAGACCAGAAGCGAAGTCGTGTATCGAATTCGGCCGAGACACGAAGTATTGCGATGTTAATCAACTCCAATATTTTCAAACGCACTTTTTCCAGGACTCCATGCCATCACAAACCCAACAAGCATCTACCTTTCCATGACCCGAACCCGACACTCCAATCCCCAGATTCCTCCATCTCCCAAGAGACCTAAAACTAATCTAATTGCAGGCAGATCATTTAGATACAGACACTGCTACAGCGAGAAGTTCATATTCAACAGGTAAGTATCTATATTGTGTAAGGTGAAAACAAAGGTAGCAAAACCAGACTTCGGAAACACGAAACAAGGCGATCTTTATGGTAAAAGGGAGAAAGAATGAATGCAGTTTTTACTGTTCATTTTAACTACCCGGCAAGTTGTCCTGTATCTTGATCTTCTCCCTTGTACTTGTACTATAGCTGCTAGAAAAGGAGATAACGATAAGTGGGTAGAGCTAATTTTCAACCGCGAGCATGATGATTCTATGAGATGAACTTATCTGGTCTTCGCAACGAAACCGACAGATGAGTACGGAAAATATAACGGAATTCGCCCTGCAGTAGAAACTACAAATAGCGGAATCCAGTCGTGGTTGCTGTGCGATCTCTCTATAAGCAGAGAAGATCAGCATGCACTGCTCGACCGAAAACGACTCAGAAGATTCCCACTCTACAAACTAGAATGGGTCAAGCCTGCGGAAAACTCTTAGTGCTGGAAGCACTAGGGGTGATACTAGTGCTCGCAGACGATGATCATAGACGGAGAGAAGAGAGAGGTGATCCGGGTGGAGGTGGTCCAGGAGTGTCTGCGTCCTCGTCATCGGCCTCTAGGTCTAGCACGAGAAGTCTAGCAGAAGCCCACATCATCGGAAGAGACTCAAAATCCGGCTCAACATCATCTTCATCTTCCTCGAAAAGTGCATCAAGACATGTTGAAGAGGCCATATTATCAGAGGCATCTTCATCCTCCTCTTCTTCTTCTTCTTCAAATAGTAGAGGAACTAGTGTAAGTGTCGATCATTCTGATGGTAAAAAACTACCAGGTGCTGGCACTGGTCTTCTGACAGGCAACACGGTAAGTGCAAGTGGTAGCTCCTCACGCATACATGATGAAGACAGCCACCTTCTCCATGAAAAAAGCAGCCAAGAAAAGCACAGCAAGAAAGAGAGTCAACATGTTCATGTTGATGTTGGAGGTGGAAAGAATGATCGTGAAGAAGAAGCGCGCCGGCGACTGAGGGACGAAGATCATGGGCATCTTCATAGAAGAAATGGCAAGGAGGGGAGCGCCCCACTAGGAGGCTTTAAATCTTCAGGAAGAAGTGCTAGTGCTAGTGCTAGTTCGTCACATGCTGGAACTGGTTCGGATTCTAGTGGCAGGAGTGGTAATGATGCTGAAGTAGGAAGTGATGTTGGAGGAGGACACGTTGGAGGACACGGAAAAACCGTGAGCAGTGGGGATCATGAAGCCGCTTCTTCTAGAAAAATGACACGTGATGGAAACACAGCATCAGCAACAAATCCAGATAGAGGAGTGCGGAAGCTAGGAGGGCTTCGTGGGACCTCGTCATCTTCTAGTGGGAGTGTTAGTGAAGCAGCCTCATATGGAGCTACAGGTACACTTGCATCTACTTCATCTTCATCAAGTAGTGGAGCGGGTAGTGCGGAAAGAACATCTTCAAGCAGGGTGGACCACCAGGAGATAGTAAAGGCAACTGGTCGTGAACAAATACGAGAACTAGACGAAGCAGCTGCTACGCACAAGAACAGCAAGCCTGCTTTACGGAGCACCACAGAGACTAGCAAATCGACCTCTAGAAAGCATGAGAGCAGCAAATCAAACGACAGGATAGAGCCCTATCCGAATCTAGCATCAGCGACAACACGGACAGTAACTCCTTCCTCAGCAGCGTCGGCCAAAGCTGCCTCTGGCACGAGTCGGAGGACCATGTTGGATCACGATGTTGCTCTACTTGACAAATCAACATCTGCACCATTGTCATCTTCAATGCGAGGAGCTCCCTCTAGTACTTCTTCCTCACATCACCATTCGCAAAGCCGAATCCATTCAGGCAGTAGGAAACTCGTGAATCCGTTCATCCAGGATTTGAGTCACAGCAGTTCTGGTGGAACATCACACATTGGAGTAGGTTCAGCACACCCAAAGCGCAAGGCTCAAGAAGAGGAGCAAGCGCTGATCGACTTGACAACGTGCCGGAAACCGGAGTCATGGCGAGGGTGTCAGCCAATGTCGCAGTGGCTAGTGCACAACGCTGACCCCATGGTGCATGGATGGCGTGTTTTAGAGGTGCAGTTCTTTTCAGACAGGAGTTGCACAAACCAATTGCAGTGGTCAACGCCACTTAGTGCGGGATTCTTGTCGTGTGGGCAGCAGGGACAAGGGTATTTTTTACTTTTAAGTACTGGTACTTAGGCAATACATGTTCTCCTTCTACTCTCTGTTGAAACTAGGAGAAAATTGTCATTGCTGTCAACATCGGAAACTGCCCTACCTTGCACTACAAGATCGACGCCGACACGTTAGCCACGACATCTCGAGGGAGTCTCTTCATCTTTACATTCTGACAAGAGAAACTGCGTCTTACCACCGCTACCATGACAATACCTCTCCAGTTTTTGTCATCAGAATCGCACGAACAAGAAAGTAGATAACGATACTCCGCCTGCACGTGCACTTTCAATAAATATCCTTCCAGGTACGCCCCAGTGCATGGTATGGACAACAAGGAGCAGACACAGTGGATATCGAAGTGTGGAACCGAGTCTCGAGATTGCGATGGGATACCAGGGAGTCCCTCAGTAGAGGAGAGAGATATGTGCAAGAGCTTCCACAATCGTTATAACGGTCTGACACCTAGTGAAGCAAACTATCGCGGCACCTACATCGGAGCAACGTTTGCAAGTCCACAAGCGGTGCAATGCGTGAGGTTATTGCAGGCTGGGAGACCATACAGAAGCGATAGGGTATCTATACTTGCTGGATCGATAGAGTAGACTTTCTTAGTAGACGAGGTTATGGTTAGTGTGGTGCGAAGTCGTGTTTTACTAGACGCCAGGTGGCTGGTGTGAATGTTTTGTCTTCTTGTTCTTTTCAATTTCATCTCCTTTAAATTGTGATTGTTTACCAGTCCCACTCCCATCTTCACTGCTTCTGCTTCCCCCTATAATGATCCTCACACGAACCTCGTAATCCACCATTGCAGGTAACAATCACAAGCCACAATCAAAACGACTGCTATATCTGTGCAGATGGTGCAATGCAACTCAGTGACACATTTGACGACGGGCTGGATACCTACATCGGGACGCCAGGCCTCAAACTCGAATTCTTTACATCGGTATTCGTATTGACTATGAGCAGTATATCTGAATCTGCAGTGTGAGTATAATGGCTAAATCCGCAGCTCATTCTGGATATTTGATTACAAGTAGATTGGTATCAGTTTCTTCTCATGAAGTGCAACTCTGATACCTTAGGTGCGACTCTCACTTGTTTCTCTTGATGTTCTTCTACTCGTTGTTTTACTACAAGAATGGATCATGTGGCACAATTTTTATCTGCGTTGACAGACTTTTACAACTAATAACTCCAAAACAGCTGCACACATGGGGAAACATTGCGCAGAAGGGTATTTGGCCCACGAGTTGGGAAGGCGTCGTGAAAACCGACAACCTCAACGTGACAACCAATTCTAGTGCAGTAAGCTATCCGCTGTCTGCCGATCCATGGAGTATAACCTAGTTCCTAGTCGTCCCTAGTTTACTACACCAACACCTACTAAGAAGTTGTCCCGAGTTTACTACACCAACACGTAGTCCCGAGTTTACTACACCTAGTCGCTACTAGTCCTAATCCACCTACTAACGAAGATTGATGATGTTGAGATGTTGATGCCATGTTGTAGATGCTGAGCGTTAGTACTAGTACAACCACTAGCTCACTAGGCACTTGATGATAGATTATGCTTTCGACATCATTTGTTTCATTGAAAAAAAATTGAATACGAAAAATGAAAATGAAAAAAAAAATCGTCCTTCGTTCTTTATTTCAACGTCCAACCGAAACTCAAACTTCTCACCCCTTTACAACGAAGGAACCGGCTGGCCCGGCCCGAAGACCAACTATCTTGGACGATGGCAAGGCTTACTCAGAATTCTCAACGAAGGGCCCTACATGTTCCTTTTGCAGTGCGATACTGAGGCTAAGGTCTTTTTCGATGGAAACCTGGTTCTCCAAAACAACGGCTCAGCAGGGCAAATGGTCGGTCTCTATTACGAGGCAGAAACGCAGATGGTAATCCTATAATTCACCTACGTTTTGACTACATCCACGTAGGACTCGAATAAATCTAGTATCGATGGTGCTGTTCTCGTTTTCCTTTTTATCCCATAGTGAAGGAGATACTCTTACCTATACCTCGACCCACCGCACCCTTGTAGAAATCTTCTAGTACAAGTATCTATAAACCCAACACTACATCAGCATTTGCAAGCGGGCGTCAGATACTTCGAGTTGCAGTACAAGCACCTCTACCAAGAAAGCCTCAACGAGAGGCACGGCGTCATTTTCTCCTACAAAGGTACTCTACTACTACTTGCACTAGTACTACTAGTGTCAGAAAAAGACGTCGTTGAAATTGAACGGGAAGATCTTGTCATTTAGACTTCCAGTTGACTTCTACATCCAGTGATGAAATAAGATGTATGTACCCCTAGAATGGGTTTACTACTACTACTACTACATCATGCTTATAACGACCACATCAGGCCCCGACACAATCCCAACGGACACGACTACGACGACAATGGGAATGCCAGTTCCAGATAGGAATGACGGCGCACCGGCAACGACATTGCCTCCGCCAGATATCTTCGATATCGCTTTGTGGAAGGTACTCACTACTCACAGTGCTTTTTAAGCATGTCTTGTGTACCTCTAAGTACCTACTCCTCCGTCATGTTTGTGTACGTTGTTTGTGTACCTCTACCTACTTACGTAGGCATGTCTTGTGTTTGTGTACGTTGTTTGTGTACCTCTACCTACGTCACTACCTACTTACGTTGTTTGTGTACCTCTACCTACTCATGTCTTGTGTTTGTGTACCTCTACCTACGTCTTGTGTACCTCTACCTACTCCTACGTCATCCAAGACTCAATTTTCTGATTGTTCTCATGAAATTGTATCTTCCATAATATACGTCCGACTCGCGCAGGTTCTTCCCGACGCAGCTCTGATGAGGGGAATTACAGACGATACAGCAGTATCAAACAGTGTCTACATTGTTGATTTGAAGAAGCATTGTCACGATATCCGATACCGAATCTTCGGTGACAGGCCAGCCGCACAAGCTGCGTGCGATGCGGACAGCACTTGTGGAGGCATTTATGGTACTTGCTACTTGTCTTTATGTTTGTGGATGAAGTGAATTGCACTTGCACATGTATTAATTTCCATGTTCTCACGACGTGTAACTTTTTCTGACACCAAGAAAAAATACAGTACAAACGACTGACATCAGTTTATGCAACTTCAATCTTTACTATATACAAGAACATGCCTTCCCCCCCAGGTCGCGACTGCAACGTCCAGGAAGACACCTTCCAGGGTCTTTTCCTCTGTAAGCTGGCTCCCGGACAACAGCGCATCGTTCTCGGAAACAGTACGGAGAACAGTTGCGTCTTCGTCAAATATGACGCAAGTGAGACCACCACAATCCCACCACTCACTGCTCCACCGATGGCCGACGCGAGGTCTGCAAGTGCACTCAGTGCGTTTGCCATTCTGTTGGTTTTCAGTGGATTGTTCTGGGGTTGAGGAACAGGGGAAACAGGTAGAAATACAAATTAATATCTGTTAGTAGACGAATTAAAATTAGCTAGAGCATCAATTTTGGCGATTATTCACTTGCACTTCTCTGGACTAGTCCGTTACTTACTAGTCTGTTGTATGCTGTATGTTAATGTATGCTGATCCCTTGTTACGATGTAGATGTCTTCTTGATCTTGAATGGTTACGTGGTCTTTTGAGTTTTCAATAGCTGTGTTGTATATAATGCTGAACTACTGCGCAAAGAACCTTTTTTTGTGTTATACCGAACATCACTATGTGAAGACAACGAAATAAATGATGGAGAAGAGATGATGAAGAGACAGGTGATATGAAATTGGTAGAAGAAGTACCAAGACATAGATGACAATTTTGATTCTGCGAGGAGCAGCACACAAACAAACTACAATAATTCAGCGAGGACAACAAAGTGACACAACTACTGCACAGAGCTGCTCACTGCTTAAAATTCAGCAAACTGCACATCTTGATCTTCAAGACTGTCTGTCGAAGACTCGTACGCTTATCTGAACTTATGCTCTTAGACAAAGTAAGACACCGAACGCGAACTCACGAATACTTTCCTCTAGAAGATGAACATTTATTAGAAAAGAAGGAAAAAAATGCGATAAAGACAGTGACAACACATGCAGCAGCGCTTGCTTGGTTTTTGTACAGAAAGGCAAGCGATGCACATGCGAGGATGAATGTCAAGATTAATTCGATGACCCAATGAACAAGACCCGAAAACGATACCCCCACTAAACCACGAACTCCTGTGACCCAAAACAAAGCTTATATTATAAGTTACACTTTCCATGATAACTTCACTCGTCCCCAACCCAAACCCCCTCTCCTTGCAAGAAGCCGCTAATGATGAATTCGAATTCCATCTTCAGTTCTTCAAACTACTGAAACGGATTCGCCTCGAAATTTTTTGGAAAAAACTTGAAAGATGATGTTCAACAGGACTTTGTTCTTTGTGCCGAGAGGGATCGTGAGCGTCCATAGAGCTAGAAAAGTCCCAGATTAAGAATAAGAAGGTACGACCGGCGAACAAAGATAAAATGTAGTCATGCTCAAAAAAAAATTAGTTGAACTTAAACGTATAATCTTTCGTATGTACAGCTCCAGGTTGAAGAGCAGCAGCATTTTCTCGTCATGAATAATTGATGTGACTGTATGATTTTTCATTGAAGGACACTCGAAAACTAGAAACAAGTTGTGACTAAGAAAACTTACTAGATCTACTCGTTTTCGTACTACTTTAACAGCAAAATAAAGTGGAAAAAATGAACAACTTACTTGCCGAGATTGAAGCTGCTGGGAGAGCACGTCGTGGAGACGAGCCAGAGGCTGAGGAAGCTCCACAACCGGACTTACAGGTATGGGAAGATGTTCTTTCAGGTTGTAAGAAAGTGACAGGAGTATGTAAGTACACGTGACCTCCAACATCTTCAAGTGCTATTGCTATTCTTCTCGCGATCATGGTAAAAGGAAAATGGTTTCTACTGTCTTTTATCTCGTCTTGGACGTACAAGAACTTCTAGAGCCGCGAGACTGTCAAATCAGATGTGAAAGTGATCATCATCAACATCATTTATCAACCACGAACTTTAATTCCAAGTACCGGGTGGCGGCAGAGTTGGATCCCCGACTAGTAATGTAGCAGCTACGAAAGGCAGCGAAATCCAGGCTGTACTTGCAGCACGTGCGGCCAAGGGTTGTTCCTCAAACAACAAGGGAGCAAAACCTCCAGGGCCGCCGCCTTCAGCTCATGGAAAAGCCGGCACAGGTGGGCCGCCACCTGGCAAAACTGGAGGCGCAGCACCGCCACCACCGTCTGGTCCCGGTGGTGGAGCAACTGCAACGAGGAGTGGGAAGGGAGCTGCGCCACCTGCAGGAGGAGCTAGTACTAAAGGCGGAGCTTCTACTTCCGCATCGAGACCTGTTCCAAGTGCCAACGTTCCTTCATTCCAGTACGATGGTGAAAGAGACGTTTTCAGCTTCGCAACGCCTAGCGAAAAGGAGCATGCGCATACGGTTACCACATCTGAGGAGGGCGTTGTAATAGTGCCTCTCGCACCCTGTATCTACAGACTGTGCGACTTCACACTGGCGCGCAACGAACCCATTCCACGACACAAAGCAGTGCTGAAACTGGGTGTCATACGCGCTTTTCGGCGTGAATGCGATGCTTTTAACGCGGCTCCGAAAGGCATCGAGGAGGAAGAGAAGCATCCTCACCGATTCGTGGAATTTCTTACGTCTGCAGGTTTGAAAGTGACCTCTAGACCGGTACAAGTGCGAGACTTGGACGACTTTTTGTCTGCACTAGACACCAACACCCCAGAATTAGCGACACAGAGAGGTCTGCTAGCCGAAACTCGGAAGTGTTCCTTTTTCCCAGGCATGGGCGAGCTGTTTCGACCAGGAACGAAAGTGGTTACGTATCCGGAGAACATGCAAGGAGCACCGCTTGGGGCTACAGTAGTACAGTGCTCCTATCAAGAGGAGACGAGTCGAGCAAGTGGAAAAGTGAAGCGCACGTTTGTCTTGATGCTGGAATTCATATTATGCTGGAATTCGAATTTTTTTTTGGGTTCTCCCTATAATATTATGCTCATGCGCTAACGCTCAACCTTAACATTGACTCTAACATGCTACTTGTACAACTACTTGCGAACAACTCCAACGCGGCGGGTGTTTTATAATTTCCAATCACCTTCATCTCAACAACCCTCTTCTAATCTGCGTCTCACTCGGTGACTCTCTGGCTTTCGTGGGTATCAGCGAGCCCTACTCTGAGTTCGACGGACAGGAAGGAATCAAAAATTTGCGGCATCGACCCTTACTTCTAGGAGAGGATGGAACTAGTTCAGACCAGTTTGACACGAGCTTAATGCGGTCTCTAGTGAATCGCGGCACGCTTTATTCCAGCGTTGGCATCAATTACAACTACCTTCAATATGGACCAGACACGTTTTTCCCGATACCGGTAGGAGGCCCCTCTATGTCCTCAGCTGGCAGGGTTTCGAGGCCTCTTCAAGCCAGTGGTCGCATCATGATCGACAATATGAGAGGGCAATTGGAAGGCCACAACCCAACACGAGGGGCCGACGGAGCTTCTGTATCTGTTAGAGAAGCTCTAAGGGTATACGAGCAAGCGAAAAGTTATGGACGATGATGCATCACGACGATTCCTTGAGTGAACAATTGTTCCAATCCTGATGCATTGCCTTGTCTCGAAGTACTTCAAATTTTCTTTCTTCTATCTTTCTCGTGATGAAAAATTTCAACAATTGGCCCTTATGGCAGTCTGCACTGAACTTTGTGCGAGATTAATTGCGTTGTATTGTATTGCATTTTACTCTGGATCTCATCCTCTAAGATCCAACAGGTGGGTCTTACCCAATGGTCAGTTTCAACGTGGAGGATGTAGACGAATCACAGCTTTTCGCGTGTTGGCCGATGGTGGTTGGTTTCTCCTTCACTGCGCGATGTTGGGGGAAGCTCGTTCTCCACAGTGCTACACCGACAGAGGTTATGTCTGGACCATCGAAACAACCGCAACCAACTTGTTCATGGACCAGACGTATAGATTTCCGAAAGGAGGCTTTTGAACAGCTAGTCCTTCCAGCAGAGAAAAAGGAACTTATTCGTGCGTGTGCACGTTATGCCGGCAAAGCAGATGAGGATGGAGAGGTCGATATCATCTCGAATAAGGGAGGCGCAAGCATCTTTTTGCTTTACTTATGGTTGGTGACACAGATTTTGGAATAGGGAGCTCTCCTGCTTCTAGACACAACACTTCGTAGAATGAATGTAGTTCTAGTTGCGCTTGCGGAGTTAATCTATTTATGCAGAGTTTCACTCTGCTTGTCACCTTGACGTTGAGCTAAGCTTCCTCCTCTTCCTCTAACCTGCGGTCCTCCTGGTTGTGGTAAGACACTTACAGCAGAAGCGATCGCTGAAATGCTGGGAAAACCTTTGTACACAGTCACAGCCGGTGATTTGGGTATAACAGCAAGCGAAGTGGAGAAAACACTATCTCAGGTACTGCCTAGTCTTTTTGCTCAGGTGTTTCGAAGCGAAAACACTATCTCAGGTACTGCCTAGTCTTTTTGCTCAGGTGTTTCGAAGCGAAAACACTATCTCAGGTACTGCCTAGTCTTTTTGCTCAGGTGTTTCGAGGCAACGAGAAATCAAAAACGCAACTAACTCTTCTTCAGTTTCGCATCTCTTTGACTGATTCTTTCTTGATCTCAAGCCACTTGATCAACTACAAATCAACCACAGGTGCTTCAAATGTGCTCTGAGTGGAACGCCTTAGTTCTCATCGATGAAGCCGATATTTTCATTGAGGCTAGGAACTCCAGCGAACTGCAGAGAAATGCGGTCGTTTGCGTAATGCTTCGATTATTGGAGTACTACAATGGAGGACTCTTTTTGACGACAAACCGAGTAGGCAACGTCGATCCAGCGGTGAGTAGTCGTATCACCGTCATGCTTGGCTATGATCCTCTGAACGCTGAAGGACGAGAAAAGGTGTGGCGTAATCTGTTGGGGACAAGCGCATCGGAGAAGATAAAGGTACTTCGTACTCCTATTTGGAAGTTTAGTACTCTACTAATATGTCTTGTTTGTGTTTCTTACGATCCATGACCTTCTCGAGCGTCAAGGTCACTACAACATTTCTCGACACAAGACCTCATCATCATCATGATTCATACACAATTATACTCAAAATCAACAATTATACTCAAAATCAAATCCTCATGCCATTTCTTTCAACTCCCAGCATCATTAGGAACACCCCCACAGGCATTAACCAAAGACGAGTATCGGCACTTGGCATCGTACGTACTCAACGGGCGACAGATCAAGAATTCGATCCTTCTCGGCAAGGCCCTGTCAAAGGAACGCGGTGATTATGAGGAACTACATAGATTCAGATTATGCAGTACCAGTAGCACCCGCTAGCCGTAGAGATAGATTAAGATTATGCACTTGTACCAGTAGCACCCGCTAGCCGTAGAGATAGATTAAGATTATGCACTTGTACCAGTAGGACCCGCTAGCCGTAGAAGCTCTAACCTCCGCCACTGAGCCTAGTCACCTTGGAGCGTGCAGTCAGAGCTGTCGCTGGCGAGCGCGAAGCAGCCGAGACGCGCACAGAGAGGATTCATAGCAGAGAATCGCCGAGTGCTTGGGGATCTTCAGGGGTTGTCAATTTTCCAGCAGCTGGCCGACTGACAATGAGTCCTTTGGAGGGGTCTTTTGCACCGCATTGATCTTTCAATCCAACGTAACAAACTGTCATCATCACTACCGCTCCTAGTCTGATTGATAATAGTTCCCTTCTTCTACAACATGTTGTACATCAAGAAAATGGTCGACAAATAACTGATTGACTCCTTTTTTAACCGTGTTATTTCTTGTTCAGTTCATCGATCACCAGATTTTTGTCAGCGTCAAAGATAGTACTAGCAGTTGTGATATCTGAATCTGATTCATGTCGCAAAAAACCAGCAAGAACAATCTGTCCGTTGCCAAATTTCGTAGAAATTGAAACACTCCTTGCCTGAAAATGCCGTCATCCTCAACTTTTAAATTTTCAATTTTTCTGATGCCAAACCAATATAGCTGCGTTGACGCGACTGACATTGCTCTATCTAGAAGTAGGGAGGATAAGCTCATGATGTTGGCTTGATGCATTATATATATATCCTTCCTGTGAGACATATATTCTTGTAGCCATTGTGATTGTCAACGAGAGGAAGACGTCAGATGAGGTTTACTCGTACAACTGAGTGAATGTGCAAGACTCCAAAGTGTGGGATCATTTTCCAGAGCTTAATGAATTGAAGAAGGATCTAACAAAAAGTGAATATGGTCTTGATCGTCTTCGTCTTCGTATCAAAATATAATCAGTATTAGATCTTCAACAACATGAAGGAGGATGCTGATGCTCCTACTACTCGTCACCTCAAACCAGACGAGGTGGAAGCAGTTCCCTGGACGAACGATGAGCCTTGCTGCGAGGATATTGCTTCGCGACTCCTAGAAACCGGAACACCACTCGAAAAACGACTCGCGGAAGCTTGGCGTCAAAAGTGTCCGGATATAAGGACGGTGGAAGACATACCGCACCGCATGCGCCAATGTGGGTCAAAGCACGTTTTGCATTTCAGTCCTGGACGAGCAGCAAAACGGGTTATGGGAAAGCCGATCACCGACGCTTTCGTTCCTAGAGCACCAAACGGCTTTGACTTTTCAAAAGTTGGGTCGAGTGAAGTCTTGTTGGCTGGGAGAGAAGTGTTTGAGGAAGTAGTGAAAGCTGGTGAAGATGACAACTACGACATCACGGAGGACACCAAGAACCCCACAGGAGTTCGAGTTCTCCTCAACTTGCACCCTATCGCGCCTCTACATGTGCTACTCCTGCCGCCGGGTCTAGAAGAACAGTTTTTGTCTGAGTCAGGGATACGAGTTGGACTGAGGTTTGCTTCAAGGTGCAAGTCAATGCGTCTGACATTCAATGGCATGGGTGCTGGCGCGAGTGTGAACCATCTGCACTGGCAGGCTACGGTGTTTCCTGAGAGTGTCGGGATTGACTCTTGCCAGAGGGTCTTGTGGAGGAGCCGAAAAGTGCTTGGGAACAGAAACTCACCAACTACGAGTTGTCCATCATCAAGAAGAGAAATTTCAGATTCTGGAGGTGCAGTAGTTTCTATCTACCGAATCCCGGATTGGCCACTGAAGTCGATGTGTGAAGTACGCTGGGAACAAGAGGAGCCAGTAGATGCTTTTGAAGAGGGAAATGGTGGAAGTGGACAAGAACATCTACTTATTATAGAAGATGCTTTAACAGCCACTTTACTTCCAATGGTCCAACGAATGCAGAAGGAAAACGTCACTCACAACCTGTCGATTTATCCTTAAGGCAATGGCTAAAGCTAAACTAGTGCCCTGTCTACTAGAACAAATTCTGCAACATGTGGACGAATTGTGATCGATAATATTTGGGAACACGACTCCACCACAGCTTGAATTGGAATCGGTGGATCTATCATCACATCAATCAGATTCCCAAAAAAGAATATATCCCTTCTAGCTCTAATCCCTCGGGGGCCGAAGAATAACCGTAGCCGCGCGACACTTCTTCTGTCCTCAGAGTGAAAACCCATCGGCAATGGCAGGAGCTGCTTTGGAAACTTTAGGGCATTGGATAATTCCATCCCTAGAAGACTACGAGTCCAGTACGGAGGAGAGCCTTGGAGCTTTGTGGAGTTCTTTGTCTATTCCGGAAGAGGAGAGGATTGAAAGATTCTTTTTGGGGGAGGATGGATAATGGGGTTGGAATCATAACCCCCGTCAGCCCGACTCCGTCTATGACCATCACTATTTAGATACCTAGGTTAGTACGTAAACATAATGCCGAAAGCGAAGATGCTGAATTTGCCATGAACATGGTTGTCCTCATGGATTTGGACAACATGTACATGTAGTTAGTAGTAAAAAACCTTTTGCAAGAGCATGCAACACATCATACCACTACCAGAAAGAGACCTGATCTACACGCTCCTTGATGGACCACGGTGGGTACACCACCGTACACATTCGATGAGAAAAGATGTTGATATTGTTGATACAAAGGCAAACTGCGACTACACAAGAACAAGGTAAAAATTGTTCTTCTGATATTCATCTTCATTTCTCATCGACAACGCAAGAACAAACGAAGAATCAGCAGGCCAGCTACCATCAGCCCTGGTCATTCTACTAAGGCTCGACCACCGTCGGTTTCATCCCCAAATGACGCCGTTTTCATCTCATCTACCTCAAGGCTCCGCTTGAAATCATGGACCGCCTACCCCATGAACGATGAAGCGTCGGAGCAGCAAGCCTCCACCTGTGGAACTTCGTGTTCGTGTTGCAGCCACTGATGCAGGTTGCCGACGAGGACCCCTCCTACTTTCGCGAGCAGGCAGCGACATTCTACGATCTTTCTGGTGCTGGACCACACCACGCCACACGGGTCACTTAAAGCTGCTCTAGATTGCCGCGTAGTGCGACTGGACTCCTTTTGACAGACTTTATCCGTGGGTCGACGCAACCGGTCCGAAACAATAGATCCACTTGTTCCACGTTATCGTTCCAAAAGTTCCGAAATAGAAGATGACCACACCCGCGTCGTCCTCCCTCGGGAGCGTGGATGAGCTCCAAGGGGAGCTCATCAAGCGCAACCGCGAAGTAGCTAAATTACGAGACTCTGTCAGTGCTAAAGAAGTAAAGGCACGAGCGTTGGAAGAGAAGGTGGATACGCAACTAGCCAAAATCGCAGAATTGGAAGGAGATATTACGAGGGTTAAGGTAATATGCATTTGCATCTTGATCTTCGTTTTTGTTTCTTCTACGCTCTTCTTGATTTCTTGATTTGCTAGTACGAATCTTCAAATAAGCAGCAGCTACACGACGATTTGCTAGTACGACTGACTGAAAATCAGCTACGGCTATACCATCTATCATGCCGTATTCTTCGATTCTTCGACGAAAGGTTCACAATCACAATCATCTCCAAGACATTTTCATCTTTCTGAAAATTTCCTTGTCCATCCCACAGGTCGAAAGAGACAACGCGGCAAGAGCTTTAGAGGAGAGCAAGCGAGCTGCTGGTGATGCGCAGGATGTCGCAGAGGATGCAAAGCGTCAGCAGTCCATGGTCAATGTCGAAATAGATAAGCTTCGGCAGGAAATTTCAACGCTTGTTGAGGAACGAAAAACCAGCAATGCTGAGAAAGAAGCTTTGATGGCGCAGCTGTCTGGTATATGTTATGTTGTCGTGAAAATTTGTATATTAGCGAACATTACATTTGATTTTGAAAATCTAGCAAGAACTTCCCATGTGAAGATGAGAGATCCATAATATACAGAGTTTATCGACTCATGTCTTTTTGCATGACCGCTACAGAAATGCAGTTATTTTATTTACTCAATTTGCTTTTTCTCAATCTGAATTGTCATTTTTCGCATCCCGCGAACTCTTCTACTTCACATGCACCTTTCAGTTTCCCAAACGGCCTTGAAGGATCTCGAAGTGGTCGAGCGGAAGTTACGTGCCGAAACGGAGGTTCTGGGTACGGAAGTGGGCGATTTATCGAACCAAGTCAAATTGCGAGAGCTGGAAGCTGAAAAGCTAAAAAAACAAAAGGCGACGTTTGATTAAGGCTTGGAAGACTTGGCACTCTGATGTAGTACTCTCTCTGACGAAATGAGACAGCGCGCAAATGTTCACGCAGCAGTGCTGGTGTCTTCAGCCGCGTTAACCTTAACATCCATTTTGGACATTAGATAAAACAGGACAACCTCAAAGAGCCAGAGGACGCCTCTGCGGCCATCGTGCACGATGGCAACAGGGACAACAGCATGCAACCTCAAAGAGCATTAAACATCCACTTCCCTTCCCATTTTCGTCCTCTAATCGACAAAGCAGAGCAAAGAAGTTGACGCGCTGCGCCGCGAACGCGATACAGCACAAAGTAAGCTGTCACAGGAGGTTGGGCGAAAGCTGGATGCAGAGGCTGCTCAAGCCAAGGCTTTGTCCACATTTGAGAAGGAAACAGATCAACTGAGGACAGAAAAAGCCCAAGCTGAGGCGCACATCCTAGCCTTGGAAGAAGAAAAGCAGAAGTCTCTAGCTGCGAGAGAGAAATTGGAAGCAGGGCTGGGGCAAGAGAAGGTAAAAAGTCGTGATACAACTTCTTGTTTACAAGAGTAGAGGAAACGAGGCAGCGGATAGCAGTGCGCTTTTTCGCTAGCCTTGCGTGCAGCAGCGATCTCCCCAACAGGGTGACGCCCGTTGCCCTTTTCTGAGGGGAGGCGCACGGGCGGGTCCAATGAATGAATTACACAAGAGTGCACGAGCCTGGGCGCCGTTTTGCGCGGCGCTGCAGCGGTCTCCCTTTACAATCGGCGGGGTCGTCTGCTCGAGGGGGTTGCGCTGCAGGAGTGCTAGCGCGTGCGCCTTTGCATGGACGCCGCGGCCATCGGAGAGGGCGCGGCGCTGGGGTCGGCTCGGTTCTTAGCTCACAGACGGCTGCACCTTCTGCCGAAGTCCTCTCTCTCACTCACTCTCCTCCCTGGCTTTTGCGCGCCTTCTTTTGTTTTGTTTCTTTTCTTGTCATGAGTAGCTGTAGCACCGCCTCAATGAATAACACGGGGCTACTTCTCACACAACAACCGGAGCGCCCCCCAAATCTTGCCGCCCTTTATGTTTGCCGCATTGCCTATTTTAGGCGGGCCTGGCTATGTGCCTTGTTTTCCCGCAGATGCTGCGGCCTCGCTCACTGTCATCCCCATCCACCCGGCACCCTTTGGGGTACTCGGTACAAACTTGTGCCAACGCCGCAGCTTGCAGGTGATATCGAGGCAGCTGAACCGCTTGGGAGTAGGAGTGGGGGCGCATCACTCTCGGAAAGGGGAAGGCGAAGGGCTGCCATGCTGTGAGCGTTGGGCTTAGTGTCGGCTCGGCTTGCCTGGGTCGTCGATCGTGCTGGAAGGTAGAGAACTTACTACACACACCTCTCGCGCTTGTGCCTCTAACAATGGCGGCGATGACTATCGTGAGCAGGGTGAGGCGGGTGATGCTGATGCGGTTACGATGGCCCAGCTATGAAAACAAAAGGGCCATCAGAACAGAAGCCGGCCCGAAGTGAGCTCGTGCGAGCATGCGTGCACTGAGGTGAGTGCGGCGCTTGGCGTGTTGCTTGCTGAGGGGAGGGGGGCCAGTGCGTGGGGTGGACGGATTGACAAACCTCGGCTGCGCCGTATGTGTGTGTGTTCTTTTTCGGTCTGTCATGGTGTTCACAAGAAAGTAGCTGAAGCAGCCGCGGCGTAGTCTTCGCGCCTTGTGGCAAACTATCGAACGCTGACGCCCATGCTCTGCAGATAATGAAGCAGGGGAACGGCTCCAGCTCCAGGACCAGAAGAACCGAGGTAAGTATGGGTGCTCAGCTCACGCTCTACCCATTCAAGCCACCTGCTCCCCATCAATCAGGTCAGGCTTGAAGCTGAGCGCACTGCTTTGCAGAAAGAGAAGCGTGGACTTGAGGAGCGTCTATCTGCGGCTGAAGAGCGCGCTACCGCGGCTGAGAACCAAGCTGCTGAATCAGCAGAAGCAAGGAGTGTTCTGGAGATCCAGTTGAAATCAGTCGAAGACTCAGCAAAGCAACAGACGGACTCTTCGATGTTATGAAGATGATCGTACAAGAACAACAGTTACGTTTACAACAATGCCCCTCTACATTTTCGTCATCACCATCATCTTTAGGAAGCAGCCAAGGCAGTTTCATGTTCTCTTAAGTAACTACTACTACAACATCGCTATCACTTCACTCTAACTTTAGCTAAAGTCGCAGACCTTGGAAAACTAGTGGAAGCGCTTGAGTTGGAAAAAAAGACAGCAGCGGCAGACGCGAAAGAGCGCATTAAGGACTTGGAGAGGTTCGTGGATACTCTGAAAGCGCGTGTTGAAGCGAGTCAGGGAGTTGCTGATAAGTTATGATTTGGGCTTAACCTTAATATTCACTTCCACCAAGAATCGGTTTTCCCGATTAATGTTCACTTTCCATCCTGATTGTTGACCAATTTTGGCGCATCTTGATGCTCTTTTCTATCTATTTAGCTAGGAACTCGAACTACGCCCACACCGGTCTCATCTAATCCTAGCCAAGATGGATTTGGGGGTCGCGACGAAGGACTTTGAGAAACGTATCAAAGCAGTTGAAAAGGAATCTGCGGCACGCGAGCAGGCTGCTGTTGCGAAGTGTTATGAGGCTTTTTTTAGGTGAAGACTCGTTTTCAGGGTCAATGAGCAAGATCAAGATCAAGCAGTGGTCTCAACATCCTTTGTCCTTGACACCCCTGTATTGAAAACTCCTAGCCACCTAGTTCAGCATCTTCTACGGTCCATAGTTCTACTTTTCTAAGACCTTGAAACCGAACATGCGACAAAGAGTCAGAAGGAAAAAGACCGGCTTGAGGCAGAGAAAGCGAATGAAATTGAGAAGCTTAACGAGCAAGTGTCTCTGGTCGCTTCACTGCGGACCGAGCTTGAGGAAAAGCAGGGTCAATTCGATGCTGACCGCAAAGAGTTACAAAAGGACTTCAATTCCCAGCTTGAGCAGAGTGCCGCTGCCCTCAAGGAGAAAAAAGAACGCGATATCGCAAAGCTCGAGGAAGATATGGCAGCTCTGAAATCAGCGGGTGATCGAAAGTCTCAGTCGTTAGAGTCCGATCGCGAACGCCTCAACCTGGAAGTGGAACGGTTAAAAACCGAGTCTGCTGATCGTATTACTGAACTAGAGCGCTTCGTCGATGCCCTGCAAAAGCGAATCGAGAAGACGAAGGACGAGCGAGACACACAACTCCGAGAAGCGGCTAAGGAACAGGAGGCAGCAGCGATGAAACATGCTGAAGAGATGTTAAGGTGATAGAAGTTATAGCAACAGGTGGCCACTGGAACTAGACCGAGAGATGAAATTGTAGCCCTGCTCTATAAGAGTCGTAGAAAACGAAAACCAGCATAGCCTTCTTCTTCCTCTAAATCCAGAAGCCTTACGCAAACAATTTGCAGATGAAAAGCGTGCAACGAGAGAGGCGGAGGAACAGATGCTGGCTGAATTGAGGCTTAAAATGGACCAGATGGAGGAAACGCACAATTATGACCTGGCTGACAGTGAAAATCATATGTACTACGACTAGTTTTTTTTTTGGATTTAGTCTAATCTCAACATCGCCTAGAATCTATGCAGGAGGAGCATGGGGAGACGGTTGAGCGCCGTATTGCGGATGTCACGAAGAGTCTAGAGAGGGACCACATTTCGCAGATGGAGAGCGAAATAGCCGAACTCAAATCTGCCCATAAAGCTGATAGAGTAGCGGCTGAAGAAGAAGCGGCCTCGAGAACGGCAGCAGACGCCGCTAAAATCGCAGATTTGCAATCAAAAGTGGAGAAGCTTGCTAACGAAATTGAGCAAGGGAAGAAATCGTTGGAAGCTTCAACGGCTAAGGCTGAAGCCTTGCAGCAAAAGCTGGATGCGGAAGCGTCAAAAGCAAAAAGGGCAACTGAGTCACACGACCAAGTGGTCAAGGAGCAAAGTGAGAAGTTGACTGCCCAGGCTGCGGCATTCTTGAAAACAGAAACGGCGTTGAAAGAGGCGGAAGGAAAGGTTAAAGAACTCTTATGGCGAAGGGATGTGAGTCTGAGTTCTTGTGAAGTTGAAGATCTCAGAAACTCGTTTATGTTGATCATCAACATCTTGAGCATCAATTACCTCCATTCTAAATCCCGCTGCGCAGCTCCTTTCTGTTCAGCAGAAGTCGGCTGAAGCGCTGAAAGCAGCCAGCCAAGAAGCATCAGCGGCTCTGAAATCTGCGAAAGATGAGGCATCCACAACTCTTGCCACACGCGATGCTGAGCACGAACGCGCTTTAGCAGAGGTACACGCGGAGAAACAAGCACAAGTCGAGCAATGGCAAGCAGAAGTAGGACGATGGAAGCAGGCAGCACAGGAAACCGACGCCCGTGCGAAAGCAGACTTTGAAGAACAGGCAAAACACGCTTTGGCGGAGAAGGAGAAACTCAGAGAAGAGGTCGAAACAGCGAAAGTGGCTCATGCGGAAGCGGAGAAGCAGTGGCGCTCTGAAGCTGCGGAAATGCAAAAGACGTCTGCGGCAGATCAAAAGTTAAGCGGGGGTGTACTTACCTGTACCATAGGTTGATAGGAGGTCATACCATCGAGTTTTTGTTTTGCCTTGCTCCTCCACAGCTTTCTAGCATCACAGGCAGCCTTTTTTACATCTGCAGGAAGTAAGAAGAAGAAAGTCGAGGCTGTAACTCATACCCAGCAGGTGGAAAGCCAATACTTATTCAATGTGACCTTCTCTAAAAAGAGCTCGCGTCGACGACTACGAAGCCCGACTACAGACCTTAGCATCAGAGGGTGCTGAGATCGCTGAGAGACTTCGAGAGGCGCAAGCGAAGCATGAAGAAGCCCAGCGAATAGCTCGTGCGGAGACAGACCGCGTGGCAGCCGAGTTGAAGAGCGCATTGAGGGAGAAACAAAGTATAACTGATGAAGCGGCCGCTACGCAGATCGAAGCGGATGCGTCGCTTTCTGCGCTACAAAGCGAATTGGACTCGGCGAAGGCAACTGCTGTGAAGGAAAAAGACAAGCTTCTAGCCGACTTGGAAGCTGAAAAAACAGCTTTGGCTAAAGCGCGCAAAGTATCGAGACAGCTGGAGGGTGCATTGCAGGGTGCGAAAGCTGATTTGGCTGTGTTGGAGGAGACTTCAGCAACAAAGCTCCGATTAGCAGAGGAGAGTGCTAGAAGTGCAGAAGCAAAAGCAGTAGAGGCACAACGGGAGTTGTCGGCTCTAGGTGGCGCCAAGGACGAGCAAGCTTCAGAGTTGCAGCGCTTGTTGAAGTCGGCGCAAGAAGCAACCACAGCAGCCGAAGAGCGCTGTCGCTCCGAGTCCGAACGTGCTCTCTTAGAGCGATCAGAAGCCGAGAAGCAACATCGAGAAGCCATTGACGCTATAGGGAATGAAAAGCTGCGAGCAGAAACGCGATTGGCGGATGCTATGAGGGAATCAGAGGAATTCTCTAGGACAGAAACGACATTGCGACAGCAATTGGAACAGGAACTAGTCGCGAAAGAGCTCGCTGAAAAAGAACTAGCGTCGGAAAAGCATAAGGGTGAACAAGCAGCTGCTCGAGCACGTGAGGATCTGGAACGGGAACGGAAAGAATTGATGGGGTTACGACATACCAATAATTCAGATCTACGTCTTAAAAAGTACACGTGCACGACCATTGAACGAAAATGAAATGATGCCTTTAGAAGTAAGTACTCCTAACTTTCCACTCCGTCTAAAAATCGATCACGCCGACGCAGTCGCCCGTCTCGAGGAGGCACAACGTGTGAAGAACACAAATGCTGCCAGTACAGAACGCGAGTTGCACACCAAAAATGCGGAATTGGAGCATCTTATCGCCCGTGCAAAGGAAGCCGAGGCAGCGGCTATTGCTGAGACTGCAGAACTCCGTAAACAGTCTGAGGATATGGCCAGTGACGTGCGTGCCAACCTGGCGCGATCCCAGAGAGAACATGCGGCAGAGATCGACACACTGACGTCAGACCTAGACCAAGCACGGAGGGACTTGGAAAGGCAAAAGAGCACATACGATCAATTGTTGGCTGCGAAGAATAAGGAAGTGCAAGAGCAGATCACGCATAACGGCATCGTGCAGAGCCAGAAGCAGCAGATTCAAGTCGAAGTGCGGGACTTGCGTGAAGCATTGAATGCTGAGAGGGACGAGCGGGCGCAGGAAGCAAGAAATCATCTAGACCGTCTGTCGGCTGAACGCGCTGCCGAGATGGAGCAGACCACTGAGCGCACGTGGCACGCCCAGCAGCTGGAGCAGCAACTAGCGCAGCAGCGAGAAGCCTCGGAAAGAGTGAAAAACGAACTGAAGGACGAAGCCAGAACCCTCCGTGACAGGCTAGACACTGCCCAAGAAGAAACAATGGCGAAAGAAGCTTACTTAAGGCTTGTATATTAGTTCATCTTTGTCCTCAGTTTCGTTCCCTTTCCCTTTCCTCATTGAACTCTGAGACGAGTATCTGTCAGTATGAGCCTGACAGAAATTAGTTACTAAAAATGTAAGCGCTAACATAGGTAGTAGAGGTCGAGCGGAAAGTGCAGAGTCTAGAATTGCAACTGGAAGGACGGGAGGAGCAAGAGGCACGCCGCGTTGTGGCAGAAGCGGAACTATCAAAAAATCGCGAAGAACGGCGTGAACTCCTGATAGAGCTGAGAAACGCAAAACTTTCGCTGGAGTCTTTACAACGGAATTGCGATGCACAGAAATTCAAAACGAAAACGGTATAATTTGTGTCTTTTCAACGACTTTGGATTGTTGCGATCCGCCACGTAGAAAGTTAAATCAACGGCAACGGGAAAGGAGGCATATAGTACAGGAACACTTGATGTACTAGCTGATCGTAAGAGTCCAATCAGATGACTTCAGCACATCCACATGATATCTTTCACTGCTCCAATTAGATAGAGTCTTTTCAGGCAGAGGATTCCAAGAGCGAGTTGGCGCAGCAGGTGGCGGCACTTCGGAAGTCTCTGGCCAGTGCTGACGCGGAGAAGAACAATTTAGTGCAGACAGTAGCACAATTGCGCAAAGCCGATGAGGCTTTGAGAGAGGTTCTGCGGACAGAAAGAGGCCGCCACGACGAAGACGCACAGTATTTGCAACGCAAATTGGATGACCAGAAGAGGCAGATTGAAGAACTTCTACAATTAAGGGTTGCAAATTGACCTTTTACTATCTAAGAAAGTAGAGCATGTCTAGGACCTTCTCAAGCGCCGGGAAAAGGATACCGATAGATGTGCGAGCTGCATGGGTCAACTTGCAACCCCTAATACAACAACGCAGCGCGACTACACCATCTTCACAGCTGCAGCTTCACCAAGTAGAGCAGGGAACATTAGATAATCAGGAGATGGTCCGAGCAGAACTCGAGGCCACAAAAGCCGTGGTTGCTGATCAAGCTTCCACGATAAGCAAGTTAAAGTACGACTACACTTTGTTGGCGAAGCAACTTGGAGACGAGCGGAAGCAGAATCGGCAAGCCATGCTCGTTCAAGGCATGGACAAGACAATCGCGGAGCTACGGAGTCAAGGAGAGTCGGAGGCCACGATCGAAATGTTCACCAATATGCAACTACGCCGCCTCGAAGAGGAAAGTCGGCGACCGCCATCCTCTTCGCATCTATCACCGGTAATGCTAGAGTATAACGGGGGTAACTCGCCGTCAATATTAGGTGCTCCTGGACATCCTGGAGCAGGATCAACATGGAATACAAGAAGTACTGGAGGCGTGGCAATGTCTGCTACAATAAGTAATCACTTGAGGAGTGGGAGTGCTAACAATAACATACTATCGTCCTCTGCAACGCCTGGCTCATCCGTGATGAGAATCCAAGAGCCTTCTTCGACAACTACTGCAACACAGTTATTCGCTGGTAGAATTCCTACTTCTGCTTCCAGGGCTTGCGTTCCTCCTCCATCCTTTGGTGGAAGTGGCCTCGCAACAACAGGTGGAGTCCCCTCTTCCGCACTTCCATCTCAACATGTTCAACACCAAGTTCTGAGTCCTCGACAGAATGTAGTTGGCGGGTTGTCGCCGGGTCTACCTCTAGGTGTATCCAGCACACAACTACCTTCACCCATGCCTGCTCAACCACCGGTCTCCACACTACAACACAGTGGGCACTACCTGCACCACTACACAAGCTCCACAGCAGCTCCAGGCACCACGGTGGCGAATCTGACATCGTCTTCAGGGGAGCCGTTTTCCTCCAGCAGTGGTGGCTCGAATCCCAAGAATAGCGCACGCGGACAACAACTACAATTTCTGGCTAGCACCAGTGGTGGTGAAACTACAGGTCCGGGAGGACCACTTCAAGAACGCAGTCTAGCATCAGGACCTCCACTTCAACATCAACATCTAGTAGGCGGAGGTGGATCAGGATCTGGATACCCACCAGTGCCAGTACTACCAATAACTTCAGGTGCAGGTCCATCAACAGGAGTTTCCTATGTCGGTGAGGCGCCACGAATACCTGGGACTTCCGCATCCCTCTCACAAACGATCGCTGGATTTGCACCACCAACGCGGGGATTAGAACCTTCCTCTCAGCCACCAGGTACGTTCTCATATGGAAATTCAGGGGAAACGGGGAGAACGAGAAGTCATCAGTAGGATCCGGATAAACGAGCGTATAACGTAAAGCCTGGGTTACGTCTGTTTGGATAGAAATAGAAGATGACAATAACCAAAGTCAATAGAACTTTTTGTAAGAAAGTCAAATTCAATTTCAATGTCAATTTCAAAGTCGCCATATTTTTCACTTATCCAAAATGCCAGAGCATCAAATCAATTGAACAAAGAACACAAATGACTTCATACGACGGCATACCGATTATACCGATGCCTGTTCGCATTTGAGGCTTTTCGCACGTCGTTATATTGTTTCACTACGTATTAAACGTATCCTCACGCGAATGATGGGAGCGAAAATGAATATTAAAGCACCAGCTTCATCATCTTACAATTTCGAAATTAAATCAGTCAATTATGACTTGTAAGTATCTCTATGTCTAGTCTAGACGTTTCTCAGTTATTTTTATTGTACAGATCCATTAATCCTTCTGGCACTTATCTCCCGCTTAATGCGTTATTGTACAGATCCATGCATTTGTATCTATAGAAGCAGAAGGGATGTTGCTGGACAGTATCAGAATCAGTGAAGTAGAGGGTCGATGTATTTATCCGAAATTAAAGAAAAACAAGAACATATCTACACCTATACTTGCTTACTCGTCAAAATGATTAAAGTCCGTAAAGGAGACAGACTCATTTTTATAGCTAGAGTAGTCCGCTTTTCGAGTTACGGGTTGCTCGAGTTCTCTCGAGTTGCCACGAGTTGCCGAAACTCACATGCCCAGTCCGGAACGAGTTGCTAGCGAGTTCCGCTCGGCAGCTTGCCACATTGAAAGCGCAGCACTCCGCGGCGGTATGCTATGGCGGGCCAAGATGCCACGGAGTTCAGGAGGAAGCTCGTGGCCGGTTGTTTCTTAGCAGGTCTGCCTTTTGTATTCATTGAAGAGACACGCCCCGGCCGAGCTCTTCGGGCTTGGGCTTGGCGAAAGTAAGAAGGCGAAGCTCGGGGCCTTTTTTGTTTGAGTGGCGCGCGCGCAAGCCTTGCGAAGTGCAGCTACTTCCTCGCGGTGTCGGTGTCTCTGCATAGTCGTGCGCCGATGTCGGTCGCGATCTGGTTCTGTTTTTTTGCTGGTGAGTGGCCAGCCTGTTCGACTTCTTGGGGCCCCTGTTTGCGCTGTAGTGGGCTTACTGAGTAGCGTGCCGCCTAGTGGGTAGCGTCACAAGCAAGGCCGCCGTGAGTAGTGTAGACGCATCGGGATCGGAATGGATTGGGTTTATTTGTGTGTTTGTTTTATAGGGCAGCAACTATACCAGGCAGGCGCGCTAACTTCTTAGTAGCGCAAAACTACGAGAGCAGGGCCCCTGGCTAGGTAGGTGGCGCCGCTCCTGTCTGCCCCGCGCATGCAGCGCCTCGCAGAGAAGAGAGGGCGCTACTGAAGGCGTTCGCTTGTGAAGGTGGTTGGCGCTCCTGGGCAACGTGTTTGACGCTTCGAAGATAGTGCGCCCGAAGGGCGCGGCGAAAATTTTTTTGGTATGGAACTCGTTCAACTCGAGCAACTCGACCCGATAACGGGCGGAAAAGTCTAATTCTATTATACTTCCAACTGAATGAGAAGGAACGAAACGACAGTTCGATCATGTTGCGCAGGAGCTGCAGCTGAAGGGATATTTTTTGTTTCATCAGCACTCCGATATAGCCACACACAACTGAACTTGTTAAGAACTGTTTCTACGCAAACACACTCACACGCGAAAAAACATGAAAGACTGTATCGTCGTGAAAGAACTTGTGAACAAGGTGGCACATCTAACCTTCCTGGACACAGAAGTGCTTATATCCGATGCTAATCAAAGAAATCTATCTCGACTGCTCTCTGTCTCAAAAAGTGTGCGCAATCAAACAGAAAGTGTGTGGTCACCGGCTGCTTCACTGTGTGACCCTGACCATCTTCTTGTGAAAAATAGATTTTCGACTTCTGTACCATATCAAGAAGGCTGTATGCATATACTTTGATTCCTGCTATCTGCCCATGCCATACCTGCTTCGATTTTTCGGGATGTGACCATGATGCTGAGCCAAAAATACTTCCACCAGATGTCCTCTTTCTCATGTGCGTCGTGCTACAGGTACAGTTTCTCCAACTTCTGTACTAAGTAGAAAATCACGACCATCGGTTCTTTACATCCTTTAATGTCATGCCCGAATTACGTTTACAACGCTAGATTGGCTTTGCAGAAAAAACATGATATAACGTGCTCATGTGTCCCTCTCCGAATAGATTCCCATAAAAATCATGATGTGTTTCTGTGTCCCTCTTCCCTATGCCAATACCCTATATGACAACTTGGCTTTTTCCTATTTGAACTGTACGGACCAGGTTAAAAAGTCTCCTCCAGAAACTGGAACTCAGAAGACTAAGTCTGGACACTCCCACTCCTGTTTAGTATTGTGTTTTAGTTGATTTGCTTTTCGGCAGTCACCGATTCATTTCGGCATTTTCTTGACGCAAATGTCCTCTAGGTTTAGTTTCTGACTCCATCGCAACTACCATGTACTCATTTCCAGTTTTTGAATCTGTACGCTCTTCTTACCTCTCTCATCTCAAGGGACTCCAGGTCAGAAGAGGTTTCCTATGTCCCCATACTAGGCTTTTCACTTCCGCGGCTTTCATTCATTTGACACACTGCTGGAACTGTTTTGTCCCGCCATTAGGCTAGTAGTACTAAATGGGACACCATGATGATGCGTCTGCATTTGGAAAAATCAATTTGTCAAAGCGCGTCAAGGTTGAGGATTTGCCTCATCGTTCGTATTGACAACAAACACCAGGATGAATTTCTAGAAGCTGAACGACGTCTAATCTCGTCCAAGGCCTATGCCTTTTATTCTTTTTTTGTGATTTCGAACTAAGAATCTTTGATGACTCAGCATTGATTTTATCGCCTTTTTTATTGAAAATTGTAAAATCGAAATCCTTGCTCTGGTATCTATTATCAATCTAAGTGTCTCCAACTGCATCTTTGGATTCAACATTATTTCCGTGTCGAGAAACTCTCTACTTGTCAGTGTCTACCAATAAGAACAAAGAAGATGTCGTGGGGTGCAACGATAAAAAAGGTAAGACTTCGCAACATGAACATTCTCGTTGGCGCGTCGTGCCTGCTTCTTTGGGGAAGTGGGACTTCCCTGCTCGTTGAAGGTCGGATGTTACCTGGTTCGTCCTCATCTTCATCGTCGAGCTCGAGGCCGATGAAGCGTCCACGCGAAGCTGAAAGTTCAGATTTTTATGTAGACTCACACTCACTTCCGCACAAAATCGACGAAGTTCATCTCCATTTCTAGAATAAACTCATCATGTTCCAGGGTTCCAGATGCATCTTGTTTTCCCTGGAACATGATGAGTTTATTCTAGTCGTTTTAGGGAAAACAAGGTTCCTCAAGATGGGATTTTTAAGTATATCAATCGGACCGAAGAGTTTCCAAAAGTTGTACCTAGCTCTAAGAAGCTGCCGGAACAAGGGGCGCCTCGTCTCGTCTTGAAGATGACGAAGGAAGCCCTCACCTTCGTGATAAAAAAGAAATGCGCCGTCACGTCGCGGAGAACAAATTGGCTCCATATAATACTCCGAGACCGAAACCACCGGCAGTAGCGAATCTCCTCTACAGTCTGAGCAAGAGGCTAAAACGAGTCCCTGTCGTTTCGTTAAGGCATCAACAACAACAAGTAGTTCTAATAGAATTTCTAGTCTACTACATGTACTTAGACTTACATGATCTACAACAGAACAAGGAAATTTAATTTGAAATATTTTCTTATACTTATATATTCGTAGCAACATGCAGATCCACGGCCACAATGCGAAGCTTGGTTAGACTCATATTCCAATGCTGATCCTGAAGATTGCCAAGATCTAATTTCCACACTTCTGCAGACTTCAGCAGTGCACTGCATGATGGAAGCGCTGACTGTAGAGAGGCTGACAGATGACACATCCAGTATTGCGAAAGAGGTGTTCGAAATAGCGAAACCTATCGCAAAGAAGGCGATGCAAAAAACAAAAAGGTTTTCGAATGGGGTAATGAGAAAAAAAGATGAAGGTACTATTTTCTTTCTTTTTTTGATTCGATCGACGTAGAGGTTGTACGTCGACCTCGGTCCATAGTTTTTTAAATACTCTTTTGAATGAACATGATCATGAAGTCAATTGCACAAGTAGGAATCTTTTGATTTAAATATCACTTAGACAATCATCAAGTTCAACATTCTTCTCCAAATTGAAACTTCATCTCATAGCGTTTCTGCAATTGGCGCGCGCAACACGTCCAGGGATGCTGAAGCGTGTAAGCAAGGCGATGCTGAAGGGTGTGAGGCATGTGAAGGATAAGTGTGACTTTAAGGCTCGTCACGTCCTGGCTGCTTCAGCTTTTTTAGAGGGCTTATTCATGATCGTGATCCATCGTATAGTTTTTTCTACCTCTTAATTACCTACACATGTAGTGACTACGTAGTTCTCAAGGCGTAAAAATAATTAACGATGTAGATGTTGTTTCTCGAGTATCTCTTTCTTGTCTTTCTGTTTTTATAGTGGCCACGTAAGGTCTTATTTTCAGGCATTTCTGTTCTAACCTATACACGACAGCGAAAAACGGATTAAAAGAGCTCTGTAGACAAGTAAAAGACGCAGACCCTTTCACGAAACTCAAGGACGCGAGGCAAGAGCTCCATAGGCAAATGGAAGAAGAAGATCTAGCCTCTTGCGCTTGGGATACGAGTACCTCTCTACATCGTGATGCCCAGAGAAGAACAGCTATTCACATGATAGAAAAAGAACTGCAGGCCTATATCTATAATTAATTTGAAGAAGTTTATTCTTGTGACCACTTTTTTCTACTACATCTTCTACACCAACTCCATCATCTTGATTTTTCCCACTTCTCCATCATCTTGATAGGCTAGCGCGTGACCTCATCCTCACTCGTAGTCGGACTACCATCACTTTGAGTATTATAATAGTGAGGACTCCTACTTCCGCTTCCGATTTCTTTTCCTAGAGAGGCACGACTGCGTTGAAGACTCCAACTGCTGTAGCTGTAGTAAGGACTAAGTGTGAAATAAATTTCAGTATATCTACTCATTCTCTGATCTTATCCTCAACAACATCGTAGCTCCAAATAGTTGTACACTTCACCAAGCATACGCCATACTTACACTCACAACAGAAATGTGGTGTGCAGCGGGTGCAGAGATGTTGTATCTATCGCCTTGGCTTGTGCTGACTGCCGTGATCCGTACTGGAGAGGCAATCGATAGTCACATCTTCCGAGATCAATACTCTTTATGGTCGGGGGCATTTACAACTACAAGTACAAGGGTCATCTTTCTTAGCATCTGCATCTTGGTAGTAGTAGCATACTTTTCCCACTCCCATAGAAGCATAGGAGCATAAAAGATCAGAGGTACTACTAATGCTACTACCGAAATGGAGGGACCGGGATGAGTCTTCCGAAGACTTCAAGCACATTTTCAACAGTTACACTTTATCATCTCTAAAGTTTGCTGATCCGGAACCGTCGATCGACAATCGATCAGAAGCACTTTTTGAGGAAATGCTGCCACCTTTATGGGGGAGTAGTTCTTCAAAATTATACATAGTACATACTAGATCTAGATCTTCCACCACTATTATAGTACATACTAGAAGTAGACGAGATAGTTTTAATTCATCTCTTAGTGTAGAATTAGATATAGAACTAGTCGCTTGATGATGATGAAGTACCAGAGTGAGGACCTGAGTTGTTTGAAGCTGGTGCAGCTGTTTGAGAGTCTGTTTGAGAGTAAGATCTACTTCTTCTACTTGGAGGAAGTATCCTTATCTATTTCTATCAATAGTCCTCCTGGGTTTCTCTCCCTCATCATGGATGCTGGTCCTCTTCCTCTCTCCTAATCCGGCGGATCACAGTCCTCTCTCCTTTTTCATGTTCCACAAAGCGCAAAGGCATGAAAGAAGAGGACATTGACGCTTGCAGGGCAGAGGCGCGGAGGATAGTAACCGTGCGGAAGTCTATGCAGGATCAAATTGAACGTGCGGACATAGATTTGTTGGCGATGCCTGCTCTTGAAATGGTACCCGAGGAGAAGCATCGCGGCCGAGTACCAGGTTCTACTGGAGAGGGGTCTTCGTCTGCTGGAGGGTCTTCGTCTGCTGAAGGTGGGTCTTCGTCTGCTGGAGGGTCTTCGTCTGCTGAAGGTGGGTCTTCGTCTGCTGGAGGGTCTTCGTCTGCTGAAGGTGGGTCTTCGTCTGCTGGAGGGTCTTCGTCTGCTGAAGGTGGGTCTTCGTCTGCTGGAGGGTCTTCGTCTGCTCATGGAGAAGAAGGTAGTTGCTCTGCTGGAGGAAGTAACCAATGCAGTGTGGCTGTGTCAGGATGCAAGATAAATCTTTATGCAGCTCATATCTTCATTATCAACATAATTATTACTTGTTGGACTTGATGTAGTAATACTATATCTTGAATAGATTCTTGAAGAAGCTTGGCTCTGCTCCACCTCGACATAGACAGGTCGTGTTCCTTTTTTGCTTCGTCTTCAAAGATTCCTTCACTTCTACTTGCTAAGAAACATACTACCTTAAGCTTAAGAATAGCCTCATCAATCTCAGGCCACATGCCGAATAGATTTAGATTCACATCATCAAGAATATCCTCAAACCGAAATCTTTTGCCTTTCTAATTTCTTTTCAAGCTGTTTTTTACTTCCTTCTTTCGACCAGCTGGTTACCGAGAACATCAAGAACAAGCGGAGCGAAAATATCGAGAAGATTTAATCGATGAATATTTTTTTGTGAATAGAGACGATCATCCGCGCGCCGATGGTCGTCGTGATTGGGAGGTCTTCATACACGACAGCCTCCCTCTTTTCGAAAAAGCGAAGCGAGATCGGCAACAATTGGATGCCCTTCATTCCCGGTTGCAACTTTAAGACTCGACTTACATAATTGAACATGATGTAGTCATAGACATAGTCTAAGTCTTCTAATTCTACTGCTAGAAATCGTTTTTCTAGAAAGATCATGGAGAGGGTTGTAACAACATCCGATAAAATTGCTTGAAAACTGCTGCTGTAGCTCTACCTATGGTAGTGGTACTAGAAGCAAACCGAATTTTTATTGGACGATAAGCGATCAGTTCAACATAGTTTGACTCACTGAAGAGGTCTACTTGCTGACTTGGACTGAGGTCTTCTAAGAAGCACAGGAAGAAGCACAAGAAGCAAAAAAGCTTCTCGAAGAGCAGTTCCTCGAGGATGAAAAGCGAAATAAAGCTCATGACCTCGATTGTGCGGTGGCGGCATTGGAAAGATTTAAGAAACAACTTGGCGCGGAAGTCGAAGAAGTAGAAGTAGAACCACGGGAACTAGATGACGTGGAGGTTGAAGGAGAAGTAGGTCTCCCAATGCCAATCGAAAGTCGTAAACGGAAAATGACACCGACCGAAGAACAAAAAGTGGAACAGCAGAGCAGGAAAAGAAATAAACGGCCACTTCTACATCTGAATACTTTAGAACAAGATCATCTTCGCTCTCGTCCTGCAAAGCTTCCCACTTTGGCTAAGGTCGTTTGTCGTCAACTAATGGCTCCGCGACAAGAGACAGCAAGTAGTCCAGATTTAGAGAGCTGTCGAGATGAGATTAGTCAGAACCTACGATTGCAAACTAAAATTTTGGAAGACCTTTACAATTTCGTGTTTTTCACGACTGCTGGCCGGCAACATCTAGAAGAACGTGCTAGTGTAGAAGTTAAGGTCAACAATATATTAATGTGTCCATCTTTCCCAGCATCCTCTCGCTATCCTTCTCCCTTGTATTTCTCATGAGAACAACGGAGTCGTCGAGATGAAGACGGGGGGACCGAGATGATGATGAACAATAGAATTTGTGATACTCATCTCGATCTCTATATAATGAACAATATTAAATTTACAATATAATCGCATTATTGAATAGATGCTGACAACTCTAAAAATAGTGGCTCTTCAGCTTCTGCTTGTAGCTCTTCGCCGATTTCAAGATCGCCGGCTCTTCCAACAAGAACTGAGATAAACGCCGCATTTCTGGGCTTACAGAAGTTGCAGGTGGCTGTAGACAAACTGATACCCACTTATAGCGAGCAGGTTCGACTGGCGTGGCTGGAGATGGTTAAGAATGACCGGCATCCGATGAAGCAGTCTTGTATCATCTGCATGGCTGTCGAACCCACACATGCATCGACTTCCTGTGGTCATTTTTCCATGTGTGAGGCTTGCGTTTTTATGATGGAGGTGGTACATTGAAGAAGATCATGTTGAAGTTGGTACTACAACACTTATTCTATTAGAAATAGAGGTCTCCTAAGACTAAGTAGATCTTGTTGATCATCCTATTTTATTATAACGTACGCTAAGGCTAAGCTAACAGCATCGCGTCTTCTTGCTAGACTGGTAGTTGTAAGTGCTTTGCTAATCAGATCTTGTTCTTGCCTTTTTTTCTACTTAAGCAACTCGATCTGGAACTACTTCAAGACCAGGGCTTTTCGTAGTTGTTCTGGTGCTACCTGAACCTGTAGTACCTTGGAGTTAGAAACTTCTACTTCAAGACCAGGGTTAGTAGTTGTTCTACCTGTACAGAGATGGCTAAGAGTGCAATGCAATGTAATAAATCTCGCACAACGTAGTAGATACACACCTTTGAACAAGACACACCTCTTCTACTTACTTCAAGAACAGGGTCACTAATGATGTTCTTGTACATATTTTTCTAATGAGGCAAGGCTCAAGACGACAGATGACAATAGATGTCCCGTATGTCGGGTGCACACGCCTCCAGACTCCTGGCTGAAGATCCATTTGGCGTGCGACACCGAATACGTTCCGGAACCGAAATTGAGTCATCCTCCGTCGTCAATCATCACGCAGAACAACGGCGCCTGTCCTCCTGCGCCTCCAACCCTAACCCATGTTACGAAGGTACCGTGATGGACGCATTTTATTATACAACATTTTTAGTCGTTTAATTTTCAACTTGCTGAGTGTGCGTGTGGGTACTATATCAAATATAGTCATCATACTTGAAGAACTTGAAAAGAATGCTCTTTTAAAAGCTGGGTTCTTGACCGTTGCAATGCCTCTAATGATGGCGCCAGTGCGCCGGGTAGAATCAATGAAAATGGGCTTATAATGAGTGCTCTCGTGAGTGAGATTCTGAGGTTCGCGAATGAGAATTCACCGAGCAATAGAACAATTATCCCTCCTCATGCGGATGTCGAACATGAAGCTGCACCTTCAGCTCCACCAAGTCCAAGAGAACAACAAGTTATGACGTTTCATTCACTCTTTCATTCAACATTGCTACTCAGTTTATTGTTTGTAGCGCACTCTATTTTCCTACGTACATGAAGATTTCTTCGCTAGAAGCGATATCTGGTGCTCTAAAATTGGTGACATTGTTGAAGTTGGTGACATTGGAGGGGATCTTAACGACTACGAGAGTGCTGAGGACGAACAAGTTGCGGACTATCGTGATTTGGAGACACCAGCTGCAGCGGCTCCAGTTGTTAGCTCGTCTACATTAAGGCTTGAAAGTTGGCATCTCTATGAGCATCTCTATGGTTTCTCCAAGTAGGAAAGCCATAGATATGCGGGCTAGAGATGCCAACTTTCAACCCCTAACTTCTACAGGTATGTAGGCTGCACGAGCTGCCTCTCGTCCCCGTCAAGCTGGTGCTTATCAGCCGCTCAGCTACGCTTCGTCGAATACGGTGACGGATGACGTGTTTGGAAACCCGTGATAAAAGAAAAGGATCACGTAAATAGATCGGAGTGAGAAGAAACACACGACAACATATAATGATAATTAATGATTCCGAAAAAGAAAGAGATAGAGAAGATGAAGAAAGAGAAGATAAACTTGAGGTTACTTCTAAATTATCTGATAAAACTTACTTAAGAGTAAGACTATGCGCTCTTTTGCTTCTGATAATTGAGTACGCTTGCGGACATCGACATGCAGGAGCTTCTCGTGTTTCTATCATCGATTGCCCAAGAACAAAAAGTAACTAGAATTTATTTAGACGTGGCCTATATGCCTCAGTGTATGGTTCTGGTATTTGGTAACCTGAATTTGATCATAAGGGTTCTCTTCTTGTTTTCCCTTATGATCCAATTCAGGTTACCAAATACCGGAGCCATACACTCAGTCTTTTCAAGTATTAAGTCGTTGCTGAGCATCGTTTTCGTCCTCGGATGTTCGTTTTTTTTTTCCCTGGAAGCGGGATGATGGCTGGACCTCTAGTAGTTCTAGAGCAGTTAGACCTGCTTCTCCCTTATCTAGAACGAAGCTGAGAATGTCAAAGTATATTTTTCAAGAGTTGATGGTCTAAGCCTACGGAGGAGACTTGTTATTATAATCAGACTTAACACTAATTGTATTGGAGAAAGTTTCAAAAAAAATAGCATTAATATCTGCATTTTCATCGCCACATGGGTCACTATGATGATCAAGATTTAGGATTGAGCTAATACCAAATGAAGATGCTGTTACTGCACTAGCAAGCGCTTTCACACAGGGCATTCTGAAATGTTTCTTAGAAACAGTTTCTACATGTTTCTAATATGCATCATTCTACTTATCCTCTTCTCTGGAAGATTGATGTCAATGTTCCTCCCGCAGATGGACCTACAATGACTGAGGCGACGCCTATTTTCCATTTTCGGCTATGTGTTCAATCACTACTACTACACCTTGTGTTCACGAAAATACACAAAAGTAGTGCGCAAAAGGAATAAACTACAAAATTGGCTATCTCCATCTTAAAGAAGAAGAAGAAGAAGATTTGGTCTTAATGTAGACAGCATTCCGAGTTTCATGTGTAAGTATCTAATATATCGTAAAGGGAGTACTACACATTCTAGTATTAATATTGAAGAGCTCCGTTTGAGTTTGTTTTTTATCCGTTGTAAAAAGAATATCTTTTCCTTTGGTCTTCCTCGGTCTATCTCAATATTAAAGAGTAGTACTAGGACTACATGCTCCTTGGTCACCAAGGTGGTTTCTTCCTTGCGGTACCATTACTTTTGCCAGTCTGAAAACCAAAACTTTGTATTTTTGTATCATTTAGTCCCTTCTGGTAGGAGGTAAAATAAAAACTACAATCGTTCGTGACGGCGCGTGATTCTACTTGTTAAAAACTTTGATTGAAGTTGAACATCTACATCTGTTTTTATTCATCCTTTATTTTTCCAACTGTACTAGTACAGTAGTTGTAGTGTTGCTGGCTCTAGAACAAGAAACAGAATATCAGAACTAGAAAAATAAACAATGGTCGACGTTGGGCAGGAGGAGCTGAAGGAACGAGCGGAACTGTTCGAACAGTTCCTTGGTTCCCGCAATGGCGAAGGGTACCACGAGAAGCTGTCGAACATGTTGTCCGACAATCAGCGACACGTGTATCGCCTCGAGGTGAACATGGCAGATCTGGAACAAAAAAAGAGAGGAACCATGAGCAAACTTTTTTATGGCATGAGCAAACTTTTTTATGTACGAGTACTTAGATTAGTTTTCTTGCCATTCTTGAGTGTAGATAGACTCAATTGTAGCTAGCATGGAGGATGCCTGAACGTTGGTGTAGCTACCCCGATTCAAGTCATGTGGTGGCGCACTTGTAGACAGTAGGCAACAAAAAAAAAGTTAATCTTAGTAGTGGCATGCGCAGCATCAACAAGATCAACACTTACAGTTCTTCCAGCTAGATTTTGGTTCTTTTAAGTTTGGAAACGTCCATAAATGGCTGTGCCGACCCAGTCATCGTCTTGTGCATTTTATACGTAAGCTCACCCAAGAAAAAAGGAACTGGAACGACAGAGAGGACCTGCACTCTAGTATGTGTCATACCTCCAGCTGCTCTAACTCCTAGAGTATCCCGCACACTATCTGCCGTGCTTCGAAGTGGGGCTCTACAACTTAAGGACTGGGAGGCGTCTTTTAGTCGAAATCTTCAAAGAAGCAAGTAAATTAATATTCGAGGATAGAATCAGATGTATTGTGCAGCTCGAGCTCGGTTATACTCAATATAATGATTTCAGCTTTTCGAAATCGTAAAATGATCATGATCTATCACCATCATCTTCTTCAATTGGGGCATCGAGCTCTAAACAGCTATTGTATGACAAACGAGGCGTTTGAGAAGTATCAGAAGGAGAGTGCTGTCAAGCCAATACGACTCTCGCTCACTGGACGTTTCGGCAGTCACTACTTATGGCAAAGACCACCATTTTGGTCAGGTGTAGTTGTACTAGAGTTCTAGTAAACGAAAAGGATTCCCTCTTTCTAAGTAGTTGTAAAACGAAAACGATACTAGAATAAGAGAGATATAGTACGATCTGAGGTGTTCTATCATAAACAAGAAGGGATTATACAGCTATGTTAAAGTAGCAACTTCCAAAACGAACGGTGATATTTTGATTTATTGAGCTAGAGCTACTCCTAGTACGTTAAGGCACAACCTAGCATCGTTGGATGTCGAAAGTGAGACGAGCAGCTCTAAATTACGTTACGCCCAGAGGACTGAACTCATCCTTGGTTACCAAGTTGGTCCAAGTAGAAGGTACTAATAATGTCAGCTTAGACATATTATCGTGAAGAATTGGATTTGGAATTCTTTCTGCCTCCTGGGAGCACGTCATTTCATACGATAAAAGAAAAGCAGCACCACCTCCTTCGCCTTCCTGAAGAAGATCTAGCACGCTTAATACATAGACTTAATCTTAATCGACCCATCGATCAATCACCTATCCAGGTGTCGTTACTTCGGTGTCGAATGTGCTGAGCAGGCTGACTTCGTCAATCTATTTCACTGAGGACGAAAGCGTGACAAACAGGGTCCATTTTTCTTAGTAAACTTGGACTTATCTTCAGATCTTTTCTCAGTAATTTACGTGTAGGGGGGGCAGCTACCGGCCAGCGAGTCTACTGCGGTGAGACTCAATCATAACTTTGCTGATCCGGTGCTTCATGCGCAGGGCTGAGGCGGGAACCCCTCTAAATCTAAATCAAGATAAAGATCGTTGTCGTCCTTAGTTTTTCTTTGTTTTTCTAGTAGGACCATCCACGTTCTTTAAGGGAACAAGCTACACGTTTAATAACACCAGGTAAAGCAACGGGAGCACCGAGACAATATGTCGCTTCTTTGGCAGGATATTAAGACGAGTGCGATGCTAAAGCAAGACGCAGAAGGCGTAGAGTGGACAACGCAGTTTGGCTTCTGCAAGTAGTAAAATATTCTTCGATCATATGAAACGCAAATCTGTAGTTATCATCATCAAGTTTCTTATAAGAAGAAATTTTAGTTGTGTGATCATGTATGATAACTAAGAGATCATTTTGGCTTGGTCCTTCTGGAGTCCTCGTGATGTCTTTGTCCACCTCCACCACCTTCATCATCATCATCATCACCTTCGCCTACTATTAAAGCATCATCACCTTCACCTACTATTAAAGCTAAATAAAATAAACTTCTATCTAGGTATAAGGATCAGCAGCACATCATAATTCAAGAAATGCCGGAACATGCGCCAACCGGACAGATACCAGTAAGCGTGGTAGCCATGATCGAACAGGACCACTGCGATACGGTGAAACCAGGCGACCGAGTCAGAGTCGTCGGCGTCTACAAGGCTTTCCCCAAAACGCAAAACGGGCTCACAAATGGAATCTTTCCGATGCGTACTCTTTTTTTTTATCAGTCAATCATTTACATCTGGGTCACAACTAATAATAATTTCTGTGGTTTATTAGACGTTTCCAGTTTTGGTTTTTTGTTTCCTAGCTAGCGTCAGGTGTGCTCCACCGATTTTATTAGACGTTTCCAGTTCGCGATATATGCAATTTCTTACCTCAAGCAATTCTTCTTCATTCCTTACTAGGTATCGTCTGCAACAGTGTGAAGAAGATGAAAGAGCACGTGGGCAAGATCGAGATGCAGCTGGCTGACACCAAAGCAATCAGGGATATCAGCAGACGACCCGACTTTTTTGATCTCTTAGCTCGCAGTTTCGCGCCAAGTATATTTAAGGCTTTGTTGAAAAATTCCTAATCTTCTAGTTTCTTTTCGGATTGCTTGCAGATTTGCGCCAAGTAGCTAGTGTATATACAAGAACTACAGTCGAAAGACCACTGACAATCCCGAACTTTACCGAATCGCGCCCTACCAGTACTTCTAAAGGAGGAGAAGCAGTATGTACCTACGTACTTTAAAATCGAGCTAAGTGGATGGACAAAGAACAACACGAACTGCTTCTCCGCATCTTCAAGGGAAAGGTGTCCATCTTCAGCTTCACAAAGTAACAAGATATTCTGCTAGCTATCATGTATCATCTAATACATCTGGCAACGAGCTCGTGAAGAAGGGACTACTATTACTAGCAGTCGGTGGTGCGGAGAAGAATTTCGACAATGGAACCCACTTGCGTGGCGACATCAACGTCCTACTCGTAGGAGATCCTAGTTGCGGTACCTCTACCTCATTTTTCAAGTTTTCAGTACCTAGGGGTAGGACGACGTTACTTTTCTTGAAATCAATATCAAAAATGAAGATAGAGCAAACGAATTACCACCATCTAATACTAGAAACTCCATTGTTCTCGTTGATTTTCCTTCAGGCTTCAAGCTCCTTCTAATCTCGCTTCACAACTAGGTAAGTCGCAAATGCTTCGGTTCGTGATGAATATTTCGGAAATTGCGATTTCCACTACGGGGCGTGGTTCCTCGGGTGTCGGTCTCACAGCGGCCGTCAAAGTAAATCAGCAAACTGGGTTATGGTGAGAAGAATAAATCTACTCAGCATACTTAGAGTCATAAGGATTCTTTGAAAAGTTGTGAAGACGTTTCCATAATTCTACTCTTCAACATACCTAATAAGTTTAGACGAAATGAGGCTGTTTCAACATACCTAAAACGCGCCTGCAACTACAATTAGCTCCTTGTCCTTGAGAGTGAAAGTGACTGAATACGACGCAGAAGTTTTTTGCTTTCATATTGGGAGCGAACCTTAGAAGCGGGTGCGATGGTTCTGGGCGATCGCGGAGTTGTTCTTATCGATGAATTCGATAAAATGGGAGTCAACGACAGAGTCGCAATACACGAAGTACTACCGCTATTTTTACATCTTCAGATAGTCATAACCATAAGCATCACCACCGTGAACGATACATCACATAGTCAGTAGTCATCTAAGCATAAGGATAAGAAGATCATTGGGGACTTGTGCTTTTTCTTTTTTTTTTCTTCATACACGCACCAGTAGTTCGTCTTTATAGTGGAAATTTTCGAATATGAAAATCTCCGTAATGTGACGGCCAGGTGATGGAACAGCAGACCGTGACGATTGCGAAGGCTGGCATCCACACGACTTTGAATGCGCGATGTAGTGTCCTAGCAGCCGCAAATCCGATCTATTCCAACTTTAAGACAGGAAATGAGGTGGGAATCAGAAGGAGTAGAAACACCAAGAGAAGAAGGATCATCATTAGCAACAACATTTAATGATTTTGATTACAGTAAAACTTATACTTATAAATGCGTAGAATTTCTCTCTACTAGTACCCTTTTTGACTTTACATCGCCTACTCTAAGAAGTGGGATGATAGCATGACATTGGCGCAGAACATCGCCCTTCCGGATTCGCTCCTATCGCGATTCGATCTGATTTTCGTGTTGAAGGACGAATTAGATGACGTCATCGACCGAAAAATTAGTGACCAAGTGCTTCGACAGCTGATTTATGATGGCATTGTTCTTATCCTTGCGACCTACTTGTTTTGATCACACCAAATTATCCCTCTAATTCTGGCACCGTTTTAATCAATCGATCAATCAAATCCCGGTATTTCTGGCACCGTCTTAATCAATCGATCAATCAAATCCCTCTAATTCTAGCACCGTGAGGCGAGGCATATGGCACAGCGCGAGGTTGTGGAGGTGCATGACTCAAAGCTGCAGACTAATTTGGAGGAAGACCCGGCAAACAAAAAGCCGTCCACGGTGTTTCAGCAGAATCATCCCGCCATGGCTGATGGGCAATCGAAGGAAATTCTATCCCTCGAATTCTTGAAGAAATACTTGAAGTACTTCTACTTCTTAAAGATTTCAATTATGAAAAATTTCGGAGTGCTGAACTACAGACTCATCTGCTTGCTCTTGAAAACCGGTAATCAGATCAAAAGTTTTTAAAATTGTATTGCCTTCAAAACCTCAGGTCACCCAACATCCTCGGAGGCGAGCATGTGCCCGCGAGGCTCGTTGTGAAGGATTCACAACCTAACCTAACCTTTGATGTCTACCTCTACAAGAAGAACAAGGAATCAGATCAAAAGTTTTTAAAATTGCATTGCCTTCAAAACCTCAGGTTCTGCAAGGACCGAGCTGAACAGCCGACGTTGACCAAAGCTGCATGTGAGAAGATTGGGGTGCACTATGCAGAACTCCGACAAATGATGAAGCACGACCAGACTCATCAAGGACAATTATGAACAGTGTCATTTTTGGTGGACCTGGACAAAACTGATCATGACAGTACAACATGAACATTCTTCCTCCACCTGGCTGCACTTTTACAAGCAGCTGCAGCAGCTGTGCTTGGTTCTAATTTCTCTTGCTGTCCCTGTCTACTCATTTAGATTATTCCTGCAAACTGTTCGCGATTCTAATTTTCCTTGCTGTAACGACGCGTACGCTCGAGGGTATGATTCGTTTGGCGACGGCTCATGCGAAGCTGCGACTTTCCAAAGAGGTCACGGTTGAGGATGTAGAAGTAACACGCAAACTCCTGATGAAGATTAAGGGTAGTTTATCACTATCCCATGTGACCTATGCGGAGTGGAGTCCTTCTTGATTTGATGGGGAAGCTGAGGGGTAAAGATGAGGACCCACTCGCCTCGGGATAGTGAATAACAAACTGCCTTTAAGAAGAGCAGGAGCATGGAAAGCAAAGTAGCTGAATATAATAACGGAGAGGACCCGAACGCGGCTGCACGGTCCTACACTTTGTTTTATGTTTAGAACTGTTAGATTAAAGAAGCTATAGCCCGCGAATAGGTACATCAATCAATCAATTAATCAAGATGATTGAAGAAGCACGGAATTTTACAACATCAAGATGATTGGCACTCACAGGAACAAGCGTGGTCGCGGACAGGATGATGACAACATGGACGTGGATGAAGAGGAAGATGAGGAAGCCAAGAGACAGCGCGTCGAAGAACAGGAAGCAAAGATTGACGAGAATTTGTATCTCAAATTCAAGGACATCGTCTTCACTTATGATCACTCCGCGTAATTCATGATTAGAAGTTTATCAATCGGTTATTCTGCTCTCCAACAACAGAAGGTGGTACAGGATAGTTGAAAGGCCTCGACGGTGTCAGTATGACACATAAAAGAGGATCCATGACATGACATGAGAAGCATCTTGAAGCTGTTGCTCTCGTCCCATATAATATTGTCAAAGGAGTAAGTAAGATTGACTAAAAGAGGAGCGTAGAAGGTAACGTATGAGTAAAGTGTAGAGGACGAGTGCGCCCTCTTCTTCTGGGCTGGCGAATTGTTAGTTACCAGCGATTTTGTAGCATCTTGAAACTGTTGCAGCTCTCTGATATAGTGGAAGCAAAGTTTTGAACACCCACTCCATGGTTAGGTTTTTGTTTTCTACCGACCCTAGAAAAGGTGGAAGCTTCAGGATGCATTGCAAGAGGAATCACGCGTGAGCTCTAATTCAACATGTTCCGCAACCAGCAGCGTTACGACCTCCCCCTGGACGAAATTCAAGAAAAGGTTCAAGAAGATTATGATGAGTTAGTGGACTAGTAGCTTTAGTTGTACAAGAAATTCAACACAACTCACTACAGATGATATCCCACGTAGTGGTAGTACTAGCACTTCGTCGAGTTACACACCCTCTAATCCACTACAAAAATGGACAACCTCGAGTACGATGCTTGCCTTCAGCAGTTTATCCGCGAGAGGAAGGGGATGATGCAAGCAGACATTCTGTATTTGACCGCATAAGACGCGAGCAGATGCAGGACGTGGTGGGGAACAAGAAGATCTAGTTAGCACTAGGGGGAGCACTACTCATTGATAGAAGATCATGAAGCTGTTCATGAATACGAATTGAAAATGAAGATCGTCGACCCTAGATCCTTGTGATGAATAAAGCTTTCAGCCTATTGTAGCAGCAGTTACAACTGAGTTAGATTTTTGGTACAGGATCAGTCGTAGATCTACATACTTGTTTTCATTCGAAAAGTGGTAAGAGGAAATCAAGTGTTTCGTCCCACGACTTCATCAACCATCTTATTTCACGTCATTTCTAGCTGCTAACAAGTTTAACGATAATCTGGCACCACTAATAGTCATTTCACCACTTTGAACTTCTCCTTTTCGCCAATATGAATTTTCTCTTCACAACATTCACTCTTTTATTCTACAGTTTCAATTTTTCAGCTTTTGTTTTTGTTTAGATGGAGAAGATAGATGGTAATAAATCGCGATGACCTTTTTTTGGTGGAACAACGAGCACGCAGCGTCCTTAGACGCCATGTCAAAGCTACATGTCAGTCTACAAATTTGTTGATCGTGAATTGCCATTCCAAACAAAATAAACTAGAGCATAATGTTGACACGACCAGCATCACGACCTTTGTTGTCAGGCGTCCGTAGCTCGCAATGTGGCAGCCAGGAGCAGTGGTATTTGTATTCGCGTTTTGTAGAACTCTGGTCCTGCTAATCATGTTGATGCTACGCGTGAAGTGAGTAGAAGATATAGCAAGAACAAGTAGTACAAGAACAAGCAAGACCAAGTCCAAGGATGAGAAAAATTTCACGAAGACAATGTTGATGCTGAATTGCCACTAAATAGCACCCTGTAATCCGTACAACATCAACAGGTATTGTGGTAAGGATAAAAAACCCACCTATCAATCTATTACATTTACATGTTCGACATATTCGGAGTTGGTTTCTATCGATTAGATTAAGATGGGGTCCTCGGTCATCGGCAACATGCTGAGCGGCACCAGCCTCGCATCATCGTCTTCGTCTGGAGGCGCCTACGCTCCCGTTGCTACTTCTGGTTCTTCTGTTATGGAGGTTATGTTGTCATAAGGGGCTTAAGTCTTTGAAACCCGTTCTTGTTTCATTATGTGATCATAACCACCACGAAATTAGTTCTTTAGGTTCATCGAACTAGAAAGTTGCGCCACAGTGCGGGACTCATTGTATTGTATTGCACTGATGTGTACTCATTATCGCAGTCATTTAATGGCTAACGACACACTACTTCATCACACTAAACAGTTTTATAACACTCTAACATCGGCATTTCAGCAGGTGGAGGACCAACATCATCAGGTGTGCCAGGCATCGGAGTACCAAGTATCGGAGGGAATCCGTTTCAGCTCAACCAAATCGGACCACGTGCGAAAGTTATGGACGATTTTTAGGCTAGTATAATTACCATCTTGATTTTTGTTCTTTAAGTTTAAACAGTTCTTGCTGTTGTATAATTGCTTCTTCTCTAATACTCTCCTTGGCGAAAGTTTTATCCGAATAGCACTGGCGGAAGGCAGTAATCACAGGCACAAGCTGGCTCTGGGCATCACAGTGTGGATAACGCTTTTTAGCCTGCTCGCGATGGTGTGGGGCGATGTCGTCTTCTGTCTAGTTATGGAAAGCGAAACGGGAGTGGTAAAAGAAAATTCTAAACAACAATAGCATGCAAGAAGAATATACGGGAGTGGTAAAAGAAAATACACCGATGCCAGAAGAATATGAATAGGTTGACCTGCCATCTTTAGCATCAACATCATCTGCATCCTCTAATCCATGTCTTGCCCCCAGAGCGACGGTCTTCAGTCCTGTTAGCGATAGCCTGTTACCAATCCCTTTCTTCTGGAACGTGTTAACGTGGCACGCCCTAGATACGTCCAAAGTCCTGGTCACAGCGCCGTTTATATATTGGGCGTTGAAAGGTACAGCTAAGTGGTAGATCCAAGAAACTAAGTAGAGCTAAACCGAGTAGATCTAGTAGACCTATGATGTTGACTCGTATCTGATGATGTGAATCATCTACTCGGCAATTTGCCTCGTTTCAACCTTCGCTATGTAAAAATGTACACGTACGTCGTTCATAAGACAACGATTTTCATCCGCTCCAGCCCTAAACCCATAGCCACTTATTCTTGTCTATCATCTTTATTGAAACCGAGTCCGAAAACTACACATGGCCATTAGCATAATATCCTTGTAGGTTAATAAGAATAATATTTTTTTATATCTCTCCTACTTAGGACGGCTCTACCATTTGGATTGAAACCGAGTCCAACCAGTCTTCTGAAACATCTTCAAATAACAGAGCTCGAGTCCGTCTTCGCGGGTCCGTTAGTGCTCACATCGCACCTGGTGTTCAACCTGCTCTTAGGGAGTATGTTCGCTTTTGGCGTAAGGCTGTTGCAAGGCGATACGGTGGAGCCACTATTTGGGACGGGTTGTCTCTGCGTTATATTGTCCATGATGCTAGCCAATCGCTTTCCTGCGAAAGAGGTGAGCCCACGACTTTGTTTTCGATTTAGAAGTAAAAGTAGTAGTGGGATAAATCTTATTGTTCTTCTGGTTTATAATTTCTTCTAGTTCCTATTCGGTCGCTCGCGCTCAAGTACACGAGAGAGACAGAGGACCACGACAACCACAAAGGACAAGTGAGCAACCACAACAACCCTCACCCATACAAGGTTCCCTTGGCTCGTGGTCGGTATTTCCCTTTGCGGAAGCTGCCGTCCGCGACGTTGCTTGGGCTTGTTGTTTTGGCGATAGTGACCCCAACCGTTCCGGAATTCGGGTTCTGTTTGCTACAGCTGCCGTTGACTTGGACTTATCTCCGATTTTTCGCTATTTATCTTATGGAGAGAGTAGTCTGGTGTAGGTGTACTAGGTGTGTGTGTGTGTGTGTGTTTGGCAATGCAAATAGCCGTAACAAGCGAGTTTTTTCTATGATACGAGTCTTCGATCTTCTCATCTCACTCTAATGATCCAAGTGGACGACAAGGCGACCGAAACTTCAAGCTGTCGGAGCTTTTCCCGAGTACCAAAATTTTGGGCTTAGTCTCCTTGAAACCCGCCTTGGACGTTTTATCTGCGGGAATCTATCTGGCGCTAGTGAAGGCGGGCTGCAATTTGAGCTATGACTTCTTTCTTGAAAGGATTACTATGTCATGGTTCGATAGAAGCACATGATCATGGAAAATCGTTCTTACAGACATACAAAAGTCTTACTTCCCAGACATCGACTTCGAATAGCCAAAGGATTTATGATGTTTCCTCCAGAGTACAAGTCCGTGCAACTGCTCCAACAACTGTACTCCGCTTCCCTCTAGCTCTTCTAATACTCTAGCGCAGAAGTGCTAGACTTCGAAGAAGAGGACGGCGACCTAGAAATAGAATATGGCGCGAATAATTTTAATATGAACGCCTACCACTATCCCGGAGCTGGAGTTAGTATTGGGTCTGCTGTTGGCGGTGTTAGTTATGGGCTCGATTTAGTGATCTGGGACAAGTAGAAGTTGTTTTTTTTTCTCTGTCTGCCTCTCTAGTTTCGAAAAATTCAAATTTCGAAAGTAGAGCGGAGTTTTCTCTAGATGAACTTGGACTTGAACAGACTCACAGAAATCTTTACAGTAGCGCTAGTACAACCAGCTCTAACCTCTAGGCAGCACTGGCCGAATCCCAAGCGGAACCATTCCGGCAGGCAGAGCAGTGCCGAATAGTGGAACAGAGGGACGGGGTACAGGTGGCTTGGATCAGGTAGTCGATCCTCCCCTGATGCCTGCAATACAAGTAGGAGGCTCTAGTGCCTCTTCCTCCTCCGTAGTCCCTGGAGGAAAGTTCACCAATCCGTTTGCTGACTCATCTCCAGGTCGCGTGCCAGATCCAGGAACACATGTTGGCGCAACCAACAGCATGACCACTGCTGGGCTACAACAAGGTAATTATAGTATCCGGAGCCAGCAGATGATGAATCTGAATGGAGGTGCGGGAGAATATCATCTTCCTCCAGGAGGTACTGGTTTGGAACGGAGGCAGGGGTTTTCGTCATCTACGCCAAGCGACGGCGGACCGGGGATAAATAGAGGAGGAACAGGAAATAGTGCAGAAAATGCAGCCTCCTTCACAACCTCTTTTTCGATTGTTCCACCGAATACTAGTACTCCTAGTGGGAGTCACACTTCTCACAGTGTCGGCAATAAGAGCAAAAGGCCTGTATTTGTTCATGAGACCAAGGCTCCCACGACAGGGCAGACTGAGTATAACTCAGAGACACCTAATGCAGGCGAACTTGTCAATAATCTGGATGCAGACCCTGTTGAATACGAGAAACGGAGAATAAAAGCGTTGGAACTGCTTGAAACTCTGTGACAATGAAAATGATCCTCTTGAACTGGGAAGGAAATCTAAAGATTTAAACTGAATCTGAAACATCGAGGACTCCAAAGATTGTTCCAGCCGCAGCCATCTAGATGTTCTACCTTCTCTTGGTTGTCCCGGATATATTGACGACGACACCTCATCACAATTATCGGCGAAAACGCCGGACAACAATCGGCGCTGGAAATGACAGCTGGCCCCGTCTGGAAATTTAAAATTCCACATCTCCTAAAAAGATAATCTGAATATCACTCACACTGACCATGGTGACTTCTCCTTCTAAGTGGTCAAGAAATCAAATCACTGCAAGAACGAGGAGGCCCGTCCCAAAACTTTCCTATTCCAGCACGATCTTTGAATTAACATACACAAGGCCTACTCTGACCGAATCATCAATTACATGAATTGATGCATGAGTCCCCAATCGAAACTACATCAATAACCATACATCAATAACCATACATCAATAACCATACATCAATAACCATACATCAATAACCAAATAATGACCACCAGCTAAGCAAGAGAATAAAAGCAACAACATATAATTTAAGAAGTACACACATTGTAGCTAAAGTTGTCCACGAACTCAGAAAAAATGGCGGGGGAAGAGACGAACGAAACTATTCTCGAGGCTCGCCGCAAATTGCAGGCCAAATTTGACTCCCGTATCGGTGGAAAGGGAACCCAGAGAAGAAAGGTGAAGGCAAAGACCAGCTCCGTCGTTGTCAAGTACTTGAGACTTCTTAAGACATAGCTCTCATCTCCTGCTTTCCCTCTCAGTTTTTTCAGGCATTTATCTCGCGCTTGCCACGTTCTTGAGACATCGGATAGAGGATTTTCTGGTGCTGCATTTTTGGCATTTGTGATAGTGATAAGGCCCAGTTCACCATGATCATTTTCATAGAAACACCCACCAGGACTTAGATCTCCACTACCAAAACTCCACTACAACAGTGACGACAAGAAATTGACATCGCAATTTAAGAAGATGGGATTGAACCAGATCCCAGGAATCGAGGAAGTCAATATGTTCACCGCAGAAAACAAGGTTATCCACTTCAAGGAACCGAAGGTAATCTATCACCTAAAGAGGTTGTGATTATTTTAGATTTTTGTCTTCTAGTACGCATCTCCAAGTACAACCTCTCAGCATCACTTCTACTAAATCTCCTAGCGTCTCCACGTTCTTTAGATCCTTGCGAGCCTCCAGGCTAACACCTACGCCGTTTTGGGTAGTGGCGAGGAGAAGAGCCTCACGGAAATGCTTCCGAAAGTTTTGAACCAACTCGGTACTTTCATTTTTAGACTAATTTGTTGGTACTATTTCTAAATTTTGTGCAGATGATGGGTGTGACCACAAGTATCTATCATGCATTCACAATCTTTCTGGCTGATTTTCCCTCAAAAAATGTTAGGTTCCGAGAACCTGATGAGTTTGCAGAAGGTGATGCAGCAGCAGGTTGCGGACGGCGCAGTGCCGGCTGTCGCCGACGACAAGGACACGGATATCCCAGACCTGGAAGGAACCTTCGAAGATGCAGCGAAGGTTGAGGATGTCGAAGTCGACTAAAGGGTCAATATTCATGGAGTTGTACTGCAGCATGAGAAGGAGAACTAGTAGAAAATGATCGATTCGTAGTGCTGCTTTGTACCCCTGGCGGAGGAAGGTATAGGCGAAACTACGAAATGGCTGTTAAGAGACAAGACGCAAGGAAGTCTTCACTCAAATCGGGTGTGCAGCTTGACTGAGCCGAACCTGAATTACACGTCTGAGCAGGAAACCAAAACTTTTCGCGGTTTGGGCGTCCTAGTGCAAAACAACAAGCGGCAGCTTCGAGGTGCACGCGTGATGAGGGATACCTTGCGATTTCTCGGATTCTTCCAGCATCACCAGGCTGATCATGACGCACTACTCTCTCCCACACAGAGACCAAAGCAGCACTACGAGATTATCAAAATAAGTCCTTTATGTAGTTCACCACACATCATGTAGAAGAGAAGTTGTTCATATGATTCCTTTCAGATATTTATAGCACTTCCCCGAAAGAAAATGACCTGTTCCTCGTAGGTCGCACTGATTTTATTCTATTTCTTGTATAACATGCTTGTTCTAAATTTTTATGTAGTTGATGATGTCTAATAGACTTGAAGCTTGATGATGTCCCAAGAAGTTGAAGCTAGAATTTTTATCCTGTACTACTAATGTCAGTCCGCGAATCATGTGTGTCCTTGTTGCTATTGCTTTCGGATATCCGCTCGTACGGTGGTACAAAGGGCTCTTCTGATTCCATTATTATGTGTGGAGGCTGCGTGTCCGTGAGGGAAGCACATTCCATGTGCTGGACGCCTCTCTGCACATATGTTGCCACCGGAAGACTTGATATTTGTGGTTAGAAAGATCAATGATGAAGCCTCTCCTAACCGAAACTCCGCATGATTGAAACTTTGACCCTTTCGCCATGGGCAGGATTCGACCCTCTACAAGGAAGTTCTGCGGATCTCAAATGATCACTGTTGAGCACATTGAGCGAGCTGGCACAACGGCCAGCTTTACCGGTATCAGAATCACGATCTAGATTAGAAATGTATCCCCGTCTATCATCTCTCCAACATTTAGATCCAGATCAGCGTTCTGACGATGACAGATCAACGAAAACAAGAGAAGCTCAGTATTTTGAAAATCTAAATCTGTTGTGAAGTGTCATACTGATAACAAGTACAGGAAGCGCTGCTACTTGAGTTGTAAAGATCACGCTTCTGTGGTAGCTCGTTCTCGGTCATAATCAGGTCCACAGCATCGGGATCCTAAATCTTGCAAAGAACGAGATAAAGATCTAAATCTGAACCTTTGTGTCAGTTCTTAAATCCAGTAAAAGATAGGAGGCAGCGCTGGAATCTAAAGAAGATCTACTGCCTCAATACCGATCCAAGAGAAAGACGCGTTCTAGGACAACATGTTTTCCGAGCTATGAATTCTTCCACGATCTTCAATGATCATTATTTTCTCGACATCGTTGCAAACCGCCATTTCTAAACGCAAATCAGGGAACCTAAAGAGGGTGGTCGACGCAACTTCCTCCTTGTACCACAAGAAATAAAGATGTCTTTTCAGAAGGAACTCCTCATTGATGGCCGTGGCCACATCAAGGGTCGATTGGCTTCCATCGTCGCCAAGGAACTTTTGAACGGTCAGAAGGTCACCGTTGTCCGCTGCGAGGCCATCCAGATGGCTAACAGCTTCTACCGTCAGCAGTTGAAGTACCAAGCCTTCAAGCGCTTGACGAACAACGTGAACCCGAAGCACGGTCCGTTCCACAACCGCGCTCCGTCCAAGATCTTTTGGCGCTGCGTTCGCGGTATGATCCCGCACAAGACCGCTCGTGGAGCCGCGGCTCTCGACCGATTGAAAGTCTTCGACGGTACAATAATAATCATAAAAAAGTACAATTTCCACTTCAGGCTGTTGAGGTCCTTTAGATGAAGATCATTCAGGGCTTCTAGCGTAGTAGGAATAGGACAGCTGGTGTGGAACTGCTGGAAGATTTAGATTTTTGCACGTTCTAATATATGTAGAAGAACGAGACCTTAGTGGGGAATCTCACCATCCGGTTCGAAATTTAGTACTCTCCCGACATTCATCATCTTCTTTTCTCCCCCTCTATTCTTCCTAAACCAGACCGTGCTGTCCTAGTCCTCTAAAAAACGACTAAATCAGACATCTTACTTCCTACACTAACCCGTAATCCCTCAGGTTGCCCGCATCCGTTCGACCAGAAGAAGAAGCAGGTGTGCCCGTCTGCTTTGACCGTCTTGCGCATCAAGCCGCACCGTAAGACTTGCGTCTTGGGAGACCTCTCCAAGCGCTTCGGATGGAAGTGCTCCGATTTGATCAAGAAGCTCGAAGAACGCCGTCGTCAGCGCGCTTCCGGCTTCTTCGCCAAGAAGCTCAAGGTCATCAAGAGCAAGGGAACTGGTAAATTTTTTTCTTTGTCACAAGTTCCCATGCTCTTCCATGAATTTGAAACGAACATGAATCGGTGATGAAAGATTTAGAAGTGAGTACGATGTCAACCAGAATGTGTGATACATACCAGCAAAACGACGCTGATACACTTTATTCTCGACTCCAATAACTAGTTTCATTACGTTTTTTCCTTGCTAGCGGTAGCTTTCAGCATCCCATATCTCCAAGAATATGTCAATCTTCACACCACAGCTCTCAAGGCCGCTAAGGGAAAGATGCTCAAGGGAGAGGAGAAATCCCTCTACGAGAAGTGCATCGCCTAATTGTCTAAGAAGTGGGACGAGCTCAATTCTGAAGACATGAGGAGAACACCTAAGAGGAGCGGAGACGACGCTGGCTGGATTCTGTGAATCGAAGAGAAAGGCGGTTTTGGTGATGTGTGGCTGCGATATTGAGATCGACGGAGCAAGGCAACTGTTCTTGTAAGAGTTGATGGACTATGGGGAAATGGCAAGATATGTCTTGTCTTCAAAAATCCACAAAACACATCAAAGTTGTTGTTCTCACTGGCTCGTCTGAAGTTGCAAACCTAAATGAAGCTGTGGCGACTCTGCTTGAAGGCATTGGCCCGCGACTTGAACCCTAAGCATATCGAGACCTTATATTGTGTTCCCATTCCATGTATCGGTCTACATCCTAAATGGAAGCCAGTTCCTAAGCCATTCTATGATGAGATAATCTTGTTGTTACACACTCGTCGACGCAGCCCCTTCGGGTGGCAGCGAATGACGTTAACCCATTAGCGGATTTCTCTGACTGTGCCAGGCGTAGGCTTCTGCATTTGCTCTGAAAGATCCTGATTTTGATCTAGATTGAAGGTCCTCTTAAGCACTGTGAGTTCCACAGTCAGATCACAAACATGAAATGAATACGCGACAGAAAGAGTAGTTGGGACAAGCGAGAGATGATGCTTCAGATCTCCCGAACCCAAATGAGAGATAACAGGAGATCCCAAGGCAGTGCATAATGCGATACGAGAGAAATTTTTGCTGCATGTGACTAACCATCCGGACTGACATCTCAAAAAACAAAAAATGGAGTCTGATGTCGAACTGCGCGTCTTCTCGCTACCCTCTCGCAGGGTGGCGTCGGCGAGTCAGCAAACCTGCACATGCAGCTAGTGTCGCCTATCTCCGGATGCTCCTGGCGTGTCGCGCGTTACTGTCGATTTGGGTCTCGCCATCTGCAGGACAGGCAGTCGCTTCCGCAGCGGTACAGATACCGATAGCTGCCTTCCAGGACACGTCGCACCTTCATCATGTCCCAGTCAATATCCTTTCGCCGTCGACCCCGAGTGACCTGGAGCAGGTTCGTTCTTTGCCTACGCATGGTAAGGCCATTCTCGACATCAAAAACCACTGGGAGAGCGATCGGTCACATGCACGCTCCTCTAAGAGCGACTTGACCGACTTCGGGTATCGGTCGACTCTGCGGCGGACTCTAGGGGAGATCTTGACCTCGTCGAAAAACGTTTCGAGGACGACTGCGAGTGGCACAACATCGCAACAAACGCGGAACGCTCACATTCCTTCCTTTAAATCCGATGTTAAGTATAGAGCCGTTGTCGGAGGTGCCGGTGCAGAGTCAGGAGAGGGGTACCTGCGTCACATGCGTGATCTGTATCGGTTCCTGTCACCACGATTTGGAGAGCAGGGTCCAGACTTCAGCGAAGCATCCGACGACGACAAAGAGCCGCCAACGTATGCGAAGATCGATGGCCTCTATCGTAACCTTGACAAGGCGAATTTCGCGTTCATCGAAAATTCCGACTTCGAGCGGGACTCGATTCTCCATAGCCGACACGTCTTCGAGCGAGATGATTGGGTGAATGACTTTGATTTCAGTAAACTCCACGAGGGGCAGCTACATTCAGCGTCGGCATCGTCCTCTAGTGAGAGGATCCGGCGAGATCCCGGCACAGGAGCATCAGCTACACGCGCGAGTGACGCAGGCAGTGGCGCGGACGCGGACAGCGACATCAAGGCCAAGGCTCTAGAAAATACGCGTCGTTATTTCGATTTCCTGCGCAGAATGGACGCCATTGGCGATCCTCCCTTCACACCAGACTTCGGTGATCCGGTTGGCCGTCTCTCACCCTGTATGTTGGGATATGCGAAGCAAGTTTTCGAGATGGAAATCGTCTTCGGAACCCTCTCCGGGTTCCGCATTGCCGAAATCGGCGTTGGCTTTGGAGGCTTGGCGCATGCTTTGTTTGCGAGATTTCTGAGCCTGAGGGGGCGGGAAGAAGACAAGAACGATCGGATCCGGAGTGGAGAAGACTTATGGAGGGAAAAACATATTTCAATACTGATGTAGGGAGGCTCGCACTCGCTGCTCTAACTCTGAAGGGTCGCGCAATGATTTTCCTTCTATCTTCTGGTTAGACTCGGATCCTGAGCTTCTCGGAACTTAGCACACTCCTGCACTTCAAACTGAAAACGATGACGATGTCTACATCGTCTAAAACTAAAAAAGTCATCAGTCCAGCGTTCTCCTCCACCTTCCTACACCTTGATCGATCTTCCAGAGGCCGAGCAGTTGGCCTTCCGCGTGCTCCGGGAAACTATAGGGCAAGAAATCGACGTCGATGATCGTGTAAAGCTGTACAACAGCGACTCTCAGATTGTGCTGAAAAGGCGTGCAGATGAGTTACAGCGCAGGATATGGAGGAAAGACTATTTCTTGGCGAAAGCGAGAGCGAAAGAAGGTGTGGCAGTTCGGAGTGGGAACGCGCAAGACAGTGTTCAGAAGAGCGCAGCAACAACATCGGATGAACGTGAACTACTCGGAAACGATAGAATCGAAAAATTCGTCGAAGGAGACCCAGGAGAAAGTCAAACAAGTCCTGCAGAAGTAGTGCATGATGACTCCGTTTTGATGCAGATTTACGAGAATACCATTCAAGCTGGTGTGGTGCAACGTGCAAAACATACTCCATTTATACATCTCGTCAACGCAGCCAACGAACCAACATTGGCACAGATGGCAAAGGATATTCAAGGGCGCAGACATCGCGATCAAGACCGAGCTGCTGCGTCGTTACCAGAAGAAATAGTAGATGCTTCGCCCCCTATAGAGGACGCTGAACTTCAGAGTGTCAGTGAGGACCAAGAGCTCTGGTTTGCATCTACCCTGGAAGAAAATAATGAGCCTTCGCTGGAGTTGGCCAATCCGTCTGTCGACCTTCGTGATGCAGGTGAAGCGATAGCAGCTGTCGAAGCATGGCAGAGAGGCAGAGGCAAAGACCGGAGACACGAGCCTCTAGGTGTCCATTCCCTTTCATCGGATTCTGACTCTCACTCAAGAAAAAGCACAACAACCTCCACCGCTGGCGTCCATTTCGACTACGATTTGTGCATTTCCAACTACGCTTTTAACGAGCTCGTGGATGAAGCGTTGGCGAGAGAGTATGTTGACAACATCCTTTTACGGCAACCAAGAGACGGTCATCGTCCTCACCATTATCCTTGGCGCGTTTTTTTCTAGAGGAAAAAGGCGCAGGGATGCCCTCAGGGTGCAAAAAACGCGACAGCTCTAATGTTTGCTCGTTGTAAGCGAGTCTGGATATCTTGGGGACTGGCTGGTGCTGATACTGGTGCCGCGTTTGGGGGACTGCGGACATCCAAATGGCAAATCGAAATCTTCAAAGCCATGCATCGTTTTTCTGCTGTAGAAGTGAAGAAAATGATGTATAGGAGATGGAAGGAACAGCGTTTAGTAGGTGATGATCTTCTGTTGGAAAGAGACGTACTAGATTCGAATGCGAATTCTGTTGCGCGTGCGCTAGAGGCAGAGGAAAGACCAAGTAATGAGAAACAAGAGGCACGAACAAACACGACTACTTTGTTCGGAAGAAGAAGCAAGGACCTTCAAAAGCATCTTGCTCTTCTCGCCCGTCTGCATCATGCCCTTGTGCCGTTCTTCATCTCAGTGCCAGATGTTCCAGTTCTGGGAGGATCTGTCTTTATGGATAACAAGAACAAATAGAACTTCTAGAAGCTGCTAGGGCTAGCAAGTAGAGCAACGACTGCTGCACGCAGTACAAAGCTACTCCTGGTTGCAAAGCTACGGTCTTTACTACCACATCCGCCTTCCCTTCCCCAACATCTCCCATCTTCCTTTCATCACATCCCAGGCACAAGTGTCCTTCCTGACATTTTGTCCCATCCCATATTCATATCCAGGGCGGAAGCAACGAATCGAGTTTTGATCTACATGAATCCTTTAGTAGCCACTTTGGAACGTGGTTCTCCGATCTACAATTTCGTTGAACCTTGGGATTGGTATACAGGCTTCGGACGACGTATTGGTCTCTGGTACGCAGCTAGGACCAGGGCGTATGGTGGCCAAGTGCGCTATCTAGCGTGGAAAGATGAAAAAGATGGTAGACCGATGGTTGGATGGATTCGAGGAGAGTTTTGATTTTTTGGATGTCCTTCCTGGTCCTAGAAATGGAGACAAGGGATCTATTGATAGAGGTCTAGTTCTTCGTGTTCTTCCACTTTCCTGCGAACCTCACGATGTGTTTGGCGAACAAGATGGCATTGCTGAGTTGTGGGCGCCATCGGTTCAATTCATGCTCTCCTCTGTTAAAAAAGAGCTACACAAGCTTGAGACCAAGAGATATACTATAGATTCAGATAGGCCACAACGAAGTTCTGCTTCTGGTGCTGAGAGTTTCTTGCAAGGAGATAGAAGTAGTTAAATAACTAGCATTAAGTGTAGTGAGCCTAAGCTTTCCTCGCCGAATTCATCTAGTAACGACAATCTGAGTCGCTTTCAGTTTCATACACCAATCGTCGTGATTGATGCCTCAACTTCATCAACCAATGTCCAACATCTACCCCTGCATAGGACACTCGACACGAAGCTACTCGTTGTAGCGAGAGAAAAACTTCGTAGCTATAATTGAAAGTCTGTTGTCTGTCAAAAGGCTATCATCAATCTGATTATCGTTAATATCCTACTAAGAGCCATCTTCTTATAATCATTTCTGCGAAAAAAAAACTGTGACTGTCACTGTCTCTCTTTGCTAAAGTTTGTTGAAACGTTCACCATTCCTGTTGTTCGTCTCCTTTGTGTATCAAAGTACGTGGAAATTGATTGGATTCTTTTTCTGGAAATTGAAATAATTTCGTTGATTTTTTTAACATAGTTGTTGTGTCCCCGTGGTATCTTGAGTGGTGTGCCTGCTTCCGTTCCTTTCTGCTGTAACAACTCGCACGCTTACTGGTGGTCTCTGCCGTTGCTGCTCTGCCTGGTACTCCTACTCTGCTCGTCTTCTCATCCTGGTACTCCTGTTTGCTCATCCTGTTTCAGCAGGAGCTGCACTTTGAGGAATCGATACCGCTACCCGTTATACGAAGATGATGTTTCATCTGCAGATCCTCCACTTTGCCTTGTTGGTCGTCTCCGGTCGCTTCCAAGGCACCCAAACGCACACACAAAGGCATGGTGCGGGAACAGCACACAAGGGCCCTTCGAGCGGTCACGGTGCTCCTACAGCTTCTGGATCTTTTCCAAATTCTGCCTCTGGAGGTGGTGCTAATCCTGGTGTCATGGGTGTGGCTCCTTCTGCTTCTACTTCTGCGAATAACCGTAGTTGGGGTGGCAGTGGGCACCAGAGTAAACAACAGGCGGCCCAACGCCTAATGCAAGCTGCTCACCATGCTGGCGCAAGCTTTCAGGCGGTTCCTCAAATGGCCTCGCCGATTCCTGGCATTCACGACGTCGACGTCGAACAACTTCGCACCAAAAAGCAATACCAGACTGCTAATGTCGTAGGAATAGGTGGAGCCACGACATCGGTTGGAGGAGGTGGGCTTGCAGGTCCTGCTGTTCAGGGATCATTAAGGCTATCAAGTAAACCTATCATTCGCGTACTTACGCGGAGCACATTTGATCTACGCACATTTGATCAAGTAGATCATGATCCCTGTTTGGTGAAGTAGTTTTTATTCCTTTGAATATTTTAGAAAGATCTTGTTCTAGATGTAGTTCATGTGCTTCTACTTCAAGCTGTGAAATCCTCGATAGGCTTACCATTACTGTTCAAGGTATGAATTATATGAAAGCATCAAACAATAGACTTACGACCATTACGATTACCTCCCATACTACTATACTTGTCCTCCATTTCTAAACACAGCAGCTGGAGCAGCAGCAACAGTCCCAAGTTCGACTAAGCCTGGTAGGAAATTTGTCCCGCTGTTTACATCGAACAATCCAGAAGATACCAATGTGAACAATCAGTACTACGACAGTCTGGATCGGCAATTGTCTTCGGGATCTACTGAGAATGATAGTACGCGTTCCTGGTCAAAAAGTTCTGAAGAACAATCACAGCATTCTTGGACCGATCGCTCTTCTACCGGGTCAACTTCTGGTGCTGCTGCTGCATCGGTCCTTGTTCCAACAAGAACCTCCACAACGGTGCGAACACCGCGACGCAGCACTACAAGCCGAAGTGGTCAAGAGGTGATAGAACATCGCTCTGCATCCCATATTAAGGCTCGATGCAATTCCAATTCTTTTCTAGAGAGTCAGTGTCAATCTTGGTCTTCTTCGGTTTCAATCATCATCATTCCTAGTCCTTTTACAAGTCAGTCGTCGCAACTGCTACTCCTTTCCCTCTTAGGATCGATTGGAAGAAATTTGGGAGCTGAAAAGCAAACAAGCAAGAAGTGAATTGCTCAAGGCTCTAACCCTAACCCTTCTGCAAACCCTCGAGCTACGTCCGCTGCTCCTCCAATGACAAGAGAGGGCATTGCTGGAGGCGCGGGTACTACTGCAGTGGGCGGTCCTCCTGCTAGTGGAAGTTTGACTAGCAGAGGTCGGAGAGAGCCAGGACTCTGGGAACTGCCTACTGCTCAGTGGACTAGCGAAGGCGACGCTTCCCAAACTGAAGCGAGGAAACAGCAGCAAAAGTCTAATGTTAAGAATCGGATACTATCATTTTTATCTATGTTTCTTGAATTCTAAGGCCAATGAGATTATCTTCTATGTTATATTAAATCAAAACTACTGATTCCTCGAAGGGTTCGCGTTCAACATGGATGCTCATGCACTTCTTTTGCTACCAGTACGACGTTATTCCACCTTAACCGCGAATTGTCTAACTTTGATGGTGGAGGTGACCACGACGTTGGAGCCGCTGTTCCCGCCAGTGCCACTGTGGTAAAGAAAATAGACCGAGGCGCACCAGGCGAACAAGGTAATAGTCCCGTTTCTTCGACATCCGCAGAGTACTTGAGTGGACTAGATGGCGTGACGAATAGAACTTCTGAATCTGATGCAGCTCTGGTTTTGGATCCTGCTGATAACGAGTTACTTGAGCAACTTGTTCCTATGGACCTAGACGGAAACGAACCTGGTGCTCGCGTCGGAGATCGGGGTCAACATGCTATGGATGTCGATTACAACCTTGATGACGCGTCTAGAGGAGAAGCAGGACGCGAACAGCAAGCTTTGCAACAAGTACAGCAGATCGATGCAGATCCAACAAGGAGAACTGACAACATGAACATCGCGGACGGCCACGACGACTCAGAAGACTCTGATAGTGAACGCAGTACAACAGCCGCATCAGACCTAGAAAATGGCGACGAAGCGGTACCCTTTGGCGCTTTTCACTCGGCCAGATTGGCAACGACCACACGTAAAATCGCGGACATTGACGGCGATAAGGACGTGGCGGCTCCACCACCTGGTGCTCCACTTCTAGAAGATGAAACGGTGGATGATGTACGAGTAGCAACCTCTGCAAATAAAAATGGAGTAACAGAGAACCTTCGTCCACCGACTGTGGTCGCACCGCCAGCGACGCCCACCAGTCCAACGAATTCCACTGTCTCAAAAATCGATGACAGCAAAAAGAACGATAACATGCCTCAACAGGAGGTACAGGAGACAATAAAGATACCTGCCAGTGCAGTGCCTTCTCGGCAGATTCAGCCTATTGCAGGGCCAACAATTACAGGAACTAAAGCAGGAACAGGTCTCCAAGTCCATCAACAGCAAGCCACAGGAACGACCTTGGGAGTCCCGAGGAAACAGGTCTTAAGGCTCTCGATAATTCCTCTTTCACCGCATCTACTGTGAGGATTATTCTACCTGATGAATAAGAATACTTTTTCTGAAGAGCAGTATCTCTAGCTATACGTCTACGTACTGGAGAGCATGAGTATGAATCTACCTCCATTGAATTAGATACTCTCACAGTTGTAGATGCAGGGAAAATGAATGAGTATTGGACAGCCCTAAAGGTCACGACGCCGCATCTCCTGTCGCATTCCTTCATCCGCAAGAACGAGCCAGCAGGCGGCAACGATCGTACCACGACAGCAGCAGACCGCAAAATGAATGCACTATTTTCGCAGTTAGAGAGTTGGGAAATTCCGAGAATGCGCATGGAAACGAGCGCACCACGAACAAACACCGAACTGATCGGAAAGTTAAGGCTAGTACCGCTACCGGAGATGTTGTAGATAGTTGTTGTTGTTGTCATGGGGATCCTCGCTACATTTAGATTCAGCATCCATATGCGTTGTGATTCGTGTACTCGTAATATGTAAGGGAAAACGGAAACGAGGTCAAAAAAGAATCCCCTCCACAAAGATGCAAAAGCGTCTTACTGAATGACACGCCGATGGTGACGACACTTAATATGGTGATCTCTAAGTCAAGAAGTCCGGTTCACGCTATCTGCTTTGTTGAACGAAGCAGCAACCCTCAAAGCCTCAGTCGCGGATGTCTTGGGCGACTTAGTAGTCCGCAAACTGTTTTTCCAACTGGTTCGCGAGGTCACGCGAGTGCATTTTGTAGGGCCTCATGGCTTTCTACATCCGGGGAATGTGATTTTATGGAAGGCAGGCGTTGAAGTTGAAAAAGAAAGTGTGATATAGGGTTTTAAGGACAGAAAGGTCATAATCGTCCTGTCGTGCTGACAGGGACACTCGCACTCTGAATATTTGTTCTGATGAAAAATTATTTCTAGTAGCCTCTTCTTCTAACACAATCACTATGATTTTCAGATTGTCAACTACTTCTTATCATGATCATCTCTTCACTCTTCTAACCCGTGTGAGTTACGTAGGTGGCGACGAGTACGAGACTATGCACGTGAGGCTACGTTTCAACCGACCTCAAGGATGGGATGCGGTGGACGACGATGAACTCTTGTTCCACTTAGCCGAACAACATCAAATCGCACAGAAAAAGAAGTTACGTAGTTGATGCCTAAACAAGGACTGCCTATACCCAAGTATCTCCAGAGCGACTCATATTAAGGACCTATGCTGGGTCTATACATTAGAATAAGCGAAAATAATAGAAAGTACACCAAATACACGCTACATGAGATTCATTCGATAGTAGAAAGTAGAGATTGACATCGCGACAAGATGAATTTATCTGCGTCAGACCAGACCAGCTCTAACACGAGAAGCTCAGATGAAAGGCACTGTGTCAAACGCTACGACGGCCGCTTCGACACCGGGAGGGGCGACGCCAGCGAGGCAGCAGAGTGCAGGAACACCTGTTGGCGCTTCTAACGTTAAGAATTTCCACACTGCATCCTGCGCTACCATTCTTGACTTGTTTCCCGATAGGAAAGAAGTCCGGGATGTTCTGAAGAGTAGAGGCACTCTTGTAACCTCTAATATCGGTGGAAACAACGGCACAAGTGGAGCAGATCCGACTTCTCCTAGTCGGGGTGGCGGGTCCTCGCCAGTGTCACCAGGTGGTGCAGTGAAAGGCATGATGCGAGCATATTTGGATTAAGGCTAGTTGTATTTTTAATTGTAACAGTCCGTCGAACAGTTCGTATCTACAGAATTTCTGATGAAGAATCAGATTTGGCAAAAGTGCTATTACCGGATTAATAGCAGACGGATGTGCAACCAAAATCGTTCTCGTCAAATATGATTTGTGAGCTCGTCAACATGATCGTCAGTCTTTACTACTCACTCAGTCCGCTCCTTCTAACAACTATGAGCTCGTCAACATGATCGTCAGTCTTTACTACTCACTCAGTCCGCTTCTTCTAACAACAACAGCAGCGTCCCTGGTACTTTTACCTGTCACCCGGCGCCGTACAATGGAGGGAGAAGTATCGTTCTGATGATACGGGAGAAGTAGAATTAGCCGAATTCCAGATACCACCTAGCATGAGCAAGGACATGGACGTATACTCATTGGGAGCGATTCTTTTCTACGGCTAGTACGTGCTATATTACCAAAGTTACTTGTTTTTATACTCTTAGTCTACTTACCGTCTTACACATGTTTACGTTTAGTTTAGTCCAAGTCCGTTTTTTTTTTCGGTAGAGTTTTGCATGCAGAAATCGCGAGAGGTGCGTCCATCTTCCTTACCTCCTGGAGCATTACGTATTCTATCGAAGAAGTAGTGGTCCTCTCCTTTAGCTTTATCATATTAGGTCGCTTAGTCCTAGTAGTAATAAAAGAAGGAACGCTGCAGCAAGTTCTTGTATATACTACCTGCTACAGCAACGACGTACTTAGCTAGAGGCAGTGTCGTGTGTCCTTCACTCGTCCAACGCGAAGATTTCCATCACTCACCTTAACCTCTAACGTTCCGAGATGTATCGCGGAAGGAAACTGTTTCAAGCAAGCAGCGTGACGGAAATCTATCAGCGGATTAGGAATTTGAGACCTGAAAATTTGCGTCGAGAGATGGTCGCTACGCAGCGATCGTCGCTGAGTGGTAGAGGGTCGCTGGAGGCACGAGAAGGCAGAGGCGCCACGAGCAGCGACTTTACAACAAGTGTCGTCACGACAAACGGAAACGTTTCAGCAGCGGGAGCGATGAACATTATGCACCGGTTGTGTTCGTGAGGTCATGATGTAGTTTGTAACCTCTGACTTTATAAGTACGCTTACTCCACCTCGTCGTCGTCTAACTCATCACCATCTGTGGTCATATTTTTATCGCTACAACTAGCTCACCACCAGCTTTTATGTACTTGTACTTCGTAGTACTAAAATAATCTTCTTCTACGAAACGACCACCTCATCTGCTCATCGTCTAACACCTCCACCAGCAACCTACAACAGGAACTCGAGGCCACTCTAGGTTCGGTTTCTGCCTCAGCCGAGGAATACGGACGTCGACTGAAGAAACTGCCTCGTAGTGCTCAGGATTTGCTACAGTTGCTGTTGAATCCGACCCGCGACCAACGTCTAAGAAAAGCGGCAGGCATACTCCAGCACTCCTTTCTTCTCCGTTTTGAGACATGCAATGTCAAGACCCAGCAGCAACAACTTATGGTTTGGAGCTGATGTTTTGGTTGATCTTGACTCGAAGAATTTCTTCGAGATCGAGAGCAAAGCCTCGAATTGATTATCTATTGAAACTGTAACAACTATTCACTATCATCTTCAACAAGTACAACATGTTCTCTTCTGTCTCTCGACCACTCTCAACATCTACTCTCCTGTTCTCCTCTACAACTCTCCTCTATTCTCATCCACTCTCAACATCTACTCTCCTGCTCTCCTCTACCACTCTCCTCTTTTCTCTCTTCATACTCCAGCAAAGTGGCAGTTCAAAAGTGATCCTTGGGGAAGGCTCCTTCGGTCGCGTCTGTCAAGGCTTGCTGTTTGAGAAGTACCCTGTTGCGGTGAAGGTGATGCGACGAAAGTTCGTTCCCTACGTTGTCGCAGAGCGCTTGGTGCGCGCGGGTGTCGATCAGAAAGGTGCACCAGTCAGCGATCCGAGAGAACGTATCTATGATATTCAGGATTTGAGAACGTATCTGTCGTCCACAGGATTTCTGGTCTCAATCCTCCGGCAGCACATCCATGCTAATTCTCTTTTAAACAAAGACTTAACTGATCTCACATGGGCTGCGTCGCGGCCATCAGCTATAACAACCAGTCTTGCATGCCTGCTACAAACTTGTAATCAATTTTTCAGGTAAAGCCATGCAGAGGGATTTGATTTTGTCATCTCAAGAAGCCGAGCAATTCGAGAAGGAGCGACACTTGCTAACGCTTTGTCGTGCAAATGAACATTAAGGCTACTTTCTAGAAGTGTATCTGTTGTCTGTTGCATCTCTTCTACAGGGATTCTTGGATGTTATTTGACATTGACCCTCGCTCAGGTAGTTTATAGTCAAGGAAAAAGCCAGTCCAGGCTGAGAATGTGGTCCACAGACACGATACATCAGATTACATCGAGATCCTGTACTACAACAAAGAAATGCGACAAGTAGGACGAAAGGATGGACGAGCATGAAGATTAGGCACATATCGATACATCTAAGACCAGGATCATTTGGAGCAATTACAACGTGCGAAGATGGAACAACGTTTACTAGACGACGAATGGGTCCTAAAAGTTGCAGACGAAATCGGTCGAGGATTTTTGCAACAACATCAAGTCTTGCGAGATTTCTTTCAAGCTTTTGCGCATACCACTGGTACCCTAGCAGCGCATGCAAACGCGAACGTAGGCAATGGATGGACGGCGGGTGCGTTGGCAAACCTGTTCTATGACGATAGTCTCAATTCCACACATTTGCTTTTGTGTAATTCGTGATGCAGATGATGGATATTTGAAGGTGGTTGTTGTTGTTCTCGTTCTTATAATAGACATAGAGCATTTCCTAAGATGCATTATGGATTGCATGGAGATGCTGTATAGACTGCCTGGAGGACGCAGAGCGCCTGACACCTCGCCGCGTTGCGGAGAGATGCTAGCCAATGCGAGGGCCAGCCTAAGGCACTCAAGGTCCTCTCAGCCGCCTCCGTTAGGCAGGTGCTGTGTTGCTTTTGTTTGCGTAGGCCGCGTTTGCCGCCCGGATGCGGCTTCTTCGTGACGTTGTCGTTGTTTCTTTGGACGGGTGGACTGGGCGACAGCAGGCGCGCACGCACCTCGAGAATAATATCTCTTCTACTCACTGCAAGCCATAGCAATGCATGCAATCCATGCCATGCATTTCAGGAATCAGAAAAAATTCGCAATTGTCTATTATAATGGATTTCCATCGATGGCGTGCTCCCACCCGCTCTGGATATTTGTAATCCTTATAACAGAGTAAGTAAAATATCGGGTTTCGAGTTACTCGAGTTGCAACGAGTTGCTCGAGTTGCCGAAGTGAAGGGCTTCAATTCTTGAACGAGTTGCCACGAGTTACCGGAAGCCATCCGCTTCATCGGAATGCGGCGCAGCAGGGCGGTATGGGCACGGTTGTGGCTGCGCGAAGTGAAGGAGTGGCTGCTTTTGTTGTTGCTCTCTCATGAGAGGGGCGGCCGGTTGTGAAGGGCTCCCCAGCGAGCCCCCCCGGCTTTTTTTTTTTTCGCGTGTGGGCGCGCGTTCGAAGCACAGCCGGGCACTAAGGGGCCGACGGCTTCGCCTCGTTGTTTTTGTTTGAGGGGAGAGAGTGTCGCTGTGGCTTGTCGTTGGGTCGGTGCCAGTCTCTCCCTTTTTTCTTCGGATGTGTTCGTGGCCAGTGAGTCTCTTTTGGGACTGAGAGCGAGCTCCCGCGTGCTTTGGAGAGCGGCCCACTCAGCTGAGGAAGCAAGTAGAGAAGAGTATGTGGCGGATGCCTTGCGTGTTTGATCAAGTGGCTGGGAGGAGTTCCCGAGCTGAGGGCGGTCACTCACTCTCGTCGTTGGTGCGCATTAAGAAGAAAACCAGGGAGCGGGGGCATGTCGTTGAATGTCGTATGCTCCTGCTAAGGTATCCCAGAGTCTCACAAAGCTGCGCCCGAAGGGCGCCGCGCAAAAAATTACGGCGAGCAACCCGAGCAACCCGAGAAACTCGACCCGTGACGGGCCAAAAAATTCCTGACTCTATTATAATAATAATAATAATATTAATAATGGGTTTTCTTGTTCGGTGTGAATATTACAATGCTCATCGCGGCTCTGGATATTTCTTTAAGAACCGCAGCAGCTGCAGCAATCGACTGTCGTTCGCGCAAACACGACGAACATTTTAGGACCCATTCTGGCTGCCCCAGGAGGGCAGCAAGGTGTGAACAGAACCGCCAACCAAATCCCACATGGAACTACTACGCAGAATGGCAGTTTACTGCAAGTGGCATGGCGCAATCTTTTCGGAGGCGGTGGAACGCCGCAACAGACGTCTCAGACGACCTTTACGACGCATTGTTCAGGAAATTCCTTGTTTATCTGGGAAGTCGAACTCGAAGTGAAGTAACTAAGAGCCATCTTCTCGTTCTCTGAGCGAGAACTCCCTGGCATGGACATGCTTTCACATCATGATTTACAGGCACCCAAATTTTTCTAAAACGCACACAGGAGGCAACGTGATGCCAGTTCAGCAGGTGATTGAGCAAATGCAATTCGGCGCTCATCCTGGCCCTTTAGCCACTCCCATGGTCCAAGCGAGTCCCACAGGCCAACCTATGGTAGCTGCTGGATTGCACACAGCTGTGCCGTACGTTCCATCGGGAGCAGTGGTCGGAGGAACACCTATTTTAAGGCCATAACGTATTTGACTTTCTTGATGCTGTAGTGATGCTTTGTTCGCGTACAAGCTGCAAGAGAAGGCATCTTGTGAAAACCAAAACCTTCCAGTCGTTGTCAGCCCTAATCCTATCCTGTCATGGTCTATCCTATCCTATCCTTGTCTACCCTATCCTGTCCTTGTCTCTCCTATCCTGTCCTTGTCTATCCTATCCTGTCCTTGTCTATCCTATCCTGTCCTGGTCTATCCTAGCCTATCCTTGTCTATCCTATGCTACCTGTAGTCCTTGTCAGCCCTAATCCTCGTCTCCCCGAATGGTAGCGCTGCACCAAGGAATGATCCTGCAGCAGTGGCTCAGGACCCTTTCTTGCTGAACGCACTAGGAACACCCGTCACAGTTAAGGCAAAAATTTTCTGATCATGATCCCTGGCCTCTTCTTCAAGGGGAAAACGGATTGTTCAGGGGTCATCGCTCTAGTGATCTTTGTGCGAGATTTGTTGTATTGTAGTCGCTTATTATATCACGTTTAACACGTTATTGTATCGTAGATTATAATCCCTAGCTTCTTCTTCGAGGGGAAAAAAGGGTTTCAGGTGTGGTCTACTCAGGAAAGATGAGAGGTAGTAGCTCTAATACAGCCACGCGATCACTACCACCTCCTATCCAGATTCCAGGTTTGATGCCCTTACACGCGGCGACTCCAGGCCAGCCTGCTGGGGCTGTGTTATGGCGAATTTTTTAAGCTCTTTTAGACTACAGATGATGGGAGTTTTTACTTTTAGAGTGCAGATGGGAGATTTCTTCCAGGGTTCTTGAACTGCAGAAGATGGAGCTATAGCGTATTTTGATCACTCAACAACAACATTGTCGCACGACAAGAAGAATTAGAAAATGCCGATATTCCTATAGATGCATAAAGAACCACTCTACAACAGGTCTGAAGAAGTAGAAGTCCCTGTCCAGTAGACCTCTTTGCTATGTTTTTTAGATTCTAACTCCCCCAACAGGAGGTCCTCAACTTCCAGGTGCCATTGGGAGTCCTGCTTACTCAGACTCACTCTCTGATGGCGGCGAAGATGACTTCGAATCCGAGGTGGACAGTGACATCGAAGAAGCAGAGCGCTTGACAAATGACCAGGATCTGGAGATATTGTCCTTATGGTCTTGCACTTGCTCAACTGTGGTTAATCTTCGCGTACTACTAGTAGTGTAGTGGAAGGAGGTTTTACTATCTTATCTCTCTTGAAGGTGAATTACGTTTTTTGACCTTCACTGCACTTAATACACGCTTAATATCGTCATCCTCTAAGATAGACGCGATAGTTCCACTTACAACGTCTCTCAGACTGATGCTTTATCTGCTTGCTTCTCCTATGCTTTACGTTTACAACTACACCTTCATCGTTATTATCCTCTACCCTCGTTTTCTAATCGCAGCCGAAGAGTTCCAGGAGAAGAGCTACACTGTGTCTTTGCATGAGTCCTTCGAGACGTACGACAGCTTTTTCTTGATCACGGCGTTGGTTCCTGCCTCTGAAGAATTCGAAAAATATTTTCGAGCGTCGCTTGGACTCTTAAGAGACTAATACATTGGTGTACATTTTTTAGTTGTTTGGAAATGCAGAACCAGTACCAGCAGAATACTGTGGTCGGCTAAGTAGGAGTTCCCACCTCTGCTCAGTTTTATCTAGGTTTGACTCTGAATCTGAAACTTTTAGAAATACACGACCACGCGTGACCCTGGAGTGGATCCCTAGAGCGGATCCCTAGTTCAATTTTCCTAGAAGACCACACATTCAGATTCACATAGATCAAGTTTCCTAATTCAAGTTTCCTAGAGAGGATCTGATTCGTAGTTCCATTTTCCCAGACGACCACAGCACACCTCTTCTCCCCGCTAACCCCAGACACAAACAGGAAGAGTCGCAGTGCAAATAAGCGGGAAACCCCAGAGTTGACTGCGTTGCCTATGGCAGTAGACAAGATCAGGAAGTACTTTGCGCAGATGGCCTTAGCCCTTTTGCGGTACCAAATGACGCCAGGTGGGCAATTCAGGGAGAAAAACGTCCTGCTGCATCGAGATATCAAGCTTATGACGTGAAGAATCGTATTGTAGTCTCTCAACAGCGTCTTGTTCTGCTTCTCCGTTGTAACCTCATACATCTCCGATGTCTAATCTTTGATTCCGCCTCGCAGTTTTGTGTCGAAGATGTACGAAGTAGAGAAGAAGATGTTGTGATTGGCTTCTTTGATCTTTAGGCCTCGTCGTGCTACTTATCACGTCTTTCTGTTTCTACAACCATGCCGCGATGCCAAGAGTGACTTGCAATTCCAAATACATCTTCACCTGCTTAACGACCTCTAATAGACTGGAGAACATGCTGTTGTCGAGACCACCAGGGAAAGAGGACAAGGTAGTCTTGATCGATCTGGGTCTGGGCACAGTGCAACAGGGACCGAGAGATACCGTCAAGGGAGAGGTACAACTACTACTAATGCTATTTGTGATTGTGGTGATGAAGTTAATTTTCTGCCTAGAGCATTTTTCTGTGGTGCGTAGGCGTACTTGTTCTGGAGCTTGCTGTTTAATTTTGCTTTTAATACCTCTTGGAATTGGAATTTTTCTCCATTTTCTGCCACCCATGCTTTTTTTCCATTTTCTGCTAGATCACTCTACTGTCGCCATCTCTTCACCATTGATCTACTATATTTCAACACCAGGTCGGTACCCCCTACTACGTTGCTCCTGAAGTTCTCTCTGGAGAACCTTACAACCAAGCCTGCGATGTCTGGAGTTTGGGAGTGGTGTTGTTCCGCTTGTTGTGCAACCGCTTTCCCTTTCCCGGTAACGAAGCTGAAGTCGTCTATCGCAAGATCCGAAAGGGTAATCCTGAGTGGCCTGCACGTGCCATGGAGTACGTCCCGGCTGATGCCAGAGATCTCGTAGAGAAAATGCTGAATAAGCACCCAGGACGCAGAATCACCATGGATCAAGTCCTGCGACACGAGTTCATCGCTAAGCTGCCGAAGGTATCTATACCTTCATTTATGTAACCTATAATGTTGCCTAGCCGGATATTGAATTCTGTTACTCAGGTACTACTTTCTGTACGAAACAAATGATTTCTCATCTAAATTTTTTGTCCAAGAAGAAGTGGAGATCTTGCTCTAAATCTTTCCCGTGCAACTAGATGAAGTACTTTTCCTGATGACACTTTCATCTATGCAGGAAATCTAAATGGATCGACTTTCCGTTAAATATCATTTTCCTACAACTTCTACTTCTTCAGGATATCTACATGGCTCTGGGGATTCCACGTGGGGTGAGCATTTTCCGAAACGAGCTTCAAGCTGCACATCAGAAAGCAGAGAGCAGGCGGCAAGCGCTGGGACAGCTGGTCAAGCTCAAGAAAACACTACCCACTTTGCCTGCTGTCTACCAACAACACTTCTTATGGGTGAAGATGACGTTATTAGACAGATCAACAACTTTCGACAAACTTTTTTAGCAACTTCTCCCATTTATATCTTTTTCTTGTCGTCGTCGTGATGCTCGCTGTATTGACACCGTTGTATTATTTTACCCGAATAGGATTAGTGTCACCCAAATTCCTCGAAGTCCCCTAAAAATCCCCTATCCTCTAATCTCCGGACAGCATTTGCAGGAGAGCCAGCAACAACAAGGTCGCTTCTTTCGCTTCGGCGGCAGCTCTGATGACTATCTGGACAGCGTGCTGGACCTCATCACCGAGTTGGACCCGACACCACCGGAAGTAATTTGATTTCGGCTGTTCAGAACAAGAAAGATTTGGATTTGGTAACTAGTACAAGACTTCTTACTCTTACAACAAGATTTCACTACAAATGAAGTAGAAAGGTGATCTGATGTTTAGCTCTAGAAGTATTAGTGGTTAGAGGTAGCCACTTTCTTCATAAAAATCATATGTTCTTTTGTGGAGATTATTTGATATCAGTTTTTTGTTCCTATTGCTTGCTTCGTCTAAGTAATGATATCTCGTCCATCTTTTCATTTTCCTTTACTCCGCGTCATCGCAGGTACCAGCGTCGCCTGTCCAGTGGAATGCCGTCAGCATTGGGAGCGATGTGGTTGCTGTCTGATGAAGTGATGTGGTCTGACATTGATGCTACACCGACAAAGAACAAAGATTCTACACAGCTAATTGAAGAACAAACCTTCTAAAGTAAACACATGCTCATACTAGTCCTCATGCACCATTTGAAAGAATAACGAATAATCGCCGACCTGAGAGATTTTGCTAGGTAGCCACTTTTTCTTTTTGTCGTTTGATTCCCCCTGTCACATCACTACCACATTAATCTTCTTCCCATATATTTTTCATGATTCCTTTTCCCCTCCGCTCCCCCTTCCCACGAGGACTTTGTACAATTCAGACTAGTATTGGCAATTCTTTGTTTCATGCGTACCCCAAAGTGCTCCTTCTACCAGCACCACGGTGCCGGTATGAGTAGATGACTACAGTAGCAAGCTGATAAGGACAGCACCTACTTCGTCTTCATGTTGGGAAGTCTTCAGTAAATTCCACCGCCAATTATACCCTCGAATGTGTTAAGTGAAAACAAGGACGTCTTCCTCCAACGAATTTAGGGCACTCGTTGTCTGTCTCTTTATCATATCAAGGAAGGTGTATGAGTAAGGTGGCTAAGGTTTCATTTTCTGCACTGTGCGTATGCGCAGGTAGGAGCTGTTCTAGTAGAACTTGAATATGGACATACCTTGAGCCTTGAGAACCAGAAACAGCATACATAGAACTAGCACAGTTCAACATGTGCACAACAAGCCAAGATACTAATATCATATGTTTCATTTTGGACTTGGTATTCGACATTCGTAATCGCATTGATTTCAATTGTTTGGCAAGTTTATATCCTAGCCATATCTAGTTCTAGCTCGGCATGCATGTTCATATTTCGTATCCACCATCTTTGTTCACCCATAGAAGTCGATGTTTTGTTCGTTGGCTGCGACACCGATAAGAGGACATTCGCATGCCCTGCCTACTGAGCGAACATTTGACGTTTTTTGTTTGCGAAAAGAACCAAAACAAGGATTAATTTAGACTCAAAAAGCTACACATCGACATCAGCATCATTCTTTATCTTCTCATAGAACATAAATAACTTTAGGCAGAAGTCGTGACAGTTGATGTTGGTGCTCAACTATTTTTGTAATTTTTCAGCAACTATTCATCTATAAGAATAAAGTGTAGGTTGTTAAACGCAAAGAACGCATAAGAAACTCAAACTGTGAGTATAAATCTAAAAAATCTAAATCCGTAGTACTCCTTTTGTGACGTCTCATCCACATCTGAAAATCTCCAAATCCAAATCCAAATGTCGCGTCTGTCTAAATGCAACAAGTCAACATGATAGACACGGAGAAGTGTGCACTTTCTGATGGCCATGGAATTCCCGACTGACTGTAAGAGAAGATTCACACCAACAGTGACATAATGATAGATAAGGAAAAGGGCAAACGAAGAGGCAGAGCCCTCCTTATGGACCAGGATATAAAAACCACATCCTACTCTAACTACGATATGAAGCACGGCTGCTTTACTGATCGGATCGGTTCTTGTTGTTAGCCAATGTATGCTCTTGTGGCGGCAAACTGACAGGTCGCAGGTGTTCTTCAATCGATGACGTAATTGAGCAGATGTTCCAAATTCACGGAACGTTGCACATTGATGCCACACAGGAGACGAGCGAAGTTGGAGATCATCATCCAAACCGAAACGAAATAAAGTCCATGTAACGAGAGAAACTACGGAAGATACAAGTGCCGTGAATGATGCACTCATTCAGTATGAAAGCGAAGAAGTAGGAGAACTACTAACTACTAATCACAGGCCAAATTAATAATTAAGGTAACTCTTCTAAAACACATCAGAGCAGTTTCTTACAGCCTTGGGAATCAGACAAGTCAGTTATCTTCAAGACGAAAGAAAACCATGGTGCGAAAAGTCACCGTGATCACATGCGCGTCTGTGACCCTCTTCTCTCAGGGGGGGGGGATGCAGCATCGCCATTCCATTGTCGGCTCTGACGGTGAGATAGGCGCCGACGATGCGGTAGAGGGAACACCAAGGAGTTTCACGGAGACATCAGTATCACCCGACAAAGACATAGTTGCACCAGACCAAGACGCCACTTTCGCGCAATTTTCACTTTTTAGTGTTAAGAGAGAAAAGTATGAGTATCTAGACGTGATGGTGCTCAATGCGCAGGGCTGAGGCAGGACCCCATCTGAATCTGAACGCGATCGCGTCTAAGCAGGTGAGAGGTTCGAGCCACCTAGTGTGAGCGACAAAGAAAATGAGACGGCATTTTGAATGATTGTCTGGTATTTGCATAATCCGTACCCAAGGAGTGAAATTCTAATAATTTTACCGACGTGGAACCGAGGATTGAACAGTGGCAGAACAAGCGGGAAAGTTTTACGGCGATCAAGGATAGACTCCTTTTACAGAGAAAGACGGTGCTGGAGTTTTTCGACGACAAGTTCTTAAATTTATGTGAGCAGGCACGCTATGGCTATTCAACAAGAACTCGATGCATTTTGGTCGTCCCAGACTTTTCCCAAACTTAGGGGGCGACTTTTCTAGTCCGAAAAAATAAAGCGCCTGCTTTACTTATTAAAAAAAAGCTTATTATTTAAGAAAATTTCATCGGTCGCAATCTGTCTAATTTAGTCGGCCGAATTCTGTTTATTTTGCTCGACTGTTCTCGAGTCGTTACCAAAGGTTTCCTTGCTAGTCTGTTTTTTCTACAACGGGCAGAAAAAGTAGAAAGACAAGGCATGGCCTTCGGCCTCAATGGCCTAGCAAGAGCGAACGCCGCTGCTGGTGTTCGTCGCCGATTTAAAAGCCACTTAGGGGGGCGCCTGGCGAAGATTTCAGCGCGGGCCTTCTTGGACACGAACAGAAGAAGAAGAACGACAAGGACGAGAAAGGGAGCCGGGCCATTCTTGAGGACTGGGCTCGTTTCTCTATAGCCAGGCAAAGGGGTCCGCGGGCTGCTCTGTTTTCTATAAAAGTCACGGCCAGCCTGGGCTTGCTCTTATGGCTTAGGCTTAGGGATTTACGACCAGAGTCGCGCGTCTGTATCGGTACCCGTATCGCGATGGCGCACTCGCAACGAAGTAGGGCAGGGCCTTAGGGCTTCGGGCAGCCTTATGACTGTCAGGGATCTCGCTGGGATTCTCATGCACCTCCACACCCAGCGAGTCCCTGCTGTTTGTCACTGCCCAGAAGGACGCCACTACTGTGGAGCCGGATGACAGTGGGGGCGCTAGGGTCTTGCTGGGTAAGGGTGAAGAGCTGACACGAGCGCCATTCTTCAGCTTTAGGGCGAAACTCTGCGCAATATATCTAAGAGGTGAAGGCATTCACTCGCCAGCGATGCAAAAACGACGGCAAACGCCTGCCATCTACTTCATTTGCTTGCGGGTAAGCTGATGGGCACGCTTCTGGTTCTGCTCGTGCTTGTGGCTCCAAAAGGGGCCCCAGTGCTCCTGCGCCGTCCCCTGCAGGTCTTTGAAGGGGTTGGCGCCTCCCTTCGGTTGCTCTACTATTTTGCAGCGCGTGACTTTCGCCTTCTTGACTGCTCTCGCTTTGGGCTTGTTAGTGAAGGCACCGACCTCCGCAAAGTCTTTCTGGTAGTAGGGACATCTTGCTGACCGTGTTTCCATTGGTTCGCGCCCCTTGTTGAGCCTCTGCTGACGGAGCGGATTCCTTGGCTGCTTCTCTTTTGGAGGAGGCGACAGCAGCTGGCACGCTGCTCCATCCCCGAGGAGGTCTCCACCATCGTGGTCGACCGTACCCGCATCCATGCTGCCGCGGTGCTTCTTGCGAGCGGGGTTGAGCTCTCCCGGGTCCAGCTTCTTCGTGTAGTACTCATTGCGGCGTTTACGTAACGTTCCGCGGCTCCATCTCCGACGGCGCAGTCGCGATCCTTGCGGCGTTCTGCCAGCTCCTCCCCCAACATCTGCAGAAGGGCCTCGCGGTCTTCGTGTTGATCCGTTTCAACCTCCGCGTCGCGGTAGTCGAGCGATTTCCGAAGCTCGCTGCTCGCGAGCTGTCCGATGAGAGCGGCCGTCTCCTCCTCGAGATGAGTGCCGTCCCCACCTGGCTGCACTGCATAGCCCGTCTTGTAGGTGATCTCACCCGGGCCGAGGCTAGTGGCCATCTCCGTGAAGAAGCCGGCCACAGGTCTGACGTCCTTGCGGCTCTAGTCTTCGGTAGCAGTTCACAGCCGCCATCTAGTCTGCGCGTCAGGTCTAGCCCAAGATATGCACCGAGGTGGAATGGATAGCGAAAATTTGGGCTGCCGTTCCAGACTTATCGCAGGCCGCAGCTAGTGGGTCGCCGAGCAAATTCCGAAGAACGGGACTCAGACTCTCGGAGATTAGTCGCGCCTCACGCCAGCGCGCCTGCACATCGATCGGCGTGAAGCTTGCTGCGAGGCCCTGACTGGCTGCAGCTACGGCCGTGGCGTCTCCAGAATAGTCAGCCCATGCGGTGCCCTTCATGCCGTGGGGGAATTCTTTCGACAAGTTCTGCGCCTTGTGGTAGTTCGGCGATGTTCGTGGAAAAGAAGACGGCGCCAGCTCAGTTACGTCATGCGTTACTTGTGGAAGACTTCGCGCGTTCGCTGCTGTCGACTCAAACTGCTTCAGCTTCGTTTTGTTGTCTTCCGGATCGCAACCCTTAGCCCGCTCGGCTTGCTCGCTCATCGCTCTCGCATCTCGGGCCTCCGCCTTGTCTCTGCTGGCTATGGCAGGCGCTATCGCGTCATATTTGACATGACTAGCCCACTGCAGTCTACGAGCAAGAGCTCCGTGGCCAGTTGCTTGACAGATCACCACGCGAGCGCTCGGCCCTATTCTCACTGGCTCAGTGGTTTCCTGAAAAGAACGCGCTGGAGGTCTTGCCGCCTTGGATGAAGTCGGTCAGCTTCTGCGAGAGATTCGCTCTGTTGTGGGTGTGGCAGCTCTCAGGGAAGGCCTGCGCTTGCCCGCGTGGTGTTCTATCGATTCTTGTCGCGTTAGCGAAGTGGCCGCACTCCACTGCGCCTCGCGGATGTGGGAACTTGCGCGCGTAGGTGTTAAACTGCGGACCCCGCATCTCATACGCCCAGTGCCTCATGGGCCCACCCGTCACCAAGGTGGTGTGGTGAGCTCACGTCGGTCCCCATTCGTGTCGAGGCTGCTCAGGGCCGGGAACAACATCAGCCGGAAGACCGGCGCGATGTTGCTAGCCTTCACGTGGTAGAACTCCGCTACTGTCGGCGCCGTGGTGGAAGCGAAGACGAGGGTGCTGCCGACCTTCAGCGGCTCGCCGAGCAACTTGCCTGGAGGTTGCGCCCCCAGCTTCATGCTGATGCGACAGTAGTCGCGAAGCCCTTCGCCGGTCTTTGTCTGTGCGCTGCAGTCTTCGACAGATATACGCGCCAGTCTCTCGAGCAGCCCCGTGGCATAGAAAGGGCGGCGGGCTGTCAGCGATGGCGATGCTGTTGGTTTTTGGTCTCTCTCTCTTTATTCCCTACCCATAGGAGAAGCAGGACCACTACCACCGCCCAGGTCTCCGATTTCCTCTATGAGAGGCGCAGGTGGAAGCGCGGGCTCTGCATCATCTTCCCCGAGAAGATCTGCAGAGGCGTCTGGTGCTGAGTTAGCTCCTTCGCCTTTCTTGAGGGTCAACACACGGGCAGCAACCGCCTCAGCATGCGCGCCGTACTCCAGTACTCACCTCGCCAAGAGCCCAGCACCAAACCGCCTCGAGCTATCTGCTTCCCCCGGATTACATGCTGACCGAAGAGAGGGGCCATAAGAAGGGAGGCGAGTAGCCTGCGCTATGAAACAGGTGGAAACCTTCCAAGAAGTAGGCTCCCTCTCTGATGACAATCAGCACGACAACCCACCTGACAAGCATCACAGAGCCGGGCGCCAACTCTCCCCGGGGGAGATCTCGACGGCAGACAGAGCATCTGACAAGCGACCAGAAAGAGGCCGCCAAATAAAGGCGCTCGCAAGTGTCTCGCCAAGATCCAAAAGAAGAGGAAGATGGAGACCCGAGACGCAGCGCCAGCCGTGGACCATTTTGCTACAATCTAGAAAGTCTAGCACTTTGTGACAGAATGGCCTCCATCGACTTGCCCTTCTTCCCCGAACTCTTGACGCGTTGCCAAGCAATTGCCCGACGGCGTTCCGCTGCGCTTGAAATCAGGCAGGTTCTCGCTCCGTGCTGTGCGCCAGTCTTGCGCTTTGCTTGGCCCTCTGTCTTCGAAAAGGGGCCACGGGCGAAGCTATTAACTAGAGCCCCCGACCCCGTTCAGATCTTCAGCTTGTTGGGTTGATTTCTCAACCTGTGAAACACGCCAAAGAACTGCACGGCCATCGCATTCCTCTGGAGAATGAGACCACGCCGCGTCTCGCTTTCTAGTTGGTCGGGGAGAATAACGCACACGCCCGGGGGGGAGTTGTCGTCCGTGGGGTAAGGTGAATCCACGACCAGCGCGCCCCAGTCTGATAAGATGCCGCGCGCAAACTCAGGCCCAGCAAATTTCTCGAGCACCATGGTGAAGCGAAAGGCCGCAGCTTGTCGAGCTTTTTCGAATTGTTTTGGCCCATGAGGAGGAACCGCCTGCAAGGGACAATCAAACCAAGAAAGGCGGGCCCTGGGGCGTGCCGCATGAGTTGACATTCCCGGGCAAAAGCTGCGGCGAGTATCGTAGTGGAGACTAGGCCAGAAGATGGCGGGGGCTCCTTCTTATTATGGCGCCAAGAGATTGGCGCAGGCTCCTTTAGTCGAGCGCTACTCCTATGAAGGAGCTCCCACATGTTAGCAGATGCCCACAGTGTGCCTCTCAAGCAGCAGCAGACAGCTAGGCGCTGCGGCGAGCTGTAGAAGTGCGCGCCGAACCATGCCAGCACAGGAAGGCGAACTCAGAAAAGCCGGCGGGGTGCTTGCAGTCCCCTTCGCGGCTTCGACCTTTTGTCTGGCTCGTCTAGTCTACTTGAGCCCCAGCAACGCCAGTAAGGTTCGCTTTGTTCGCAAAACCTCTCGGCCTCTCCCGTCCCAGAACTCTGGCGAAAAGTTTCCACATCGATCGCCGCCGCGTAGAAGTGCCTGGAGATGAGTGCCTGGGGGTGGAAAGTGGGCAGCGGTGGCCTTCTCGCTGTTAAACTGTGCCGAGTCCAGTAAACGCGTCACATGATGAAGCTACACCACAGAAGCGCAGCCGGCGAAGATTCAGAGAATGGGGCCACAGGCACAAGACTCAACGCCACACCTAGCGCCGGCCTGTCGCTTTGCTGGGCTTGCCTCTCTCGAGATGCCAGGCAGCCGGCCTTCTGCCGACGGTCTTCGCGATTTCTAGCAGCATTGTCGCGCGCTCTGATGGTGTGACCCACGGCGCCCCCAGCTTCACTTCCTGACCATTTTCGCAAACTTGGCACGCGGAGACTTGTGGCGGTCGGTAAGGAAAAGCAGGAGCAGAGAGACAGACGAAAGCGGGGCCACCGCGCAGAGCAGCTAAGCTGGGGAAAAGTAGAGCAAGCTACTACATTCAGAAGAGTCGCGTTGGGGAGATATGCGCAATTTGAAAAGGTGACCGCGGCCATTTTTTAAGAAACAAAAACGGCCGCGGCCATTCTGCGCGTCTGGTTCTTACTTTATGACAGAAGCAAGAGGCGCCCTCTCGTAAGATATCACCCGGCTCACTGGCGCGAGCTAAACTGTCACCCCCGAGGATAGGCGTCCCGCCGTGCATCGGCTCCGCAAGGTCTAGCCATTCGATTAGCTTGGGGCGCGACCTTGTCGGCCAGTTGTTCTCGGGGGCTCTCTCATCCGGAGGCACATCGGTGAGCCTGGTGGCCCCCTGCAAGCGTGCCAGCGTCTTCTTCGACGTCTGTAACTGCGCCGCCTTGACTGCGCACCCACGTGCCCGACCATCTGGAGAACTTATCAGCAGAGAGCTCTCGCACAAAAAACAAATTGAGCGCGCCGCGCCGTCTTTGGGGTGTTTTCCTGAAAGCAAGACCGACGGAGCAGGATCGCCACAGTTCTGCGCGCGTGTGAAGGGGTGCAGGTCTCGGGCTTATTTGTTTTGATAGAGCTCCACCATGTCAACAGTGCCACACAGAGGGAAGCAAATCACCCCGCAAGGAGTGGCAATCTCGAAAGAAAGGAGCGCAGGCGCAAGACGTTGCAGTCGAGTGAAAAATGGCAAATCTTGAAGAGCGGGGGGGCGTGCTGGATGCTGTGCCAGGTTCGGGCTTATTGCTTTCTTGGGTGGCTTATCAATATCAGCTGCAGCAAGCTACTCTATTCAAGTCGAGGGGCTACTGCTCACCACGTGAACGGGTAAGCCCCTGCCCCAGCAACACCATCCAGAAGAAACGGATCGCCACACGCATGCGCATGGGAGTAGCTACTCCCCATAGCTTGCCACTAGATGGGGCTGCTGTCTATGAGAGGCCCGCCCGAGTCTTCTCCCCCCTCTCTCTTGAAAGTGAAGGCGCCAGCCTGTCTCGCATGCAACAAAGTAGCACGCCATCCGAACCAAGCAAGTGCAACAGCGTGGGGACTCCACGAAATCGATACCGCGCCAGCCGGTGCTGTCTACTCTGACCGCCGAGGGTTCGACCATGATGAAGATATCATAGAAGAAACGCAACAGCTGAACTGCTAGGGAAATGGCGCAAAAGTTTCAAAGTATTACGAGGAAAGGACATAAATGGCGGGGGGTCAGTCTGCTTACCGGGTAGCTTTCACGTGTTGGCTAGATCTCAAATTTTCTGGGATTGGGGTCCTCTTGGTTAAGATGACTACGCTACGCCTCGACCTAAATCCGCCCTCCAATCAGCACCCTGCCGGTGAGCTCTCACCATCGCCACCGCTTCGGGCCTGGGGCCCGCCTACTTCTTGGAGCGCTTGGATGCTGGTGCGCTGGCCTTTGCGGAGGAAGTGATGGCTCGCTTCGTCGAGGCGTTGGCGGTGACGGTAGTGGAGCGGGAGGAGGTTGCACGGGAAGAGGTGGCACGAGTGGAACTGGCGGAGCTGCTGCTGCTGGCGCCGTTGGCGTTTCATTCCCTGGTGAAGAGTTGCCTGCGCATAGAAGACGGCCAAGGATTGGAGTGGAATGGATTTGGACGGAGATTGATAGGGAGCTCTTTTGAAAGAGCCGGATCTTGAGAGTAGCTCCGTGGAGATCTACGCTGAGCGCCTGGGGGGGTCACGCGCGACGCTCAGAGTTTTAGAAAATCTTGAAAGTTTCTTGCACGCCGGGGCTGTCTTGCTTCTTTCTATTCTTTATCCAACACCGGCTGAAGGTCTAAAAAAACCTCAGCAGGATCTGTTCCCACCTTCGTGCTCTCCGCGTTGTTCTGCATATCGAGCAAGATGGGGCACGTAGCTGGGCACGCGGGCCGGCTTGGGTGAGTGCGTTTCTTTGCGCAGGCGGAGACGGTTGGAGGTTGGCACGTGTGGGCGATGCGCTGGAATCGAAGTCAGTTGCCGTCTTGTCGTCGTTGGACTCTGTACCAGGTTCAGCAACGTCACCGGCCTCCGTCTTGTCTGAGGTTGTTCGAAAGGGATCCAGCTTCGTCTGGCGTCTTTAATTACCCAGACACAGCCACCGCCTTACTCCTAAACGGCTCTAAACGTCGCGAATCAGTACGGCTGCCGTGAGACGCAGACCGAGCAGCCCGATGAAATCACGCAGAGACTTAGGGCTCTCGTTGATCGTGGTGCAAGGCTGGCCGCTTGGCAGCTGAAGCCAGTCAGAAGCCCAAATGGGCGGCGTCAACTCTCCGCCGCAATTCGTGTAGCCTGATGAGTTGAACAAGGCGCGCGATAAGGTGTCTACTTTGACAGCAGCAGCAGCAGCCTGCTGCATGTTGGGAGGGTGTGGAGGTGTGAAGAGAAGGCGTGCCGCGACTTACCTCCGCGCGCAGGTTGAGGGGTGAGGAGTTCAGGCCGTACGCTTGTCAGGGTCTCGCTTCTGGTAGGAGGTTAATCTAGAACCTAGAGCGGGCCGCGCCTGCTATAATTTCAAAAATGAGAGACAGAGCAAAAAAGTGGAAAACTATACTGGTGCCTTTCGAAGTCTGGGGGCGTCTATATCTGCAGGCTCCAGCTGTGCACCTTTCTGGCGCAAGCTCGTAGCGCTCGCAGCTTTCCCGGCAAGGCCTTGCAACTTCGTGCGCGTATCCATATCAGCCCGCTTATCCTTATCGCACAGCCAGCGGACGGCCCGCGGGGTCGCGGTTGGAACAAGTTGAACTGCCTCGGGCGTCTTTGTCTGTGCTTCTGTAACTACAGCAGACGCTTTGGAACGCAGAAAAACACTCACACGCTAAAGCGTGAAACCTTTTGAGCCATATTGAGATAAGGGCGAGCAAATGCGTTAGGCCTTGCCGCACACGCTTGGCGGTGCGCACTACTCTCCAGAGTGGGCCCGCTCTGCTCCAGCCGCCAAATAGGCCCACGCGGCTAGGGAAGCAGGGCCCCGCCTTCTGGCTTTTGCCAAGTCGCTTGGAATTTGCTGGGTGTACAGTTGCGGGTAGAATGGCCTTTGCCTCCCTTCCATTCGGCCGCTGCTGCTGAGTTTGGATCTGGCCAGCGTGGTCGCCGGGTGGGGCCTGCCGAAATCGTTTCGAGTAGGTTTCTCGGAGTTTGCAAAAACCGGCCTCACCTGCCCGACGATCCCGCGCAAAGGCCTTCACAAAAAACCTACTCTAGCCCTTGGCTTCCGGGGTCCCTTTGGGCGAGGGGTCGGAATCGGTTTAGGGTAGGTTTTTTGGAGTTTGCCAAGGGCGTCGCAGCCTTGGGCGCCTTGTGGTGCTGGGCAGCCCCAGAAAAGGGCGCAACAGTAGGCCGCGCCGGTGGTGCCTCGTGGCTGCCACTTCGGATCTTGGCCCCTTGGCCCGTCCGAAAGCCGCTCAACCCGGAGCAGAGGGCGCGCACGATCTCGCCAACAGTTGCCCACACGCGACGCCGCGTGCCTGCGTGCAGTTGCTTACTGAACAACTCGCAAAAAAGTCCATGCTTTAGAGTGTGAGTGGGTGCCTATTTGTCATAGACTCTGCCAGGTATTCAAAAAAAACCTTTTATAGTTCTACTGTTGGCGTGCTCTACTTAAGTCGCGCCATAACGTCGCGCGCGGGGTCCTTGCCGTTAGAAGGAGCTCCAGCACCTTCGTGCTGGTTGCTCTCCTGCTCTTCAGCCGGACACGCCCGGGCAGTGGGTTGGGCTAAAATAGTGCTAAAATTTTTCTAATTTTTCTGATCGGACCGGCTTCGTGTCTGTTTCCGCTGCCCTGTTGGATTCGTGCGCGCGCAGCTCTTGCGGCCAAGTTTGCCCGCTCCGTCGCCCGCCTGCAGCGCGTGAGAGCCCGCGCGTGCTCTCTCGTTGATAATTTTCTGCTCTGAGAGAGGTGGGGGTGGTTTGATGCTTGCGCCCCCTGGGTCGTCCCTCGTCTCTGCAGTTTTTTGATGGCAGCAGCTTGGGGCGATGAGGTTCGCGCGGTGGGGGTCCGCTGCTCTGGCATTTCTCGGAGGGGTGTGGGTGTGTGTCCCTTAGCTTCCTTGCCCACGCACCCATGTGCCCGCATTCATTCTTCTCGCTAGATGGTCCGCGCGCTCATGGACTGTCTGGCGCCTCCTCATGGTCGATCTTCTGCGCGTAGGTCTGAGCGAATAGGATCTGCAGCCTTCTCTTGTGTGATTAAGTGTTTAATTTTTTTAGTTCACAAGTAAAAAAGTGGCGTCGTCTGATGGGGTGAGTGTCGATGAAGGTGTTGATCTTCTTGCGCGTCTCCTCGTCTCGTCTGGCCGCGTCGATCTTCTGCGGGGAATGATGATCCTCCCTGCGACAAGTCGGACCAGCGTCGGACGATATGGGGGCTTCCTCCTCCAAGTTCTCGACGCTGGTAGTAGTAGCAGCGCAGACTCGGCAGTGTTGTCGAGTTTGCGAAACAAGTCTGAGGGCGCCATCGGTCTACTTTTCGAGCGGATTTTGATGCGTTTGAAGTTGGCCTATGCGCGTTGCCAGTTCCAGTATGTGTCCGCCGTCGTCATGAAAGCCCTAGAGCGGTCCACTGGTGTCCTCTCGCGAGTGATGTCTGATGGGACGCCAATAAAACTCAACTCTCGGGGTAAGTATGTCCGAGCAGATTCAGAGGGGATTTCGCAGGTCCTCTTCTTCCCGACGGAGGACAGCGAACGCCTAGTAGTTGACGCAAATAAAACTGTGGGGCAACCAATGCGACGGCTTTGGATATCTGGCGACGTCGTCTGCATGTTAGAGGGGCACACGGATCTCATGGCGTTTCAGGAGATCCTTCGGCGCACTGTGGTGTTGCGGCAATTGGTTGGCACAGGATCAGCCTCCACCCAGATGGGTTTTACATTCCACCACTATATTTCTGACGGAGGTGCTTCTGGTGTAGTCAGAAAGTTTGTGGGTTTGCGACATGAGCAGGGACTACTTGACCACGGGCCGTCAACAGTGGTGGAGTCGTTCCTGGATCTTTTTGGGTCGGATTTGTGCATCACTCACACTTTGCGTGGATGCATGGAGGACGGAGCTTCGCAGCTTGCCACACTCGAGGGCGACAAGCAGAAGGAAGACGTAAAAAAAATCTGCAATGCGCTGCGCAACTCGCGCTGTGGTCTTGAGGAACATGCAGAGGAGTGGTTGCATCGGAACTATGTCCAGTCGCCGACTGGTAACCTCGAGTCTTATCGTGCTGTGGTGGGTTTCATCTGTGGCAACATGGGTGACGATCTTCAGCGTGAACTAGTCAGACTGCAACTACGGTGGGAGGATGGAGCCTTGTGTGGCAGTCTTCCTCTTGAAGACGGCCATCCTCCGCGTGATGTAGTAGAGCTCATAAAGCGCGTGAGGTATAGGCAGATGCAGTTTGGCAGGATGGGCAATTCGCTACTTCCAGCGCGCCGCGCTGCACTCGCCGACATGCTTGGGATTCCGTTTCTCGCTGAGCATGTCTGCTTGCATGGGCGCCGACAATTCGACGTGAAGCAGGCACTTGGCACCCAGGAAGTGAAGCTTTTCTCTGGTTTTTCTACTGCGGTCTGGAGCCTCATCTCAATCCTACCGCCGTTCGAGGAGGCTGAGGCAGACCTTTTGCAGAATGATAATACTCAGGCCGTAGCAGCAACGCAGAGCACCTTGCTCGAACGTGTCGAGCAGTGGAGAGGGCAGCCCTTTGCGAAGTTTTGGGCGTACTCTTCTGTTCTTGCTGCGGACATCTTGCAGGAGGTCTCAAGGGTGCAGCTGTGCATTGACATTGTCATGACGTCTGCGGAGATAACCGCCTTTCGCCGCCTGGATCTACCACCGTGGTCGCATTTCTCTGCTCGGCCATTAACTTTGGATGGAGTTCTTGACTCCGTGCGCCGCACTCCACCCAGCAAAGCCGACAGTGGATTCACGCGCAGACTACAACTAGTACTAGAGCACGCTCCGCAGCTTCTCAAGACGCATGAAGCGTCGCTTCTTGATGTCTGTGCAGGTATGCTCGTGCTTCCGCAGGGGATAATGATTCAGGAGAAGTACCATAAGCATGCGCGCGAGTGCTCTGGGTCTACATTGTCTTACCGAGCTGTGAATGATATACAATGGCGAGGCAAATGGGTGGAGCAGAGCAGGTTGGTCAGGGGTGCGCGCAGCAGTAGTGAGGTGGAGGATTTCCGCGAAATGTCTTTACAGCAAGTTCGTGCGCAGTCGAATGCTAAAAAAGTCAACAAGAGTAGCATGCACATGCGCAAAATGCTCAGTGGTCGTTCTTTGTCTTTCTTGCAGCAACAGAAAAGCATGGGGGAAGCTGCAGCAACGTACTCCTTGAAAGTAAAGCTCGGGGCAGATGTCGGCGACTTGTCCCCCGCTGTGAAAAAGCGGCGTCGAGAAATTGAAGGTGAAGCAGTGGAGAAGTACTTCCAAGCACAAGAGAAGCGCTTAAAGGTGGTAGAGCACGAGGCAAACTATCGCGGCTTTGTAACGGGAGCAAATTCTGAGAGTCTGGAGGCGTTGATCACAGACAAGATGTTCATCGAGGCCTGGGACGCTTTGCCTGTCAACCCGACCAAGTTGTCGCAGGAGCAGTGTGTCCAGAGTTACAGCCAGAAGCAAGCTGATGGCCACGTAGCAGCAGCGTGCGTCTTCCCGTACAGTTTTCCGGTCTTCGAGCATGATGCTCTAGATGGTCGCGTGACGATGCTTGTTCGTCGTTCGTTAGAATCAGGAGGAACTGTCGGAGGGGTCCTCTGTCTGCGGCACGATAGGCCGACGTTGCCTGGTGATGATAGTACTACTCATCTTCTCCTCACTTTCGTCTGTGGTAGGCCGTACATTCTTGGCGCTCATCTTTTGGAACAGGACGACTTGCCAGACCCGGAGTTGTCTGTCGCCGCATCGGGGACTGTCATGCGACGAACAGGCATACTTCTCAACTTGACGCGGCTTCAGGGCGAGGCGTTTTTGCTGGACGCTGATTCAGTTCAGCAGCTTCCTTGTGGTGGAGTGCGACTTGATGTTGAGACGAGTTACAGCGATCTAGACTCGGCACCCTTTCAAAAAGTCCTACCCGGCAGGCCGCTCCCTCGAAACAAGACTAGCTCCTTGGGTTCCTTACGCCCGCAGAAAGACAGCCATGGGAAGGCCTTCAACAATTACAAGAAGCGGGACTTGGGTGATGCCAAAACGGTTCGTGAAATGATGGTGGCGCAAGAGCTTGCCGACGATGACCTCGGGCGTATTCGCATGGAGCTTCAGTCTGAGAGACGTGCGCTAGTAGCTAATGCGGGCGTAGAAGCTGACGACGCGGCGCTTGGCAAAGTTTTTGAGGTGAGGACTGTTGGCGGAGCATGGTGTAAACTGAAGACCGGACACTCTCACGACAAGCACACTCTGAAGACGACGAGTGCGCCTATTCGGCAGGAACTACAGCGTCTGGATTTGCCACACTCGAGGGATGCCGACTTCCTCCAGCTATGGGAAAGCGCTGAGCGAGCGCGCAGTCATTGTCTCACGGTGCGCCGAATATACAGGCTGCTGTTGCAGTATGGGTTGCAACCGCTTGGCACAGAAGACACGCAGGCAGCGCACACTGCCACTGTGCGAACGATGCTCGCCGGAGAAGATCTCCTTCTTGCTCTAGAGAAGGACATGTACTTTTTAAAGAATAAGGGCGAGCTGTTTAAGTTCAAGCGTCAGCTCATGTTTTTGAAAGTCCAGCAATATTGTAAAGCTGGAGTTTTTATCGTTCCAATCGCCCCCAGTATCGAGCAAGCGCTCAGTAAGTCCTTTGAGATCTAAAGCCTCCCCCTTTCTAGCATCAGCCCGCAGTTGTGCTCTTGTTGTGTCCTCTTCTCTCTAATCAAGTCGACGATGGTGCCGCGAATTGTCATAAACTTTTTAGCACAGCTGGAGACGTCACACTTGTAACTTAAGCAACGCACTCCGAAGCTGTGCCTTTATCGGAGTATCCTGGTGCACATGGTTGACTTGTTCTGAGGAGGAGCAGCAGGATAGTTCATCTTTCTTGTGGTGGTGCAATCGGTCAAGGGTGTCTTCTTCTTTGCTACTTTCTGATCGTGGTCTGCCTTGTGCCGTTGCTTCAGATGTGGCCTGCAGTGCAGTGCTGTTGCTTATTGACATGGCAACAGCCGCTGCAGAGTTTATTAAAATGAAAGCGCATTTATTCACTACATGCAACGTTCCTGCTTTCACGCCAGTACTTTTTTAACTTGAGTAACGAAGGTCAAAATGGGTGGAGGTAACAAGGGCGCTGCCCTTAAGAAAAGCAGCACTGTAATGAAAAGATCTAGCTCAAAAAAAGGCGCGTCTTCCTCTGCCGGGGGGGCTTCGAGCTCCTCCACCTCTTCGTCATCAAGTTCTGCTGCAGTGGCTGGTGGGGGTGACAGCGTTTCCCTCGAGGTACTATTTCTTCTCGAAATTTTTCTAAAAAAAATTCTAATATGTATTTCTAATATTCGTTTCTAATTTTGGGTGTCTAATATCGAGTTCTAATTTTCATTTTTTCCCCGCAGTTAAATGCTTAAAAATTATTCTAATACTCGTTTCTAATTCTAATTTCCACACCTTTTCTCATCGTCTTTTAGTAGTCTAAAATTTGTCTAATTTAATTTCTAATTTGAATTCTAATTTTTTCATTGTGTCCCTATAGGTGTTTTCGCGTAGTAAATTCGCCAACATTTGATAGTGGTTCGCGATGGTCGTGGCTAGTGTTTTTCAGTAGGTTTTCGCCTGTTTTTGCAGGCCAATAAATTAGAATCTAAATTAGAATTTTTTTTAGAATAATTATTAGAAAGCCCACAAAAGCATTAGAGAGCAAATTAGAACCGCATACTAGAGCAATTTTGTAACGAAAATCCCTGGTGCGTTGATCAGTTCGGGTTGGCGTCTGTCATCGCTTGGCAACCCTCGGCTCGCATCGTTGGAGCCAGCCGGCGTCTATGGGGGCGCCCCCTTCGGCTCGCGCGAGGGTTATTGCTAATAGCAGTGTTTGGCGTGGCCAGATTTGATCTACTTATCTGGCCGCCGCGTTTCGCATCGTGGCATCCTTGGCTTGGTTTGCTGCAGTCTGTTTTTTTGTCTCCCCTTACCATTTTGAAAATGGTAAAGGGAGGTGGTTTGTGCCTCGTTTATAGCCTTCGCGAAGCCGCTTCGCATGCAGCGCGCGTTCTCATTTGCTTTTTAGCGTGTGACTTTTTGTTCGCCAAAGCTTCTGTTGCAGAGGCGCCCGATCTGATAGTGCGCCAGGGTCTTTCCTCTCCAAGAGTCATCTTGTGCGTTTTTCCAGTCTACTAATTTATCTCTCCTCACTCTCGTCCAGGTAAGTGCTTTTGCGCCTCCGCCTCCGGTTAAGAAGAAACGAGGTCCGCGCAAGAAGAAGCTCGAGCGGCATTCAAGTGACTGGCATCATACCGCCGACGCTTCTGAAAAAGCTCTAGCAACAATTCAGCACTACAACAAGAACAGCCGGAGGCTGCCTGGCACAGTAATATCTGCGAAATGTTTCCCGAATGATAGAACAGCAGCAGAATTTGTCGCGCAGGAGTACTTCAGTAAGATGAAGGGCGTGGATGATGGAAAAAAAACGTACATCAAACTTCTCCCGGAGCAGTGGAAGGAGGTGAAGATGTACTTCGACCGGGAATCAGCGCGCTCTGTCGAAAGTGTGGCGCACGAAGTGCGCAGTACTCTGGTTGAGATCAATGCAAAAAATGCAACCTATGCTGCGCGTGCAGTTGCTGTTCGTCCTTTTTTGCATCGTCATGCGAAAGCGCTGCGCGCGCGTTTTGGTCAATCAGGCAGCAACTTCTTGAAGGATTTCCTTGGTGAAGAAGATGGTGAGGAGATGCAGGACAGTAACAACATTGGAGAAGAAGATGAACTACTACCGAAATCATCTACTTCTTCAACCGGTGGCGGTGGTGTGGGAGAGCAGGTTGCGAACTCTGGCGATCAAGGTGTTGGCTCGTCTGATGAAGTCCTACTTGGTGCTGACCCGATGGAGGGAGTTGTCTCAACCAGTGCAGAGGGAGGGGCGCTGCCTTCAGATGAGGTTGGTCCTGCCGCGACTTCGTCTGAAGTAGCTGGTGAAGCGGTGGGTGGTCAAAAAGATACTGATGATGTTTTTGCTGAAGATCAACCACTGCCTTCAGCTACCTCTTCAACTTCTAACAGCCAGGGACTAGCAGAAAATGCGGCGAAAACTAGTGGCGACTCTGATGATGAAGGACTCAACTACTGTCCTGCCGGAGACGTTCCTGCCGACGTAGACAGCGATGATGATCTTCTTAATTACAAGCCGCCCGGGAGCACCGCTTGCAAGTTTGAAGACCTCAGCCGTGCACTTTCTGGGGATAATGTCGCGCAGGCTGCAGCAGATGATGACAGTGTTCCGCTGAACCTAACGGAGGTCGGCTCGTCCGTGTCTGGGCTTATCTCCTTATTCCAGAAAGCCGACAAGAACACTCACGACACGGAGCTGCTGAAGGCAATAACGTCGGTCGTCGCTGCGGGTTTTGGTATTGAGGTTCTCTAACTCTTTGCTCGACGTCTCACCAACTGGGGCGTCGCTTTTTTGTTTGCTTAGAAGTTCTACTTTCGCACCATCAGTTTCGACAGGTCTTCGCTTTTTTCTTGGTCTCCGATGTGTGGCTCCTGTAGTCTATTCCCGTGGTGTAAGTATAATTTCCTTTCGCTACAGCAACGCCTCCCCAAATAATATACCTCCCCCTCTCTGCCAGATTGTTTCTTATCGGGTGACGCCCGGCGTACTGCATATGAGAAGTTACAGGCTGCGGCAACGAAAATGCTGGCGGCACGATACGAAAGCCTCCAGCTGGATGGGACTGCCTTCTGTGAAAAGTACTACCCTCCTGGTTTGATAATAGTGCGCTACTGCGCTGTAGGCGTGGTAGTATAGTTCAGCAAGGGTCTCCTTGCTTAAAATTTGGTGCTCAATAAAAACGTTGGTAGTCTTGCGAGCTTTCTCAAGTCTCTCGATAGAAAACTGGTAGTCTTGCAAGTTTTGCAAACTTGCTATTTTATGACTTTCCTGACTTTCAAAGTGGATGACTACTCTATCGCGCTTCTGAGCGTTTTGAAATCACCACTCATTCCTCAACCAGGTTTCTTGCGTTCCTTCCGGTGTTGGCGCCGCATTTGGGTGAGGCGCATGCATTCACGGCCCAGCACATGAAAGCTGGAAGCGTCACTTTCCCAGTGGACCAGATTGATCGAATGACTTGCCTCATACAATTTGCGGAGATTCCGGCATACAAAAAACTGAAGAAGGGGCTGGAGGCGCGCCAAAAATGTGCGCAGCTAGAGCGGAGCGCCCACGATGTACTATTTTTTATTATTAATTTGTTGCTTCTGGTAAAGTTACAAGTTTTCGCTTTTTGTAAGGTATCAGAAGATTGGCGCCAACCTTTTCGAAACCCCTCTCCAGGTAATCGTCAGTGCGGACACCCTTGCCCTGGAGGGTCTTGAAGATGCTGCTGGTGTGGCAGCTCAACAAACTAAGGAGTTGGAGGAACTTCTCGCGCAAGCGCGTGATGTCGGTTTGGAAGAGGAGCTTTTCGAGGTTATCGCGTTGCGGTTGGGTGCCGTCGGTGAACTAGAGCTCGACTCTTTCCACAAGAAATGTGTGGCATTGCGGGAGGTGAAAGACAGCACCAGCAAAATAGGTTTTGCGATCACGGTCAACGATGCCCGGAAAGAGCTCGCCCGGAGCTTGTCGTTGACGTTGCAGACGCCCTGCACAGCGTATTATCGACTTTGTGGCTTGCTTTGTGTAGTCGTAGTCTGAGTAGCCAAGCTAGAGCTTTTCCCTGCCTCATCATCTCGCCGCCCCGTCGGTGTCACCTATCATGGTATGGTCTTCGTCTCGTATCCCTTTTTCGATACTCTCCCAGGTACCAGCTTGGGCGTGAGTTAGCGAAAGTTGCGCCTGTGGAGTTGAGGTGGGAGCTTCGCCGCGTTGAAAAGCAGGCGAAGGAGCTTGAGGAAGCCTCGAAGAGAATCCTGATGGACGCAGCAAACGAGGGCGGCCCGACCCCGGTCTTCAATGACTGGGTTGAAGGAGGACCCTACGACACATGCAAAACCACGATGCAAAACTACGACCGCGTCGCCTGGTCGACGAGGCAGTCGCGCTACCAGTTGGGTGAGCGTTCGGAGGACTCGAACTTTCGCCCTTTCTATGTGTGGCGTATGCAGCGATACACGAAGAACAAGCTCAACAAAGAAAAAGTGTCGCCATATCTGAGCAAGCTAGTGGAACTGCGGCCGCATCTTGAGGCGGATAATATTGGTATATTTATACTTTAGCTTTCGCTGGAGGTGATGCCTACTTCTCCTTGGTCCAGGCCTTGGCGAAGTCGGCCACAGCCTCTTATTTCTAGCGGACTCCGCAAAAGTTGGATGGTGAGTTTCTTCACGGTCTTTAACAGTCGCGCTTTTCTCTTGTCTTTACCCCGCCCGGGGTTATCATCTCAATACACGCTACTTCTACCCATCGAACCTAACCACCGTCCCAACTACAACTTCAGCGCGCGACACGTCTTCGAAATTCCTCGAGAAGTTGGCTGGGATGCAGATGCTCATGAAACCGGAGCAGCACACGGCCTATCTTGCAGCCTTGAAGGCTGTGGAAGAGGCGAAGCAGGGAATTCTCGACTTGAACGAGCGACAGAAAGAGCGCCTTGCGGGGCTCCGCTCGTTTGTTGCGGGTGCGTAGGCGCCTCGCTTTCACAACTAAAACACACATGACACATTTAGACTTTTCAAAGTATAACCTTTCGCAGGTGTGATTTCTGATCCATATACAACTTCTTACTCGATGGACTTCTACTGGTTTTGAACATTGCAGGACGCAAGAAATTCTACCCAATCACTTCAAAGGACAAAGCCCCGATGACCTCCAAGAATAATAACAGTTGAACTATAGCAAGAGCAAAACTTTCGCGATTTCTTCAAGATGTATCCAGGTTTAAGATGGTGATACATTTCAGGCGATGCATGACTTTGCTAGCTGGGCTCACCAGCGTCGACGCCTAGTGTGGTGGCGTCTGGAAAGACGGCAGCAGAGTGTTCATCGGTGGACACATCCACAGGCCAGCGATGGGCTGGTGGTTATGCTTTTCAGCTGAGTAGGTCGTCAGGCTTTGGGCTAGGACTTCGCACAGGAGTCGCAGACGCTCGGGCGCTAATGAAACAGGGGCTGCCGCTGGTGGGGAGTCGGGGTGGGTTCTCTGCCGTGCTCGGGGGTCTTGTGGTGGTGCTTATCGGGGGTGCCGCGTGATTGTGTTATCGGGTTGGGGTTCTCGAAGGGGTTGCCCCGTTGGGTCTTCTTCTGCCGAAGTGTCGAGGATGCAAGTCGCTTGTTGTCGTTATGGTGACGGGGCAGCGCTTGCCCCTTGCCCATTGGGGGACGGGGTTTGGCTGTAATGGGTCGCCTGTGTTTTCTCTTGTGGGGCGAGGTGTATTGACGCCGCGCAGATGTAGCCACGGCCCCACCGCCTTCAGTGTGTAGGCCTTGCTTTGGGGCCCACGGCTTTTCTGTGTGGTTTTCGGGTGTTTCATTGCCGTGGGGAGGCCTTGTTGGCAACTTTGTGCGTGGTTGTTCGTCTTTCGGTGTTTGTGCCGTGATTGCTTTCTTCGAAATTAGTAATTTTTTAGCGTGAAATTAGCGAAAAAGGTTGGCCGGTGTGGTCGAGCTGATGCTCTTGTCCCAATCTTCTCCAAAAGAAAAGCGCGCTCTCTGCCCTTGTTATGGTTCAAATTCGTTGCCGGGGCTAGATAGTCTCGCAAGTGAAGCCACACACGAAGCCAAACCGCTCAGAACGATGGCAAACCCGAGAAAAAAGACAGCAGACTAGAACAAGCAAGGCAGAGCAAGACAGAAAGACACAGAGAGGAAGGCCAGGGCCCAGGGTTTTGCGCGTCTTGAGGTGGCGCCGGACGACTGCAGGACCGACAGCAGGCGCCAGCCGCCGAGACCTTCAAAGAAAGACCCCACTAGCCTCAGGGCAGACCGTCAGGGGCTGAGTGCGAGCCTTCCGCGCATAACAGCCGCAGGAGCTACTTTCGCCTCTGCGCTGCTACTACCTAGGACTAGCGCGCGCCACTACTAGGACTTGCTAGCATTACTAGCAGCAGGGCTGGCAGCTCCTCTCCTTCAGGATCCCACTAGCGGCGTTGCGCCTAAGTAAAAGGGGCGGAGGCGTCGGCTTCTTGTGGTTGAAGCTCTGGCTGATAGCTCCCTTTTTCAGCCTCCGGCTCGGGCTCCATGTCCATGCTCTCGCTGTCTCGTCTTCAGCAGCGAGCCCCCGGCGCGCAGCGAAAAGAACAAGAAAACCGAGCGCCGAGCGGGGGCCGACGTGATCGGCAGGCGGAAGACCACAACCGTCAAAGGGCAACGCAGTAGCGCAAGGACATGGACGGGAGGGGTAGGACTAGCAAGAGCAAGGGCAACCGTCAAAAAGAATGGCCAGCGTCGACAAGAGTAGCCGCGTGCGTGTGGGTGTCTGTGTGTGTCGCATGTGCATGAGCAGAGCGAAAAGAATCGGAGAGCGGGACGGCAATCGAAATGGGGCTCAGGCGTATGAGTGCGCGCAGGTGCGCCACAAGCTGGAGCAGAGGCGAGAGGAAGAGCGAGAGGCCACCTCAGGCCCAGGACTCGGCCGCCTTTCTGCGAGATGCGGGAGCCCCCTCGCGGGGGCAAAGTGACGGCGCGCGCGCTGTCTCGGTTTCGCGATCGGTGGGGTAAGGCTTAGGTCGTAGGCGAGCGCTTAACTATAAGGGTACGCAAGTGGAGCTGGGGCTTGAGGTCGAACAGTAGCGCTAAAAGTAAGCGACGGACAGCCCTCAGCCCAGGGCTGGCACTGAAGCGCGGGCCCCTTCAATGAATAAAGCAAAGAAAGAAGAAAAGGCGCAAAGCGTCGGCGCCTGGCAAGCCGAAGCGCCTGGCAGAGGTTGGGCATTATCTGGGGGCCGGCTGGCACTGCTCGGGGGGTGTCTGTTTTTGTCGCTTTGCATTGAAGAAGTGCAGAAAGCTGACAGGGGCAGACGAGTGGCCGGCGAGTAGGCTGCGGGGGCGCTGCTCCTGCCAGCGGGTGGGGAGCTTTTTCGTGTGGTTTCGGTAGCTCTGATTTCTTGGAAGTCACGCACTCGCTAGCTTTAGCGTTTTTCTTCGTCCGTAATTGAATGGGCGCTGGCTCTTACTTTTTCACTTTCGTAGGGCGTAAGATTTTGGTTCCTAAGTCTGGGAAAAGTCTGGGAGCGTAGAGGAGAAAAAAAAGGAGAACCCTGCGGGGAAGGAGCAGGAGGAAAAGGCCAAGGCCCAGAGAGAGAGACAGAGGGAAGAGGAGCGAGAGGACAAGGCAAAAAGAGAGGCCCAGCGCAAAGCCCAAAAGAGAGAAGAGAAGAGAAGAGACACGGACAGAGGAAAAGAGAAGGGGAGGCAAAAAGAGACCCGCGGGCAAACCGCTGGAGGGACTCAGGGAAGGGAAGAAGACAAAGAAGCCCCCAGGGGCGGAAAAGGCTGGAGGAGAAAAGCGGACGGCGGAGGCGCCGCTGATAGATCTCAGAGAAAAGAAGAAGGGGAAGAAGCAGCCAAGAGACCAAGGGAAGGAGAAGGGCAACGCCCGCAAGAAAAAGGACGAGAAGGGGGCAGTGGGGGCGGGGCGCCGAGCAGCCCCACAGCAGTGAAGAGGAAGCAGCAACGAGAACAGAGAGCAAGACCGAAGGAGAAGAAGAAAGCCGGCGCATAAGTGAAAAAAAAGGAGAGAAAGGGCAGAGGCCCGGCAAAGGGACCGCCGGACGAAATGAGGCCAAGAAGACCACGAAGGGAACAGAGCAGCAAGGAAAAGGCTGAAACGAGGGGGCCCCTTAAGGGGGGGCCCCTGATGAGAGAGGGGGGCTGGCAGTGCAGGAGGGTAGGAGCAAGCGGAACGGGCTCCCCTCGCCTCCTTGAGGTCCCCCGGAGAGGTGGCGGACGCGGGTCGGGCCTCTCTCTGCGGGGTCGAGTAGGGGCGGCCTTTTATCTTAAAGCGGGCAACCCTCTTAGGCCAAACGGCTGCAGGGATGAGATGAAATCCCGCCCCGCCCGATCGGTGGGCTTGCGTCATCATCATCACCATCATCGTGAAAAGTCTGGGAGCAGAAAAAAGCGCCGAGTTCTTGGCGAGTGTCGCTATGTAAGTCAATGCTTCTGGTAGTATCTCGCGTAAGCTATAGCAAACGCTGGCGCCTATTATCTTACCTTCTTGCAGCACGGTGCGGCGAGTTTCTTTTTTTCTGTCATTCATTGCCACATCTTGGCCCAGCGGTGGGCCTAGGCGGGGGCACCTGTCTGGCTTTTTCAAAGGCAAAAGACAAAGAAGCAAGGCAAAGATCGCCGGCGATGGGCCTGGCGTTATGAAGTCAGATCGTCCGCGGTGCGTCTCTGTCTTTGTCTCTGCGCCGTCAAGTCCTTTAGCGTCTTTTATTTGATCATCAACACAACGGGAGCGCGCTCGCCTGCAGTGAAGGGGCCGCAGCCGTTTTCTTCTGTCGGTTGGCGACTGAAATGACTACAAGAAGGCAGCGAAATCGCTTGGCAGGTGTTTCTGTTTGCTTTTTTCTTCGAGCGAGGGAGCGCCCTTTTTTTGCCCACCGCCACGCCCACGATGAAGCCACCCTTACGGAAGTAAATCCTGGAGCCTTTTTGCTGTCGAGTACGTAGGGGGGCTCTTTTTTCAAATTTTGCCAAAGCTTGGCAACAATGTGGACAAAATTTGGCAAAAATTCCACGAACCCGAAAGCCCGACGAACTTACTTGGAACCCCGTCAAACTCTGGACCCCTGGCCAAGGGGTCCCCGGATCGTTTTGGCTTTTGAATGTCGAACCCCGGTAAAATTGGCGCGCGCGCTTTGCCGCGGGATCCGTCTGGCCAGCGCTGTCGGATCGCGTCGCCTCTTTTGAATTCCAAAACTCGACAAGCTTGGGGCGCTTGGCTGAGGGGTGCCCCAGCGGCGGGGCCAGGGCTGACATGGGTGCCCCCGTGCACCGCTGGGCATCGCTTTGAGAGTCTCCACTTGTGTCGCGGTTCGTGTGCAGACTCGTCGCGGGATGGATTTTTCGGGACTCGAAGGCGCGGCGCCTGATAGACATGCTCCGCGTCGAAAGTGGTTGCTTGCTTTTGCGTGACCAACAGCATACGGCTTGGCACTGTTCACACCACTTTGCTCTTCTCCTTGACCTCGTTCCCTATCTTCATACTGGAAGCCTAATAAGAAAGAACAAAGCATTTTGGAGAAGCTTCGACGTGCGGACACGACAGACGTAGCAACACTAGCAGCCGCGCTCGCTGATGTCCTCAACAAAGTCCGAATCTTTGAGGGGCGAAATCCGTAACGGGTAGTTTTCTTTTGCATGTAGGGAACGCGAGCTCGCTCGTTGTTGTAGTTTCTTTAAATTTTCAGACATTCACATTAACCCTGGCACAAACAAGAGCACACTCATGAAGCGAAAAATAGAGAAAAATCTTTTTAATGTGGAAATAACGATCAGCATCAAAGAACCAATAATCATATTTCCAATATTCCATACCTACAAACAGGACCAACGATTTCTTTTGAAGCTGAAGGAGGTTGCTCTTGGCAGTCTAGGTGGAGTGGATTTCTTTTGAGGTCGTAGCGGGTTTGGTTTTTTGGCGATCAGGGGTACTACTTTTACTTCGACACTGTAAATGATGAACTTGTCGCTGCTCCATTTACAGATTACAAGATCTAAGTAACGAAATAATAAGAAGAAAAACTCATCATTCTATGAGGGGAAGGCTGATACTTTATATCACATACACTATCTCTATTCTCTATCACTAATTCAACATCTCCATCATTATATCTGACCCCTACAACCTCAACCAGGTTGCTCGTTTGTGCGTTAATCTCTGTGCGTGTCCCAGTCTGGCAATCCATCAGCTTAGGAGGATCGAGCTTTGATCGGGCTTTCTGTGTCGGGAATGCTGGCGATGTGCTGGAGCTGATGTCACATGTGACTTCTGTAATCGGCAACGTTAATTGTTCTCAAGAAGATCATGATCCATCTGTGTTGTATCAAGATATCCAAAGAAAGTACTTCATTCAAACCTTGTTCTCTTTGATAGATTGATATGACGAGTCAATTCAGTGGTCTAAATTATTATCCTGTCTGTGAAACAAGAAGAAAAAATCAATTACAACAAAGAACCAATCATGAGTATTTAACAGCTAATTTAGATTTTTCCCTAAAGCGAGAGTTTTTAGGTTTGATTTGAAGACTTTGCAGCACATGAATCGATTCAGACAGCTTGTATCAGCTTGATTTAGATTTAGATTTTGATGGTCCTTTCGAGAGAAATGAATGTGATATTGAACCACTAAAACCGGAGTTTTTTTTGTACACTGACTTGTATAAGTATACCAAGCAGCGTGGGCACGATCGATATTAATTATACACTTTTTTTCCCTTCTACATCTGGTAGGACAACAATCTAAATCTTCTAAATCCTCGCATGCTACATGAACATTATGATGAAGCAGAGTAGGGTGGGGCCAGATACTGGAGTGAAAAGGCCTTCTGAGCATGAGCCTCTGTGTTGAATGCCAATCCTCAGGATGTCAGATCTACAGCAGACAGCCTGATTCTATGATTCATTGGTGATTCTCTGTCCATCTACACCTAGCGAGATCATTGCTAGCGTGAGCGAGTGAGAGCGCTGTCCATCCACCTCTACCGAAATCATCGCTAGTGTCAGCGAGTGAAAGCAAGCAGCTGCAAATACTCGGTTGCAATCCACGTGATCAGTGAATCTGGATAGCGAAGAGGTAATTGGCAGGTCCGCCTACTGGGACTTCGGTTGTGCGCAAGCGCCCTCTTGGCCGAAATTCGGTGAGGTGCAATTTCTGCGGTCGATGCATGTAGACAGTGAAGGACCTATCTTTGCGATGATGTCTGGTGGAGGAAGATTTTCTGTGCTCACCACAAAAATCTGATTCGCCCCAAGGCAAAGGGGGACGGCATAGGTAGCCCGAGAAAGTCTGACATCTTCCAAAAACGACGGGGAGAAGTCCCTTTCAGATGAAAATGGTCGATATCCTCGAGGGACGCCTTCAACGGTGCTCCCATGAAAAATGCCACTGGCAAAGAAAGAGCCAACAAATGGCTCTGTAACTCTACGGCTAGAAGACCTTTTCATCAATACAAGTATGGAACGAAGATTTGCAAAGAATAGAGAGTCTAGATTCATTGTGATTTGAATAAGTAGTGGACAAAAGTCAAAATATGCCGGGGATCACAGCAGGATGTCTTGGATGTCTCGGTGTCGTTCAGAAGTACATCTGTGGCGTTTCCGAAGAAGATGAGGAGCAGCAACGCGCGCGAGGCCTGTCTGGCAATGTCGCACCTTTGGGAGGATCTGCTGGAGGAATTATGGAGATTACTATGTCTTCTAAAAGTTCAGAGTAGTACCGCTGAATATCTTGATCATCTCTTGTTATGTATGAATGTTCGATGTCAATGGGAACGAAGCACATGAAAGTACAGTATACTTCCCACAAAGTTTTCTAATAGAGACTCCCACTCCAACAAGAAAGAGCAGCACCAGAATGCGGAGGAGCGAACTCGGGGTGGGATCGTCGACCAAGATGCACTGGGCGATATGGAGAGGGCTTTGCTTGACCTCCAAAACTTCGACGTCAATGCTGCGACTGCAACAAAAGGAGAGGCATTCAAGACCATCGGAGCAACTACATCAGCGATCGGACTTCAACAACTTGAGAACAATGTCATAAGAAATGACGACACTACTAGAAGAAGTTCTCCTTTCGGTGCAGGTGCTCAGCGTACAACTGTAGGTGCACCAGATGAGGATCAGATTGCCCAACATCATCCGAAGCTCCAGCGAGCTCAGTCCTCAGATTCGCATCAGCACGTGGATTTGCGGGACGAAGAAGACCTGCTTCTGAATTTGGCAAGGGCTACAGGCAATGTCCAGAACTTGGTGTTGAAACGAAGTGAGCGAACGGGGATCGATTTCGCTACTGACTCCGAGCCCCTGTCCGGCGTTGCGAGGCCAACGCTGTCTGGATACTATGAAGATGAGGTATTTCAAAGATTCTGGGAGATGAAGATGACTTCAGTACTGGACTTCCTCTCAATCTCGAGTAAGTATCATATTTTTCCGTTATGGTCCTCACGCTCACCAACCGTAATCATACCAAAGGGCTTGAAACTGGAAACTCAAACCAATCATTCTCACCAAAGGGCGCGCTTGGAGAGGGTGGATTCGGTGCCGTTTTTCTTGCAAAGCATAGGCTTACAGGGGAACTGAGAGCGGTGAAGCAGATTGATATCGGCAATAGCAATCCGAAATTGTTGAGCACTGAGCTTTCGCTTTTGCTGAATTTATGGACCATATAATGGATTCTCATCCTAATTCTGCGCGTGATCACCAGAGTTTCTCATCAGTAGAGAGAATAAGAATTAATTACTTCTACAACTTATAGTTCACTCATAGGCAGAACTAACACATCATCGAATCAGCATATTGGATATTCGGAACTACCACATCATCGAATCAGCATATTCTTTACGCCATCTAACCTCCCTCGACCACCCTTCGATCGTGAAAATTTACGACTGGTTCGAGGAGAGCGGCTATCTCTATATGGTGATGGAGTATTGCGGTGGAGGTGAATTGGAGGATGTGCTGTTATGGTCAACGTCAACTCTTCTAGACATATTTGTCTTAAACAACGAGTACGATTTTTCGTGTCTATACTGTCTGTGGACATGATCTGTACACCTAGTCGTGCTAAGCGTGCTTATCAGAGAACAATATACGAATCGTGTCTATCTACCCATGTCAGACAGCATCTCGGAGGTGCCCTTTTAGCATAATGCAGAGTTGTGGTTATCCCTTTGGCTTTGCAAGTAGTTTAGGATGACTACTTGAGACGCCCCTGACGCGTTGATGATGATGACGATTATCACCACCGAAAGATACAAGGAAAACAAAATAAGGCACCAAGCCTGGGGACGCGTCCCGTGGAAAAATACTTACGCGGAGAGTCCAGGTCCTGCGCGGGTTCCGGCGTCAATTCTAGCGCACTCTAATACTGAGGGATGCAAGACGCCATGAAGATCCTGGATATGAAGAAGGAGAGCACGCCTCCAATTTCTTTGCAGCTGATGGTGATGCTGTAGGGAAGAAAGATTTATGGACGATGAATATATGACAGTGACTTTGATCTAGGTGTCGTGAGTGTAGAGGATAAAGAACTATTCAGTTTTGATGAAAATTTGCTAGAAGCTCATCTTCTCGTCCTCGATCTGAAACTAAAACAAAATTTTGAATTTATTGATTCCTCTAAAGCAGCTACAACAAACACAACCGCAACGCCTGCCGGATGGAAGACTGAGCAGTGTCATGATGCAAAAAAAGCAGGTAGCAGGTGCTGGAGCCCCGGTCGACAAGAGCAAACCCATGAGTCGCTTTTCTTTAAGGGTTCCCACTCGATTGCGTCGTCTTGCAGTAGCGTAAGTTCTTGACTTGAGTTTTCCATCAGCGTTTCCTCCACTGGAAAATATTAGTATGAAGCCACAAGACAGGAACTTTTAGGAAAATGATCCTAGGTATATGCAGTGTCTATGTCACATCAATAGAATCATGACTTTTGCCAATCTGAAACATGGAGAATCTTCTAAAGCTGAACGCAGTTGTCGACTCGACTGTGGCAGCAGCTCCGATCTCTGGGTTTCAGGGTAGTCGATACCTAACCCCATCTGCTTTTCGAAGAACGGCGCGCCTCAGTGGAAACTTGCGTGCGACCAGAGTTTCTCAACTGGTGCAAAAAAATCTGGTCGCGTCGCCTCTTCCTTCAACACCGGAAAAGGGAGATGCGGAGGACGAGGGGGAGAAGAACAATCGTGACGTTATAATTATGGCAATTGTCCGGGAGAACGGCGCACCCTCAGTGTGATCATGATCCTTGGAATCTTTGTTCTCAAGGAGAAAAAGCACCACCCAGGGACAGGGAAGATCATGGCCCGGTCAGGTATGCGACGTCGACGTCGAGGCAACTCTAACACATCAAACGGACATCGAAATTATGCAGATAATGACAACGTTCTTGCGGATGAAACGTACCACGCGAAGCCTCCTAGTACACCTTCATCAATGTTGTTCCCGGGATCGTCCAACGCGTCAGCTTCGTGTAGTGTGTATGATGCCACTCAACATTGAGAACAGCAAGGATAAGGGAACAATGTCGTTCCACTTGAATAAGAAAGGCCCACAGATGAATGGGAACGACATGATTTTGATTCCCATATCGACAGCACTCTCAATGAGTGGAAGCGTTCATAGTGGGTCCGCGTCCAGTGCAGAGGAAGGGTCTTTCTCAACAGTAGACATCGATGATGCTGATCGTGCGCGCGACATCCGCCTTGGCGCAGGCTTTCACATTTAAGGCCACTTACTGCCGTAGCGGTTGTATCGAGTCAACTGTAAGTAAACGACCCGGAGTCGAGTAGGTGCCGGGGATGTTCGATGTGCAGGATTCACAATCTAACCAAACTGCCGTAGCGGTTGCATCGATCCACCTAAAACGGCCACAGCTAGCATGGATCCCTCTTCTGTCACAGCGCTCTTTTTCAAGTAGAAAAAGTAGGGAACTGATACTGAAAGATTTCAATCTTTTCTTCATCATCATTAAGTAGTAGAAAAATATGCCAACGATTGTGTATGTATACTTTTACTTCCCATGTGGATCTGGATGAAGATTATGCGGTGGATCTAACATATGCCTGCAGCCTCGCGAAAGAGTGTGAGCTCCGGACGAAGCAGTGGCAGTCGAAAGAGTACCTTTGTGTATGATGCCACTCATTGAGAACGAAGAGAGGGGAATGTCGTTCCTAAGTACGAAGGTAAAGGTGCAACGACGTTCTCCTATCGACATTCTCAATGAGTGGAAGCATTCACTTAGGCAGTGGCGCGAGCTATGGGATGAACTACCTCAGGAACATGTATGAGGAAACAGATTACAACAACACTACAGGAGGTAATGGGAATCTAAGAGCAGCACAAGATCAAGAGGCCAATATGACTAACAAAGTTTTTGCAAGTACTCTTTATCCACCTGCTTCGGACTATGAAGGAGAATATGACTTTCGAGCAGGTCCGTTAACGAGTGGTGAGTGCCAACGTGAAGCGGAATTAGGAAGGAGAATGATGTCATCTTTTGCTGCCACGAGTTCGGATGTTGACCCAAATCATATTATTCCTTCACACTCTACGTCTACTTCGTCTCCAAACAATAACAAAGATGAACAGAAAATACTTCATCTTGCAGGTGGAGGGAAGAACGATACGGAAACGAACGAAGCGGAAGCTCCTATTAAGGCTGTACCTAATACATCTTTGGGCGTATGATCCTTGAAGCGTAGTACTATGGAGGAGGATCCAAAGGGTGGAATACTCCCCCATACTCTTCAAGGATGCACTTGAAAAATGAATTACGGACAGCTCTAATCCTATCTCTAAGACCCATGAGTACCCCAATGCCAATCTTCTTCTCCGTGATGTTACATCTTCTGAAGATTCATTGGAAGATGTTGACCAACTTCCTCGACAGCAAGAACATGGAGGACATACTCATAGTGGCTCTGCTGGTCACGACGGGAGAAAACAAGCATCTAAGGGTAGCAGTAGCTCTCCACAGCAGGAAGACGGACACGGAAGTCCATTTGGCGGTGCCGGGCGTCGTGCTACTCGAGGGATTCTGTCTGGGAGGGGCTCAATTAAGAAGATTTCAAGAAATCCATCTTAGCCAGCATCGTTGTGTGCCAGCTTCTGCTCTCTATGATCGTGGGTCCGTTTCTAAACGTGGGTCTATACAAGGGCACCAGGATGCTCTCCAAGAAGACCAAGATGGATTTCTTCTAGGTCTAACGGAAGCAACGGTTCGACGATACCGCGTAAGAGCCCAAACCTTGTGTCGTCGTCACGTGGTGTCACGTCTTCTTCTTCGGGCGTCAGCAGTCCTCCTGACCAAGAACGGAACACTTTCTCACCTAGCGGATTCGATATGCCCACGAATACTCTGCTAGCATCACCAATTTCACCAATCGCGGAAGACAAGCAACTTGGTCTGGGTACGATGGTGAAGCAGAAAGACGCTGACATTACTGGATCTCCCAATCCTCTGGGAGTGGGTGATGTGGGTGTGGTTTTGTCTACAACAGGTCCTAATGCAGCATTTCCAGTTCGCAGTGCTGAGGGTTTTGCTGCCTCAGGAGGAGCCTCGCCTTCTCTAATAAGAGGTGAGGATCTACTACTATGGCCTAATCACGAGTCTCATCATTGTGATAAGGAAGTACAAGGCCAGGCTGCGACATTTGAGCAGCGACTCGCCTCAGCAGCAATGTCACTAGAGCTAACAGGATTGAGCGACGACGAAGAAGACCGTCTTGATGACACCAATATTAATAATAGAGACCCAGTACTACTAGATCTAGAGCGAGATCATGAAGGAGATGGAGAGGAAACCCCACGGGCCGAGCCGCTAGTGGATAGGAGTAACGGCAAGAGCAATGGTTTGGTGCGTAACGGTGATGTTGCTGGAGGACGTTGCCTGACAAATAACTACGGCAATCAGGGAAATGGCAATGGCAGCAAAAATGGCAATCAAGTTACAGGCACTATGATGACCACGAATGTGAATGCTACTACTACTAGCAAGAGCAACTACAAGAATGGACAGGGAACTACAAGGAGGACCTCTTCTAACATCAACTCCAAGCCCAAGACGTCCAAAAATTCTACTCCGTCGTCTTCTCCTCCACTACATCAACCTTTCTTGGATCATTCTGATGGAAACCCCTATCTTCGACGCTGCTTCCTGCAGATCTTTGCGGCATTGAACTACTGTCATCGCCTCCAAGTTGTTCATAGAGACCTGAAACCGCAAAACTGTCTGATCAAGGGGAGCTACGTAAATTACGGCTGCAAGAAATCTCCCATTGATTTTCAGAAGCAAGCATCTTGCTTGGAGGGTCCTCCCGTTTTCGTTAAAGGGACGAAGAGGAGACCCAAGATGCAGCTGAAGATCAAGACAGACTCCAACTTCTCTTTTTAGTTCTAACTAAAACTCGTAGATTTCGGATTGGCCGCTATCGAAGAGGGCCGTGATCTCCATCGCATAGTTGGCACGCCGTACTACATGCCACCAGAAGTATGCGATATCAAAGTTGCGCAAGAAACAGGTACTACTTCCTATCATCTCTTATGTGTATCATCCCTTTTGTGCTATTTGTGTTTGTTTGACTTAAAAATCTTAATCAATATTGAGTACAAAGCCTTCTCTTAGAGATCATGAGGAGTAGAATCATTGATTTCCTGTATTAATTTGTCTTACATCTAATACTAATATTTCGATTTCACAAGATGAATAAGAAACAAAAGTCTAACCATTCAAGATTCCAGGTTACAGTGAAAAGTGTGACATTTGGTCGGCCGGGGTCATGTTGTATGTCCTCTACACTCGCGAGCATCCTTTCTTGACGCGAGAAACGCAGGAGAAAAAGTGGCCCCGAAAGTTCTTCCATCGTGTCAAGACAGAACCTCCTCACAAATTGCCTCTGGAGGAAAAACTGAGCCCAGCTTGTCGGGATTTGTGTCTGTGGATGTTACAGAAGGATGCAGCCAAGCGTCCAAGCGCAGAGCAAATCCTAAGGCATCCTTGGTGTCGTCTCCCACGAACAAGAATCACGCCTGAAATGCGCATAGCTCTTCGAAGATTGGTGCCGCATTGTCGGAAACCCAAACTGGTCCGGACCTTGCAGTTGTTGGCAGCACGTGAGGCAGCAGATGTGCAGATTGCAACGGCCCGCGCCCTATTTTAAGGGTCACGGTACTTGATTCACCTCCAGAGAGGACAGTTGAGTATCAGTATCTATTCATATTCTATTTAAAATCGATTCCCTTTTTGGATCATCATTTAGTAAATTCTTTCTGGGAGGCAACGACGCCCGCAAGGATGGACAACGAACTATTGAGAGCGCTAATGATTCGAGCGTGTGGACACCGGGAAAAATGGCCTGTTGAACAAGGAGAACGTTCGGCGAGCCTTCGAACGACTGCTGAAGGAACCCATTAGCGACGATGATCTGGACTTGCTTTATGCACGAAGGGTTTTTGTCTTAGTTGATGACTTCTTGAGTGTGAGTGACATTTTTCTAGTGGAAGTCGCAGTCGGGGTTGGCATGGAACGATGAATATGAAAGTAAATTTATTATTAAGTAGGTGTAGGTGTGCATGATACTAGCAATAGTACATTGCGCAGCTTCTTTTGCGGTCATCTTGTACAGTAAGAGTAAGAACTGCTACATAAGAAAAATGATGTTCTGCCTGAAGTGGAGCTCTACCTTCTTCTCCCCTTTCATCCTTTCTTCGATCAACTGGACTTACGTGTTGGTTTTGAGGAGTATCACTGTCGACTTCTCGGGTATACGCAATTCCTCGCTGCAACGATGTCACCAGCCGTCCTGGGTCAAGACGCAGTGATCGATCGAGTTTTCGAGTACTTTGACCTCGATAATAGCGGCCATATCCAAGGCCCTGAACTTCGTACGATGCTGGGAGACGATGCAGATCCAGAAGAGATGACTTTGCAGGCTCAAGGTTAAGGCTCAATGAACTAACCCAACCCAACTCAACCTAACCTCACACACCCAAATGATTGCTTCAATCGCAAGCTCTAACATGACGGCGGACCTGACGCGGTGAACGATGGACAACAACAAAATGCCATTGACGCACAGTTGCGATCGCTTGTCTATTCTGTGGACCAAGAGGTGTCTATCACGCGCACACTCTTTCGGCAATTTTGCAAAGAATTGGGACTCAGGGAGACGGCGAAAGACCGACTGTCGGCAATTGGATTGACTGGGGGTCACCAGTGAGACGTTCACGATATTAGAGAATAAGAGGAGATAATATGGATTGAACATTATTTAAATAACATAAATTTATCAATATCATACATGGTTTAGATCCGTAGTTGTTCTTTGCGACCATACTAGGAGCACGGCCATAGTCAATATGAAAGTTGTTGAACTCTTCGGTTGATGCATCATGATCATGATCTTTCTTCAGACATTCTCATGATCACTTAGAAGACTTCTAGTTGTAACACGACATTAAAAATCAGCATGAAGTTGAAGACCGACGATTAAGCATTTAACATTATCCCGATAGCTTTTTTTCTATTTCTTGTATAACATGACCAAAATCATGATCATCATCGTGCATTGTACAATTTTGTTGGCGGACTGTGACGGGAATTTTAGGTTGTAGGGTTAGATAAAGGTGTAGAGGGAAGCACTTTCATGATCTTGCACACTTCCTATTCGCGTTGACTTCGACCTCGTGCCTTGTCGTTGATAATGTCGCAGCAGTTCACAATGATGTATCAAGTTTTGACTGCAAACATAGAAAAATGTACTTGCTCGGTTCCTTTCTTGATCTTATATATAAATATTAGAATCAATCATACCCACCTCCAGCAGTGCATAGTGACATCATGCATAGACCTCTTTTATTTGAGCCGATGCTCTGCTTCTTCCTATTATACTCATAACGTAATTCAGAATAAGTAAGTTACAATGACCGAATAACAATAAGTACAGGACGGTTATAGGTTTCTGCTCGTCGACGTCGATATTGAATGATATTCGGAAGCCGATCGGCGCACAGCTTGTAAAATCGAGGAGCAGATGAGGTGAAGGTGTATTACTAGTATCTTATCATGCTCCCAGACTGAGGTGTGCGCCAGTTCACTTTCGCTTAAGATGAATATGAAGACTTTTTTTTTCACGAAACACTACGACGCCCTCGGGCAGTCTGCAGTGAACTTTGTGCGAGTTACTTTAGGCCACCACTGGCCAGAGGACATGACCAAAGGACAACTAGGACAACTTAAAACTCAACTATTACATGTATTGCATAATTGCATTCACTTTCACATAATCGAATGCGCGGCAAGCCTTGCTCCTGGTGGTCACGATATGATCATTGAAAAGATGTACGTGCTGTACCAGTTGAGCCGAGCATAGTATGTGCAGGGAATACAAGTGTGATTTACTTGTTCGGCGACAGACTGGAAAAGCTTACTGTGCTGCTCGAATTTTGACTTTGCTGACGCCATCGACTGCGTTATTTTTCAGGGGGCGTTTGTGGCTGTTCACATTTTTTTAAGGTGTTAGTACGCAATTAGAAGTGCTGGCGCTAATTAGGATTTAGAAAGATCTTCATGTTGAAGGAAATTCTGCTGCCAAATTAGTTGGTGTAGTTGAAGAGGACAAACTGGAAATGATTACGTAGCTCGGGAGCAACAGCATCATATTCCTATTTCATTTTCAATCACCGAATTATCTTCCGTAAATGTATTTCACCTTCACGGTTCTTTGTTGGTGCTGCAGCGTTTGGTGCGTTTCATGTGATAAGAATATCAGTAGAAGTATTTTTGACACCACGCGTTGTATGAGTATCTCTTACAATAGATCAAAGAACTCATAGATCAGAACATCGAGTAGTGTCGTAAGACTTAGCAAGAAAAGTGGTAGTGTAGCACTAATGCGGCTTGCATATGCAAGCGTATCTCCATGGATTGCTCCGAAATAACACCACGGGTTATAGAAGAGATAGTGCGTTGTAGTGAATAACATGTTTCGAGCTCTTGATAATCATGATCTCTTCTGTAAAGTCCCTGCTTGTGCTTGAGTACTTTAAAAAAAACTAAATCTAGTTGGCAGTAGGTTTCAGGACAACGTCATGTTATTGTTATCTTCCGAATCGATAGTCCTAGAAGTTGTCTTTGTTCTTAGTGCCACTAACTTCGGACCTGTGCATGGCATTCAAAAATGAAGAGGTTCTTTGCTCTTGAACAGCATCGTCAATGCATAAACTCGTACCATGCAGGTCGATGAGAAACTTCATGAATGGACATCATCTGAATCTGTCCTATTGCTCCTGCTGATGCCTTTCATTTTATTTGGGAAGCGGAGTAAGCAGAGCCCTACTTGCAAGCAACAATTCGTGGAGCTAAGCTAAAGAGGGTCTTGTTGGGAGAGTCGTTCAACGCTGTTGGAGCTCGAGCTGAAAAGAGCTTTTATAAACAACACAAAAGGATAGGTGAATTCATTGTGACGCGCTTGTCCCGTGACTTTGACTGAGACACAGTCATAGTGTCTGTGCACTCTTTCACTTTGTGTACACATGGAGAAAAACTACGACACTCCAAGGAGTAAATGCGAAAAAGGAGATGAAATTGACATTATGTTTGACCATTCAAATACTTTTTCGTTTGAAAGGCGATGGAATAGCATCTTTTCCTATAGTATCCTAGTACGTCAGGAGTTGCTGTAAGTACGTGCTAGGGAACATATCAGCACGGAGAAGCTCTCAACATAATATATTTCGCCAAGAGCTTCAACTGGTGTGATTTTGTTCGAGAAAACTACTCCTTCATTTTGGTTCTTGAGTACTGCTACTGGTGCTACCAGTCTATTAAATTTATTTAACTGTGGTTGAAAGATAAAGAAAATGGGTCTTGACGACATCGACGAGTCGGACGATGACATCTTGCCTCCAAGATTGTCAAAAAGTATCGAAGTCACCAAGAAATCTGAATCAGCGCCTCGTCCAGACAACGCTAAGAACGCGGATGCAGACGCAACTTCTTCTCCAGCAAAGGCTACAACGACTGAGAAGAAAGACGCTGAGAAGCGTGAGGTCCTCGATGTGCCTGACAATGGTACGTCATCCAGGATACCAGAACATTAAGGGTTAACATAACAATGCATTTCCATCATGGGTCATTTTCCTTCGGGCTCTCCTTACTTTGGATTGCGGAGATTTGACCTGAAGAATTCAATTAGAATTGCATTGAGCGGCTCTAAGCCACGAAGTTCGTTATCGGAGCACCTGGGCTAACGAAAAATGACACAGGATCAACGGCAGATGATCCCTCTCAGTGGGGAGAGAACGCGCCTAGTGTCCCTGCCCATTATGCAGAGGAGGACACGGGAAACGACGCAGCGGATGAGCTTCTGAAGATGATGCAGAAGTTAAGGGTTGCCACATTGCATTCTTCACTACCATTCTTGACTTACTTTCCAGTAGGAAAAGGGTCAGGTGGGGTGACCTGAAAAATCCAATGCTGTCGCAACCTCTAAAGAAGAAACGACAACAGAAACAAGCATTGAAAAAAGAAGAAGAAAAGAAAGCCGAAGCCCAGAAGAACAAGGAACTGTTGAAAGAAGGTGGCCTATTCAAGAAGGGCTTCTTGAAGAGCGCAAAGCCTGCAAAGACGGGTGGTGCATCATCTTTATGGAATGGTTGGTCGTACACTTACACTCTTTATTTGTTCATCTTCAGCAAGGGATAGGGAGGTCCGATAAATACGATTGTGATTGATGTCTGATATCAAAAAATTTCCTTGTGATGTAGTTGGGCTAGTAACCACCTCCTAGAAGTAGAAAGATGGAAAACACTCTCACCACACTCGTCATCATCACACTTCTCGCACACTTCTTTGTCTCTCCCACACTTTTCCCACTACACGTACACTCCTTTTCCTTTCATAATCTTCTTCCTCTCCGAAAAATACCAAAAAAGCGGACCAAGAAGTGATAGATTTGTCGAAGAATGAGAAAATGCAGAAGGGGGGTCCTGACTTCTCCATTCCAGAGGTCCAAGATGCTATGAAGGCCAAGTTGAGCGATACGAATTCCTGGCTGACACCGGAATTGCAAAAAGTAATGCGGAGCAGACCAGATCTTTTAGCCGGTAAGTACTATAAGTAATTTAGAAAGTGATGATGAGCAGACCGAATCTTTTAGCTGGTAAATCTGATATTTTTATTCGAGAGACATTTTCATTTCTATTTCACCATAATTTCGAGGTCGTGGCTTCACCTATAAGAACAGTTTTCGACTAGCGTTACTAGGTCCTTGTGATTGAGTAGTGGTCATTTCTTCTTGTTAGTTTTTTTTTCTGCATTCACCCACACCCTTCACCTCCAGTGTCACGTTTTTCATTTATTCACTATATTTCTCTTGTCAACTACAGGTTTCTCCGACCCTCGTGTCCAGGAATGTTTGGCGATGATGCGGACGAACCCTGTTGCCGCAAAGGAGAAATTCAAGAACGACAAGGATGTTACCAAGTACCTCGACGAATTTTCTCGGTTAATGGGCACCCACTTCGAGCTTCTTGGCAAAAAGGAACAGAAAGAAGCTGGGAAGGAGAACAAGGTTAAGGCTATTGTTCCTAGACCCAGTTCATGGGACTCACTCTGCGTTGGGCGAGGATTTCTCGTTCAACAAAATATGTATGCAATGAGCCTACCACAATAAAGTAATGCACAATATCTAACAAGGGATCTGGAAACGTTGTTGCTAGTACCTCTGGAGGAGGAGGAGTCTCTCTGGCGGGTCAAGTACAACAATTAAGGCTCAACTTTCAATGGTCATTGGGGTTGGTCACTGGGATCGCAGAGAGGCTCTCCTTCGAAAACAGGGGAAAACACAGGGAGAACAAGTAGAGGGGTAAAGGGCCCTTTTCTTTCAGCATCAGTGACCAATGAATGCTGAGCTTTAAAACAAGGTCAGCCGCCAACATCTACTTCTAGTGCTCCTCCGAAAAAAACCATGTCGACTAGGAAAGCAATAAAGGAAGCAGCGAAACAAAATGGACTGCTCTCTAATGATGGTAAAACATGCTAGACTATCAAGTTCTAGTAAATTTGAAACCTCATGATTATCGATCTGTCTTTGACTTCAGTTGTAGCGAAGATCGTGTTCCTCGTGTTTCCCTTTTCCAGGATCACGACGTCTAGCTTCAACTTCATGATCTACAACATCTTCTACGTCTCTACAACGTTGTATCAATCTCTCTCAGAGCAAAAGCGCCTTGCCAAGCCAGAGGTATTAGGAGCCATGGCAGACCCCAAAGTGCAACAAATCATAGCAATGGCAAGGCAGGGCAACGGGTTAGACATGCGAGCAATAGGAAGGGACGATCCTGGAACCTTCCAAAAACTTCGAGTTTTGGTGGAGAATGGAATATTGGGCTTGGGGAGGTAGTAGACTAATCTTCGGTTCGCGGGATCGTCAACATTGTGTGTTCCGATATCTATTTGGACTTCAACTTCAACATCATTTCACATGATCGCACGAAACATACACAACGATGTGCTCGGGAGATCATGATGGAGATTCTATTTCTAGGACCCCTAGAATTAGTTGGTTAATCTTCTCGGACGAGAAGTGATGGAGCATTGTTTGATGCGCCTTCCGGGCTATACTGATGCTGATGGCACCTACCTCCACGACGGCTTCCACCTAGGAGAAAACAACAGCTTCGTGCTGTAGTTCTCCTTTTGAAGCCTGGGATGTTTTCCTGAGGCTGAGTGTAAGTAGATGACAACAAATTTTAGTATTAAAAACAATGCAGATGAATAAGAAATTTGATGAATGAAAATGTCCTCTGTGCAATGAGTGGTCTGTCTGAGTTGCCTGAGAGTAGAGAAGCGTCTGCACGTGGTGCTTCGGTGACCCTACTTCGGAGAAATCGGTAAGGTCTCATAAGATAGTAAGAAGCTGTCGACGATATTATTACGTGGAGGTAATTTTTGCAATTCTAACTTTCATGAAGTAATAGAAATACCAAAAGCTGACTCCTGTTCGTTCTCTGCCACTGCCTCTGTCATGCATTGCAAAATTGAAAGAGTTAAATGTGTCATTATAATACCAGTATGACTATTTTCATCACCAACACTATGTTATTTGCCTTTCCCACTGCGACTACTCGCAATGCTGACATGATGACAAATAGCCTCTCAAGACCTCCTTGACCATGCTGATTTTGAAGGAGACATCCACTCGCGGGCTGCGACTTGCCACGCGTGGAGCTGGCGTAAGTACTCAAAGACGAATCGTCGCGAACGCTGCTGCCGCACTAGCAAGTACAACTAATGAGGAATCCACAACTTCTTACGGTCGTGTTGGTGGCACAGGCACGAGCACGTCTTCTGCTCTTAATAGCGCAGCCGTATCCTCATCGTCCTCCATTTCGGTAATCTATTGTGATCAACAAGACCAATTATATCGAAAACAAGTGTCAGCTACATCTACTCCAGGTTCCTCGTCATCCTCTTCGTTGTGGTCCACGACAAGCTCTTCTAGTAGTATAACTACAGACACGACTACTAGCACAACTTTGCTGGCGATTCCTGCTGGCCATAGTAGTACTTTGCTAAGTGCAGGCTCAGCAGCTTTGTCCAATGGGCTAGCTTGTGCCAGTCGCTCTCAGGCATCAAAAACGGCAGAAAAACGTAGTCTCTCTCCCAGATCCGAAGGTGTTTCACCTTGTAGTACTACCCTTGGAACATCCAGAACTGATGTTAGAGCACCAAGACCAAACGAGCAGCAGACACGAGCACGACAACTACAAGATCATGCAGCAACATCGTTAGAAGCTGATGCGTCCTCTTCCACGGCAGCAAAGCAGGCTGCTGCGGTTTCCACCACTTCGCTGGGATTCGAATGGAAATACGTCAGCACCACCTCTGTTGCAGACGGAACACAGGAGACGGACAATGGCTCTACTGCTCGAAGGAGGAAGAAAAGCGGGTCGTCTTCAACTAGGGGCAAATCTTCTAGTGAGGTTTCGGAGCATGGAAAAGTTGATGCTGTGTGGGTGAATTTTACGCCAAGCACTAGTAGCAGTAGCGCCGCACTACCAGGTGATAGTAGTGGCAGCAGGGGCGCAAACGCAAAGCAAGAAGTACAGCGAAGAGGAGAGGGCACTGACGATAGTGCAAAGAAGCATACGCGATCTTCATCGTCAAACGCGCTCCGTGAGCTTGGGCTTACAACTTCCTCTGCAAAGAGAAAGAACGCTGAACATCTGAATGACGCCAGCATGGCAACATTTCTCCTTCACCCTACTTCTTCATCTACTAAGGACGACAAGATGGTAAGTTATGCAGACGCGAAGAGGATAGTCAATCGGGCATTTCCATCTGAGAAGTACATTCCTACACCTGGGAAGTATGCAGCAGCTGGAGGCCATTATGCCTGGAATAAGTGGATCGCGGACGTTGGAAAGAGCTGTGAGAACCGACTCGAAATAGAAGATGTCGTTATCAAGAAAAATAGGGTGACCAACGCCAAGAAGATAGAAAGTGATAAAGGAAGTAGCACATCGAGACCGAATAGCTACACCAGGAAAGAGAAAAACCTTGCGACTTCATCATCTAGATCTACTTCAGGACCTTCTTGGTCAACTTCATGGCCCTCTTGGTTACCACGAGCGCCTAGTGCGACGTATAAAAAGGAGGGCTTTTACTGGCCTGATTTCCTCAACTACATCCCTCGAGAAGATGTAGTTGCTGGAAAGAATACGAAGAATAGCAAAAGCAGTAGCAAAAGTATTAAGGCCAGCTTTTATCCATCTTTCTCCGCATCTTGGTACCCTTTTCCCTTGTATTCTCATGAAATACAAGGCGCAAGGGGTCAAGATGAGGGGGCCGAGATGGAGTCTAGCAGACTCTAAAAGTAAAACAACGCTAGCGTCGAGGTCGAAGAGCAACACTGGCGCAACTGAAAGTGCCGCAAAATGTGGTGGAACACTAGCGGCAGTTGCATGCGCCTCAACAACTGCGGCAGCCGCTGCTGGCAGAGCTGCGTCGGCAGTCGTAACTAGACCAGCGACGTACATCAATCAGGACAGTACAACATCATCAATAGTTGATATTCGTACATCCTCATCCGCAGCAGATGTTCCAGTTGAAAGTAGTACAACAACTACAACAGCAACAACTTCGGACAACATTGGTGTATCTCTTTCAGAACTGGCAGACGCGAATTTTGGAGAGTCTTCTTCGCGGAAGAAAGCGAAGCAAGCTTCTAGCGAGACTGAAGTCAAGAAGAAGAAACCATCGAAAAGAAAAACAGCAGAACTGCCACCACGAGTTTTCTACAATCCTGCAGCCACACCGGAAAGCAGGACGAAACTGGAAGCAACTTTATGGAGGCTATATGGATGCTTGATTTTGCACATAACATCAACATGTACTTGATGAAGAAGGGCTATGGCGAATAGTGGTTGTAATGAAGATGTTAGCAACAGCATTTGACTATATTGTCTCTACTCAAAACCCTAACTCAAAAAAACAATAAGGGGGTAAATAATTGATTGAAAGGGTGGCAGCATATAGTCCTAACGCAAAAAAAAAAAATCTACGGTGGTCGCGAGTGACCATATCAGGGGTACACACATGGCATTTTGTTGAATAGGGCGGCAGCGGGCTAGGATGAGTTTTAGTGATTTAAAAACAACTAGCACCTGGTGCTGAGGAGGTCTTTATGCGACTTCAAGTTCAATATTGATGTAAGAAAAGGAAGTACTAGATATTTATAGATGTAGTCGATATCATTAAGGGAGATGATCATTCCCCTGAACCAATCCTGTTCATCCTAACCTGCTTCACCATCACCTGCACACATCAACATAAACATGAGCCCAAAAATCTTCATTTTTCCTAGAAGGCAAAGGCATTACCTTAGTGCTGACGCGAGAAGACGCTAGAAAAGCTGTGGAGGTTTTGAAAGCGCACAAGAGTAGGCCTCATGCTTGGGATACAGAGTCACGTGATATTCAGCTTGGGCGACTACGGAATCCGCATTCCGCTTCTCATATTATGGGCCTTGGTTCTGCTTCTCATATTGAGTAACTGGGTTGTATGTCTATGTGTACCTCACTCTGCGTGTGTGACTACTCTGTGATAAATTCTCCACAATCGGAACTTATTTAGGTTTTCTGTTGCTCGACTACTGAGTTTTAGTTTCCTCCTGAGTAGAAGTCACACTCTTGAATAGAAGTCACACTCGTCTTGAGAAGAAGTCGCACTCGTCTTGAGAAGAAGCCACACTCTTGAGAAGAATTCACACTCTTCAGCAGATGAATCTTTATGATAGACGAAGAAAGAGTAAAGGAGGATGGAGTAGCGATCTTCTAACCTTAACGGTTCTCTGATAGTGGCTTCCTGCTATATCTCTGACGATGTGGATTTCGGCAACGGACCCAAGCTCTTTATCGACAACTACAACGAAGCTGGCCTGATTGAAGAGTTCAAAGACTACCTTGAGGATGCGGAATTTCGGAAGGTACTATGCGTATTATATCTTCTTCAATATGATATGTACTTTTATTTTTTAGGACTACACCGAGTAGAGCATGGACATGAGCATGAGCATTGAATGAGAACGATGGCTTGGGTTTCTAAAGCATCTGCATGATAGACGAAATCAAAAGCAAAATCGCGAAAAATCCTATCCATCCCGAGAAATCCTCTCAGATCTTTCACAATTTCGCTTACGACTACAAAGTGTTTCGGCGTTGTGGCATCGAGGTTCGTGGTTTTCATGCAGATACACTGCATCTAGCTCGATTGCAGGATAGCTCCTTGGCCAATTGGGAGCAAGATGTCCGCTTTATCGACGAATTGAATATGCACTGCAACTTCGAGAGCCAATTCGAGGCGGAAAACATGCTGCGAGAGCAGCTGATGCACAATTTTGCTTGCGCAGGCGTCAGTGAGGAACGTCCTGCACAGTCCTCATCTGAGGTCGAGGCTAGTATGCAGGAACAGGATATTCTTACGGCTCCTGGCGAAACAGAGGAAAGTGTTCATTTAGACTGAATGTATAGACATCCTGGTCCTCGTCCTCTAAGATCCGCGAAGCATTTACGAAATCACTTTCTACAGCAATTGCGAGTGAGGATCTGCCAAAATTGCGGAGATTAGTGAGGGCAGTAACGCGGAGAGAGCAGTATGAGGCAGCCGAGAAGATCATTCGCGAGAATTCCGGAACAAGGCAGAAAAAATCAGGAGGTGGAGATAGAATGGAGTTTATGAGGAAGAAAACAACTTAGTAGACGAAGAAGAAAAAGAAGAAGAGCAAGCTCAAGCTGGTTTGTCTTGTGTTGAGATGAACACTAGGACGACCGATCATAGAGTTTCACATTCATGTAACTATGAAACGAAAATCTGTTATCATAATCAAGTTTCCCCAGGAGAAAAGTACGATAATGATAACAGATTTTGGTTTCATAGTAACATACTACTTTGTCCTCTTCTTTATTACACCAGCCAGCAGTTGTCTACAGTCTGCTCTAAGCATCCCAGGAGCCTCCTGGACGTTGATGACGAGAGTCTCCCAGACTTGTTGAAAAAGCGAAAAGCCTTGCTAGCTCATTTCGAGAGTGTGGATGATTGTGACACTATCGCGGGATTGACGAAACTACGCCGAAAGTGGGAACTCCAAATAGTACCTCCTCCAGAAGAGATGGACTTGGATGCTCTAGACGGATCTTGTCCGGTGAGTAGCTTCGGAGGAGAGGGTGGAGATCCTAGGTATGGTCATGACGTTGAATGAGAACAGATGCCTTCCACCACTGGAATCCGCGAAATTCAGCGCGGAAAAGCGCGCGCGCGCGCCACCACAGACCACACCACAGGGGGAGGGGGCCGGTCAGCCCTAAAACATACGTAATCAAGATTAACATGATTTACAACTTCTACCACCTAGATTCCCGTCCTCCTTGTCTTCTAACACCAAAGATCCTCCTCAACGATTCTCGATTTTCTGAATGAGGAGGGCCGCGAAGCCTTGGAGTACCTGGAGAAGAAGATGGAGAAACTAAAACAATGCCAAAAGTTATGGTCTACATTTAGCCGTTTCCATCTACTTTCTCAGCATGTGGATCAACCAACTACGTACTTGGTAGTTGTCGTAGAAGTAGTATATCCTTTTTGTAGTTCCAGTTCCAGTTCCACCCAGCACAGAACAAGAATGCAATGGATATGGAACAGGTTTTACCGAGATGAGCATGAGAGGACCAAGATAGATGAATCAATAATAGCCGACTCTAAGAAAAGGCGGAGTCAAAGGCAGAATGCGTGGATACGGATTGAAACATTTGGTCCGCGTTTTCGAAGTAGAAGACGACCCGATGTTCCTACAGGACTTGGTTTTATGGTAAGGAGGACTAGGATTAGGGATCGACCCGATGTTCCTACAGGACTTGGTTTTATGTTGATGATAAGAATAAGCAAAGATCGAAAATGAACATCAACGGCAGTCTAACAAGTTTAACTCAAAAACTTTGACTTTTTTCTTGGTAGAGAACGTGTAAGTTAAGGTTGGTGCTTCTAATCGTACTCGGAATCCCGCGAGCACGCAAAGTATCCAAGGAAGGGCAAGTCGAGTACTTGCACACCGATGAGTTTCTCTTTTTAAGGACAGCAGCAATTCTTTCATGTTCTATTTGCTTGGTGATAGACGTATTCGTATCAAGTTCTATTTGCTTAATGCTAGCCGTATTGGTATTGGTATTCTTTCACTGGAAAAACAGTATTTCCTGGGGTAGTTCTGCTTCTGATTGAAGAAGATGAAGATATGATATCATCATGAGCTTCCATTTGTAGTCCTGGTTCTCGTTTTTGGTTCTCGTAGTTTTCGCTCTTCTCGGCTCTAACCTGTCCACGTTGGGTTGAGTACGCGACGAATGACGCGCGTTATACGGCGTTGCTGTTTGAGAAATTGAAGACGAAGCTGGAATCAGAAAAATGGTACACGGACATTCTTCGTCAGTGGAACTACTCATCTTATGGTCAGCGGAGCTACTCGTCTTGTGAGTCAAGTCGCACACTTTGCATGGAAATCATGTGTTGACTTGTTTCTGTAGTCTTCCTTTCTTTCCAAAGAAACAATAGGTGGAGATGAGTACGAGAAGTGAGATCAGGTCGACGGTGACCTGACAAAGACAAAAAATGTTGCAGCCTCTATCTCTAATTCTCAACAAAGTCTTCAACAGGAGGAGGAAAGAAGAACGCCGGCCATAGCCATAGATGGACGAGAATGGAAGAGCGAGACATCGACGAGCTAGATGACATTGAGGAATACACAGACTTGCTATACGGTGGTTCTGGTTCTAGTTCAACATCAAAGAACAAGAAGAACGAACTTAGATTCTCGAATAGTCCCCCGAAGAGGAACAAAAGAGGACCAGGAAAGGTGCTGAAAATGAAAGCTTCTTCTACTCCTTTCCAGTTGAACGGGAAGGCCGCGCGTTGTGGTGGTGGAAACAAGGGAGAACAACGTAGAAATCACGCAGCTCATACAAGCGATCGCACAGGCACAATTGCTCCAGAGAATAACATGTGGTCTTTCTACCAGGACTACTACCGGCAATTTGGAGACTTGTTGAACGAGATAGAGGTCGCTGGCGTTCCCATTGATGTGAAGTTAAGATGATGACCATAGATTTAGATACGGTTACGTGTTGATACAAGTATTCTCAAGTTGCTCATTTACAAATACTCGTTTACGTACTGATAGGAGTATTAGTAAGCAATACGTTTACGCACTCCTACTCACGGGTAGGAGTATTACTAAAATGCTTGATGAGCTCCTTATTCTTGTCTTTCACAGGTGGAATAAATGCTTGCGAGCATCCGTATATTGGATGTTATGGGGGACTTTCGAGCATCCTCATCGAGTTTGAGACACACAAGATGAGACTAAATTTCTGCTACAGCTAGTACAGCTACACATCTTACACTTACTCCCTCTAAAAATGCATCTGAAAAAGGTGGAAAAGCTTGCTATATCCGACTACAATAAAGAGATCAAGGCGATTCATGCTTGGATTCGAGAGCATTTACCGGAAATGGACAAGCCAGAACTCCTCAATTTGAGTTCACCAGCACAGCTTCAGGTCTTTCTTTTACGGAGCGTGAGCGGCTCGTTTATTTAATAAGTTAAAGAACTGAATAAACTACTACTTGTGCTTGTCAGAGTAGAGAGACAGATTAAGTGATGTTTATTTTTTAGCAAGGTCCTAAAGTAAAATAAATTGAAGGCTTGCTCCTCCCATGGATCGGATGGACCCCCCTGATTCTTCCGATCCTACGTGAAATGGTGGGAAGTCCATCCGATCCATCCGATCCATCCCATCCCGGATCTGGCACCACTATAAACTTTTTCAAATATTGATACATAATTTGCTGTGCCTCTAATCGGCTACGGGAACTACTGTCCAGTTTACGGCCAACGCGGACCAGCCATTTACAACGAAAGGGATCGCAACTTGAAGATACCGCATAAGAAGGAGTTCACAGTCGAGACCATCACTGAAGAGAGTCTAGAATGGGCAGGAATCGAGGTCGCATCTCACGAGATCAGCCTAGCAGTGGATGCTGATTTTGAAGATAAAGACCATGAGCATGAAGTTGGTGTGGTAGAAGATACAAGGGCAACTAGTTGTCCTGGTAGTAGTGCGACTACGATCAACAGCCATAGTACTTCTCAGACGTCGACAGGAAAGAAGAATTCTCCCGCGTCAGTATCAATAGAAGCCAGTGGTGAATCTACCACATCTGCTGTGGCTTCGACTTCTACAGGTTCCTCGTCTACCTCTAGCAGAAGTACCACCAGCGCTCCAACATCATCAGTCTTGGAGGACGACACAGCAGCACCAGTCACAGCAGAAGTTGTACCAAAAACAGCAGTTCCAAAAGCTTCTACAACAACAAGTGAGGAGCAAGGTAAGAAGGAGACGAGTTCACCACGGTTAGGACCTCCAGAGCAAGAGACAAAAACCAAAAGCAAGAAGCAGAAACGAACGTTTGTGGTTTGTGGATTAGGATTAAGACCTCCGAGACGGGACAAAGATAGTATAGGGCCAGGTGGGTGGCCCAAAACTTGTAGGGTGGCTTTGGAACGCATACGGGAGATGTGTGCAAACCATCACTACGAATCCTACCGCGTGAAAGTGCCTCTCATCGACAACATTATCAAGGCGAAACAGTACCTCATCAAATTCTTTTTGTTTCATTTCTGGACTTTTGATCCTCAAGTAGATAGTTTCTACTCACCTATCAAGATTAACACATCATGCCTCCTGACGAGGTCTATTTGAAACGACCCGTACGACCCCACCAGGGCTCGCGCGATGTTGACGTATTTCATCAAGCCCTTGAAGGCTCTCGCTGAGAGTGGACGTATTCATCCAAGCTTGATGCTTGACACGTCGACTGGGAGGCTTGCTTGTCGTGCACCAAATTTGCAGAATCAACCTGCTTTGGACAAAGACGTGTACCAAGTTCGCAAATCCGTTCGAGCTGGCACTGGAAACTGCCTAGTCGTCTGTGATTTCTCGCAACTGGAACTCAGAGTATTCGCTCATGAGACGAACTGTGAGTCTATTAAGGCTTGTAGTTCTAGTCATTTGATTCATGATTTTGAGTAGAAGGATGGAAGGAACCAACTTCTAGAATCAATTACTTAGAAAGCATCTTGATCTTGATCTTCCTTCGGGCCCTTTTAATTTTGTAAGGAGGAAACACGTCCAAGATGATGCCTTTCGAGATGAGCATCCCTTTTGTAAGGCTGAGGAGCAAACACGTCCAAGGTGATGCCTTTCGAGATGAATCCCGCATGCTCTAAGTCTATGCTCCAGAAATTTCAGTCTGGCGGAGACTTTCACTCGGAGACAGCGGCTGAAATGTACCCTGAGGAGATCGGGTTGAAAATTCAGCGTGGCGAGCTATCCCTGGATGACGTGAAGCAACAATTCGGAGAAAAGAGGAAATTATGTTATAGTTGACTAATAGTCATAGGATTCACCACAATTATAGTTGACTCATAGTCATTTAGGATAGAATTGTTCAACGAACAAGTTATTCGGCTGTATACCTACAATCACGCGAAGAAATATAATTAGTGAACCACAAAGTATAATGTATGACTCTGACTCACCCTTCCTCCTCCTCCTTCCGCACCTCCTCCGCCTCCTCCTCAACCACTCTTCTGACCATCATTATCCTCTAACCCTTGCCGCCAAGACGATGAATTTTGGCATTGCGTATGGGCGGTCAGCTTTTTCCATCGGCAAAGAGCTCGATATTTCTAGTAGGGAAGCGGAAGACGTCATCTCTAGTTGGTATCGTAGCAAACCGGAAGTAATCGAATGGAAACGAAGAATTGAATGGGAAATGAGAAAACACGAAAAAACGGCGTCACTGTTTTTATGGAGGATTAACTAAGGTAGACTTTTCCACAGACACGACTGTGATGTGTAATGCGTAAGTGCTGTATGCGTATGGAGATGTCTTTAGAGGACATGATCATATTCATAGGTGAGTATAAGTTCGTTGTTCTTCGGGAGTCTTGAATATTGAATTAGGGAAGCAACTTTCGTTGTGGCAAGTACTAGACATCCCCTTGAATGTGAGTTGAAGAGAGGTTCTCATCAAAACGTGGAGGTACTATTCGGTATTTCCTAAGAAATCCAAACTTCCCAACAAAATCCTTCTTCTAACTCCAGGTCGCCATCGCTTGTTACCGCACATCAAGCATCACGAGGTGAAGCATAGGATGCATTCAGAGCGTGCGGGGATCAATCACAAGATCCAAGGAAGTGCTGCGGATATTGTCATGCTTGCGATGTTGAATTACGGCGTTGACACCTTGCTTGCAGTAGTGGTAAGTTTGAATTGGAATTTGTTCAATTTCACAAGCACACCTCCTTATAAAAATTCAGATATTAAACGAAGAGCAAGTACGGTTTTTGTGATCGCACGGGATGCATTAGTGCCTCGAGGACACGATCGACAGCGACACGGCAAATGAATTTTCGGAGGACAGCAGCTTCAACATGGAGCTTAACAGACAAGAACGTCATTCTCTAATCCAAATTGCGAAGCAACGAAAAGCTGAAGAATTGGGGTTTCCGGCTTATCTTGCAGATCCACGATGAGGTGATTCTTGAGGGGCCAAAGGAGTATGGGGAAGAAGCGTTGGACATAGTGAAGGAGTGTATGTCGAAGCCGTTTCCAGAAGACGAAAAATTCAAATTTCGGACCGAACTAGTGGTAGACGGAAAGGTTGGCGACACATGGTATGACTGTAAATAGGTTGAGAGCTGCCAAAGCTTGGTCGTGATACGTGATATGATTGTTGTAAATAGACGGAAGAGAGATAGCTCATTGGATTTGAAGAGACTCACTGCTTGACAAGAATAAGTAGGTTATTTTGAGGTTCTACTGGTTCACTAGGTTTTGACTCATTATCCCCGAGCTCTACTCCAGCTATTTTAGCAATCAATGTTATGGTTATCGTTTCCGACTTCAATGAAAAGCGCGGGTAATTCTCGTTTCGAGGATTTATGGTTTATTATTTATATTTAGGTGTAGATGACAGAGATTCATTGTTTTCTTTTCCACAGATAGTCACAGGTGCAGTTCGTTGGTTCGTTCAGATTTAGGGCACATCGCGATAAGATTTGGCTAGTATTAGATGTTCATGATCAAGTTTCTCTTTTCAAGAACGTGTAGGGTTATGTTTCGCGTCCTGCACAGGTATCAAGAATAGTTTGAAGCAGTCACAACTATTGTATCTATTTTTGGATCAAATGATTTGTTGATTTAGACTTACCGGTTGGGACGTCAGGGTGTTTCTCTTTCTGTAGCTAGCTAGTTTTGTACAGTGGTGGCAGATAATATGCACGTTTTGTGCAGAGTTCGAATTCGATTCACAGACTCACAGGCTCCGATAGCAATGAGACCAGAGTATGAAGAAGGTTCTTCACAGTTTTTGGTCAGACGAAGTTGTAGGAAGATCGAGAGAAATTACGATTGAGAATGACACGTTAAATAGGAATGGAAATGGCCGTGTATAGAATTAATGGCTGTTTTGAATATTGTAGGCAGTTTCAAGCACTTCTGGGGTAGACCTAGGAGTAATTCCTAGGGTTACGATGAAGATGTAGGTGTAGCTATACAGTAAAGAAATTCCAATATTTTTTTCAATTTCAGAGAAATCGAATTGCAAAGGTTTCAGAATCAATTCCTTTGCCAGCCCCATATCTAGGTCAAAGGTTGTTGAAATTTTGTCAAGCAATACTGTATCTGTAGTAAATGGTCAGTTGTGAATCTGCGAGGCGGAGGTTCCCGCCATCGACCAAAATGATGTTTAAGAGAAAACAAAAGACACGCTCACTATCAGCAGGTAGAAGAAGCAGCCATTTGAAAACAAGGACAAAGGAACGAGATTCGCGGAAGACAAATCCATCCAATATCAGTATTTTGTGGAGAAAAAAAGATGACTCTCCTGCTGCTCGTCATTTTCAACGAGAGCTTCACCTAGAAGGCCGTGAGAGTAATCAGCGCCACCTGTTTTTCGTCAAGATGTAGGGGAGCTGAATTCCGCAATTGGCTCGCCGCCTTTGATTTTCACTCTCCTCAATCCCGTGTCTAGATGCGAACTGGTAAAAACTAGGATCACCCCTCCGGCGGTCTTGGCATACAAAAAAAAAAGATGCGTGGCTAGAGTCTGTTGAGAGTCGAGTGAAACCGAAGTGCATAAATGCCACCTACCTACCTGGGTGACTTTTACGCATTTTGGTGACCCGCCAGTCGCCTTTTGGAAACTGATTGGGGTCTAGAGTGTTCCCGACTTCTGTTAAGTGTGACTCGAGGGGCGAGGACTTGTTTACGGACAAAAAGCAGAAGGCTGGAAGAATAGAAAAATTTCGGATCTTGCTCGCAGCTTAATTAAAAGGGGGAGAGCGTCCCATCGCTCTCCCTCGCCGATCCTTTTATCTCCCGCCCGCTCTTAGCAGAGTTGTGGCTCTCAGGCATAGGGTAGCCCCTTTGGTTGGAGTAAGCCCTCCGGTTTCTGTTTTTCTTTTTGGTTATTTTATGGCGATTGCGGAAGCGGGACGCGGTTGAGGATGGTGCACGGGGCGAAGGAGGGAGCGCGAAGCAGTGAAGATAAGAAAAACTAGGCTAGTGCACTCCCAACAACGAAAAACGTGTTGTACTTAGGGCGTTAGGCCAGTAGACATTTATGCCTAGTTGTTCACTTGTCAGATGACTGCGCATTAGTCAAGAGTAAGCAGGGTTGGCGGCCCTGCCCTCGTGCCTTGTAGGCCGGCGCATAAGAGCGGGACGGTTGGCAGCCGGTGGAGGTTTATAGTAATTAATTAATCACCTCCTTTGCCCCTAGATTTTTCTCCATTTTATAATCGACGGGTTCGTAGGCAATTAGTGCGCGGTAGTATAAGGAGGTTAATGCACTCCACCCGTCGCCGGCAGGTACACCGAACAACACTGGGATCACCCTTTCGGCGTTCTCGGACTACAAAAAAAAAAAGTGGCTGCGCTGGAGACTCATGAATGAATGAATGAAGATGATCGGTAAAGTCAAAAAGGGTCCCTTCCTGTTTCGGTACGCTTCTGTGAGTCTGATTGCAAAAAGAGGGGCTTTACGTTGTTTGTATGAAATATAGGAGTCTGGTCATAACGAAGTAGAAAAGATGGGTCCTTTTGATGCAGCCCGTTCCAGTTCCTCGCCCTGTTCGTCCCGCAAATTGATTTTGATGTTTGTTATATTTTGCTACTTTCCCCTTTGAAAGTGGACATTATTTTAAGCAACCATAGGTACTACACATGTGGGATTAGGGTCAATTTTTTATTGTTTTGGCTATTCGCTATTGATCTTGATGTAGAAAGATGTTGTATCAAAATCAAGTTATAAACAATGTGTGAAAATGAAAAAGAACGCAAACGATTTCTAGCTGGATGAAGGCAAGAGGAAGTGGCATTACCCTCAGTTTGATGCTCCGCCACGCATATCAATGCAGAATACTTCATTTTGATGCGCCATCTCCACATTGGAGAGAAAAAATATGTTTGCCGCAGACGCCAGCCCTGCATTGGAGAGAACGCGCTCTCCCTCCAGGTCGCTACATCATGGAAGCTTACGCGATCTGGAGCAAAAACAGCTCAGAGATAGAGGCCGCGGCCCTTTCGCTTTCTGGCTTACGGCCGTCGGTTGTTGGACATGCCTATTATCAACTGATGTCGCTGCTGGTGCTCACTCAGGAGCAGCCCGTCTGCGCAGAGAGGAACCACGAAACCATGTTGCGCAGAAGAGCATCGATGAAATACACGAGTCTGCCTCTACACCTACATCTATCGTGGATGCGGCTGACGACGAGCACGAGATAGAATCTTCAGAGCACCACAGGATCAACACAAGTGTTAGCGAGCTGAAAGCAACAACGGCGACAGGACTTTTTCAAGGTAAAGAACGACATCAACAGTCTATCCATTCAAGTACAGCTGCAACTAGCACACAGCATCAACAGGAAGGACAAGAAAGTCGAGGTAGTACTAAGAAAGTCGAAGTAGCTTCCAACTCAAATACCTTTAGCGCCTCCCATAGCTACAACAAGAATCCAGGCGACGTGTCTGCCAGAGACGTTGGTGTAAAGAGTGTGCAACTGCCTGTCCTTCCACCCTGGCGAGAGCCTGCTGACAGCCTAGAAGATGCAGTTTGGGTACGACGCGCTGTAGAACAATACAATGAACAAGTAAGATTTGACTCAACGACAGCATCTGCATCTAGATCAAGATCAGCCTCTTCATCAGATTTAGAGGCGACAGGAACCGCCAAAGAGAGCCTTCTCACCACACAGCAGACCGCCGACCTCGAAGCGGAGGAAGTGAAGAAGGATGGCGTTTTTCTCTTTGCTGTGTGGACGAGTCTCGGTACTCAAAAGCGGATGCGGGCAAGCCTCGACACTTGGATGAAGTCTCTTGGTCCGCAACAGGCCGTCATGATAACGAGCGCTTTCCCTACGCAACAAGAGGAAAATCAGAAACTCATACGTGAGAAAGTTGGGAAGGGGGAACTGAAACCACAGGTACTGGTACTAGTTGTGCGAGCTCGAAACCTAGACACGAAGTCCTACCTAGAAACGTTGTCCGAGTCCACCTATTAAGGGTAGGTTAAAGGTGCTTCTGTTACCGTTTGTTATGACTCTCCCAAGGGGGACAGCCATAACAAGCGGGATAAACGAACACCAAAAACCTACCTCTAAGACCTAGAAACGTTACAGATTCCTCATCAAGTGGGGTTCAACATCTACATCAGTCTTCTGGGACTCGAATATCTTGGATTTGAATTCTCTGTACATCAACTAACCAGGCACATTCTATTGATTCTACTACCCAATTTGCACTGGTGGACACCACAACATTCATCAGCACACGCAAATATTTAGAAATATCCGCAGGTCTTTGCCCCTGTCGCAGGCCATTGTCGGGACCGTTTAAGTCGTCGACTGAATTTTCCGGGTCTCACATGGAACGGCATGGCTGACTATGAGCTCCGGAACATGGTCCATCTCTGCTCGTTGCCATTCGTTTTTCAGGTCGCCGCAAGAATTCCGAATCTAACGTTTCTAGCGACATTATGTTGAGAAAGCTTTCTAAGTACAGTACATTTCTACTAAGTACAGTAGGTACATCCTTCTACCGTTAAGCTTAAGGGGGCTTCCCGCCCTAATCCATTTCCATAGACATCGTCCCTCAAGCATATGCACCCCAATAAGAGCGAGATTGATACTGACGCATTATATGCTTGAGGGATTTCCACAGGGATGAATGGGGGAGAGGTGTGATACCGCGATCCGTTGTCCCCTTCTCTTCGTGCCTACTGAAGATGGTTCTGGAGTCCTCAGGCAATCCAGCAGGTGGGACCAGGCAAAACTTCAACCCCATCGAGTGATGTTTTTTTTATGCGTCCAGGTCCACGACTTCTGGCGTGGCGCTCTAGCAACACCGTGGTGTCCTTGTCACAACATGATCATTTCCTTTTCATCTATCACCGAAGACGACGCCTACGTGCTGCCACAACCTTATCAGTTGCGTGCGGAAGACGCCTTTGCGAATCCAGCGAAAAGCGAGTTTGCAGTAGGAGATCAGTTCTTTCGGGGGAATCTAGAAGATCTTCAAGAGCGTCCAAAACACTCGATGATGCAGCAGATCGTCATTGGCGAAGAAGGGGCTACGACATCAACCTTTGCAGACAATAATCCATCATCGAGTACTCCTGCAGTGGAGGAAGATAAAAAGACATCTCCGGCAAATAGAATCAATTTGGAAGTAGATAAACGAAGAGAAGAGGAAGATGAAACTAATACTTCCTTTCTGGCAACTATGGGAGAAGGACACGAAGTAGACACGACAAGATTCCCCGCATCGACGTGGAGAGCAACTGATCCTATGGCCATGGCTTGGTGGTCGTGCGGTGAGGGTCTGTGTGGCCAGAATGGTTCTCTTTATAACGCAGCAGCAGTCAAAGTGCTTGGTTTAAGGCTGTGATTTCGCAACATGATGCAATTGCAAGTTAGTGCATATAATTGATTTTGATGCATCATGATAGATGTTTTCGTTGTTAATGTTAGTGTTGTTGCTGTTTCTTCATCATGGTCAACGAACTAAGGACATCTTCGTTGAGGGGGCCTTCATCACGTAAGCCACAACTGTCAGCAACAGCATGAATTATAACATACTTAAGTATCAATAAATCTCTAATATCTGCAGCCGTATCTCACGAGCACATACTATCGCATGTCGGTCGATGGGCTGCTGCAAAATATGCTAAAATGCAAGCTCAGGAAGCCGCACTTGCACAGAAGAAGAAGGAGAAAACCAGTGACATTGAGGGGAGTAAAGTTATGAAGAACACCATTGGTCAACACGTAGCACTGTACCCGTTCGTTGCTTTAGAAGATGCTAGCAACTAACAACTTCTTCATGCTGTCTACTTTCCTCCACTACAAGTACAACTACCACCTCTAACCAGAAGACTGTGCACGGCCGACTAGACGATCTCACAAAAGCGCTCATGCAGCTGCAGAAAGATTTCAAGAGTAAAGCGAATGTTGTGGGTGACGCTGACAGCGGTAAAGCTGCTGTTGAGCAACTCGAGGCTATCGCAAAAAGCATGTCCGAACTGGCGACGATCATCAAGACCAAGAAGTTCCAGTCGCAGACGACTCCGAAATCTGAAGCTAAAGTAGACGCTGGCGCTGCTGCTTCACTGGTTGCAAACAGGTTGAATGCGATTAAGGAGCTGTTGGGATTACTTGTACTTTTGCACACCTGAAGAATAAGAGAGAATGAAATCTAATTGTCAAAAATTAATAGATGTAGTCCTCCATGTCCAAAAACAACATTATTTTTATGAGCCGTCATTCTGACGAATTTCAAGTATTATATGCAAAACCGACGGACCGTCTCTAATATGCCGAAATCACCGTCATCTTCTGGCTCAGCCAAGCACGATGAAGCAACCACGTCCCCGTCGCAGCAGCACGCGGCTTCTAGTAGCGGTCTGAATATGGGACACATGCCTGGCATGGGTCCTATCGTCGGATGGGTCCTCAAAGATCTAGCACGATCTCATGTACTCCGATTGTTGTTATGGAGTACGTAGGTGTAGGTGAGTCGCTGTTATTTACTTATGAGTTTTAGTATGTAGGTGTAGGTGATCACTGAGTCGCTGTTATTTACTTATGAGCTATCTTCACTTTGAAAGGGAAAGCAAGGTGGAAAGAACCAGTCACATTAGTGGTCTACTTTGTATGCTATAAGATTTTCGACCGAGTCGTGGCATCCCATCTTCCACATTGCCCACGTTGAATCATCTAGATCTACATATTCATATGTGGTCAAAATGATCAATAATAGTATTTCTAATTGTATCAATCTTTCAGTCCCTTCTTTCACTCCCTTCTTTCATTTCCTTGGCAACCTCCTTATTTTGTGAAAGCGCAGGTTGGCTACAGCGACTTCGCGAAAACTGCAGCGCTTGAGCCTCGGGAAAAAACTGTCGTCTTCCATTACATCGCTGATCCTTGGAAACCTGGAAAAAATTCGGCTCAGCCGAAAAACTGGCCTGACCACTATGCCGCGCACAGGGAGCTCCGAGACCACATGCGGGCAAATCATGATGCGGATGAAGAGACGAAAAAGGAAGGAAAAAACGGGGATGGAAAAAAGGAAGAAGAGAATACGATTAAGACATTGAAACCAGAACGGAAGAAATGAACCTTCACGACCACCGAGTTGAAGTTTTTTTACCCTAGCGGATGTGGATGTAACAGAAAAAATGAACCTTGACGACACCAGACCTGAAGTTTTATATTTACCCTTCTTCTTCTAGTAGCAGTTGCAGTTGTAGCTGTTGGAGATGGAGTTTTACTTTTTGTTGTATAAACGTCAGACAGTCATCTGGTTAGTATGGTTGTAGACCAACGACGAAGTTGATTAGACCTCCTAGTGTGTGGTAAGTTGTTATCATTGTTTCGTCCCTGAATTTTTAGATTTAGACCCCTCATGAATGCTACTTGTGGATTGCGTAAGCTGTGTTCCTAGAAGAAGAAGAACCACAAAGAAAGCTCTGCTAATACGAAAAAAAGAGATAGCCATCCCCCAATTTTAGTTTTAGCTGCAAAACGAAAAAATCCGAAGCGGCCATGTTATCTTCATTCGTTTGAAAAGAGGGAAAAACGAGCAGGTTTTTTTTGAGGAACAAAAAAGATAGCTCGCGTTCCCCGGCCCCGAGGTATGAAAGGTGTAGAAGTAAAACCAGACTAGTGAATGTGCAGCTCAAGACAACTTAAAAAGAATGTGCCAAAAATGTAGACGCCTTACCACACATTAGGACGCTGTGTACATCTGTGGGCGGAGGCGGCCAAGAATAGCCGGTAACTGCGCGCACAATGATGTCCTTGAAGGCACCTGCATCATTTCCGCGAAAGCGCGGTCCACGAAGAAATCTCTCTGCTATTATCCGCAGTCATGTAGCAGTTTGCGGAAGTCTCCATGCGTCGATACTGCATAGCTTCGTACGTGGTCAGGAGGATCTGGACGCTAGTGTAGTAGACTTATGCCTTTGACTTTGAAAAATGGAATCATGCTTTAAGTAGGTCTCAACGAGGATGGAAAGAAAATAGGTCGAATCCTCCAAACTCAAATAAAGTGCCAAAAAACTCTAAACAAGCACCTTGAGCCTCAACGGATTGAGGAGGATGATCCCTTTGCAATTGAAGTCGACTTTTTTGGCACAGACCGGCTCCCGCAAACTTCTCTGGCGGAATCATTCCGGACAGTGTCGTCAGCTAGCGCATCAGGCTCATCTTCTACGTCATCTTCGCATAAAGGCACAGGAAGCAGGACCCCTGGAAGTATTCACTAAGGCGATAAAGAAGATGATATTTAGGATTCCATGAATGACGGGTGATACATTGGATTTGCTAGACTTAGAAGACCTCTAATGTTCGAAAGTTGACAGCAAAGCTGGTGGAATCCAGTTACCGGTTTTGCCACCGTGGCGGACGCCGGACGATGCTGTAGAAGACGCTGTGTGGGTAAGGCGTGCAATTCAGCAGTACCACGAAAATGTACGATTTCCGAGTAGCGAGTTGAAAATTAAGGGTTTCCCCTAATGGTCCATCTTCACAGAGAGAAGTCATCCATCCTAGGAGAGAGGCTTTTCAAGGGAAAATAAACGCAAGGAGGATGCTTCTCAGGATGGATTACGGTGAGCGCTAAAAAGGCCACTGAAGATATCCAGAAATCACTTTCGCTGGCAGAATATGGCTCAGAACACGCGTCGGAAGAGGTGACGTCTGCGGAGAGTGGAAAGACCGGGGAAAGCGGTAGTGGCAGCAGCAGTTTTATGACAAAAATGACTGAAGCTCTACTCGTGCTCCTAACTCTTTCACTTTCTACGTACTATTGAAATTAATGAGCTAACACCTACGAGTACGATAAAAACGTGTATCTACCATCTATTTTTTTAGTGTCCATCGATTCTAACTCACCAACAAGCGCAGCCGTAGCCGAGACCTCTGCTTCTATTGCCAGCCATCGAACTGAAGCATCTGTTGCTGCTGCAGAGGCAGAGCAAGTGAAGAGAGAAGGCGTCTTTCTTAGGGGGTTTCCACATGATTGCGTCCTGCACTACCATTCTTGATCTGTTTCCGAATAGGAAAGAAGGCAAGGATGTTGTGAAGAATGCAATGGCCGCGAAGCCACTAACTTTCTTTTCTCCATGTGGACATCTATCGGCACGCAAAATCGCATGCAAGGAAGCCTCGACACTTGGATAAGGCTCACAGTAAGTCGTCGTCACAGTCATCTCTTTCTGTTAGTTTCCTCCTTGGGAAAGGGAACAGCAATGAATTGGAAGAGAATAAAGGATGAAGTAGTTCCGACATGAGGTATATTGACTTGAGGAGGAGCTGGAGCTCGAGCTCTATTCATATTCTAACCAGTATGAAGAATCTCGGCCCACGGCAGGCAGTGATGATTGCATCCGTTTTCCCAGCCCAACAAGAGAAAAATCAGAAAATCATCCGTGACAAAGTTGCGAAAGGGGAATTGCCTCCGCAGGTATGCAGAAGTACTAGTAAAGCCTACATGGTTAGCTTGGGGAAGATCATCTGGTAGAAGATGATCTAAATTGTAATATATTTAGGGTGAGGGAATCCTAGTGAATTTAGAATTATGATTATCTCCACAAAAGATGACGAAAATGAAGATTCTGTTGACTCGTCCTCTTAGAAGTGCGTCAAGTAATGTACTGATCCATCACTTCTTCTCGGTACTTTTTAGGTGTTTGCACCCGTAGCCGGACATTGCCATGACCGGATGAGTCGTCGCTTAAATTTCCCCACTCTGACGATGGATGGTATGGCAGGATACAGTATCCGCAACGTCGTCCATCTCTGTCTGTTGCCGTTTATGTACCAGTTATGGACAACAAGAAGACTATTTTTATACCCTTATCGTTAACGTTATTAATACAACCCCCTCATGAGGATTCGGATTCCTTACTCTTCTAAGCCAAGTCGCAGCGAGAATTCCGAATCTTACGTTTCTAGCGACTTGCGAGGACGATCACTATGTGCTTCCCCAACCTTTTCAACTCCGCGTCCAACAAGCCTTTGCACATCCGCAGGACCATGAATTGAAACTGGGAGATAATTATGGCTTTGGCTCAGCCATGATGGTGGAATTTCTGAAATTATTCACGACTTCCCTCAGCTGGTATCAGCAAATAAAATCACTATGACTATACTGGTGCAAGGGATGCTGGGCCAGGGCCCAAGGGGTGCTCAAAATGTATGCCTTGCTGTACTTCCTCGAAGGTAAGCAGTTTACTCCCTATCCCGCGAGCGTGGTGGCGTTACCTGGAGCCGGACTGACAAACACGAGTTTGCTGCTGCAAATGAACGAGGGAACAAGTGGTCCATCATCTGCATCTTTGAAGGCGGTAGAAGTCGTTTCGCATAACACGAACAGGAGGGCACAGAGGTCTAAGATCATTATGACGAGGATATTATTATTAACCCTTGGCATCTTTTTTGATCCTCTGATCTACTAATGGATTTCGTTAACCTCCTACCGAACAAGACGAGAGAGCAATCAAGAACTTGATTTATTTCGTAATCAATCCCAAGGGCCTCTCCCGACTTGAAGTCGTCACACTCCAACACAAGCGCCGGTCATCAGCAAAAGCGTCTCCGACTTCTGTCAGAGGATGAGATGCTAAGTAACGGAACTTTTTCGGCTTCGACTTGGCAAAGCGCGGATCCGATGGCGATGGCGCAGTGGTTCTGCGCTGGTGGGATGTTTAAGGCCTTCGTTTAGAGACCACACGGGTAAATATAAGAAGATGAACTTCCTTTCTTCGCCAAATCCCAAGCATGCAACAAAGTGATTCGTTCCAACCATCATGCTTGATGCTAGATGAGATGCTTGATCAACAGTAGAGGTAATCGAAAACTCAAAATAAGCGAGTTACTGACTGAAATAAGAGAGTCTGGACTTCTACACTCCTCTTCTTTCAGTATCTCCCTTATTTTCCCGAGTACGTTACTCGCTTATTTCAGTTTTTCGAAATCTACCATCTTATCCACGTCCACATCAACACTTCAATACTTCTGTTACTGTTCTCCACAGCTTCTAATACAGGTGGTCAATTTGGTTTCGTCTTCAATGCGGCAGCAACGCACTTACTAGGCTCCGCGATGTCGCACGAGCGAATTATGGCCCACGTCGGTCGGTGGGCTACAGAAGAAGCTGAGCGAATTAGTATCGCAGAGGGGAAGGGCAAGAAAGAATGTATGGTGAAGATTGACGAGGACAACGAGATGAGTAAGAGAATGAGTATCTCATTTTTGACACAATGTTGTTGAATAGCATTCTAATTATGTGCACCTCGTTTGCGTTTGGTCGGAAACCAGCAGGCTCAGTCTTTACATCACGTCGACATGAGACTTCTACTATTGTTCTTAAGCAAATGCAGAAATATGTTGAAAGACGACGTAGTTTAGGATCTGTTTCGTCTTGCCGTGAGTTTAGGATGACTACTACTACAGAGGACGCGAATGAATGAACGACGTGGTTTAACCGTTTCCTTTTCGTTTATACACACTCAAACATCAATTCCTTCAATCGTCTAAAACATCCGAAAAGCATGATGCCCTTGCTGATGCAATTCAGAAGTTGGAAGCGAAATACAACGAAGCTGGCGAGACGAACAGTGCTGCGCAACTGAAAGCCATCGCTAGAGGCGCTACCGATTTGGCGGCTTTGCTCGAAAAATCAGCTAGAACAAAGGAACAGGACGAGGAGAAAGCTGCTAGAGTTAAGGTTCTGCTCCTGTGTGATATTCCAATGACTAGTGCAGAATGATTGACGTAAATTTCTATATGATCTAGTCGTATGTGATTTCAATTGCTTTGATCATATGAGGTCCGTTTTACTCATCTGCTCTAATTATACAGCGAAGCAGGATGCGGAGAATATAGCGAAGGCTAAATCAACAGAATCACCACCAGGGAAAGGAGCATCGGCTCCAGCAAAGCAGTCCTCTCAGTTTCTCATGGAGCAGAACAACAACGGCAAAGGAGCTACCAGCACATCGACAGTCGTAAAAACAGACACCACAAATGGCGCGGCTTTGATTAAGGGTTAACGAACTACATCATCCTGCATTACCATCCTTGGCCCTCTTCCTCGTAGGACTAATAAAGCCATGGATGTTCTCTTCTGAGGAGTGCAATTCTGATCCTGCAACCTCTAATTTGAAAGTAAACTCTTCGTCTGAAGTGGAACGCACAACGAGTGGCTTGCGTATGAGTCGAATGGTGGGGATGTCGCAAATCATGGGATGGCTACTCAAGGACATCGCGCAAGCGCATCTGATGCGACTTCTTTTATGATAGGATGACTTTTCTGTCTCACTCTGTTAGTTTTCTATTTTCGACTAATAATACCTGAAATGCAAAGAAGGGACGATGAACAGAAACCACAGTGAATTTATCTACACATAGGTGCTGATGCTATGAGCTACAAGATCAGCCAGCATTGCAAACGTAATAATTATAGTGTGGGCCGAGTCTCCCTTACAGCGTTTTATTTGTAACAAAAAGGTGCTTAGAAGGGCTTCCTTAAGGGGACCTCCATAAGAGGTCTCCACTGAGGGGCGCGCTTAAGAGAGCCTCTGCATTCCTGAAAAAAGCTCCTTAAGAGACGCTTCTTAAAGCTGTCGCTTCTCTTTGGAAGGACTTGACGACCAAACTTCGTGACATGTGTCACCAAGTTTGCCCGTTAAAGCCGATGGGCTTTTCTTTCGCTTTTGACTTCGCGACCATATTGCGGCACACAGGCTACGGAACGCCTGAACACCTTCGCGCAGAAAGTGAAGCATCTTAGGAAGCGAATGCATGGCCGTGAAGTCCAAATGCGTAGGCACCCCGCTTCTCACAGGGGTCAGCTTAGCCACTCAGCCAGCTGAGACACCCAGCCAGCTGAGCCATTCAGCCAGCTGAGCCACTCAGCCAGCTGAGCCATTCAGCCAGCTGAGCCATTCAGCCAGCTGAGCAATTCAGCCAGCTGAGCTATTCAGCCAGCTGAGCCAATCAGCCATCTGGGGCATTCAGCCAGCTGAGCAATTCAGCCAGCTGAGTCATTCAGCCAGCTGAGCCTTTCAGCTAGCTGAGTTACCCAGACAGCTGAGCCATTGATTGGGCCAGCTTGCTGAGCCATTGGGCCAGCTTAGCCATAGCCAGCTATTATAAGGCTTAGCTTTACTTCCAACGAAGCCAACTAAATAGAGAGCTTAGAAGCCTTGCGGCCAGCTTAGCGATGGGGCCAGCTTAGCCACACGGCCAGCATAGCCATACGGCGGGCAAGCTTAGCCGTGCGGCCACCTAAAGCTTAGCCATCTGGACCTTGTTCCTTCGGCGCTCCCTGCGCTGCTAGAATTCTAGATCGGCGGCGCTCTCTGCGTCGCCGTTAAGGTCTAGTAAACATAGACTTGCGCTTACCCATACTGGCATAAACTAACATGATAAGCGTCATCCTCTACTTTTTCTACCCTTAGCTGTACCATTCACTTTTTATCCTTCATATCCCTGGCAGCCGGACAGGTTTGCAAAGCCTCAGACTAGCTATTCCGACTTTGCACCGAATTCACGGCAGGAGGTGATGAAAAAAACAGTCCTCTACCATTACATCCAGCCACCCAAGGATAACAAGTCACCTGGCGAAAAATACGCAGATCACTATTATGGAAAGATAGACATGCACATGGACATTAGTCTTAGATTCTTTTCACCTGTTCTCTTGCTTTTAGCTTCTTTTTCTAGTTAAGTGCCCGACCGGTAGCATCCCGGCGTGTTGGTTTTTTAAATAGTTAGCTATCAGTGCTATAATACAGTCTTGCGATGCCTTTGCTTTTCGTCTGACCTGCACCGTAAGAGAGTGAGAGTGAGAGAATCCCGGGTCCACCTTTGCTGCTTCAACTTCACCTTCTTGCACTACAAATCAGGTAGCTCTGGTAACTCATACTAGTTAAGTGCCCCACCAATAGCAATAGTATTATGGAAGGATAAGTAAAGGTGAATAACACACGGTCACGGGCTAAGTGATACAGGGTTACCCTGTGGCAGGTGAATCAGGTGGAGGTTTTATGCTATCCTATACGTGAAGTAGGGCGCAGTAGTTGTGTTACTTCTTTCCATGCAATATATGCCTGGCACCAGGTTCATCCTCTAAACCTTCGCCGCTCATCGGGAGATGGGAGATCACATGAGAGCGAATCATATGATGGCCGATGCCAAGAAGAAGAACGACGGCAAGGAGGACGAGAAGAGAATCCATGCCGCCAAGAACGTGATCAAAAACAATGGCGTCAACGTGATCAAGAAAATAGTTGCTCCTGATAAGAACATCAACAAAGTGAAGAATGGACTAGTAGGAACAAAGATGCCGAAGGTGAAGAACAAAAAATCTCTGGGTTTGAAAGTAAGATAATTGGATTCTCAAGCCAAAGGTTGTTGTAGCCATATATTTTTTTAATCATAATATAAGAATTTCAATTTCACCATCATGGACACGGAACAAGGAGCGAATATCGATTGGAATTTTCCACTCTGTAGTTCTTGTGACTGAGCCCGACTTGTGACAGATTTCTTAGAATACACCGGAAAAACGCGAGAGCACGATAGTTTCAATAACGTTGCTAGTCTTCGTGAGGTCTCATAGATGTTGATATGTACAGGTGTTTGATGGCATTCAGATTCATATTTCACATCTTTGTTCATGTTCAACATCAACATCAACATCATACACAATTATGTATACCCATAATTCATCGTCCTCTCTGTATTCCAAGCCCTCGTAGTACTCCCACAATCATTTCTTATGTACAACTTCAACTTGATATCTACCTAATATGACGAGTATGAGTGAGTCTATCTGTTAAGAATTTCGTTTCGGGGACAGACAGACACATAACTTTGTTTCGGGGATAGTCTGACACAGCATCAACTCAGAACATACTTATTGTTTATGTGCAGCTCATCCAGATCTTCATGTCCATCGTCATCAGTCAAAAATATCAAGTGCGTCGAACGTGTGACTCGTGCTTCATCTGAAACAAGGACTCCAAGAGTCTGAGTGTACAAACAGAAACTTACAACAGACGTTTTACACTTCCACACAGTGGTAAAAACTACCTCACCAACAGAAGTATTGACTACATGGACATGTTGTGGCTGTGGAGGCAGTGGCAGAAGGAGACGGCGAAGCGTGGTCTTCGCGTCCAGAGTGGGATGTTTTCCAGGGGTCATGAAGAGATGAAAAAACGTCAGTTGTACTAGAAGGAGCCACGTGGAAGCTATTTTACTGGTATGATGATTGATCTCCAAAAAAGAACCGAAAAAATAGCCCTCCATAAGTAAGCCCCTTTGACCACAACCACTTTATTGGGCTGATAGCACAAGTACCCTTATTGTTCGGTTTCTGTAGTTTCACAATCACTACCTTGATGTTGACTAATGATGATCATGAAGATAGTGATATTGGTAAATCAAAATTAACTTGACGAGCCTACAGGACCATGATGACTCACGAGGCTACGACGTGAGGAAAAGCAGTGAGGCGAACTGCGTGGCAGTGAAGGAGCTTCAGGACCATTTCAGCTCTTTCTAGGATCCGCTACGCGTAGGAAAATGACTCGTTTTCTGTCAGTCACGTCCTATTGCCTCTTTGGAGGTATCAGTGGAAGCCGAGTGACAGGTGGCGTACAACGACGGACTACACCTCCTTCTACAAGGTCAACATCTCCGCACCACAGCAGGGCTGCATCCTCCTCATCATGGAGCATGTTGGAAGCGGGTAGAAAAGCATCTAGTGCAAATACTTTATCCCATGGTGTCAGTTCCTCATCTGCTAGCAAATCTTCTTCTTCAACAAGTGCCACTAGTAGAAATAGTGCTACCAGTGGCACAGGATCTTCAGAAGCCTCCTCTTCTTCAAGAACTTCAAGTGTAGAAACCCTCCTCGTAGAACAACAATACCAAGCAGCTACAACAAGGATCAGTGGTGATGTTGCACCAGATCATCCTGGGGGGACACTGTCGAATATCAAAGTTCCAACTGTACCTCCATGGCGCGGTCCTCAAGACGCTACTGAAGACGCTGTCTGGATCGAGCGGGCAATTCAAGAATATCACCAGGAATTATGACTTCTAGTAGAATACTACTTATCCATTTCCATCGTTATTTTCGTTATATGTTAGCAGAGGATGAGTGTACTTCAACATGTTTCTACTTATTTCAACGTGAAAACGACATCAACGAGGTAGTGGAATTGTTGTTCAGATTATCATGATGAGCGATTGTCTCTGTCATGTTGTAAGTTTTCCTTTTCGCGACTCCCACTTCATCTAATGCAAGTCAAGTTGGAAAAACCAGCGGCACCGACGACTTCGATTGCCAGTGTGGTGGGTGGCTCTGCTCCGACAGCGCCTATTCTTGCAAATGTTATAGGAGGTTCCACTGATGCTCCTCCAGTGGCTCTCATATCCAAAGATGAGAAGAGAAACGAGGCAGATGTTGATTATGTTGTTGATATTTCTCTTATTAAATAAACGAGTTGAACTCATCTCATCCTCATGTGATGAATCTTGCTCTTCAACATCGATCTTGTTTTTTTTTAAGCTAAAGTACAAATTAAGTACCAACTTGAGCTGTTGATACTAACTCCTGAAGGCTTCCGACAGCGCATCGACGGATGTCGAGTACGCTTCTGCTGTCGAATCTCTGAGAAAGAAGAATGATGAGGAAGGCGTTTTTTTATTTTATGGCTTCAAGAGATTTTCATCCTCGTCCTGATTTGATTGACAGGATTAGTGAGAATGTCGCACTATGAAATTATAAATACTGATCAAGATAAACTTTCTGGGAAAATATCTTCCGTCCCCCACGTGTCTACTTTAGATCCGTGCAGCTCCCATCCCTCCTTCTAGTTCTACCTGTCCTCTTTCCGAAGAGCTCCTCTAGGCACACAAACGCGCATCTTTTGCGCATAGACCAGCTGGCTCCACCGACGTCCCTCACTTTCTCCTCTAACTCTTCTCTTTCTGGACAAGTTTAGGGACACAGAGAAGAATCGAACCCATGATGGATACTTGGATGCGCAAGATTGGTCCGAGGCAAGCTGTAATGATCACATCAGCATTTCCTTCACATTAAGGCTCTAGATGTCTACGGGTAAATAAGGTGCTAATTATGCTACCGCATTAAGGCTTCTATGTATTGATCTACAGATTGGTAAGTCTGGTGAAATTCGCCAATTATTTTCTTCACTGAATGTGATACATACTCTTACTCACTGCGTTTACCCAGTCGTGCAGACTTGTTTTACATCTATCGCCGGTACCTACTCAGGTTAATTAAGTACTCGTAGTGCTGAAGGCGTTAGTTACAAGAAGGCTCGTCCCCAGCTGCAGGCGTCGTATGGTCTCCATTTGTTCATCACTGCTAGAGTGTGAGTGAGCCGATTTTCGGCCTAAGTAAGTACTTAGGTCATCTCTAATGACGACAAGAAGAGAACAGGAGGCTCATTAGAGAAAAGCGTAAAGCAGGCAAATTGCCACATCGGGTATACTATGGCATAGATTCTTACGCGATGACGTGACAACATGAACATTCGATGCGTAAGTGTAATTTTGGATGTGCGAAGTCCACATAATTCTCCCTTGGAGGCTTGCACTATACTATCTTGATTTCTTCTGCTGGTGGTCAGAATTTTCGAGCTAACTTTTATGAATTTCATGTATGATTATGATAATCTATTAGTATTGTGTATGATATTTTTTTTTATCTATTATGATCAAGATCATGTTGACCTACTCACCAACACGACCACCAGGTCTTCGCTCCTCTGGCTGGCCACTGCCAGCCACGATTGCGTCGACGATTGAACTATACGTCTCTGACCTACAACGACATGGCGTTCTATGCTATCCGGAATAGTATCCAGATGTGCGCACTTCCTTTTGCGGTACAAGTCGCTTCCCGGATTCCGAACCTTCAGTTTCTAGCCAGTTGCGAAGACGATCATTACTTACGGCTTGTCCTCGGGTTGTATGTCTCACTCTCTGCGCGCTCTCTCATTCTGGATGACCAAAATAAACTCGTACTTCTCATAAACCGAGTAGGAGCACCAGTAGTATCTACAAGTATCACTTCATACGAATGATTTTGTAGAGCACTTGTATCACACGAATGAGATTGTTGAAGTTGCCGTGCTCGCAATTACCTCCTATCGCACTGACTCCTCCTCTAAAGTTCGTTCTCCCACAGGCTTTTCAGCTTCGAGTGGAGAACACCTTTTCCACGCCTTACCGTCACGAACACACTTTGAACAAGTTTCTGCCTATTGGATTTGATGCGGGAACTAGGATTATGTCGTGTTGCAGTAGAAGTGAATGCAAATCATAAGATTACGCCATAGAAGAAGATTTTCTCAGCAATCAACGATATTAAATCCACGAAATTGATTGCACTTCTTGTTGTAGTTGTACGTGGAAGTAGAGAGGTTATGCCAAATCTAATCTTGAGGCCTTGCTTCTCTTGCAGGAAGGAGAGATGGAAAAGCAGCTGAAGAGCTATCGAGCTGGCCGCTTTGGTGACTACGCGCACTACCTGCAAGACCCAGATGTGGACTTGTTTAAGGCTAGTGCATCGCTCCCCATGGTTCTAATCCACCCAATCACTAGATCCTAACGCTAGACTTACTAGATTCTAATCCACCCGATTTTGGCATAGCCGGGTTGGACGACACACAGCGCCGTTTGGTCAACACACGCATGATGGGCGCAAAGGAAGCTTCCGCGTTTCAGAATATTGACGAAGATTTGTTCTTATGGTGGAATCAGATAGTGTTAGTCATAGTTGTGACAGTGAGTGGCCGCTTACTAATGCTATGTAGGATGCTCCTTATTTTTGTTTCAGTCTGGTAGTCGTAGTTTCGAAGCATATTGATGCCACTTGTCCTAGTACCTATTCATTAAGAATCGCGTTCTTAGATTTCCTATTCGATGTCGATTGTTGGACTTATTTTCTAAGACACTACAACGCGGACCAGAACTCTTTTCAACGTCAGACGAGAGCGAGACCTACGCCCTCGATGGATTTAGTCTTCGTGGAGACCGAGGATGCGGACGTAAAAACTACTTCAAATAATACGCACGTCTTCAACGTGGTATCCAAAACATCGTCAAAATCGTCAAGGAAGAAGAAGGAGAAAGAGAAACTAGCATCGAAAAAACAAGAGGAAGAGAAGGAGAAAATACCAACTGAGGAGAAGCAAAACATTAAGGTTCTCGTTCCTAACTCATCTTACCCATACCCTGCAAGCATGATCAAAGTCTAAGTGTCTTCCTTGAATCAATTATACTTCCAAAGAGAACAACAAGAAAGATGCATCAGGCGAAAGTTGAATACTGTTACTGAACACGATTCCTAAGTAGAGCAATCTATTGGAGCGTGAGCGTTCGGAGTCTTTGGTGTTTGGCGGAGCATCACGCTTGTCGCAAGACCCTATGATCATGGGAAAATGGACGAATGAGGGCTGTCTTGGCGGAGTTTGCGGGCCGCTTGGTGTTGTTTTTAACGTTAAGGCATTTGTTGTTTGAAGATGGTGAAGTCGTATCAAGTTCTAGTAGAGAGTGCAACAGCACCTGCTCTTCTTCTAACATCACACCCGCTGTGCGCTTGTTGGGTGCTACCTTTTCATACGAGCGAATGCTTTCGCGCGTCGGCCGTTGGGTTGATCCTGCAGCGGCTCCCAAAGCAAAACCCGTTACTAGCTTCTTATCTTTGTCAACATCGTCTGATGCCAACATCGATGACATCAAACAAGCGCCTGTACTATCTGAATCATCTTCACAAGGAGCGGCAAATCTGGACGAGCAAGAACTGTCGTTGCAACTCGTGTCACAGCACACAGCAGAGACCGAAGGTTGGCACGTCCATCATGAGCCTTCACTCGTATCCAAATCTCAAAACGAGCTGCCGGGAACTACCTGGAAAACCGAGAAAATGACTGGAGCGATTGGCAGTCCCGTGCAAGGATCCACCTCTGCCTTATGAGCAGCATTTCAGCGACTTCACAGTCTCATGAACTTTCACTTTCTTGTTTAGCTTTAAATTTATTGTGATATAAAATGATCATCTACTTACAAATGAAGCGACCTGCTTTTGTTTAATTTAATCAGCCCGTTTGGCGTTTGTACCTGCCAAGTGATCTACTTCTAAGAAAACAACAAAGCCAATTGGCTCAGTCGCGGGTACACCCTGTACCTTTGCCTCAGCAGAAGCCTGCTTTGCCGCAGCAGGTACTACCTCAGGGATCTTCTGGCTTGGTACCGCAGCACGTATTTTCATCGTCTGCAGCACTGTCACAGCAGCCATCTGCTTTTGTACCACAAGCACAACCATCTTCCGTTCTCGTGCCACAGTCCCCTGCTGTTCTAGTGCCACAAGCTGTTTCTCCAGGCATGCCACAGGCCTCTCCTGCAGCTGCACCACCGCGAGCATTTCCTACGGGTGGCGCGCCACAAGCACCTCCCAGAGGTGTCGCGCCACAAGCACTAGTTCCAGAAGCTACATCAGGAACACTTGTAGTAGGTCAAAAATCGAACGTCACTCCCGCTTCACAAATGGCAAATACTGGAGCTGGTGCTGGTGTTCCATCATCTCCTGGGGTTCCTCCTGCTCTTTCCGCACAAGCGCGTGCTGGTGTTCCATCATCTCCTGGGGTTCCTCCTGCTCTTCCCGCACAGGCGCGTACGGTAGGATTTATAGCTTCCTCTAATGCTCAATCGAAAGCTGTTGTGCCTCAGACATCATCCTCGAACGCAGAAGTAGCTACTCCGCTACTTACAGCTACTTCAACATCCCAACTAGGAGCGCCAGGCGTACAACAGGAGTCCCCGGGAGGCGTACAACAGTCCTCGGGCGGCGTTCATCTATTATCGGAGAACAGATTAGCATTAGGAACCGGATGGCACCATGGTAACGTGGACAAGGGTGCTCATGTCGTGGCACAGCCGCAAATAGCTCCTCAACGAGCACCAGCAGCACAAGCTCATCTTCACCCATTACAAGCCTCCTCTTCATTGGCAAATACTAATATGAAGAACATGAAGAAGAAGATAGGACCACTAGCACCAGCTTCGGAGACTCAGTCCCACCAGTCCTCTCAAAATCCAGAGAAAACAGTCCCAGTACAAGAGTCGAAGCAACAACAGCCAAAGGAGATAGAGCAGGCTCAGCAGGTGCACCCTCAGTCTAAGCAGCAGGCAAAAAAGACACAGGCACAACCTCAACATCAAAAAGCGAAGCAATCAAAATTTTCTAAGGTAAAGCCGCAACAAAAGCAAGACAAGAAGCAAAGAGAGCCAGCCAAAGAGCAGAAGCAAGCCCAACAGCCGAAGCAAGTTTAAGGCTCTTTCCGAATTGGATATCTGAGTTTGAGATCTAACTAAGATTGATGTTGTGATGTACAACTTCTTGCACAGATACTGATACGATACTGTATATTAGCCTCCCATACCCGGCAACTAAAAGTTTATCAAAGTAAAAGCGTGAACCTGGCTAACATCGGGTTAACATTAAGTACCTCACAGATATGACATTAGCTCTAGTAGCCCAGTCACCAGATCTAGTTGTACATGTTCCTCTTTCATCTTGAGAAGCATAGGTGTTATGAAAGCAATCCACTTCTAACAAATGCAAGAACCTAACAAATCTCTTCAAACGGATGAAAAGAAGGGGCCGGGAAAGCAAGGACAGCCACAAAATCAGTCACAGAAGCAGTCACAGCCGCAAAAGCAGTCATCACAGCCAGAGAAGCAGTCATCACAGCCACAAGAGCAGGCGCAAAAGCAAGTACAACAACAAGTAGACGAACTACCACGACTAAAGATTGGCCAGTTTGGTATCCATTCAGTACTTGGATGGATGATGAAAGACCTTGCGAGAGCCCATCTGGTGCGTTTGCTAGAGCAACCTTTAAGGGAAGGGTTTACGTTTACTCATCTCTCTTAGTCCCACATCCAGATCGATAATTAGTTCAATGTCAAACATCCCCACGCTTGGTAGTTCGTTCTTGGTAGGTATAGATTTTTGTAAGCTTGCTTATTAAGTTTTTCGAATATAATGCATGATATCGGGATTCTACTTCTACTTGTAGCACGATATTATTCAAGTTTGAACCGTTTGGGAATTTGAGACGACCTCTAAAAGCAGCGTTGTTTGCGGAATGGGCGGGTAGTCGTTCATCTGTCGCAAGCACTGCGAAAAAGCTACCGAACGAAAAAACTGTCATCTTTATGAAATTTTGATGACAACCACCACTAGATCTAGATTTTTGATAACTACTAGTTGTACAACTAAGGTACTAGGATGATCACAGACTCAGACATGTTGTAGTCAGGTATTTCTTGCTACGCTTTGAATTACGAGCAAAATTTTTTCAGTTTTTCAGATCTTCATCTCCACTCTTCTTCTCCACTCTTCCTTTTCTCTACCCCTCCCGTTTTCCTTTACGACCTTCCCTTTTCATACCTCTCCACTACATCACACCGCGAACCAAGGAGGCACCAAAGATCTTTGATGCTTACGCGCTAGACGAATTAGTGGGGGATCACATGGCCAAGAATCTCCCTGCTCCAAAAGGAAATGCGAATGCGCGATGAAGATTATAGGGAGGAGAGATAATGAGTAATACGGAGTACGAGTAGTAGTACAAGTATATTAGTAGTTCTAGTTGATGGATCAGGAAGAAAAATATTATTATCGAGTCTGAGCTGTGGTTGAACTTGAAGAATTTATGATTGAATATTCTTTGAAGAACAAGAATAGACTTAAGAAGTTATGAATAGTAGTTCTAGGCAGGGGACTTTAATAAGAAATACACCAGAAAATTTGAAGAACCAGATCGACGAAGGGGACTCCAAGAGTCTTCACAATTTAGCATAATATGAATGACGATGTTGTCAGCAGTAAGAGAGAAAGAGCATAATAAATGAGGATCTGTGGGAATGTCGATAAGAACATGAAGTGTTGAAATGAACCAGCATTGATGTTTTTAGCAAGACCATCAACACTTAGACTTAGTTTTTAGGAAATATTATCTAGGATTAGGTCTACCTCATGGATACTCAGTAATGGTAGCAGTGAATCTTGGCATTCTTGAGGAGCGATTAGCCATAATTACAAGAATGATAGAGAGCAGATGAAGAAGGCATCTTCACACACAAGTGCACATCAGGACCAGGAAACTATTTCATGCTTAGGCGCAGTTAGAGTCAATTACAGATTTTGTATATTGTGTACAGATCATGAACATAATGCCCCATAATTGGTCTGCTTCACAGACACAGTGAAGTTACTAGGGATTGACCACCCGTTGTCATGCTACAGAGATACGGGGAAGAGTAGTTTGAAGGAAATGTATAGGCGTTACACGTGTGGTACTGGATGATATCCTCCACAAGGATGTGCATCATGCCCCATTGCCATTGGTCGGCATTAACATAAAAGAAAACGATGATGGAGAGACATCCTCTTGACTCACGTATTCTTGATTGACTTGATTGTCTTTGTACTTTTCCACGGAGTTGTTTGTGTTTGGGTGCTTGCACCCGGCATCCTCTCCAGCTGGCCTTTGCGCATTTTTACTGGTTTTGTGGAGAGACTTCAAGTGCTGCCCAAGAGTGATTTTCGAGGTTCTCAATTCTGGCTCAGGGGATCTCCGTCTCATGATCTACCGATCCTCTTCTTCCATTCGCGAAGCAGGACGCATGAACTTCTGAGTTTCATTCACATTCATGATCAACGAAGACGTTTGTTTGTTCATGGTGATTGATGATTCAATAGAATAGTTTTCCACTTCAATAAACCAAAGATGAGAGCACTTCCTCCTCCGCGTTGTCGTCGAAGAGACATGATTTGTTCTGGGACAATGCTACACCTCCTCGTCTTGGGATTGGCCACGCAGCACCTGGGCGTATCAGAAGCCAAGCCGAACCCGAAAAGTGGTGGACCTTCCCCACAGGATGTCTTGATACAGCAAGTGATCAACATGGACGGGGATATGAGTGATTGGGCAGCAATGAACTTAAGCTTGTTTATGTTTATTCGGGTCTGTCTTCTCCATCTAACAAGTTTATTTCTTAACAGCAAACGATGCGTATGCGGTTGTGAAGCTGAAGAGTATCTAGGCAATCTGTGCGCGATTACTTTGTATTGTATTGCGTTGCCCCTCTAACATCTCGAACCAACGGAATCGAATTCTTGCGCAAACAACTGGTGACTGGACTCCATTACGCGGTGAAAAATCATAAGAGCGACTATGTGAAAGTCTACATCGAAAAGGGACAGAGAGTGTGGGACCACTTTGACCTGAAATCATTGGAAAGCAGTGCAGGCGGTGGTAAGGCAGAGGGCGATGCGTCGGGGGCCGCTAGTGTTAAGATGTTACTTAAATCACATGTTAGAACTCACGAAGATACTACGAAATCGGAGTCAAAGGACAACATGTTGTTGTAGCGATTGTCGGGCGATAAGAACTTTTTGAGATTTGGACAAGGCAATAAGAAAGACTAGATGAAATAGCAAGTAAGCGGAGTAGAATACGATGTGCCACGGTATTTGTTTTCCCCAAGATTACCTTGCAGTTTTTTCTTACATGACTTTGACTACGTGCGCTTGATGCAGTAGCTGAAACTTTCTTAGAGTCACGAGGTACTGATTGTAGTATAGCATCTCCGTCGTGTCTAATGCTTCGAGCCCCAAAAACGACGATGAGGACGACGATTCACCGAATAAGGATATATCAAAGGTGGACAAGACTGCGCGACTCATTAATCAAAGACACCCGGATTTAAGACTTGTTCTGCAGATAGTAACTCAACCTTCATGCCATTGATTGTTTCTATCCTCATCGATCTCGATCACTTTCGATTCTTCAAGACGAGGTTTATTCTACTTGGAAACGAACAATATCAATATCTATGGAATTCCTCCACCTGCCTTTGTGTTTGTTTATTCCTAGAAAATCATTGGCTCTTCGCAGACCCAGTAATTGTGTTTGTGAGCTCCTGTCTCGTCTAATACATTCGCTGCAATCTCCATTGATGCACGCAGTCTTGAGCGGGCGGGTAAAGACTGTCTCTATGCTTCTCGACAAAGGCGCGGACGTCACCATACCAGAGAAAGATGGGTAATTCTAGGAGGTCGGAAGAAAAGTTGTAGTAGATGAAGGCGCAACATTCCACCAGGAGCATAAGCATATGTATGATCCATAACAATAACCCCCCTTATAACTACAACGCGTACACAGTATCAAATAAAATACCATACAGTGAAGCAGCAAAGCCCTTCAGGTACACCCCAATGCATGGAGCGGCATTTCAAGGTCGACCAGAGATAGCACAGAAATTGCTCGATCACGACATCCCGGCTAACGACGTCCATTCGGACGGATATCAACCTATCCATAGAGCCTGTTGGGGACAGGAAACCAGACATACGAAGACAGTTGAGGTATTAGATTTAGTCTAGGAGACGAGACGTCGTAGGTATAGATAAGAAGGCAGTTGGGGTAAAAAGCTTTTGTTTTTTTAGATTTAGTAGACCTTTCAAATTGTTTTTTTGTTTCTAGGTGCTTGTGAACCAAGGTGGGGTCCCTTGGAACCAGAAAGGGAAAGACGGCAAAACCTGCGCCGATGTCACGTCGAACTCAGGAACAAAAAAGTTCCTCAAAAAAGCAGAAAAAGTATGGCCCTGTTTGTTCCAATGCGATTCCACTTCACTTATCTATTAACGAGTGGCGCTCGCGCTTTTCGTGTGTTCTTTGGCACTGGTTCCAAGAGCTGCAGGAAAAGTTTCCGTCTGTAGGTCTTTTAGGAGCGGGCGCCTCTGATTCTAGGAGCAGAAGCCCCCGACTCATCTAGGAGCAGAAAAGTTTCCCACTCTAGGGAAATCCCATGCCTCGAAGAACCTCCAGCCGTCCTAGAGAGAAGACCCTCCCTAGGAAATGAATCATCGTGAGCCCGTTCTAAGAAAGGAAGCAAACGAGCGTGCGAAAAAAGAGGCTATTGAAAACGAAGGCAATGCTATTAGAGCGAAATTAGAGGCGCAGCACGAGGAGCTCCACAAGAATCTCATGTTATGGCTCCTGGCCAGGGCTTTCTTTAAAATTTCTTGGCAGTCAACCAGCACTCGCTTCTGTAGGTCGTGTAGAAGACTATCTTCCGTATTCTGCGAGTATACGTTGTTTTCGGACTAAGAAGAAGAACAAGTCCTCTCTTAGACGTTGTCGTGGGCTTTAGAAGTAGGATCTCAACTTGCTCAAATGTAGACGTAGAGGTCGAAGGAAGGACACTTAGCAGAAGTACAGGACGACAACAGAGGAAGAAGAAGAAGGAACAAAGAAGTAGAACCGTAACTAATTAGCTAATTAAATCTTTTCAACTTTGCGATTGGGTACACTACAACTACTACTCGACGAATGAGGCCTGGCAAATGCACTTCCTCTAACATTCGGCCTGAGCGAGAAAGGTATGACCGACGAGCAGATCCGTGAGGCTATGATTGGGCAGGCCAGTGCAACAGCTGGCACAGCGGGCAAGTCTAAGGATGACAGGTCTCAGGGTAAGGTGGATGATCTCTGAAAAGATTACGTTTGTACTTCTTCATCCTCGGAGTCGAGCAGGCCCCGGTGGGGCTCGCTGTGCAGGATCCATAGCCTAATCTAACCAAGGACTATGGTAATCTTGTTCAGATTTCTAAATAGAGCAAAATATGGATCTTTTCGTTTGATAGTCTATGTCTAGGACCGCCGTAGGCGTCCTCAACAGTAATGTTGAGCCTGAACAACCTCTAGTAGAATATATCGGATACAACAGCATGTTGGCAAAGCGATGACCGTAGCACATCATAACACGTTTTTTTGGAATCCTACTTGCTAATGATCACGCCCGCGCTTACTTTTACTTCTCGTTGTCTCGTTGAGTTTTTCTGTCTACGCGACATGAGAAACCGTTGAAGTATTCAATATACGACACACTTCTTCGGAGATGTTAGACCTCGTATTGCCGAGTTCTTGCAAGATTTCGGAAAGATCATGAGAGTGAGTGTCCCTAATGAACCTACTTTTTCATCTGCCAATCAAAGAGGACCGCGTTACAAGTACTAACGGGGTGAAGAAGAGGGCCTAGCTTAATGAGCTGCTCGGTGAAGCCATCCCTCCTTTTCGGTATCCCCAGCCCCAAAAGAGAATGAGAATCTATGTTCAACCGCACAACTTGGCAGGGAGGTATTACACATTTTAGTTAAAGTCTGTGGGTATCCAAATCCATCACTGACTTAAGAATCTCTATAAAGTCATCATCAAGAGATCTCAGTCAGACGCAGCATCTGCAAGCTAAAGAATAATGAAATCACATCAAGGAGTAGGAGTCATTAGTTTCTATTCTGTTGTAATCTTCTTCGTGAAGAAAAAATAAGACGAAACCGAAAGTTGAGTGGTGTTAGAGTTCCGGTAACAAAAAAAATGGCCGCCGCATTGAGAAATCAAGTTTGGTGGAATGTGGTTCCTTCCATTTATTGGAATACAGGAGGACTAGGCTGGAATCTGCGGGGAAGTAAGAGGATCCAGCTTCAGCCACTCCCGGATGAAGTTGCAGTGGATAATAAGGAACAAGTAGAGACCGACATGAAGCAGGCTACTTTAAATTATGGAGCTTTTCGTCATCAATTGTTGTACTTGTAGTTCGTTATTTACTTGGAGAACGAAAACGATGATCATCTTTGATGTTTTTACTTCATCAGACAGTGGAAGATAGTGATCTTTGAGGTTGCAGTTAGTACTTCAACTTCGACTTGGCAACAAATTATAATTACTATGTTGAATGAAAAGCTACAACGATGAAAGAATACGAGTGGACCTGTCTAATGAAAAACGAGTGGCGATCCAACGACTGTTAAGCTTGAGGTTGAAGTGTCGTTGTACTTGTAATAATTTTTATTTATAATATTCAAAAATAGCAGAGAGTATGTGGGCATGAGTTGCTCATCTTCATCTTCATTTTGAGAGGTTGTCAGCTATGATCTCAGACTAACATGACTACAAGAGGGCTCCTTGTGTCATTCGTGACAAACATTATTTAACGTAAACATTTCAATTCTTTGTCGTCAATGTCAAATACAACATGGGATAATTATTCCCCAATCCTCATAGACTCTACAAAGCCAAAATCTTTTTTCACTTTCACTACTGTCTACTTACTTGAAAACGATGAAAGTGAAAGAGTGTTTTGATGTGGTAAGACTCTAGTACTGAGCCGAACAAGATAGCCATAACGTATGACTTCAACTCTAGTTGTGCCAAGCCATGTTTATAGCGTATGACTTCCTCACTCCCAACCCATAGAGGACTCTACTAAGCCACAATATAACGAAAAACATAACGTATGACTTCCCCATAGACTACTTCTAGTTCTAAGCTAAAAGTGGTGGAAAATGCCTTTCTGGAAGTAGGCGACTCCTCTTGTTGCGGCTCATCCTCCCCTACATCCAAAGATACAGATGCCCCCACGACTTCCAGCTCCACAAGAGAAAGCGAAAAGGAAAAGGCTACCTCCTCATCTACTTCTTTTACGGCTTCGCTATGAGCAGCATCTGGATGATACATTATTGTCAACATACTGCTCTATTTCTAGCGAGAAGTCGTACATAGTAGACAACTTGATGAATATGCTCTACTGTTGTAGTAGTTGTTGGTGCCTCCCATTTTCATCAGGTAGCGGTGGTCGTCTATCCCTATATATATAATAGGCTTCCATGTTCTTCAGAGATAAATCGTCGCTCACTATTTGTATTTCTTGACACATGCAGGAGGGTTACAACATCGTAGATAGTCGTCTGTCTCTTCCTCTTCGTGTTAGCATCTATAATAAATATAGAAGAACTCGACTGAAAATCAGCACGTTAGAGCAGTTCATCTTATACTATAATTATCTATAATATTATAAACCAAAACTTATTTTGAGCGTTCAACAGGAGTGAGCTTACGGCCCGAGATGTACTTACGCAAATCATTGCAAAGATGAAAAGACGCACGGGCTAGATGTACACGTCTGAGATATATATCTCGCGGCATTTATCTTATATATACGCAAATCACGGGAGAGGTGTACTCTTGAGATGTGCTTACACTGGGGCGATTCGTAGCAGGTTTCCAAAGTTCTACTCCTTTGAGATGTACGCAAATCATGGGAAAGATGTACGGGCTAGATGTATACATCTCGCGCCGTAAAAGTGCCGCGCTTTTGAGTACAGCTCTCCCGTGACTCTGCTCCTGCTAAGGCTTTCGGCAGTACTCAAAACCCTGAGCCAACAGCACAGGCCAAGGACTAAGCTGCATGGGATGGACAAAAAACGAAGAGCGAAGCGCCTCAGCTTGAGACGAATGCTAATCAGCTGCATGAAGGAAAGTCGCTGCGTCTGCGTATGTGCTACAATTATGGCACACATGGACGCAAACAAATGCAAACAGCGGCAAGCATCCAGCAGCTATAGGCTGAGCAAATGGGGACCCGCCTGCTTTTTGGATAAGGCGCCTGAGTTGGCTCAAAGGGTCGGACCTTTCAAGCAGGTCAAAAGCAAGCAGCAAGCGCATAGGGCTGCGCTTTTCGGATAGGGGCCCTGAGCTGCGTCAAAGGGGGAGACCTTCCAAGCAGGTCAAAAGTAGCCAGCGGCCCCATAAAGTAAAAGCTGCGCGCTTTGGATAAGGGTCCTGAGCTGACTCAAAGGGTGGGGCCTTTCAAGCAGGTCAAAAGTAGGCACCAACCTCACAGAGGACGAGTGGCGCCGTTTGGATAAGAAGGCTGAGCTGGCTCAAACTCAAAGGGTGAGACCTTTCAAGCACCTCAAAAGTGGGCAGCAATCTCATAGAGCGGCGCCCTTACTTTGGATAAGGAGCCTGAGCGGACTCAAAGGTTAGGGCCTTTCGTCTCAAGCAGACCAAACGCAGCAAGGGCAAGCAGCGCCATACAGTTGCGCTTTTTGAGTAACAGATCTGAGCAAGGTCAAAGGGTTGGACCTTTCAAGCAGGTCAGAGGTAGATAGCGACTTCATAGAGTTGCGCTTTTTGGAAAAGGGGGCTGAGCTGGCTCAAAGGGTGGGACCTTTCGAGCAGATTCAAAGTAGGCAGCAACTGCATAAAGCTGCGCGCTTTGGGTGAGAAGTCTGAGCTGGCTCAAAGGGTGAGACCTTTCAAGCAGCTCAAAAGTATGCATAAAGCTGCGCGCTTTGGATAAGGAGTCTGAGCGGGCTCAAAGGGTGGGACGTTTCAACTCAAGCAGACAAAAAATAGACAGCAATGCTGTAGCGTTGTGCTTTTTGGATAACGGACCTGAGCAAGGTCAAAGGGTGGGGCCTTTTATTTTTAAGCTGGTGCAAAATATGCAGCAACCTCATAAACTTGCGCTTTTTGGATAAGGGGCCTGAGCTGGCTCAAAGGGTGGGACCTTTCAAGCAGGTCAAAAGTAGACAGCGACCTCATTCGCCTGCTCTGGTGGTGCTTGCAGGGTGGCGGTGGCTTGGTGTTGCTTTTGGGGTGTCGGCTCTCTGGATCATTGTAGGAAGGTACGCACGTGGAAGCTGGTGGGCCTTGTGGTGGATGTGGTGCGCGAGTCTCCACGAATTTCCAGCCGCCTGGCCTCGGGGGGTTGTCTTTCTGTTGGTGTCGTGTTCGCGTGTGTGTCGTCGGTCTTCAGCTTGTGCCGCGCAATCGGGGGCGGCCCTCGTTCGTTCGTGTGGTCGGTGTCTGGTGTGGTGGCTGCCTGCGGGGTTTCTGCCGCATTGGTTTCGCCGTCGTGTCGCTTCTTTTGTTAGTTTTATATAAGAAGAAGCGTGGGCCTTTTCGCTCCGGTGGCCTTGAAAATTAGAAAAATTTTAGCAGGCTTTTAGCGACTTAGGTTGGCCGTTGTGGTCTGGCTGAAGGCTTGACAGAGTAAGTGCCTCACAGATAGCACACGTGAAGCAGCTGAAAAGTAGGCAGCAACGTGACGCCATAGAGCTGCGTGATTTGGATGGAAAACCCAAAACGGCGCAAAGAGTAAGACCCTGCAAACGGGCGGAGAGTAGAACGGGGCCACCCCCGAGCTTTCTCCATGGAAAGGGTGCGCTGTGGACGTTCTCACGGTGAGCGGAGTCGGGCGTAGTGCTTCGCCCAAAATGCTGAGAACCGAAGACAAAAAGCTTGGGCCCCCCTCGCGACACTGCCACCCCGGAGACGCAACACAATCCAAGGGGAGGGGGTCCACGCCCAAAACCCCCGCCAGGAAGCGCGTGAGGCTCTCACGGTGAGCGGAGTCGATCGGCGTGCTTCGCCCAGCCACTACGCTGAGAACCGAAAGCGGCAGGCTTGGAGTGATCTGCCTAAGTATTTGACTCTCGGCCAATGTATTGGGTTACTCGTTTACTTCATTCGCTTGACGTAGTTCCTTTTGGGTGTTTCGGGTGCTGCCGGGGTGAGTGTTTGCGTGGCACGTAGTAGCTTGTAGCACGTAGCTGCGGTGCTTATTCCATAGCCTGCCACTCTTTACGTAATTCGTAGCACGCTGGTCGGCCGTGTGCGTGGGTTTTATGTAACTCGTAGCATTTGCAAGACCCTTCTGCCCTGCCCCGGCGTGTGTACACGCCGGGGGCACGTGGGCGGTGATAGGTATACTTTTGAAGTTATTAAAATAGTCGCAGTTAGACGAGTTGAAGTTCTTCTAAGAACCTTAGTGAAGATACTATTAAAGTAGTCCTCGCAGTTAGTGTTAGAGTTGGAGATGGAATCTTTAGAGTTGAAGATATTAAAGTCAAACACGTCGACGTCATCTTCAGGAGCTCTAATTCTTCTTCGATCGCATCCTCTTCAAGATTAGCAGCAGAATCGCCGCCGCAAGTATCTTCCGCGACAACAACACCTTCCGAAGAACCAAAATTAGAAGCACCGGCAACCCCCAAGGAATCGAAAGTAGAATCACCAGCAACCTCCGAAGAACCGACATCAGGAGTAGATGAAGATCTAGATCCACCACCAACACCATCTCCCGAAGAACCATCATCCGAGGAACCAAAACCAGAAGCAGGAGCAACCTTCGCAAAACGAAAATCAGAACCATCAGAAGCACGTGATGGAAGTTTTGACAGTGTAGCAGCCCAGCGGGCTGCACCTTCTGCAACAAATCTAGAAGATCCGGAGACCGTTAAGATTAAGGCTACTTTTTGACAATCTCAAACAAACTATGCCGAGTAGAGTGCCGCTACTTGATTTAATGTGGGAAACAAAATCGGAAAGGAGCCACTCTACTCACTGAGCCCCGGCTCGGATGCATAGTGAAAATGATCTACTTAGCCCTAACTATTAAGCGGCGGAGACCTTCACTGTGAAAGAAAATACGGAAAAGGAAAAGCGCCGCGATGGGGTCAACGCTGCCCGAGAGCAGGAAAAAGAGGACAAAAGAGTTTAAGACCTTTGCTCAACCTCCTCCTCAACCGACAATATTACTGTGTACTATGATGTATGATGCCACTCGCACTCATTGAGGGCGAGGAAGATATGGGAATGTCGTCCCTAAGTAAGAGGATAACGGGGGAGCGACATTCCCCAATCGACATTCTCAATGGGTGGAAGCCTTCGCATTAGGCTAGTTCTAGTATGCATATGGATATGCCCCCTTGTCCTTATTAATATTAGCGAAAACTGCGACAGATCAAGAAACGACAGATCTTCAAGCGCTTCATTTAAGCCTTCCCGCCTATACCATAGTTTTAGTTGTCGATCTTGCAGTAAATAATGAGAATCATCCTTAGTATAAGCCGATCTTTAACGCGCATTCTAAGGTGGGGAAAAGGAGCTTCGGAAAAAAATGCCCGAAGACTTCCCTCAGTGTGAGGTTAAGGCCGATTCTTGATCCACGGAGTTGAGCTGGGATTGCGCAGGATCCCTAACCTAACCTAACCTAATTAACCCAGAAACATTGACATGCTAAGTCAACTCACTCTTCAGCGTAGTAGTACTACTCGACTTCCACGCTGTTTGTTTCGGTTTTCATTCTGATTGGACGAACATAGACGGACTACGTTCACTTCTACAACTGTCTTCTTGAATTTAGAAAACAGTACTAGGGAGGAGGTGCCTACAGCTACAAACTTGTTACTTTTTTTCGATTGATAGTTTTAGATTTTACTTAGTGTTAGTTCTTAGAGTACTAGCCTCTCTACAACAAAAACGTACTTTTTTCCCCCGATCAAGATCATCTGGATCACTCTACTAGTAAAGTCATCAATTATATACTTGCAGCTCGACTTATTTTTTGAACAGATAGATACATTGTCATGGATCTAATACTTAGCTGCGTGTTGCTATAGAGACGAAAGCACGTGGTGGCTTCCATAGTGTAAGTCGAGGCCTTGAGAATATGGCCAAGAAGCTGTCCAGTGCTGAAGCGTCGATCTCGATACTTGCGGCACAAATGATGGATGGCCGAGACCTTGCTGGGATACGGGAAAGCACGAAGACAAAAATTCTGGACCTGCGATTAAGGCAAGAGCATACTCATTACATGACCATGCTGAGCATACTCATTACATGACCATTCTGAGAATGATCATGCTACTTTGTTGAGAATTCCTCTTTACAGTACGGCTTTTCTTCAGAAGATTTTTTGAATCCACATACAGCAGACAACTAGACTACTAAATCTGAAAGGGGATCTTTCATGATTATAGTGCCTAGAGAAGTACTTGCCTGACTTTTCTTTTTTCGGTTTTTGTTTTTTCTAGTTAGGTATCGTATAGGTATGCTCCAACAACATTATTTTTGGTTATAGTGCCTACACCTAAGAGAAAGAGTAAGAGGTACAAAGCAATATTTTTGATTCATTGATCCCAGAGAGAAGATGACGCAGCCGATGACGATTCGAGCAGAACAAGTTCACAGCATATTTATCACTTATCTTGTTCGTGGCACCGTAAGTTCTTCAATCTCTTGAGTCTGGGACGGAGAAGGGAACTAGATCCACCTGAAAATAGCAACACCAAACTGAGTCTGAGAAGAAGAAGACGACTTAGCGTAAGCCAAAGCTCTAACGCAGAAACAGGCGGAAAAGGTACACCACAGGGCGGCGCAGTTTATCATAACAAAGAGGCGGACGACGTGGCCCGCAGCACTTCGGGAATAATATGGCTGAAAATAAATCTGAATCCACCTCCCTGCTGCTCAAATAGAGGCATCTTAAGCAAGTCCAAATGTATTATTGAGCACAGGATTAGCGCTTCACACGGTGAGGGGGATGAGCGTTACCGCTTTGCCTATCAGATAAGGACTCGGGGCGTTCACTTATCGACGAGAATAAGTATCGAAAACGACAAGGGCAGCTCAGACTTATAGTCCTACTACCGCAGTGGAAAATTGGTGTAGGTTGGGGCTAGCGCTCAAGGCCGATAGAGCTTCGGCGTCGACGCTTGTGCGGTTTATCCACTCATAGAATCCGCTGAAAATCTGACATCGCACTTTTGCAGCGTCATTTTCTTTATCGGTTGGTAGCGGCATATGTTATCGACCGACTTAGGCCGTGTCCCACCTTCTGGGGCAAAGAAAGGCGCTCGGTTGCTATTCTCTGCTACATCTACACGCGAGCCAAACCAATTCTATTAGAACTGATAGGCTACCGGGTTGCTGCGTGTTCGATAGGATTCATCTTCTTGAGGGAGCAGCATCAAAACCTAGATAGCCGGAAATGGGAAGGCTTTTTGCGGTCGTTGTGGTGTTTGCAACTTGGCAAGCCACCAGCTTCAGACTAAATTAAATCCGTACAGGGAAGTTCCGAAGGTTAGGCCTGGCTAGTGTGCGCGCGCTTTGCTTAATCTGCTTAGTAAGCCTTCAGCGAAGGGCTTCGGCTCTAAGTAGATCCTCGACTGGGTGACTAGCATACTAGGGGGCTAGGTGACAGGGTGCCCTTGGTTCTCAGTTTCTCTAAGTCTCGTCAGGTCTTACTCATCGGGCGCCGCTTATCATGAACACCGCAACAAACTCACAAGAAAGACGACGCGACACATCTAGACTCAAGAGAGTTCAACCCTCTAAAAGACTCAGGAATGGGTGCAAAAGACGGAAGCAGAGAAGGCTTCGAAGATGGTGGCTGGCGGTTCGTCTGAAGATGATGATGAAGCTACGAAGCGGAGGCGAGATACAGTTGCTCGGGTACAAAAGAAGATCGTCGACGGGCTGCTCGATCGTGCGGTCGAAGCTGTAGCTATGATTTTTTTACTTAGACTTTATTCGTTGAGTATTAATTTCCTCCGTGTTAGCTTCTTCCGTCTTAGTGGTAGCATTTTTGCCATTGGTGCCTTGTGAAGTCTTCTCTTTCAAATTCAGACTCAAACTAATCATACGTGTGAGCCCTTTGAGGGTTTCAAGCTCTCCGTCTCCAATGGGTGCAGCAATGCAGCAATGCAGCGCTGAGGACCATAATACAGCTACACTAACACGCTGCGCGGCCTAGTAGAGTTCAGCCTCTGCCTGGTCGTCGTCGTGGTCGTGCTGGTTGAAGATAAGTACTTACTTTAGCACAACTCCTTTGAATCTATAAGGCGGCACTGATTGAGAACGAAGCAGAGGGAATGTCGTGGAGACACTCCTAAGGGGAGGCACTCCTAAGAGGTCGGAAGCACATTAGGGGACGCCATTCCCTTGCTGACATTATCAATCAGTGGCGTCATTCATATAACCTAGCTCCATCTAGTCCTCTGCTGAGTCGAAGTTTTAGCTTGCATTCTTTGAATGGGGAATGGCGCTAACCCTTGGCATCTTTGCCCTGCTGGCCAGTAGGAGTAAGCGAGACGAAACTACTAACAGAACTGCGCCTAGTACTTTTGCCTCATCGTTGCTAACTAGTAGTAGCGCTGGGTGGTATTACAATTACTACATTATAGTATAGTGGTTAGTGCTGGCGCTACTTTTGGCACCAGTAGCAGTACTACCGCGAAGCAAAAAATAAAAGGGATGAAGTCGATTATTGAAGAAACCTATGTTGCTTAGTCGTGTCCCTTCTTCATCTTAGCTAAGCTAAGAAGAACGGTCGCCCGATCTATCCTCGCGCTCTACTTTCAGGACCTAGACTTACCACTACGTGCCTGACAATATACGAGACAGCGTCTACTTCTACTGCTAGACCATTTTTCTTGTCCATACATTGAAGATTATTCATTTGACACTAGCAGAAGCAGACTATCTTCTAATGATCAAACGGTGGCGAGCCTCGTGGGGGAATTGGAGTCGTCGTCACGTTTATGATCACTGATAGATTGAGAACGCGGCAGAGGGATCACTGATCACTGTTGTCCCATGAAAAAGGGGCGCTTTAGGGATCACTGTTGTCCCGGCCACAGGGGCGCTTTCGGGATGCTTGTCCATAGTTGTTCCCGGTCTTGGGTATTTAATCAGACCACTTGACTCGATTCTGATTCAGCTCGGGCCCTCGATTGCGCCCGCCCCTTCTGAAGTCTCGGTCAGCAGTTGGCTTTTCTATCCCTTTACTAGGGTCTACGCTTCCTCTTAAGCTTAACATCCTTGGGAATCCTTTCAGGAACTGTCTCGTCTTGCCAAAGGTACTTCGTGACCATCTGAGACGCAACGATGACGATGCGCAACAGCTTTACTTATTCTTACATCTCATGTCCCCACAGCATGTGTATGATCTTCTTCGACAACAACACTTAGCTCTTTGTCGTGGTCTCAGTGTCAGCCTTCTTGTAATTAATATATGATCTTCTTCTACAACACTTCCGGCTCGTCGTCTCAATCTTTATCTTCTTCTACTTCCCATCATTATTATATGGTCTTAGTCTACAACTATCCCTCGGCCTCGTCTCAAGCAGTGGTCTCAGTGATTATTAGAGATGCAAAACCTTGCGATTCGCCACTTCGACGACTTACTGACCCAAGCAGAGAGGGACACGCTCTTATGAAGTAGATCTGTAGTTGTACTTCTCATATTTTTTCAGAAACAAGAGCAAAAGGTTGTACTTCTTATAAATATAATTTCAGAAATAAATTACTACTAACTTTTGTTCTGTCTGCTCAATCATAGATATAATTTCAGAATGAAGGTGCTTTTACATCTACTGCTGAATATCATATAATTTCATAAGGTGCTTCTACTTCTTAATATCTTTCAGAAAATTACTACTAACTTCTCAATCTCATATAATTTCAGAAATTTACTACTAACTTTTCAATTTTTGAGAGTGAGATATCATAATCATGGTCGTAAGCAAAATAAGTTCATAATTCATTTTCTCCTCTCATGATAATCGAAGGAAATCGGCGTCGAGCAAGTAGTCGACAACCATCAAGACGAAGAAGTGCGTCCAGTGGTCGACGAGGCCAAGGCAGAGCCCACGACCGAGGCGGACGCGGCGGCGGTGCAGGCTACATGTTAAGGGCTTCCATATTGCATTCTGCACTTCTTACTCCATACTCCATTCATCATTTTTCGAGGAGTAAGAAGAGAACTTACTGACTTATATATTAACAGGGATGTTCTAGTCATAGAAATACTGTCAGACGACCACGTCTCTACGGTCATCGTGAACGATGGTAACAGGGACAAGCGCACGCAGAATGCAATGCGGAAACCTCTAAGTATGAGCAGGAGGGACAAAGATATGAGACCCTGACCAAGAGAACGGGTGGAGGGAGGTTAGGGTCGGTCGCTGAGGGATAAGGTTAGGGTTCGTAGTTTAGGGTGGGACTGATAGGTGAGGGGTATAGTTGGCGAGGGTTAGAATTGGGGAGACATAGAGTTGGGGCGGGGCGGTAGAGTTGGAGCTGTTAGGCTTAGGATTAGCATCGTTGGAGTTGGTGAGGCGCGGTAGGGTTTGCGTTTGCCTGCTAGGGTTGAAGCCATCAAATTTACCTTGTATCTTCAGACTCTGACTCTGCTTATCGAAGGTCACTATCACTTAACAAAGTCAAGACATCAAGTCATGAAGATTTTTATTATGCACAGACATATGCGTATCATGCAGATGCTCCGATAATTTGAATTTGAACTAGTAGTTGTTGTATGATTGAAACAGACAGTACAGGAATCGAAATAGAAATTGTTGAAACCATTATTTCTACGGAGAACAACGCTGAATGAGTAGAAGATTGAGATTCACAGTGGCTGCGATGTACGATGGAATTTATTGATGCACAGTGGCTACAATGATAGAACTCATGGACAGAAATGGCAACAGAAGTAGAAGAGCGTTGATCTTGACGAGGTCCACGACGATGGTATGCTTGAAACTATGACAAAGCTGCACAGAGACAGAGGATTCGAATGCGTGTGATTTACTTTTGACATTTTTCACATTTCCCAAACTGAAACTTGAAGATGACTATGTTATACAAAAGCTTCGCATGATTTAGATTTAGTACCTATCAGCACATCGTTTCACATTTAAATCCAACGTTTCTTCACTGGTAATGCACAGAAAAAATGCACAACAAACGTGATATCAAAAGCGAATGAGAAAGGGCAGAGCGCCGCTTGTATTCGAAGCTATATTTATGAATTTATGCTTGCACCATGAAGATGAATATCGACCATGATCAAGCTGTGTGAATACGTTTCTTGCACTAATATCGAGCATGATCCACAAAAGACAACATCAAGAATTACGTTTTTACGTCGGACTCGGACCCCATCGTCAGTATAATCCACGGCCACGTTCAGACTCGGAGTTATGTATATCATTTTGGGGATGAAGATGAACTTGAAACACAAAACACAAAGATCAACATCATGGGGAAGAGTACGTCAGTCATGAGATAGCATATGCACATGCAGAAAGGGACAACATCATTAGAGACTGCTTTGCATATGCATCGCGGAGACCACTTGTGGAGCAGCCTCCTGAAGTGCAAGTTCAAGTTCAACTTCTACTCAGGAGAGTTCTTCTATTGCTATAATTGAACAGCTGGTGTCGGTAGGCGGGAAAGGGAATCCGAGTGGCAAGGGCAACTAGTGCCACCTGTGTACTGCTATTGGTGTTGGAGGAACTGGAACAGGCGCAGAAGTAGAAGACGTATTATCGTTGTTCCTATCTTTTGCAGAATGATCGGTCTAGTTATTTTGCAGACTCGGTCTTCCAGATTCGTGAGAGGCTTAAAAATGACTAATTGAGTTTGAGAAGTTTGTCCCTAATCATTTGTAGTCTACTTCAAGCTTGATTTAGTGGCACTAGAAGTAGAACAAGTCTTCTTCACATTAAATTTTTTTGATTAAACCCCAAAAGAGATATCGTGATGTCAAAAATACCTCGTCTTCTATTTCTCTAGAATAGCTAACGTTGCGTCGTTAGTACATCGATTTCAACTCTAATACACGACGCAATCAAAGACAATGCGCACCATCTTCTGTCGTCTTTCTTGCTCTCGTCGATTTGCTACAAGTCCTTGCCTTCGCGGCCAGGGACAGGGGTCATCATGTTAAGGGTAGTTTTTCACTATTTCATGTGGGCTATGCTGAGCGGGCCCCTCCTGGATTTGAAGGGGAATCTAGTAAGGAGCAAAGAGGGCAATCCACTCGACTCGGGATAGTGAAAGACTACCTTTAACCATGGTGGCAGCGTTACGTATACGGCCTGAACCCTGCTAATCCAGAACGGAACAAAATTGCGCAACTCTTTGAACTATGCTGAAAATGATACTTAATGACGACGACCATTTGAAATTTTTCAATGAGAACGATGCTGATCATGATGGAAAAATATAGCGCGCAACTCCAAATGTAACTCATCTTTGTTAAATTAAAAAATCATTTTCATTTGGTCTACTGGATGGCGGCAGCTCGTCCACGGACTTAGTCTTAGTGACTATAATTTGCTCAACAAGTCCTTCTAAGTTACTTACGGTAGAACTATCTCTATCCCCGGTTTTTTATCATCTAAAGAAGGCAGAGCGGGTCGATCCGTTGTTACTGGAGAAGGACGAACTCGAACATTTTCGCAAATTTTTCCTGGCAGAGCAACGGCAGTACAAAGTAGAGGATGAAGCACAGGCCTGGTCAAACGTAAAAACTAAGTACCCTGAGAAGTTCAGACGCATTCAGTACAAGTTTGGGAACACGTTTAAAACAAGTTATACTAACGAGGAAAGCGACGAGGCACAGTCGACAACTTGCGGGTGAGAACAACGTGGTCTAAGAATCACTAAATGATCTACAACAAGAGCAATCACATACTAGAGTACTTAACTTCTAGTTGTACTTGTAGAGCACGTATATTTTATCAAGACTTTTTAAAGAAGTCAGCGGTGTTGGTTGTAGTCATGTCTTCTACAAGGGTTGCGACACTACGACAAGCTGTCACTAGCTTCGAGACGGTTCTTATGCAGTTGAAGAACCAGAAGAACCGATCTCAAATAAAGCCTCAAAAACTTTCAACTCCTGCTTCATCAACTGCGATTGCACAACAAGAACGGGTGCCTCCTGTACTAGAGCTTCTATCACCAACTTCTATCTCTGGACGAAATACACCTCCACGTAATGAAGCAGAAGTAGTTGTAAAGACGAGGAGCCACGAAGATGTCCCTCCAGTAGCTGATGCAGAACTAGTACGTAGAACTACAGGACATGGACGTCGGAGAACAAGATCGTTTAATTCCTCGTGTCCCAGTACTCCTACTCCCACGACTCTTGCTCTCAATGCGGCTCGAAACGCAGTGCAAGCATTCGATGACTATGGACTGTTGACAGAGAGCAAGACTACGCCGCTACTGGCCTTGCGCCTTCTGCGAGGACTCTTATCTGTAGCTACCGATTCTGAATCTTCCGGTACCAGTGCAAATCGTACTACCACTGCACTACATACTCCAAAAGGTCAATCCTCTGCTGCTTGTTCTAGACAATATCCTCCTGACAGAGCAGAGGGCTGTGAGACCTCTGAGAAGTCCATTCTGTCTTCTCCTAGTCCTACAGGCATGCTGTCTTCTCCTACAGCCCTAGACGGGCTTGGTCTAGCACTCTCGGAGGCATCTGAGTCGCGGCTCGCAGTGAGTGACTACCTGGACTGGGCACGCTTAGCGAAAAAGCAATTGGAGATACTAAACCCTAAGCCCGCCTCTCCTCGGAAACTAGAAGATCATGAGGACGACCACGACGACTTGACCCTAGTTTCTTCTTCGAAGCAAGACAAAGAATTCAGACTAGACAAAGGTCGCGAACGATCTTCTCCACTATTTGTCCAAGCACTGCTTTCTGCTCTTCAGATGCCTGATGTTGTCCGAGAGTTACAGAAATCTTCAAATCCACTAGGAACAACAAGGGGAACAACTACAAAGCACGGCATCGATGGTTACAGACAACTCATTCATCTAGCACAAATAGTTGGTGACCTAGAGGTAGAGGTAGACGATAATATTCCTGAGATATTAACATCTAAATCTATTACATCAGCGTCAAACACTAGCACATCATCCGGAGCTGTCTTGACTAGAAAACACTCGCGCGACCACCTCCAATCGCTTCCGCCACTTGTCTCTGCGGTTGCAGCGTGTGTAACGGGTTTGCCGGGACGTAGAGCGAGTGTTTGGTCAACAGAGGACCTGATAGGCATTCTGCGTGTTTTCGAACGACACAAGCATACCCTTGTCATAGATATTGTAGGTCAAGAGATTCGTACAAGACTTGCGAGACGTTCTGTCCTGCGTGACGAAGGGAAACAGTTACGATTTTTTGGATGTCGTTCACGTGGATTCGATCATCTTCATCATCCTCAAACGATTATACCCATAGTAAACATTTAAGTAGTACTCCTCGTAGTTAGAGTCTTCATATTTTTCCTGACGCCGCCTCGCTCTCGCAATAGGTAACCTAAATATGTAAGTAGTAGTAGGCCCACGAGAAGTATCACATTGACTTTGACTATGACATCGAAGCCTTGTCGTCACGCAACACGATTACAGCAAGTCATCAAGTAGCATGTCAAAGGCAAAGTCATCAATTCAAGACGTCTACTACTTACTACAACTAGGGCGATCTGTTCATCCACATTCTCTAGGACTATCTAATCTCCATAAGCGGTTACGATGCGATTGAGATCCTTGAATGCTACGCGCGGATGGGTTTTAGCGATGAGGAGCTCTTTTTAGACCTATGGAAAGCTGTACGAGCAGCCATTGGGGAAACGACCAATTTTAAGGCTCTCGCAGAAGTAGTGACTCAAGTGGAAACGAAACAAATGATAATGATGATAACAGTACTACTTCTACTCTTGCTTCTAAGTACAGGGACCAGACAGGAACCAACAGGCAAGATAAATGCCTCAGATTGCAGTTTTCCAACTTGAAGAGGTACAGACAGCAGGTAACATCTCTACTATTAATATTGCAGTTTTATAACTTATTAGGATTAGACAGGGACCGGAGAGGGACTGGCTTCCTCTTCGAGTTGGAAAACTGCAATATTAGACAGGAGGACTAGACAGGGTCAGCTCTCTAATATTGCAGCTTTCCAACTCGAAGAGGAAGCTTTGCCACCAGGATGGGGAGAAATAGGAGCTGCAATCCGTGAATATGACAGAGAGGAATGTCGAAGTGGTTGTACTACGGATCTTGCAGACCGTTCAAGTTCATCGGGTACCTCGACACAAACCCACACTCACCTTTTTCGTCTCCTACATCGTATTCTCTCCGCCTCAACGACGTTAGAGTCGTCTGCGGGTTTTAAGACCTTAGCGGAGGTGACTGAAATCCTTGACCGGTTTCCGTCTCTTTTGCAAAATGCATCTTTCGCTGATCGATTTGAATGCCTTAGAGGGCTTACTGTCGCCAATATTTTCCTACCCCGTGCCTTGGTGAAGCGCCTCAGTGCACCGCCGTCGAGTAAACGATCATCTGGCTCTAGTGCTAGAACAAGCAGATCTTCTAGTTTTTCAAGAAGTAGATTTAATACGTCGAGTGCTACTAGTACTTTCTCCCTCGACGTCGACGATCAAGCACATCAAGCACTACCTTCGCTGCGCCTTTTCTGTGAGTTAGCGGCGTGTTATCCCGGGGATGCTCTACATGAGGAAACACGAAAGTTCTATTGGACTCAATTGCAACGGATTGTGCTCGCCAGTGTACCCTCAGCATCAAAAAAGAGGACAGCAGCGCCTGCTCTTCTTGACGATCTCTCAACGATGGAACTTCCTGATCTAGCAAATCTTAAGCAGTTTTGGTGTGAATGTAGTTGTAGTATTAGCAGTGGAAGGCGAGATACTGGTAAAAATACAAAGAGTAGTACTTTCCTTGGTCTTGGTGCTGGTGGTAAAGGGATGAAACCGGCTCTAGTTTCCTACTACCGAACTTGGTGGATGCTATTGTGGCACACTGCTCAAGCCTACGCGACAGCAAGTCTTCCACTGATCGAGCGGATTGAGGCTCGGGATCAACTCGTTTGTTCACTTTTCGGCGCATGGACACGAGGGGGCACTACATGGTCTCCTGGCGTGAAGAGAAGCGCGTCGAATTGGAATTATGCTGTTGAAGATGATAGTTGTGGGAGCTTGATGCGCGAACGGTGCAATGGTGTGGATGTCCCTGGAGGTTCTCCTGCAGGAAGTCAAGAGGTGCTGGATTGCAGCTCAGAAAATACTGGTGCTGAGGTCGTCGACGTGGACATCAGTTGTTCATCTTCATCATTATCTCCAAATTTTCTGCAGGCATCGCCAACAATGTGTGCTCGCGCACTCCAGGTTCTTGTGCGTATAGAAAAGGACTTAGAACCGCCAAAAGATGAAAAAAAGGATGAAGCACTGAAGAAGAACGTAGTCCAGCTTCTAAGTGACCTTGGCTTTGCACCAGCTTTCGAAAAGCTCCTGGATATCTATCCACGAATGATCGTACTGCCACCGATGTGAAGGTGTTTGTCGTGACCATGGACATTTTTGTACTCATTTTTTTGCGTACTAAGTACAAAAGCAACAAAGATGCAAATGCATCTCGCTCACAGCCTAGACGTTTTACCTTGCGCCGTCCCCTCTGCATGTTGCGCGAGATTGATAGGTATCACGAAAGTCGAAAGAAGTGTAGTGAAATATACCTACTTCTCATTCTCGAACGAAGTTTCCTTGAAGAAGGTCATCCGTGAAGATGCAGATGGTTCTTGATCTGCTGGCTTTGGTTTTTCAAAAAACTGGATCGACTTTCAAAAGTTTTAAACTTTGCACTTTCCATAGGTCATTGAGTTTTCAACGATCTGCATTAACTCTACTAGATGTGACTTTCTTTGATTGCTAATGCTATGCTTTACGTTTACCATTAGCATTACAATCTGGAAAGAAAATCATGAAGTGCGACTAATCAAACTACATCATGATCTACAACAAGATGTACAAAGACAAGCTTACTTCATTCAATCATAATATGAGAAGAGACAAATAAGACTGACAAAAAATGGATCACCACAATATTCTCTTGAGTCAGCAAAATGCGCCTGAGAACATCGCACATGTGCTTCAGGGCATGCAGGCAGACATCGCAGCCAATGTTTCCTCTTTCGATCGTAACGACGATGGGGAAAATACAGAAGTTTTGGACGAATCCTCAGCGGATGAGCGAGTTGGAGAAGCACTAGGCGGTAATGGTAAGGACACAGTCAATAAGCGGGGAAAGAGACGCCAGAAAGATGTTGATGGCGTTGGTGACGAAGGTGGCATGAAGAGGGTACAAGACGATGCTCTTGGAGCTCAGCAATACTCGCGAACAAGAAAGGAAAATAACGACAAATCTCAGGAGAAAGATGAGAACCATGAAGATGGTGACTCCTCTAGTAGTGGTACTTCTGAACAAGAAGATGAAAGCGACGAGTCGAGTTCCTCGTCGGAAGGTGAGGGTCCTGTTTTTCGTGCCTCACACTTTCTACGTGCTTACCAAGCAGCTGCTAGAAAGCGGGAAATCGAGAAGGAACAGCGAAAAGCCGAGAGAGAACGTCGAAAAGCAGAATTCGAGAAAGAGAAACTAGAACGAGCGAAGCAGCTCGAGGCAAATAGGGAAAGGAATAAGACTGAAAAGCGTGATGCAGGTGTCATATTTGATGATGATAGCGACCAAGCTGTTGCAGAGAAGGAGAAGGCCCATGAAGCTGCGAGAACGGCCAAGAAGGAAGCAGCTAAAGGAAGTGGCACTGAGGATGAGAATCCGGTAGAGCAATTAAGGCTTGACGCAAGTCCAGTTCATTTCCTCCAAAGGTCAGTTTCTTCGGTTTCCTTCTTAGCATTCCGAAGAAGTGAATATGAAGGGAAGAAGTGAAGTGCTTCGAGCTCTAAAACAACGAGACCATGGAGGAGCAGGTGGAGTACAGGCAGCTGAAAGAGAGACGGTCGCGGGTGAAGCTAACGGAGACACAAGAACTACAAAAACAGAAGCGAAAAAGATCGCAAAAAAGAAGAGGAAGAAGACTTCTAAAGTTTCTGGCGCTGGTGCATCTTCCACAGAAACGGTCGATCGAAAGAATGATCGAGGTCTGCCGGTCTTTAGCACGAGCAAAGGTCGAACAAGAAAGCGCATCGCTCGCAAGACTGGGTTTAAAGCAAATGTAGAGAGGCGTGTAGCCAAGTGGACTTCACGGGTTGTCGATGGCGAAAAGGAGTCCTTTTATTATGACAAAGAAAAGAATCGAGTCAGAATTAGATGAATTTCTAAACAACTGGAGGAATATGTATTTGCTATGTTGTTCCTTTGCGGTAGCGCGCGCAGCTCTTCTCTGTTAGTCTATTTTCTACTTCCTCTAATCTCCCATTTCCCTAATGGGGGGAGTCTTCGCAAAATCAACGCAGAAGGGCGCTGCTTTTCGACAGCAGAAGCTGGATTTCTCTACGTTGAAGCGATTCAGCGTGAACACACACAAACCGAACGCCAGTAGCCGAGTCAACGCAGCTCTCTTCCGATTCTTGTATCCTGCGCAAGCCCAATTTCATAGAACGGCACTAGCGATAATGATGAACAAAACCGATGATAATCAAGTCCATGCTCCTCAACAAGTAGAAAGTGCGACCACGAAAGCTGCTGCTGTTGGCGAAGGCGCGACTAAAAACAAAGAGGAAACAAACGCAATGCGCCAATCCCAAAAGTCCGAAGATTCGTGGACTGACCTTCCTGAAGATGAGGACTCGCGATTGTCGTTGGGTTACTATGGCGTGCCACCCAGTGTCCAGATGCGATATCGCGATGAGATGAATATCTCGCGCCTGTGGAAATGGCAAGCCAAATGTCTACACACAGAAGATATGGATGAGGCTTATGCCATCCGTACGACAGTCGCGGCCCCCCTTGATGCTAAATAGCTATACGTTTTTAAGAGGAAAAGGGTAGCCGTGATGGTCTGGCTAGATGGAATAGACGCCATTCATAAGAGACGTCTTAGACTATGGGCGCAGCTTGGTGTACACAGCGCCAACTTCAGGAGGAAAATCGCTAGTGGCTGACATTCTGATGATGCGTCGACTACTTTACCAAGGGAAACGAGCCTTGGTTTTGTTGTTATGTTCTTCATTTAAGTAGTTAGTTTTATTTTCGCACATCATTTATTTTCCTGACTACAAGCAAGAACTTGTGGAGGTAGCGGTCATATGCAGTACCTGTAAAATCATGCAGCGCGGTCTTCAAATGAAGACTATTTACTAGATGATTTGGATATTGGCCTGCTGGGTGACGAATATTACGAAAAGGTCAACGATGAATTCTTTCATTATCTAAAATCCCCCTTCGTCTCCATTTGCAACGAGAAAGTAACGGCTCTACAGCGTGTCTGGGGTGAGATTGTGCGAGTACAGGGCTTTTTCGGACCTAACCAAAGCGGAAACTGGCATCCCAGTGTAGACGTTGCCGTTTGTACCTACGAAAAAGCCAATGTCTTGATCAGTAAGTGGATCGAGGAAGACACGTTGGGACAAATTGGAACGCTCGTTATTTTAAGGCCTCTCGCAGCTCTAACCCATCTTCACACATTTTTTGAAAATCTGATCCATCTCCACATGATCGTCGTCCCGAAGCATTTTCATCAAAGCTTCTGGTGAGGCTGTCTCATATTAAGAGTACTAAACTACTAAAACCATAACCATAAGAGTACTAAACCTAAAACCATATCAGAACTTGTCTCTACGGGTGCTATGGACAACACTACCAGGGACGTACACATGAGATGATGCATCATGATGAACCACCCCGCCAAAGTAGACCATTTTTAGGGTCGGATGTCCTCGGTCGTGAGCTCCAATCACAGACGAACTACATATGGTTTCGGATCCCGACCGAGGATATATCCTCGAGCTGATTCTCACAAAAGTTCGATTGTATCAGAGAAGATACGAGAAGTTGAAGGCACTCGCTGCCAGAACAAACCGAGATATGGAGATCTTGGATGTGAAGAACTCTTCGATTTATGAGGAGAAGAACAACAGCAGGATGATTACTCATACTCATGCTTCATCTCAAGTACAAGCTCAAAAACCTCCTTTGCAACTATATTCCAGCTTTCACGTAATCGACATTAGATTAATAATGAGCCTTGTTCTACCATGATTGTTGACGAGTATGAGAAGTAATGATTCAATATTGTTGTCTTTTCATACTTCGGCAAATACAGTCACTCCGTTTGAGGCAACCCGCGACGTGGACTTGCAGATAATCGGCTTATCAGCTACACTGCCAGATGTTCCGACTATTGCGCAATGGTTAGGTGCAGGACTTTACGAGACGAAGTTCAGACCCGTTTCCCTCGGTTACAAGGTGCAGTTCAACAAGAGGGTCTACTCCTTTGATGGCAGTGATATCGAGGCATATAAGAATCGAAGTACCGCTTTTCTTGCTTCGAATGTTGCACATGAGAAGAGGCCGCGAGATGAAGGTCAAGATGGTGGAAGCGAAACGTCAGATCTTCAGAAGCGCAGACGCCTTGACATGACAGGAGAACCTGCTGTTGGTGATGAAGCGGGAGCAGTGGACGAGAATCAAGCTAAGAACACAACAACCTCAGCGACGACTGGTAAGGTTGTTGTACGAGGGCTCTTTATTCCAGCAGCCGCGACCTCTGGAATTGGTGAAACTGATATAGTTAAAAATATCGCACCAGCAGAAGCAGAACGCCTCGGCGAAGGGACTGCCTCCGATAGCACCCGACAACAAGCAAAACCAAAATCAAACCTCGAGCAAAGAGTGGTTTATCCGACCAAGCTTTTCGCTTCCCCTCCAAAAACAGGAGGTACGCATGGCCGCATTTTATCGAACCTCCCTCCTTTGACAAGCGCGACAACAGCAGGCCCTTCAGGTGGGGGTCCTGCGTCACTGGTAATACAACAAGGACAACATCAAGATCACGTATCATCTCCAGACTTATTTTTAGCCTTTTCCAAGGAAGGAGTAACAGGGAAGGCTCTCGATCTGCTTTTCCAGAGGGATACAGACGGCGTTTCCACCTGCATTTTCGAAGCCATGTGTAAAAATGAGTCGACCTTATCCTTCTGTTCTTCCAAGAACTGGTGTGAATCTCAAGCATTGAAGATTGCTGAAAATGTAAGAGAACACGTTTTGCCGAATAAGACGCCTACGACTACCACAGGAGAACTACAACAGCCGGAGAATATCCTCGATGCTATGGAAATGGCGCTATTGGAGTATGAGGAAAGGTGTCGCGAAGGGATCCGCAAATACGAAGCAGATCTCAAAGTTGTGTCTGCTTTGGCCGAGAAGCAAGGTGATAATTAAGGCTACCGCTGAAGCATCTGCATCCTCAAAACGATTCTTGGCCCTTTGTTTCTTTTGCCATTTGAAAAAGGGCCAAGGTTGGTTGTAGTCACAGGTGCAAACGTGGTTGCTCTAAGATGAAGGTAGGGCACGAAGCTACACCATACAGACTTTCACGGATGCCGGTGACTGCAGTATGTCACCCCAGAACCAAGCTGCTCTAGAAGCCTTAGTTTTGGGCAAAGTGCATGGGAGTGACGCGCATAGACTGAATAACTTTCCGAAATCGCCGAAATTGAGGCAAAAACTCGGCATTATATTCGAGGACGTGGAAGGTGAGGAGAACGATGCGCCCGCAAACGACGCAGCAGATTTGGCTTTAGGGTCTGGAGGTGTGAATGGAGTAGACAAAGAAGAACTACGCGCTCATATTCGCTCTTGTATCTCATGCCTACCACCTGAGCCAGGCATCGTGAGACTAGTCGCCAATGCCTCCTACGGGACAACAAGTTCAAGGACTAGTAGAACGCAGAAAAACTACATCAACACTTCTACAACTTCTTCTTTCTCTTCTTCACCATCTGCATCTTCTCCCACATCAAGAGCATCCGCCGCTGCGCAACAGCTGTTGTTAGAGAAGATTCAATCCCGCGTCGCCGCTGGACGGTTGTTGTTTGCGCGTCGTCGAGTATTATTGAACAAGCTGCGGAAGTGCGCCGCGGGTTTGGATGACACCTTGGCTCAGACCATTCCTTTTGGCGTCGCTTATCATCATGCTGGTCTGCTAGTGGAAGAGCGAGCGATATTAGAGCATGCCTTTCGGGAACGCACAATCTTAACCTTCTGCTGTACGACGACTCTGGCAGCGGGTGTAAACTTGCCGTGTAGAAGAGTGTTGCTTACGATGGATGTTGAATCTACTGTGTTAATGATAATGAAGCGTTAACGACGAAATAATTTGACCAGATTATAATCTACTTAAGTACGTTGATTCTTCTACTTGATCTTCAACGAATTGATAATTACAACTTCCGTCTTCAAAGCGAAAGATTTGATTAATACCACAGGCACACCCAGGATGCACTTTCTAATCTCCTACGAAGCACCAGAACGGGACCGGCGACGGTAGAACTATCACGATTCCTGCAAATTGTAGGGCGCGCGGGTCGTGCTGGCTACGACGATGCAGGAGAGTGTATAGTGTGGGCACAAGACAAACGGGAGCTCAAGGTCGTCACGGAGCTGCTCACAGGAACGCTTCCGCCTTTGGAGTCAGCCTTAACTGGTAAGCGGCTTCGTCGAGCACTATTGGAATGCGTGGCGCTGAACCTGGTAGACTCGGTTAGTGAGGACTTCATAGGATGTACTTTGAGAGGACAGTTTTTAGGAAATACATACTCAGGATCAGGAACAAGTCAGCCACAGCCTAGCCCTAGGGGAGGCGCAAATGCGGTGGTAGAAGGATGTCAGTCTACTACTAGCGATGGCGCTTTGGACAACACGAACACAGTGAAACAAGAAATCAAAGTGTCACGGAAGGCGGTCTCTCAACTGGCCCAAGCATATCAAAAAGCACGCGAAATAAAAAAACGCAAGGACGCACTGGAGAAGGAGGAAGAGGCAAAAGGCAGACACGCAAGAATGAGAGGCATTGTCAGCGGGACGTCCTTGAAACTCGGAGCTGGCTTTAAGGCTGAAGCATTTGGGGCTGGAGACGACGACAACGAAGACCTGGCCATTAGGCGAAAGAGGTACGAGGCAATCCGTGCAAGAATATTGGCAAATGAAGGTAAAGAACAAACTTGCACGACTCCTCAATGGGGAAGTACCACACCGCAATTTACACAGCAGCCACGAGAAGGGGAACAGGAACAGTCTACTCCACATAAAAATAAGTCTAGTCCTAGTGTTGATAGTGAAGAAGGTTCAGACACCTCAAATATGAATTGCCCTGGTCGTGGTGCGCGGGACAACTACCAGCAGACAACTGCTCAGGGTGGGCCGATAAGTCGACTCTTCGCTGCTCCACCAGAGCTTTCGAGTGTTGGTGAAGCTCCGAAAAGTAAAATGCGACTCTCCGTTATTGATGAAAATGCTGAGAAACTTTATGGAAGAAGAACAAGCCATGAAGCCCAAGGACAAGATTCTACGGCACCTAAGAAAGAACTTCGACGCGTTCATTCGAATGCGTCATCAGTCGAGCCAGGCGACAGTGACGCAGCTTCTGTAGGCTCTGCCCTGGTATTGGCTGAATCAACTCCGAGACCATCAAACGCAGAAAAAGAAGCAACGGTGGTACTAGCAGAAGACAAACCAGGAGAGGAGTCTTCCTCCAAAAAGCCAGCTTTAGTACCAGAGATGCTAACCCTAAGTCCACGCGAAGCTTTCGAGTTGGACTTGCAGGAATGTATTGAAGAGTTAACGCACATCAAATTTCTCGAATGGAAACGACCGAAAGGCGCGGACGCAGATATCTTCGATGCATGTCGAGAACAACACCAGCAGGCACAAGCTCTTGCAATGACGAGATGTTGTACTAGTGAAACTTACTACTGTAACTACGATGATGAAAATTTGGTACTGGAAGAATTCTACCCAGAGACGTCGTTTCAGATATTGGAGCGTGGTAGCACTACTCGGTCAGAAAGAAGAGGAAACCAACACGCAAACGACACGGGGAATGGCGATGTTGTCGAGATGAACAAATACAACGAAGAAGGAGTCGAACTGCAACGACAGTCCTCACTGAATAGCGAGGGCAACAAGTCTCTGAACAGCGAAGGCAACGAGTCTGAATTACAGGAGCGAATGCGATTATACTGCTCCAACGTAGGGGATGCTTGTGCATTCAGCAGTATGGAGACGAAAAAAGCAGCCCTTCTCCATGAGGAGTTGGACCACGCACGTGAAGATGGAATTTCTTTGTGCTGTGACTTGCACTGTCTCTATCTTTGCGTCCCTGTAGACGCGTGCTTGGACATCGGACCGAAGATCGACTGGCACAACTATTTTATTAAGGCTAGCTAAGTTGATGAAGTTCTTCTCACCTGCACTTCTAGCACTTGCTTCTCAGCTTGACCACCCATTTCCACTAAGCTTTTTATGTCCGAGCACACAAACAAAAAGAGTTTGTAATGATGAGAAGATACAAGAACAAGACATTTTCAAAATGATCCAACAAGTGAGGTTGTTCTAATCCCAAACTAATGCAAAAATTTTCCTCTGTGGAAATGGAGGTAGTGCATCGGGTGGGACTAAACGCGGCGTTTATGAAAGAGCTGGCCGAGCAGAGTCATCGTAATGGATCGTCTCGCGAAATGCAGATTCTCGTTAGGAACGAACTTTTAGCCTATATGGATAACGACCGGAGCGTGAGTTCCCTAATGGCTATGGGAGGCTTTGCTGGAGGAGGAGGACATGGTGGAAAAAGTGTGAAGAGGAATAAGAACCTATGAAAACCAAAACTATTGCTGCTATGCAATTTGTGTAAGATCTTCATGTAGCTGTACCAAATGCAAATTCTTGATTAGCAACATTATTTACAATTCAGTGAAGATTGAGTCAAAATTGGATTCCTTTTGCAGGTCATTATCTCTTTTCAATATGACATCAATTGGCTTCTGCTACAACTTGTACTTCTCCCGCTCAAGGAGCTCAGACATTAGTAAAATAAGGCTTGTTAATTATGATTGTCTCCTTTCCTTTCCCATTTCATGAGAATCCTCCAGTTTGGCTGCGTTACATGAGCGACAACAGGCAGACAAGATGGGGATTTCTCAACATCACAATCCTTCAAAAGCATCCTCTTCCCCGTCCAGTTCATCAAGTTCGGCCACCTACATTGAGCGGATTATCAAGCATATCCGCTTCTATTGTGCCATGGTGCTGTATTCTCTGATCCGTGAGGTATGGGTGGACAGGATGAGGCTGATTACCAACATAACATCGGACAGCTGTCGAAGAACTGATTACAGCTGATGACATTGACAGCTGTCTACAAAAATAGAAAGTATCGATTTGACAACAAAGTCTTACTGCTCATGTTCAACATCTTTTCTCACCCGCCGCCGTAGTCCTATCCTGGTTAACAGCCGAAGCCGTATCCATTTCCATTTATTCCTTTCCCCGTTTCACAACAAACACCGCTGCAAAACATCGTGAAAATCTTCAAGGGCGTGACGAAAGCGGATGTGCAGGAACTCAAGAAGAATAGCGGAATGTACTGTGGCACCATCGTGGCCTTCTGCGATCGACTTCGATGGTGGCCATTCCGTGTGCTTTTTGAACGATTACAGTTATGGCTGGTGATATTTCATCGGTTTTCTTCTCCGAGCTTGCGATTTCTTCCTTCTCATTCCTCATGCGTTTTTTCACCAAACCATTACGAAACTGAAGCTTTCAATCCGATTCTAACTTCCCCTCGCATGTCTTTTGCGGCGCCGCCTGAGCTGCAGCCTTTTGTCGCCATCGACCTCCCGCCTCCGCGTGCGCGAGCCTTCTTTGATGAGGGATGGACTGTCGAGAAAATCGCGAACGCCTCATCGTGGAGAAAACTTGCAAAGGTTTTTTTGAAGGATATTATGACGTCGCTGTTATTCTTATAAATATTTATATTGTATCTATTTGTCAGCTTTGTCGATACAAGACAATGTGGAGGAAGTCTAAAAAGTGGGAGTACAGGAACCTACAACAACATCTAGAGCAGTATCTTTAAATTTCCCTCGTCTTTTGCGTTCCAAATGACGCCTATTTCAAGAACTCAACAAGAACTCAAAATTTCCTCACTTCCTCCTCACTTCCTCTAAAAATAAAAATACCAACAACAACACGCAATCTCAAGCTTTTCGCGGAGAAAGCTTGCAGGCTTATTGTGAGCAGATTCAACGGAACGCGCAAACCCGAATTACTGAGGAACAACAAGAAATCTTTGACGAATACGGAAGTGATGACTCGTCTTCGGATGATGAGGATAGGGCGGAGGATGCTGCTTACGAGCTCAAAGCTGCCACGCGCAAGTGGTGGTGTAAAAATGACTGAGACTAATCATATTTTTCCTCGCTGGTGGATTGTCTTTCACTCTCTCTTCGGGGAGAGTAGGTGGGAGTGCTCTCATTCTTCTCTGCTGAAGAAACTGACTTTTTTTCTTGACCTGTCTGCATTCTGCAGAGCTGTTCGTCATGAAGAAGCCCGTCATGATCGTGTGGACGATTTATGATCGCCAGAAATAAGCTTATTGTGAAGTTCACGCGTGTGAATGGTCATGGTGATAATGAGAGGAAGCCAGAGATGCACGAAGTTCCTAAATATTTCCTCTTCTTTTCCCCTTAAATGATAAAGCAACACCGAAATATTACAGATATTATGATATAAAAAAAAAAAAACACAATTAGCTACACCAACTAGATGAACAACAGCAACACCTGAGTGTTGAATACTTACAGATTCTACATCACAATGTCAGTCTCAACGTCTTCATCGTTTTTCCCTAGCGGTCCCATTTCCGGTCTCGCAGGCGATGTCTTTGCTTCGCTCACCTACCGTCGACCCATTGTCGACACTGCGCGATTCATCGAAACCTTCCCCACAGACGATCACGACTTGTTCGATCGGAAGTGCATAGAAGCAAGCAAAAATCCCTCTCTTATAGCCTCTGCAGGCATCGCATGCACGTATTTGGGACTATACAGGGCTCTTGGGAGTGGAGCGTTCCTTGACCGTGTCCAGAATGGTGCGAGTAATGCAGTTTACAACTCTGTCATGACGACCCATGGTGCTGGGACCAGTTGTAAGAACAGCAGCAGGATCACGACCAGCAATGTGCTCCGTTCTTTCGTGCTGTCTTACTACGCAACAAGTATGAGAATCTCGAGTGCAATAGGTGGTAGCGCAAACGTCGCAAACGGGGCCACTGCGTCGTCCTCTGGTTCGGTATTTACAGCACTTCCCACCGGTCCCGAGCTTGCTGCACTGTCACAGCGAATGGGGGCAATCGCGCGATCTCTGACACGCCAAACCCTGGCAGTAGGTCCCAGCCTTCTCGCGATCTACGTATATGGGTTATACTCGAATAGACAACTCATCCAAAGTTTTGTCCAAGATCGAGGGACCAGGTTAAGCGTTGAATGTGCTCAAAGGTATCAGAAAATAGCTCCGGAGGACTTTCAAGCTATGATGGAGGAAAACTGATGAGACGACAATGCAGATGGGCTTGAAAATGACACGTAAGCACCGCAAGATTCTCCATCTAAGTCAGGAATTTTTCTTGTATGTAGTAACAGTATTCAGCTCTAGGCCGTTCCAGCTTTGCTCGAAGAGAACCACCACGAGCGAGGCTCAACACGTTGCCTTGTAAGAAATTGTATCTTCCTTTTCTTTAGTTTTCGTTTTCGAGAGAAGAAAAGATGAGAGTTTTTGCAGGAGGTCGTCAGTGAAAAAAGGTGTCGAAAAACAGTGGTCAGTGGAAAACAAAGACGCCGAAGAGGTATGTGCTTCTTCAAAGATTCAAAAGATAAGAAAAAAACAGGCAGTAGACGCCCAGTTTCAAAAAAAAAACGAAAACCTCAATATAGTAGCGAAGTTTGCATTAGGCAAAACAATGCGATGTATGGTTACAAGTACAACTGTTGACGTAAACGTGAAGTAAGACCCAAAATCCGGATCATCTCAAATAACTACAGAATGGCTGCATAAGCCTCATTCATTTCAAAGATTTCAAAGAAAAAACATCATGTCCTCTGACGCAAGATTGCCACCTCTGGGTGGCGTTCTCGGCAACGATTTCGGCACCAGTCCAACCGGCGCCACGCCAACCTCCTATGCACAGGCCCCCGCTGCTAGTCAGGGGGCCCTTGACTCTTTTTACGGTTACAACACTGCGAGTCGGAGCAATAATACGTCGCCGATTCTGACCGGGCCAGGTGTGGAGAGATACAGCATTTCAACGCAACATGATGTCCAGCAATTCAACAACGTCGGGACTTCGGAAAGTGTCGCGGGTAGTATGCCCACTGGCACAGCTCCGGGAACCACACAAAGCTTATTGGGTGCGCCTCAGCGAAGGGCGTCTGCTTCGTCCGCCAGCAGTCCGTACATGAGCGCACCGGGAACTGCCCAGAACTTACTTGCAGCACCTCCTCCTGGTGGGAGCAGCGGTCCTAGCGCATCGCAACAGCAGCAAGCAGCTTCATCTGCAACAGCAAACACAAGTGCCAAGAACATAGGTGGAAGAAGCGTTGGAGGAACTTCATCCAGCACACAACCAAATTTAGTGGTCCCTACTACACCAGAGCCAGCTGTAGCAACGCGGCCTTCAACCATGACAACCCTAGGGGAAAGGTTTAGTCAATTGTTTGGCGGTTATGGTGCTGGGGGAGCTGGGTATGCAGCTTCATCGCCCTCTGTAGCTGAGGAACTGCCAACCGATCCGAATGTAATCCAAGCTGCGGAGTCATCATCAAGGAACGCAGAACCATTAGAGTTGAGGATCCTGGCAGTTGCGGGCTTCGATAGCAAACAAGGACTTCTGGGTCATGCGAAATACCGAGTCGCAGCATACGGAATACCGAATGTAGTTAGTAGAATTCATCCATGTTTGTGTAGTGATGATCAACATTTTTTTTTGATTTTTTGATTTTGACCGAGTGTCTTCAGAACGCCTATCCTAGTATGTGCCCTAGTCTTCTTCACCCCATTCATTCTATAGGAGGGCAAGACGGATCCAGTCTTTCTTTCTTCGACACAAGCGAAGCCTGGGGATGATTTGACGTTTTTCGGCGATACTTTAGATGTCACTGGAGGCTTTCGGACTCTCATCGTCAAATTCGAAGAAGAAGGGTTTTTTGGAGCATACAATGCAACTGCAGAGACACTTATGAGCGGAAATCCTGATGTTGCAACTAAATAGGGATAGTAGTTCTAGTTCATCGTAAGTCAACCCTTCATCTGACTTTGATACAGCTTGAAGTTCTGGTTATTGAAATTCTCAGAGTCGGCAGACAAACATAGTTGCAGATACTTACATCAAGAACTCTAGTAGCAGAAGAAGCGATCGCGATCGTGCTCAGATGAATAATGCAGCTCTAATTCTCGCTTAGCGATGTCCGACGTGACTCTTGGCGTCGCGAGGACAGAGACAATGGTCGACGCGGAATTGCTAAAGGACACTCAAGGCGAGCCACAACCCGGAAAGAGTGGCATTCAGATTCGGTTCGTTGTACAAAACAAGCCAACAGGAACGCAAGGAGAGCCTGGACTTGCAGGCAAAAGTGTTGTAAGTATTGACTCCACAGTCGTAAAAGTTAATACAGTGTTGGGCTAGACTTTCTCTCGAAGTTCAAGCGTTTTTGAAAATTGTCAATACATACATCACCACCCTCGACAAGACGAGCTCTTTCATCCCTCTACTCATCATCTCACAGGACTTGCACTATAACAAACAGGCGCCCTTCCAACTATCGAGAGCACCATCTTGGCGCCAGCCAGTCCTTTGGTTCCGATTCTAGACGTGCAAAGTATAGAAGACATCCCCGATCTGTTGCCCAACACCCCACCGGATCGAACGAAAGCCATTGACGTCCGAGTTTTGGATTTATGAAATGAAAACGTTTGCTTTGGTGTTGGCCTACAAACACAACTTTGCTGACCTTCATGCTCGTGCTTAACTTATCATTAATATCTCTTCCTTCTACAAAGGGTAATTATGGCGTGAGTCTTCTGTTCGTTGCGCATCTTAATACGTACTACCACTACCGCCTAATCATCTCTAACAAAAAGCGCCACCAACAGTGTTGTGGAAAAGATTGGACCATTCGCGACTTCACCCAGTGGTCCTTCGAGTCTCAGTCTTAGGCGTGCTGACATCAAAACCCGTCTCGCTTTGCGCAGGGTGGGTTTAAAAGTGGACTCGACAGGAGGAGGGCCCTTCGTGAGTCTTCGCCTGCAGATCGTGTACTAAGGTCATTTTTTTACCTAGCTCTTTGCGTGCTTTTTCTGTACAGCGGAAGCTTCCACTTTCATGCTCTTGCTCAATTTCAATAGTTGCCGCCGCCTGCTGCCGGTTTGCGAACTGGATCAAGCTCGGAGATTCTTTCAATCTGCCCTAGGTTACAAAAAAAAGTTGACAATACATGATCTCCAAATTCAAATCCCTTCGCTGTATGTTGCACTGTCACTCAACTCCCACTTCGTAGGTATCTTGACTTCGCATCCGGCACAGGCGCAGAGAGCATAGTCGGCGTATCAGACGAGTTTCAGGTTAGCAAAGTATCCGAGTCGCACGCGCTGAAGCTGATCGGTGGTCGCGGCTCGATTTCACTCTATACATTATGAAGAAAGCCTCTTGTTCCTCTTCGGATACAACTCAGCATGGGGCTAACCTTAGCTCTTGTCTTAGCTCCTAATAAATTATGATCATGTATCAGCTACCTAAAAATGAAATTGTGATAGTCGCCGGTCATGCCTTTGAACTACTACCTACCTCTAAGAATTGTCATGTCCTCCGCAGGTGAGACGAGTTCTGCCACTCCTGGTGTAGATACGACACTTCTCCCTACAAATCTGACGACCATGGCACCAGCCGCAGGAGCAACAGCGGCATCTGCGGTAGGAATGATGGGTCAGGGAGGGATCTGCATGGTTGGTCAAGGAGCTCCAAGAAAACAAGCTCCAGCAAACATCACTCGGGAACATACGATGTTGCTTGCAGCTACTGGACAGGAGAGAGCACTACAGAAAGCAATTGAAGGCAGAAAGAAGATAGGTACAACTCTGATTTTTATAAATATGTTGTAGAGTACATTTATTAGATCAAGGAAATATAGATTTAGGAAAAGGAACAAGAGGCCGATGATCATGTACATAATATTAGATTTCTCATTGTGACATTAGCACAATCCCTTCAGATCTCAGCAACCTTGACGAGGATGCTGGAGGGTATTTCCGCACGTGGGGATCTCTGGATGATTTGTTTGGGTCCTTGGGTGTCCATCCTATGACGCAGAGTGAGGTCTACACGCATCTGGTCGTCCGCAGTCAGCCAACTGAGATATCAGGCTTATGAAGAGGATTGGGATTTGTCATGTCGACGTGCTGGTACATCGAAATCTACATGTAGCAGAATATATAGCTGCGGTAGGCAGACCGGCTGATCTTCTGTACAGTAGTTTTTACTCGTTTTACCTTGGAGACCTTCAATTTCGTTTTTTGAATTCCTCACTCTCTTACTTCTTCTTTCTAAGCCACGTTTCCCACGAGACCCGTGTCCATGTAGGCAACATCCGTCTCGGGCTGTCAGTCCAACGTGGTGTTGATTGGGAATACGGCGATCAGGATACAAAAGCGCCTCCCGCAGCAGCTACAAACCTCCAGAGCAGTGCTTCTGCTAGTAGATTACGGCTGAAAGTGAAGTTGGAACTACAACTAATGTTCTACTACATCAAGACTCTCGAGGATTTCGAAACTAGGACTACTTGTCGATCTTAACATGCGTTCTGTCTCCTCACCTCTAATCTTTACCGGCATCGTGACCGCGGTTGACGAAGTGAGTAAGCTTTGTTCTGTCGTCTGGGAGTCGAATCCTATGGACTTTTATTCGCATTACCGCATTGGACGTCATGGCAAATACGACTTATCCCTGGTTTTATGGCTCACATTCTTGAAAATTGTGAATCCTAGACTCTCATCTTCTAACTTATTTCCTTGACTTATTTCCTCGCCTGAAATGTCGTCGAAGAAATTCCCCTCCCCGTCATCCAGGCAACCAACACCAGCAAATTCTCTTTTTCTAATACCCACCTCCACTGCCCATGCACCGGCTCCACTGGTCTGCCAACCTCTAGGTCAGAGGCTCCGACAACATGAGTTGACTGAATATGTTCCGAGGAAGCAAATCGTAAACCCAGAACAACACGAGACTTTGAAATATGCCGTTTACAACAAGCAGCAAGATCCCAAAGTGTCTTTTCTGGATGCGCATCCTGAGTATCGCATCAAAGAAGATATCTGGGGTCGATTACGGGCAAAGAAAGCGGGATACGGCCATGATGCGCAGGCATTCGAGGGCCATAACATCTTCGTGCAGACGTGTGTTAGACATGAAAGTATTTGGGCATGACCTGCATCATCGACATCGAGGCATACGCAAAGCTGGTAGAAGTTGCTTTTAGTTTCAGACTAGATGACACTTTCCGATTGCGATATTCCGTTTCAGGCTATTTGACGAAAAGATACGGATACCTTACTCGTACTCCTAGAACTAGATCGAACGAAATAGAGCCGCGTGATCATTGCTCATCTACTTAGGTAGTAGTTCTAGCTACTAGAGTTTCTGATGTTTCCGACCATTCAGTTTCCTTTTTTCCCACGCATATTCTGTCACTCAACCGCTTGATGTCATGGTTTTTATTGCTATCCTGTACAGGAGCGAGTATTCACTTTCACCACGTCAATGTGTTCTATATTGCGATGGTCACCGGACCACTGATATTAGAAAGAGACTCGTTCTACGCAGACCTTCAATATCCCAGCAGGGAAAAACAGCCCAAGCATGCAACAGCAGAAATAGAAGCACTGACAGGCATGAGGCTTCTCCTCCGTAGTGAGTTACTGAGACCAGGCGCGAGAAGAAATGTCCGTGAGAGAATCAGAAGACTATGTGCTGGTCAACACAGAGTGATGCAAGTCTTCGCCCCCTGAAGATTTGCTACCTGCGCAGAGGTGGCATCTCCGATCGCATTTACTGTAATTGAAATGGAAATCAATCTATGAGGACCTAACAGCAGACCTGCGCTTAGAAGACAAGGCTTTTGAGACTTGTTTATCTGGTAGGAGATAGAGTCGATCGTAGTCGGTAAACCTTGGTCTTGCAACAAGATCATTTTTGTGACTTGAATTTTTTGAAAATCAGATTATAGTTGTACTTGTATTAGACATATTGAAATTGACTCTCCTGGAGCGATACAAAGGATGACTGTCTGCGGTGGAGGCGGAAGTCGAGAACAGCACGACAATGTCTGTAAGCGAAATACGAAACACGAAGATCGGCAAATTTTATCCGATGACCACCTATGCGCTGAGGACACGAGGAGAGAGAGAATCTGTTGTAGGAGTACAACTGGTGGACCAGAGTGCTCTTCAGGAGTAGAAGGACACAACCACTTTCCTACATGCACGACCTCCACCTCAAGACCCACGACCTCAACTAGGTCGACTACGAAGCATCTGGCGAGGTCCGGTACTAGAACTCCGCATAAGAATAATAGTGAGCCAAAAATGTCTAGAAGCGAACCGGCGGCGCTACCATCTTCATCAACATCTAGGCCGCTTTTGACCCACCTGCTCCAATGTAGAAGAAGCGCAAGAAGCAGCAAGCAACATCAAAAAGAACCTTCATCCGGTTCTTTGATGAACCGTGACTGTCTACCTCTACATCTTCAAAGCAACAGGCGTTCTTCCCACAGAGCTTCGAAAACTTTTACATCTTCTCGAAAAACCAACCTCTTGTTCTACGTTCTTAGTAGTGTCGTCTTTTCACCTGACCCAGTAGTTGTTGCAGATTTGCCTGTTCACTGCCTCTCCACAGACGTCGCTGGTGAAAGCGGAGTAGGAAAAAAATGGATTTTCGAGTTCGGGGCACCAACTTTAAGATAAAGAACCATGAAATAATGACATTGATAGAAGCACACTGGAGTCTTACTGGAGACATAAACATGGTCAACATCTGACTCTATCAAATACAACATGCTACTTGTTATATTTCACCAAATCACCACCTCTAAGGAACCAGTCTCCCTGGGTCCAAGGAACAAGCGGCTTTACAGATATCTGCGGGCATCAGAGACCCGACGCAGTCCATGGCCAGCCACCACGTCAACTTCCAGGCGAGCTTGACTTGAAAGTGGAGGTAACCTATATACTGTGACAATTTGAATGGTGCTATATATTGTGACAATTTGAATGGTAGCACTTCTAGTACACGTATGGAACGACAGCATTAACAGCGTGAACTTCTGGACTTTTTATTGTCTTTTTTTATGTAATTTTGATTCCTAATTAGTGTTAGACGAGCTCCACCGGTTTTACAATGAATGCTGATGTCCTCAGAACTACATCCTCTGCCGCTGCCTCAAGACCAAGAACAAACTCAAACTGGCCCTACGTAATTAGGTGATTCTTAAGCCCGAACCAGATTGGTCTCTCGAGATCGTTGGCAATATCACAGAGGGCGATTATGGCGGCAATCTAGTGAGCTATCTAAAAGAGTCGTCTACGACATCAACAAATGCCGCATTGTTGCAGCAGATGCGATCCTCCCTCAAGACTACTTTGCTACAACGCGCGAAGGGCAGAGGAGCTTCTGTTATGGTTTCAGCTAAGTGTAATTGATCTAGCAGGTCAACATAAGAGGTGGACTCGCTTGTACTCTCATTAGGGCCCTTTGCCATTATCCTCGCCCGCAAGCTCTTTGATTTTACCCTTTCCAGATGCAGCTACTACAACAACTCTAATGTTCCCAAATCCTCCACGTCCACGGCATCAACGAACAGCATGACAGACCAAGAGCGTGCAGCCGCACATTTTATGGGCCCGAAAGATTGGACCATGCTCTACGATGAGGGCTTCGAAGTGGAGCTGGGAAAATTGCGACTCCTAGCCTTTTCTGCTTTCGATTTCGTCAACGGAAAGAATCAATCCCGTTGTGGAATGACCGAGGTTGGCTGGTATAGGACGATTGAAGATTATGTTGAAGGAGGATAAAAAAATAATCATGTAACACCTGTAGCTGTAGTAGAAGTTTGCGATAGATACGATCTTTACTTGGATCTGCAAGTCAGTCGGATCAGGACTCCTACTTGAACTACTCCTCTAACAGAGTAGTTTATAGCACGCATGGTGCATGGAGTGCATGGAGCGCAGAGCTTTAAGGGGCGCAAGAAGCTCCCCCTTTAGCTCCATGCTACTCCATGTGATCCATGCGCTCCATGCCATGCGAGCTGTGAAACCTTATAAATTGCTCTGCTCTAATGCAAAGATGTCTCGTCGTCAGATTTTCGAGTTGGATGCTGGATCGGCTACCAAGAGGATGCCTCGAGAGAACCACTCGCCGATAATAGCTCCTCGATCATGGAACTGGTACCTTTGGTGTCTATGTCTAAGGTTATCTTTTATCTTTATGAAGGTTAACGTTAAACCATAACCACAACGGGTCTTTTCTAAACTTAATCACAGCACCAGCCCACCAGCACAGTGCTACTTTTAGCCCAAACGACCCACTTACAACAACTACTCTCACTCAATACAATACAGCATCACAACTACAAGGGTTACTCCCTAGCAGAGCAGGGCAGCAAGTCATTGGATTCGTACTTCAAAGAAGCCGCTTTTCTCCAAGAACCAGTAACGACAAGGCATGATCATCAAGTTTATGGCGTATTTTCGACGGTTGAATATCAGTCGCTGGTCGCTATGGCCATTTTCGCCTGTTCGTTGCTGATGAAAGCTAGATCACGACCAAGTAGACGATGTAGATAGAAGACGAGCATTAAAAGCTTACAGGTCGTACTAGTACATGCATACTACAGCAGCATCATTTTTTCTTATAAATAGAAAATTCCCAACCTTATCGCCCCAACCTTATTTCCTGAGCATCTTGATCTTCCTGATGCTCAGGAAATAAGGTTGGGGACTCAGTCCCCGTAGCATATTTCTGAGCATTGGGGCCTCAGTCCCCGTAGGTGGTTGCAGCTTCAGTAAGGACCTGCTCTGTTACTACAATAAACGGAGTGGTAGTGCTTGCTGGTTCATAACTTTCTCTTCATATTACAATTACTGTTAGCATCCTGGCCTCCGGCCCTGAATTGTTACCAGAATTAGTCTCTACGGGCACTACGGACAGTGTCATCAGGGGCACATACATGACATGACATGACAACCTTATCTCCCCAACCTTATTTCCTGAGCATCTTCCTCGTCTAATCCCAAGTAGCCGACCAGATCAACGCAGCTAATCTAGGTTGGACTGCCAAAGTGTACGATCAGTTTGTGGGGAAGACTGCTAGAGAGCTCAATTTTATGGCTGGGAGGAAGAACTCGAAAAGAATGAGTGCGCATGTCATGATGAACCCGAACTATGGCCGCAACGATTATTCCGGTGGAAGCGGGGGAATGAGTTACTCTTATGAAGGGGATGTCGAAGTGTCGACGTAGATGCAATGAATGTGTATGAGACCTCAGCTTCAGGATGTCGAAGTGTCGACGTAGATGCAATGAATGTGTACGAGACCACCTCAGCTTCAGGATGTCGAAGTGTCCTCGATGTAAATGCAATCTAATTCACATACATGGGTCAAGACGAAGGGCTTTCGTTACCATCTGCGAACCACCGGTCGATCAGCCTGAACGCGGTTGATGTTAAGGCGACAAGGACTTTTTTCCGTATATTTAAGGACAAGCAAAATCAGGCCAATGTTGCATCATGAGAAGCCGAAGCCCTTGCTTCGGTGACAATGAGAAATTCCTAAAACATTAGCTACAAAACCTTCTAATGGCGATGTGAATCCCTTTGCAGTGAAAGTAAAAGGCGAAAAGCAGCAGCACAAGAAAAACAAACTCGTCTTGTTGCAGAGGGACAGTTATGAAAACCTTTCAAATGCTCATACTACTCGAGAGCTGGCAACAAGTTAGTACTTCTATTGATGAAGTGCAGAAGTCAAAATCATGAATGTCACAAAGTCAAAGTACTTAGCTCATGATACCACTGATAGCGCAATAGCGATTTTTAAAGTAAAGTAGTTCTAAGCTACAAAAGCGGTCCACAGCGCATCTACAGGGACCCAGAAACACGTCGATGACGAAGATGAGGACGACTGGGATTCTGAGGACGCAGAGACAGACGCCGATCGTGATTATGAAAGCAGTAGCAAGGTTTCATTGGTGTTACAAGTACTGGCTTTTGTTTTTCCTTTGTCTCAGAATGACCAGCACCATCAGGAGCTTGAGCAAAAGCAACGCAATAGCAAATTGAAGCGCCAAAAATAATAATATGACCAACCACACCATCACCAGTACCCACAAGTTTGTAAATAGAAATACTTACCACTACCACACCAGTACCCACAAGAAGTTTGTACTAAAAAAATACTTCTAACGACAAGAGGAATTATCACGAGCTAGCGTCACCCTGTCACGTGGGCGTCATCATGACCTCCTTTACGCTGGGGAAGAGGAGGACGCCTTTGACGAGGAAGAGATGGATTTATGAATCAGACTCATACTCATCGTCCTTGAGGAGTTTGATCTTCATGATATGCATATCCATATGCACGACTAGTACTAATTCTAAGTAAGTAGAAAAAATTGTAGTATCTTCTCGATGTTATAATTGTTAGGTAGTTTTCAATTGGCCCGTCAAGCATATTACGGTTTCTTCGAGAAAGCCTCTATGCTATCTTGTTGCAAATTCAAAAGTTCTAAGAACAATAGGCGAAAAGGAGGATGTTGATAGTCGTGGAGAAGAAGAGGATAACTCAGCAGAGGATAACTCAGCAGAGGATAACTCAGCAGAGGAAAATCTCCAGAAGCGCCTAAGAAAACGCAAGAACAGTCGTAGCAAGAGACCCTTGGTGTTAAGGCAAGGTCTAGTACGTGTACTATCACATCCTACATTTTTACTCATCAGATTCAGATTCACTGCCAGCACTGGAATTGTCATCTTTTTCTTGAGTCAGGGCTGATCCCACTTGTTTGTTTCTGTTTTAAATTTGAAAATGGGAATCCCACCCCTCTAGGTCTAGCTCTAACATCGAAAAATTTCTACAAGAGCAAGAGGAACTACTTCCGAAACAAGCATACGTCAAACTCGAAGGTCGCGTCCAGTAGCAAATACAGATCCATGACGGCTGAGCAGAAGAAGAAATTCGTGTTGCCAGCGGAATTTGACTGGCGCAATCCCGCAGATGGTGGAAGCCCCTACGTGCTACCGGAGGGCATCAACCAAGGAGACTGTGGTAGCTGCTACGTCATTTCAACGATCATGTCGCTGAATTCAAGACTGCGGGTTCAGAGATTTTATGCACGGCCTTCCAAGTGGCGCACCACGTGGTCTAGTTCTAGTTGAAGTACTTCTAGCATGATGTTCATCAGCAACATTCTTCTCTAAGTATGACGACAACTTCGTGAGCAAGGAGCGACTCAGGCAGCGATTGACGATGCTCTACAGAATACAACGAAGTTTTCTTATCACTACGCATTGGGATGTTCCGAAACCAATCAAGGATGTCAAGGAGGGTACTTTCTCTCCTAAGCTGCGCCAAACGCGGTAAGTATCCAACCCCACAAATCATGCTTAAGAATGAACTTCGACGAGTACATCCACTACTGGCCTTCTCCACGACAGCAACATCTTTCACAATAAAAGAAATACCCACGACTACTTTCTCAACATCATCCTTCACCTGAAACAAAAGGTACGCTCACCTAATCGGCCAATGGTCGAGGATCTACGGTCTTGCGCCCGACCATCCAGACTGTACTCCCCAAGGTGGCTGGCAAGCTGATACATGTATGGGAGTTCCGCAGAGCTGCCCTGCAGAACTCCTGACATATCGTACCACCAACGTCCGCTATGTTGGCGGTCGCTACCAGTACAGCAATGAGCACACGATTATTTATGAAGAAGAACAACCCCACAGCTAGTAGCTACACCCTTCTGAACCCTGATGAATAACCTCAGATCATTGGATTAGGTGCTGCATCTCGACTAAATTTACTGTCTGCGTTGACTTAAAGAGCGACCCTGAGGTCAATTTCCAGCACGCAGTACTTCTATAGTACTACGTGAAAAGTAGTCTAAAGAACCTTCCTCGTCCTCGCTCAGGAGCCTGCTCCACACACTTCGGATCAACTACATCTTAGATGATCCTCGATTTCTAATCCATGCAAGAGCTTATCCAGAACGGTCCTGTGGTACTTGGCTTTGCGCCAGACAACGCATTCATGTATTACTCCAGTGGTATCTACGGCGCGAATCAACCTGTCGATTCAGTTTTTCACAGTACAAACTTTGTTTCTCATCTTCCTACAAAATTCTATTCTCTACAGATGAAAAAAAGATCCATAGCTGCCTTCGCTGGGGTTGCTTGTTTATTACAGTATAAGTCTTAGGATGGGTGGTTCTTTAATATTACAGGAAAAATTCCCTGGTAGGATGAGAAGATCTGCCCCTACTTTGTTTCTCACCCCCCTGTTAGGATGAGAAGATCCATAGCTGCCTGCGGGGTTGGTTCTTTATAATATTACAGTGGCCACTATACTTCTATTTTCAATAATTGGAGTACTTGATTCTTTTGTTTTTTGTTTCCTAGTTAGGTGTGCTCCACCGATAATATTACAGTAAAAATTTTTAGGCATGATCATCACATCTACCCATCGCTCTCAGGTCTCGGACCAGATTGGGAGCGTGTCGATCACGCAGTTTTGCTAGTCGGATGGGGCGTTGATCAGACCACTGGCAACAAGTATTGGACTTTGCAGAATTCATGGGGCGATTCCCTAGGCTCTGGCTGGGGTGACGATGATATCTACCTCAGAGACGAAAATGATCAGTATTTTTCTGCCTACTGATTCTGATACTTGAATAAATTTTTCCTTCGTTGTTTGTTCGATCAACCATAAAGTTTATTAGAACATAATACTATAAAGTGTGGCGTTCAAAAATTTTTGAGCAATCTGTAGTGTTCATGCAAATCCGCGGATTTTCTACTTGTAATGGATTTGGATAAGGATAACATAATGAAAAAACAGAAACCAACACATAACACTTTCACAGGCCATTGCGCAAGGGTTTCTTCCGCATCAAGAGAGGATCGAATATTTTGGGGATTGAGTCCATCGCCGAAACGGCCGATGTGGAGCAACTGTCAGAGGATCAGGCGGCGGCGCGCATTAAGTTCTTGCGTTCGTCGTGAGACACGACGACGAGTATTAATGTCAGATCAGGTGGTTTAATTAGGTTGCTGACCATAACCAAAAGCCATGTCGTAGTCAACGATCTCGCTACTCCGTGTGCAAGCAAAATCATAATCAAAAATCCAAGATGATAAGGTTTCACCGATTAGCAGTGTCACTATCTTCCAAGTGGCTGCAAGTTGTACAGTTTCACTCTGAAAAATGCATTTGTTACTTTTCAAGTTCCTAAATTTTTTGTAAAAATCTGTTTCCTGACCTAAAAAAAAAGAACGTTTAATCCTGATTGAATCTTCTTGTTATCCTTGTCAAGCTGAATATTTTTCGTACGATGAATGTCCAAAGAGCAACTAAGGTATTCACAACAAATTCCAGTTATGTCGTAGTGTATTCCAATCAAAAATTTCGTAGAAAGAATAAAACGTGTGGTCAAAGTCAGGGTTATGCACAGGAAACCGTGTGCATATAATGACATGATCAAGCAGCAGGAAATTTTTCATGTAGTCGATGACGATGAGTCCTCCTCATAATGATAATAGCAAGAGCAAAATGAAAAATCGTACTACCATCATTCTATGAAGCACAAAGAGTTGACCATGTAACTGTAAGTGGAAGTTGTAGAGGTATTCTTGTATAGATCGACCTCGACGTGAGTCTGTGTATAGAGCGAAACACCATAGACATAGTAATGTTTCAATGTATTATTAGTACTTGTTGTAAATGTAAACCATAATATCAATTAAATATTGCATGGTAACTATGATGAGCAAGAGCATGTTGTTGTAGGTACTAGTATTGTAATTGTTGTCTACTTAATCGTCGTATCTTCTTGTTATCCGTTTCTTCGTTGTCTCCTATCTTCTTCTTGGTAAGGTTAGTTGCAAGTCGTTTTTCCTATCTTCATTTAGTCCTTTTCTTTGTTTCGCCGTTCCTTCAAGACCACGAACAAGCTTCATGACGGTTGTTGCAGGAGTATGAACGTTCGCGCACGACCATGGGTATCAATGACCGCAAAGTCAGTCACGTTTCAAAAGGTAATTGTCGCAAAACTGTGGCATGATTTAGATTTACGCCACTGTGGCAGAGTGCCTCAAGAACTCACCCTAAGAGGAAGTGGCAAGCTTTTGGCCGTGTGGGGTGATCACCTCACAGGGAGAGCGGTAGTTTTTTAGGCAAAGGTCAAAACCCTGTTGTTGAAGATCAGGATTTTACTTCGTGTTGGCTCTTCAGCAGCAGCGTATGTCTGCCAGCTTTTCTGGTAGGCCCCACACCTAACCTAACCTTCGTAGGAGGTGATATCTCCTGAAAAGGATAAAGAAAAAGATACAGATGGACTAAAAGGGAACCAGCACCACCACCACTGAAAATAGATCTAGTCGCGTTGACTTTAAGAATAGGAGAGAGTTCAACATCACCATGTCTTCTCCCATCGGCCTCGGCTTGAGCGCTGATGTCGGCAACGCTCGAAATCCGTTCTATAATCCGGTGATGGCCTCCTCGTCGCTCTCCAAATCCAGTATAATTGCCTCACCAAAATCAGCACGCAGCAACGCGTCAGCTAAACAAGTTCGGATCCTGGATCCGAAAGCTAGAACATCTTCTTCATCAGGACCAGGACCACCAACTACACACGGACTTAGTGTTAGTCCTAAAACAACTTCGACTTCTCTAACAGGACCAATCCGTAACCGTAACAATCCAGTTGAACCAGGAGCTCCAGCATCAATAGCACGATGCTTTCAGACAACAACGATACCTGGACCTGGAACTGTACAACAACAAGTGCCGATAATCACGTCTGGATTGTCATCCGGTCGAGTGACACCAAGCATACCTACAGGGGGCCTAGCTTCACAGTCGACTACGCCGCGATCAGCGAGAATACATGGAGGTAGTCTGTTAAGAAAAGTTTGTGAAATGCACCCTCGTCTGCCTCTAGAGTGAACACATTGTTTAGATATGGACCAGGAAAGCGAGGCAAAGGCATTTCGGAAAGATCTAGGTCTAGGTTCCTAGAAGTACTCTCTAACGCCTATCGGAATCGGACAAAGGTCACACAACACTAGCCCCATCATGGCGGGGCAACAACCAGCATCGATGGCGATTCCTTCAACAGCGACTTTACGCGCTGCATCTTTGGACATACCTAAGTTAGACTTCGCAACTACGTTAAAAGGACCCGTTTTTCCGGCAACGGCGCCAGCTCTCAACATGTGGTCATCGCAGGAGGAGGAATCGTTTCTTGGTCGAGGCGGTGAAGAAAAGGTGGATGCAACGGTGCTACCTGGTGGTACGAGTGCGGGTGATACATCGATGCTACATGTTGCTGTTAGGAGTGGAAAGAAGTAGTGCTGTCGTGTCCCGGTGGTCCTTCAAGGAGATGATTACTGAATGTATCAGTTTCAAAGAAAGGACAGAGAAGATCGATCAAAAATGAGTCTCAGATCTACTTTTTTCAAGTAAAAGTGATACAGTGAGAATGTCGGATGAAGACATCTCTAACGCTCGAGGCTCATCTCCAAGTGCACGCAGAAGTCCTATCCCGATGTCGAGGAGGAGCGCTGCTAATACCAGTCCCATGTTGACTAGCCGAATGACATCGCCAAAAGCACCTGCTGCTGTACTAGGATCATCAAAGGCAACTACCAACGATAAAGACCCTAGTATACGAACAAGTAACACGTTTTTAGATGTATCACTTTCTGCAATCCAACATCAGCAGAGTGGTATTCTCCAGACCAGAGTTGCTAATAGTTCTTTTAATGTCCTAGGAAGTGGATCTGCAACAAGTAGCGCTCGTGCAAGGACAACTGGTGCAACTTTTCTTCAACCCACTGGTGGAGCTACTTTAAGTGCTGCAACAAGTGCTGCTACGAATACTTCAAGTGCTAGTACTTCTGCACCTTTTATCGCGACGCCATACCCTTTACCACCACCGAGCTTTGATCAGATCGATCCAGCACATAGAACAACGGAACCACCAATGGTGAATCGGCAAGCCAATCGGTTGGAGACCGAGCTTTCGCGGTTGCAATTCGACTACCGACAAAACCTCAGACTGTTGCAAACTAGGGATAAGGAACTAGAACACGCGATGGGCGAAAAGCAGGAGTTGAGGAACAAACTCGCGGAGTGCGAAGCAGATTTGCAACAAAGAGATTTATGCAACAGTTCTACTTGTGATGTGTGTCGTCGTCGTGTGTTGTGAGGAACAGCACTAGCTTATACAATAAGCGTAAGCGACGTGGTTGTAACGTTCGATGTAATTTTCTGTTTCAGAGTTTCATCTTGATGTTAAAAATTTAGAGTTCCCAGAATCTTCTAGATGAAGTACTGGAACATTACAGTAGTGCCTCTAGTAAGTTGCTTCTAAACCTCATCAACTACAAGACTCTGGAGCGTCGCTTCTCTGATTCAAAGCTGCATGCAGATGAAACCATGCGAAGAGGTGACGCTGAAAATAAGGCAGCACAGGAGTCCTTTAGGCGTGAACGAGACGCACTCGAAAAACGAATGAAGGAATCGACGATGCAAGCGGAAGAAAGAATTCAGGATTTCAAAAAGTTATGGCATTCTTTTAGGGTCGTGTCAGGAAAATGCGATTGAGCACCTTCATCGAGTCAACGGACTTGTAGAGCGATTATCTTTGAGCCCATCAGCATCACCTGAGTCAAGAAGAACGGCGTCTCTCAGAGTTGTAATAATGGTAGTGTCCATGCTACTTGTAGTTACTCAACCACCTCCACCACCTCTAAAAGCAAGACTTGACGAAGCGGAGGCTAAAGCTGTGCAACGTGAGCGGCAGATGGGAGAGGACCTTCATATCGTCAACGAAAAGCTCAAAGCGCACAAGCAGAAGCATGCGACGTTGGTAAGAAGATCATCGATGATTAGTAATTCCTACTGATTTTGCACCACTTGTTTCTGTAGGTCTATTTCGTCTTCGATGCTGTTGTTGAAAAATGAGTAATAAAAATGACTCTTTGCTCGAGTTCAAGCAGCACGTCATCTTCTTCTTCCCAACAAGAACTAAAACAGTTGCAAGAAAAGGAGCACGAGTTGGAAAGGCAGAAGTCTGATGCGGCTGAGGGGATTCAGAAGGAGCAACTCCGAATGGAGGGACGATTACAAGAAGTGCAACTTCTGTTGGAGAAATCAGAGCAACGCTGCAGATTAGAAACAGAACAACACAGGCAGACGAAAGAGCGCTTGATTATGAACAAACTATCTAACTATGTTGTAGCGATTGATTTGTTTCATTCTTGTCGAAAATAGATACGAGCGAGTAGCTAACTGCAGTAACAGACATTTCTTGAATTGTTAAAAAATAGCACTGAATTCATACCCTGAAGTCTAAGTCTTTCCTCCCTCTCGTCTCCTCTAACAACAGCACTTTGGAGCTTCGCCTGAAAGAAAGCGAGGCTGAGAGTCGGTGCAAAATGGAGGCACTGGAGGCGACGATCTGTGAGATGAAGCGCGCACAAGACCTGGAACGGGGTCAACTCGAACTACGAGTTTCCGAACTGAGTGACGAACGCGCAAGTCTAGAAAAGTCCAACAAGAAGATGTGGGAGGAAAATGTCGAACTCCAAAACAAAGGGGAAGCTTTGAGGTAATTACTTTATAACAGGAAGAACTATTAACACGAAGTAGATTTGGATCATGTTATAAGGATAAGATGGAGGTCATCAAGCTTAGTTTTTACATCCAACTAGTACACTAGTACTTTTTATCAAATGTTGTCCAACTACTTTTACTCATATCTTTGTTCTAGTTCGTCTACTGAAATTATACTCTTCACATCCTGATCGATCCTCTTCCTTATTGGGAATCTACCAGGACGTCAGAAACCGCTTTGCAGAAAACCGTAAAAGCCCTTGAGGAACGAGTGAGCCACATCACGCGTGAGTCACAGAGAGAAACGCGAAATAAAGCCAAAGAGCTTGAAGAAGCTTTAGAAAGAATATCGGACGAACGAACCAAATTTTATGACTTGCTGTGTAGTATGACTACAGCACTCATGGTCATAAAAAGTAGATACTCTCTTTGCCGTATTATCAATGGAGATAGCGATAAGACGAGAGGCGCCTGCTGAAGAAAACAAAATTGTGCGAGTGCAACGGTATGATTGGGCATTTTATAACGAGTGACTTAGTTCCAGTTCCTACTACAGGATAATAGGAATAATAATAATAGTTCCTACTTAGTACTAGTTGTACTACAGGAATCTCACTACTTCCGTTTCAGATCATCACCTCTAACTTTTAGAGGATCAATTCCGCGTCGCAGCACAGTCAGAAGCGAAGAAGTGGGCCGCGGATAAGGACAGCGCCGTCAGACCTTTGCGAAACGAGGTTAAACTTCTTTCTGAGTCTGTAGAGAGGCTGACGAAGGAGCTAAGAGAAGCTGTAGCAAGAGCAGAACTGTCCGAATTGAACACCAGCAAAGCTATGGTAGACTTTTTTCATCCACCCCTTACTACACTTACTTTTAGTATTTGTTTGGTATCCTTTTGCTCCCTGCTCCAGCTTTGGTATCCGTGGTTTGTTCCCTCCATAGAAGACCACGGATACAAGGGAAGAGCAAACGGTAGCAAGATGGTGCTCGGGGGATGGATGATTCAAGCACACGACTCTAACAAGGCGACCCAAGAATGTCAGACCTTGCGCGAACAAAACGCTAGTTTGAAGCTACGAGTTTGGGCAGATGATGCAGCTGAACGAATGGGCAGTGGTGGAAACGGTGGAAAGGCTTCTAGAGAACGAGCCCAGGATCGTGGTAGAGATGAAGCAGCTGATGGACATGCAGATGCAGGAAAAGCAGCTGAGGAGGAACTAACTACACGCGAGACGACGGATTCTAGGCGATACAACGAACTCGTGAGGTCAGCACAAAAAGATTTTGCGTTCACAAAACTAGAAAGCAACTACGCGAACAAATCTAAAAACCACTACCATCATCATAGTGGAGATGGAACAACACCCAGGAAGAGGCACGACGAGCATCAAGTTCAAGAGTCATGCATAAGGTCACCAGATTTATGGCTCTGAAGAGGAAGAAGTCAATAACGTTATTAACGAGAAGCATTCTTCTACTCCTTGTTCGTGCATAATTCGTGTAAGCTTACATCAGACGAACTGCGTAGTTCTCTAACATAACCAATGGCCACGAGGACTATGTTCGTTCCCTCGCGAGACCGGTTTAGTGCTTCCCTGAGACCGCCGAAGCCGGATCCGACTGCAGGCTTAATCAGGTCCAGATCGAGATCGGCTGACACTACCACAGGCATGCACACAATGGACGCATTAGATCGATCCGAGGAAGACCGACTGTTGCAGGCTCACCGAAGTAAGATGAATGATGTGCGCAAACTTCTGGACCGTAGTGCAGCGGAACTGAGAAGCACAACAGGAGCGACAGCTGTATCGAGTACGAGTTGTAGGGACGCGAATTATAGAACATCTAGAGAACAGGATGCTCATGGTTATGGTGATAACTTCAGCGCATCTTTTTCGATTCCAGCAGCCTATCCATCAGCTATTACAGGCTTTCGACCCAGCACAAGACGACCAAGACCTCCATACGAACCAGCCTCTTCTTCTAGTAGTAGAGGACATTTTCAGACGAGAAGTTCGGGCTCTCTACTAGGCCAGCAAGGCCACGTTGATTATTCCCCTGAGAAACAGAAACTTGAAGACGAAGCTGATCCCAATACGAGGGATCCAGAAGCAGTCCTTTCCCAGCTTACAGAGGTACTTAGTCGCGTGACAGAGCAACAAGAGGATCTGAAGAAAGCCTTAGTTGCGAGTCGTTTCTCCGCTTCTAGGGAGAACAAGAATGACGATCAGAACTACACCTCCTACGGAGAGGATGAAGACAAACACCGAGAAGTAGCGTCCTATATTCAAGAGCAGCAGGAATATGAGGATGAGGAAGAACAACAAGAACTGCAGGAAGTAGCAATGCTAGAAAAACGAACCCAGGAACAAGCCTCAGACATGATGAATTTGACTGCTCTTATTGAGCAGGACGAGGCGTATATTCGTAGTCTGTCAGCGGAAAGGCTCTCGCAGTCTGGTGCGAATTCGACTAGAAACTCTAGGAGCGTTAGCCCACGCACACAACTGGAATCTGTTGAGACTGGTGCACTAGGAAGAATCTTGCAGCTGTCAAAGAGTGCACCCACACTGGCAGGTGGTGGCAGTAGTGGTCACCCTAACAGGGCAGCGGCAGTGCGCATCTTCACAGAGGACCACGACGTTCGAAGTAGAACTACAACCAGGTCCAGGTCTACATCCCCCAACATGATACCAAAACTCCAACCAACAGGGGACGAGGCTTTTCCGGACAAGGTGAGCGTGATCCGGAATAGTATTCTGCACACGGAGCCTTCGCCTTACAGTGCTCTGGATAATTCTAGTATTGCCTATTTTAAAAGCAGAAGCGCAAGTTCATTTGTTCCACCAGGTGGTACCGGTAGAGCCTCCTCAGTCCCACCAGGTAGACCCTCCGCCTCCTCTAGTAGAGGAAAAAGTTATAGGGGAGCTCCAGAACAACAAGAACAACCTGACGCCGGATCCTCATCTGATAATGCATTCACAATCCTGCTCAAAAGGAGCGGCGTGAACACGAATACACCGGTTTTATGGAGAAGAAATGAAGCAATTGGTTTTGATTGGAGCAGAGGTTCAAGACGGTCTTGAAGATGTTTTTTTTGAACGCCCTCATTGTCATGCATCTTGTCGTGGACCACGTATTTTTGATCGCGACGAGTGAGCAGGACGATGGGTTATTATAACTCCAAGAAGACCTTAACCTTATGATGATCAACATAGCAAGAACAGCCTTTTACTTTCTAAAACTCCTCTCCAGAAACAAGTACAGCACCAACGGCGAGCGTCGTTCTAGGCGGACACAGCGAATCAAGAAGCTTGCTGAGGCGCAACTTGCTAGCCCTCAAAGTCCACGGAACCGGGTGAGTGACGAAGCCTCCGCCCATATTTCTATCATACCTCCTCTAGCCAACAGTGCTAAGCGACCGGAGCCACATCTACTATTAAGGCACTGCGTTGTTGTTGTAGTTTTCCTTCTCTTTGCTAGTAAGAAGTTCTAGAACTGTTACAACTATCAAGACCACGACCCCTGCTACTGTTATCCCTATTTCCATACCGGAGGGAAAAACACTCAAAAACACCGACCCTTTTCTAAAGAATCGTGCTGCAAAGCTCCACGATCGTGTCTGGGACATGGATATTCCTGAAGACCAAGTAGCCGATCTTTACTATGGGAGGTCAACTGCGGATAGATCAGCTTCTTCGAGTGGTCTTTTGTTATGGCCATCCAAGTCCAAAAAGCAAGCTCAAGCATGCTACCCTTTCTTACCTGGTAGAGAGAGCAGTCCAGGTCCAGAACTAATAGCAATACTGGCACAACATCAAGTTCAAGGGGACGAAAATAAAAAAGTGAATGCACGGAAAAAATGACCAAGCCCATATCATGGATGGATAATTTCAAAAGCAAATCTTGCTACATCATCTTCTAATTCCAGAACGCGCCGCAACAAGCAGAGGTGGAGGAACTTCTAGAGGAGGCAAGAAAGGAAAACCCGAAGTAGACTACAGAACGAATATGAGGGAATCGTCTACGTCTTCTGCTTCTCAACATTATTCTTCGAAAAGGACAAATTCTTCAAATGCCTTCAACCCGACCATTATCGCACAACCTGCGTCTGTCCGCCGGCCCCCGAGCGGACCACGGAAAACTACAGGGGTTCCAAATTCCTTGTACAATACATCATTGCGTAAAAAAGGCGCATCTATGCCAAAAGCGCGGATCGATACGGGACTACGGTCAACTGGCGTGGGAGACAGCTGTAGAGGTGCTTGGGTAAAGTCGGGATCAAACTAGTAGAACTTTTTTTCTTCTCAGACTCGGTCGTTCTCTCACTGTTTCTATTCGTATTCTGGTTTGATACTAAAGATTAAAAATACTTCTACTCTCTGACTGTGTTTCTATCTTGTCATGAAAAATTCATTTGTTAGAAGCAACGTCTTCATCTTCATCTACTTACTTACATCAATCATCACCTTCAAACACCATCGCAGAATCCTTATACTACACTTTCGAAAACTACTAGAACATCATGGATGTGATGTCTTACTCTTGTTCTTGGTGGATTGTGATTAAAATCTTCTTCATGAATCTGCTTCTATATTGAGCACTTACGTATATGCTTGCTCACTGATAATCGATATTTCGGCCTCGTGATTCGCAGAAAGAATGGCATTCAGTAAAATATCTTTAGCGTGGATGCTCTGTACTTTACCACAGTGCTCGCAAATGCAAATTGGTTCAAAAACCGCAAAACAGGCGTTGTGATTCTGAAGAGGAGCAAAAAATGAGTCTTCGTTATAAAGTACGACATATTCATCCTCCACGTTGTCCACAAGAAAAGAAAAGAACCCACCGGCGGATCTCATCAATTTATTGGCTCCTCTACTTTCTGCTCTTGATGTTCTTCTTCTTACATACATGATATAGATATAATTCTCCAACATGATATAATTCTCCAAGAACATATAAAGTTGTGTTTGTGTTGCAGCTCCTTACCTTTGATAAAGTAACAAGCAGATAGAGATAAGCATGCCCTCTTTCTTGTCAAGCGTCCTTGACCAGATCGTCACAGGACATGACGGGTTGGAGCAGGTGGTCAGTCGCGGTTCATCGTCCACAGGAGGAGCTATCAGGAATGCAGCATATAGCCTTGATCCCTCGACAGCGACTGCAACTGCAAGTGTACCAACTTCGGGTAGAAATGCAGCACAAGCTGTGGCACATTCCAGCTTTTTGTCTCAGCAGAAAACGGTGACTCGTTTGCAGCGAACGACGAATTTTGCAGGTCAGGGGACCACGCCTGCTGCACCTCCCGCATCGGCGGCAGAAGCAGAAGCATCAGAAGCTGGAGCAGACGGTATTTCTATAAATATCAAGCTACTTCTAAATAAACTAATGAGTATGAGTTGTAGCAGGTACTGTGAATTTATGTAAAACAAGTAGTTAGATAGAGACCATCAAGATTGTGATTGTGTAAATAATGGATACAACAAGAACAACTAATCCTGCTGGATTATAACTCGATAAAAAAATCTTGAACTGTTTTTATGTTGTACCAGGTAGTGCAGCACATCGTGCACATGAAGCACAACATCATACCCAAGCAATATATTCTCCTCATCTTCCTCTACGAGTATCAAGAAATAAGTCCTCAACAACAGCATTCATTGAAAATGGTGAAAGCACTTCAGATATGGGGTCGGCCTATAGTAGCAACGAATTCTCCAAGAAAAAACCTGAAGAACCACCTGAGTAAACGTCTTCACATCTTCTCTACTTGAACCACGACCACCTGAGTACTTAAGCATCTTCATCTTCTACTTCTCTCTGGTACCTGTATCATCTTCAAGAACAATCTCCTTCTCCTGATTTCACCTAGATTCGGCTGCCGCGGCATCGAATTTACCAGAGGCTTCTCCTGCTGAGACGAACACACCTCCTAAAGCGATCCCTGCTGAGGCTGCGTCTGGTGAAGCTGCGCCTGCTGATCCTGCGTCTGCTGCAGCTGCGTCAGGTGAAGCTGCGTCTGGTGAAGCTGCGTCCGGTGAGGCTGCGCCTGCTGGTGCTGCGTCTGCTGGTGCTGCGTCTTCTGGTGCTGCGTCTGCTGGTGCTGCGTCTGGTGGTGCTGCGTCTGGTGATGCTCATGCTGCGCCTGCTGGTGCTGCGTCTGCTAATCCTGCGCCTGGTGATCCTGCGCCTGGTGAAGCTGCGGCTGGTGATGCTCATGCTGCGCCTGCTGGTGCTGCGTCTGCTAATCCTGCGCCTGGTGATCCTGCGCCTGGTGAAGCTGCGGCTGCTGGTGCTGCTCCACCAGCTGCAGATGGAAGCGGCCCTCCGAATGATGCCGCAGGCGCCGGTGCCGCAGCAGGATCTCCAGCAGCACCGGCAGCCGATCAAACCGCACCTGCGACCGGTGGTGGAGGGTCCGGTGGAAATGCAGGAGGTGGTGGTAAAAGTGTAGAGGAAGCAGTTGGCGGTACAGGAACAGGCGGTGAAGGAGAACGAAGTATAGGAGGAGGTAAACCAAGTGGTCATAAGGGGGAGCAAAATGGTGGTAGTGGTGGTGGTCCTGCTGATATCTTAGCGTCAGTTACGGGCGGCAACGAAGGAGGGCTAGGCCATGGTGGTACGGGCGGCAACGAAGGAGGGCTAGGCCATGGTGGTGGTGGTGGTCAACCTGGTGGCAACGACCCATAGGAAGAAGAGATTACTCCTGATCAACCAAAGTATTAGATCACAGAGTGTTGAATCACCATCGTTGTGACCCTCTTGAAGAAGTCGCATGATCACCAAGACGAGTCAATGTGAGCACAACTTTGTGTGTGAAGAGTGAGGTGACTGCTAATGCTGTCATCGTGCTCTAAATCTTCGATTTTGCTAATCTATTTTTCTTCGACAATCATCGTGTATAGTCACTAGTCAGACCTCCTTTAACTTACTGCCTTTTATGACTCTTGTCCATATTTTATCCAGTTCCATGCTTATTGAAGATTTCTTGACAACTTTTACTCCCATTCATTCCGAGAATGCAACATCAAACGGTTTTTAGGACTGAACGCTTCCTCTGTTGAAGGGGTTCCCAAGGAATTGGCTTCAGGAATAATTGACCATGTGGTTGTGGAGGAATACGCGACGACCCAGCCATTTTCACGATCACGACATAGCGAAGAGCGAGACCAGCTTTGCCTCTGATAGAGTTAGAGATAACTCGTCCATCATGCCCACAATGACAATGCAGAGTGTCAGCTACAAGATTGAGTTTGAGGTAGCCGAACATCTACTACTTACATTTTTAATATTTACGCTCGTGGACGCGTAAGAAGAGGAGTACCATCATGATGTTGAGAGATGAAAACGTGAATTCCCAAAGGGCTACAAGAACAGCACAGCGATTAAGCGTGCTGTGCTGACACGGAAAAGCAACGTTTTTGATCTGCGAAAAGAATATCCGCGAGAGTGAGATACCAAAAATAAAAAGAGAGATACACAACATTAGACGAGCACTTATAGGAAGCTTCACGACGACAGAGAAACTCATGATAGAAGATTAGTGCTTGGTACAAATTCAAGAGGGTCATGGAGGAGTTGGAGTACTTGTAGATATAGCGCCGCTGAAGGCTACAGAGAGAGGACGAAGACCGAGAGGAAGAACATGCTTACAAAAAATTGGCTACTCCTACTTCTACTTCTTTAAGACTGTACGTAGTGGTCCAACTTACCAGCAGTTTTCAAGAATGAAGGTAGTCTATTGTTCCTCAACGCAGACCTCCCGTGGACGTCCACGTAGGCGTAAGCCTGGCTAATTTGGCATAACAGAACGCAGTGACTCGAACGGCCGGATCATAGGCATCGACTTCTGCAGAAACGTCTCGACGGGGGCCGTTTTTGAGAAGCGGAGAGAGAAACCATTCCGGCGACAGCATGCTGGTGCCTTGACTGTGGGAGTACGAGCGACGTGTGTTCCAGTCTTTCGCACGCCCATGCAGAGAAACTGAAGTTATTGGACCAGGAGAGCCAGAGGATAGATAGAAAAAAGCATATATCAAGACGAGAATGTCGTCGAGACAGTCAATCGACTAAGTAGAAGTACAAGTAGAACAAGTAGGATCAAACAAGAAGAAGGACAATCATCTACGGCGAGGACTAAGGCAAGGAAAAACGCATCCGCTTCAACCTAGATCCGGGAATTCTTGTAGAATTTGATCTACCTCTACCACTCAGCAATAGCAGTACTTCAAATAAAAACTGTAGTTACTTGGATGGCATCTCCTACTAGTATCATAGTACTAGTACAAATCGAAACCCCCGAGAAGACTACAAATTATCATACTACTTTAGTACTACACTACTAGTAATGCAAGTACTACACCACAGTACTAGTATTAGTTCCACTACCCTGCGACTACTAGCACTTCTCCGACTACCACATTACTAGTAACTCTTCGAGTATTTCTAACGGTTCGAGTACTTCAACTACTAACTATCACTGCCCGTGCCACTGCTAAACTACGACTCCTACTACTACCACTACATAGAAAATGTCCTTGTTCCAGGCGCGAGAGTATTGGAGCGTTAGGGGCAATGAGGGCGCCCATTGTTGCGTCGTTTGCAATGTCGACAACGAGCCTGGTGGCCACAACAAGATTGTCATTGGTAGCCTCGATGGCATGCTCAGGATGTACTATCCAAGGTACTTCTTGTCACTAGTAATTTTGGTTTTGTTACATTTTTGTGAATTGGGCAATAAAGAACTGGAACAACTACAGTGGATAATAAAGGTAAAAACACCTTCGAGATAAAATGATAATGAATCGCATGATCAAAAAGATGGTCTGCTTTTTTTACTGTTTTTATAATCAATTCTTCGTGTAATGACAAGCATCTAGAACAAACCACAGGCGGCGGGAGTACAGGGTTGATGATCTGATATTGGAGAAGATGCTAGAGGCGCCGATCCTCCAGCTTGCCGCAGGAAGATTTGTCGCGGGTTCTCGAGATATCTGTTTAGCAGTCCTTCATCCAAAACGCGTCGCGATTTTGATGGTTTCATTATGGCATGTTCATGTTGACGGTTTCAATTTCATTATTGTAAAAATCAATTTGATCAAGTAATAGATGAGATAGTATCTATGTTGGAGCAGCTAGCAAGTCAATGTCGCGTTCGCGATCCTAGATGGTGAAACACAAACACTTCCCCCTTCCTTCTATCCCTTGGAAGATGTGAAAGATTAAGAAGGACTCGAGCTCAGTCACAAGATGAACACTCAAACAACTGAAACTCTCTACTCTCCACATCTACTCCACATCTACTCCCCTTCTTCTAACATTCGCTACGGTTTCCGCACAAGGCGCAGTGAACTACTACAATGTCATCGAGTGCTACGGACACGAACTTGTACGACATAGCTACAATTTCTGCTTTGGGCCCTTTGCGCAGCAGCTACGTCAAGACCGCGACTTTTTGTGCATACAGTCTCTAGATGGAATACTTTCCTTCTTCGAACAGGACGCACCGGCATTCAAGATTATGGTTACTCGTAGTGCTGATTATGCTTGTGGTAGGCCTCTGTCGCTTTTTCATTTAGCTTTAGGTAGTAGGGATCTTGCTTCCGCATCCACCTCGTCGTCAAGTACTGATCATGACCTTTTAGGTCAGCTACTTGCTTCCACCTCTTCAAACAAGGAAATCACGTGCAGCGTTTTTAGCAATTTCAATACGCCTAGCACCTCTAACAGTCGGCAGCTACCAGCGGATCAATTCCTCTGTCCTGGACCATTGCTGTACATAGCGAAAACCGACAGCTTCGTCACTGCAGACAGTTGCATGTTTCTGCATGCTTATCTTATGGGTCATGATCGTAGAATTAGAAATTGAGTTTTGGAAGACCACGAGTCCGAAAAAAGTTGAGTAGGAATGAGTGGCAGGTGCTAGCTGTGTAATTTTCCCTGCCTTTGCTCCTAGTTCTTGACCATGGTAAACCGTAGGGGCATCAGTGTAGTTGTTAAGGAGATCGCGAGCCCTCCCCTACGCCGGTAACTACCCGGACAAAATGTAGGCAGCTTCTTTGCGGAACTTGCTCACGATACAAAAAAAAAAACGACTCCGGAAAAAGTTGGATTGGAATGCCCACCAAACCCAAAGTAAAAAATCAGGAACTCCAAAGTAGAACTCGTCAACCTGATGATAACATTCCTTTCCTTTTTCGAGGTCGTCTAATTTTCGCTATTCAGTATTGGCAGCTGCCGCTGACAATGTGGGAGCGCCAGGTTCTAGTGCCGGAGGAAGTGGAGTACCAGGTATTTCTCCTCGTATTCGCATTGGAAATGATGAAATAGAACATCAACATGTAGAAATACAAATACAGATGTCGTCGTCCTGGTAAGAAGAAGGGCTACAAGCACAACAGATGTTCGGGCCAAATACAAAATCCTGCACATTCTCTCTATAGGCGGCAATCCCGGAGACGTGGATGTGCAGGCAGGTGGTCCAGCGTCAGCAGTGGGAACGCAACCAAGTGGAAAGCGAGTTCAAGTGGACTGGACTGTAAATCTTGGCGAACATCCACATTACGGTTTTGTTTCTTGGTGAACTTGATTGGTTCCGTGTCGATGAAAGAAATTTGGTAATACTGACTAAGGATAAAAATGCCTGGTGAGATTCGGGGTATATTGATCGGTTCGCCCTTTCACTCATGACCGTCGTGCTTGTGTCATTTCCTACGCAATACAAAGTAATACCGGTGTAGTTTTAGTTTCTATTAACACGAAGAGAATGGGGACCGCGACCGCTACCGCAATAAAGCCCCTCAAACTACCCACATGCACTTCTAAAAAGAGTACCTCTTCTTCGCACGCATGCTCCGAGGTGGTGGCGGCGCTTCGTCGAACACATCAGGTGCGCCAACCGGGGGCACTGGATCGGAGTCCATCACTGTGGTTGGAGAACGCTATCTGTTCTACTTGAAACCGGATGGCGAGACGCAAATGCAAAAGCGCATAGATTACGAAATCGCATGTGCCACGGTCTATCCAGTGACGTCTATACATGTTACGAGATGGTGATCTTATGTGAGTCTCCAAGGAAATGGAAAACACAGAAAGTTCTGTTCCGAGTCTATTTTGTTTTCGTCCATGCCAAATGAAAATCACAACTACTAACTCCGACCTTAGCCAGCCAGGGATGATATTTATGATGAACAAGACTAGACACGATACTCCCGCTTTCGGTTAACGGCAGGCTCTACTAGGTGAGTTCATGCATAGTACCCCCTAACGGCAAGCTCTAAACCTTGCGCCGGTCCCGACGCGGGAATGCATAATCTGATTTTGGGGACACATACAGGCCATCTCTTGATCTTGAGGGAGACGCAGATCATATGGTGCGCACAGCTCTCGCACATCCCAATAGTCCTCGAAGTGGCGGAAGTCGCAGGCGTCAGAGCGATGATCACGACACTAGACGAAGATGGCTTGCTTGAGGTGCTGATGTTGTTTTTTTAGTTAGATAGTGGTCTTAACTTTGTTTATTTGAGAAAATGAAAACGTGGATGGACAACTCTGAGAACAAGTTGTTCTTTTTCTTTTGACAAAAGAAACTGCATGTCGATCTGAAAAAACTGATCCTATATCCTTTCCATTTCTTACCACCACAACACAAAACCCGAACAGGTTTCTTACCTCGGAACGGACCCGCCACCAGCCGCACTAGTGAATACCGAGATGAAAGAGCTTAACTACTCAGCAATGGAGGAGGAACATCAATTATGGCAATTGATTTGACTCTATATTACTCCACGAACAATGGAGGAGGAACATCAATTATGGCACTTCATTTTGCTTCCTGCTACAGCACCTCCAGCAGAATTCTTCTTTGGTTTCAGTTTGCTGTAGGGAATTTGAATTCATCTTCGAATAATAAACTCAACTTCCAAACAACTGAACTCTCCCTCCTCCAATCTCTAACGCAACAACTACTTGCAACTATCCGTGAAGCCCATGGCGAAGGCCGAAAAGAGCCCACAGACAGATTAGTGATGCATTGCCAAGTGCAACCGCACGTCATTTTGGACGAAGACGCAGAGGATGCGGAAGTATATCTAAGAACTCCCACTATAGTTGTATTCGGCTTCCTCCATTTCCTCCAATTCCATCTACTGTAGAAATACGAAATCATCGTGATAGTGTTACTGGGCTCAAGAAAAGCCAAGTCTTATACCTGATCTTATAGATACTATGCATGACCATGATGAACACCACCCACAACCACAAAAATCTCGAACTTCACAAACCCCATTCAGTACGCCCATCTCGACGGCGCTTTGTTAGAGGGCAGTGTTCGGATTGTGAGTAATTTGCAAGGCGTCGATGCTGTCGAAAAGTTGACCTATTGCATAGACGCTCCTGAATGCTTACTGCCATCACAGAAGACCTTTTTCGTCGCCAATCTGAAGCAAAATGGGACACCATTGGTCCTGACAGTGAACTTCAAGATCTTCAGCAGTGTCCTTTGCTCGAACCTCACTGGACGAGCAAGCTGTAGCTACTATCTCAAACAAAACGGAGATTAAGGCACATGAGTACAAAAACAAATTATATATCTATAGCTACTAATCTCTGGAACAAAACGGAGATTAAGGCACCATACAACAGAGCAGCTCCTCTAGGCGTCAGAAATGCTACTTCTTGCACAAATAAGCAGATGAATTGATCCTCTCCTTTTCTCCACATAAACCCACTTCTAAGCACAGCCACGTGTCAGCATGACCGAATTCGAGATACCTCTTAGTTGGATTGTACGCCCTATACCACCAATAAAGACAGCAAGTTACAAAATCCAATTAGACTGCTCCAGGCCACCGCCGCCACTGACAGAGGTCTTCTCAGACCTGTTTGAGCAGGCAAATGTGATGTCGCAGGTACTACAACTAGTACACCGATTTGTCCTCACTATGTAGATGTACGAGTACTGGATGAAAGAGTAGCACTAATTGAATCGATGAATTTAGATTTTCTCAACATTACAACCAGAATGAATTTCCGCTACGACTAGTGCAACTACGAGAACTACTACCTACAGTCTGGTCAATCATTTAGTGAAAGACTCTCGTCATCCGCAACATTGACAACATTATACCTCAAAAACACCAGATCGCGCCTCTGTCCTCCACTTCGCCGAACGTGTTGTCGTTGCAGTACATGGCAGGGACTAACTTCAGCGTGACGATTTTGGTTTCGAAGTCAAGCGGTAGAATATCTGTGCAGTCAGGCGAATTTGGAGCTCTTTTTCTCTTATGGGAGCGTGCGAGTAGATTTGGAACTTATAGAATCTGCAGTGGCCCACGTCTTGTTGCGGTTGAAGTATGAATCACGATGATGAAATATTCTAAGTAGATGCAGTTGATGTCTAAGAGCATCGGGCCGAGATATAGACATAAACTCTTCTTGTAGTCACTGTCAGTGACCCATGCCTTCTTCTCCAAGCGAAACGACCTTAAATCCTAAGCCCTCCCCTTTCATAACCGATATGCCATACCCTTTGCGAGCGTTTGTCGCATCATCGCTGTGAAGTGAGCTTTCAGGATAGTTTGCCACTACACGACTACTTTTCCGTGTTGGACGACCACTTCTCAGTGAGGCGGCACTTGGGAGCTTTGCGGTCAGACCTCGCTGATAGAACGAAGCAGTACTAAAATTAGCTACCTCTATGGCCGATCTAAATCTTGGTGCTTTTGTTCTTGTGTAGTAGTAAGTTTAAGTAGGAGAGTCATTCAAATTATGATTGTACTTACTCCAACAAGGGCAACTTTTTGAACTTGTTTGATCTTGAAACGTTGCTTCACGTAATGCAACATAACATCACCATGAAGACTAATATCACTGTGACCACCATTGCGCACCATTGCGCCCATGAATCCTCCAGATACCGCGTGATCCAGAAACGCCTCTTGATGCGGTATAAGGATCGCAGTAATCCGGCACCTCTGGGCAATCTAGATGCTTTGTTGCAGCTTACGTATGAGAGCATCTCAACTTCAGCCGAAACTATCGAGGAAGCTGAGAAGGCTTTGCGCGTTGTCTCACAGCATCTGCGTGCATGCACGAGACTCGTTCTTTTATGGCCAGTGAAGAAATGTTGACTTCTTGCTTCTAGACTTTGCTTTCTTGAAGAGATAATGGGAATGGAGATTCGTTACTGTAAAATTCGAAGTTCCTGTGATCAATCTTTCGACTGCTTGATGATGTCCTCTCCATTTCTATTTCTGACAATAACAAGCGCAAGTAGCGGGACATGTTGCAGCGTGAGATTCACATCATCAAGCTTCTCGCACACCACCCTCATCTTCTAACCCCTCTCCTGATAAGATATCGGTTTGACTTGAGCGAGGATGTGGAGATCCTGAAGGCGTATTTTGGGTTCGTAGATGACCATCCGAATCAGGGTTGGGAAGAAATTTGCGAGTACAATTTGGAACACATGCTGAAGTGCGCATTGACAGAAACGAAATCAGGTCAGCCAATACCGAATAAGGAATTATGAGCATGGGAAGTATTCGAGTTGGAGTCTATTCGAGATAGAGTTGCTGCAGAGTCTAGCTATATCTTGTTCTGTAGTATTTCTTTGCCAGCGGAGATTCACGAAGAGTATTCATTAGTACAATGCAACGAATCCCATTCCTACAGAAGTACAACTTGATTGGCAGCAGTCGTGGAAAGGAATCACATCACTCTCTAAACCTTGGCGCCTTCTTAGGCAACAGTGGAAACGCGCTGAAGATGCCACAGGATCTCAACAAGATCAAAAAACGCATAACGACTGTTATAGACAGGCTGGCAAACGGTGGCCGCATGTCAGCAGCGATTCTGGGAGAAGAAGAGGACGATTAATCAGATAATTCTTTGGACGAGTAACAGTAAGATAATCGATGATCAACATGATGAATACTTCAACTTCTAGTTCGCGCACCGCGACCACACCATTCAGTTTCGATAACAACCGGGATAAAATGAGTACTTCCACCTCAGTACCAAGTTTTCTTGGTCAAGATAAAGAGTTGATTTCCCCTTTATGTTCTCTTTGGTATTGTGTCGCCACGATGTAGTAAGTAACAGTAAGTAGTTGAAACTACTAATCCTATTCTTACTCAAGTTATCTTTTTCTTTTCCTGTTTTGGTCGTAAAGACGACAAGGACAAAATCATGAACATGATACCATTGTGCATATGAACAATAGTTTTCTTTTACAAACTGATGGTAACCAACGGGCTATCTTGTTAAGTAGTTTTGTTGGAGCCCCAGACAGTCTAATGTGTTCTTTGATACAAGAAACCATGAAGATGTTCGCAGGACGACGTCAGCAACAACGCTGGAGGTCGAAACGAGAGATAGAGAGAGAAGCATGCTGTGTGTCCTTTCAGCAAACTACAATTATCGCGACCGAATATGTTACGAATCTACCGCCCTCTTGTAGTCGGTCAACACGCATGGAGTAGAACGACCTTTCTTGTGCTGTCCTCTCCAATTCCTAGACATCTTCAAGCCACGAGAAGTTGTTCCACTTCAAGAAGAAAAAAAGATGATAAAACCTACCTCGACAACGACGGCTGCTCTGTTGCTCGCCAGTACCAACGTAGTAAATGCTGACTTGCCTGTCCATTGCATCCGACCGCAGGTCTTAGGCCATTGGAAATTCCATTTGGGGAAGCGCTCTCCGCACCGAACCACCTGTGGTCACGCCACCCCAGATATCGACAGCCGTCAGCCAGATGTGCACAACTTTCTCAAAGACAGCGATGTTCAGGAGACTGTGGTTATGGCTTATACTCTGAAGTAGACTTAGACAACATTATCTAATATTATATAATTGCAATGGCGTCTCTAAGCTCCCCGTCGAGTTGCAGGATCCGAACTCTGCTATCGTCAACGGCAAGGACGGCTCAAAATGGAGCATGATCTACGATGAGGGCATCACAGTCTCCAGTGACGAACTGGAGTTTTTCTCCTTTTCGCATTTTCAGAAGCCTGGAAAGCCGCAAGTGCATGGCAAAAAGATGTTCCGCTCGTTCTGCGGTCAGAGTGAAATCGGCTGGTTTCGCGACGTAAAAACAAATGAATTCGGCTGTTATCGTGCGGAAAAAGCGGATCAGAATGAGAATTATGGCAACCAGGTTGTCGTAGTCGTAGTAGTGCATCTGATAGATTGTGTTTGTGATTGGCATTGTTCAGCGGTTTTAAAGCAGGGAAAAAAACCTAAACGCGAACATGCATTGATGAAACTTCTAGTGAACTGATGGGCAAAATGCTTGTACTTGTACTTGTACTTGTAGGATCTTCTAAAATACGGGCGTCGCTTTTTACCATCTGAGCCTATTGGAAGAGGAAAACAAGACGACTGGTGCTGTGTCGCTGGCGGCGAAGCAAAAGCGATCCTTCTTGGCAACAGGAAGTAGCGAGAGTTACGACGAGTAGATCTTGATGATCAGTATCATCTTCATTCTAATTGTAAATTTCAAACTGGAATTGGGAAAGATTCCGATACTAGTAAGAAGACGGCTTCAGATTCAGGAGTCTATTTGAGTTCTAAAGAATGGAAGCTTCTAGTAGTTCTGGTACTAGTACTTCTAATACAAGACCCATCCACCACTCTAATACAAGGTTAAATCAGCAGAAGTGGCCTCGACAGCGCTCGTTTCTTCTACCTCTCTTCAGTTTTTGGAGAAGATCGATCATGCGAAAGAGGTCTCCAACATCAACAAGGCGCAGTCTGGTTGGACCGCAGCTGTCTATTCCGATGCCTTCATGCATGAGAAGATGGGTCAGCTCCAGAAGCGTGCCAGACGCAAGCCGATCTCCGCCATGTCCATGGGCAACAGTGCACAAGGATCCGCAGCAAGGGAGCGATTGCCTCCGTCCTTCAAGAAATCGAAGCACAAGGCTACTAAAGCCGTGTCCGTTGCAGTGGCGAAAGACATTACGGATGAAACAGTTTCGATAGAAGTTCCACCAGCACCACCACCACCTACTATTTAGCACATAATTTTTAACGCATCGTCTTCGTCTATGATCCCATACTAATCGAATCTTCCTACGGAACAAGAGTACATTAGTCAAGACACTCATACTTCTAATCCTCGCAAGAATACCAAGACAGAAGATGCCCACGACAACGCAGATGACCTCCCAAAGAAGTTCGCCTGGGACGATGTGGACGGCGAGAACTACTTAGAACCCATCCTGGACCAAGCGGATTGCGGGTCTTGCTACGCCGTCTCTTCGGTCCACATGCTGTCTGCGCGATACCGCGTCCACAAGAAGGATCCATCACTGGAAGGGTTTAGCATTTATGAATCGAATGCACATCTGCAGAAGGATACATGCTCGTCGGCCTCTTTTTCTTATATGATGCCATCTTGATTTCCGGTATAGTTACCTCTTCCCGTTCTCCTTTCATCTCCCAAACTTCCCGTTGTACTGCAGCGATTTGAACCAGGGATGCCAAGGTGGCTACCCGAGTTTGGTGAGCATGTGGTCGTCTCACGTTGGTCTCATTCCGAAGTCCTGCGCTGGTGATTACTTCACAAGTGATACTGCCACATTTAAGAAGGGGTAGAGTGTAGTTTTCGTTTTTATATGTTTAATGATCAAGTGATTTCAACTTCAAGATCAAGAAGTGTAAGGGTGAGGTATATTATCTGGTATCGTGAGTGGCTTATCCCTTGCGTCCAAGGTGTACCTGGTTAGGTATCCTGCGAACGATGCGATGCCAAAACTTTCACACTCCCATCTCTAATACTGGCAAGCAGACGCTGACAGAGCATGTGAGCAAAGCAGAATTCAAGTCGTGCGTCGAACAAGCGGAGAAGGACAAGAAAGTAGCGCAGGTCGCAAAATGGAGCTACATCGGTGGATATTATTTATGGTTGAAATACTTTTGATCTTGTTTCAGGTGATGACTTTCTTGAAAGATGTAAGAGTAACACAATCACAATTATCAGCTGCAAATCATAACTTCAAAAGACTCCCCCATTGTTCTTTCTCTCTTTTCCCCCCCTCTCGCCCTCTTCTTCCCCATCATTCTCCCTCTAACCCCTGGCGCTTGTTCCGTCGGTAAAATGATGGCGGATTTGTACAAGTACGGACCACTTGCAGTCGCTTTGGAGCCGGCCATGGACTTTATGTATTACCGCAGCGGCGTCTACAAGAGCAGCCCAGTGAAGACCGCGCAACCCTGGGTGAAAGTTGATCATGCGGTCTTGCTGATTGGGTGGGGTGAAGATGGTAAATTTCAATATTACGGCACACCACATTAGTTAGGTCGGCTCCACCACAAATATTACGGCACTTGTTGTATCACCAAATAGTTGAGCGACGTAGTCATCCGTTCACAGATGAGATCCGCCAAAGGAAACTTCATTATCATTTGAACACTCACCCTCCTACACATTAGACATTATACCACTCTCTATTTCGATTACAACACGTCAATCTCCTACAATCACAATTTAGATGCCACGAAGACTCCGTACTGGACGATTCAGAACTCGTGGGGCACCTCATGGGGCGAGAACGGCAATATCCGCATTGTGCGTGGCGAGAACGAATCGGGTGTGGAGTTCCAGGCCGTCGCAGCCTATCTCCAAGACGGCAAGGCTGCACCGGTCCTGGACTACGCTAAGGGAGTGTTGAAGGAGGAACTGTAGCTTGTTACTAGGTGGTAAAGGTGTGGTCGTGGTGGAGTGGAGGTGAGTACATGGGGTGCTCTCTTTGTAGAAGGCTCGACTACAGGTAGGGGTCGTAATTTGATTTTTTCCATCAACATACGAAAATGAATGCATAGGGTCATCACGAGACGAATTTCTACTATGGGACAAGGTAAAAAACAACAAAAATACAACATGCGGAATTGCTAACGGCAAGCATAAGAATTTCTACTTGTTTTTTCCAATCAGAGACTCAGGAACAACAGTGCAATAGACAATGCACAGAAGTGAAACACGATTAAACAGATGATTATGATGTGCGTACAAAATTATAAAAGCCAACAAGGTCAAGGTGATGATCGCATCAAGGTACGTTACTTCTGGCGCATCATGCCTCGACGGAGGCGCAAGCCCATGCCACGACTTCGGAAAACAAACAGAGGTATCTCGGTGCGTGGTCGTCTGTGTGATGAATCTTTTGTAGAGTGAGAGGACGCGGACGGGGTGGAGTCAAAAAAAGTGAACCTGCATTTTAATCAATGAAAAACATCACAGCATATCATCTGCCATTATCATCAAATTCGGCCAGAGAGATGCGTCTTACAACAATCTGTCAACTTCTGACAATAAGACCTCTGAGAGACAGAGCTGCCTGTGGATGCAGCGTCTTGGCTGTATTATAATCATGAAACGGCACCATCAGTAGAAGCACCACCCCAATCATGTAGAGCTATCCACTCATCTTCATATCAATATCTAGCCTACTGACAATCTTACCTCACAAACCTGTTTAGGACTCAAACTTTTCTTTAGCATAAGTATCCTCCAAGTGGTCTTCGGCTTGGCGCTCCTTATGCTGGCAAACAAAAAGTTGAAGTGAAAGACTCGTCACCAGCCCCCTTGTGATAAAATTGGTTCACAAAAAAAAAAGACTCATCACCGTTACTATGATTCAAGTTCACGCTTAAGGAAAGCGTATTCTCGGCAACAAGAACAACCAGAGGTAAAACCAACATCAAGTGACCTAAGCACCCACGCACTGCAGATGTTGCAGTTGTAATGACTTAGTAACTGTAAGAAAGTGACAACTGAAATGAAATTTACTGCAATTCCATGACAGCTTGTGGCCGATGGCTTGTCTAACGCAAAGCCGAATCTGGGGCATTGTGTTGTTCTTGAACCTCTTAAACATTGCGATGTTCGTTGGTGGTTGGGTCTATCCTTGGTATTTTCACCCGACTCTCCCTGCCGTGAATACCGAGAGTACCCCAGATCCAGCAGCAGCTGCCGCAGTGGCCACATCAGGAGGCGGATCGACCTCGGCTACTGCAGGAAATGCAGCACCGGCAGCGGTTCCTTTACGGCTGCCACTTCATCTCGTTCTTCAAGAAACAAAACGAGATCTGTTTATCTGTTTCACACAACATTCGCCACCAGTACTTGAAAGTTGTGAATCACATGAGAAGATATCCCTCTAATGGCTGCATTGCCCTCCGTAGTGTGGGTAGAGGAATCCTTTCGAGATCGGCAGTACGTGAACGGCATGTGGCAGGCACTGGCTTTCTTGGGAATCATCGGTGGAATCTTTTGCTCGTTCGTCTGCATCGTGATGCTCTCGTGCGGAGACTCGCTCCTTGCGGCGTTTGGAATGGGGGTACTAACTTCATCTAGAACTAGTTGTACTTAGATGAAGGTACAATAGTTGTTATTTCTTGTTCTTCTCTTTGCGGTACATCATCTGAAGAGCCGACGACATTCGACTATCATGACAGAGCAGCTTATAGTTATAGCACACATGGTGCATGGAGCGCATGGAGCGCAGATCCATAAGGGACGCAAAAAGCGCCCCCATTAGCTCCATGTAACTCCATGCGATCCATGCACTCCATGCCATGCGAGCTGGCAAACCTTACCAATTACTCCGTTACGATTATCGACAATTAATATGAATTGTTCTCGTAACAAGTGACTTCTCTGATGCTGATCAATGAATGCTATAAACGAACAAACACAGGGATTCGGCGGTTGGCTTGCTGCTGGGGTCAAAGCCAAGATGACCTTCACAGCCGCTCTCTTTGAGACAAAGGCTGCGGGTTTGTGTGTTGCCGCCAGTCAGATGCTGTTTGACCCACAAAGGATACAAGACAAGGTCGATCCGACACGATTCTATCAAGACACCAGTAACTTTGGAATGTGGCTAGTTTTTTTGGCGTTGTTTTTAAGGCTGATACTAGTACTCCTGGTAGTTTTAGTTGTCTATTTTTTGGCTGATAGTCTGGTAATTGCTGTAGTTCTAGTTGGATGTAGTAATTGTAGGAAGTAGTAGTAGAAGTAGGTTGTAGCTTCCGATCTCTCTTTTTCCTCGAGTACAGTATATCACCTTGCCTGCCGCGAAGTTTATATACTCGAAAAACAAAACTAAAACTCGTCACATGCTTCTACTAATACTCTTCGCATGTTTTGCCGACTTGCTTTTGTGCTACTACCCTTGTGCGCCGAACGATTCTGGTGGCTGGTTCGCCGACATGAACAGTGGCTTGAATAGCGGTGATGTCGAAAATGCATACTTTGTTTCTTATGGAAGAAATATCACAAGGACTTAAGGACTTTGATTATATTGCTGCTCATTATGATCGTCAAGGATTCACAGGTGTACATCAAGAAGGTAGTTTTTACACCGATTGGAAGTTCATACAGTTACGACTGCACTAGAAAAACAGACAGAACTAAGTTGATGGATCCAACATCCTTCATATCACACCAGCGCAGGAAATAGACGAGGACGAAGACGTGAAGAACAGGTTGAGCAGTCATGGCGTGGACAGAGCAAAAGCGCTCGATCCGGAACTAGCGAAAAAAATAGAAGCTGGTAGTTTCATTTTCATTTTAGCTGCATCGTCAGCAAATTATTGCCTGTTGGATTTGGTCCCGTCGTCAGTAAGTTGATACAACACTTGGTACAGCTGTTAATGTTCTTAGTCGTGTTCAGAAGGGTTCTGAGAATGATTTCATGTCTCTCCCCTCTTTTCTGTTCGACTTACCCCACGAATGGGTAAGCTACTACTACTACTACTAAAAACAACACATGCCTAGACGCACAGATATCCATCTGCAACAACTTCTTCATATCTCCTCAGAGGAAGGGATTCATTGGGGCAGCGTCTTTGGTTTTGGGAGTACCGAACCCGAAGAAACTGAGGAAAAGATAAAGAGGGCATCAAAAGCAGATGCTTCGGTAACACTAATGATTGAAGAAGTTGCTCTTCCTGTCTTCTTTATGTGGTATAATGACTATCGTATTACCATCTTCCCCTATTAATCTTAATCTATACTAGTAAAAGTAGAACAGCGAGGTCGTCGGGTGTTTTCAATATATTCTTCGTCATTTCACATCTCAATCTTCATCAAAATTACAGCCAGCGCATTTCCAGCCGATTTTCGACGATAGTTCTAGCAGTAGTTCCGCTGCGGGGCCACCGCCTCAGAAAAAGCAGAGTAACCGGAAGAAGCGAGGCGCAGAGGGGGAGCAAGGTAGACGTCAAGACAGCAAAAGCAATGGTTAAGGATAGGCGCGATGACTGGAGTGTATCCTTGAGCTTGACTTTATTCTGTAAACATCCATGGTGGTGGTGCTCATTTTTCCTGATAAACGACAAAAACTGCATCAACCCAAGGATGCTTTCGATTTCGTCAAGGATGCGTATGGTGCAACTGCAATGCATTCTTCTAAATCAGAGGAGGTAACTACAAACAAGCATCGTCACCACAAAAAAAGCAGAGAGCAGAGAAGAACAACGGCTTTCATTTTTATTAAGAGCATTTCAAAGTCAAGGACAATGAGCATGAAGACTTCATCTCAGTCTTGATCTCTACTTGGTCTTCGGATCGAGAGGTTGATCGTGATCATTGAATCGATGACGACCCACCTATAAGCCTATTTTTATGTAGTTCTCCTCTAATTTCATGCGTCTGCAAATGGAAGTAAGGCAAGTCATGTGGATGCTGAATTTCCTGCGCCATCAGATATAGACGATCAGATAGGCCACTATCAAGGGCATGTTGTAGAGGACGCAGCATCTGCATCCACATCAACAAGCGACGACGTGCCATTCCACGGCGTTAGGCAGTCAGCGACACCGTTGAGACACTCTGAACGTCTACTAGCGGAAGCGACGTCAAGCAAGGGAGGAGCAACTGGCACAGGCAGTCCAACGGGGGTTGGGTCATCGTCCAAAGCTACGACCACAATCGGAGCCGCGCTGTCGCCGAGTGAAGTGTTGCGAGACGAGAGCCCTCCTCCTCCAGCTCCGCCTTTTGCGGGAATAAGAAAAACAGCAGATCGAGAAGATCAGGGTGGCAAGAAGAACCTAATTATGGCTGAAAAAATATAAATGATAATACTTAGAGATAGTACTTAGATAGTAAGCATAGAATCTTCACTCAGTACTTGCTGCATCAACTACTAGCTTATCAATATCATCCAACAGAGTTTTAGTTTCTAACATGCGCAGAGCAGAGGGCACAATGGATATTGAAGATGAAGTGGACGAAGATCCAGCTCCTACAAGCGGAGGAGCTGCGAGCCAGTTGCCAGCAAATGCATCTGCTGGCTCAGGAGGAGCTGCAACGGCAAGTGCTAGTAGTACATCTGCCCCATCCGGAGGAGGTGCTAGTACATCTGCCTCGGGAGGACCTGCAGCTAGTACATCTGCCTCGGGAGGAGCAACAGCAAGCTCCTCTCCAACAAGGCGACAACGTCCTTCGCGGAGGTCATCTTCGCTGTTAGGCGACAAACTACTCGCTACGACGGAGAGTGGAGGTGGAAAAGACGCAAATGACCACCCTCAAGAACAACACGGCAAAGGAAAAGATGGCCATGGTCCCAGTGCACATCATGATGATCATGAGCAAGACGACCTTGTTCACCCACCTCATCACGATAAAGATCATCACAAGAAGGGTAAGAAAGGGAAAGGCAAAAACAAGGATGCGCATCATAGCAACAAGGGTAAGGACCATGATGCCCATGTTGATCACGAGCGTGATCTTCACCACGAAAATGGCGAGAGTCCTGAGCATCATAAGGATGCTCATCACAAGAAAGGAAAAGGCAAGAAGAAAAAGGGCCAACATCACGAGCACGAAGCAGAACATCCTGACGCGGGTGACGAGGGGTCATGGCTCACTGGCATTACTGATCTCTTTTCGCTTGGAGGTTAAGGCTTTTTTAAGTATTCCGTTTTCAACAGTCCAACCGGAGTATAATTATCGTTGTAGTCGAGTCCAATCGCTTCTAGATTAGATACCCGAGTACAAGTATCGTAGTACTAGTAGTCTAGCTCAATTGTTAGATTAGATCAAGTTAAGTCAGTACAGCACCACACTTCAGAAATGAGTGTACACGCCTCGATTAGGAGTATCCACTCCGGTCAAAGCAATTATGTAGAAAACAGCGCTAATTTGCGGAAGCTGAGCCAGAAGCAGACAGAGAAGGGGAACATCCGCCTACAGGTGGCAACCCAGAAGCAGCTAGAAGTGGCGACAGCGACCCACCGCCGAGGCACCATCATCCGGCGCCTAGAGGCGGTGCGCACGATGATGAGGAAGCAGGATGGTTCAATTTTGGGTGGGGACAGTGACCTGCTGAACAATCCTGATAACTCTAACTCTACAGAAGGAGACAGATTATTTTTGCTTTTGGTACCAATTCCTTTGGTGAAGATGAATATTCTATTTGGCTCATACTACAGATTGCATTTCTTGCAGTTGTCTCGCTTTTTTTTGACAGTTGGCGCACGCCGTGCGTGTGATACTTAAAGATATCGAATATGTCTCAAGCTCAACGTCAGCAACAGATTCAGATTCAATATCAAACATAGCGCAGTTTGTCAAAATCTCCTCGGATTCCAAGAAAAAGCAGTAAATTGAAAACGTACAGATAACAAAGCCTCGCACGATGCGCATGGTACCAAGGTCTTTCGTGTGTGGAGCTCCCTTCGTTCCACATCTACTTACGTGCTCTTTTGAATCTTACAATATGTTACGGCAGTTAGTACACTAGAATAGAGATAAAACGAAGGATACTATATTAAGGGACCAAAAAACGAAAAGCAAGAGCGACAGATGGAAGTGTTTAGTTTCCTAGAGACGAGAGTGTAGTTTCTGAGCTTTAAATAAAAAGGAGACGAACAAAACGAGACTTTAAAAAGGAGAGGAAAGCAAAAACAAAAAGGTGTCATCCAAAAAGTGGCTATGGCCATTGTTTAGATATTAAAACAAAAACTGCAAGTCTCAAAATAATCTTGTTCGACATCACAACATGAACTGAAATCTCAATGGGAACCCTGTTTCTTTGCTTCTCCAAGGAAGCAAGAACTTGAACCATATCAATACACTTGAATCAACATCACAAAAATAGAGAATTTTAGGTTGGGCTACGGGAAGCGATTTTAAGTAGTACAAGATGAGGCGGCGACGCCGGACGCCGCTTACCTGGCTCGACGGTGGGCCGGGTTGACCGCGTTGGTTTGCGGATAAAGTTGAGATCGTGACTCCAAGAACAAGGAAACTACACTCTACAAGATCGTTGTAGATGTGAGGAAAATAGCAACCCACAAGTTCTATCTATCACTACCTAAAAATCCAACATTACAACAACCAAGAAACCTCAGTATAAGTACCTCTAGCTCTAGCTCTAGCTCTACCACTATCTCTATCGCTTTCGATATCGATACAGCTTTCATCAAAAATACAAGAACTACCAATTCACAACTACAAGAACCAATACAACTAGTACCAACACCTCCAACGTGGCCGAAAAAAACCTCGTCCACAACCATCCCGCCCAAAGATGGCTCCGGAGATTCAGACTGGGGCGCCGCCCAGGTCTCAGGACCTGGAAAAGGCTCAGGTGGCGGAAGCGCGATTCGATCGGATCATTCGACAGTTGAAGAATCTTGCTTTGTTTGACAAACTGCAGAAGACAGACCGCTTGCACTTGATTACATTAAGGCTCATTCATGGTAATTGATTCATCTTCTCCTTCACATCAGAAGACCCATTTTCATCATCCTTTCCTGAAGTCTCAAATTCCAGATGAATAAGTCTCAAGTGTGTGAGTTGCTCTAAAAGAGAGGGCGGAAGTGGTCGAACTCTTCAACATCTTGGATCAGAATAATTCCGGTGAAATTACCAGAGAAGATTTGCTGATCTTGGCGAGTATTCCAGGAAGTAAATTCACGGAAGTCCATGTCAACAGTATCATGGAGGATTGCGACCGAGATGGGAATGGCATCATCACGATTGAAGAAATGTTCAAGGCGGTTACGCAAGGAACCATGGCGTATACAGTCATGCTGGACGAGGTCTCGGGTAGGCGCATTCACGGCGCTAACGACGAGTGCTCTCGTGAGGCATTACTGCGGTACATGAAGCATCAGTTCAACAAGGATGATGCCTGTTTCTCGTTGCCTTTTACATTACGGCCTTACCGAGTATGTAGTGTTGACTGTTGAAGTTGTCGTCAGACTCAAGAACTACAACTGATTTGAAGAATTATCTTTTGGAACATACTTCGTGCATGAAGGTGTTCCATCAAGGGCCATACCAATATATATTATAACTCCGCTATAGGTCGTATAGGAAGATACATAGAAGATGTTTAGAAGTAGCATATCTGCCAGATTTTTAGTAGAGATGAACGAGAAGTCTCTCTGAAACCGAAACGGTAGTACGTAGTTGCCTTAATATTTTGTCTCTCTGAAACCGAAACGGTACGTAGTAAGTTGCCTTAATGAAGAAACCGAAACGGTACTACGTAGTTCTTGCCTTAATATTTCCCCTCATCTTCTAATCTGCTTACTCTTCTTCGCGGTCTTCTTGTTTCTGATTCAGATCCATCTGGAGATTAGTTCGACGTTTCTAGTACACAGTGCAATCCAAAACGAAATTGACGGAGAGGGAGGCCGAACGAATCACGAAGGGCCGTTCCTGATGCGAGACGTCCATGATGTACTCTTTATTGATATCGTCGGAGGGCTCCTCATGTTTATGTTTTGATATCCAGATCATAGGGCTCTTCATGGTTATGTTTTGATATCCAGATCATTATGCTCCTCATTGAATGGTTCTGGTATTTGGTAGCCTGAATTTGATCCTAAGGGAAAACAAGAAGAGAACCTTTAGGATCAAACTCAGGCTATACCAAAAATACCAGAACCATACCCTCATGCTTTGATATCATTATCACTTCATCATTTTGGATCTGGGGATGCACATGACGGTGAAATTGAAATTGTAGTGCTTTGCTTTCACGTGAAAATTATAGATTTCATCATTTATATATATTTTTTGGGAATTTTCACCATTCAGACTCCGACTTTCTGGGACTGGTTCAACGCGTCATTTGTCGCGTGTACCTTCAAGTCAGCAGCCTTCTGGCTCCCGGACTTCCCGGTGCCTGGAAGAATAGGAACTTTCAATTAAGGCTACTTGAGGAAATCCATTTACATCTTCTTCCCCAGCATCTTAGTCAACCTGTTTTGAAGGGAGAACTTGCTGCAATATTGTTTGTTTGTTGTAGAATAACTTTCCGTTTCCTGATTAGCTCACCAAGAAGATGGATTCTGCAAGGTCTAACTCAACCAAATCGTCGGTGGTGTGGGGTTATCGAAAGTGGAGACTATTGCCGAAACCTGTGAGCAGGATGATTGGCTGCAAACGGTATACGACGCAAGAGGAAATGACGAGGCGAAATTGCCGTGTTTATGGCTTGTTGCGAGGTTTCGAGTGTACTAGCGCACCAGGTCACTAGAACTAGAAAGTAGAGATAATTCCCTAAATTTGAGATGCTAAATCTGCGTCAGCAGGATCGGTATCTAAACGTTGGAACCTCACAGAAGAGACAGAGTCTCTATCTTTCGAAGAAGTTAAACTTGCTACGTAGTTTTCTCATCTCTCTAATCTCCTATTACATGGATTCGGCAGAGGTGGAGACGACGGAGTGGCTTTTTTATCAAATGCACGAAAATGATATACGAGTGGTGATATCGGGCTTGATAAATTCGCAGTGGATAAATATGGGAGTGACGTTGATACGGATAAAGTTCCTATCCTACAACGCGCCGTACGGGCTCTTCACAAACACGCACCTGGATATAGCATGGGATAGGCAAGGGCTTTATCGGATACGGTAATACAAGTTTTTCAGTGGACAACACCGTTCTACTATAGAGGATCTTTGACAATCTTCATGTAGATATTTGTTTTTCCAGTCCTCCAACATAGAAACGTGAGAAGTACAAGAACATTCAAAATCGACGTCGACCGTCCTAAGTAGGACATTTCCACCTTGCAATATATCACCCATTTATCCATCTCCATCTCCATCTCCATCTCCATCCCTCCCACAGATACTACATGACCTCTTTTGAGGCTGATCCATATGCAAAGGGGTGGAAGGTGATTATAGATTTGCTGTACGTGGCGTTGGTCTTGAAAATGATGTATGCGGAGTCGAAGGAAATGATACCTGCGATAAAAAACGGTTTGGATGGTTTCCTGGACTACTGGGAGTTTTGGAATGCCATCGATTGGCTGAGTATTTTCACCGGTGTGGTCCTATTGGCGATGTGGCTTAGTATGGTGGGATCGATCTCAGGAGGACTGCAGGCGGCGATAATAGGTAACTACTCTAACTACGTGCTTGGCATGTACTGTCATCAGTGTTTGGCTCCTGTGGTTTTAGCATACTATCATCACCTTCAACTTCACGACAGGGCTGCCTCTCCAGCAAGTAGGAGAACCAATGAGTTTGTATAACCAAAAAAAAAAACTACTCACCCTGAGCTACTTCAAAATTTTCCATCACCTTAAAACGCTTGGCGGGCTTACTAGCTGGCTAATTAGATAACAGACAGAGAATCTCTGCAGCCGGCAAGAATCTTAAGACTGTGCCTCGGAGACGCAGACGAGCCTTCGCCTTCACCTTCACCTTCACGACAGGGCTGCCTTCCCAGCAAGTAGGAGAAGCCATGAGTTTGGATTCGTATATCATCAACACTGGCGACTTTTTAACCCCGCAACAGATGGAAGCGAACGCAGGGATGTCTCTATCCGAGTATGCGGAGAAGTGTGAGGCGTTGCATCTGGTATAGAATGAAGAAAGGGCAAATTATTGACTTATTACGGGTTTGTGAAGTTAAAGTTAAACAAGCAACAATCTAATCCAATCATCATTATTACGGCTGAAGAAGATCTTCCATTTTCTCACGTTCCTCGTTGTTTTAGTAGACTCTCAACATACATCTCGTATCGAATAAACTTCAAATTTTCTTGTGCTTGAACAACTACGACTAATATCATAATCACGATATTTACTATACAACCTCTCACCCTCCAATTATCTGCATGAAACTACACATCTTGTTCGTCTTCACAACAGGAACTCGATTCCATAGTGGACAGCTACCACTTGTTTCGGTCTTTCATTGCCGGCTACATCTTAGTGATGATGATGCGATTTTTCAAGGCTTTTCGAGCGAATCCGCGTCTAAACGTGGTGACGCAAACCATTCTAGAGGGTTCAACCGATATCTCCCACTTTGCCGTGGTTTTCTTAAGGCGAGTTGTAGTCATCTGATCCGAATCCGTATCTATCAGAAAAATACCTGAAGCCTTGAAAAGTCTCGTCAACGTCAGTCTTCCCTCAACTAGCACATGGAAAGAAAAAGCAGCTTTTGAGGGCGTTAGATACGGTACTGTAGGCTTCATTAAGTATGTAGCTCTAATCCCCTTGACGATTTTCACGGCTTTCGTGCTTTGTGCGCAGGTGCTTTTCGGTTCGCGTGTGCGCGAATTTTCAACGCTGGCAAGAGCATACAACATGGCCTTCCGAATTCTCATGGGTGAGTTCTTATGAGGCTTGTTGGACTGTGTTTGTGATGAGGGAATGCATGACTTCTTGAAAGTAGGAGGTTTCTATTGATTTTGTGTAGCTAGTGGTCGTATTTCCGGGATGAAAACGCAACTCCTCCACCCACGACTTCCTATACCTGACGAAATACTCGTCCACGTTACTTTTTTTCGTACTCATCTAACACCTGATTTCGAGGCGATGGTGAAAGGTTCCGATCTCGATTATCTCTATGGAACGATCTGGTTCTGGATGTTCGAGACGCTGGTCTTTCTGATCATGTTTAATATGTTGCTAGCGATTGTTATGGACACCTACGCGAAGGTCTCTGGTAAAAAGGAAGGGAGTGAAACAATGTTATGGCGAAAATGAATGAGATTCAATGTTGTAGTCATAGTCTTCATAGTTCTTGTTCTAAGTGCTGTACAGTAGGTACTACTTGTACTTCTTGTAGTCTACACCTACTTCTCATCGACGTTCTTCATCTTCATTCTCATCGGGTGTTCGTACTGAGACAACTACCACCACCAGTTGTACTACTGCTAGTACAGGCGTGATTGAACACCCAGCACCGCTCTAATTAGAGTCGAACAGACTTTTTCGACATACCGAATGCTGCAGCTCACGAAGAAAGCAGGACACTTGAATCTATGGTACTCGTTGGCAGGCCTTTTACTTGATGAATGTCCTCGCTACTTATAGATACTTATCGCTTTCGCTTTCGGTTTCGCAATCTCTGATTCTGAAAGATTTAGATTAAATACTTATCTATGCAAGTTAATTTACCAAAAGGTATCTCATCTGCGAGTTCGAGGACGATGATGATCCTGCGCATCCAGAAAAGGTTGTCTCAGTGCGTTCCCTACGTCGTGCCTTCCCGAAGATGACAAAGCATAATGCTTATGAATCACGATGAAGCAGCCTGCCCATTTTTTGGGGCATGCGTACTACAGATGAACTACAACCTTGTAAAACAATATCTAAATAGAGGTAGAGCGGGGGAGAATCAACTATAATAATAAGTCCACCTACTTGTAAAACAACATCTGTAAAAAGAGGTAGCTAGGGATTGGGAGGATCAACTATAATTCAAGTAACAACATCAAGAAGGAAAGCTTGAATGTTACTGTTAGATCTACGATCTTCGTTCTCGGCTCTAACTCCCAGAATTCTTGATCCACAAAACGATCGAGTTATTGCAGGCAGAAGAGTCAGGCGCTGACGCAGTCACGTTGACGATGGCGATGATTATGGCATGTGGCATATAGGTGGACAACACCGAGGTGATTGATAGAGTGAGAAGTTAGAAAGCAACAAACATCATGACTCCTCAGACACTGCCCAGGTCGATATCGACTTTATTCGCGAATATAGACCGACATCCAATTTTTTTCTCTCTAACACCCAAATGATCACGAAAAGTCTGCAGTTTTCGAAGCGAACCTCAGAACAAATGGAGTTGGTGTATGCTGAGACCCTTTTAGCAAGGAATCAGCGCATCAACCTGGCCATGAACCCGCATCAGAGAGGGATTGACGGAGCAGCAGGTGGAGTTGGGGCAGCGAATGTTATGGTTTTTGGGGTCACTTACATTTTGAAGATTGAGCAAACATGAAAATGATGTGTCTTGACGTCATCGAATCTTCGACAGCCTCATTACAGCACATATGAACATGAAGCTAATTTAAGTTTTTGATTTCGTTCATCGCTCGTGATCGTGATTTTTATCCAAAAGCACAACCTCTAAGACCCCACTCCTAGCAGCAGCTGGCGGTGGGCAGCCAGCGGCAGCAGCTCAACAAGCCATTATGATGCAACAGCAGATGGCAGGTGGCGGAGTGTTTGATCCGAAAGCGATGATCCGGACACAAAAGGAGGCACTAGCAGGAGGTGGGACGACAGTTACGAATCGAGTTCCGTAATGTTGTTGACATAATTAGAGTTTCTATTAACAGGATAAGCTTAACAACAAGCAACAAAAAGCTTGATCCGATCATTAAGTATACTAGAGTAGTTTATAGACGCTGGGCACGCTGGGCTACGCTGGGTGGCTGGGCGGCCTCGCTGGGCACGCTGGGCGGCAACGCGGGGCACGCTGGGCGGCAACGCTGGGCACGCTGGGCGGGCGCTTGGATAGCGCTTAGCGGACTTGAGGGCCACACATTGGGCATGCCGAGCCTGCGCGGCCGATGTATGTGCTTGCGCCGCGCTCCCGCGAGGACAAGGAAAGGCGGCGCGCCGCCTTCAAGGTTCAGGGCAGTGCTGCGCCAGTTTGCGCAGCAGCGGGCTGCGCGGCGCCTGCTCTGTTCAGGCTTGCACTCCGTCGCGCTGCACTGCGCTGGTCGATGCGTGCAATGCTGCGCCGCTCTTGTGCACAACGGTAAACTCGCCAGCGCCGTCGGCCTTGGCCTACGCTAGACTAGCACTACTGGCGGGGTTCTCAAGCGGGCGCCCGAAGGGCGCCCCGCAATTGGAGACGCCCAGCGTGACGCTGGGCGCAGAATTCGGAAGATCTGGCACATTTGGGTCGCCCAGCGACCCAGTGTGCCCAGCGTGCCCAGCCCAGCCATGTTGGGAACCCTTATAAACTGTTCTAGTATACCTTTTTTACCTTTTTCTATCTTTCCTAGGTAGGTCGTTGGCTCCACCACAAATATAGGATTCCTTAGAAAGAAAATCATACAGTTTGGCATTGCTGAACATCACAAACTGATTACAACAGAAGTCCTCTGTCAAGAACTATTATGATGAAGCGAAGTACCTGAACCTGTACCACACTCCTGCCCGCTATCTTTATTTTCCATCATGAGCTCTATTTCCCCTCTACCTCCTCCTCTAACCCAAGCGACATGCGTGTGACGGAGTTGTTTGACTATGTCAGGGACAGAAATCAGTGGTTGGATCAGAGGTTTAGCGAGATGGATAAGAGGTTTGAGAGGATAGACCGAAATGCAGGAGCCCTCGTCATCTGGATGGATCAAAGCAAGAAGAAGGAAATGACACTGGAGAAAAGTCAGGCGGGAAAGAAGCCGGGAGGTATATTTGTTCATGTGAAAGCTGAGGTTATTCATCTTCATCTGGAAATGACAAGGAACCAAAATATACAGTAACATAAACATTTTTAGTTGAAAATTTATTTGAGGATTCCTTTTGGAGACACCTGCTCGAACCAAATCATATCTTCTTCTTTAGACCTTGACCTACACGATCATTTAGACCTTACCTACTATCATTTTTAAGATTACCTGCTTACCTAGTCCTCTCCCTCCACCCCAACTCTAGATCAAAAAGAGTCTGGATCCGATTGGCGACGTATCCGCAAACTCGAAGATCAAATGGACGCTTTGCAGGCACAGAACGAGAGGGTCCTAGAATTACTGGAAAGAACGCAATACCGAGAGCCACCAATCGTCCGGTCACCACAGATACGAAGAGGGGGGGCTGGGTGAGGAAGTTATACTTGGGTTTGGTTGGAGAAGAAAATTTTTGAAGTAGATGATTCGAAGAGAAGGTCGATCATCGTGGAGATCAGCAAAAATTCTTCGATAATCGTGATAAAAATGTTGATCAAGAAGCAGAAGCGAGGAGGAGTTCGATGGAATTTTACCATTTGAGGTGCATCGGGAGGCTTTCTTAGCGACGGTTGTGTCGTTGCGAGAGTAGGGCTTGCCGCTTTGCTTTTGCTTCACTAGCTCTACCTAAAACTGAACTGATGGTCGTGTAAATCTAAATTATTTTTTGCCTAGATGAACTACTACTACAGAAAATCCTACTTTCAAAGAAAATCGAACTTATTTTCAAGGTAATAGCTACTTCCTAGAAAGACGTGTTTCGAAAGATTAGAGTACACGATCTCAATTCTATTTGTGAACATGGTTGTATTTGTATAGTTTAGGTAATGAGTAAGAATAGTCTTTTTTAGTGAATTTTTATATTATTTACTACGATCCATCCTTTGTATTTGTTTGCGTGTTCGTCATGTATGAACAGAAACTGGCAACAGTAGGTACTTACACAGAAATTAAGTAAGAAAGGGAACCGGACTACAATTGATAGAAGGAAGCTAGAAGAATTGCGACAAATTAGGACAAGGACTGGTGTGGGAAGGTTGAAAAAGATCTAGATCATTCAGGGTCTTCAGGACCTGCCTCTACGAGGTCCAGAGACCACTCAGGTCCGTCCGAGCAGTCCCTTTGCTCTTGATGAAGTCCCACGTTAAAGGCGAGAGCAACGCTTCATCTCTATGGTGTTGGCTCTAGATCCTGACAGGGACCACAAAAATGTCAATGTCTCTCTTGATTCCTGCTCCGCACAAGTTAAAAGCGGTTGTTGCAGGCTAGCCATGAGACAGACAATCGATCCAAGAGACCTAAACCGTTTAGACCTTAACGTAAGGAAACATCATCATGTACGATCATCGGTAAGAAGAAGTCTTTATACAACTATGAGCTCCAGTGACCGCAGCAACATCGGTACACGAAAATAATAGACAGACAAACGAAGATCGGTAAGAGGAAGTTCCTTGTTCGACTTCTGTTGAAGAATTAGAACATGTACAAAGTAGTGCTCCGTGGTCTCACCGTGGTGGTTTTGTATCTTCTGACAAGCGGTCTCACTCAAAGGACGTCGACCGCTTCGTGTCTAAGCAAGAAAATGCATCAGCGGGTGATTATGTCTGTGTTTGTATATCATCTTCTATCGATGTGACGAGATTACGCGCACACCAACAACCTCTCCACTATCGCTTTCTCCTCGACGACTAAACGTAAAAGTGTCAATTAAAGCCCCGTTTAGCCAGATGATTAGAAAACATAATGAGGAACAAAAAAAAAACCCACATTTACGTAGGTCGGACGAAACGCTTACCTTGTTCGCAGGTCCAGCCATTTCGTAAGTGGAATATTGGGACGAGATTGATAATGATATTGTTTCCTATTGCACTACGCAATTCTCATTGTTCGTTGTTGATGCATGAACAAGATCAAGAATTCATTAGAGATTTTTACGGCAAGACACTCGAACTTTCCTCCAGAAAGACGCACTCACACCCCGGGGACAAGAAGTGTCCTCTACTACTTATATGTACTCTAGTTAATACATGCTGTGCAAAGTACAATATACTTTGCGCAGCACGTATAAACTATAACTAAGGACCCAAAGATAAAGAATACACCAAACGAGCAACTGAAAGCGTCCCTCTTGGGGACGGAATCGCCCCTCTTGAACAGAAATTGCTTCGTATTTCGTTCCGCTTCGTATTTCGTTCCGCTTCGTAGTTGGGGACAAGAAGTGTCCTCTAGTACTACTTATACAACTTTGCGCAGCACGTATATCGTACTAATTATACATCTTCGGAAGCATCTGGAAGGTATTTCATGAGAGGAAATAAGGAGCCACAAGATGCGCCCCAAGATGGATAGGGGTGAGCTCTAAAAATTTCGGAAAGATGGTCCTGTTTTGCTTCTGCGTGAGATTAGGCGCAGTTGTCGAATTTCAAGTTCATCCGTGCAAAATTCTTATTCGTCGTGGAGAGGAACATCATCGAAACAAGCGGAAGAGCATGCACTAGCCCAGGACCACCAGCAGCAAACGACAGAGAAGCAACAGGGCCAGATACAAGATCACCACCATCACGGAAAGCACCATCATGGCGTCGCTCTTGAATCAAAGGCATTGGGAGAAGATGGCACCATGGTTTCTGTTCTGCGTCGAAGAGCATGCCAGGAGAACATGTGAAAAAAACCAAGCTCCACATGTTAGAGAAGTTCAGGAGTAGCATCAGAGTACTAAGCATCCTGCCGGGTGTCACAAGACAGAAGCAGGAAAGCAAAAAGAGCTACCTCTGACTATCGGTATCGCGAAACGCCTCTCCTATCCTCGGGAAGACGAGAATGTAGAAGTAGAAAGCCTGTATGATGGACAGAAGAAACAAAGAGAAGAAGAAGAGCTAACAATCGGAAAGGATACATAATTAAGTACATCTCCCGCTTATCGACGTAGTTCACTCGTCGCCGATCGCTTTCGTTTACAAGACAAGGAAAGCTACATAAGAAGGATACCGAGCGTGGTGCACCTTCATCGTCCCGTCAGGTAAATAAGTTGTAAAATAATGCACGATTATACAACACCAACATGGATGAAGAAGATACTTCTGTTTTACTCACGTCCATACTACGATTTGCAATCGGTCGAACATCGGCCGTCTCGTGTCTGACGAGCGAGCATCCATCGGTTGATTGGTGCGTCTGTATAAAAATGTCAGCTAGAAGATCTGTCGGTGTGACGAGATTACAACACGCACAACGACCTCCCATCTATCACCCCCGCTTCGATCTACCATCGACTCCTCAAGCGGCTCCCCTCGACGACCAGGACAAGTAATTAAAGACGTAGTTGATGAAGATGAACAATACTATTCCATCTACTTCTACCAGTACGATGAAGGTTTAGAAGTAGTACAAGTTTGTCCCTGATCTACTAGTACAACTAGTTCTTGTGATGTCATGTATGACTAGGAGGAAATGTAGTTCGCCATCGCTTTTAAATGGCGAGAAATAAGAAATGCAAATATTGATCTTTTCTATCTTCCTCTGGTCTTTCTTTTTTCTAGTTAGGTCGGCTCCGCCACAAATATAATTAATCCTTCATATAATCATAAGCATAACAAACAATCCACACGCACACTTTTTAGACTTACTTAGGAAGAATACAGCGCTTGGTTGTTTGCGGGTGAGTACTATTGGTATTTTTCCAAGACCAACTACTATCCTAGCTTAGTAGCCTTAGCTCGGAGGAGTATATCCTTATCCATTCCTCTTGTTGTACCTGCATGGTGTGGTCTCGTCTGTACCTCGGAGGTAGTGCATCTTCTCCGACGAAGGACGCACTCGTCGTACTCTCAGACTCACATCCGAAGATCGAGAAACAGAACCTCCTGCCACAAGTTCTGGCTCTGCAGCGAAAAGTAGGTGGCAAAGCGGATTCACACAACAGTGCTGAACGCAAGCAGCTGCACCAGCAACAAAGTTGGGACAAGAACTATTTTCTTTGCGCATCAACAACGAAGAAGTACGATCAGAGTCATGACATCTTCATCCTCGATAATTATACTCCGCGGCGCCGCGGGACGAGCTCTTGTTTGTCCTCTGGTTGTAGTAGGGTGGGCGATCTATTCCAGTGTTACCGCAGGCGGAGGACAGGTAGCTGCGGACAAGAATCTGCGTGGAACGCATTCGGCTGGACACAAACATCAATCCGATGTTGACCAATCTGCAAAAATTATGGATGAAAGATATGCGTTTTTTATAGTTAGGTCTTCTCCACCAACAATATTTAGGAACTTTCTAATCAAGCATCTACGACACCGCTACGGCAGTCTGCACTGAACATTGTGCGAGATTTATTGTATTCCTTGCATTGAATTCATCATGATAGATTAGTGCCCTCCAGTGCTGGAAGATATGATTGAGTTTGAGAGCGTGCTCGTGATCGTGTGTTCTTTCTTTGTAGAGCGACTATGTCTACTTGAGCATCTTCGGCGCGCCACGATTAGGATCGATCAATATCCACATACACATAGGTCGTATTGTTCCACCACATACTATGCTCTGTATATTATATTATGATACCATTTTCTTGTTTCTAAATCTTCTGCGTCTACCCTGATCGAAAAACAGGGAAAGCATTCCGACGAACGTGAACATGCTGTCGCCAACCACAAGGCATTGGCGGACGGCATGGATGGAAAAGATTCAGAAAGTACTCCAAAGGAGCATGTGAAGAATCACAGCGTACTACAATTGGATCAGGCGGGAAAGCATTTACATCATCAAGGAAACGGAAAGCAAGGGCAAAAGCACTCCAAGCCTGCGGATTAAGGGTAGTTTATCACTATTCCATGTGGACTATACTGAGTGAAATCCCCCTGCTCTGAAGGGGAAAATAAAGGGGAAAAAGAGCAACTCACTCGACCAGGGATAGTGAAAAGCTACCGCTAAGGTAAGCACTCCCCTCCACACGGTGCCGGTGGAGCTGTCGTTCATAAATCGAAGACATTGGCAGGAGATGGCGTGCCAAAGCTATGTTGGACATATATGCCAAATCTCATCAAGCAATCTAAATAGCAATCTAAATAGACCGAAAGTACTCTATTTATTAACCACGGCTATCGTGGCTCTTATCGTGATCTTAAGCTTACCAGTTATGATTAACCACGGCTGCATCGTGGGTGCAGAGTGCTTACCCTAACGACCTTCAGGACTGCTTCGTCGTACTAGCTACATTTATTCACTTCCTTCACTCAGTCAATTGATCACATTGATGAGTAGATTGATCTAGGTAGATGGAGAACTTCTACTTTTAGTCCGAGTTGTAGTCGTGTTCTACTTCGATCCTCGAAATACTGTTGTGCCTCCTGGTGAGGAGAAATACTTTAGTTTAGATGTGTTGGTGTTCTTTTTCCTTTCCTAGTTCGTGCGAGTTGGGAGCTACCACAAGAATTTGAATAATAGCAACTTCTAAAAAGTCCGATTTTCGCTGCAGGGACTTCTGTTCAACACGACGAGGAGAATTGGCATCAGTTTGGTGGCTTTGTTTTTGTGAAGATTCTGTGCGCGTTGACGATGGGCCTTTGGCTTCCGATTGTCTTGGCCTCGCCCTACGTTCGGGCGCATTTCCCCAAGATTCTTGCAGAGGATCAAGGTCGTGACGCTCTTGGATGTGATTAAGGCTACAAGGAAAAGAAATACACTGATATTTAGATTTACATTCATACAGACGTTTGCGGAGAAAGACTATGCTGACCACTTATTTTGTCTTATGATGATGATGATCTGCTATCTCTTAAATCGGCTAGTATGACTCTTCTCTTAAGTCGGCTATTATGACTTTTCTCTTAAGTTGGCTCCCGCAAAAGGAAAAGCATTCTTCCATTTTGAATTCCCATCCATTCGAATTCGATGAAATTCTTTCATGGAGGCTTTTTCTTAGCATTAATCAGCACCACTTTTTTCGAATTCTTCGTGCTCTAATAGAATGAATTGATGCCGTATCTGACACCAACTCCATTGTTTGCGGCCTTTTTGCAGAGTACCTCTTGGCTGATCCTCCTTCTTGTTGCGACAAGTGATAGCCGCGGCGCAGCAGCCGATTGGCGCGCGCTCCCTTCCGCGCTGCTTGATAAGAGGATTATGCTCGAAGTTTGTGCTCTGTTCATTAGTTTGGGCGCTTCGCTGACGCTGATTGTCGCGTACCCGTTTATTTGCGATGGCAAACGACGTGCTGACGCAACATCAACCGCTTCATCTACAACTAGAACTCCTATTGCACGACCACGACCAGCAACAAGTACTTCAACTTCTACAACGTCGGCGGGCGTGTCGAAAACTTGGCACAACTTTTCGAGTACCTATTTCGCTGGAGTGCTCGTTTGCGCTGTCGTGGTTGCACTTATCTGCATCGCGGAGGTGAGGTTTGTTCGTTCGCCACACACGCCACACATTACGGCTTGTTCCCCTATATTAGTGGTCCATCTTCAGAGGGCTGCCCCTATAATCATGGTCCGTCAAGATTCTTCAGAGAAGTCATCCACCTTCTACGAGAGACGTTTATCTTTATGTCATCAAAGGGAAATGAACAGTCTCAGGAAGATGCACTACCTAAAGATGGAGGAAGATGAGGGTGACTGAGATGCTCTAAACATGGCTATGCCGAGAACCCCTTTTTCTTCGTTTCAGTTATTCGCTGTGTTTCGCTGGTAAGCACCGTAATTCTGTTTCGGGAAGCCAGTTTTGGCAACGTTTTTGGCGGAAGCTACTTTAACGGTACAGAGCACCGCGTGAAGAACCTGACCGGCACGTTTTTTTTAAGGCTTCCGACCAACCATCCAAGCAACCATCCCCTAATGAGTTTGAAGCCATCTCGAGAAGCATCAATCTTGAACCAAGGAAGAGGTTTTTTCTTCAAGGAGAAAAGACAGTAGCAAGACAGCAGAGGTCCAGGTTGAATCTCACGAAGATGGAAATGACTCAGGATTAGGGCGTCGAGCGCTAATTTTTGCAATCGTGATGACCTGTGCATGGTTTTTCCATGGCCGTTTTTACCTGGATAGCGAATTCGGCGTGTATCTGCCTTGTCTCGCTGCCTGTCTCTGCTACATCGTCTCTCTCCTGATCCGCGCCTTTCTTCTACCCCTTCCAGCACCTGATATTTTTATGGCTGCCCCTACTAGTGGTCCATCTTCAGAGAAGTCATCCTAGGCGAGACGCTTTCAACGGGAGAACTACGCTCTTAGGATCGACGCCGAGATGGATCATTTTTAAAATGAGGTCTAATGGTAACACTTCTGGAAGTTCCAGGGTCCTCAGGGTGGATAGCACTTCTGGACGATCTCGTATGGAAGAAGAGGTGGACACGACAACTCCAGCGCCGAGCAGCAGCGGAAGCAGCGCTGAGGCTAGCAGTGCTGAAGCTGACGAGGCTGACGATGATGAAACTACTTTTAAGGGTAGCATAAAGGTGCTTTTGTTCCCGCTTTTTATGCCTTTCCTAAGGGAGAAAGGCAGAAAAAGCGGGGTCCACGAGCACCAAGGCCCTAGTACCTCTAATACTTGTCTTCGTCAGGAATGCCAGGAATATCTTCGGGAGGAAAACGATATAGCTCGCGGTCGATTTGTGAAGTTGTCGAACCTTGATAGAGCATCACGCTTTGCCTGTCACGTTCCTGCCATTTTTAAGGCGCAAACTTTTAATACCAAAGGAAGAAGAACGAAGATGTGTTGACTTATATTTTAGGGTTTCCGATCCCGAGTTTCCGAACACGCCCACAGCGCGACCTAAGGTCCTCGTCGATCTTTTCATCTTCTAAAAATTTTACGTTTTCGCTTACCTTGGCTTTTGCGATAACATGGTTCTGGAGCCAGATTACGTTTATTTACCTCATCACCGCGGCTACCTGCGTCCTCATCACGTGGTCCATGTATATGCAGACTTCTGCCCTTGTCGGTCTTCTCAAACTCCGCAAGGCTTGCACTGAAAATTGGGGCCAAAAGTGGGACAGCTACCTGGTATCCATATTCATTGGATGAATTCGTGATGATAGCCTTAACTCTTCTGGCACTTATCTCACGCTTAGCACCTTATAATATTAGTGTTGTTTCATGATGTCATTGTCATCCTATAGTATCACAAAAAGTCGGACAGTTTAGTTACCTGGTTGTATCAGGTTTTTTAGTGATCATACTAGCCACATGTTACCAAACGATACAGTAGAAATCCTATCTATGGAGCCACAAAATAAGCGAAGTCGAATTGAATCTTCAGGCTGCGAATCCTGGAATCGATGAGGGTCTGATTCATTTCGTAATGATACCGAATTACAAAGAGGGTGAAGCGATGCTTGCGCAGACTTTGGAGAATATTGCAAATATTATGGGTGTAGCTGATAATCGTTTTTTTTCGAAGATAATCATTCTTCATTCTACAACGTTTATGTGAGTAAGTGTACAAGAGCCGAGCCGTCGTGGCTTGGATAGGACCTTCGTAGTACAACTTTGTTGAACGAGACAGATTGATATTGCACTTTTTGAACTATTACATACTAGTAGTAACCTCTAACAAGAATCGCCTTGCAAAGAAATACATGGTCTGCGTATTGGCTATGGAGGAACGAGAGGGCGATGCTTATGTTGTCACTGAGTGGTGTATAATGGATAATTAATCATGATCATGTCATCAGAAATCAGATCGGACGGAGAACTTCTAGGGGTCGCCCTTCTCTGCCGAAATATTCTGAAAAAGTTATTCATTTTACGTAGATTGAGATGTAACTTTTAGTGTATCTGAAACAGTCAGATACCTTGTCTTTCTTAGTGCTCTATTCTAGAAGTGCTAATTCTGAGCTCGTGAAAAAGCGGAGCGGCTGATTGCCCGCCATGCGCACCTGTTTAAGGACATGTTTGCGACTTACCATCCAGCCGATTTACCAGGAGAAGTGAAGGGGAAATCTGGTAACGCACAGTGGGCATTCCGAGAGATTCAGGCGTGGCACAGTCGTTACCTAATGAACCGGCGCAACAAGGATTAAGATGAGAACTCTTCTTTTGATGTTTCGAAGTGGAACATGATAGATTCTAGCAAGAGGACTGAGAAGTAGTGAGAACCAAGAAATCGTGATGGTGATATTTTTATTTTCAGCATAGCGTTTTATTTTCATAGCGCGCAGCCCTCTAATAATACAAGCTCGACGATGAAAATGAAATGAGCACGAGCAGCACCTCCAGTGTCTACAGCAGTGGTAAAAATGTCAAAGACGAGACAGCAGGCAAAAGTTTAGACAAGACGAAAGCATTCCTCACCGCGGTCGATGCGGATAGTATACACCACAAAGAATATTTCGCGAATTTGACTCTGAATGCTTTGCAGATGACGGAAGAAGAGCGCTTCTGGACGATCTGGCAGCCACCTATTCTTGTACTTCCCATCTATTGGCATTTTATCGCCTACCGAGTAGTAGTTGTAAGTATGTAACTGTAACTTCTGGGGACGTGTAGAAGTTGTAATGCGTAATGGAGTCTGCTACGTCCTCGACCTAAATTAATATCAATCATCATTTTTGTTAGTTCTTGATACCCAAATTCAAATAAATTCCAGCACTGGCGAAATTGGAATACTGTTCCCCGACTAGTCCGAAATAGTGCTTATGGCACTCTCTGTTTCGAGCTCAGTGGTTGCGTCACTGCCCCTGTTTGGGACCATATGAGCTTCAGCACTTACACGATGACGTTGGCACTGTTAAGGATTCATTATACGTACAGTTTTTCGGTTTTCATCAATGGCATTTCCGAAAGTGAAGTAAGAAGTACAACCCACTTATCGTGAAGGGATCTTACCACCTCCAGCTCCATCAGTGCTCCCGAAAAGGAAGTGATCTAACCACCATGACAAGTTAGTAGAAGTAGAATCATTGCTTCAAAAACAAAGAGTAGAGCATTCCTACCCAGCACAAACCAAATAAGCCCCGTGCAGCCCCCGCTTCCCCCGCTTCTTCTAACATAAGCCAGTCACCCTGCAGTGGATGGCTGGGACGTCGAAGTGTCTACGGACGATCATCACATGTATCTCCAGTCCTTCTGCGCTTCACATTGGGAAGCTCTCTCAGACGAAGAATCCAACAGAAGCTTATGCTGTATTTTTCACTTTCAGATATTTTTCTTGCGCTACACTTATTCTTGATGAAGACATGTTGATGTTCAGACTATCTCGGACGAAACAAATATACCTAGCTAGTACTACTAACTAGTTATTTGTCGAAAAATGTTGTCTCTTGCTAAGAAGAAGTCTTCCATTTCAGAATTCAGCACGTAAGGTAAACATACAAGCAAATGAATTCATCGATTCGACGAGTGTCCTCTTCTAAGACCTATCCGTTCGAAGAGCAAACTGAAGCTTGAGACGCTGTACACACCAGTGATGGCCTATCTCCCTGAAGACGACCGTGGGCACTTATACACCATCTATTATGAATCGCGTTTTTAATCTTTTTTCTCCCGTTTAGCAGACCATCTTTATGTAGGTTCCCGCCGTTTAAGCGACAAATAAATAGGTACATTTAATATTTGAAAGTGGGAAGCGAAAGGGGCGGCCTCGAACAAATATGGTCTGCCTCTAATAAAGGGCACCCTCCAATATGGTCTGCCTCTAGAGCAGAGGAGAAAAAACAGCACCACACTCCTCTAATTTCATGCACGATTTCTGCAGAGTCGGCGTCATCTGCAAGGTATTGCAGAAAACGCATATCTCTTGCTGCAGTACTTCACGATCACGTTTACGAGTCGAGAACCCCTACCATTTCTTGTGCATCTTCAGTTCATCGGTGTGCTGATGAAGTACGGAACCTTGGCAGTTTTGACGACCGTGCACTTCTTGATCACTAGCGTGTTGTCTATTGTCGGTCTCGTGATTCTCGTCGCAGGATCCTGCCAAACGGGCTTCGTCGGAAATTTATGAGGCTATAATAGAAATAAGTACACTGTAGTGTTCAGGTGTTCTTCGTTCCTCTGAGTTAGTTTTACCCCCGTTAGTTAGTTTCCTTGCCTCTCTGTACTTATAAGGGAGATGAACTTCTAAGGCATAAGCATGACTACAACTAGCGGGGTCAATCATAAAGATAAACGTAAGTAGTAAGCTAACTAAAACTACATCACCAAAATATATCGAAATCCCAGTCCCTAAACATCTTGCTTCTAAGAAAATTCGTAACAGAGGTAAGCGTGGCAGGGAAAGACGGTCCGGTTTTCGGTGCGATGTGCATACTTATCAAGTACGCTTTTGCCGTTTTCCTTGTTTCCAGCGTCGCAACGAATTCCTGCGCAGTCAGAGAGACGCTCTCCGGAATGTATCTTCACGATGAATATTGATACTCTTTTTGTTTCATTAAAGAAACGTAATAAAGTCTTTGGTCTTCCTCGTTTCAACAACATCATATTAAGTACCTTTATCTTTCTCTTTGTTTGTTGCGGATGCACGTATTTTGATCAGCAAGTACGTAGTAAACCCCAAGATGGTACCAAAAAGAAAGAGTCACAACAAGTTGGACTTGCAGATGTAGTACACGCAGGTCCTCATCGTCACACACAAGAGATCACTTTTTAAATCAACCTTATAAACAGGTATGGTCCTCAGGTATTCTCCACTGGTATTGTCCTCTGGTTTAAAACGTCCTCAGGTATTGTCCGCTGTATTATCTTTCTGCTTCGGGGAAAAATCGATATGCGGCCGACCGTGAGCAAGATGAAATCGATGAAGAGCAGGTGGACCACCGCAAGAACGAAGGTGATCGTGACAATGTTAAGGCGCGTTTCCAAAATGATGAGGTGGGCAGCAAGGGCGAAGTTAACGACATTGAAGAAGGAGAGGCCCTTGTGTGCGAAGAAGATGATGTTGCAAGTGCAACCGAGTATGGTGTAGTAGAGCCAAACACACGTGGCAACGTGTTTGCAGTAGAGCCATCGTCCACGCGCGAGCAGCTGATGCAAGCCAAATTTATGGGCGGATGCAGTAATCAAATCGATCCTGTCTTGTGGACAATCGCTATCCTTAGTGGCCACGACCCCTCCTCGACCTCAGCCATATTTTCGTGAATTCAGGAACGTAACTGTTGTAACAACCTTTTCTTCTAATATATCAGATGGCAAGAAGATTTTGCCTCTTACGCGCAAGCTGACCTTCTGGGAGCACGTCAAAATTGTCTTAGAGGTACTATATTAGCATTCTACCTAGGGAATATCAATTTCAAGAGCCTCGTCTTGCTCTGTACTAGTACATCCTTGTGTAAATATTGAGGTTATGAACATGAAGATAATCCAATGCATGCCCAACAATCTTGTTTGTTTGTTTTGATGCGCTCCGGGCGACGCGTACGATCCCGCCGGGTTTCTTTGTGCTCTGTGTGTGTTGTGCTATGGTCGTCATTGCGATCGCATATGGTGCGTCTGGTCGCCACAGTCCCCGCCAGCTGCGGCTTTTGTGGCATGCCGGGCGCGGTGTGCTGCAAGCGGCGGCGACTGCGCGTAGGTAGCGCCTGGCGGTGAGGCGCGGCCGGGTCTGGTTGGCGTTTTTATGGCCTGCGTGCTCTGTTCTTCGCGTTCTCGTTTCTTCTTCGTTCTTAATGATATTAATATGGAAATGAAAATATAGATGAACAAGATGCTGCTCAAAAAAAACCCTCTGGGTCTCTTCTTCTTTCAGAAGCCTCTTCGCCTAGTAAAAACCCGAACTCCCTCCCCCATGATTATGATAAGGTCCTTGTCGACATCTGCATCTTCGGCCATTTGGGGATATTATGTTTTTGTGCCATCCCGCTTTTTCTGGCGGTCACTCACATCTCGATCTACGGCCACACGTTCGATTTCGTAGTTGCACCGAAACCAGAAGCAGCCACTGGCTCCGGAGGTTCTCCACTGGCACTGACCGCATCGGGCCGCACAAGTACTGCAAATATCATTAAGGGTAGGCTAAATGCGTTCACGCTACCGCCTGTTTTGCCGCTCCTAAGTGAGAGAGGCAGAACAAACGGAGAACGCGAACACCAAAAACCTACCTCCTCTAATATCAAGGGGGAGAATGCGGCAGCCCATAAACAGGGAAGAAATCAGATCAAAAAACGAGGAACAGAAAGAGCATCGATCTCCAGTGCCTCAACCTCTCTGGACGGAAGTACCGCCAACGGCTCTTCAGACGGGAGCAGCAGCCACGAGGATGAAAAAATTGTACTTAGTCTTCTAGTTTCTGTTCACTTCGATTCCTAATCCTACGAATTTGTATTTGTTTTCGATGAATTATTATATACTCATCTTACTTTAACAACCTCATGTTCCCCTTCAGCACCTTCTATCCTTTATTTCCTTCAAATGAGGCACTCTAAAACTAAATACATCCATCCACTACACTCCTCCAGATTGCTGAGAAATCCAAGATTATGCGCAAAAGCTACGGTAGTGTATATTAAGGGTCCTGGCTTCCTGTGGGCACCGAGCTACGTACGAGTGTAATGAATATGAGGAAAAATTTGGCTTGCAGCATCCACTTCTACATTGAAGGCTGCTAGCATTTCAAGTACTAGATAGAAGTGTATTACTTGTTGTTTACCTTATAATTTACATCCACCTACAACATCAACATTATTTACTATATTTATTCCATAACTCAGTCGATCAGTAAGAATATGCAAATGCATGCATGCACAGTTTATCTAGAAGAAAAGGTCTTGTTTGTTTGTTATTTGTTTTCCTTGTTGCGTGTATTCATGCCATTCATAGTTATAGTAGTTGTAAAAAGAAAAGGTATTGCTTGTTAGATTTTCCTGTTATTGTATCCCTGTTATTTATAGTAGTTGCAATCGTTTGTGGTCTGGTCTCTTTGTATTCATGTCATGCACACTCATAGAAAGGAAAAAACTCGGAGAAAGGTAGATGAAGATCAAAAATGTATTATCATGAAAAATAAAACTGCACACGTATAACTGTTGGGCATGATCTGAATCCTTGCAATTGCACCAAGGTCCACAAAGATCCAAAGGATGCAGATCATCAAAATGGCCAAGTTCGCCAGGCGAATGCGGTAACCCAGCGGCGCCGCCGTCGGCGCGTTGGCCTTAGTTGGCGCGGGCTTCGGTGGTTCTCAGGCCTCGAGCGGTCAACCTGAGCCGGGGCGCCATCCAGGCCAACGCCTGGCAGGGCAGGTCTACGGCTGCGCGGGTGCCTCTGGCTTCTCCTCTCTCTCTCGTTCGTTGTTTCAAACCTCCCAGCTCAGTCAAGGACAAAGCACCGCCGGCAAGACCTCGGGGAGACCTATAGGCCCCAACGCGTAGGGATCTGAGGCCAATTATCAACAGGCAAAGGGCCCGGCGTTTTCTGATAGGAGAGATAGCACGTGGATGTCCATAGCTGTAGCCAGCGCCGTGTCGTCTTGTCGGTTCTGTTCTGACCAGTTTCAAGCGCGTGAAGAATCGCCGCGGTGTATTCTCGTGATAGGTTCCATATGATCTCACGCATGTCCATCCAATAAGTTCAGCCAGATCCAGACGGGTACCAACATCGGCGACCGTGTGAAGGTGATGGCGATAGCATGTTGAGGGCCCCTATGTAAGCGCGTGAAGCTTTCCCCATCGCGAGACGACAACATGAAACCCCGAACACAAGAGACAACACAAGAAGCAGGGACTTCCTTCCCCTTGGGGGCCCAAAACTGACTGAATACCCACAGGGATCAAACCAGCCAGAGCTCAGTCGCCTCGGGCTGTGCGTACAATTGCACTAGGCAAGAGCTTCGCGCCACGTCTCTCCGCAAGAAACTTGCCAAGACTTAGCGGCCTCGCTGCATTCTTGTGGGCCAACGGCAACACGGTCACGCACGTAGTTGAATAAAGGAGGCGCCGTAGGTAGTTAGTGGATCTTCGGTGAACATTCAACACCTCTAGAGTAGGTACAATCAGAGTCATTAAATCTTCGTTCATGAGAAAATACTTGTACATAGAAGCAGGAAGTAGGTAAGATCATATTGGGGCAACAGGTTGCATTTGTATTTGTACCATAATCTTTATGATAGTGATAGATAGTGAGTTGGTTGCATTTTAGTACAGCTATGAGCGGTGTGGTGAAACCTCAACCTTAACCTTAACGAGTTGCATTAGTTTGAATCATGATTGGGGAGCTCGATGTGGTGGAGGCGTAGCTCGATTTGCAGGGTCCACAACGTAACCTCATCGGGAGAATTAATGACCCACTAGCTACCAGAGGTTTGTAGACCCACGATCACGCAGAGGACTAAAAAACTGCAGATACAACTTTCATGATTTCGGGTTACAGGTCAAACTGTGGACGGCGAGTCAACTCCTATCGATCCTATCCTATCCTGTCTTATCCTGTCCTGCTATCGTCCTATCCCAGTAAGTACATCTGACATACAAGAATAGAGATGACAGTAGACCTACTAACTCACGAGTAGAATCATGCATGATGATATTCATACTTACAATCTCGGATCTGAAATGCCAGGTACTGACTTAGAGGAGACAGATATCAGGATGAGCATCAGAGTACTAGGCATCCTGCCGGGTGTCACAAGACAGAAGCAGGAAAGCAAGAAGAGCTACCTCTAGCTATCGGTAACGCAAAGCGCCTCTCCTATCCTCGGGAAGACCACGAGAATGTAAGAGGAGAAAGCCTGTATGATAGACAGAAGAAAGAGAAGAAGTAGAAGCAGAAGAGCGAACGATCGGAAAGGATACATAAGTACATAAGTTCGTTGTAAAATATTGCACCATTTTTATACAACAACATGGACGAAGAAGATACTTCTGTTTTACTCACGTCCATACTACGATTTGCCATCGGTCGATAATCGGCCGTTTCGTGTCTGACGAGCGAGCATCGGTTGATTGGTGCGTCTGTATAAAAGTATCAGCTAAAAGATCTATCGCCGACGAGATTACAACTACACGCACAACGACCTCCCATCTTCTATCACTCCCGCTTCCATCTACCATCGACTCCTCAAGGTGCTCCCCTCAACGACCAGGACAAGTAATTAAAGACGTAGACGTAGTTGATGAACAACACTATTCTATCTACTTTTTCTACTAGTACGATGAAGGTTTAGAAGCAGTCCAAGTTTAGTTCTTGTTGTGTTTGTGATGTCCTGTATGGCTCGGAGGAAATCTAGTTTGCCATCGCTCTTAAATGGCGAGCAATGAGAAATACAAATGTTGATCCTTCATATTATGACAAACAATCCACACGCACACTTTTTACTTTTAGACTTACTTAGCCTTAGGGCTTAGGAAGGACACAGCGCCTAGTTGTTTGCGGGTGAGTACTATTCGTATTTTTCTAAGAAGAAGTACTATTCTTATTCTAGCTTAGTATAGTACGTACCCATAGCTCGGAGGAGTATAGTCTTATCGATCCATTCCCCTAGTTGTACCTGCTTGGTGTTGTCTCGTCTGTAGCTGTACCTCGGAGGTAGTGCATCTTCTCCGACGCAGGACACACTCGTCTCACTCTCAGACTCACATCCGAAGATCGAGAAACAGAACCCTTCGCCACAAGTTCTGGCTCTCTAGCGAAAAGTAGGTGGCAAAGCGGATTCACGCAACAGTGCTGAACGCAAGCAGCTGCACAAGCAACAAAGTTGGGACGAGAACTATTTTCTTGGCGCATCAACAACGAAGAAGTACGATTAGAGTCATCATGACATCATCCTCGATAATTATACTTAGAGGACCTCGGCTCCGCGGGGCCGCGGGACGAGCTCTCTGTCCTCTGGTTGTAGTAGGGTGGGCAATCTATTCCAGTGTTACCGCAGGCGGAGGACAGGTAGCTGCGGAAAAGAAGAAGAATCTGCGTGGAACGCATTCGGCTGGACACAAACATCAATCCGATGTTAACCAATCGGCAAAAATTATGGATGAAAGATATGCGTTTTTTATAGTTAGGTCTGCTCCACCAACAATATTTAGTAACTTTGTAATCGAGCATCTAGCTACGACGCCGCTATGGCAGTCTGCACTGAACATTGTGCGAGATATATTCCTTGCATTGAATTTATCATGATAGATTAATAGTACCCAGTGGAAGATAGGATTGAGTTTGAGAGCGTGCTCGTGGTCGTGTGTTCTTTCTTTGTAGAGCGACTGTGTCTTGAGCATCTTCGGCACGCCACGATTAGGATCGATCAATATCCCCATACACATAGGTCGTATTCCACCACATACTAAGTTCTGTATATTATGCGCTTGTGCGTTATATTCAGGAGAAGAATAGAGAAAACAGCGCGCCTTTCGGCCGTATGTCTGTCGGTTGGATTTCTTCGCTCTCCTTTGAGAACGTCGGCGGAGCGCGTTGTCTCGGCCCGCCCAGGCACCTCGCGAGTCGTTCGCCGCCCCACCCTTAACCCTACGGGTGTGCGTGGGCGTCAGTCTTTGTCCGCTCCGAAGTCGGTCTCCCTTGCAGTCACCGCGAAGAACTGCATTTTGCCCGCCTTCGGTGCGGCTGTTCGGCTTTCGGTCTCGACCGTCGGCCAAGATCGGTTCCCGCGCCACTGTGGTGAGGAGTGATCTCTCTCTTTCGGTGCAGAATGTGCCCCGTTTTCTCTTTCTCGCTGCTGTTTCTAGTGTGACTCTCATGCATATTTATAGCATTTTGCTTCTAACTCTCTTGCGTCTACCCTGATCGAAAAACAGGGAAAGCATTCCCACGAACGTGAACATGCTGTCGCCAAACGCAAGACATCGGCGGACGGCATGGATGGAAAAGATTCAAAAAATACTCCAAAGGAGCACGTGAAGAAACACAACGTACAATTAGATCATCAGGGAAAGTATTCACATCATCAAGCAAACGGAAAGCAAGAGCAAAAGCACTCCAAGCCTGCGAATTAAGGGCAGTTTATCACTATTCCATGTGGACTATACTGAGTGAAATCCCCCTGCTCTGAAGGAAAAAAAATTAAATAGGGGAAAAAGGGCAACTCACTCGACTAGGGATAGTGAAAAACTACTGCTAAGCTAAGCACTCCCCTCCACACGGTGCCGGTGGAGCTGTCGTTCATAAATCGAAGACATTGGCAGGAGATGGCATGCCAAAGCTATGCTGGACATATATGCCAAATCTCAAGCAATCTAAATAAACCGAAAGTACTCTATCTATTAACCACGGCTATCGCGGCTCTTATCGTGATCTTAAGCTTACCAGTTATGATTAAGCACGGCTGCATCGTGGGTGCAGAGTGCTTACCCGAACGACCTTCAGGACTGTTTCGTCGTACTAGCTACATTTATTCACTTCCTTCACTCAGTCAATTGATCACATTGATGAGTAGATTGATCTAGGTAGATGAAGAACTTCTACTTCTAGTCCGAGTTGTAGTCGTGTTCTACTTCGATCCTCGAAATACTGTTGTGCCTCCTGGTGAGGAGAAAGACTTTGTTTTAGTAATTTAGTGCAAGTAGGGCTCTACCACAAGAAAGAATTTAAATTTATTATAATAGCAACTTCTTCTAAAAAGTCCGATTTCCGCTGCAGGGACTTCTGCTCAACACGACGAGAATAATTGGTATCAGTTTGGTGGCTTCGTTTTTGTGAAGATTCTGTGCGCGTTGACTATGGGCTTTTGGCTTCCGATTGTCTTGGCGTCACCGTACGTGCGGGCGCATTTTCCCAAGATTCTACTTGCGGAAGACCAAGGTCATGACGCTCTTAGAAGTGATTAAGGCTACAATGATAATGAATACATTGATATTTCCGTTGGGTTTAGGGTTCTACAATTCTACATTTACTAGTACCTTCATCAACATTACCGGAGGCGCGGCACAGGGCTCCGGCCTGCCTTCGAAGGTGAGACCTCTGGGGCTGACAGGACCACGACAGCGGCGCCTTATTTAGTAGTAGAGAAGTTCTCGCCTGGGCCTGCCCTTTCTTTTTTCGGTTTTTGTTTTTTCTAGTTAGGTAAGTATGCTCCCAGCATTCTATGTAAATATTACAGTTAGGTCTGCTCCACCAAGATTATATGTACATGGCACATTTAGATATGATAGATGCTTTGAGAAACATAAACAAGAAGTGAGCCCCTGTTTGGCTCTAAACTGAGGTGCACTATTTGACGCCGATTCCATTGTTTGCCGCCTTTTTGCAGAGTGTGACTTGGCTGATCCTCATTCTGGTTGCGACAGCTACTTCCGGTGCACCATCAACGTCTACATCGGGAGAACAACCAACCGATTGGCCCGCGTTCTTAAGGGTTGGGGGTTGACCTCGTCTCCATGAGCATCTCTATGGCCGCTTTTTCAAGTAGGAAAGCGGCCGTAGGTACTTATGCGAGCTAGTAGAGAGGTCAACTCTCTTCAGCCCCTTCTAATGTTCCCTTCCGCGCTACATCAACCGGAGACTCTGCTCGAAGTTTGCGCTTTGTGCATTAGTTTGTCCACGTCGCTGGCACTGATTGTGGGGTACCCGTTTATGTGCGATGGCCGACATGATGTAGTTCTTGCTGCAAGAACGAGTACTTCCAGTAGCAGTGCATCTTCAGGACCAACAAGTACTTCTCACACAAGAATGGCTCCATTCAACAACTACATAATTTGGCACAACTTTCGGACTACCTATTTTCTGGGAGTGCTGGTGTGCGCTCTCTATATTGCACTGATCTCGATTGCTGGTGCGATCACCGCACTCGTTAGTTCGCCTCACAGCACGCTACATGTTCTACTTCTAGGTGTACAACATGTTGACCACCAGGTTGAAGAACTATCTTTTTTTACGGCTTCCGGGAATCAATCTCCCATTTTTTGAGAAGCACCTTGGGAGAGTCACTCTCTAAGGGAAAAAGAGACCACCCAAGATGCTTTGACTCTCAAGATGATGGGTTTGGATTCCAGGAACATCTAATTTCTATTTCTTCTTGGCTCTGACTCGCTATGTCTCGCTGGTAAGCACCGTGATTCTGTTTCGTGAAGGCAGTTTTAACAACGTTTTTGGCGCTGGCACAACTACAAGCAGCAGCAGCAGCAGCTATATCAATGAGAAGAACCTGATTGGCACAATTATTGCCATCGTGATGACCTGTGCATGGTGTTGCAATGCCAGTCTGGAAGGCGAAGTTAAGACGCTAAACCCTCTGAGCCATCTATCTCTATATTATACATAGGGATGCATGATCTCTCAACAGTATCGTGGGCTTCCTCTACTAATCCATCTCTCTCCATAGTATGCGGATCTATGATCCCTCAACATGAGTATAATGCCAAGAATGTGAATGGCTATGCACCCAAATAAGAAGTACAAGGGAAACTACCTTGAGGTATGCTTACTGTTGAGAGATCTGTTTCCACCAGCACAGCGTGGATGAAATGAATTAGGGGGTAGAGGTCTAACGAAAGCTTCGCTATATACTTTCCGACCGCGTGCGCCTGTTGCTGCTACACTGCCTCTCTTTAAGGGTTTCCGAATTGCATTCCTCACTACCATCCCTGGCTCTTTTCCGGCTCTTGTTCACGTAGAAAAGAAGCCAGGGCTGACGTTTTGAGGGATCAAAATCCCGCAAAAACCTCTAATCTCTTCTGATCCGTGTTTTCATTCTACCAGTTATACTTCCTCATAAACATTATTATGAAAATACTTCTAGTACGGGAAGGCTGGCGCTGACTCCCTCTTCTAGCGCTGACGAAAGTTCTTCCTGTCAGGAACACGAAGATATAGCAGCTCGCGGTCGATTTATCTCGTTGGGGAACCAGGACAGAGCATCGCGCTTCGCTTGTCATGTTCCTGCCATCGTTATGGCGTGACTCTGTGCTCCTCTCTGATTGTTCCCAAGCAACAAATTGAAAGTGAAACTCAAATTTTGTCGCTCAACATATGTAATCCTCGATATAAGTACGTGTAGTTCTATCAATTTTTATCACACAAAAAAGAAGATAATCGCAGTGTTGAACATATTTTGTCAGAACCACGGACAAGGATCGAACGCGTGAGGTGGATCCTTGAGTGAGGTGATTCGTCTCATTAATGATCTTGAACTTGATGATCTTGATCTTGCGCCTACTTTCCTCTAGCTCTAATGTCTTTACCTTTTCGCTTGCCGCTGTTCTCGCAATCCTGCTTCTGTGGACTATCCGGGGTGAAGGAGTGACATTTTTCTACATTTTCAATGCGGCTAACCTCGCCATCGCTACTTGGTTTATGTGCATGCAGGTTTTTACCTCTATCGGCATCTACAAACAGCGACTCGCCTGCTCGCAAAACTGGGGAGAAAAGTGGAACGAATTTCTGGTATAATTACTCATAGTTAGACGGTAGTCTATCGACGTTCTACTGAAAATGGGAAAGTAAAGTCGTCGAAGTTATCAAGAGGACTGCTCCTCTTACAAACAGGGGCGCCCTTATGTATGCCTATTCTTATTTTTGTATTTGTAACTGTACTCAATGAATCCAAAACACCATTACTAGCAGAAGGAACACACACAAGAAATGACCTTACCGACGGCAGTAGCAGAAGCGAAGAATTGCAGACTTCTCTATGATCTCTGCAAAGCTACAAAATATCTTTTGCTTTTTATAGAACAGTCGTTGGTTTCTTAAATTCTGAGTCCTATGAAATTGTAACTGTGCTTGGTATTATCTACTGTCACTGTATCATGGATACGCATACAGCAGCGGATGTATCCATTTCATGTCTCTCCATCGATTTTCACCTTTATTTTCTGCTGATACATTTACATGCTTAGTTTCACCAGCAGGCTTGGAGATGAAGACATCGCCATCTTATCTTTATCAGGCTTGCAATCCTGGCATCGATAACGACCTGCTTCATTTCGTGGTAATACCGAATTACAAAGAGGGCGAGGCCATGCTGGCACAAACCGTCGAAAATGTTGCAAATATTATGGCGGTTGAAGTGATGCACTTTGACTCTTTCTTACAGTTTCATTCACGACGACCTTCTTTGTAAGTACTTGTTCTCAGAAATATAAATATATCTTTTTACAGAGAATACATATTAGGAGCCTTTTACCACCCTTCCTTGTCGTGGTAAGAACTCAAATTGATTCCTCCATGAAAAAAATTATATGCAACTACTTGCTTCTTCTACTTCTCGTCCTCGACCATGCAGCTACTTCTTGTTGTTCTACTCCGAGTTCCTCTTGTAGCTCGTACTCTTCTTGGAGTTCCTCTTGTAGCGCGTAGTACTCCTCTCCCCCTGCAGCTCTTTCTTAAGGCTACGCCGAATGCATCTTTTTCCCCATCCCAAAAGTTTCTAAGCATGACGACTTGGCAAAGAAATACATGGTCTGCGTATTAGCTATGGAGGAGCGAGAGGGTGCTGAGGGTCGTGAAAAGGCCGACCGGCTGATTTCCCGGCACAAGCATCTTTTCATGGATATGTTTGCGACGTATCACCCATACGATTTACCGGGGGAACGAAAAGTTAAGATGCAACTTGACAAGCTATCAGAGGCTGCTGCGGCTTCTCCTGGTGTTCCATCATCGTCTTCACCATGTTGAAGAATCTTTCCCATATTAGGGGGGAAGCAGCACCAGTATACTTAATTAGGATCATGCATTCACCCAACATCATCTCCAAGAGAGAAGATTACGCTTAGGTTTATAGGATAATTACGCTTAGGTTTATAGGATGAATAAGAGTGAGAGTGACACCGTCTTCTAACATGGGAAAGGCCAGCAACGAGCAATGGGCATTTCGCGAGATACAAAAATGCCACGCGTCTTACCTGAGAAGAAACCACGACAAACAGAATACTTATTTTTAAGGCTCTAGATTTACAGACGTGAAATAAGATGTAGATAGACTTCTTGCAGACTCCGGTCAGCCCGATTTATTGCACACATGTTGTTCTACCTTAGACACAGAGAAGATAATTACTAGTTCAAGTTCTTCATCTTCTCTAACAAGGCGATCTGAATCTGGTGGGCGCCAGCAAACGTGGAAGCAAAGATGAAGAGACAGCGAGCGGTCCTCCAGATACGTCCAAAGTTTTCATTAACTTAAGGCTTGTTACGCAATTCATCTTAAGAAGCATCATCTTTGGCGTTGTTTGTGTTTTCTGGGAAGGAGAATATAGAAAGTTAAAGGTGCCAAAGTAGATGGTCCTCAAGATGAGAGATTTTAAGGTAAGCTCTAATTAACATAGTCGACGCTGATTCCATACACCATAAAGAATATTTCGCGAATTTAACCCTGAATGCTCTCCAAAAAATGACGAAAGAAGAGCGCTCGTGGACCATGTGGCAGCCACCTCAGATTGTAAGCATTAGTTTTTGTTGACCTAAGCAGGTGTATTTCTCTTTAGATTTTAGATCATTTTGCTGTAGGCTGCATCATCACCTATTATGAATGTATTAATTTGTTCTCTTTAGGCGGGTTACAAACTTAGGTTGCATGTTGTAGTTGACACGGCGACAGTTCGTTGTCCTACTAGTAACACCAGTTCGTTGTAGTTGTCGTGCTAGTTTTAGAGGTACAACTACTACAAAAAATATATGTACTACAAAAACTAGGAATACAGAAGTGCTCACGAAGGTATCAACAAAAACTCTCAGTCTTTGCGAAATTGGAATACTCTTCCAAGACTTGTTCGCGCAACTTCGTATGCCGTTGTTCTTTTCGAATTAAGTGGATGCGTTACTTCCCCTCTTGTGGATCATTATACCTGCAGCACATACACTCTGACCTTGGCACTATTAAGATGAGAAATGAAGTAGTTGTTCTTGTTGTACTGAGTACTTACTTTAACTGCTTTGACCATGACAACTTCTTTACGGTCAACACTTGGCAGAAAGTTGACACCGGAGACGCTGCACGCATGCACTTGAAAAGGCTAAGGAAGGTCGTGTAAATCAGTCTGCTACTACATTCTCATTCTGTTATTTCTGACACGTCTACTTTGGTGGATACAGTTGCTACTTTCTTTTACCCTGCTGTTAGTGTTGAGAATTTCTCACCTCTAATCTTAGCTAGCCACGCTGCGGTTGATGGCTGGGACGTCTCCATGATTGCCGAGGATCACCACATGTTTCTTAAGTTTAAGGCTCAACTTAAACTTTCAATGGTCATCGGGGTTGGTCACTGAGATCGAAGAGGCGACCCCTTGAGAGAACACGGGAAAACGAAGGGAAAGGGGAGAGCTTTGAAGGGTGTCTCTTCCGTTCAGAGTCCGGGGCCAATGAATGCTGAGCTTTAAGAAGTGCTTCTGCGCCGCTCACTGGGAAAGCCTCTCTTCAGAAGGTTCCAACAGAAGTATTCGGTCGATGAGCAAACTCAACTTTCAGCCGGTGTTTACTCCAGTTATCACGTATATGCCTGAAGATGATCGAGGCTCTCTGCACACCATCTATGCGAGATACCAGCAGGGTCAGCGACACCTGCAAGGTATTTGCCATACAGCATATTTATGGTAGCACCCGCATGCATTTACTCGAAACCTTAAAATAGGCTAGAACATTCAAGAATAAAATCAACGATAAGGTCGTCTTAGTAGCCTCTTGATGAAGGAACTTACACTGTTACTTAGAGTGCTGCTCCGGATCAGGTGGAATGAATGACGATGGTTCACAAGGCAGAGGTGGAATGATGAAGATGTTCTTGACGAGCTGCTCCTCCCACAGTTTATTAGATTGTCACCAAGCCTATACTAGACTATTACTAGATATTACGTCTAAAAGATCATCGTCAAATTGTACTTAACACAACAAGTGAAAAATCTCGATGTCGAGAATCAATTAATCCAAGTGAATCTCTACTCTGAAAAACCCCTCTAACGTTACTCTTGTTGCAGTACTTCACCATCGCTTTTACAAGCCGCGAACCTTTGCCCCTCCGCGTGCATCTCCAGTTACGGCTTCTGACGCTAGAAGGCTGAACATCAAAGCATAGATCGAAGCTAGCTGTAGAGCTTGAAAAACTCGCATCGATGAAACAAGTAAGTAGCCACTTTATTTGATGTAATTTATCTTGATATTAAATTTAGTAAGAAGAACAGGTGATGTTGAGTTATCTTCTTGCTGACATCGAGATAAATTGCTTCTTCTTCTACTGAAGAAGTACTACAGTTACGTTAGCTACTGTAGTTTTTATTCGACGACACACATCTTGTGACGGCTTCCTGTCAGGAGAGGAGAACAACAACAGGAAGCCGTCACAAGATGTCGTTTCCCAGTGATGAATCTCAACTTGGGTTGGCAAAAAGATAGGTAAGGAAGATGGAGCTCCTCGCTTGCTTCGTTTATTCCCTTAAGACCACCGCTCTACGACCTCTAACTTAGTTCATCGCATTGTTGGTGAAATACGGGGTGCTGGTAATTCTGGCAAACGTGATGTCTTTGGTAGGCTTGGCTATGCCCGTTTTGTGCACTCTGTCGCTTTGCTCAGCAGGTGCACGAGCCGCCGTCTTCGAAAGAGCGGCAGCGTTAGTTACGAGGACTCTGGTTTTTTGTCATCTGATGTGATAGACACAGACAAGAACTGAGGGACGAATGGGAGTACTGAAACAACCCATATAAATAATGATCTTGCGTGGTAGAACCTCCCAGGAGAAAACTTAGAGTGACCATGACCAACTACTACTACAGATGAAGGTGGTGAGAATATGAAACCAACGACCGCATCTTGCTGTGAGATGAATGAGAAAAAATTTGAATTACCTATACATATTTCTAGTGAAAAATATTAGTTGTATAGCACGACCTCGATCTACTACTTTGGAAGATTATTAAGTAGGATGAGGAATGAGGTGAAATTATTAGACTTCTAGCTCTAAGGGTGGCCAAGTGAGGCAAGAGGATCCGCTCCTGGATGCCATGTGCACCCTTCTCACAATTGTCGTTCCGATTTGGCTTGTGAGCAGCGTTGCAACGAGCTACTTAGCCACGAAGGATACGTTGTCAGGCCTGTACTACTCTTAGAACTTGCACTTCCGATCTTTTTTTGATAAGTCCATATTTCTGTTTGTCCGGCCTCCTGAACTTCAATGTGGACCAGGAGGGGCTAGTGGTTGTAATTCAAACTTTCATCAATACAAGACTTTTACGACGTGAACTTTCAAGCAGAAATCCACGATGATGATCTACATCAATTGCCAGGTACTGCCCATTGTATTACGTTTCGAAAAGTGGTGAAGAAGCTGAGGAGAAGGCGTTTTTGGGGACGATATCATGCGGAGATGAAAACGAAGATCGCGATGCTAATATTAAGGGTCGTTCGCTAAACGTAAAGGTGGTCCTGCTACCGTTTGGTTTGCCTCTCTCGTAAGGGAGAGAGGCAGAACGAGCAGGAAGCAGAAACACCAAGGCACAGTCACTACTCTAATAATTGTTGCGGCTGCACAGTCACCACGTACGGTGTTGCAGAAGCAAACTCGCATGGCAACGTGTTGGCAGTGAAGCAATTATCTACTCGCGAGGAACTCAGGAATGCTACCGTAGAAATGAAACAGATTTTGCCCCTTACGCGAAAACTGAGTGCGCGAGACCAGATGAAAATTCTGATTGAGGTAGTAGACCTAAGTGATACAAGCCTACTAGAAGTAGAACTTCTTCAAGTTCTTGCAAAACTTTGCAGACGATGACTTTTTTTCATCTCCATCTATCTTTTTGCTCTTGTAGATGTAAAAAGTGAACAGATCATGACCAGAAATCTTAAACCCTAAGCCCTTTATTCCCAACATACCCGTTGAAGTAGGTATCTTAGCGAGGACGATTCATCTCGGATGTTGTATGACAATGCATTAATGAAAATGATGAAGAGGGGAAATGTTGAAGGAACTGCTTCATCTCGCTTATGGTTGAGAAGACTCAACATGTGAGATGCCCTGATGATGAAGAACATGAAGGAACTCTAGCAGGGATTGGGATAGGGATGATCTCTTCTCGTTTTATTCTTCGTCTGCACCGTCGAAGGAACCCTATAAATATCTCTCTTCTCGTTTTTTTGTTCTCCAGTTCAACCATCCAGACAACAACATCTACGAACTCGAACACCAGGTACTGATCGACATTTGGCTGACGGGTTATCTAGGCATGTTACTTTTCTGTACCATTCCGCTTTTGCAAGCGGTCGTGCGCCTGTCGATACATGGTCATACGATGGAATACATATGCGCACCGAAGCCAGAGACGGACACGACGATGCGGGAGAGTGTTCTTGAGCAGGATGAATCTATCGACGTTATCATTAAGAAAGTAGACATAGACACTGAATGTAATTGATAGATGATCATGCTCCACTTCGAGCTTGGGCACATCCATCAATGAAGGGCAAGTAGGCTTTTCTGTAGCTTTAAGTGTTTCTGTTTTTAGTACCGTTTGTTATGGCACAGAAACGCAACCAAGACAGAACGACCTCTAATATCACAACAAAGCGAGGAGGAACGAACTTACTTGACGGCTCGACCTCTCTTGACGGCAGTACCGCCACTGGATTTTCAGACGGCAGCAGCCAGGAGGATGAAAAAATTGTAATCTTCACTTCACCATAATCTTCTCTATGTATTTTGTCCTTCATAATCATAATCATAATCAGCCATAATCTATCTATCATAAATAATTACGCAGCACTCACTCTGAAGACCTGAATGATTCAACACACGACCCATCCAGATCACTGGGAAATCCAAGATTATGCGCTACGGCAGTGTATAAGTTCCTTGCCATGCCTTTCTCCTTCGCTTTTCCGCATGGTCGCAAAGAACGTGCATAGAACAGGATGTCTCTTTTGACGCCGCAGATGAAGATGACCTGGGGGCAATCGATTCGAAGGAGTCGAGCAGCCAGTGTGCGAGTGTCGAAGGAGAGGGAAATAAGACGTACTAGCCAGGGTTAGACGTACTTGAATTTTCAGCAACATCATGATTTAGACGTGCTAATCTTTAGTAATTAAATTTGTATTTGTAATTGTATTTTTTTGATTATAAGAGTGCTACACCTACTACTAGAAGTTCCACCAATATGCACCACAGTCCTCGTCTTACTTACTTGTTTACATCCATGATCTACATATTATCGCATAGTATTACTTGTTTACATCCTCCATGATCTACATATTATCGCATAGTATTACTGGTTTATATCCGTGATCTACATTTTATCGCATAGTATTACTTGTTTACATATACATCCTCCATGATCTACATATTATCGCATCCATAGTATTACTGGTTTACATCCATGATCTAAGTACATATTATCGCATAGTATTACTGGTTTATATCCGTGATCTACATTTTATCGCATAGTATTACCTGTTTACATCCATTGACGTAACAAGAAGAACAAGAAGAAAATGCATCAACATGAAGGACAATAATCAAAAGTTCGGTATTGTTAAACAGAAAATTACCAGAGCAGAGTCGAACATTTGCATGTCGCTGAAACTGAAGAGGCCTCGGCTCTCTGTTTTAAGATCAAGACGTATAGGTACTTATACCATCTTGCACTGAAGAAATAGGAAAAAAAACAACGAGTACTGCAGCCAATTTCTTTACAGGGAGGAGTTTGTTTAGTAAAAATATAGTGCAACACACACAGATCAGTACTATCAACTAAAGCAACACAAATTTGATTAAACTAACACCACTCCTCTCAACGGATTGAAACTCTTGTGAGAAGGAATTGGTGAAACCTCTCCTGCGTCCTAACGCACGATTGGAAACCTCTAGGGCAGGTAAATGAGTCGTGAATGAATGAATCTACACATTATCTCATAATTCAGCAGATGAATACAGAACCATGTCTATTTCTATCATTCCATTTACTTACATTGCGAAAAAAAGATACTGTCTGTTGGAAAGTGTCTATCCATGATCATGGAAAGGGGAAATCTCGTTGAAAGGTAGAAAGATCTTCAAAGCATTATATGGAATAACACTACGCCAAAAGCGAACATAGAAAAGGGCTTTTTTTTTTGCGTTTTTTGTACCTTATTCGTCTCAGAATCGAAGTTTTTCATTTTGAGACGAATATTGCCCAGCTGATCCCTGGGCTTCATGTGCGTTTTTTGGCTAAAAAACCACTTTTCTATGTTCGCTTTTGGCATGGTGTTACTCCATAAAGCATTAGCATGAAAACGCATGGATGCGTGATAAATGAAAGTAGTTACACATTATAGATTTAACTGCATGAAGATTATTATTATTATTATTAGGAGAAGGATAGACGGTTATCCACAGACCTACAGACGGCCCGGCGGGCGGAATCTGAAGCACAACGACGCGTTAGGCAAATACAGGAGAGTCCTAACGAGAGGCGCCGCGGTCCGGGTGCGTTTGCCGGTGCCGTCATGGTAAGTAAGAAGAAGCCAGAGACCTCGAACCAACACCGAAAAAGGGTAAGCAGGTGCAGCGGTGAAGAAAGCAGAGAAACATCGTCGGGGGCATTTAGTCGAAAGCCGGTGCGCCGCGCCAAGGCAGCCCGAAGTTGCCTAAAAATTGAAAATCAAATGTATCTAATATTATAATTCTTAAATGAATAATTGTATGTAGATGATCCTGATCGCTTTTGTTGGCAATATACTGTACTAAATACAACAAACAGAAACAACTACAGAGTTACTCAATCATTACACGATCATGGGAAAAAAGTTGTACGATCAGCATAATGTCTACTAGATCAACATCATAGAATCGAGAATGGTTGTACTTGTAAAATTATGGATAGTTTGAATTACTTTACTATGACGCCGGGAGAATTTGAAATCGAATTGCGATTGCTGGGTAGTTGACCAAAGTCAAAGATGTCGTAAAAAACTACATATTATATGTGAGCAAACTACAACCGAGGAGAGCGAAGCGCCACATGTCATCACGAGACAGAAGCACAAACGCAAGAAGAGCTCCTCTTGCCTCTAACTATCTTCGGTAACACTCACATTCACAAACAGCTACCTCTTCCAATATGTATCTTCGTTAAGGGTAAGACGTCAAAGCAGAAGTAGAAGAAAGGCTGCATGATAGAAGACAGAAAAAGAAGAGCTAAACAGATACAAGGCGATCGGAAAGAAGAACGAGAAGTGCATCGGTTGTGAAAATGTCGAACATTTATACGAAAGGGAAGCACACGGTAGACCGACACCTAAGCTAACCTATACCTAGTAAGGGGAGAAGGTATTTCATTGTAGTTCCTCCAACTTGCAATCGGTCGAACGCCGGTCGTTGTTTGTCTCACAAGCAAACATCGGTTGATTGGTGCGTCTGCCCACGATCATCTCTACTGTCGCAGAAAGTCCTCGTATAATTAGAGACTGCGCTAGCCGGTCCTGGTAAATCTTCCCATGAGAGGACAACTACACTCAATTTATTGCGACATTCATCTCAATGATCAGTGGCGTCGTCATCTTCCAGTTTAGTTCCACTGGAGGTAAAGCATATCATGCATGTTATGGTTAGAAAACATCTGACATTTCTCGCACACGCAACGAGGAACAAAAGATAACAACCCACACCTTTTAAGGAGGTCGGATACGCTTTGTTTGCACACCTGTTGATGAACATGAAAACGTGAACGGTTCTAAACCTAAATCTGAAGATAGATCAGCATGAATGGATTACTACAACTACTACAGCCACCACTACCAAAAGAAGAGCGGTGGAACAAGTCGTAGCAAAAAAATCTGAAGATACACTACCAAAAGAAGAGCGGTGGAACAAGTTATCAAAGAAAATTCCATACTCCTTCTCCAACATCTTAATTTTCGACTTGCTCTCATACCGAGAGCCGACATAAATTAGCTCTCGGACGATCGGGGTCGAGGGGTTGCCTCAATTTTGTGGGCTCAGTTTGAGGGCCCCAATTGAGGGCACAAAATGCGCACTCTTTGCGCCAATTCCATGCAAGGCCAAGTCCATGCACTACCAAAAGAAGAGCGGTGGAACAAGTTGTAGCAATTTTACACGACACTGCCATCGTCACCGTCGTTGGAGCTAAATCAACGGGAACAAGAACCATACAACTAGTGGGGATGGTATAAGTATTCTCGGAGCGTTTTCAGGGTCAGCGCAATCAAGCCTCGAGCTGCCGCGAACAAGATTGCTCGTGGAAGTTTTTCGAGTCAGACGGTACAAAGAAATCAACTCGATGATCAGCAGGAATCAGAATCAGAAAACATTATCTTCTTTATGAAATTGAAAAGTACATTGGCAATAATAAAGAGAAGCTTTCTACTAATTATTTTGTTCGTGTTGAATTGAATTCAATGAATTCTTCACTCTTTATTTTCAACATCGACTGGGTGGATGGAAGTATATTGGGAGCCTGCTTGTCCGTGCATAGTTATGATCGATCAATATCCACACAAAACTGCTTTTCCTGTGCAACTCTTTACTTCTAGAAGTTCTTCTGCGTTCGACTTGATCGAATGTTCTGGAACAGTTCGTTATGTTCAATCGATTCACCTCTACTAGGTACTAAAAGAAGAACTTCAAGTAGGACTACTATTAAGGCTCAGCTTTCAATGGTCATTGGGGTTGGTCACTGAGATCGAGGAGGCGACCCTTTTAGAGAACAGGGGAAAAGGAAGGGAAAGGGGAGAGCTTTGAAGGAAGTCTCTTCCGTTCAGCATCAGTGACCGTTGCATGCTGAGCTTTAATACTAGTGTTCAAATTCAAACCGAATCTAATCGACAACAGTTTATCGAGTACTTGTTTACATCTATCTACATTATCCTTCATTATATTTCCTATTGCTATTTTAGTCCATCAATGAACATGAGTATTCATGTCATGATTTAGAAGCATGATTGCGAGAATTATACCTGAAGAGGAGGTGACGGTGACCAAATAAGATACTTTAGAACGTCGCGCACTGAATGAATGAAGATGTTGTAGAAGAATAGAAGAGACAGCAGACCTACTTATCGTCCTAATCCTTATTCATCGTCACTATGATACTCATCTTTACAATAGCCCCGACACTTTTATTATTTGATACTACAATCTCTATCTCGGTTCTGAAATGCCACCTAATACGCAGACAAGGCTCGTCCGTGCCATGATATGACAACACTCAGGAAGAAGAAGGGGCGTGAAGATGAAGCAGTAATATGGAGAAGCATGAAAGCAAGAAGAGTAACCTGGTGCTCTATCGGCGAGACAAAGAATAAATGCAAGACCTGCAACATAGATAGAAGGGGAAGGAGATAGAAAGGGAAAGTAGAGGACAGGAGAGCGAAAACGAGAGCGAAAACGAAAGTGTTAGAGGTTAGCTTGTAAAGCCGCTTGCTCGTTCCATCAGGAGCGATATTGGGTACTATCAGGAGCGCGCAACCACATGTCATCAAACCTGTGAAATTTTTATCGGATAGAGAGAGAGAAAGCAGGAGCGACAAAAATAGCAGAGCAAAGCGTGGGCAGTGAACAAGTATGAGTAAGACTAAGAGGAAACCGTGGCCAGTCACTGAGTGAGATATGAGGACTATGTTGAGATTGAGTACAAGTACATCTACATCATAATCATTTTTGATGAAAAAGGGAATATTGTTCAAGTTCGACTCTCCCTTACAACTGTTCAAGTTCGTACAACTAAATCGCAGGAGTAAAGCTGCATCATGTCGAGCAACGAAATCATAATGAATGTGTTGTCCTTTCCTTGAACTAGCAGGAGGGATCATCGAGGATGATGATGAAAGACTCGCTTACTTCCTCGCTTTTGAGTTTGATTATCAAGTAATCAATATCGAGAAGGTGGAAAATGGCCGGATCTAATACTCCTGGAAAAGCGAAAGCTCAAGCTGTTATCATGCGGACCACAAGCACAAATTTCACTTCAACGATCATGGACGACATCATGCGGTCTGGCGCTTTCCTTACTTCTACTAACAACATCAATCAGCGGCAATTTTCAATGTAGCGACCTCCTAAAAAAATAACAAGTCGGAGCATGCGGAAGGAGTAGAAACAATTCATCTAGTACATCAATTCAAGTGGCCGTCTACCTCGACGCTTTGGAGGACATCGAAAGGACATGAAAATGTGGTTTACAGCAAAAAAACTTCTGGTCCTTGGATCATGCAGTGCGTCCTCTGTACTAGCATTCCAAATCCAGGAAAATCCCTTCATCTCCATTCCTGGACAACACGAACACCAGGAGCAAAGCCAAACTTCCTTATGGGCTACATTGATTTGTTCTGCAGCAGCTCTGGAGACTTGATGGAAGTCCTCACTACATTTTTACTCCATAGAAATACTTACTGTGAAAAGTCCCAGGTAAATCTCATTATAGTGCTTTGCAGCATTTCTTTGTGTTATGGGTTATAGTGCTTATTTGTATTTCTTATTCAGCAAGGAGTTGTAGTAGGAGCACGTACTACTACTAGTAGTCGGAGGAGGGCTATGATTAGTCGTAGACCATGGGAAGCATGGGCTCTGGCTGTAGTTGTACTAAGGACACAAAGCAATCTTCGTTCCTAATGAAGCTGTGTCTGAAGTGTACTTAGGATAAACTCTCACAGATAGGAGAAGCGCGTGAGCTTCCTGCCTCTCGCACTTTCGACCGAGGTTGGATGACAACCGAGCTAAGGAAATCATACTAAACAACAGATTAACGATCAAATCGATCGCCATCAATGTATTGATAAGCTCGATTTGCATCCTTCCTACCTGTGTGTTGATCGTCGTTGGCTATATGTTTTCCTTAAGAGGAAGAAGAGAGGAACACATAGGTTAGATTGTTTCCAAGTACCTTCTAGAGTGTAACTTATCTCTTTTGTTTGTTTTGGCCAGGCTGCCACATTAGTACAGTCATCGAAACGATGGGAAGAAGGGTCTTACGCCGTGTCATAAGTGTCAAGATGAGACGGATCTTGTAGCCAGGCAGTTACAGTCATCACAAGTGATGGGAAGAATGGTCTTACGCAAGATCTGTCAGTGTTAGTTTTTAGAGACTCCACATGTCTATTATAGGTGGTGCTGAGGTTTTGTAATCTACGAGCCAAAGCATGAGGTCAGTGGGAAAGAAGAAGGAGTACGAGGTATATAAGTGCCAGTCTTTCGTGTAGCGCAAAAACTGGGAGTGCACGTTTTTGCGGGACCATGCAAAGTGGTCTGCAATGCGGTTCAGGAGCAGTTGAGGGACGTCAGTAATGTCTATCATGCCTAATTTTATAAGTGTGAACCGTACAGCTAGCGCTGCCGAGCGGCGGAAGCCGTGCGGTGTTGTGCCTGCTGCTTTGGCAACAAGTCTCAGCTGGTTCTCTTGCAGGTCCAGTGCTTCGTAGTTAATATATTTCGATGGAATCATATTTGTGAAGACGTCATCGGTATTCGGGTTGAATTTTATATGGGGAACTGTCATCACTGCCCAAGTCGGATCATCAGGGAGGGGAGTCATATTTGTAGGCTCGAGAGCGGCCATTGAGGAGAGGCGGTAGGAGCCTGCAATCCATAAGATGGCTACTCTTTTCGCTTTTGGTTGTAGTTCATGGAGTCTCTTGAAGGATATGGGGACAGCCTTTTTTCTAGTAAATTCGTCTCGAATGAGCGCTAACATTCTGTACATCTGCATCTGATTATCATGCCCAAAAGGGCAGCCTTTTTCCAATTTGTTAAGGGACTTGAGGCGTTGCATTGCTGTACCAATGTGGTTATGATATGACCTGGAGAGGTCGTTATCTATCAAGAATTTCCCAAACAAGAAGAGATCGGTAAAGGAAATGTCTGGGATATGTATTTCCGCCCGAGAGCGGGCGGCAATGGGGATTTTTATATGTACTGCATGAGAACTGTTATACCATGTAACAAAAGCTGACCAGTGACTACGCCTCTGCGCCAATGTCGACGGCTGGAGGCCTATTTCCATTGGCCACAGGGCTAATTCTTGATTGAAGTGGAGTTGGTTGTCCTTGTTGCGCTGTAGATTCCTTGCTCGTGTCAGCATCTTTGAGGAAGGGCTGGATCTGGGTGGTATGTTCTTCGATGATTTTAGCAAGATCAGCAAGAAGCCACTGCGTTACTTGCTTATGGTCTGGCAGTTGTTCACTAATATCTACGCTGTTTGTTCGTTGAATAAAGTCGGGCATCATCTCCATTCGAGTAAGGGCATCTGCAGGATTTCGTTGGGATTTAATCCATTTGGTGCAGAGAATTGAGTCGATTGTGCAGATGTCGTCCATGATTCTTGTTGCTAGGAGACTACCGAAGGGGCAGGAGGATTGCCCGTTTACTAAGGAGAACCCAGCCCCAGCATTGTCTATGTAGAGAATGATATTGGTGTCAGCTAGGTCGTCTCCAAAGAGTTGAACTGCTACCCAGACTGCAAGAAGTTCATAGAAAAAGATTTTCCTGACGCGTAGCTGAATCTGATGAAACTGATTCGGAGACTTGTACTGAGTGAACTTATATGAGAAGTGTTTCGGCTTGTCTAATAAGTTACTGAAGAGCACCCCTCCTATCCACACTTCCTTGCCATCTATCGCCGAGGCATCTGTATAGAGCTCTACTGTTTTCCTCCCTAGTTTGGATTTGTGGAGAGTCAGTGGGGGGCAGCCGAGAATAGTGTCAGTGATCGAGAGGAGGAAGGTTGCGAGGGATGCCCTAACTTTGGGAGATTTTTTCAGACCTAAAAAATGAGGCTCAGAAGCGTGCCTGTAAATGACCGAAACTTTGGCCCCTACGTTCCTGTACTTCCTCCAGTGCAGATGATATGCTGTGACCCCTAGGACTTGCTGGAGGTCATTGATTGTGATAGAGTTACTCTTTAACTTCTGTATTACCCGCTGGATTAAGCTGAAGGCCTCTGCCTTTTTGGATGCTGGCATATCTATTGCTACCGAGCCATCCGAGAAAGTAGTAAAGTTTGAGCCGAGGACTTCGGTCGAGGTATCTAGAACACCTATCACGTCCTTTTTGTCACTAACGACCAAGCCTAGGTGCTTGAGGAAGGATTTCACGAAGCTGTGCACTTGTTTCGCATGGTGAGGGTGAGTAATCAGGATAATATCATCTACGTAGACTAGGGCAATGATGTTGAATACTTTTTGAAGGCAGTGCTCTAGAAACTTAGACACTGCTCCCGAAAAGTGGAAGACTGAGTGGATGTTGCCGAACGTGATAGCTGAGGTCGTTGCGTATTGTACTTCTTCGATGTGTGGGTTCCAGAAATTTAACATATATGCTCCTACCGGTGAGTCATTTCCTAGTTGGAAGTATGCACTTGTCAAGTCGATCTTGCTGATTACAGGAGTAAAGCTGATACTCCAGTCATCTTCTACTTGTACTTCCGGTAGTCCTCCTCCTATGTGCCGGAGGTCTTGCCAGATGTGAGTGAGGGCAGCTTCCTGCTCCATCTGCTCCCTCAGGTGGCGGCGTGTGCGAGTCACTGGTGCATCTACGAGCGGGGCTATACATCGCTGGACTGTCTGCGCAATAACTGGGAGTCCTGGAAGCGACATGTGCTCGCTGATTGCAGAGAGGAACTCATTGTCGACTGCTTCGTTCGCAATGCTCCTAATTTTGGTCCAGGTTTCGCTTGCTTCGTCGTACTTCTGCCTTAGCGAGAAGATAGGCACGAGTCGGCGAAGTCTTGTTCCGTCGGCGTTGTAGAGGTACCCATCAGCGCCTTCTTTCGGTTTGGGGCATGGTTTGGTAGGAGATGAAAGCCAAGAGGTGGCATGCTGTTTTTGATGACGTTGTATCCACGATGGAGCGTGTCTTCGGTTTCAAACGGGTATGGACCAGTTCGGAGGATGTGGTCTATCTTGTCCATCGCAATCCTGATTTGTGCTTTCGTAGAAGGGCATTCTAGTAGCTTGCGGCTTTCTTCGTCTGTTAGGGGCTTGCCATTCCACACACCATACCTGTGATTATGAGGGTGTAACTTTGGTATTATGTTATTCGGTGGGTGAAGCTATAGTTGCTACAACTTCGGTTTTGAGTGTAATGGGTTAGTGCCGAAAGATTCTGCCCAGGCTAGGAAAGCCTAGATGCATGAAGCCCAGGGGACCGTATACTTGGTCGCGTCTTTCTTTGTCCATGTAGTCAGATACTGTCGACCAAAAGAGGAATTTGGACGCATGTCGTCTTTCGTAGCCTTCTGGTATCTGGTTGTCGTTGATTGTTGCTACTGCTTCCCCTTCTTCTCCCCAATGGAGGTTGGTGTTGATCGTGCTGCGAGAATCGCGGAAGGCTGTCAAGAGTGTCCGGAATTTCGTCTCTAGGCGGGCGGCTTCCTGCTCGCCAGTCTGTGTGTTGGAGGTATAGAAATTTCCTTATGTCTCTTTGGTTTAGTGTTTAGCTATAATTTGTGTGGTCACCTGTTATAGAATAGAGGACTGTACCAGCTCATGCTGGCTTGGTTGACACTGGAAAAGGATAGTGCTGCGGAGCTGCTCTCCTCCATACTCGGCTGTGTTCGCCATGTTTGTGAGATTTTTCTAGGTCTTTTACTAGTTATTGCGCCTTGTCCTAGACGTGTGGTATATTAAGGATTTGGATAGTTAAGGAGTGCGGCAGTTTTGTGTTATGACTTGTGTTGTGAGGGCTTGTCATGTAGAGAAAAAGAGAGGAAGAAAAGAGGGAGGACCGAACTGGTTTTGACCGATAGCTAGTTCGGGGATCCTGAGGATGGAAAAGGGGGCGTGGGGAGAGGAATAGCGAACACAATCGTAACTCGATAGCGCATCAACATGCGAGGTGAGTTTTCTTATTTAATTTCGTCTAGGAGATTTAATTTCCCTGAAGATCACAGTGTTGGCCATGAAGCTTGAATTTCCCAAGATGCATGGTTTTAGTGCAGAGGTCATACTGGATCTTCTGTTTACCCCAACCCAGTGCCGGCCCCTTCCCTAGCGAAGTTCGGCTCTTACTGCTTCACCTCGCAGTGTTGGCACACAATTCGATGGTTACATCCCTGGCATATTGGGATCCATCGGATTCCACGCACTGGATTCGTTTGCAGTGTTGTCGAGGGTTGAGGTGGTTGCTCCATCTTCACCGGTCCTGAAGTAGTTTGGAGAGAAGGTAATTATGTGAGGTTTTCATTGATCAACAGGCGGAAGAATGTTCATGATTTTCCTATAAGATGAGGGATAGTACGCGCTAGCTCTGTCTTTTGTAGGCTGCTGCCAGCGTAGCAGTGTCAGTATGCATTTGGTGTGAGCATCCTAGTCTGCATGATGGTACAAATTTCCCTTTTTTGGAGTCCATTTCGTAGTTTGCCTCGTGGCAGAAGTGGACCTCGCATTTTCCGTCTAGGTCTGCTTCCTTGAGGCTTGTACTGGAGAGGATGAGATCTCGGCACTTTTGCTTGAAGGTGTTTGGAGTTGATGACTGGTTGCCCTTGCCCTTCTTTCCTTTGCCTTTCCCTTTTTCTCCCTTTTTGGTTTTTGCATAGGGACCAGCTTCAGATCCTCGTTGGTAGGAGGAGTACGACTTACCATAGCTAGCGCTTGCGTTGTGTTTGCCTTGGCCTTTCTTTCCTTTCTTATCATTGCTGGCTTTGACTCGATTGTAGTCGATTGCCGCTAGTGTTTTGATCTGCATGATGCGGGATAGAGTCGCTGCTTTAGTTTCTTTTTTGATGTTCACTCCTGGCTCCTTGGCATAGCCTGCTACCATGGAAGCGAGCTGGAGCTGGTTGAGGTTGTTGAGGTCCTTGGCCAGGCCTGGGGTGAGTCTGATCTCTGTCTTTAGTTCTGTGTATTTCAGGAATGAGTCCTCTAGGGCTTTCGCAGCTACTAAGATGATCAGCACCAGGTCAATCCCTGTTAGGATTTTGATTAGATTCTCGTGGTTCACGGAGGAGTAGTCACGAAGTTTGTCTTGCATTGTGACTGCTCCTGAGAGGATTTTCTCTGCGGCCTTGATTGCCATTGTCATTTTGTCAGTTGTAAGTGAGAAGAAGACTGGGGGAATGGCTCCTCCCCTAAATATTGTCGAGCTGCCGAGTGTTTGCAGGATGTCTCTTATTGCTGCTTTGATATTGAAGGGCGTTGCTGGTAGTAGGTATAGCGAGGTCATTATGTCCTCTACTTTATTGTCGGTGATGTTTGAGGCAGTGAGCTTGTTGATGCTGAGGATGGTGAAGGCGTCTATGTATGCCTCTTCTTCATTCGCGTCTCCTCCTACTTTTGAGCGGACAACTTGCTGGGCTTGTTCGTCATGCAAGAAGGCAAAGACTGCGAAGTTTACTGTTTGATCAAAAGGGACTTCTTCTAGTCCCTGTTCGAGGCCTACTGCTGAGTATGCAGCTCGCTTTACTTTCCTAAAGCAGAGTGGGTTGATGATTTTTGGGTCTGGTCTGCCGTTCAGTCCGGGGAGAAAGGCATAAAGCTGCAGTGCTTCTGGTGGGGCAGCTGCTTCAAGGTCCGGCACTGCTGCTGAGATTTGATAGTTAGCTGGTTCTGGATCTTCGAGGAGTGGGAATCCCCATGGGCACTTTCGTGAGCGTGGCCCATAGAGATTCGCTCTTCCATTAGCTGTGCTTTCTGTTCCTCTGTCTTGCAGACAGGGTTCGTCGTCGTTGTCGTCGTCCCATTCTTCTTGTTTTGGGAGTACTGGGAGCCCGTAGCGAGCGTTGTGCGCATTATAACGCTCGCGAGCTCGGGCTCGCTGCTGTTCTTCGGATTCTTGACATGATGGCATGTGTGCAGGTCTACTAGTCTTTCCTGAGTCCTTTCCTTTTCCTTTTACTATTTGCAGGCTGCCCTTTCCTTTTGGCGGCCTGTGCGGTGAGATCTGGTCTCTGATAGCTGGAAGGTCCTGCGGCTCTTGGTCATTCCTTCTCCTGCCAGAAGCAAGCTCGTCCTGTTCTTGTTTCTCGTTCGATTCATCTTCACTGTCTTCACTTTCTTGCGCGAGCTTGTTGCTACGGTCTGGCTGTTTCGGCTGCCAGTACTTACAGTCGATGTGTTTAGAGTGTATTCTGATGTCAGGGGACGCCGTCTTATCTAGGCCCCAAGGGAGCAGCGTAGTCTGCTCATGGAAGGGCTGGAACGTGGCTTTGGATTCTTTTGATTTGATTCGGGTCCACGTGTCTCCTTTGAGTCTGCATACTAGAGCTAGACTCTGCTGCGTTGCTATCGAGTTTCGTACTTCTTCCCAGATTGTGTGTTGTGTTGTCGGCTCGTGTGAGGCCAGCTGGCCATCTTGTTGGATGTAGCAGCTGAGTAGATGGGTGGTGGCGTAGATCGCATCTAGTACTTGTGGGTGGACGCCCCTTGAGGATTCTTTCGCATTTTCTTTGATCATGTGGCAGGATCCCGATAGGATCTCCCACATCGTGTCTGGGATGATGTTGTAGATGTATTTTGCGTGCACTAGTGCGTATCGATACTGTAGAATGATTATCTTGATGCTGAGTGGTAGGGCGCTGAAGAGGCACTCTGAGGCGCCTGGCCTTGATGCTGAGTGGCGATGTTTGAGGAATGACTGATAGAGTACTGGTTCAAGAAACTGCCCGGAACTGATGAAACCGCCAAGGTTTCCCGGGCAGCCCTCGATATTCGCGTATAGATCTGCTATGTCGTTGTTGGTGATGCGCTTCGAGATGAAGTCTGTGTCATCGGCAAAGAGCGAAGTTCTATCGTTTACTGCTTCTTGTGGCAGGAGCTCTCCTGTGAGGATTTTGAGAGCTAGTTCTGATGGTTCTTTTATTGCTAGGCGCTGGATTTCGGTCGGGTTTTTTGTTGCGGATCTTCCGGGGAAGAGCAATTTGTTCACGTCCATGCCGTCTTCTATGTGAAGTGCATCTTCACACTGTTGGAGAATGTCGAGCCACTGAAGCAGTGTATTCTCGCCATAGTAGAAGGATGGACGAGATATGATCTCATGCTGATCAAGAAAGGCGGCAAGGTCTTTCGATTGCTGAAGAGCTCGCTTGGCTTCTAGGTGAGATCGCTGCTGAATGAAGGGCAAGTCTGGCACGTCTCTGTAGTTTTTAGGCCAGAAGTGGTCCACTTCCATTGGCTTGGGTTCTGATGGAGATGCCGATGGGGCCCCTTTCCCTGGGGCGGGCTGACTTGAATCCACATTCATACTTATCTGAGGATGGAGGGTTTCTTTAGTTAAGTCTTGTGATTTATTAAGAATTTGAGATCTTTGGTTCAGTTATTATCTTAAGAGGAGTTTCACTTTACTCAGCAAGTCATCTAGCAACTTTGAATCTTGAATTTTGAGTTCTGTATTGTCTAATAGAGAGTCTTGAATTGTACTACTCTGACATGATCCAGCTAAGGAGGACCTTTTCCTTTCTGCTGAGCAGAGTTGGAGCTGGATGATGAGGATTTTGACCAGGAGTTCTTGCTTTGGTTTGCAGATGTTGTATTCAGCTTTGTCTTGGCCTCGATCTCGTTGTAAACCTGTCCCACTGTCTTGAGAGAACGCGTGATGGCGTGGGCTTTGAGAATCTCGGCCGCCTTTTCGATCGACAGGGGATCCAGGAGATCTGTGAAAGGTTTGATGAAGAGTATCATTCGGTGAGTATATTTAAATTTTTTGAATTGTCCATCTGATGAAAGGGCAAGTAACCCTTTGGGTCTGCTACCTGCTTATTTTTTGGGGAGCAGCCCCTGTTTAGAGGAGCGCCTGGCGTTATACCATGGGTGCTCAACTCTTCTTGTAAGATATAAAGGGAGCAATGAGGCAGATGAGAAGGCCTTCTTAGATGCTCTAACCTTTCTTTATTCTGAGCGCACGGACTTTTGCTCAGTGAAGGGCTGTGCTATTGGGGAGCAGCCCCTGCAGATCATTATGAAGATACTGAACACTTGGTGTCTGGGGAGCAGCCCCTGCTACTTGGTAATATCTCTGTGAATAGGAGGGAGCAATGGCACTTCTTTTATAGGTTGTGCTCTTAGATGCTCAACCTCTTTTCTGAGTTGAAATTTGACTTTGATTTTTTCTTGTCATCTAGTCGCTGACCACCTCGAGAGTTTCCACGCTCACTGGAAGGTGCGTCCAAAGGAGGGTGCCGACAAGGATCACAGGTAAAACGTAGGTGCCGACAAGGGTCAACGGTAGGAAACGAAGGTGCCGACAAGGGTCAATGGTAGGAAACGAAGGTGCCGACAAGGGTCAACGGTAGGAAACGAAGGTGCCGACAAGGGTCAGAGGTAGGAGACGTCTCGCTGATACTGGAGGCGGTTCGGTGTACGCGTCTGCTCCCATTTTTATTGAGTCAAATGTATAATGTGAGTATATAAAGTTATAGTTTCAAATGAGTCCTATGAATAAAGAGGGAAGGTTATTACCTCGCTGGATTTCTTCGTTTAGGCCAAAGAGCTTGTTGATAGCTCGCTTTTCCAGCTCCCTATCAATCTCGACTGTTTTTAGGAGCTTCGCGTCTTCAGCCTTTTGATTCGCGCGGTCGTTGTCTTCTCGTTTCTTCCGTTCTATCTCTGCTCGCTCAAAAGAAGCTGAGAGTTTCTCGGAGAAGGCGATGTCCTCGAGAGTCTTCTTTTTCCACCTCTTTCTGCCTGTGTTAGGACTGGAATACCTAAGCCAGTCTGGAGCTCCAAGTTGGATCTCGTGTTGAGAGGGACCAGGCGACCTGGAACCTTCGTCCTCAGGAAATAGGGCCTCCGCTTGTGGGTCGATGGATTCCTCTGGGGCCTCTGCCGCTGGGGCCGTATAGGCCTCGAGGAAGATACGAGGCTTCGTTGAGACGCCTGTTTTCTTGAGACGCTTGCTCGGTCTGTATGCTGCACTGGCTAGGTCATCAGCTAGAAGCTGTTGCTTACTCAGAGAAGGAATATCTTTTGATGAGGAGTTCTGACAGGAAGACATTTGTAATAGTTTTGGAAGCAACTGACCGAGGAAAAGACTATGTTTTTAGTGTGTTATATCTGAGGATCTGAGCGAGGTCAACTTGAGGATATGCGATAGGGGGCAACTGCGTGATTTGGGTTACTTTCTCTCGTTTTAGGTTCACCGATCTTCGAGTCTAAAGAAAGAAGGTTGCAGGTATTCATACCGAGGAGAAGAAAACAGGGTTGTTGTGCCGATTCTTGTTTGACCGAGTTATGTGAGCAGGACTGGAGAAAGAAAGAAGGAAGGAGAGAACACTGAGCTGCAGATGTTGAGTGCTTTCTTGAATATGTTTTCATGATCTGGGTATCCATGTGCAGATCGTGCATATTGGCTTTAAGAACAAAGGGAGTATCGCGTTGTCATGTGGTGAGAGTTAGTCCTTCTTATCTGGTCGTGAGCTCGGCTGAGCCTCTTGTTTGAGACTATCTGAGCTCTTCTTGAAGTACTCGTGCGGTGGTCGTCGTGTTTCGATTCCCTTAAAGCGGCGCGCAATGTATAGACCTTTTGTTGTTGTAGGTCAAAGCTGATTCGATTGAGGTTGAGGCTGCTTCTATTTTCTGTGCACTTTTAATTATTATGTTATACTGCATAAAGAGTACCTTGGAGCTCTTCGACGTGCTCCCATGACAGGAAGAGCGAGAGCTCGTATGCCTCCGAGATCGTTTCGGTAGCCCGCGCGTTTCTCATTTCCCAGAAGCCAATATTCTGTAGCTGCGCGGCTGTTGCGAGCAGCAGCCCAAAGAAGATGCTGTCTCTCGCCGTCATGCCAGCCATGCAGAAGACTGTCGAAGTCAGAGCTAGTTCAACGTAGAGAGGTGCGATGATCCTCTTCGTCTTCCAGAGGAGTTCGGACAGGAGGTGAATCATCTTTGTTATTCCGGAATGGACCCTTCTCAGTTTATTGCTGAATTACCCTTGTCTACTTTCTTTTTTATTTTGTGATAGTGGCCTTTTGAGGGGGTGTAATGGTGGGGTGGGTTCATAGGGATAAAAAGAAAGAAAGAGTCTGTGCACTTTATCCTTGTTCCGATTAACCGATCACCGATTGGTTTTTGTTTTCGTAGGAGCTTAAACAAAGAACTCTTTGACTGATGGTGGCTGAGGAATCGGCCGACCTCAGTGACGTTAGTACAAGGTCCACGAGGCTGTGTGAGGTTGTTCCTTTCTCACTGCAGTTAGCTTTGTTTCAGAGTTCTGAGTTACTGTAGTTTGACGTCGAGTGCTTCAAGGAGAAACTTAGCTAGTTCGGAAACGACCTTTCTTTTGATGGAGAGCTTTGCTCCATCCGGAAACTTTACTTTCAACTTCAGCTCAGCGACTTGCTGGCTGCTTACTTGTTTTTGTCCGTCCATGCTGTCGTCTGAGTCTGAGTCTGATGACCCAGCCGATGACAGCGTCTTTGCTACCGTTTTCGACCGAAGAGTTAATGACTGACGCGGTATCAGAGTTACAGCATTCGCTCCTGTTGCTACTTGCCGTGTCGCCGGCGGCGATATTGGAGAGGTCATCGCTTTGTCTGGGTCAGTGAATCTAGATGTTGACGTAGGCATGGTCTCTTTGCTGTGAGGAGAGCCTATAGGGATTGCGTTTTCTTTCAGATTTACTGTCATGTCAGGTGAGTCTGAGTACGTTGGCGTATATCGTCGTGACTTTGGAAACCGATTTTTTGTACTTGCTTCTTGTTCACCTCGACCGATTTTGAACGAACAAGTGGTGACTCTTGGCCCCTTTCTGCATGTTGTATCTTCATTCTGACATACTTGCTGCATCGATTTACTAACCTTGTGCTAGATATGCGGCCTTGTTGTGAAGTGCGATGCCTTATGATCAAGAGAGATGTTTCCAAAGGATTATCACTCGGGTATTCTTTCGTCAACATACTTGCTTCTTTTCATATTATCTTATGCAGTGGCTTGCTGATGATATGGCCAAATACTATTTGTCTTGGTTAACTGGATGGTTATTTCTTGAAATCTATGAAGAATCTACTATCTTGAGATGTCAAAACGAGTGTGAATACCCCTTGGGGCTGCTGATGTCTAAATGAGTTATAACCGAGGTTGATCAAGAAAGTTTTCTAAGTTTTGCTATCGGAGAGAATTCATCTTCTTGCTCATCTAGAGCCTGTTCGTGCTTCTGTCTGCTGAACGACTCTTGTGCAGACTGCGCTGCTGCCTCCTTGTGCGCACCTGATCCCCTGAGGGGATCCTCCTTCACATCGTATTTTGGGATCGAGCCTTGCCTGCTCAGACCCACTAGGGCCTCTTCTTCTCCGAACAACACGTTAAGCACGTCCTTCTCGTTGTCCATCTGACTGGCTGGGCGATAGTCTGGGTGTGGTAGTCGCCCATCTGGATCTGGGAAGTCGAGGGACCGGAAGGTTGTGAGGACTCTTTCTGCTTCGGCTGCGCTCATAAACTGTATGTGTGTGGGTTTGGTGTGTAACTAAGGGATGATGATATGAGGCATATTTAGGAAGTCTTTCTGAAGTTAGAGGTTAGAGTAGTAGTGCACGGAAGGTTGACATCTAAGTTGATTTTGATGTGCGTGTTAAGGTTAATAAGATGGTTACTTGCTTCAGGATGTAGTTACCTTCGTCACCGTTGTTCTTGTATAGCCTGTGTCGAGTGTCATGGAGATCTCGGTGATTTTGCCGGTGATTGTCATAAAGGCCCTGTCTGCCGGTTCCAGATGGGGCTGAGGCTGACTGATATGGTTCGGGTTGAACGAGATCTTCTCTGCTGATGACTGCTCGGCTTTGCTGGTCATTTTGTGTAGAGATGTGTTTTTGTCTTATTCGAAGAAGGTTGTTTTCTGTATTTTGAGGGTAACAAAGCTTTAATAGATGGATAGATGAGATTTGAAGATGAGTGTGGTTGTCATGAGTATGTTTAGAAGAAAAAACAAGGGAGGGTGTCAAGTGCTCACCTTCTATTCTTGTGTGCCGACCTTTGCCAACAGATTCGTCTCTTCAGCCCATGAAAAAGAAAGATTGAGTGCGTCATGGGATCCTGCCAGCAAATCGTGGCGTTTTGAACGTTCGAGTTCACCTTGTTTCGTGTCGCAAGGTCCTCAGTTCGGACCGAACACGATTGCTTGTTTACCAGAGAATTCGCTAATTGCGAGTGAGAGATGGATCATTGATCCTAGAGGGCTCCATTAACTAATGGATTTGTCATACAGGTATACTTGAGGACAAATAACAGGATCTGAGACTAATAGCCTCCTATCAAGTTACTGGAACTTAGTAGTTGCTTTCTGAAGAAAACGGGCAGTCTTCCAACGGAATCCTACTCGAGATCGCAACTCTAAGTACCACTACGCAACCTTTGAACTGTGATTTGAGAATCCCAGTATAAAGGTCATAGTTGTATCGAAAAACCAGCCACATCATCATTATCCACTTACTTCAACGTATCTCTTATTGCTTATCCCGTAGACTATTAATATATCTGGGACTAAATAAAAAGTAAAGTGTGTCGTGGGTCAAAGATAAAGAAGCTAGGACGACCACTCCGGTCCAGGTATGTTAGCTCTACTAAAATGCGTTGAAAAATTGAAGACCGTGAGATGAATATGAACCCGTCCTTCTATTACTGTACGTAGGTATAAATGCTTGGTGCAAATGCATGGTCTTCTCACCATTCATTTTCATCCAAGGAAGCCGCGGGGCCGCTTGAAATTTCATTGGCGCAAAAGGAAGCGTTACAGCAAATCAAGAGGCACGTGGAGAAACTCGATTAAGACCTGTTAATGCAACTAGTTACCGCCCCACGAAAAGCTACAGCTGGAACGGATTTGAACAAAGATAGACATACTAATAAATATTTTTTATATCACCTTCAGCGCTACGTACTTCTAGTTGTACTTGTTGTAGTTTCTCCTCCTGCAAAGATCATCATGCGTAGCCACATGGCCTCCAACGATTACAACGTATTGGTACTTATCTCTAAATCATAAAACAAGATGCGAAAGCGTCTGGTCCTTCGATGAACACGTGGGAAGTGCCTCCGAGATGGGTCCCGACTATACGCCTGCACAACATATATTATGGGAAACTAAAGTTTCTAGATCTACAACTACATCTACTTGTTCTAATCATGATGAAGATGTCCTTATCATGATTATTGATATTGAGTAACCTTTTAGTGAAGCAGTCGAAGCAGTCGCGATGAAATAAAGCTCCACCTGCATCGCGAATTTAGATAATGGATTTGAGGCATGAAGTGTGGACCTTCTCGTGCATGTCCATGTGCCTCTCGATTATTTTTAGGTAAACTACTATCACCACTCAACTACTATCACCACTCATAAGTTGCCTTTGTCAACTTGTACATCTACTAGTACTACTACTACAACTAATTCTACAACGCCTCGACCTCCTACTAGTTTAATACTAAGCCTACTATCAGTCACTACCCCGGCCTACTAGATCGCTCCCTCGTCTAATTATGTCGTTGCATGCATGGGTCGCCTGCGTTGTATTGGGATACGAACATTCAGGCCAACGCAAAGCCCTTCGTTGCTAGCACAGCCTGCACTTATGCCAAAACAACATGCTTTTTAGAAGTGTGCGTGTAGCTTCATGTTCATCGTGGTCTCCTTGTGTAAGTATGAATATGAGCTCACCGAGAAGAAGCAGAACCAGAAGCAACGAAGACTTCGCCCAACTTATATTGAGTCTTACCGTTATGATCTCTACTACCTAGAAGACAACACCTAGAAGACAAAAAGCGCCTTTCTTCCACTAGTTTAACAAGCACCCCCTTCCTTAGATCACCTCTACGGGTATAATTTCAAGCACCATATCGTAGAGGGTCTTAACCTCTTCGGTGGTGAGCCCCCCTTACCCTTTCATTGTGATACGAAAAAGCTATGTGGAGGGCACTCAGCCGAGAGCACTCGCGAAATGAAGGCTGGGTGGTATATGCTTGGCGAAAACATCGCTTACGCCAACATCATTACGCAAGAACGTACTCTACATGCTTGTACATTATTTACGTAAATACATGCTTGTACATGCTTGATGTAGGAAATACATGCTTGTACATGCTTGATTTGAGGCTCAGCTTTCAGTGGTCATTAGGGTTGGCCACTGAGATCGAAGAGGCGACCTTTTGAGAGAACAGGGGAAAACGAAGGGAAAGGGGAGAGCTTTGAAGGGGGTCCCTTCCGTTCAGAGTCAGCGACCATTGAAGGCTGAGCTTTAATTGATGTAGGTGGACCATGCTGATTTACATTGTTGCAGTTGTTGTTACAATTTTTTGAATTTCCTTAGAGAAGCGAAAGGCCTTATGCAATTTCCTTAGAGGAGCAACTCTTCTAGTCAGAAGGAGCTAGATGTCCTTGTCCTACAACCTCCGTACATGGATCATGATCATCTCGGAGACAAAATATTCATATTCATAATTATACTGAATCATCCGAAAAGCTACCACCCCCACCAGCACTTGGCCTACGTATTGCGACACGTCTCTGGTATGAAGAGGAAATTTGCCTGGCCAACGGACCAAACGCTGTTAAGGCATTTTACTAAAAATGTCCGATCCAAGTAAAAAGTAGATATCTGATAAAGAAGTTAATACTAGATTCTTTGTTTTGCACCACTAGTTTCCAAGGAAAAGAACAGTCCAACTCCAATTGTTCTTTTGGTTCGTTTCACTTCTTACTTGCCGGCTTGTTTGCGCTTGCCGATTTCGATGCCGTCTAGTTCTTCTACTTCTAAATAGTGAAGGAAGCCATGGGGATCCACATATCAACCCGCGGACCACGCCAGAGGTTATCCGACCGGTGAATTCGCTTGGCTCGCACCATGGGTGAACAATACTGCTTACTTTGGAAAGGGAACGGTTTCCACACACGACGACTCATGGTAAAAATCAATAATTCTAGAATATGTACTTAGGACAGACAGTAGTTGCACTTACACGTCGCAGCAATACGCATTATGATGCATGCCTAGTAGTATCCATGATGATGTTGACTCTGACCAGTCAAGGTGTATAGAGGTCCCAAAACCAAAAGCAAGAAAAACTAATGGATTGAATTTAGCTGCCTGCCGCGTGTGGTTTTCCTATTTCGCTCTCATGGAAGACCACAGGTTGTGGCTGTGGCTCGAAGACGTCCTTGACCCCTAAGCCACCTTCAACTGCTTAGTGGGGAGATCATCTTGTTGACCCTAGAAGCACATGATTAGACAGGAGTAGCTCATCTTGGATGATTCCCACACACACACACGACATCTTGTTGACTCTAGAAGCACATGATTAGACAGGAGTAGCTCATCTTGGATGATTCCCACATACACACACACGACATCTTGTTGACTCTAGAAGCACATGATTAGACAGGAGTAGATCATCGTGCATGATTCCCACACACACACACGCGCAGGGGACACTACACACAAGTAATTTGGAAAGCGACTGTGGCACTAGGTTGTGAAGATGCGGTTGCTTCTGGTACCGAATGCTCAGTTAAGGTTCATCAACGAGCTCTTGATGTAATTGTATACCCCTACTAAACTACAAAACTACAAAGCATATCGTCTCTCGTATCGTTTTTTTACATACCCATTCCAATTATAAATGCATCTTCCCTTATAAATATACGCCATCGCAAATAAAGATGTACAACTAGTAGTGGCCCAATAAAAGAAGATGTACTGAACCGCAATCGTGGAAATCTCAATCTCTAAAAAATCTAGCGGATGCTCATCGTGGAGCGGTGTGAATGTGGCGTGTCAGTATGGGGATTTGGGAAACACGTTAAATCCGGGACATTACGCTGCGAACGTGTTTCCTTTCCTAAGGCACTTCAGGAAGATAATTCACCTTCGATTTCCTAAACCCGTGGGATATCCTTTCTACATGCGGATAATCTCATAGAGTGCATAAGCTGCTGCATGCAATTCTTTCACAGAGTAAGTCAAACGGTGGCATCTCTATAGGACAATAATCCACCTGGCGCGGTATAATTTGCATTTCTTCGTGGATTCTGACAGAATGTGAGTTCTTTACAGGAAATGAATTATCGCTCTAATTCTCCAGAAAACGTTCGATCAATGCAAAAACGCTGGCGAAAATGAGCACACTATAGCGGGTACCTGCTACTGTTCAAGAAGACTGCAACATTTTTTGATTTCTGAGAGTTTTTATTGTATACTATAAGTGTGCAAATAATGCGCATGATTTTTCGTTTTCCACCTGTATTGTTCTGGTATTTGGTAACCTCCTGAATTTGATCATAAGGGAAAACAAGATGAAGATGAAGAGAACCCTTGTGATCAATTTCAGGCTACCAAATACCAGAGCCATACATTTCCAAATTAAAACACAGGTTCCGTAACAATCACTTTCGGCAACTCTCCAAACATGGACGATCCAGCACAAGCGCTAAGGCTCTTAAAGAAGTGTAGTACAACTTACTCGAAAACTGAAAATAACCGAGTAAGTGACTGAAATAAGGGAGGTAAGTAGGTTTGACAGGGCTACTCTTCCTTGTTCAGGTTTAACTGTGCTTATTTCAAGTAATTACTCGGTTATTTCAGTTTTTCGAATAGTTGTTCCTCAGATATAGCTGTGAGTGTCTGCAGGGAGAATGAGAAGTCATCTACTTGCTGCAATTCTACCACAAGGCCCTTGAACTACTCATTCTCAAATAAGTTCTAGTAAAAGATTCTAGCGACAATTCGCCATACAACCTGGTATATCAACACAATCATACGGAGGTAGTCACCAAGAAGGGTGCCTCTAACGAATTTCCTCTACACCATTGAGCAGTATTATGGAGGGTGCGGTGGCGCCATTCAGGCTAATTGTCCGAATTGGCGCATGGCGAAGTGCTCAATGGACGCTATCAACAGGGTTTTCCGAAATAAATTCGACTCAAAGGGCGCACCTGATCTCTTCATATCCTTATGACCTGATCTCTTCATGTCCATAGGTCGTCCTGTTCGTTGAAAAAAAAAGCCACAGGTCCTCGTAGGGGTACAACTTACAGGGGGACAAGCCAGAGGAACAAGCACAAGCCTCTCTATTGTCCTTACTTAGGATCAGAGAGACACAAAATTAAGATTAACTTCATCCGAAACGTTTTTTTTTAACGCTGTCTAATTAAAGCCATAACAGAGGGCGGGGGGTACAAGGGTCCGGACTCTTGCGTGAAACCATCCGACAGAACGCGAGAGTGGTCTTTTTACTTAAGGAGGTCAGCTTTTTTCCATCTTTTTTCTCAGCATCTCGGTGCAACCCTCTTCCCTTGTTTTTACTGGGAAAGGGTCGAGATGTTGAGCAGGGGATCGAGATGCATAGAAGCTGCCTGACTCTAATCTATTACCGCGTGCGAGGTGTTCCGAGTACCTTGGCTCGCTCAATCCTGGCAGACCTACAAGCCGACTACCCCGAAGGCGACCCCATGCTTGACGAAATAAAAAAAGAGTGCGAATCCAGCGATTACTATGAGCCCATGGAGGTGATCGTGAACGTGATAGAGATCATACTCATAGAAGTGATTCCAATGAGTATTCGTAGAGCAAAAATCAGCAATAGCAAGTAACTACAACTAACAACTGAAATAAGTAGTAGAGGGTTAACTATTATGGGCTTTTCTTTGTTCAGAAGTATCTCGCAGTCAGATTCATCGGTATCGGATGAGTTATATTTATTTATAAATATTACTCTTGCTCTTCCTTATAATTATCGTTTTTTGTTTTCTAATTTTTCTACCCCTATATCACGATGCTGGGAATGTTCAAGATGGTCGGAGGCCCTTTAGGGATGCGCAAAAGTGCTGATGCTCCGACTGTAATCCCGCCTCTGCCCGATGAAGACTCTGGCTCAGGCAGCTCCGCGGCTGCAGCTACTACTACAATTAAGGGTAGTTGGAGGTTCACTATCACTTCTCTGTGTGCGCATATCTGTGACCTTCATGCTTCATCTCAAGTAGAAAATTCATAGATATCATGCGACTGCGAGATAGATAGATTGGCCAGCTTGCGGCTGCTAATACGACTGCAGCTCCAGCATCCGCTGCTACGACTACAACTGCAGCTCCTACCGTTACTACTGCTGTGGCAACCACGACGACTGCTGTGAGTGCAGCCATTATGAAGCATGATGCGTGGTTTCTTTTGCTCCATACCTACTTATTGTCTTTCTGGCGCGCCTCGTCCACTCCTGTCTCGTAAGCAACATCAAGAGGGACACACAGACAAACATTCTGGTTCCACTCCTTCTAGTAGTAGATGTACGTATTCTACTTAGTTCGTAATATAGTAACATACTCATACTCTCTCATCTCTAATCTTCAGGCAGTATCGATGAATACTTACCAAGTTCCGACACGCTGGCAGCCAACCTTGCGTTTACAAAACATCTACCGATGCATGCATGGCTCACCACCGCTCTACTGTTAAGAAAGGCTTTTGAAACTGAGTGTGAGAGTGAGTAGCGTTAACACGAATTCGAAATATTGCTAAATATTGTTTAAATATATTTAAGGTTTCTAGTGGAGGAAGCTGGTTCTACGTATATAGAAACCTTGAATATTCGAAAAACTGAAATAAGCTGTTCTAATTCTAGGATGCAAAGGTCGAGGAGAATTCACGCAAGTGGACAGATGGGGCAACATGCAAGGATAACAAGCTGTGCGCTGGGGTTCACTCAGATGATTATGATGCTAAAATTTGATGCTAGAGGAAGATCATTATAGCGCGAGGCAGCTGCACAGAAATGAAACTTAAACTACCTGGTTCGTCTTCGTTGTGCGAAATTTATTTTTATTTCATGATATAATCTTTATCTTGCATTAAATCTGACCACAGGGCGGGGGTACCGTCCAGCCCTACATGATCATATATACATAGTATAGTCAGACTCAGCACTTCGAGCAGTTTCTTCTAAGATAACTCAACAAGGGCGAATATTGCTGGCTTTGCGGCGCTGGGAGAAAACATTGCGTATGGGAATGTCATCGATGAGACCCCTTTTGGTCTCCGTCTCGCGAGTCGAATGTGGTAGTATGGCGCGTATCCACATGATCAAGCTGTTACAGCAAGAGCAACGGCATCTGCAAGTGCAACAGCTACTAAAAAGTAGTGCTTGTAATATTATATATGTTCCAGGGGTGGAGGCTCCCGCCCTGTGGATGGAGCGGTGGTGGCTTTTGGAGGGGTCGGCGGTGGGCTTTTGGAGGCCTTCCCGCCAGGCCGTCCCTCGTGAGGGGCGGGAGGCCGCCCCTCAAAAAGTTAGATCGGGTGTGGTAGTATGGCGCGCATCCATATCAAGCACCCTAGACCTAGTATGTACTAGGTTTATTTTAGTACATCAACTCATAGTACTTCTCAAAATTTCTAACCTTCCGAGGATGAGATTTGTTTAACGACTGCGGAGAAGCCGGATGTGGGGCCGGTGAAGTGGGGCACCGAGTACACTCTTGACCAACAGCCTAGCGACTGGCCAGGTACCGGAGATTGGGCATGGCTTGCTCCTTGGGTCAATCGAACCAATTTCATCGGAAAAGGCGAAGTATTAGACCACAATTCGACGTGGGGACATTATACCAACCTTATTTGGAAGGAAACTGTTGCGTTAGGATGCGCGGATACTGCTGTTGCAGCGGCTGACAGTGGTAGGAACGTCATCTGCCAATACGGAGGCTCAGGAAACGTTGGTGGCCCAACTGCGTACACGAAAAATATTTACGGTCGGATAGTTCTTCTTGAGTTCTTTTTGTAGTGGAGTAGGACCAGCAGCCCGTCATCTACAACTCCACTAGGAAGATCAGCTACAACTGGGTGTGACTTTTCGGAAGTTTCTGGGAAGATTCTGAGAAGGTTCTGGGAAGTTTCCAGAAAGTTTCCCAGTCGTGACTGGGGTAAGTTTCCTGAAAGATTCCGAGGCCATTGCTAGCGAGAAGGCGGGGTAGATTCATCCGGGAAGATTCTGGGAAGATTCCGGGAAGTTTCTCCCTTCTTAGTATTCACGTGGATCCATGTACATAATTTGTAGTGGAGTAGGACCAGCAGCCAAATCAAAATTTTTGAATTCAAAAAGATCAGCTACAACTGTGGCGATGAAGATCATACAACTGTTATATACATATATAAAATTTCTTGCTCTGCTGGGAGCTCATTTATTTTTATTCGTCAACGTGTTGCCACAAAAATGTAGTGTCGCCCCATTTTCATAACACTGCTGGCCTTGTGAAGACATACGACGAGTGCAAGACTGCAGGGGAAAACGAGCACATCGTAAAAGGTACTCGAGGACACACACACAACTACTTGTCATTATTATGAAAAAGAAAATTTTTAATAGGCTTTGGTGCTATTCTTGTTGCATGGAAACTGTACCGTGATTGAAGATGAAGATCTTTTACTTTATGCCTCATTACCACTGTAGCTACCCTTATTACCACCATGATTTAGTTCTTGTTCTGCCATGAAAATTATGATTGTTCACATTTTTCAGGTTCCCTGATGTTTACCTTTGGCGAGTCACAGTTCTTGACAAAGGACACATACGCAAGCTTTCAAACCGCGGATGAATACGGAGCTTGTGCTGGGAAGACGCAGAGTGAGTTTATGGCATTGTTCAACAAATCCCTCACCATCTACTCCTTCTAGAGCAAAAATATCTTGGGGCTTCCCTTTCGGTTCCTGAAGGAAATGGAAGATTAGTGACCTCCATGAAGATGCTCCTCCTAGAGAGCAGGATGTTGGGTTTTTTGGCAGGATATCATCATCATCATCACCATGGTAGTTCTTCTTCTAATGACAGCGTGACTGACGATATCGCTGCCTGCGTTGCTGGTGGCGTTAGTTTGTATCTCAAAGAGCGAACTGGTTCAGATCTAGTTGCTGTCCCTGTGTCGTTCAGACGAAACGGCAGAATTTGGAAACAACCTGACAGGTGTAGCTCTCCCACAGCGAGTTATGTGTAGTGCTCATGAAGCATCTTGTGTTGATTTCATCGTTTTAGATAGCAGCATCGTCGATGAGGTGTTTTCAAGTTCATGTTCACTTTCAGGCACTTCCTAAATTTTGTTCCCATGTGTATAGGATACCATCAACGTCTGTTCGAGACACGACCATAATCATGAAAAAGCAGTACTCACAAAACTAAGGGCAGCATCCTGAAAAGCATCCTGAACGACCACCACCACCATCATCATCACCAGCATCATCATCATCATCGACACCAAAAAGCACCTGCGCCACCCTTCTTCTCTACATTCACTTTCCCGCTCCCACATCAATCACAAATTGATACCTCCTTCTAAGAAAACTCACGAAAGTGGGCGTTTTATTTCTACGTGCGTTCTGTTCCAAGTGCAGTAGTAGAGGAAGTCATCAACGAGTTCGAGAGGACGCATGCAGCAGACAGTGACTTAGTTAAGACAAGGAAGCGAACATTTTCAGTGTCGTCTTCGGCTTCTTTTTCAACGAGAAAAAGAAGGCTGAGCCTTCAAGGCTCCAAAAAATAGGGCGCACTCAAGGATGTTGTTGCGACGCGGCGGCCCAAGAATAGCTCTAACTTAGTTGAGAAAGTGCAGCTAGTCTGTTCAGAAAATGCAGCAGCAAAGGACACTATGCTCACCTACATCGGCGATGCCCTGGGAGCAGAAAAAAACACGGCATTCTTATGATACAGTGTACTTACTTGCGTATGTGTAAGTGTAACCATCCAGCAGAGTCGCATTTATTTGCTTTTGATCTTTAATAAGAGTCACTAAGTCTAAGCATGTTCTGAGTTGTTCTAGGCTCAGAAAGATTTTGTTTGTTTCAGAAGATATTATCAAGTTCTTTGATATTCCTCGGACTCCGGACTCGGTCCACCTCATCATTAATTATCACTAAGCAAGTCGACGCTACGTGAGCGTGATTCTTGCTCAATCATCAAGAATCGCAACTAATATCATCAAGAACCGCCACCTCGTCTGTAATCATCAAGAATCGCAACTATCATCAGCATCAACATAATTTTGCTTGATAACATTCCCCTCTAACATGTTCCCAAGAGGTGATACCTCCACCACCGGAAGGCGGTGCTGCAACCGCTGCTCCACTTACAACAACCACTGCACCTCCATCGCCTGGCCCGGCTGTTACCACGACAACAGCCGAACCGCCAACTCCGCCGATGGACCTTGCAAGGAGTCTCTCAGTCGAAATGGAAATTCTACCCAGCATTATGATCAGCTTTTACCCGCCATCTTTCTTAGCATTTCGGGAACCAGTTTTCCTATGAAAAACAAGGAAAGATGGGTCATCGGGATGAGAGGACCGACCCGAGATGAATATTAAAGGCTGACTCTAACACCAGCGGGCTAACTGCAGAAACTCTGAAAGCCAGCGACGCCTTTATCAAGAGTCTGAAGCAAGCGTTTTCGATGATTTTCGACGGAATCGTGCAGGAGAGCGATGTGAAAGACCTCGAAATTGAGATCGACGCATCGGCGGCGGTTGTGTTGGCGGAACGAACTTATGCATAGGAATATAAAGATGAAAATATTCTGGCTTTCGATTCGGAAAGAGAAAGGATAAAGAAGTTGAAGTGTGGGCTTCTTACCTGCTTCTAGCTTTATTCTTTTTCAGTGTCTGCTACATGGATTTTGTTTTTGTAGCCATCGACACGATAATAATGTTAAATTCAGCCAAGATGAATAATGAATTTTTATAGTAAGTTAGTAGTTCATCTAAGTAGAAAGACACACGATCACGACTGGAATGCAGCTACAGAAGAACAAGGAGCCCCACAGCATCTCGAGCATGGTGAATGGCCGCAAGAATAAAGCTGCAGCGTTCTACAGAGCAGGCGCGGGAGCTGATAAGCTTAAGGCCGCTGAAGAGCGTGAGAATGAGAAATACATGATCATGATCAATCTTGAGTTTGCGTGAGGATTAGATTAGAAGCGCTATGCACTGCAAAGATCAAAGATCGACCCGAAAGCGCCGTGCCACCTTCTAATAATACGACCATGAGTGGCAATCAAGGTGGACAACTAATGGCGAAGCACAGCAGTAAGAAGTATGCGGGTTCCGCAATGAGAAAAAAGAGCGCTGCTCAAATACAACAAATGTACAAAAACAAGAATGTTGACAAGATGGCTCAGGTGAAGACTAAGATGGGTCAGCAACAGGCGCAGCAACAGCAGAAGTTAAGGCCATGGCATTTCCATCAACACTTCGCAGAGGTCTGTAAGTGCATAGTCAGTGTATGTCATTTACACGACAAATAGCATCAGTTATCGCAACTCTTCTAACGACCCAACAGCGTGCAACCGGAGGAATAGAAGTGAAATATCAAACGACCGCGACCATTTCGGTTCCTGCAGATAAGGTGGCAAATTTCAACGCAATTTGGCCTGATACCGTTAAGGCTACAAGAAATCCGTCTTCCCAGGCGTCGCATCCTGCGACCGTTTTCAAGGGGAAAATAAAGGTTCTAGGATGCATTTTAAGGTGGATTTCTCTTAGTTCTAACGCCGGGAGTAGGCCTCCTGGTGCTATCGCTGGAAAGTTTCAAGGAGCATTCATGGTGGCTTTGCATCTGAACGGCTTGACCGAAGAGGAGTTAGCATTAAGGCCAAAAGACGAAGGAGAACTTGAACTACTCGACCTCTTTCACGCTGCGCCTGTGGCGTCCTCGGCTTTGTTCGCTTTGCTTTCTATGAGAGTGAGAGGTGAGGGAGCTAGCAAAGGTCTTTCTTGGTCATCTTGCTCGTCTTCAAGGTCGTGATCAGGCGGGTCTTTTTGGCAAGAACAACTCTTCACACTACATAAGTACTTACACTCTCGATGTTGAAGCAAGCATCATATTGAGAATGGTCCTCTTTCTAATGACCGTGAAAACCTGCGGTGACAATGGGGGAGACACGAGCCTCCCCGGAATGGGTCCGCTTCCAGGCATCCACGGTCCTCCACCTCTTAAGGCCACTAGTCACTATTGGTCGTAAATATAATCTCGCCCTTTGTTTACGTTTACCACTATTGGTTGTAAGTATGACCACTTTAAGGCCACTTCTTCTATTGGTTGTAAGTATAATCCCGCTTCTTCTTGTTTACTTTTGAAGATTACAACAATGAAGGTCATCAAACAGATCAGGGTTTTTACCACATTTGAAGTCTTCTTCTAATATCACAGGAATGGGGCCTGACCCAGGACTGGGATTTCCTGGTGGAAGTCCCTTCGTCCAAGGACCGCCAGCGGAAACGGCCATCTATCGAGCAATGCTCATAGATCTGACACTGCCAGACGGCACGACAGCGGAGACGCTGAAAATCCAGCACGCTTTTTTAGGGATTCCGTGCAAGATGAAAGTCGAAGTAGAACTAGAACAAACTCAATGATTTGTTTCCAACAAAAGTAGAAAACAAAAAAGTGTTTTCACTTTCAATCATGTTCACAACTTTATTCGATAAAAATGTTGAAGTTCGTTGATTAGATTGATTATATCTTCTACAACTTTCACAACTTCACCTTCTTCTATCCCTTTCTCCAAGTCCCCTATTCCCCCACCTCCTCCAACTTCCGTGACAAGCATCAAGGAGGCCTATGCGGAAATTTTGGAGGTGTACCAAGAAATGGTGGTGACGTTGTATTTGGACATGAACCCTTACAGTGTTGCACCTCAGGCATCATTCATGACGGAAGCTGTGATTGGGGTACTTTTTAATACTGTCATGTTCGATTGTGGACCACCACCACGCTTTTTACTTTTTTTTTATTTTCGTTGTTCTTTTTGAAGGTTATATATAAGAATAGGGCCGCTAGCCTAGGTGCTCTCCAAGGATTAGGTCGTGTCCCAGACAAACTACCTTCTTTGTCTGCCTTTTATGACCACACCAAAAACTCCTCACTATGATGCCTGTCTTTCAACACTTTCCCCAAATGTACTTCTTATCATGATCATGTAGTGGGAGATGGCTGTGCAAGGGGTGCTTATTCAGCCATCCCTGGCCGCCCCGTGCCTCTGTGTTTTTTCACTTTTTTGATTCCCCGGGTTTTGTTTTTTTGACTTCGTTCTCCTCCCTTATGATTGATCCTCTGACAGTACTCTGATTGGATGCGACAGGTTGGCATTCTACCTCTAGATGTAGTATTTCCAGCACTGTTCTTAGTTCTCTCTGTTATTTCAATGCTTATTATATATAAACTGCATGCACTTGTTGGTGATCCAAGAATCGGAATCGATCGTCGCTAACCTTCTCCAGATCCCTGACGAGCTCCTTGGGAGAGTGAATTCGATTTGGCCAATGAACCCAGACTCCAGTACTTCGATCAACGTAGCTGACGATTTTCAAGCTGCTTTGGTGCGGCATCTTGAAGCAGCTGGGCTTGTGGGGCCGCAAGTTGAGAGTTGTAGTATCCCATCAATGGGTGACGGTGACGATGGAGAACCTATCACGCGGCACATGCTCTTGGGTTTGGAAATCGGAAGCGGAACAGACCTGGATATTAAGAGCAGCCCCAGCCTCTTTGAACAAATTCAATTGAGCACGCAGCCTCTTTGAACAACGAGAAGATAGAGGAACAGTGACAGTTTCCTCCACTTCCATGAACAACTTCTATTATTTCCTCTAAGCTTCGCCTGAAATCAAATGTTGGATTTCAGACTGCTATAGGCGAAACGTTTACGCAGATCTTGGGGATCGACAATTAAGGCTTCCGGGAATCTCCCATTTTGAAAAGCATCTTGATGAGGCACCTCTCGAAGGGAAAAACAGACCGAAGATGACTTTCAAGATGGATTCCGGGAAGATCTAAGACAATGATAGAATCGGAGGTCTGAGAGTAGAACCCGCAGAAGAATCCCCTGCAGCCGCCTTGTTGAGTCTTCGACGCAAGAAAGAAATGAATGTTAATAGTTAAGGCAGATGTTCAATGTCATTTCAAGTTCAAGTATCTTCAGTACTACCCTCCAGTGTAATATCGGGATCAGTACTATCTTGTTCTTGAGGATATAAGTAGAAGCATTTGGGCATACAGACGAAGATCACGGATTTACTATTCCTCGGCAAACTCTAACTCACACACGGCGGCGATGGGAGCCGCCAGATTACGCAGTTCTTCGCCTCAGCCATGTTCGAGGTACTTTTTCCCAACGACTCCTTCATGTTCTTGTTGAGCATAGTGATGGTGTGAAGATCCAAGAACGTCATGATAATCCTATTATCAAAATCAATCTTGTTGAGTCAAAAACGTAGTTCAAGTATAATCCAGAACTACAACCTCTGTTTCAGATCACGAACGCAACTGAGGCGCAAGGCTTGGAAGCGATTTGGCCGAGCCACGTTGAACATTCAAATTCTGGTGTCGACATCGCTGATATAGAAGCAAGTTTCAAATCCGGACTCACCTCAAATTAAGGGTCGTTCTCTTTCCCTTCAGTTTTGCCTCTTCCCGTCAGTTTTGCCTTTCCACCTAAAAAGGGGTGGAAAAGGTATATTAACTAAAAACGAGGAGGTAAACTAATAGGATACCTACTAATCAAAGTTCGCAAGCAAGAGTGTAGCAGACGTCGTCGTCTCGTCATGTACGAACATAGAGCCACCACGAGAGGGAGAAGGACGAGAGGGAGAAGGAGCTCGCGGGGAGGACTCAACACAGCAAGAACGAGGAGGACTACATGAAGTAAGCGACGAGCTGCGAGCCTTATCAAATCTAGATGGACTCTTAAGGCAATGGTTGACGCTGAGCTACGTATAATATTACCTAGTACTTAAATCATCGCTAAATAAGAGTAGTAGTACTGCATGATGATCGCGAGCTCGTTTGTTGAGTAGAGCTCCAGCTCTACTTCTAGATACGTCAGATGATGGCCCCGCTCCTTTTCATCTGCTCTACTAGACGACCTCTAATATCAGAAGGAGAAGCGCCACCCGCTGATGATACAATTGAGCGAAGTATCGCGATTCAGCTCGACCTGCCAGCGACTATCGAACCTGAAACATTGAAAACTATGAATGCTTAAGGGAGATCGAGATTGTGATCATGTCAACAGCGAAAGCGATCAGAAGTCCGGGTGTAGTACATCAACAGAAATGGCACAGCAACGCTACATACTTGAGTTAGAAGGCTATCATTTTTGTTTGGACGATCAAAGGGGTATAGATACCGAATTAACAAGTATCTTCTTAAAGAGTGTAAGTACAAGAAGTACTGTTCACCACCTTGACCTTCTAACAAGAATCAACCTGGTTTCAGGCATGCGGTGAAAGCTGCCTATGCCGCTGTATTGGATGTGCATCCAGACATGGTGCTTGAGGTGGAAGTTGGCCGAAGAGGAGACGCTGGAGTACCATTACCGAGTGGAAGTGGTGCTAGCAGTCTGGCGCGCTTAGCAGCGAGGAGTGGTAGAAGTAGTACGGGGGGTGCTTCTAGGAGCAGCACGACCCCTGGCGCAGATAACTCATCTACTAGTGGCACGCAGTCAGCGAGCAGCAGCCGTGCTAGCAGCGCTGGCGCGCAGTCGCCAAGCAGCCCCCCGGCGAGCGCTAGCAGTGCCGCGAAGTCATCGAGCAGCACGGGAGGTGCAACTGGCGGTGTGCAAGGATCGAGCACGGGTGAAGTCACTGGCACTGGTCACTCATCTAGTCTTGGTGAAATAAAGAGCCGAAACCTTCCTCTCCCTCAAGAGAATCATGGTCATCAATTACACGACGAACCTAAGATCGTCACGAGATTCGTCAGTACAGAGAAGAAAGGAAGAAGAGCAGTAGCTTCATTAAGGGTAGGTTTTCAGTGTTTCTGCTACCGTTAGGGTTAGAAAGGAAAGGAATAAGCATGACTCTAACGGGGCGAGAATAAGGCAACACCAGAATAAACCCCACTCTAATTTCATCCAAGACAACCGAAGATGGAGCTCGACACAGCTACTTCTTCCGTCGCCAGAACCGAAGTAGGATAAGAAATCTTAGCCTTGCTGAGGCTAGCGCAGGTGGCACCGTTGCAACCTTCGACACAGTGGCACTGATAGGGGTACTTTCTCTTTACTTTATCTCAGAGACAGGGACAACTTGCACTTCTTTTAGAGCAAAGAGCGTGATCAATTTTACGAGTCGTGGCGCTCATTGTTATTCACAAGTAGAAGTAGATTGCGTTTGTGACTTCCGAGAAAGAGGACAGCACCACTGAGTATCTACCTCTACGTACTAATATTTCTTGTTCTTCGCTCTGAGTATCTAGGTACTAATATTTCTTCTGAATTAACAGATTCCGTCGGAACTGATTGCTCCAGCCAACGAAAAGTGGCCAGCATCCGGAGCCGACGTTGGCGAGCAGTTCAGAGTCGCAGTGGACGAGAAATTAGCGGCTGCGGGTTTTGAGGATATCGATGTTCTGTCGTGTGTGGCTATTTTTATGAACCCGAAATTTTTTAACAGGATTCATTTTGGGTAGAGGACTTTTGCCGAGTCAGAAAAACAGGATTCATTTTGGGTAGAGGTAGACTTTTGCCGAGTCGTGATGTAAATCTTAATGTCCTCCGAGTCTGAGTCTTTTGCGTGATGTAAATCTTAATATCATGTCCGAGTCAGAAAAAATCTTCTAATGGCTCTAGCGGCCCACCAATGATGCCGATGGGGCCACCCTCATCTATGTCAACGGGAGCACAGACGACAGGAGCAGGAACAACTACCGGAGCAGGCACGACAACCGGGGCGGGCAGCACTACCGGAAGCAGTTCTTCTGTTATGATTTCGGAGCAGTGTTGACTCCTTTAGCCTGTGACAGATTTCTTGTTCTCTTTCAAACTCAAAGTCGAATCCAGAAGCGTAGAAACTTAGGTACCAGTACTACACCTACAGTCACTAGCTCTAATTCAAGAGCAGCATCTACCTCGACTGGAAGTGACGGTACCACAAGCAGTTCGACGATGGGAGCAACAACGTCACGACTTGCTACAACTGTGGCAAATACGACAGGAGCAACCACGTCAGGAATACCAACGACCTCATCAAGTGCGACTCAAGGAATCAACACAACAGGAGCAGCAGCAACAACAGCAAGTCCAACTACACCTACAGTCACTAGTTCTAATTCAAGAGCAGCCGCATCTACCTCTACTGGAAGTGGCAGTAAAAACACTTCGACGATGGGAGCAACAACGTCACAACCTGCTACAACGGTGGCAAATACGACAGGAGCAGCAGCAACAACAGCAAGTCCAACTACACCTACAGTCACTAGTTCTAATTCAAGAGCAGCCGCATCTACCTCTACTGGAAGTGGCAGTACCACAGACAGTTCGACGATGGAAGCAACAACGTCACAACCTGCTACAACTGTGGCAAATACGACAGGAGCATCCACGTCAGGAATACCAACGACCTCATCAGGTGCGACTCAAGGAATCAACACAACAGGAGCAGCAGCAACAACAGCAAGTCCAAATACGACAACAGTGCCCCTCGAAGAGAAAGAGGTGATCGAGAGGGCAGCAGAGGTCGGAATTTCGATCCCCGACGGGAGTAGCGCAGAAGACGTCATTTTTAAGGATCTTTCACGTTCATCTCTTGTTTGTCAATCAAAGAGACTTCTGACACTATTGTAGAACACGTAGCTCAATTTCAATAGCAGAACAAGGCCATTGGCATTACAAACGAGCCTGCTATTCCTCTTTATTTTATTAAGGCTCAGCTTTCAATGGTCACCATTGAGATTGGGGTCACTGAGATCGAGGAGGCGACCCCGCCTTGAGAGAACCAACAGGGGAAATAAACGAAGGGAAAGGGGAGAGCTTTGAAGGGGGCCTCTCTCGTTCAGAGTCATGATGACCATTGAATGCTGAGCTTTAATTCTGGGTTACATTTGAGTCTACTTTCGTAGTCCTTGGGGGTTTCGCTACGAGTATAACTCTCATTAGGCATTACAAATGAGCCTGCTATTCCTCTTTTTAGGACAACGACAAGAGCTTTGTCTTCCGATCCTCTAAGAACACAGAGCCTGCATTTGTGGATGCCATGAAGGACAGTTTTGCTGAGACAATAGGCGTAGCCTCGAGCAGTATAGTGGATTTGGATATCACGGTCCTATCCTCGGGAGGCTCATCAAACTCTTATGGCTGGTTCTTGTAGTGACCTCTTTTTCATTCCTGAAAGCAACTTATTTTTTTTTTGTATTCCCAACCAAAAAAAAAACTTGCTTGTTCTAAGCAAATCCACAAGATTTGTCTGCTAGGAGTAAAGCTCGCAGATTCTAGGAACGGACTTGCCCGATTCTAGGAGCAAAGCTCTCTCACATTCTAGGAACGATATTCGTCCCGATTCTAGTAAGATATCAGAAAATGCCTATGCTAGTCATATACCAAGCTCAACGAGATCATTGCTCTTGTTGTATTTCTTGAGTCCTTAGGCTGGTTGTAGTGACCTCTTTTTGTTCCTGAAAGAAGGATAATATGCGACGCCACGACCACGACCACTTCATCTAAAATGAAACAGACGCAACGACAGTGTCACCTCCTAGTGGAACCACGTCGCTCCTCGTGTCATCGTTCTCAAAGGAAGACAAGGAAGCAGGACAGAACAAGTTGGAAGAAGCACAGAATCCGAATTCTACTGACGAGGATGAAGAAGATGACGATGATGATGCTTCTTCTAGAAAGGATGAGGAGAAGGACGCTTCCAAGAAGGATGGGGAGAAGGGTGCAATTCTCGTATTGGACCGCATGAAGGCGTCAAGCGAAAAGGAACAAGATGAAAAGAGAATATTTTATGCTGAAGAGAAGACGATCATGTGTGAAGTAGGTAGTGGTCAATAAGAACCTTGTGATTTTGATGAATAGTGGGGAGATGTCTTGCTGTGACCACTCTCGTTTTTTTTTTCGTCCTAGCATGTATGCCTCCTTTCCTCTAAGACAAGGCGCAGGAGGATAGCAGCAGCCAGACGAGAGTAGGAACCAACAAGAAGAGCAAATTTTCAGAAAAGATGAGGAGTTCGCCCGTAACGATTTCGGTAACAGGAAAAGCTGCAGTTGCCCCTGCCCAAGCAGCTGCCGCCAATGCGGCGTGGCCACCAGCAGGGACGCCACCGAATCTTGGAGCAACATTAAGAAAGGTGATCTATGTATAACTAGACCCCAACATTAAAAAGAAAGGTGATCATGTAACCGGAGTGTAAAGTGTAAAGACCTCCTCTTAAAGTTTTCTTTTTTTGTGGCTTCTTGAGAGCACCAGTTTGATCAAGGTTTGACCACCACACCAAATCTTGGAGCAACATTAAGAAAGTGTAGCTCTTCTTTCTGAGTAACGGACGCTGGTCGTTTTTCATGCATGTCTACTCTTCGCGATCGACTTTCATACCCCTCTTGCATAGGAAGATCATTCCTATCACAGAGCAATTTATATATAAGGTTTCACAGCTCGCATGGCATGGAGTGCATGGATCACATGGAGTAGCATGGAGCTAAAGGGGGAGCCTCTTGCGCCCTTAAAGCTCTGCGCTCCATGCTACTCCATGCCCTCCATGCGCCATGCGTACTGTAGTACCAGACGCATCGATCGAAAAATATCGTCCACATCTTCGTCATCCTCATCGATGAAGGGACTAACTAAGAAGATACCAGAAGAACTCCACCACATCTAAGCCCAATCACGAACAAAGTGGCAGCATCAGGCGTCCCTGTGGCCGTTGCGTCTGTGGTCAGCGTACCAGTTACCACGACCACGACCACAACCACCACAACAGAATACGGCTACGGATCGATCGCGAAACTGGTCTTGCCAGCGGAATACAAGTGGGTCAACCGCATCCTGGACAAGCTGGAAGGCCTCTTGAGCCTCTATAAGTTACGACTCTCTTTGTGGAACTGGTAAATTTTCTAGAAGTCCTTCAGGTTTTATGTATTTCTCACGACTACTTAAACTTAGGTAATACTAGTAGTTGTAGAGCAGGGTATTTCCGACGGAAACCGAAACTGAAAGCGAATACTTAGGTGGAGTGACAAAGAGGGTGGACGTGGAGGAAATACAAACAGCTACTAAGTATTCGCAAAACTGAAATAAGCAAGTAACTGATCAGAATAACCGAGATACTGATGAGAAGGAAGAGTAGCCGCGTCAAAGCTAGCTACCTCCCTTATTTCATTCAGTAACTCGGTTATTTTGAGTTTTCGAATATATTAATGCGTACTTAGATGAAGTAGAACGACAACTAGCCACATTAATGAATGGTTCTGGTATTTGGTAACCTGAATTTGATCCTAAGGAAAAACAAGAAGAGAACCCTTAGGATCAAACTCAGGTTACCAAATACCAGAGCCATACAATTAAATGCCGCAGTACACTTAATAGATCATAGATTCTTGTAGACTAATCGTCCACATCTTCGAATCTAACTAAAGCAGAACGTGACGCCACAACGGCGACGCAGACGAGACTGATGAGCGATCAGCAGGCCCTCTTCGAGTCCGCGATGATGAAGACGATGAAATCACTTGCGAAAGTTAAGAAGAGATAGAGAATCTTTGTGATACAAGTAATAGTAACAAGGCAGGTTACCAAGAAATACCTTCGGAACCAACATTCATGGTTTTTTAGAACTACTAGAAGTACTATCTGTATTGGCTTTTGTTAAGGTTAATCTTTGTCTCTTATTCAGCCACCGTCAACTAGCACTGGTTCCTTAACAATGAAATCGATTCTAATTTCCGAAATGAAATCGATTCTAATTTTTCTGGTGCGTAGGGAAATCGATTCTAATTTCCGATTCTCGGGTCCGGGGAGTGAATCCTCAACGCAAGCAGCTGCCCCAATCGACATTAGGATAGGAGCAAGCAGTAGTGCAAGTCCCTAGGACGATTGATGAAACAGCTGCATTAGTTGTAGATCGCTATGGGAGAAGATCAAGATTTCTAAGAAAGACACGGGCATTAACGTTAGTACTCCCACAAAAAAATTTAGTTTCTGTTCTTCAAAGTGCTAAGATGAAAGAAGGACGCATGCAATAATTAAGTTAAATGTCGCTTAGGCGTCAAAAGATACCTCCAGAACAGGTAAATGAATGAATGAATTCATTTTGAATCAATACCCGTTGAATTCCTATTCCAGTCGAACAACATTTTGTAGAACGTATTGATTACTTAAGTAGTAGTTAGTATACAGTCACTTTTATTCCATCTTTCACTTTCACTCATTTATTTCAAAGTTTACTGTTCACTTTCGATAATAAACAGCAAAGGTAAAAAGTCTCAAGTAATCCCAAGTACAGCTACGTACAGGTTCGTAGTTGCTAATATGAAGTTTATATATAATTTCGGTAGAGGATCTCGAGCTCGATCTAAAAAGTACTAGATGAACAATAAGAACACAATAATAGAAAGAAGTACCGATCGACTAACAGCAAGAATGGTTCAAACTTCTAATCGACTAAGAATGGTAGCGTACCCTTCAATGTTTCACATCAGAGCTGGCATCACACACGATCTCATGCTCAATAACGAACTAGAACTATTCTAGCGGACTATGGTATTAAGATGAACAGCAGGTCGTGACCGATTGGCGAGGACATGTGTCCTTTGTCACCGAAAAAGGTCATCTAAAAAATATGGTCCATTGGTTTCTAACTGATCATCATCATCAACAAATAGCTGTCCATTACATGAGTTGATAAATCATGAAGATCAAGATACTTAGTTACAATTACTACATGTTGATATTGAACCATATTAAAGATAGGCTGGACAATGGCCATCGACGTCCTGGCTGTGTAGTAACCTGCTCTTTCTGCATTATTAGGCGGGAAGTATTGATCTAGTGCAGCTGGAGCTGGTGATGATCCAAACATCAAAAGTATTTTCCTGTACAGAGTTGTAAATTTCGCTCTCTCATGAGCTAGCATGGTCATATTGCTAAACATAACATTCAGAAGGTTTATCGCTATCGTGCTTGATTAGAAATGATTTATTGCTGCATAACTGTTATAACAAGGATAAGAGAATAAATGTAGATGTAGTGAAAAATGTCATGTTGGTCATTCTATCTATTCACCTCTTCATTCACAATTGGTGTCCTCACCACATCATTCTAAGTTTCTCATTTTCTTTCCGGGGTTAAGGTGAAGAGTATGAACTTAACGTCCTGATATGTACAGAAGCAGCCAGGTGCTAAAAGGTGGGTGATGTTGATGATTGAAAAATCATTTGATAGCGTCGGGTGCAATATTGAACAGAGATTGCCACACATGAAAAGAGGTAACATCTTCAAGCACGAGCATCATGCACTAGCACCGAAATGTTGGTTGAAGAGGATAATCTTCTTGTAACATCTACATCATAAAAAAAATCAAGTTCCAAACCGTTCAACGATGCATCCAGCAAGGGAAACAAAGTTTTCCGGCACCAGCAGGAAAAGTCGCCGTGTTTCCACCACTACAAACGACCCTAGAAAAACCTACCAGTCGGTAAAAGCTATCAATCTGCTCAACAGTAGAAGAAGTAGAAGTTCCCGGCCTAGGTGGCTTCTTTGCTGTGCTTGTGGTGGTCACGTTTTCTCTGTCCATCCTGATATCATGGCGCTTCGGTCGGTGCTAAATGATAATCAAAAGGAACACTGCCGCTTCTACCGGTCGTGTCTTCCGCAATCTGTGGAGGTAACCGAAGTCGAAGTGCTTGCAGCAAGAGAATGAAACTGTATGAAGTATTGACTCCTCTGTCCTGTTGCAACATGCTTCATCTGTCCTGTTGCAACATGAGGTATTGACTCCTCTGTCCTGTTCCCTCCAGGTGCTTCCCTTTAGCAAAATCCCCAGACCAAGAGAGCCAACCCAGCGGCTCCACTGTACTAGTGAGGCTCATTGGAATAGCAGCAGAAGGTGGCCAAAAGGTGAAACTGAGTGCGGTTTTTGAAATACGTTATACTTTTCGAGGGTGAGTAAGGTACTTATTGACTCCTCTGGCTCTGTCCTGTTGCAAAATTAAGATCACCAATGTATATGTAGCCTCGCCCCGCATTAATACTTACATCAGGGCTCCCATCCAGTTGTTCCCGTAATGATCATGTCTCAGTGATACTCGCCAACGCGCACGCCATGCTAATTCTATTAAGAGAGTGTTTCTGATACTGATCAGCATGGCCCCGGGTGTTGTTTTCTTCCTGTCCTTCTTAATAGCAACCTGCACGTATCCCGCTCGCCTCTGTTGTACCCTCGCCCTTTATTGGTAAAGGACTGCCAAAGGTCGGCCATCTCGTTCTCGGCCCTGATAGATCGCAGCCAGCTCGCCGGCGATGCTCGAGCAGGCTTTGCTCAACTTCTCGCCCGAAGCATTGCCCCAACGCAGCAGGGCGCATATGGTAGCAGTGGAGGCAGGGGGCGCGGCATTGCGTCACGATAAAGCTGACGGCGGGCGCCACGGCGAGGCCACGCACTTCGGGTCCACAGCTGTGCACATGCGGGCCCACCTCGTGCGTGAGTAAACCTGGCAGCATCGCCGGACGAGTGCGCGCTGGCTCGCTTCGAGGTCGCAGGTAGGACCGTGCCCAAGTGGGCGCGCTAATGCACTCCGTTGCGGCTGCTTCGTCAAAAAACCGAGAGAGCCGGGCGCCTTCGTTTGTGTGTGTGTCGTTGGTTCTGATTTTTGGCTTCTGGCTGGAAGGAGGCTGCCGGCGCGCCACAACTGTGCCACAACTGTGCCACGACCGCGCCAAGGATGCGCCAACGACGCACCAAGGACGCAATGGCACCCCACCATCGACAGGGCTGGGACGGAATGGCGGCCCACCATCGACAGGGCTGGGCGGCTTCGTCTGCCGCGACCGCGTCGTGAGAGCCCGCCCAGAAGGAAACGCAAGAAGCACCCCAGTGATTTTTAATTTTGATATTGGCTTCGCCTTCGATGAGAGGTTGAGGTAGTTGACGTAATATTTTAGAAAGAGACAAAGAACTCGCCAGCCTTGCAAGAAGTGGCTAAGTAAGTAAGTAATTATGTGTGCCCGGGCTAACCTCAACGCCGATCGAGCGTGCCCAGAAACAAATTTTTATGTGAGAGAGGCGCAACGGCAAACGCAAACTTTTGTTGTCTCATTAAACAGAAGGGTCGAAAGAGCGAGATTGCGAAGCAGGCTAGGACAACAGGCCAGAGACAGAGAGGGAGAGAGCAAGTCTGCCCTTTTTCGCGAGGGCGAAGCCTCCTCTCGACCACATTACCGGTGCCCATGAGCGCTGGAACTGTGTACTTCCTCCGTGACCGTGACGTCCTTCAGCATGAGTCTAAGTTGTAGCTTCCAATTGACAAGAGGGCTCTTCATCTGAGGAGTTCAGTTTTCTTGAAGTGCCTATTATACAAGGCTGAAGTGTCGTCCTGCGGTCGTAGCCGCGCTTACTTCGCTAGAAGTGATAGTCCGTCGTATGCTGATGCTTTAACTTCCCTGTCCTAAAAAGAGGAATGACTTCTAATATGTTGATGTCAATCTGACATTGGTACTATACATAGGTATTGATGCAGTCTTTTCGCAAGAAAGAAATGAAGACCACCGGTCCCGATATTCGAATTCAACGTCTGGAATGCCGATCAAGAGCTGCCATGAGCATGGCCAAGGTGTACCATGGTTCGTATTGTGAGACTACCGAAAACGCCAGCGACGATATCGGCCCGCAGCACTCGACTGGGCCAGGATTTCGTTGGAGATGAAGTAAAGACCACATATCAAGGCCAGCAACTACTGCTACAACATCAACAAAATGAAGTTGCGAGTCCAGAACTACAGCTAGAAGATGAAGACAGTTTGCCTCTGCTTCAAAAGTTATCATCAAATCAGGAGTCTAGTCCGGCGGATCCGGAGCTGGAGTGTATACTAAATTTTACGACCCCCAGCAGAACTACTTCATCTAGTGTGAAAAGGACAAGCACTCCTACATCAACAACTTCTAGTTCTGCAGTGAGCCGGATCACAGACACAGCTCCTTCTTGGGAAACTCCACGTCCACCAGGACACGAAAATAGTCAAGAATCCAGATCCACATCGCGTTCGCGGCGAAAACGCATTAGACGAAACATGATGGGAGGCACACCAGGGGGAAGTTGGCTTTCATCGTCTTCTTCTGCTAGTATATTCAGTTTCGTAGGAAACTTCTGGGTTACATTTGAGTCTACTTTCGTAGTCCTTGGGGGTTTCGCTACGAGTATAACTCTCATTAACTCCACGAAATGGATATACATGTACGAGGACTTCAAGTATCCGTTCTTTTAAGGCAGTGGACAGTAGTCGTTCTTAGGGTTTAACACATGATCAGCAACATCAGTAATATCTATCTTGATACATCCTTCATTAACATTAAGTAAGATCTTGAGTCATCGAAGATTTTGATTTGAGGTCAAAGGGAAATGCTCGGGAGTTTTCAAGTTGAGGTAGGACGCAGATGTAATAAAAGTGAGAGAGCCAAGTGGAAGGAGCATGAGCATGAGACCGAAGGAACAAGAAGGCCAGGGACGACTGGGCAAAGCACAAGCAGTACAGCACTCTAATTCTTCATCACGTTGGTTCACAGCATTTTTTGTTGGGTGTTTGCCTACGCGATTACTCACGAGGAAGAGCAAACGGCATCAACCTCTTCGACGAAAAATTCTTCTGCTGCCGTTATGAAAGTTAAGGCTTGCTCGTGGTCGTGCTCCGTATTGGAAACGCAAAAATCTATAAATACATAGACCACGTCTACTTCCATGATAGCTTCAACAATCCATAATGACGAAGATGGCCAGCAGGATATTTTTAAGTACGACACTCCTACTTCGGAAAAGATATCATGCTCAACTTGGATTGCGATTTTATCAATTAGCCCCCAATAGCAATAGCAGGAAGAAGAACAAGTAGCACTAGCAGTCAAGTGTCCATCTCACTTCTCTAACATCCTAGCAAGAAAACCTGTCTGGCCTACACTTCCGCGGACGCACAAGCTGAGCATACCAGAACAAGTGGAGAAGATCTTGCCTTTTAGCATATTCGGCGCTGCAAGTATAGGATCAGGAAATTTGGCGCTTTTATACTTACGGACTTACAGACTGACATTTTTGTGTATGGTTCCGGTATTTGGTAACCTGAATTTGATCCTAAAGGAAAACAAGAAGCGAACCCTTAGGATCAAACTCAGGTTACCAAATACCAGAGCCATGCATTGACAAGACTGACATTTTTGACACGGCTTGTTGTGCTGGTGAGCACCAATTTTGTCCATGATTACATTTAGAGGTCGTAGCGCGTTACTTTTATTTTGAGGAGGAAACGAGATGAACAGGTCGTAGCGCGTTACTTTTATTTTGAGGAGGAAGAGATGAACGGGCATCGGCTTCCTGGCGAGAGTGAGAGTGAATATTCGCGGGCTTGTAAAAATGGAACAGTGTGGTCCACGAATAAACACTACTCTAATCCGTCTCTATCCGAGCTTCCACGAAATGATTCAAAACACGACTCCGTTCTGGACTCTGATCGTAATGTCGCTGTTTGGCGGAAAAGTGTACAACTTATGGCTTTATTAATTATGCAAGTATTTTTAATTTGAGCAGGTGCCGGTGGGGCTCGTTGTGCAGGGTCCATATCCAAATCCATAACCTAACCTAGACAGAGCAGATAGAAGTAAGGACTTGTGAGTGAAGCAGTAGAGGAAGTGCTGGAGGTGGAAGTAGAACTACTACCACATGCACAGTAAAAATAGGCGACATCGAGACACCTCCCCTCTACTTAGTTTGAAAACCCTTCCTCTCCCGCCCTCCACCTTCATCAAAACGTTGGAGTTACTGGAGCATGGTGCCTGTGTGTGGAGGGGGGCTTCTTTGCGGGCTAGGCGAAATCAATTTGCATGTTGGAGGAATTCTTCTCAGTATCGCATGCACAACCTGGCGCGCTTTTCGGGTGCTTGTTCAGTCCAGAGTCCTCTGCGATCTTGCAAAACCGATGTCGTCGATCACGTTACTGTAAGCAATCTATATTTATTACTCTTTGTATCTATTTCTCTAGTACTACTTATATCAGAGTAATTTCTAAGGTTTGCCAGCTCGCATGCCAGGGAGTGCATGGATCGCATGGAGTTAAAGGGGGCGCTTCTTGCGTCCCTTAGAGGTCTGCGCTCCAGGCTACTCCATGCGCCACGCGTGCTATAAACTGCTCTGTTATAAATATCTTCATGTGAGTAGTCACGCGAGGACTTCTAAGCAATGAAGGTCTCTTTAGGTTATTTCTGTGGGGGCGGATCCGATCGGCGGGAAGTGGAGCCTTACTGTAAAAAACGGCTTGAGATTATTATAGCCATCACCATCTACTACGATCACGTTATTAATACTCCTGTCAGGATGGCGTTGCCGTGTTTTGCCTGTTCCTATTTTGCACGTTAATACTCCTTTTTTGCCCGCCCCTATACTCTTTCTAGATGCATCATGTAGTCGCACGAGTTCTATCTAAGCAATGAAAAATGAAGTTTTTGGTTTGTTGTATTCTAGAGCTTATACATTTGATATGCGGGGACCGGAAAATGGAGCTCTACATACTATGAACTACGCCTTAACTCGATCATGAGATTGAGAATGAGAGGACTAAAGCCATCAGGAGCACCATCTCCATGTGTGTCCATGCTCCCACCTCCTCCTTCAAAAATCACAGAATGTATTCCAGTCCGTGGAACGCAGGCTTATACATGATCGCGAGCCTGCCTTTAGAGGGTGTGGAGCCTTATCGACGGTTTTTCTCCGGCTCCCTCAACATGAGGACTTACCTCGCGATAGGCTTTTCCGGTTTGGTCGCTGCACTGTTCAATCTCTTCTTATGGCATTCTGAGACTGTAGTCAGTGACAAATGTTCAACAGTAGTTCTTGTATGGAAATGGCAATGATAGTAATCAAGCGGCACGAGCGTTTCTTTCTCATTCTCGGGGTACATGTAAGTCGCTAGCATGTGTATGTGTATGAGCAGAGCACGACGAAAAAATCAAAAAAAAGTAGGTGGTGGAGGGCTTTTGGACGCTAAAAAGTACTAGGGCTTTTGTGCTTCTTGTTGAAGTAGATCGACGATGAAGAAGGACCACAACTACAAGAACTACAATCACGACACGCGAGCTTGACCCTTCTAATCTCCGCTTTCCTCATGGTCGCGCGCCTAGGACCTTTAATGGCGATGGCTCTGGGCAATCTGAAAAACATGGCGATTATCTTTTCCAGTGTGCTTCTTTTCCACAACAGCTGTACGCCGATACAGGTTGTGGGATTTTTCATCATCTGCTTCGGTGTCGCACTGAATTCGCAATATGGAAGCGAACGGAACTCCACGCCATCTCCTGTTGGAGAGTCGTCTTCACGTGATAAAACGTCGGCGGATGGAGGGGGTTGTAGTAGGACAAGATACAACAGGAACCAGGATGGCGGAGAGACAAGAAAGAGTCGCTCCGACAATACAAGAACTAGTAATTATATGGTCGTAGATCTAGAAGACGATGAGCTGGATTTAGTTGAAAAAGGTCTCGGTCTTTCACGACATCAACACTTTGATGCGTCTCTCAAAAAACCAGATGGTAGTAGAGAAACAGGAGGAACAACGTCGAGGATGATGCTACAGGAATTGAAGCCTCTTGGCGCATCTTCAGGGAAGCTGCTTCATATATTTATGAGCGTAGGAAATGCATGATCGCTAAAGTCATCTGGACAAGGAAAATAAGAAGGAAAACGGACCCAGAGGATTATCCGCGAACTGCATTCCCGATACCTCTAATGTATCCTCTTCTGCTAGGTCTCCTGACGGCACAGGTTCAGAGACAAATGAGCTACTCCAAATGGAGGACGTTGAAGCATAAGCACGAGGACAGGCCGCGTTGGACAGGCAGAGGGGATCTTGGGGGAAGGTATAAGTGAAGCTGGAGTTCGATGAACAAGCAAAGTAAGATGATCAAGTGGTTGTGTATTAAGCAATAGCGGGCGAGGGCGTGGAGGTGCTAAGCGCGAACAACAGTAGCAGTAGGGCGTCAGGCGTCTCTTTCCGGCAGGAGCAGACAAACTACACCTACAGTCGTGTGCGTAGAAATGAGGAAAAGATGTTGACTGTCCGCTTGTTAGCGCCTCTTCGCAATTCTAGAAGTCGCAGTCTCTCAGTCATGCCAAAGAAATGAAATTTTTTTGTACAGTTTCCTACCTCCAGCAAAAATTTTTGATGAGGTAAAATGATTACTTATAGCCGTAGAACAAATTGGAGATGTCGTCAACGCAGTCTCGGCAACTTGTTCTCATTCTGATTCTCGCCGGCCTTTTCGGTAACTTCTCGTTCTCATCCTGACACGTTATGATTCATCACTTTCTCATTCTCGGTAACTTCAGTCCATTCTCATTCACTTGGACGTGGTCTGAATATGCAGACTCGCTTTCGCAGACACAACAGTGATTCAAATGAAGAACCGCCACTCAGGTCAAGATCTCACTCGGAATATTCACACAGTCACTGACTGGATCAACAAAAAGTAAGCGAGCAACTCCTATTGTCAGATGACATTCTTTCAAGGAAATGGAAAACTATCCTCAAAGCGCAAGGTTTGCAAGTCGTTTGAGTGTTCTTCGGACGAAAGTGACTTCATCTGGTTCTGCTTTTGAACGTGCTGCTTGACCTTGTTCTGATGGTGGTCGGTGCAAAATAGTACTAGTTCTTCCTCCTGTACCAGTTGCTATTTGCTATAACTATGTAAACCTGACTAAAAAACTGAAAAATAGAATAATCCGAACAACGTTCATCCGCGCCTTCCACTCGATCTAGCTCCACCTGTTAGGACATACTTGTTCACGCCCCAAGCGGCGACTAATCCAAGCCCGAGTCCGATCACGAGTTTACCGATCTCCCATCCCCACGATGTGCCTTCTTCTTCTACGGCGGCTTCATCTTTCTTCCCGTCTTTGCCTTCTTCTGGCTTCTTCTCTCCTTCAGGTGGGTTGAGGAATTAGAGGACGAAGTTCGGGCTCTTACATCGATAAACCATTGCGTTCTACTTCTTCATCTTCAGATTCTACTGGTACAACTAGTCGGGAGATCGATATGATATAAGAGAAAGAGTGGTCAAAAATATTAGGTGAAGCTGTATTGACGACCACCAGCCTTAATCTTTGCTGCCCTCGCCCTCGTCTTTCTTCTGTTCATCTCCTGGTGGAGAAGACTCATCTTTCTTCTCCTCTTCCTTCTTCGGAGTCTCCTTGTTTGCTGCAGGCTCGCCCTCAGAAGTCTTCTTTTTCTCAGAGGAAGTTCCCAAGTGGTCAGCAACATCTACCATCTCCTTCGTCAGTACTTGTTGCTCCACCTCTCCTTCTTTCATCAACGTCGTCTCATGCTGCTCCAATTGCTGCTGTTGTGTGTAAGAAGATGGGCTAGAAGATGTAGATGTCAACATCTTGTCCTGCTTGGGAGGACCAGAGGACACACCAGAAGATTTGACACCGGGTGACCCATCAATTGACGATGTTGATGCAGCATCCACCACTCTACTGTTCTCCTTCTCTAATGGCTGCTTCTTGTTCTTCTGCTCAGTTTTATTAGAGGTAGGCTCGTGGTGCTCGCTTACCCCGCTTGTTATGCCTTTCTCCCTTAGGAGAGGCATAAAAAGCGGCAAGAAAAGCACCTCTAGCCTACTCTTAATTTTAGAAGAAGAAGGCGCGATAGCGTGAGCCGCGTCACTGTTCTTAGAAGCGCGAATCTTGTTCTCAGAAGAGACCACATCCTCAGAAGAGATCTGAAGTTTATTGTTCTCCAGAAACATTGAATTTTCTTCTAACGTCGCTGCATTTTGCTCTGATACTGAAGATGAAGTAGACTCCGTTGTAGTTGGAGGAGTGGCGGACGTACTACTCTTCTGCCCCTTCGGTTGCTCCACACTTTTGTCTTTTTTAGAGGTCTCGCGCTCGGTCCTAAGCATTCGCTTCCTCTGTGCTGGAGCCGCTTCCTTCACTGGCTTCTCCTGGTGGTTTAGTTAGTCGAGGTAAAGTTGTACTGAGATCGCCTATGGCTGAAATTTTTCAATCAATGTGCTATTTCAATTATTCTAAGAAAGGGAACATGTGACGTTGACGAGATTCTGCCCTTGCCTATGCCCTCGTTCTCTCTATCTGTCTCTATGTATTCATCTGAGTCTAATTCAACTGCGAGGAGCTACATCAAACCTCTACTTCGAGTATACGGTTGTATAGTACCTGATCATTTGTATCTTCTACATCGACAGCACTGAGTTCTACTTTCACGACTCCTGCTCCGCTTCCTCGGTCTCCACGACTGACTGCCCCGACAAACCATGTTGTGCTTGTACTTGCGACACCCCAGCCCAATACCACACGGTTACTCCGCCCTGTGCACCTGCACCCCCGTAAGGTTGAAGGCTTCCTCATTTTTGTTGTCCTTATCCTTATCTTGTACTGTTCGAAGTAGAGCTAGGCAATGAATTCCACCTGTAGAATCAAAATAAGAAATCGATTCAGCGATCGCTAGTTCTGGATCCACCTTTCGTTCATGAATCATTTGTTCTCAGCGAACTTTAGCGAGTACAACGTTGGACAGGTGTTGATATTCAGGTACGCGGGACATGGGATGAATGGGCGGAGGGGTTGTTGAACAAGTGAACCTACTTTTTTTAGTTGTGCCACGAGTTTTTAGACCACGGAGATCTTTTTGTTGTGGCGGGTACAGATTGCTGCGACTGCTGCAAATGGCGAGACCGATGAATGACAGCTTCCACCGAAATCATATCTACTGTGCATGCAGGAATGCACCCTTTTACTACAGGAGGTTATGTTGAAGTTCAACATCTTTCATGTACTTAGTATGTTGCCGATTCACTTTAATGTAGTTCTAGTTGTATTAAGTCGGAACAAGCCATAACCGCTTTACCGAGAACAAAGAGACGTTGTCATTGGCCAAAAATTCACTTGTCATTGGCCTTCTGATAGCGCTTCGTTAATCCTTTGCTGATGAATCATGACAGCTTCCACCGAAATCATATCGTTATCCGATCTCCACGCTTCTACTTACCTTGAAGTAGATCAACCGAACTTTGCCTCTTCTTTCTTGTTTCCGATTTGCTGTAGTTTTTCCCCCGTCGTGATTTTCCTTTCAATGTCTACTTTCACGTCTGTCCTGGTGCCAGTTCGACTTGATTTTACTCCAAACACGGTGACAAGATCACCTGTTCGTGATTGCTCAGAGGGAAGTCTCTGCTTGTTGCATCACACATCAGTAGTCCTAATCTTTTGTTCATGCAGAAATTGGCTTGATATACGGATCGTGTTGAATGTTTCATGAATGTTGATGCCTGTCCCTGTTCTAAATCTTAATCATGGTTGAAAAACAAAAAATGGTACATCCATATCAGAATTCTCAGTTACAACTGCATTGAAGACACGACGGCAGTTTTTCGCTCAAGAGTTTAAGAATGATGCAAAGACACGACAAGACAAAGATCAACAACGACATGTAAGAAACACAAACAAGAGTGCCGACTGGTACTAACTTACTCGTCTTCATTCCGGGAATCCAGCCTATGCCAAAATGCAATTATCCTCTTCCTCGGAAATCAGAATGCAATCTAAAAACAAAAGGAGTCGAGAACCTTATAACTCGCGACCTAGTTGTAGGATTTGTAGAAATTTGGATAAGCGTAGCGTCATTAGATATTCTTTCATAGAGTCACAGAACGGAGAAACCGTTCAGCGATGGACGCTGTTGTTCCGAGACCTGCTCAAAGAGCACCAATATCTGCAGAAGAACTGCTTCCTCTACCAGTTGGCTTTCCTTTTCGTCCTCCGACAAAGGAATCTGTTCACTGTGAAGGCAGTCTGCCTCGAAGAGGTGTCGCGAATGATTTTGATTAGAGCGCGTGCCAAGATTAGCAACTTTGCGATTTATTTTGCAGCTCCCTAACATGTTATTTCACCTAGTAGTAAAATTTCGTTACAGAAATGTCTTGAAGGGAAACTAGCTGACATACTGTTGGAGCTGTTTTGCTTTTGTCTCGCCGTTAGGTCCGCCGTGCTAAACGGGACAACATGATCATGAATTAGGCCCCTGCCTTAAGATGATCCTCGCGATACAACTGAGCTGGCACCGGATGAACTCATAGAAGGAGTCGTGCCTGAACGTGAACTTCCTCTTGTGCCTAATCCCGATGTTGATCGGAGTGAAGTAGACTCTGTACTACCTCCTCTAGATATAAGTAGTTGCTCTTGCTGTCCGGTCAAAGCAGATGAACGAGACAACAAAGAAGATGTTGAGCTAGCAGTGCTAGTGCTAGTGGTCCTCCAATCATCTTCTAATCCGGATCCTCCTTGTGCGACAAACCCCGCATCTTGAATTATCCCCGCCTCCACATGTGGCATCATGGTCGCCCTAGATCTGAATGGTCCAGCTGCGGCTGCTGCAGACGCAGTGGAAGCAGCGTCCTCATCATCTTGATGTTGTGCTATCGCTACTTAGAGGTCGTCGAGAGGGGCGCTTATTGTTATTCCTAGTAGAAGTAGACCAAGATTCATAGATCAAGTTGTGACTGTGTGTGTGACTCGAGTAAAAAACAGAAGCATGCGGCCTTAAGGATTAGTACTATACCGCGGCAAGCTATCAGTTCTACTCACTCGCCGTGTCCTAGGGTGTGCTCGTGCTGCTCCTCCTTCCGCTCCTGCAAATACAGTTGATGATAGATCATGCACTGTTCGTCCTAATGCACCACGGTATTGGACTTCGCTAATTCCTTCTACGATTTATTACTAGCCTACGTAGTACGTACCCTCCCTTCTAAAGTATACTGCTCCACGTACACGTACCCTCTTCTATTTAGTTTTAGTTACTGCTCCTAATCCCTCCCAACTAAAACTATCCAATTCCACGCAACATAAGAATTGAGTTATTGAAAAATCCGATTCAAAGCCAAAGCGAAAAGAACCTCTCCTGGCAGCTCCACCTGCTCTACCAGCACGACCTCTCCCTTCACGCCTTGAGTTCCGTCTCTTTGCAATGTCCATGGTATGCTTGCCCGCCAGCTCCTTGATATATTTCCACACCAGAAAAGGACTGAGAAAAGATATAACAGTCAAAATGCGTCCCGCGCGTTCAACACTTTGATTCGACACCTGTTGACTTTGGAGGTAGGGATTAGATGGAGAGGACCTCGTGAAGAAGATGGCTTTGCCCAAAGTAAAAGTTACATAAGTACTTGTAAATACGATTCGCTACGCAAAAACAAAGCAGTTGTGGACCTGGACTTTAGAGGACTTTAGAGGACTTCCGCACTCTGAGGACTTATCTATGATCACGCTTTTCCCCCTAATCAATGTCGACGGAATCTTTTCCATTTGCAGCTCTATTTGGTTTTGGAATTTGAATAACTGTCGTGATAATCTTCAGCGACATAAGTGCAACCCCCAAGTGATGATCTGCAGACGTGATTGAGTTTGCAGAAAGGTAATGATCGGAGTGATATTTCTTCGCTGCTAGACCCCCGATTATGTCTCGGAATCTTGAGGACAATGAGGGAGCTCCTCTGCTTGATGTGCTGGCATCCTCACACGGAGGTGAACGTGAAAGAGCAGCTCTTCCACTTGCTCTACCTGGCGTCGTTCTCTGACTTTCGCCTTCTTCGCAAGCACGTGCAGCTTCAGCACTCGCCTCCACGACATCCTCTCCAGCTGTACTAAGAGTGCTTGGCTTTTCTTGGCCGCCTTCGAGGTCACTTATTTTCGAGTTCCTTCGAAAGAAGAGCCTATTTTTGGCAGCAACACGCGTCATTTTTTCTTTTTGTACTATTAGAAAAATACTTAAATAGAAGTCCACCTCCACGACCTCCACGAAAGAAAAGACGACCTTACAATTGTTAGGTGGATCGATCTCGATGCACCACATGCACTTTCTCAGCAAGAAGATGTTAAAGATGAACCATTTTCCAGTTTTCCTAGCAATGATCGGTCAGATCTCATGTTGGTTCTTACAGAGCAACCTGTTAAGAGCACAGATGATGAACGCCGCCGCGGGATCTACAAGTAGGATCAAGAACACGCCAACGCGCATACGCGTCGTTACTGGAAGGATGAAATTAAAGACGGCCCACAGTCAGAAGAGACTGCTCACAGTCAGAAAATGTCCTTTTTTAGATTCATCCATTTCCCTATTTTAATGTACAACAGATTGAGTTTCAGTTTGTGCCTGAATGATAATCATCACCGTGGTACAGTAGCATTTTAGTCGGACTTTATTTTTCAGTCGTATTGCAAGGATAGATACATTCTTCGTCAACATAGCATGTACCTGATCATAGGATGCAGTGTCTTGTTCAAGGCTAACAGCGGTAACTCGTGGCTCCACCATATCAATCAATATTCTAGGTCACGTTAGGTGTGGGCCCACTAGGAAAACTAGCGGACGTAATTGGCTACTGAAGAGCCAACGAACAAGACTGCGACCTAGAGCTGGTGACGCTACGCTATGTTCTAGTTTGTAAGCTACACTAGACCGATCACTGCCAAGCATCTTCAAGTTGTTCATTCTTTTGTATGCAACAAGTTGGACCCTTCAAACTCGGATTGTTCGAACGAAAGACTTCATAATTGAGTGTGCGCCTTGTTCTCCTTGTTCCAGTTCGTCTCTATGCACACCAAGATAAGCAGATTTGCGAACGCTCAGCTGTATAGAGAAGACAATACTTCATCATTTGAAAACAACATCTTTTTGACTAGCTGGCAAACTCTTCTCTACAGGTCTTAATATTCTTTGTACACCGTAGTTGTAACTAAAACCAAATAATACATTCATGGAATATCGTGGTCGTGCTTATCAATCTCTTCTACACGAACATGAACATCGTTCGTTACTAGTAGGTACTGCTGCAAATCTACTGCGTCTGACAACATCACTGACTGAATATGTGATCATGTTTAGTTTTCCAATTTCAACTAACTAATTACCCTTTTTACTTACCGGAACATTTACATGATAAATATGTTGAGCTTTGATCATCGATGTGCTTCCATTTGAGTTCTTCAAATTCAATATGATGTGAATATTTTCAAATTTTCAAGTCAAGAAATTCAGATTTTGTTACTACAAGTACAACAAGAATATTAAATGTCAATTTTTACATTTTTATGGCTCTTTCATGAGTAATAGTCGTAGTGAGTCGTGCTAAATATTCGTGCGAGAAATAACGTACACGCCTCTTCACATCATCGGGCGATCAACTGTTTCTTAGCGTTAACAACTACAGTTACAGAGTCTCATCGTGATAGATTATATTCGATTATGAGCAATTATTTATATGTTTATGATGTCTATCCTTTTCCTTTTCTACTACGAAGTCAAATATGTGGGCAACTTTTTCGAAGCTATTTTGCTTTGTCCGTGTGCTTAAGGTTCTGCTAATATGTAAGTCAGTGAGTATGTTGAGGTTGTGCTCTACGTCGGTCTATCTCCTCGATGATCAAAACATGTAGTACCTACGACAACATAGTGATCTTATCGCCTGACTGACTAATCTCTATATACAACGAACCTTTGCGTACTAGCAGTAATAATTAACACGCGTAGGTATAAATACGAATGAGCACTACGACCTTTCTATTATTTAATGACATTTCATATCCAAAATTGATAAATTACTATGAATGCATGCATGATTTCAAGATCTTGATGTTCTTATCCTCTACAAGGAATAGTACCGACAACGAACCCGAAACTGAGAGTGCTTGGAGTAACGTTTTTTGCTTTCATTGTGCCACAATACAAGACACTCGACACCTCTGTGCATATCATGCTTTTCTGTACAACGAACGACCTTCTAATGAATTCATCTTGCAACTACCAACGTCCAAATCATGCGATTGATTAGTACAGCCACTGTAGTCACTATTACGATGTTTCTACCTATTAATCAATGGGCTACTGCAGTTATAATGACGTTCCTACAACCTGTCCATCCAGTTATTAAATAATGAATGAATTAAGAATTCTATAGTTCCACCAAATCCAAATAATTCTCTTCCAAATTCCAAGTCCATCATCCAAAACCTCTTAGAGGGGCAGCAAATTTCCCACCTCCGCGTCCGCCGGGTCTTTCCCATGTAGACCACACTTTAGAGCCTGATGGATGGTCATGTCGAAATATTCTTGAAACGTCTTGATTATGTCATAAGCTTTGAACTTGAAGCAGAGAGAACACGAAGGAAGAATGCTCGATGCAAATTCAATAACGAGCTTCAGAGACCTTCCTTGTGTGCAAGATCAAGAAAGACTTTCTACATAGTGTTAGTAGTAGTAGTAGCGTACCCAGTCAAGGGGTATAATAGAGCAGATGCTAACTCATGCATCAATTTTCTTCCCTTTGCACTTCGCCAGATGCAGATGGGGTCTGTAACAATCCATTAGTAGTAGTAGTAGTAGTACTAGTACTACTAGTATCCGTCCTCCAGGACTTCATAAAATTCTTTGTCCAGCTTCTTTGGCTCCCTCCACTTGTTCCTGGATACGTGCGAAACGCAGAAAGACTTGCTCCAGCGTTGGTTGCCCCAATGCAAACTCGGATATTTGCTTGTTTTTCTCGGATCCGTGATCTTAGAGAGAAATGAAAAAAAAAAACCGAGATGAAGATGTCCTCTCGTCGGATAGAGTAGTAGTTGTAGAGGACATGGACATGATAGAGTAGAGTAGTAGTAGGACATCTTCCCACTACTACTATATCATGTCGTCCTCTACTACTATATCATGTCCTCTACTACTATATAGATGAGGATAGAGTAGTAGTAGAGGACATGGACATGATATAATAATTATGACAGTAGTCCGACATGATATTATGACAAAAAATAATAAGTTCGACTAGGCAGGAGCCACTCGCCTTAGTACCCTTTAAAAATTGCAGTGAGGAAGCACGAAGCATCAAAGGAACTTACTCCTATGGTCGTCCCTTCACCTAGTTCTTACACTTACTTCAATGTTACTTAGCAGAATCCCACCAGCACGACCAGTAGCAGCACGAGCACACGGAGGTGGTGGTGGAGGACTATCTCGTTCTTCACTAATTAAGAATTACTAGGGAATCACTCTCAGTCCTTTCTTTCATAAATGCACCAGCGGAAGATCGGTGCAAGCGGCATCGAATTCTGGCTTGGGTGGAGTTCGAAGGTCAGTCGCGAGCTCGTTTTCGACAGCGACAATTGTTCTAGTAGTACAACATCAGCTTGAGCAAGGCCGACGCCGCTGCACAGCGAGGTCTTTATCGTGTTGGCAATAGCAGTAATTTTCTCCTCAGAACCTTTCTCCGCAACTACGGTCTGTTGATTTTTGTATTGGGCAAAAATGGTTAAAATTCATGGCAAATCTATCAATGTGTCTTCGAGTAGAATTAACTCCATTCATTCGAATCACGTAGCAGCTACGAGTTGTAACAACTGCCTCCTTTCGTTGTGACCCGAATAGAGACACGGCGGTTAGTACAAAAGACCGACTGCTTAACGACGTGACGAGTAGCGTCTCTGGCAGCCTCAATAGACCGACTGTTCCTTTTCTTCTTGCTTTCTGTCTTTTCCTTCTTTATTCAGTTTACTTTTCTAATCTACTAACTTACCCATTCCCATCCTATGTAATGTCCTTCGTTCCTTCTATGCATGGGCACTGCTGTTTTACGTTGGCCTTTTTAGAAGTAAGACAAGTCGCGAGTAACGTCTCTGGCAATATCCTGCTTTACTACTAGTTGCAACAAGTTATAGATAAATCCATAGAGCATCATCTTCGTAGCCATCTCTACTCTTCATGCGACGTCCAGAGCTGATGACAACTTGAAGGTTAGGTTAGGTTATGGATCCTTCACAACGAGCCCCACAGGCACCTGCTGCTCGCCTCCGAGGATGATGGGTGTAAAAAGCACACAAAATGTGAATCCTTGTCTGCTTCCATGTGTAGTTCATCATGATCATGTGAATGTAGAAAAATCTGAGTATTACGTTGCGTGACTTCCTGGACCGTCGCATCGCTGTGACTACAGAATGCGCCTCATCACCGACCTCTTCATGCTCCTGGGAAGAGCCTGTTTGTTATTGTTTGTTGAGTTATAATTTAAATTTAGAAGCATTGGTAATATATTTTCTCAGTACTATCATTCGTTCAAGAGATGCATATAGGAGTACAACGCGACACAGGTGCCAGGCTGTAATGGTATCATCTTTTACCACGGGTGTAGTAGTACATGTAGAGGTCAACACCATTTACAATTAGTCAACATTATCTTCAGTACACTTCTTTTACCTGAGTCTGTTAGTACTGTTTCTCTATTCAAAAGCAGTAGTAAGTACTTTCCACAGGTACGACGAGTTCGAGATGATAACCAGAACCGTATTTGCGTTTGATGTCCTCTGTCTGGCCAAGGCACTCGATCCGCCCACGAACCAAAATCCCAACACGATCGCAGGTCGCATCAGCCTCCATCATCGAAAGAATGAAAGAAGATGAGGAATTTTTGCCTGAAATCGAAAAAGCTTCTTCTACACTGGTGGTGGTTATTTTGCCAGGAACACCTGAGTAGAGGTTGCACTCATTCAGACACTCACCATACCGACGTTCTAAAAAGCGTGACTCTGACTATGAAGTTGAACTGAAGATGTAAATGTATCTATCTCTATGTATGTTGATATTTGTGTCTACTCGATCCTGATCAGGAGATGCAACAGGAGCGAAGGTCTATCTCTATGTTGACAGATATTCGTGGGGTCGGTGTGATACAACAGCGAGGGCGATGAAGGTCTATCTCTATGTTGACAGATATTCGTGGGGTCAGTGTGATACAACAGGAGCGAATGTGTATCCCTATGGTGATAGATATTCGTGGTGTCAGTCTACAGTGTCTCCACCCTGTGGTCCATAAAGTGTGTAGTGGTGATAATCGTTTGTCCCGCTGGGCGGTGAATCAGCTTATTCCACAGAAAGCGCTGTGCTCCAAGATCAACTCCTGCTGACATCTCATCCAGATAAACAATCTCTGGCTCCGTTATCTGTAGTTGGTGGTGAATCATTAATACAAAACAATCGCTGGCTCCCTACTTACCTGTAGAAGTTAGTATTATTCAACAACAACACTTGCTCTCGTTTCGTGCTCTCATACGAGCCTTGTTCGACAAGGGTATAATTAAGTGGAGCTGGAGGGGTATTATATTCTTATTAAGTAGTATGTATGTAAATGTATGCATCTTCGTCCCTGATAGCGCCGCTCCTAGTGCCCGTAGAGATAAGCTCTGATAGTGAAGAACATGACCAAAACCAATTGACGGACAAGAGTATCATATTCTTACTAAGTTGTACCATTGTAATCGCAACCGAAAGCTTTCGCTTCATTCCTCCAGAATACGTGTCTGTGGGCATGTTCGCGTCCTTCATCGAAAGCGAAACATCGCGTAACGTCCGAGCTTTTCTTAGAGAATACAGGTGGATTTACTGTCTTCCTGCTTGTACTGTCTTCTGTTTCTTTCGGATCAATCTCTATGTGCTGGTTCGCGGCGAAGTTTTCGTCCATGGGACGCCTCCGTTGAATCATAACAAAATCCATTACTGATTCAAGTTCAAGGGCCTCGATCGCGTGAGGGAAGATGCCATTTTTTTTTTTTCCCATAGGACTACATGCCACCTCCCATTCAACTACTTAAACAATCCATTTACAAAACTTACATACCGGGGGAGCAAGAAAACCGTATCACAACGGCCAAAGACTACGACTATCGGAGGGAACTATATTACAATAGCCCCTGTAGAACAACTAAGGCACAGCCTAACAGTGTAGGGCCCTGAAAGCAAGTGTTACAACCTGCAAGGGTATGACATGCCTGCCCATCGAAAAATGACTTACTGGAGAAGAGCCTAAACAACCAGGAGATTAAATAATTAACAAGGCTATCAACAGCGAAGATCATGTGAGCAGGCCTCACTAAGACTAATTTTTCTTTCAGTAAAAACTTAATTAAAGCCATTGGACTAGAAGCCATTGATTTTTATGGACTAGGAGACGGAAGCATCTAGTTACAATTGCATACATATGTAACGTATACCAGAGTAGTTTATAGCACGCGGGGGGCATGGAGTAGCATGGAGCGCAGAGCTTTAAGGGGCGCAAGAAGCTCCCCCTTTAGCTCCATGCTACTCCATGCGATCCATGCACTCCATGCCATGCGAGCTGTGAAACCTCATAAATTGCTCTGGTATACATAGGCGCCAAAAGATACCTCCAGAACAGGTAAATGTGAATGTAACTTGATATCCAAAAGATACCTCCAGAACAGGTAAATGTGAATGTAACTTAATATGTAACGTCATTCATTCATGAAACGTAGGAGAAGAGCCGTAAAATCAGTTCCTCTCCGAAGTCCTTCTTATGAGGAGCTCCCAGAAGCCTCTCCTCCTCCCCAACCGGCGACCCAGGGTTGCTCTCGTCTTCAGTAGGCGGATAGTAGGTTCCTGCAATTCTGGCGCAACTTAGAAGATGACAGTTCTACTACTTCTAGTTGTACTTCTAGTTGTGCTTCTAGTTGTACTTATCTAGTTGCACTTATCTAGTTGTACTTCTAGTTGTACTTCTAGTTGTACTTCTAGTTGTGCTTCTAGTTGTACTTCTAGTTGTACTTCTAGTTGTGCTTCTAGTTCTTCTACTCCTAATCCTATACGTGTTCCTTCTAAATCTAAAAAGTGTGCTGAGTGTGCCTGAACAAGAAGCGCATCTTTGTTAACCAGTGAGGTGTATCTCCGTGGAAGAATGACAACTACAGAAGTGTTTCTCCTCCTTGTGTCAAAGATGCAACTACTTACACAGGAGACATGGACTCTTCTTAAACTTAAGAGGTCGATGAAAATATCGATAGAAAAATCTTCTTAGACTTAAGAGATCGATACATTTGAACTTCAAAGATGTCGTTTTGTGGTACCTACTGGTACAAATAAGCGCAAGAACAAGGAGCCTTAAGTAAAAACGCAGGTGCTCGAGACCCGTGACCTTGGGCCACAGCTTGTCGAACTGTGGCGCCAGCCCCGTGATGGTATACGCAGAGGTAAAATTGTCCGCGTAGCAGTCCTCTCCTTTGATCAGAATTCTGCCAGAGGAAACACCCCCGACCTCAGAGTTGCCGGTGATCAAGGTGGTTAGAAATCAAATGTTTACTACACGACTCACGACTTAAAGTACCTAGTACAGAATTACTTAGTTAGTACAGTTGTAAAAAATCGATTCATATTTACCTGATGAAGCTCGCCTCCGACTCCGAGCAGAAGGAAATAAGAAGCTGCTAATGCAACGGTAAGAACACTGAAGCTACTTACTTTCTTATTCATGTTGAGAACGATAGAATAATCGTTCTGAAGAAAGATGTAGAAGTTGACTATGGTATATGTATAAGCGTCTGCTTCATGATGTATCAAGATAGAACAAACTGAAAAAATAACTCATCAACATCACATGTATCAAACAATAAAACTTTTAATTTCATGAAAACTGTCGGACCACAAGAACACAGGGCTCCGCGCCTTGGTTCGTTTCTCAGTGGAAACACAAAGTCAGGGTCTTGAATGCAGGCAAATCTTGATACTCCTGCCTGGGACTTGTGATCTCTGGCTGGTGTAGTCCCTGTTTGGTTCATTGGGTGAGATGAATCATACATCAGCAGCATAAGCATGCCAGAAGGGATCGGACTGAACATGCACCATATGACTAGGATCAGCACAACCGTACCTAGTCTACACCTTGATCATTATGATTATGCATTGAATGCGCATTGGAAGTAGCATTCATGATCATCGACATTCATGCCTTGTGAGATCATCCCGATGACAGTCGAGCGCGAGGCTTTGTGTGAGCCACTGAGAACAGAACGCCACGACATCCGAGAGGCTTGAACCATACATGACCAACGCCCCTCCTCAATCGATGCGGGTTGAAGTCCGTCCCACGTGACCGCCTCACTGTGTGTTGAGTCACGGCAATCACGTCTCTTGCTTAGTGTATGTGACCTGGCTAAGGTGGTTTAGAAACCAAAATAGTTCGAATACATTACGCTCTAGTAAGCTAAATCGTCCTCATCTGGTTCATCATCAGAGGAATCGCAGTCATCTTCTCTACTTGTAGTTCTCGGGTTATCTACGTGGTGTAGTATGAGTCTACGCTGAGTGGCACTGCAGTTTAGTTTCGAAAGTGGGTCCGCCTTCATCAGATTGGTAGGACAGAAAACGATCTTACTAGCATAACGCCAGTAGGTAACGTAAAGCATAGTGTCTACTTTTAGGGCGAGCGTCTGTTGCTTTGGCTGTTGTGGTCGCAGACTGGTTGTCTATCCACAATGCAGCATTGTCTAAGGAGGGAGACAAGCCGTTCTGTGTGTGTACCAACTGGGTTGGAGGAGGCTTATAGAAGTCCGTGAAGTCATGCATCTCACTGAGCGCTATCGTGTCAGAAGTTGGAGACCACCGCGCCCGACAATCACCAGTGGCGGAAAATCTTGGCGAAAAGTTGCCGAGGCTCACGCGCGCGGCCCTTGTCCTTGTCTCATTAAAACGAAGCCCAAAGGAGCTCCGAAAACGAAACCGACACAACCCACACACAGACAGGCCAACCACTGCGCCGAGAGCATCACAAGCCGGCGAACCAGTCCGCGGCGCAGCCTCGCGCCAAATTCTCAAACGAATGCACAACGCCAGAGGCCTCCCAAGCCTGGAGAGAAGAACAGAGAAACCACAAAAACCACAGACAACAAGCGCGGAGCCTTGTGCGGTTTCGTTGCAAGCTGTTGCGAGTTTGTTCTCAGCGATCCATTTCCATGTCTTCATCAAAAAAACATGGAAGACGAAAGCTTCAAAATCTTCGCGGAATGTTTGCGGAAAGTTTGCAAGTTTTGGCAATGTTGGAACTTCATGCGCTTATCTTTTCGGAAAGATTCCGCAAAGATTCTTTTGAAAGATTTCGCAAACTTTTCGCCAAGATTTTTTTTTTTCATATAGAAAAAAAAACGAAGAGCCACCCCAGGCGTGCAAGCGCAGAAAGATGGCCAACGCCGCCCCGTTTTGCCACTGCTTCCCCGCCCGCGTTTCCCGCGTCCTCCGCCCGGGTTCTCTACACCTCGAGGAGCTTTCACAGGCGTGCTTCGGCTGTATTCCAAGCAGCGCCGACGCCAATGACGTGCGGGCGGTCCGCACTCACCTGGCGCCGGGGCTGTCAACAACAGAGAAACACAACACAAAGACAAAGCACCCGAGGCCACGCCGCCGCCTTTTCCATACTCGAAAAGACGGAGGCAACGAAGACCAACCCGGGCAACTTTTCGCGAAGATCTCGCGGCCTTGTTTCACATCGACGCGGTGGTCTCCAACAGAAGCTGCAATATACTCACTCTCAGCCGTTGAGTAGGCTCTCGCCGTTTGTCGGTTACTCCTCCACGCTATGGGTGTACCTTTGTAATACATTATGGAGCCACTTGTGCTTCTCATTGTTTTGATGCAGTTGGCGAAACCAGCATCACTGAATATGTTTACTTCTGGCATGTCTCTGCCTTCTGGTAGAAGTTTCTCGTGTATTTTGTTGAATTCTTCTTCCTTTTCTGGTGAGTATTCTACTCCTTGGCCTTTTGTTGACACCAGGCATTTTAGGACTTTCTTGGCTGCTTTGGCCATTCTTGTTGACGTGGGTTTACTGACATGTAATCCGGTGCGCGGTTACAGAGATACCCGGGCGCGCGGTTACAGCTACCCATAGAAAGGCACCAACTACCTCACGAAAGGGATACCCATCAACTATCTTGATCCCGTCTTCAAGAAAAGTTGTTTCGTCAAAATTGGGCGAGTAAACCGGTTTCCCTAGTTGAGCTTCATACTTCTTAGGTTAGCAATTTTATCGATGTGCTGCTCCATGCACAGTCTGAACGACTTAGCTTCACAGCCATAGTACACGATCGCACCTAAGAAGTCGAACTTTAGCCATTCGAGACCCCAGGGGGTTAGAATTGACTCGACTTCAATCGCACGGCCTGGAGCACGTGTGAAAATGAGGACTAGTTCGGTCATGAGCTCATCTTGGTCAGGACCTGTAGCAAGATTGTCATCTACATAGACAGACATCTTCAGGAACTTCCCCGGTGCTTTGCTGCTCGGTTTGCGCCACAATCCAGGCGCAGAAGTACACGGCTCCCAACCAAGACTGGCTAGAGTCTCGCGATACCTCTTGAACCATGCTCGTGGTGCGTCCTTCAAGCCGTATAGAGCTTTCTTGAGCTTCACGATCTCGCATCCATGCTGTTTCACCCAGATGGGTGGAAGACGGCAGTAGACATCTCGATCGAGTTCGGCACTGAGGAGCGCTGAATCTAAATCGAACGGGATCACGTAGTCCCCCTCTGACGCAGCAGAAGCGAGGAGCAACCTAGTAGCGGCATGTGATACCACGGGAGCAAAGGTGTTTAGCTCTCCCGAACGATCTAAATTACCGAGTACACAGGCTCTTGCCTTGTATTTTCCACATCTCTTTCTTGTTAGTATGATGGCAATTGGTAGAGCCCGCGACGCGGTTGCTAGCTGCTCGCCAGTAGCTTCTTCCCACGTTTTAAAGGCTAGTAGTCTCGCATGCTCAATGTCAATGACTTCCTTCCACTTTTCAGCTTCAGGACTCTTTAATGCATTGGCAACGGACAGCATCACATGTGATTCGACGATTTCCTCGTCTTCGTCTATCTCACACGTGCCCCCAATAGCACTTGCGAACAGCGCCAGACTCTTTCTGAGTTCTTCCATCTGTTTCTTTGTTCTACGAACCTTCCTCCGGCCTTGTCCTTGGCTCCTTTCAGTCGGCCACGCTTCTTGCCGTGTGTATGGCGTTCGCCTGCCACAACACGTGCGGGAGATAGCGCTTTCGATCTAGTCGGACTAGGTGAGTCAGAGACTCGATCCTTCGTTTCAGCTTTCCCCTCCTCAAGTGAAACACCTTCAGAAGAGTCAGCCGCGTCGGATTCGCCCCCCTTCTTGTCTAAGGTTTCAGCATATAGTTCTTCGGGAATGCCGGCCGGTCCACCTGAGGCGCGCTCCGTGCCAGAGAACCCCGATTGCTGACCCAGCCTTTGCACTGACTGCCCAATCAAGGGGGAGCCCAGCGACGACGCTCCACGCTGCAAGTTTTCCAGTTCATCGCACTCATAGTAAAAGCCCTTTCTATCTGGCGTTAGCCAGTCTATGTCCTTTATTAGATAATCCTCTCTGAACTTGACATCTAGGGTAGAGCATTCCGCCCATCGATTTCGATATCCAAGCTTGCAACGATCGTCATGAGCGAAAGTAGCAACCAACCAACCAGATGACTCCGGACAGAGTCCAAGGAAGACGCCACGGCGGTATTTGGCCGAGAGCTTGGGTTGAGGAGTGTTGGCTTGAATTTGTTCACGAAAGTAAACAAGACAACCAAATCGGCGGAGCATGCCGATTTTGCTTCTGGAAGAATTTCTACCAGTTCTTTCTTCTAGAATCTCTATTGGACTCTTTCCATCGTGTTCTGGCATTTTAGCGCAATTATGCGGAAGACGATCCCAGCAGTCACTAGCGTACTCAACACAGTAACACCAAAGGCGTCGATCAACCTTCGTTAGCATTGTTCGCACGCTGCCAAACAAGGTCCGCATAAAACGTTCAACAATCCCACTCATTTCCAGACTATAAGGAACAGCCAGACTGTCTGAGACCCGCAGCGATTGCATGAGTTTGGTCATGTCATCACTACCGAGGACTGGTTCTCCATCCCTCCGGATGAACCATACTACCTTGTCATCTAGCGATAAGGAGTAGTCCTGTCGAATGCCTTTTATGACTTGTTCTATTTCCTCCACGCAGTCACTTTTAAGCTTCAGCGGTCGACCAAGCGCCTTCTTAATTACGTCACATATGACAACTAGAACACATCTCAATCATAGATCTTACTGAGACAGGTTTTATTCCTACGGCAAAGTCTATTGCAAGTAGTTTGAGGGGTTCAGGTTTGTAGGTAGTCACGTCTCTAGATTTTGCGTGGGGTTTTCGTTGTCCTTTGTGTAGGTCACATTCTGGGCAACTAACTTGTAGACCATCTACGTGAAAGTGGCCACATCTCCTGTGTAGTTCTAATCTCGTAAGATAGCAACTAGAGACGCCTTCTTCTATGGATGTACAAGTGAAGCCACTTTCATGTTTGTTCTCAAAGAAACTGCACGCGAGTGCGGGCAACTGCAAGCGTGGGTGAGCTCTGATGGGTAGCATCTGGCCGGTGTCCGTGTGCACGATACAACCACCAGTGCCTTTGAAGTTGAACTCCCACCCTAATTGCGAGCAGTTTCCGTCTCCTAACCATGGTAATGCGCGATCTATGTTTCCAGGTAGAGAATCATAGTAAACTCCGCTCTTTATTCCAAGTGCGTTGTTCTTGAGTTTTCCGACTTTTCCGCCCTTAGTGCCTGCGCTACCTGTTATTCTACAAATGTTTTTACCAATTTCATCGAAATCATCTCCGTGCCGTGAAAGATATTTGTTTGCACAGCTATCAACTGGCGTTGCGTCTTCTGATGTTCTAGTATTCAAGGTTGTGAAACTATATCCATCTGCGTTGTAGCTATCAGCATGATTAACAACATTTGTCATTATTTCATCTTCCTCGAAATTCAGCGAGCACTTCCCAAATTCGTACGGTTCCGTCGCTCAGCTTCGATTGTGCGAGTTCATGATGTTGAGCATCTCCGCAACCTGCGACATGTGGATCATGCCACTGCTATTACCCTTTCCACCTTTGCCTCTAGAACTACTAGATGAGGCTCCGGCAGTCCAACTTCCCTGTCCCTGTTGAAGGGCTTGTGTGTTATGCCAGCACTCAGAGGACTTGCGTCCGACCTTGTGGCAGCAAGCACAGCGGGGTGGATAGGTATTCTTTCCTTTTCCTTTATCTTTCTTCGGCTTTTGTCCGCCGTTCTTTCCTCCTTTGGGTTGGTACCCGTAGGAGTTGTAGACCTCGGCGATTGCCTTCTTCTTTTCTTTCTGCTTGAAACGCTTGAGGGCGTTGGCGGAAATGAAGGTCTTACCATCTGCCTTATTGGCCTCTACCTCGTCATCATCCTGTCCTCATTCTTGTCATCACGAGGACGCTTGTTCGAGGTTTCCTGAACATTGACCGGAAACGCTTTCCCGAAGGAGTCGTTCTCAATTTTGTAGGTTCCCTCCTCGATCAACGTTGTAAGAAAAGACGTTTCTCAAGTCGGTCTCCAATTTGGTCAAATGTCGGGCCATCTTCTTCTTGCATCCGCTCGATGGTCGCTCTGAAGTTCTTGCAGAACAACTCGGGCAACTTCAGCAGGATCGCTCCGCTCTGTTGATCAGCTTCGGGTAGATCTGCATCCGGCGGGAAGACGGTGGGCGATTGGTTCATGATGTCGCGGATCTTTGAGAGGAACTCCTTGACATCTGCAGGCTGGTCGCTGTTGTGGAACTTCGTCAGTCCCTCCGACAACGGCTTGACCTTCATGCGCTGCTCCTGGCGATTGTTCGCGTTGAAGTTCCCTTGTTCACGAAGTAGAACAACAACTTCACCAGCGTCCATTTCGTCCACCGCGCCATCGTTGTTCCGATTGTCGACGAACGACTTGGCCGCACCTTTCAGACTTCGCATGATTACGTCTTTCAGGTTGCGCCACTTCTGGCGGGTCGCGTCTTCGCGACTGGTATTACCTTGCGGCGCACCATGTGGAACGGCCGGCACGTTGACTACATTCGTGTAGTTCTCAAGTAAGCCTAGGCGACTAGCTTCTTGACGTACGGCTCGCTGCCACTCGCGCCAGTCGGACTTCTGTCCCAGCTTCTTGAGGATCTCCTTGGCCTCGCAGGACATTTTGATGGATTTGTTTATTGTACTACACTACTTCCAGTTTTTATTTTACTTTTGCCGCTCAAGGGTTAGGCCAGTGCTGGACCACAAGAGCACAAGGCTCCGCGCCTTGGTTCGTTTCTCAGTGGAAACACAAAGTCAGAATCTTGAATGCAAGCAAATCTTGATGCTCCTGCCTGAGACTTGTGATCTCTGGCTGGTGTAGTCCCTGTTTGGTTCATTGGGTGAGATGAATCATACATCAGCAGCATAAGCATGTCAGAAGGGATCGGACTGAACATGCATCATATGACTAGGATCAGTACGGCCGTGCCTAGTCTCCACCTTGATCATTATGATTATGCATTGAATGTGCATTGGGAGTAGCATTCATGATCATCGACATTCGTGTCTTGTGAGATCATCCCGATGACAGTCGAGCGCGAGGCTTTGTGTGAGCCACTGAGAACAGAACGCCACGACATCCGAGAGGCTTGGACCATACATGACCAACAAAAACAAGACACCTCTACTAAATATATAATTACAAATATAGTTCGACGTCGCCTTAAATTGAACAACGTACTTTTTCCCGCACCGTTCGGCCCCAAAAGTCCAAAGCATTCTCCACGTGCCACACCCAAAGACACGCCTTGCGTGGCCCAAAATTCTTTCCCGGCAGCATTGTAAAACCGCTTTCTTACGTCGGCTAAGACCACTGCGTTTTTTAGAAGATCAACTTCTAGTTGTTGCCAAGAAGGGCCTGCGATGTAAAGTTCTTGCTTACTTATTTTACCAAGATTCACAAACCGTAGTAGAAGTCTTAACGTTAACAAGGTTGAGATGCATCGATCTCACCGCTATTCACTTCCACACGCAGGGTCTTGTTTCCCTTACAATTTTACAATACTCTATGACCACTAGTACGACGGACTTCTTTCTTCTGGTGAGTACCGGTAGAAGATGCTTTCGAAATACTTGGATAGATTTCTTTCACCTACATTTATGGAGTTGTAATTACCTTTGCAGGTAAGCGACATTATCAAATCACAATCACTTTAGAAGGTCGCGCCCTGACCCCCTTCGACTCATGCCAGGCATGTCTAAGCATGCCATCCATCATCGTCATCCATGTTAACAAATGCTCTACGATATTTGCAAACGACCATAAGTCTTCGGAAGAGGACACTGGTGCATTGCCCTGGTACTTCTTGAGGACCCTGCTTTCCTCCGCAACGACGTCTGAGTCTCGTGTGTCTGCTTTCGCAGTGGCAACTGGCCACTCATGAGAAGCAACGTACTCTGCACTGATATTAGAGACAGAGATAGATGAGTTACAGAGATAGAGATAGATGTAGACTAAATCCCTGACTAGGAAAAGAAGGAACACGAAAAAGTAAGTTCTCGTAAAGGGCGGGGAGAGACAAACGTACAGAGCCATCTTTCAAGAGGAGATACTTACTATCAATCACAATCTTCCCTACTTGATGTTGGACGAAAATACAACACGACACTTCTACGTGATGAGCCAGCTACTACCGCTAGTAGTGATTCAGTGTTGATGGTTTGGTAGTCGGGTATCCTTTGCCTTTCTGATATCACTCAACAACATCCATCATCCCTTGTACGAAGGAAAGGCGATGGTTCAGGTTCTCGAGCAGGGATACTACAGAAATCTTGCGGGATCCGCATCTTTGCATAGCTCCTAAGTAATTAATGACAGGTAGATCATTAGAGCCAAGCAAAAATCGATCATGAAACATCAACAACAAGGGAAGTATAACCATAATATTAATAATGAGATAGACCGAGGAAGACCAAAAGAAATGAAATTCTTTTTACCATAATCTATAGCTATAGGAAAATTTACAGCCGTAATGATAGGTCGATTCGAGATGTAGTCGATGAAACAGAGGAGCGCAATCGCGTACGGAACGGAAAATTAGACCTCTCCCTAATTCATCCCTGTGGAAACGGAAAGGCCTCAAGCGTATGCGTCACTATTCCCCTTCCTTGTATTGGCGCGCATACGGTTGAGGGATCCCTATAGAGATGCATTGGGGGAAGCCTTAAGAAAAGAGCATAGCGTAGAAGCCACCAGCATTCGGATCGAATGCGTCATACAGATTCATTTCCTTTTCGTATGCGGCTTTCTCTGCCTCCGAAGCCTCAGGCCCAGGAGGCTCTAGTTTTGGTCGCTCCTCCTCGGGAGTGCTGCGCCTAGAAGTTAGCGATCATGCAGCACGTGCACATTACACTAATAAGACGATAAGCTAAAGCATATTCTTTATGATGTGTTGTACTCCTCCTCCTGTCACTGATTGAATATTAAGTCTTGAATTCAAAGCACTTTAGATTACTTTCGCAACATCACCGATCATACTCTTACTGCTTAAAAATCCCGTAACTAATTAGAAGCACTGTTCTTCTTGCACTAAGTGTTATTCTGAGAGCGATCACGATTGTCGGCCCTTAAGATGTTGGCTTCATGCTGATTCTTGACGTCAATGTAATTACCAATAATACCCGTCAGGTGCGGCGCAAGGAGTGTCAGGGGTATCCACCCCCCACCAAATAGATTGCTCCCACGCTATGAAAGGAGATGGAGCTGTTGTACAAGTACAACTTTTTTTATTATCAGATGGCAGTATCGATCTTCATCTTTATACAAGATACAGTATGCAACTAATCTCGCACAGTTTTCAGTGCAGACTGCCGCGCGGCGTCACAGTGTTTCGTCCCGATGTTAACTCACGCAAGTTTACTTAACTCACTGGAAGTAAATAAATCTAGAAGAATTGTAGTTGTTCTTGTTGTTGTAGAGAACAAGTAAGTCTATTAGTATTACAACTGTAAAAGAAGCAAAATTTAGAATTCCCAGTTCTGGATCTGAAATTCTTTCTTCATAAGACGGGAGGACCGCCGATGCCGCCTTTCGGACTTGAACCCACGAATCCCAATACGAAAGTTAATACCGATAAAATGGCGATCACTGCCTTACTGCCGAGACCGCCCCAAGTGAGGCCGGACAGCACGACGCAGATGTTAGACCTCTCCCGAGTCCACTTGATCCCGTGGAAATCCCTATAGATTATGTGCCGACATGAACGATTCCTATCTATGTATGGAGACGAGAGATGGACCACTAGTGGAAGCCGTAAAGATGCCTGCAATCGGGAAACCGATGAGCCACTTGCAGTAGAAGACAGGACTAATCTTCAACATCTCCTCCAACTTCGACCTCTGCTTCTTACATTAGAGGCCACAACGAACAGCTGCTCAGAATCAAAAAAAATTTATCAGAATCAATTGAATCACCTTGAAGAAAAATAGATCAACATAAAGTCATCTACTTAAATCTAATAACGTAACAGTTTATAAGCTTTCCCAACATGGCTGGGCTGGGCGCGCTGGGCGCGCGGTGTCGCTGGGCGACCCAAATGTGCCAGATCTGCCGAATTCTGCGCCCAGCGTGACGCTGGGCGCCTCCAATTGCGGGGCGCCCTTCGGGCGCCCGCTTGTGAGACGCCACCAGCAGTGCTAGTCTAGCGTAGGCCAAGGCCAACGACGCTGGCGAGTTTACCGTTGTGCATAAGAGCGGCGCAGCATTACACGCACCGAGCAGCACAGTGCGGCGCGACGCAAAGCGCCAGCGCTGCCCTGAACCTTGAGAGCGGCGCGCCGCCTTTGTTTGCGCTCACGGGACGCGGTGCATCGCGTCCCCGCGTCGCAACTAAATCCATCGGCCGCGCGGACTCGGCATGCCCAGTGTGTGGCCCTCAAGTCCGCTAAGCGCTATCCAAGCGCCCGCCCAGCGTTGCCGCCCAGCGTCTATATCTACAAACTACTCTATAATAAATATCCACTAGTACTCTACAAGAACCCTAATCTGAATCTACTACACCTAATCTCTAAGTCTCAGTTACAACGGTTCAAATAACTCATCTCTTGATGGAATAGGGACCGATGATCTACTTCCAGTAGCTATTGTTCTTTCGTCCCTCTCCCTCCAGAAAGAGGAATAGCAACACACTCACAGGAGCTACAAGTTATTATAGTACTAGATGCTTGCAGCTGCTCCCTCATCATCATGTTCATCTTTTGTTTTCTTATTCTCCTTGTCTAGTTGCATCCTTAATATGACTGAAAGTAGGTAGGAGGATATTATCACCAGTACGTAGTTACTCTTACTCAAATAAAGATATTTATGTTGCCTGAAGCGAAAACAACTAAGAAGATGAAGATTGAAGAAAGATATCTATCTATAATATTTATCTATATATAATGATTGAAGCTGATGTAGGAGCGGGATTTACTAGAGCAACAGGAGGCGCTCATTCGAAAAACTTAAATAGCCGAGTAAAGTAAGTGATCTAAGAGAGCTGCTAACCTCAAACTATTCTCGAATTTGCCTGCCTATTTCAAGGTTTCGAGTACATAATCTTGACCTTCTCCCCCCGCTTGTGCTACTTGTGCTATCACCATTTCCGTTTTAGATTCTCCCGGCGGTCCTGGTCCTGCTAAGTCCGCACTCAAAAGGTAGACCACAAGGATAGGCATCACCAAGGTTGCAACCACGAGTCCCAGCATAATGTAGAAGTACACAAATTAGCGCCAGTCACTATTTACTTTCATTCATTCACTCATTCATTCACTCATTCATTCGCATCCGTAGTACTTGTACTGCTCCTAGTCTACCGGCGGGATGATACTTAGCGTTTTTAGTCTTAGATAAAAATAGTATTCCAACATGGTACGCAAATCTCTCTGCGAAGTAAAATAGGGCTTACACTGAGAAGATCCTAGTAGAAATACTCTATCTAAATACTATTAAAAATCCCCGAACACTCTTCGCCTTTAATGTGAACACTAAAGGACCCCTACGACGCCTCTAATGTGAAAGTGAATGCTAAAGGACTCCCCTCCCCTTTAATGTGAACACTAAAGGACCCTTAAGGCGCCTCTAATGTAAACACTAAAAGACCCTTAGGGCGCCTTTAGTGTAAACACTAAGGGACCCCTAAGGCGCCTTTAAAGTAAACACTGAAGGCCTTCCATGTGGGCAGCAGATGGCCTTGAGGAAGAACAAGAACAGCAACAACAGCAAGAACAACAACAGCAAGAACAACAAGGACAACAACAGCAAGAACAACAACAGCAAGAACAACAACAAGGCAGCCACGAGAATAAGAAAACTCTAGAGGCGTTTAGCGTTTAAAAAGCAGCAGGCTCCGCCTCGTTCCTCTATGTATATGATAGAGAGCCCGATGCCTCACCTGAGTCCTGAATTCTGAACCCTGAACCGGGAACCCGCTTCCCTTGGTGTTCCCTCTATATGGCAGGCGGCGCGGTGTCTCATCTGAATCCTGAACCCTTAACCGAGGACCCAGCTCCCTTGGTGTTCCCTCTATGTGGCAGGCGACGCGATGTCTCATCTGAATCCTGAACCCTGAACCGAGAACCCGCTTCCCTTGGTGTCCCCTCTCTATGGCAGGCGGCGCGATGTCTCATCTGAATCCTGAACCCTGAACCGAGAACCCGCCTCCCTTGATGTTCCCTCTTTCTATATGGCAGGCGGCGCGATGTCTCATCTGAATCCTGAACCTTGAACCGGGAGCCCGCCTCTCTTAGTTTCGGGCTACTTCGGGGCTTCAGGTTGGTCCAGGGTGTGGGGCTACTTTGGGGCGTAGAGTGAGGGCGAGAACCACCTAGGAGCGGCCTCGTAGATTTCTAATGATAAGTCAGGGGCCAGCGCGTCGAGAATATTTGGAAACATGTGGAGGAGTGGCAGCTTGATCCGGTGAAAGAAGCGCCTCCCCCCAAGTCTCCAAGGTGCGGAGGCGTTGCGAGCGAAGCGCGACGGCTTCTACGCTGCTCTCTTTTATGGGGCCACCCAGCTAGCTGCAAGCGCAAGCGGTGACCCTTCTCAAGTGGGCAAGGAAGTCCCTCAGGGGCATCGCTGTGCTTGTACTATGTTGGTAACCCACGCAAGGGGTGCGGCTGTCTTAGTCTTTTCTCTTTGTTTGTTGCTTGGTCAGCTGGCTTGCCTCGCTTGTCTCACTCTTTGATGCTTGTCAAAAAGCAAAGGCATAAGCGGTGACTTTTCGCTGTAGTCTTTTTCCATTTCTGCCTGTGGCGCAACCAGGACAACATCGAGACAAAGGCGAAGATGATGCCTGGGCTCATGTTATGCATGGCGTGGCGTGTTCTTATGGGTTTGAGTGTTGTCACCTTCTTCCCTCTCTTCTTTCCTTGCAGATTTTTCCAATTTTCCACGACAATGACACGGAGGCGCTTGGGAATGTCTTACCCCTTCCGAAGTGGACCGGAAAGCTTGCCGCGCATGCAGATGAAGAGGCCCAGCGGGCGGCGGAGGTTGTGGCGGATGGGCTTGGCATGGACTTGGGCTCGATGGATTTGGCTGCGAAGATGCCAAAACTCGACCGGCTGCGGGAGAAGTCTACGGCCGAGCTTCGTGCGCTGGTGAAGGGCATGGCCATTACTCTTACGGGCGGCAGGCTTGTGGTGCTTCTCGTGCGTCTTTTTTTGCCTTTCTTAAGAGGGGGACGCAGGGCACAAAAAAGCGAGGCAACCAAGCACCAGGCGCCTGCCTCTAAAACCTGCCCCAGGGCGGTCGGCAGCCGCGCCGACCCCATCACCTTCCTCAGGGGACGCGCCGCAGCCGCTAAATTACGGCTGTCGTGGCTATCGTCTCGCGTCGGTGGTTGTGGTCTTTGAAATAGTTGGCAGGATGTTCGTTCCAGGGAGTGAGGCACCTTGCTCAGCTGCGCCATCGGGGATATTTCTGAGGAGGTTGGCGCTGCGGTGGGTTCCTCTAACTAAACCAGGAGGCGTCCGCCGTGGTGGGGCAGAGAGATTTCACGAGCCTGACGCGGTTGCAGTTGGAATCAAGCGGCTGCGTCGGCTGCCGGGGTCGTGGCGTCTCGAGAGGCACAGCACGGGAAGAGAAGGAACCGGCGTCACCTCTGTCTTCTGTTTTGCTTTGTTCAAGGAGCGCGCGGGCCTCGTGAGGTAAGCGACTAGCAAAGCAGAGCCACGAGGGGGGCGCCTGTGTTCTCCTTGGGTCTTCCTCTAATCATTGGCCACGAAGGCGGCGCCACTCGCTTTATTTTATGATCTGGCGGAGGGAGAGCTGTCACCTGTCTCGCTCGGCAAGATGAGTAGGGGCCTGCGTGTGGGTGGTGGCGTTTATCTATATTCTTTGCGTGTGCTCTTCTCGTTCGTCTAGTATGATACCCGTGGCCTTCATCCTTTCGCTAAATCCTTATAAACTCACGCGCCAGCTGTGTCCTGTCCTTTGTTTGTGCTCTAATCGTTGCAGAAACATTACCAGAAGGATGCATGCCGCGCGGTTTCGCTCTCTCCGAATTTCTACGGTTGCCGCCAGCTCTGAGGCCTCAGGCCGCTCCCCCACGGTAAAGGAAGGCGCCCACCTCCTCGAAGGCAAAGGCGTCAGGTGTGAAGGTGTCCAGCCCCTCCAAGTCCAAGGCGTCGACCGTGGGCGAAGGCATCCAGCCCCACCAAGGGCAAAACCACGACGAGCGTGAGTGCATCCAGCTCCAAGGCTGTGCGGGAGCAGTGAGTTGCTGGCGCTTTCATAGAGTCCCGCCGATCTATATAGAACAGACAAACAGCGAACGTCTTACAGTTTTACTTGTTTCATTCATGCATAAGCATCACGACACAGGCCCGGGAATCTTCTAGCAATCACCGCAAGGCGCTACCATTATCGCGGGGCGCTAGATCAGGCGCGTCCCTTTTTTCTTATTATAACGAGCCTAAATGTTGCCAAACGAGGCCAATACTTTAGCAAATTTTTGGGGGTTTGTGACATGTGTGGGGATTTTCGAGAGGCAGAAACACCGGCAAAAAGTCCCACACTGATCAACCGAACACCCAAGCAGAAGACAACAACGAGGGCCCCCCGACACTGCGCCCCAATCCTAACACATGAACCAAGGTGCGCAGGCATGTGGCTCAGCTGCTAGGCTGCGCGCCATCCGCAACTACATGCGAGAGCGCTGGCGCCCTTCCGTCGTGTTGTTCTGTCTGTGGTCATTTTTGGCGATCGTTTCTAGCCCCTGACCTCGGGCACCCCGACCAGCGAACAGACAAGGCACGCACCGAGTGAGGGGCCACGCGTGGCTTGCTCTAGGTTGCTAGCTTTGGCAATAGTCGGGGCAATTGGGGTGAAACAATTAAAGCAGACCGACACGATGTCGCAAAGGCCTGGCGATGGTGGTCTGTTGGTGTCTGCTGTCGTCGGGAGTGTTCCACATGATGGCGCCAACGCGTGCCACGATGCAAAAACACCCGGCGGGCGGTGTGGGTCTTCTGCTGCAGCTGGGCACCTCAAAAGCCCACAAGGTGCCGCCACCTCCGACCCAACACCCGGAAGCACCTGGGCAGCAAGGTGCACCATGGTGCAGACCGTCTGGGCAGATGGTTCCACTCACGCACCCACGAAGTGGGAAAGGTGAAAGAGATAGGGGGCCACCCGTGCGCCCCTCGTGTGTGTGTTGATGCGGCAGCCCCTGGCCACTCCTTCCCCGACAAAGAAACACTCCATCCCCCTTTTCCTGCCGGTGTCTCAAATTCGTGGGGGGCGATTCTCCTCTTCCTGCTCATTGTCGGCATATTTCGAGTCTTGGCTTTCCGCAATGCGAGGGCGCAGGGGTGGCACATTGGCACTCGACTAGCAGGGGACCCTCCTGCCCCACGACGAGGAGCGGGCGCACACGCAGAAAAGAGACTGAGCCAGCGCCCCGACGAAAAGCGCCGGCAACGACAACCAACAACAACAAACACAAGGGCAGAGACAAAGGTGGCCAATAGCTCCAGGTGGGTCCTTCTTGTTGCCGCTCGGAGAAGATGCTGCCACGCTTCATCCTGTCGGCCCAGAGGACAGGACACCCAACACACAAACCCCAGGCAAGTCACCGAGGAACCCACCCCCACAAGTTCTGCTCTTTTCCCCGGCGCTGGAACGTGCTCGGGGTGGTGGTGTTCTCCTCAGTTTGTTCCCCCTTGTTACGCAAAAAGTGGGCAACATTTTGCCCACTTCAAGGCACAGCTGTTGGGTGCGTGCGTGGTTGCATGTACCCTACAGAGTGGGGACTTTTGGAGGGCCTCAATATTTTACAAACATTTTACAAATATTTTAGCGAACCCCCACTAGGTTCCGCCGATTTTACTGACCCTGTTGGTAAAATATTTGCTAAAATAGCTGTAAAATATTTGGAAAATATTGGACACCTGAGACCCCAAAAATGGGCCTACAAATCGATGGAAATCAGTCGAGGATAGCAGTCAAGAAGTCGCACAGTTTGACCCTTTGCAGCCTATTGCGGTCTACTTTTGGGGAGCCCTTTGAAGGCCTCGGCAGGTCCATCAGAGGCCCACAGCAAGAGGTCCGCAGCAGTTTAGATTGTGGCCACCTTGATTCTTTTGATCCGGTTCCTTTTGGAACCTGGGGCGACTGTCGTCGAGCGAGGTCGGGGGTCTTGGTTGTTGATTCCCTCAGCAGATTGATTTACTGACTGACACACCACCAGGCGCGCAACCTCGGCCGGCCGTGAAAGTGCAGGGTGGATGAACAGACCAGACAACCACGGAGGCCCCAGCAGCAGACAGACAACGCCCACAGCTCTGGCCGTTTGGGGTATTTCCTTCATGGTCTGCCAGGGTCGACAGTCGCAACCACGGCCGCCGGCCACTGATTTCCACCATGTAACGCGGCGCCGTTGTTGGTTGTCGGGTCCAGTCATTCGCGCCTGTTGTTACTTATCGCCTTAGGCATCACCCCCATCGACGTATCAATCTGCCCCCTTGCTTGCCACCATCGATCTGCCGGCCCCATTCTTCCCCAACCTACCTTCTCTGGAGTGTGAGGGCCGCGCCACCAAGTCGGGGGGCCCCCGCTGGTCCGACGAAATGACGCACGGGCACGCAGTCAGCACCCCAATAACACCCCGGGGCGATGCGTCTCGGGCAGTTTCTGGGGTTCAAAACTCCTTGGCTTGTGGGTGTGTTTCCTCTCCTTTGTTGTCCAGGGTTCTGCCGTGTTGTTTTTGCCGACTGAGAAACACCCCACGGCCTACCGTTTTCCAAAACGCCCGGCAGCTCATTTTCGGTGGTTTGTGTTCTGCTCTTGAAATTGGTCCACCCAGGGGCTGAAATCGGGCAACAAAAGCCGAAGCCCACCCACTAGCGTTCGGCCTTTAAGATTGAAAAACCACCAGGCTGAAACCAATCCACAAAAGCAGAAAATCAGGGAACCGGAGTCAGTTCTTAAAAGTAGAACCCCCTCAGTCCGGGAGCGACTTCCAAAAGCAGAAAAGTGATTGCCAAGAATCACTTTTCTGCTTTTGTTTTTCAATGGGCCAGATTCAGTCTCTGGCAGTCGTTTAACGTCGACCGCGAAACGGTTCTCAGGAGCTGTGTAAGTCCAGACCAAAAACGGGCTTTTTCTTCAGACCAACAGCAGGCCTGGTTTTCACTCCTGCCTAAAATATTTGTAAAATATTGGGAAAATATAAACTAAAAAATCCAACATTTGGGTCCGTTATAATTTTCTTATTTTTACATCAGCCGCGCCACTGCCTCTTTGCTCAGCACCGCAGTCGAATCCGCCTTAGTCCACTTTTTTGGTTCAGGTGTCTCCCTCGTGAATTCGTTGCCTTACCCCGCAAATTCTGCAACAGCCTAGATAAGTGCTGCCGGAGGTCGGTGGACAGGCTGGGCGATCTCCTCCGCGACAGGGTTACAGGATAGCCGTCAGCAAATGCGCGCACGCAATGAGATGCGTGGCTCGTTCTCGATTCAGGGGGGACAGCTCTGCCGCGTCTCCATGGTTCGACTCAGTTCACGACTCAGACAGGGCGCACAGATAAAGGGCCGCCCTCTATGCTGCAGCTCCATGGTTCGACTCGGTTCGCGATTCAGAGCGCACCGATATAGGGCTGTCCTGTGTGGTGCATCTCCATGGCTCGGCCCGGTTCTCGATTCAGAGCGCACAGATATACGGCGGCCCTCTATTATGCATCTCACTCCATGGCTCGACTCGGTTCTCGATTCAAAGCGCACAGATATAGGGCCACCCTCCATGATGCAGCTCCATGGTTCGACTCGGTTCCCGATTCAGAGCGCACCGATCTAAGGCTGTCCTCTATGGTGCATCTCCATGGTTCGACTCGGTTCTCGATTCAGAGCGCACAGATATAGGGCGGCCCTCTATTATGCATCTCCATGGCTCGACTCGGTTCTCGATTCAGAGCGAACAGATATAAGGCTGCCCTCTATTATACATCTCCATGGTTCGACTCGGTTCGCGGTTCAGATTTCAGAGCGCACAGGGATAGGGCTGCCCTCTATTATAAATCTCCATGGTTCGACTCGGTTCTCGATTCAGAGCGCACAGATATATATAAGGCTGTCCTCTATTATGCATCTCCATGGTCCGACTCGGTTCTCGATTCAGGGCACACCGATACTGAGTAGTCCGCTATTATGCATCTCCATGCCTGGACTCGGTTCTCGATTCAGAGCGCAGATATATTGGGTTGCCCTCTCTTATACATCTCCACGCCTGGGCTCGGTTCTCGATTCAGAGCGCACACGTTTTCAGCTGTCCTCTACTATGCATCTCCATGCCTGGCCTCGGTTCTCGATTCGGTGGATTTGGTTCTCGATTCATCTGCATGGTGTTCCCTCGGTTTTGTGCCTCTTTTGCCCTCCTTTTTTCTCAGTTTCTACCCCTGTCTCCGGATTGTTGTAGTGGATTTTGGTGCATTTTTTTACTACCTAAACACCGCTAGAAAACGCTCCGAGTTTCCTTATTCTCGTGGGTGCCAACAACAACGGGAACAACAGCAACAACGGCAACAACAGCACCAACGGGGCGAGGGGCGCGCAACTCGTAAGGCCGGCCTGTTTCGTGTATTTGTTAGTGAGGTGCCTGCCCCCTTCGCGCCCGAGAATCTGGAGGACGCTGAGGACGCTGAGGGCGCTGAAGACGCTACCCCCCTCGGCTCGGGTGTGCTGTCTTCTGTTTTGGTGTCTTCTGCTCCTCAGTCTCGTCAGCCTTCTCCGTGTCTTCTGTTTTGGGGTCTTCTGCTCCCAAGTGTCGTCAGCCTTCTCCATGTCTTCTGTTTTGGTGTCTTCTGCTCCTCTGTGTCGTCAGCCTTCTCCGTCCCGTGTCTTCAGTTTTGGCGTCTTCTGCTCCTCAGTGTCGTCAGCCTCCTCCGCGTCCTCTGTTTTGGTGTTTTCTGCTCCTCAGTGTTGTCCGCCTTCTCCATGCCTTCTGTTTCGGTGTCTTCTGCTCCTCAGTGTCGTCGGCTTGCTCCGTGTCCTGTGTTGGGTGAAAAACTACGCGCGGGCTAGGTAGTGACCACCCAAGTGCTTGCGGTCGTTCTCGCCTTGCTGTCTTTATGTGGAAAGTCCTGGACCTTTATCCGAGGCGGTTGGGGTTGGTGTGAAACGGTTCGGGCTGACCACCCGAGTGCCTGAATGTCGTCGGAAGATGGTCCGGGGATTGCTCCACCCTCTCGCGCTGGCAGGGCCTCCAGGCGCGGCTGGGGGGTGCGTGATTTCGCTCCCAACCCTCTCGCGTTGGCAGGGCCTCGCTCCGGGCCGGCCAGGCGCGGCGGGTAGCTGTGTGATTTCACTCACCACCCTGGAACAGTTTCGGACTCGGAAACGAATAGGAAACGGGTCGAGAGTCTAGGAACCTCGTGGCGGTTCTTTCTAACAGGTTTGCTGCCTCCTGGGATTTCCGCTGTGACCGGATCGGCGCAGAACTCGCGAGGTGCTGTCTGCCCTCGTTCTGCTGTGGGGATCATTTTGAACCGGGTGGCGAAACGCTCCAACCATGACTCCGCAGGCTTCCTCAGCCTAGACAGGAAGCGGGCTGGCACGGTGGTGAACCGGATGGAGGAGGCCCTGGCGCGCGAGCAGGTGAGCCGGCTGCAGTCGTCCGCGCTGCTTCTTGAGGTGGGGAGAACTGTCGAAACCGAGGCCGACGACCGAGTACCTCGTCGGCAAGACTGGCGAGGGCGCACAGTGCCGCCAGCTCCTCGCGATCGGAACCCTGCAACGGGGCAGCCTGGGACCTTATTGTTATGAGCTCTCGGAGATGAGAGGCAAGGGGAGCATGGCCATCGCGCATTCTGCCTGGCAGCAGTGCGTATACCCAAACGTCTCCAAATTGCAGAAGTGGAACCGCCCGGACCTCTTCCCGGATAGCCATGCGATGCACTTCAAGTCCCCCAATTTCCAGCTGGGCTATCAACATCACCGACCCGGCAAATCACTCGGGCGGTGTTTTCTGGGCTTACGATATGAAGAACCAGGTAGAACTCGGAACCCAGTGCACCGACAACTCCTGGCAGTGTGTCGCCGAGTATGGTGCCCTCCACACGAAGCACATTCATGGGTCCCGTCAGGTACCGGGATGCGGCGCGACGCTTCCACGACAGGGCGTTTTTGTTTACCACACGGGTCGACCGAAATGAAAAAACGGCAAAGGCTGTGCAGTGCATGATCAAGCACGCGGCTGGGAAGGCCAAACCACTGCCACCGCCCAGAGCCTGGACGACGATCAAGCACGGCGAGGGTGTGCCAAAGACGAAGCCGCACGCGGAGAGGGTTGAAGCAGTGGACGACCCCACGGACGTGAAGAACGTGCCGCCCCTGATCTCGGGGGTGGAGCTTAAGACGAAGACCCGGGCGGAGCTGGAGACCCTCGCCCGGGCGCGTGTCAATTTGCGGCCGCGCGGTGTCGACGGAAAAACGGAAATGATTGGCCTCCTTCTCGGCACTCCCCTTCTCCCCAAAGGTGAGAGATGGTGGAAACCATTGGAGGAGAAAGGCGCAGCGGCCGCCGTCCTCTCGGAATTACTACTGACCCAAGTGAGGCACTTCGCCCGAGCTGCTGACACCCAAGTCCCACGCTGTCCGCCCGCCGCCGCGTGGAACATGAGAGGCGGACGACCATGGCGCACAATCTAACGCGCAGGGATATACTCGCTGCCACCAAGAAGATCGAAGCCGCCTACCATGAACGAAGCGCCGCTCGCGAAGCAGCGGCCTAAGCTGCTGGAGCCAATTGCGAAGATAGGCAGGAGACTAACTGAGCCCAGGCCAATCTGGTTCGTCTTCTTTGAATTGTAGAGAGTCTTACACATCGACGCAAGCCCATCTAGTTGCAGTCTTTTTCTGTTTATTTTCTGAAGTTGCGCGCATGCTTCTGCTTATTTTCTGAACCAGAGACGTGGCGGACCACTTTCACGAGTGTGCGGGTTGTCATAGCGAATCCATGGAATTTGGTCCAAAAATCTTAGCCAAGTCGTCGCGCTTTTTTCTTTCTCTTCGTTCTCCCTAAATTAAAAAGACAGCCAGCACACCATCGGCCTCGCCTATGTGCTGGCAGTCCTTACTAGTGAGGAGCAACCTCACACCTGTGGGGGGTACAACTCTCACGAAGTTCTTAGCTTTAAAGACCTCCAGAAATTAACTCCACGGACAGCCATGGCATGCTATGGGGGTCCAGTCCTCATTTCCGTGCAGCTCTATAGATTATTGGTCAGCGCTGTCCTGTCATGTGTGTAATGTCTTGCCGCCCTTGATTGTCTTGGCTTTCTTTTGAATTCATTTCAAGCGGCACATCCGTCACCTTTTACCTTCGTCGCGACGTACGTTCGCAACTATCCTCGCAGGCCAATGGAAAAGGTCCGAGACTCTTTGACGAGGAAGGAATATCAAGTAATAAGGAAAGTGGTTAGGAATGTAATACGTGCAAGAACATGATAACGAACCGGCACCCATAGGCATGATACCAAAAGGGAGGCACTGCGCGTGGCGGGAAGTGCACTAGGCTAGCAGTATAAACAGAGCGCCTCTCGAATCAGCTTACAAGCTAGCTCTTCTTTTGTATTCTAATAGAACTACAAGCGTCCCAGTATTATCCTCAACCCTCTTAGAGGTTTTGTGTCTTGTTCTTGTTAAATAAAGCGAAACGCAGCTTAAGCCCTAGAATACTAGTAAGATACAGCCATGGCCAAGGTTAGCAAATTTTATTAAAACTGCGGCGAAGGAAGTCGCTAACGATAACGATGCAAAGCTGATCACGAAGGAAGTCGCTAATGGTAACGATGTAAAGTTGACCACATCAGATCACTTCCATGGGTGAGGAGGCTCGGCACAAAGTGAAAGCGCCAAGTTCTGTCTGTAATACATCTGGCCACTACTAAACGACGAGAGCCCTGACCGCCTACGCGCAGCCTCCACTTCTGTCCGTTAACTCTGGCGGCTGTGTTCTTCCTGTGCTAGACCCTTTGGCTACCGTTGTGACTTTCTGCGCTTTCTCTCTGCGTATTCAAGACGCAACTTGATAGAACTTCACTGACCATCCTCGGCCTTCGCTTCGAGCTGTGCTGCAGCCAAACCTTGGCGCCCTCCTTCTTTCCTTTATAGGGTTGGGGCTTACTTAAGTCCCGCGACGCTTCAGACCTCTGCAGTTCTTGACTAGCAGAAGAAGCGAAGCCCCTCTCGCTTACAACACAACAACAACACAACAACAACAACACAACAACAACACAACAACAACAACAACAACAACACAACAACAACAACAACAACAACAACACAACAACAACACAACAACAACACAACAACAACACAACAACAACACAACAACAACACAACAACAACACAACAACAACACAACAACAACACAACAACAACACAACAACAACACAACAACAACACAACAACAACACAACAACAACACAACAACAACACAACAACAACACAACAACAACACAACAACAACACAACAACAACACAACAACAACACAACAACAACACAACAACAACACAACAACAACACAACAACAACACAACAACAACACAACAACAACACAACAACAACACAACAACAACACAACAACAACACAACAACAACACAACAACAACACAACAACAACACAACAACAACACAACAACAACACAACAACAACACAACAACAACACAACAACAACACAACAACAACACAACAACAACACAACAACAACACAACAACAACACAACAACAACACAACAACAACACAACAACAACACAACAACAACACAACAACAACACAACAACAACACAACAACAACACAACAACAACACAACAACAACACAACAACAACACAACAACAACACAACAACAACACAACAACAACACAACAACAACACAACAACAACACAACAACAACACAACAACAACACAACAACAACACAACAACAACACAACAACAACACAACAACAACACAACAACAACACAACAACAACACAACAACAACACAACAACAACACAACAACAACACAACAACAACACAACAACAACACAACAACAACACAACAACAACACAACAACAACACAACAACAACACAACAACAACACAACAACAACACAACAACAACACAACAACAACACAACAACAACACAACAACAACACAACAACAACACAACAACAACACAACAACAACACAACAACAACACAACAACAACACAACAACAACACAACAACAACACAACAACAACACAACAACAACACAACAACAACACAACAACAACACAACAACAACACAACAACAACAGCAGCAGCGTCCGCTTTTTTCGCTATCACTCAACAGCAGCAGCCTCCGCCTTTTTCGCTATCGCCTTCCTTCGGGACGTCCTCGCGGGCCTCCTTTTTCATTCGTTCACTTGCTCGCTAGCGTCCAGACACGGAGCCACGAACGGGACAGAGAGAGAGAAGAGGAGAAAAAACCACGAACAACCGCGCCAACTATGGGCAACGCGCTGAAGGCGGCCCCTGTGGCTTTGCGCATTTAGCTGCCCGCTGGCGCTTGGTTGCCTGCTCTCCTCTTGCTACCATCTTAGGAACGGGGTGGGCCCCCCTTTTTTCGCTATCATTTTCGGAAAGCCCTCGCGGGCCTCCGTTTTCCTTTGATTGTTCTTGCTGTTCGCTATGGTTCAGACATGAGGCGACCACAGACAAAGCAAGGAGTGAAGAAAGAACCACGAACACCCGCGCCAACTATGGCCGACGCGTTGAAGGTGGTGCCTGTGGTGGTGCGTGTTTAACTGCCCGCCGGCGCCTCCTGGTTGCTTGTTCTTGCTACCTCCATCCTGGGGACGGGGCCCCCCGTTTTTCGCTATAATTCACCGACGACCCTCGCAGGCCTCCGCTTCCCTTTGTTCTTTTTGTTCGCCAGAGTTCGGACGCAAGGCCACGGACGGGACAGAGAGGGAGAAAAGAAGAAAAAAACCACGAACACCCGCGCCAGCTATGGCCAACGCGTTGAAAATGGCGCCCGTGGTGGCACGTGCTTAACTGCCCACCGGCGCCTCTTGGTTGTTTGTTCTTGCTACCATCTTGGGAACACGGCCCCCCCCCTTTCGCTATAATTTGCGGGCGGCCCTCGCGGGTCTCCGTTTCGTTCCCTTTGGTTTTGTTGTCCGCTATAGTTCAGACACGAGGCGGCCACGAACACGACAGAGAGGGAGAAGAAGAGAAAAACCCACGAACACCCGCGCCATCGCCAACTACGGCCAACGCGTTGAAAGTGGTGCCCGTGGTGGTGCGTGTTTAACTGCCCGCCGGCGCCTCGCGGTTGCTTGTCCTTGCTACCGTCTTGCGAACCAACGGGGCCCCCCGTTTTTTGCTACAACTTGCGGACGACCCTCGCGAGCCTCCGTTTTTTTCGCTATCACTTTCAGGAAACCCTCGCGGGCCTCCCTCCGCTTTCCTTTGTTGCTGCTGTTCGCTATCGTTCAGACACAAGGCCACGAACAAGACAAAAAGAGCGAAGAAGAGAAGAACCCACGAACACCCGCGCCAGCTACGGCCAACGCGTTGAAAATGGTGCCCGTGGTGGTGCGTGTTTAACTGCCCGCCGGCGCCTCCTGTTAGAGACCGCCGCGCCCGAAGACTGCCGACGGCGATGAACCTTGGCGAAAAGTTCCCCGGGCTCACGCGCGCCGCTATCACGCCTGTCCACTTCACGCGGCGTCTGCTAAGCCTCTGAAAGCAAAGCCGACAGAACCAACACACGTGACACGACCAGCCCGGTCACTGCACTGAGAGCACCACAAGCCAACGAGCCAGCCTGCGACGCAGCCGCCTGACAAATTTCCAAACAAATGCACAGCCTAAAAGGCTGCACAGCTCTGGAGAGAGAAACAGAAAGACCACACAAAGCAGACACAGAAGACGCGGAGTCTTATGCGCTCCCGCTGCAATTTGTCGCGAGTTTGTTCTTGGCGGTTCATTTTCGTGTCTTCATCAAAAAAACATGGAAGGCGAAAGCTTCAGAATCTTCGCGAAATGTTTGCGGAAAGTTTGCAAGTCTTGACCAGGTTGGAACTTCGTGCGTTTATCTTTTCGGAAAGATTCCGCGAAGATTTTTCAAAGATTTCGCGAACTTTTCGCGAAGATTTTTTTTTATTCTAAAGTGACAGAAGAGACGGGAAGCCGCCGGAGGTGTTCAAGCGGGGAAAGATGGCCGCCGCCGGCTTCTGGTGACACTGCTCCCCCGCCTGCGTTTCCCCTGTCCTCCGCCCCGGTGTCCTACGCTTCAGGGGGCTCACACAACCGCGCCACGCCTGCACCTGGGGCGGCGCCGATGCCAGCGGCATGCGAGCGGTCCACAGCGAACCAGCGCCGGGGCTGCCACCAACGACGAAACACAGAACAAACGAAAAGCAGCGCCAGGCGCTTCGGCGCCTGGTTTGGCCTTTCAAGCAAAGAGACAACGAAGACCAGCCCGCCCCCGGCAACTTTTCGCAAAGATTTCGCGCACGTCTTTCACATCGTCGCGGCGGTCTCCAACTCCTGGCTGCTTGTTCTTGCTACCATCTTGCGAACGGGGTCCCCCTTTTTTCGCTACAACTTGCGGACGGCCCTCGCAAGCCTCCGCTTTTTTCGCTATTGTCACTCTTGGGAAACCCTCGCGGGCCTCCGCTTTCCTTTGTTCTTGTTGTTCGCTCTAGCTCAGACACAGAGCCACGAACGGGACAGAGAGGGAAAAGAAGAAAAAAAAAACCGCGAACACCCGCGCCAACGACGGCCAACGCGTTGAAAATGCTGCCCGTGGTGGTGCGTGTTTAACTGCCCGCCGGCGCCTCCTGGTTGCTTGTTCTTACTATGGGAGCGGGGTCCCCTTTTTTCCACTAAAATTCTCAGACGACCCTCGCGGGCCTCCGTTTTTTTCGCTATTGATTTCGGGAAACCCTCGCGGGCCTCCGCTTTCCTTTGTTGCTGCTGTTCGCTATAGTTCAGACACACGGCCACGAACAAGACAAAAAGAGAGAAGAAGAGAAAAATTTACGGACACCCGCGCCAACTACGGCCAACGCGTTGAAAATGGTGCCCGTGGTGGTGCGTGTTTAACTGCCCGCCGGCGCCTCTTGGTTGTTTGTTCTTGCTGCCATCTTGGGAACGCGGCCCCCCTTCTTTCGCTATAATTTGCGGACGACCCTCGCGGGCCTCCGTTTCCTTTTGGTTTTGTTGCCCGCTATAGTTCAGACACGAGGCGGCCACGAACACGACAGAGAGGGAGAAGACAAGAAAAAGCCGCGAACCCGCGCCAGCTACGGCCAACGCGTTGAAAATGGTGCCCGTGGCGGTGTGCGTTTAACTGCCCGCCGGCGCCTCCTGGTTGCTTGTTCTTGCTACCGTCTTGCGAACGGGGCCCCCCGTTTTTTTCGCTATTACTTTCGGGAAATCCTCGCGGGCCTCCGCTTTCCTTTGCTGTTGCTGTTCGCTATAGTTCGGACACAAGGCCACGAACAAGACAAAAAGAGAGAAGGAGAGAAAAACCCACGGACACCCGCGCCAACTACGGCCAACGCGTTGAAAATGGTGCCCGCGGTGGTGCGTGTTTAACTGCCCGCCGGCGCCTCGTGGTTGCTTGTTCTTGCTACCATCTACGTGCGAACGGGGCCCCCCTTTTTTCGCTACAACTTGCGGACGACCCTCGCGGGCCTCCGTCTTTTTCGCTATCACTTTCGGGAAACCCTCGCGGGCCTCCACCGCTTCCCTCTGTCCTTGTTGTTCGCTATAGCCCAGACACAGAGCCACGAACGAGACAGCGCGCTCCCGCTTCCCTTTGCCGCTGCGCGGGAGGGAGTGCGCGCCCTTCGGGCGCTCATTTCACCTTGTGAAACCATTCACCCTCGTCCAAGTCCCTAGAGTATCGCTTTCCCTTCCTTGACGTCTCCCGGGGCACCCCGGCCCGGGGAGTATATTATCTGATTACAAATACATCTAGAAATCGCAGGTGCCGAAGTACTTTACTTAGATACTTATCAATAATAACCCAAGTTCATGGCACTTATGCATAGTAGCCTTAAAAGAAGTTGCCAACGTGGTACGCAAATCTGCGAAGGCCGTGTCGTTGAGCATGTGGCAGGACACCAAGCTCACTAACTTCCGGGCGAATCACACCCGTGATCATGCTCATGGGAATCAATAGCAGGAAGGCGCTCAGTTTAGACCTTACGTATGTAGTTCACCTTTAAGAGCATCTTGGACGCGTTTTCGCCTTAGAAAAGGGGTCAAAGATGCTTCTTAAGATGGATTACTGCAAGCGAGCCCTAATCAGTAGGCCCAGTAGTGAGCCAAAAAACATCGTGAATTTGGTACCCAATATGACAAAAAGCTGTCCAACTTCTTCCTCCAAATTTTGAAGCTTTTTCATTGCTTCCGAGTTTCCAATAGTCCCCTCGTCAGCCTCCTTAGCCAGTTTCTTTCCTATTGCTTTCATTAGAGTGAGCGCGCTGCCATGTCATGTGTCCCATGTGTGATCTACCAAGTCACCGGCGGTCCTTGGGTAATCTTCTCATCCACCACTCAGCTATAGCCTCTTCATCCATGATCGCGGTACTCCTCTACGGAAACAATTACAAAAGGACACAGATTCAATAAGAAGATGTATGAATTGAGATTGACTTCTATTCTAGAACTACAAACATCTAGTAATCCACAACATTCAGATATATTTATATATGAGAACAAAGATCATTTTTATTAGTACTACCCAAGAACAAGTCGTAGTCGTAGATGATTAAGAAAAGTAGCTGCATATTTAATGATTATAGCAACAAAACAAGGACAAAAATACCAAAGAGATGATGCTGAGTACCGAATATATATAGTTGATGAAAAAAAATATGAATCAATGTTGCTCTTCAAAATATCATACTAGTGTTGACCATAACATCAGGCTTTTTACCTCCTCCGAGACCCGTTTAGATTCCGAATATAAATACACGGGATACCAGACAGCAACTCCAAGCATCAACGTAGGAAAAATTAGAGCAGTCCATGTTAACATCTCGGAGTAGAAGGGCCACATACTTATAGTTATAAAATCTGAAAGGAGTAGAAGTGGAAGTCAGGGTATAATAATGACCGAGAACTTTGCTTTTTGAACCCTGCCGAGAACCAAGGCGCTGCAACAGCCTGCCCAGAACAAGCGCAAAGGTTCTGAAACAGACTGCCCAGGACAAGTTTCCCGAAGCTACAGCCTGCCCAGAAAAAGACATCTGGAACAAGCCCGCCAGGGCAAGACCTCTGAAACAAGCCAGCCCGAGCGGCTCAGCTGAAACAGCCTCGCTCGAGCAGCTCATCAGAAACAACCCCGCCAGAACAGCCCAGCTGAAACAGCCTCGCCACAGCAGACCATCTGAAACAGCCCCGCCAAGATAAGACCTCTGAAACAGCCCCGCCAGAGCAGCTCATCGGAAACAGTCTCGCCAGAGCAGCTGACCCGATCCGAAACAGCCCCGCAAGCGCAGCCCATCGAAAGCAGCCACGCCAAAACCGCTCAGCTGAGCAGCCCCATCCGAACGAGACTCCTGAAACAACTCCGCCAGGACAAGACTTCTGAAACTGCCCCGCCAGGGCAAAGCTCCTGAAACAGCCCCGCCAGAAGGAACAAGACCCGCGGAAAAGACCCGCCAGAACCAGACCCCCGAAACAGACCCGCAGGGACAAGACTGCTGAAACAACCCCACCAGACCCCGACCTTTGAAACAACTCCGCCAGAGCAAGACCCCTGAAGCATGCCCGACAGAGAAGGAATTCTAAAACAAGCTCGCCAGACCAAGACACCAGAATAGACAGCCCCGCCGGAAAAAAAAGGCCAAAAAATCAATGTAAGCATCACGCCAGAAAAAAAAAGCGAACTCGCGGGGGAGCGCGTCGAACGGCACGGCCAGGGCGAAGCGAGTTTATCGCCCTCTCCATCTCGGGGCGGAACAAGTGCCAGGAAGCTAGTGCGCCACGCTCCTTGCTGGGCATACTTGTTACAAATGCCCAGCGACAAGGCCGGCGACTTGTGCGGAAATAGATGACGGCAGAAGACTCCCCTACCAGGCTGCTCGCCCATAGACAACATGTAGTTCTTGATAAAATAAAAAAGAAACAGCTTAGTTCTTTACCTTTATTGATGAAGATGAGTCAGTTATGCATATGGATGCGCAAGAGCAAACTTTTATGGAGAAGGTAGTGATAGTCGACCACTGGCTTTATTACCTACTTACATGTTTGCTCAGCAGTAACACACCCCGCGGTCCTCGTGCCTCTACCTTCTTCATCATCAATGCGCCCTAGATGGTCACTGTCTAACCAGAAGGAAAAAGCAAAGAAAAGTAATCTATCAGGAACATCTTCGTCAAGGTGTCCCACTTCCATTTAGTTATCCTACAACTTAATCTCAAGCCAACACTCATTTGAAAACGCGAGTCAATCAAAATTGTTACTTACTAACGTCATCATCATCGTCATGGTGTCCCGATTAGTTTCTTTTACTAGGCTGATGGCGGGACAAAACAGTTCCGGCAGTGTCTGTCCACTATGTATAGGGATAGTCAGATGCAACATTGTCTCATAAAAAAATGAAGCTAGTCCAAGAAACTTGGGACATGCGCAGATGCCACACTGCCGAAACCTCTCCGCCAAAAGTCCGTTGCCTTGGTCGCAACGGCAGACGCCCCACGGCAATGTCCCTCTCACGCTGTTCCTCGGTCACTTCGATATTAGAACAATGTTCGATGTGGGGGTATTGTGATAAGCTAGCAGTAGTGCAAAAAATAGTAATGACAAAATTTATGCGACAGCGAAAAAACTAGCAAGATCACGCTGGGTCTCATCCTGACACTGACTGGCATGTAATACGAAACTCTTGTCCTCACCTTCACAATCACAAATGATCTGAAACAAGACGCCGGACCCGCTGCTCGCTACTTCGCGCTGTTCTTAAATTTACTTGCTTAGTACTTTGAGGTTTCGAGTAGGTAGTTTGGTAAAGGAAATAGGTAAGACGGGATCCTTCCCATAAAGATAGGATAAGATAGGAATCGGCTCGCCTGCAGAGAGGTGAGCGCAGACGACTATGCTAAGGGCCGAACATACTATATCTACAAGGCTACGCCAGGTCAGGTTAAGGCGGGTCGAGCACACTTCTATGCCATAACCGCATGTCCCTGTTCGAGCTCGCTCTCGTGGCCGATTCGGAGGAAAACTTCCTCCAGCGTGGTCATTTCCACAGAGTAATTTGCGACTTTGTATTAGACCGTACCGATATTCATCTTGAAGTGCATTTTTGGCGCCTTTTTCCCTTAAAAAAGAGGCCCAAGATGCGTTTGGAGATGAAGTACGGTGAGCCTTAACTGTAGTCTGAAATTTTCGCGTCGACTTTGTCTAGGACTGCGGGAAGGGTGGACACAGCATCCCAGGGAACACTATATTAGATGATGCAAGGTCAAACACTTACTAGTTTCTGTTTATCCAATATTATAACGTAGTTACTCTAAGCGTGAGATTGAACCAGATGATCACGACGTCGAGCGGTTCAAGTCATAGAAGGCCCTAGCTTCCAACAGTACAATACAATTAATCTCGCACAGTTTTTGACCAATTTTCTTTATCCTCGTCTGCATGGTTCGGCTATAGGAGGTTATCATGAATCCTGCTGCACAATTCTATGTATAAGGAAATTACTCTGTAGCTCTCTACTTAAGTGCTTACGATACTCATGACAGAGGATGCTCTCGAGAAGTTTCTTGAAAAATCCAAACGACTAGAGCGCCATGTGAAGATGTGTTGTGGCCGCGACTCGATACAACTAGCCAACATGTTGCGGAAGCGGAGTCTGTCACAACTATAACTAAGTACTTGAGTTTCTTTTCTTATGTCTTAACTGTAGGACAGAAAGTAAGCATTGACTTTCGGGTTTTTCGTCTTCATTTCCGGGATCATGGGTGCAATAACCTCGGTGCCCATCTTTGCCAAGTTCGCGCGTGCCTGCTCCTCTGTGAGACCACTCTTACTCGCATCAATCGAAGCGTTGATCCAATACCTATTATTAATTTGAGTTTTTGAAAATTTTTAGGATCGCTCGTGAATCATCATCCTATGGAGCACCTACAACAACTCCCTGGTCGTTTTGTTTGTAGGTGTACGAGCACCTACAACAAATCCAGATAATTACGAGTATAATCATTGAAAATCAAAATCCTTAAAAAAGCTAAAGTACCCAGCTCCATATTCACGCTTGAGTTCGTGAGATGTGCCCAACGCTTTCACTTGCCCTGCTGCGAGAATCACCTTGCGATCTGCCAACATATCTGCTTCTTCCAGGTAGTGTTAGAATATTTTTCATCGTTGTCACTGTGAGATCCAGCCACAGTCCTCAGTGAGAGATGGCGCAGGAGCTAAGGTTAAAGATGCTTACTTTCGTGGTAGCCTCAGCCAGAGATGCTACTTTCGTCAGTAAATGACATTGCTTAGCGGTTCTAGAAGCCTTAATAGTGGGTAGAGAAAACGACAGCTCGTTTCTGTGTTCTTGCCATCTCCTTCAGCATGAACCAGAAATCTCTTCGCGCCTGTGGGTCCATTCCACTCGTGGGCTCGTCAAGAAGGATCAGAGGCGCTTCCCCCAGAAAGGCACGCCTTAGAAGAGGTTTCATCTTTGAACTGCCTGCTTGCCCAAGCAAGACAACTATTTTTCACCGCTCTACTATCCCAGTGCGCAGCGGAGAACGGGAGAAACTTACCACGAAGACCAAGTAAAAAAGATCGAGATACTGATACAGTTGTAGTCAACTTCTTTTTGAACCTCAACCTACAGACTCCTATGCTATTTTTTTGGAGTTCAAGTTCATTACAACTGGTCCTCTATTAGCCTACCTGAACTAATTTGAACTCCTCGAGCATGCTTCTTATCCCCAGATCAACATCCAATAATGACATTCCATGAAAGTGTTAAATAGCCTAGGTTATGGATCCTGCACGTCGAGCCCTGCCGCGGGCACCCGCTCGACTCCCAGGTAAAAATGGTGGCTGAGAGAGTTTTGAATACTTAATTCATGAAATCACAAATCACACAAGCCTTAAGCACAATACCCACATTCTCCGTTTTTGACCGCCAGACAGTTCCTCGCAATTCGTATCCAGTTTTTCCAGGATACCCAACCCTTTTGCGTATTGTTGAATGGATTTCGCTGCTTCATTCTGATCCAGTCCGCGCAAGGTAGCAAAAAACATCACATGCTCACGCAGCGTGAAACGACCACCCAGCAGCGGATTGTGGTAATTAGACAAGTAGCCAGTTTCCAATTTTAATTTTAAATGTACTTATTTATACAGCCGCGATATTAGTACTTATAGCGTTAGCAATTTTAAGACCAAAAAGAATTTCTAGTATAGAAATCTACTATAGGGCTCCCTTAAGAGCAAAGAGAAAGAATGACCCTTAAGGGAGCTCCTTAAGGGGGCCCTTGTAATAAAATTGGGTGAATATAATTAGGCCCTTCCTTAAGGCCTCCTCTTAAGGGCCTCCACTTGCTAGCGTAGCCATGGCGAGCTAGCTCGCTGCTTAGCTAAAGCCATAGCAAGCTTGCTAGCATAGCAATAAGATCGCTCGCTTGCTAGCTTCCTAGGTTAGCCGTAGCTAGATTGCTAGCTGCTTAGCCATGGCTAGCCTGCTCGCTGTTTCGCCATAGGTGGGATTGGGAAGCTTGCCAGTGATTTAGCCATCGCTAGCCTGCGAGCTGCTTGGCCCTAGCCAGCTTGCTAGCTGCTCAGCCATAGCTTTAGCTAGCTCCCTTGCTACTGGTTGCTTAACCATACTAGCCGGGGCGCTACCTAGCTGCTTGGCCATCGCTAGGTTGCTAGCTGCTTAGCCTTGTCTAGCTTTCTAGCTGTTTAGCCATAGCCAGCGCGCTAGCCGCATGGTAGCCATTGCAAGCTTGCTAGGTTAGCCATATTAGCCTGCAAACGCACCATCTTGGCGCTGGCGCTAGCTTAGCCATTGCCAGCTTGCTAGACTAGCCATGGCCACCCTGATAGCTTAGCCCGGCATAGCTAGCCTGTTAGCCTATTCATGACCAGCTTGCTACCTAGCAGCCTCGCCAAAGCTAACCCGCGTAGCCCCTCAAGCTTGTTAGCTTAGCAGTCGCTAGCCAGCTGGCTTACCAATGGCGGGCATCCGTGCTGGCTCATTCTAACTCAGCCGCGCGTCGCGAGCTTGATGGCTTAGCGGCTTGCTTCGTTTGCCTTATCTGTCTAGTTGCTAGGTGCTAACCTATGCCCAGCGCAGCGGGCCCTTGATGGGCCCGCTGTCTGGGCATGTGCCTATATTATTATACGAATATGCGTCAGAGGTGGAGGCCGAGCTTCCCCCCTGTGGATGGAGCGGCGGTTGCGTCCGCGCCCCCTCTTTTTCGCGGTGGTGATGTGTAAGGACTCACGGGGAGGAAGTCCGCAAAAGGCGGAGCCGGCGGCCCCTGGCGGCTCTCCGCGTGTAGGTACCCCACAGGCGTCCCGACCCTCTCTTTGATCCTATAAGAGGGACAGCCCCCGGGGGAAGGCGGCCACGGTCGCGAGGCCTGGCCCCTTGTTTGACCCTCCGGGGAGGCAACAAGGGCCAAGCCCCTCCACTTAGGAGCCCGCACGCGGGTGGAGGTCTGTAGGGTACACGCAACACGGCAAGGGGGGCAAGCCTTGCCACCTGCTGCCCCCGGAGTCCCATCACCCCCCAAGGGGCTCCCCCAGTGAAGAGCCGTCGGAGCTTGAACGGCCTCAGCGGTTTGGGCTCTGTTGAGTACTTACATGCAAGAAGCCAGGAGGGCTCGAAAGCTGGCGTTTGGAGGCCTCCTCACCCCCCCGACAGTCCCTCGGGGAAAGGGCCCGGGGCTGGTGGCCCCCCCTCAAAAAGTTAGATTGATCGGGGGGGCTTTGGCCCCTGGCCCCTGGAACATATATAAGGCATAAGGATCTTGCCAGGCATGATAAGAATCAAGAAAAAAGTCGCCGCGATTCCTGCTCCTCCAGCAGAAACCCCCCCCAGAATTGCCAGCAAAGTACCGCAGGCACGACGAGAACCCCCGCGCCCCTCCAGAATCTTCCCGCACCTGTTCGCCGCCTAGTGTGGTGAGCCCTGGAGGGGCGCGGGGGAACACAGAGAACAAAGACAGCAGACGCAGGAAGACGAACCTGAAAGAAAGAGCTCAAACATACAAGGGGGGAAGACCGCTGAGCATGCAGAGCACCCCCACGACGGTATAGAGGCGATTGGGTCCGTTTTCGCGCAGTGCTTGGGCCTGGCTGGCTTTTCGCCATGTATCCTAATCGCCCGACCACCTGAGGAAGCACAGAAGACACAGCGAACACGCAACACCATTGACAATACTTTTACACAAAGGAGCCAGACAAAAGACAAACACACAAAAAGAAAAAGCCACAACAAAAGGGAGACGCCTTCCATGTTTGTGCCTATCTCTTCTACCTTTGGTAGAACGGCTTCCGAGTTTCAATTTGAGTAGATGCCTCTACTGTCACTGTGTGCCGCTTTCCCTGACGCGAGGCAATTTTTGGCGAAAAAACTAAGAGCCCCAAAGCCGTCCGATTTTTCTCAAGAAAGGGCCCCGCACCAGGGGAAGCGGCACACAGTAGGGGAGCCTGCCCACCTCTTGAGACAATTCCAAAAAGAGCGGGGCAGACTTGGTGGCACCTTCCTCGACAGTGTTCCCCCTATCTACCCTAAGGGGTTCACAAACGACGAGAGCCGCGAGAATTTGACCAAAAACAAGCGGAGCCCGAACGGGGACAAGTCAGCTAAACACTGCAAAAGCCCAGACGATACGCAATCTGGCCGGGCAGGATCAGAATCCGAAAAACAGTCGCCCCCTACTCTGCTCCCCCAGCAAAAACCCCCCCACAAAAGCCATCGCCTGCAAAGGGCCTCAGGCATGACGAGAACCCCCGCGCTCCTCCAGAATCTTCCAGCACATGTTCGGCACCTTGTGGGGCGGGTTCTGGAGGGGCGCGGGGAAACACAGAGAACAAAAGCAGGAGACGTATGAACCTGAAAGAAATCAAGGGGGGGAAATCGCTAAGCAGAGCACTCCAGCGACGGCATGGGGGCAATTTTAACCGTTTCCGTGCAGTGCTTGGCTGCGTTTTTCCCATCGTGTGCTCGTTGTGGTCTGCTGCTACTACTGCCTAGTCCTAATATGCATGACGAAACAAAGTGCGAAGTATCATGTCACCAGGCTGCCGCTGTTCTCGATCTCCTGACTAGCGGGCTCAGCTACACTGCCTAGCCGCTCAGCAACGATGCTGCCCACATAATGAAATGTCCAACATATTCTGTGGAATGAAATTTGTTGTAGATGCAATTTCCAACAACATAATTTGTGGACAAAAAGCGATGCTCGACTGCACTTTCCGCATATCGCCAGAGCGCAGGGACTCTCCCGCCACAAAGGCGTCGCCTGCTGTCAATGGCGTGAGGCCTGTGATCTGCGATAGCAGTGTGGTTTTTCCCGCGCCGTTATGGCCTAGCAGACCAAATATTTCTGCTCCATCTTTAGAGATGATACTAGATGAGTGTCAGATGAGAATGGTGAGAAGTAAGTACTCATCTTGTATGCAGCAGCATACAAGTAGTGATGGGTATTCATCTTCTTGCATGCGGTGAATGGTGAGAAGTATTCGTACAGTATGCAGAAGTTCATCTTTGTATGTAGGAATGCATGATCACATCTGTGTATGTAGGAATGTAATTTTATTACACTCACCTACTTTCACTTCTACAGGAGGTTACGTTGAAGTTCAACATCATATTTGTATGTTGCCGATTCTCTTTAATGTAGTGTTAAGTAGGAACACGCCTTAAGTTTTACCGAGAAAGAGACGTTGTCATTGGCCAAAAATTCACGGCCACCCTTCTGATAGCGCTTCGTTAATCCTTTTAGCTCCAGTGCGAACTGCTTCCCTCCATCTTCAGAAGAAGGAGACGCTTTTTAGAAGTACAACTACAAGTACCAAAGTAGTTCAACTTCAATATCAATTCATTGGCTACACAGTACTTAAGTAATGGTAATCATGTTCAACATGATTCATCTCCACATTCAACAATTCATTTTTGTCGCGGTATTCTAACTATTGGATAAAAAACAACAAAGAAAAATTCTAGGTCTACTTCTAATGGAAAAGAGTGAATGCGTTGATGAAAATGAAGATGAAGAAAGTAGATAATGTTGATAAGTGAACAGGCCAACTCTTCATATGTCGACTTCTTGAACAGAAATTGTAGCTGACGTTGACAGCTCTACAACTAGTACTCTACAACTATCACTCTACAACTATCACTACAGGGCTCTAGCGGAGCAGGGCCGACGACTTGAAAAGAACTCAACATCCACCACTTGTTATAGCTCTAGCCCTATCTTCTTGCGCTTTCTTGATGATGGTCATGATGATGATGATGATGATGATGATGATGATGATGATGATGATGATGATGATGATAATGATGATGATAATGGCAATTATGATTGTAGTTGTACCTAGTGAAGTGGTCTAGACGTCGCGGTAGCTAATTTCCGTTTTTATGCTTGCTCTCTTAAACTTTATTGCCAGTCCCAGTGTCAGCGTCTGCCGTCACACCAGTTTCGGCTTTCATGCGTGCGCGATCGTAAAGCAGGACCATAGAAATCCAGAAAAGGACGTTCAATACAGCTGCCACATGTATGAAAGAATGTGTTTTTTTTTTCTCCCCTCTAACTTTCTGTAGCAGATGATGACCAGGAGCGAGCAGGCCTCCCTCTATTCAGCTTTACACCTTCAAGGGGACGAAAAGGGCAGCCTTCCAGTTCTATAACTCCGATAAACCAACTGAATATGTAAAAAAAAATAAACTAACAAGCAGAAGTAACTAAGAGTAATTAAAAATAATCAATAATATTAAGCGCTCGCGGGGTCGAGCGTAATTGATTTTTGTTAAGTTTGGAAATTAATAAAGATAAAGACTGACTAATCCAGTACTATCATCTAAAACTTCTGCATTATAATATTACGAAATACTGCACTGAGGGAAGAGGAGCACAGCCACAGCCTTTTAAAGCTACCTTCCTAAAAAAAATTGTCAATGTAATTTCAAAAATATAAACAAATATAGTTTGCGAAAGAGTGGCCTCGTCTTCTTGTTAAGTCAAACTATGATTGCCTCCACACATTGAGAAGGTCGATAGGGGAATGCCGTCCCCCCTTTCCCTTCTTACTTAGGAACAACATTCCCATATAATCTTCGGCTTCGCTCTCAATGAGTCGTGGCATCATACAAACTAAGTAAATCAATGGGAGAAAAAAAAACATCAAAGTCATAAGATAATCCATCAGCACCGGAAGCTTCACGTCGAAAAAGCCAGCCGTGGCTGCGAGTTCTGCGGGACTCTCTCTCAGCAATTGGGCACTCGAATACGGGTATTGCAGTGTGAAGCCGTGGTCTCAGTTTAGCGCTACCCTTAACTACCCATTCCGTGAGTCGAAAGACCCGTCCCGTTAAAATACTCGCGGCCCCAGTATTTTCCTCAGTGCAGCCCGAGAATCCGCGAGGCACTAGGAGCGCAGTACTTTAACGGGATCCACGTGGGGTCAGGTTTTGTGGAGCCTTAATGTCGATAATTCCCTCCTTCGTTCAAGGTAATACCGCCACCACTCGTAGCTTCGGAAGGCATGACAGGAGAAAAAAGGGCACTTTCCTAGTTCTAGTTCTAGTTCAGGGACCTCGATCGAGTCAGGGATGCCAGGTGCACCGACTAACCCGGGGTCTAGGCATACTACACGACATGATAGATGATACAACGAACTCGAGAAATCAGCACCATTCAATCATTCACTCATTCATTTCCCAGGGGAGGTTGCGATAGTGCCCAGGGAAGGTTGTTGCAAAGGGGAAGGAGGTTGCGATTTGATCCGATTACTATAACTATTGCTACGTAGACATAGTGGCTACATTTTTCTAACCTTTTTACCTGTAATAAAAAGCGGACGTGGAGGAGATGAAATCCTCGAAACAATCATGATTACAACTACTTATAAGAATACGAACCGACCTTCTATTACCGCAATTCTGTAACAAAAATGCTCTTAGAAGGGCCTCTCTAAGTCTAAGAGGTCTCCTTGTTGAGGGTGCTCTCTTAAGGGGCTCCCTTAGTTAAAGAGACTCCTTAAGAATAAGAGAGATCCTTAAGAGAGCCCTTTTAAGGACGTCGCTCCCTTTTGGACTTGATGAAGACCAAACTTTTGGCACAGATACGTGTCACCAAGCTTGGTCGTGCTCGTGAAATCCAAAAGCCGAGGCAGGCCCGTTAAAGGCGGAAGGCTTCTGTTTCACTTTGGACCTTCTGGCCATGCTTCGTGGCATGTGTTGGGTGGCGAAGGATGGTCGTGAAGTCCAAACGCCTAAGCCCCTCCACCTGCCACAAGCCTGGCAATCAATCCGTTACAGTACAGCTTCCTTTTCACGCGCCGCCGCCTTCATTGCCATACTTCATAGCATGCGGTGCGAAGGATGGATATGGCCGTCAACCAAGTCCAAACAGACTCGCGGGCCAGCTGGGCTTGAGCCATAGCGAGCCAGCTGAGCCTGAGCCATCGGCAGCCAGCCCCAGCCGAGCCTGTGCCATAGCGAGCCAGCTGAGCCGTAGCGAGCCAGCTGAGCCATAGCGAGCCAGCTGAGTCATCGCGAGCCAGCTGAGCCAAAGCGATTCAGCTGAGCCATCGCGAGCCAGCTGATTCATACCGAGCCAGCCGAGCCACAGCGAGCCAGCTGAGCCATAGCGAGCCAGCTGAGCTATAGCGAGGCAGCTGAGCCATCGCGAGCCAGCTGGGCTTTCGCGAGCCAGCTGAGCTACCGCAAGCCAGCTAACCTACAACGAGCCAGCTGGGCGCGCTAAAGCTAGCCAGCTGAGCCATACCGAGCCAGCTGAGCCATACGCAGCCAGCCCGCTGGGCCATAGCTAGCTAGCTGATCCGAAGCTAGCCAGCTGAGCCACAGCGAGTCAGCTGAGCGAGCCATAGCTAGCCTGCTGCGCCACAGCTAGCCAGCTGAGCCACAGCTAGCAGGCTGAGGCATAGCTAGCCAGCTGAGCCATAGCTAAGAAATCAGCCCAGCCATTCCATACGCAGCCAGCTGAGCCATACAGAGCCAGCTGACCCATACGCAGTCAGCTCGCTGAGCACTACAGCCAACAGAAATAGCAAGCCAAGCAGAAAGGTTGGCGAATTATACGGCCAGCTTAGCCACCCGCCCAGCTTTGTCCCTCAAAGAACCCGGCGGCCAGCTTGCTCAGCCAAGCGGCCAGCTTGGCCAGGCCGCTAGCTTAGCCATGCAACCAGCATGGGCATGCGGCCGCCGTAGGGTAGCCCCCTGGATCTCGTTCGGCATTCTCTGCGCCGCCAGAAGTCTAGACCGGCGGCGCTTTCTGCGTCGAGCTTAAGGTCTAGTGAACTACATAGAAGCACAAGGATACTAGATGAGAGGATTTTTGACTCTAACTTGAACGGGCGAAATAGTCACGCAGCTGGAGAAACAGAATATGCAGCATTCTATAGTACCTACTATATCATACCGCTATTTGAACTCCCTGCTTCTACTAGGAAGCTTCCAAAGACTCAAAGTACTACTAGCGCATACTAGCAGTATCAGTATGCACTTATCAGAAGTAGCGACGTATTTTTGCTTTTGATGAGTACTTCTATCTTCTATCACGGTACAGCACAACTTCTTCCTTTGGGTTAGCTTAGGTTAGAAGGGTACTTTGGTCATAGAAGGGTCCTTTCATCGTATTAATGTCGAAGCCGGGATCGAAGTAGTCCTTGCGTTTTGAAGCAGGTCCATTGCCTCGTCCCAGCGAGATTTCCTTTCCGTCTTCTGTGAAACGGCCTCTGCCAATGTGGCGCTGGATCAGAGCGGGATCATACACCGCATCTGCTAGTAGAGGCTTGATTTTCGGATCGTTCTCAAAATCCTTCCAGAGGACAAACGAACTCTGAAGCTTCACAAACCTGGGGTCCTGCTTGTTCTCCTGTCCATCGTCGCGGCCCATCTGGGTGTAGTGGCGGCCGGGATGCAGGTCGCGCGCTGGGATGCCAGCTACCTGCAGCTCTTAGCGCTAGGATAGGATAGGATCGGATACAGATAGGGCAGGATAGGACAGGATAGGATAGGGTAGCAGGAGGATAGAGTAGCAGGATAGGAGTTGACTCGCCGTCCACAGTTTGACCTGTGTCCGTGGTCGAGCGAGTGACGAGTAGAGAAGTAGTAAAGAACTGCTTCCTTCATTTCCCTTGTTGAGCAGTATGAGAAGTTTCCTCTTTGATTATCAAGCAGTTTTCCCCTTGGATAACCAACCAAGGCGAACTTCTACGCGACTAACCAGCATTTTCCTTAGATTGTCCTCTACATAGGATGGTAGGGATATTAAACCATGGGACACATATGCCTTCACAGACACGGGATTATACATACTTAAGTAGAAGTTGTGATAAACCTTATCAACCATTGATGAGGGATCGATACAATCCGATAGTTGTGAAAAATTACGAGCATAGAGGTGTTTTGCAAGTTCTGGCGAGATCCAAGAAACTCCTTCTTCTGTAAGCCGTTTTTTATCTTCCTCGGTCTTGGCCATGGCACACATCCACACAAGCTTCCCGTCGAGTCCAGAATGCCGCACCCATACGATTAGAGCTCCTCAAATAAACACATCATCATCATCATCATCATGATTGAAGAACAAAACATTCTCAAAACTACATTCCTCTAGGGACAGGGATCCTCAAACATTCGGCAACATCCCAAGAGAAGAAGGGAAGTCGTGGATCCTCCCTAGAGAAGAAGTGAAGTGACGTGATCCCCAGAGAAGAAGGTGGTCTTGCGTCTCAAATGGTCACTCTGTGCCATGGATGTTGGCTCTACTGGTCTTAACCTGAATTCGATCACAGGCGCTCTCTACGTGTTTTCTCTTCATTCTCAAGAAGGAAACTAAGAGAAATCTACTTGGAGGGTAGAAATGAAACAAATTCATATACAAGAAGAAGGACGGGGTCTTGAACTCGTCGAAGAACTCTATCCCTGAAGGAGCACTTGTTGCCTTAACACGAAGCCCAAGCCTCGAAAGATTACACGCAGGAAGGACGCGCCTGGCACCAGAGTGCCAAACAGGAAACCTGAACCCATGTTGAGCAGCGTAATGGATTAGAGCGAGACGACGTTCTGTCATCCCTCAGATCACGGACTCCCTTTCGGGAGATGATGAATTTCCGACGCTTATACCATCTAGTGGCCATAATTTGACAGGGTAAACTCAGGACACGGCTTTTCGTATTTCAAGGTTAGAAGAGCTCAGCCGAACAATCCATCTTGGGTGACCTATTTTGTTTCCCCTTATGGAAACCTGAAGGGATGAATGGGACATGCCTACGTAGTAGATGCTTCAGAAGATGGATCTTCGGGGTAAGCCTTAACAGGGTCATGCCAGCAGGGAGAGACTCATTGTACTCGAATGGTTCAGAGCCTTCTCCGCTGAAAGGATATCCCTCGATGTTTTCGCTTCTTCGAGCGGCGCCCTTGCTCGGTGGTTCGTCGCTCCACAGTGCCTCTGGCCGACGTTTTTAGAACTCACAACGACCACCTCATCTCAATCTTTTCCATTCCAATTCCATGAACCCTGACACTGGCTAGTAATATGCCAGCACCTAAACTCTGTGAAGCTCTGCGTCCTCAGAAATGTCCCTCATCTAACTCTGATGCCCGTTTTTCTTCTTGAAAACAGCGCCGCACAGAGACGGAGAGACGAGAAATATGGGCCGGGGCCGCTAGAAGGTATGATTAAAGATGCTGGATTAGTATTAAATCGTGGGGCCTTAACGTTTGTACTCGTACAGCAGAAACAGCCTGTCCCAACGCGAACCTTGTGTGTCGCCTTGATCATTGAGCCAATTGATCTGCTTCGCCAGAGTCGCAAAACCATCGCCATTTTTCTGATTCTTAGCGGTTAGGCTTGGTTAGGTTAGGGTAGTAGATTAGGGTAGTAGGTTAGGTAGTAGGTTAGGTAGTAGGTAAGGGTAGTAGGTAAGGGTAGTAGGTTAGGGCACTAGTAGGTTAGGGTACTAGTAGGAGGTTAGGGTAGGTTAGGTTAGGTTAGGGTAGGGTAGGTTAGGGTAGGTTAGGGTAGGTTAGGGTAGGTTAGGGTAGGTTAGGCTAGGGTAGGTTAGGGTAGGTTAGGCTAGGGTAGGTTAGGGTAGGTTAGGGTTGGTTAAGGTTGGTTAAGGTTGGTTAGGATACGTTAGGTTAGGGTTAGCTTAGAAAAGCTAGATGTATTACATATTCACAAACATTACAGTAGGTTTAGCCAAGTGATCCTGGTCGTCGTTCTCTTCGTCCCTTAGCTACTTGGAGTTCTCCAAGCCGCACGATCGACCTACGATGATAAAAATCAACGCTGCAGCTTGGGAGAAAGATCGAAGACGCAGGTCTTTATGCATGGATTTCTATTTCTCTTACTCTAAGACCCTTCAGAAGTTGTATGCTCCGTGGTAGATTTCTTCATCTGGTGCTTCTCTTAGTTACTTACTTAGTAAGTTGTAGCTCATCGATCTGATCCTAGTGTTGGAGCAGAGAGACCTCACTAGAAAAAACAAAGACGAGAGAAAAATAGAAAAGGAAAAGGTTACTCATCGAGTATGAGTATATCCTTATCCGCTACAACCAACTAAGCACCGGCGCTATCGTAGTCCTAGTTGTAGGTTTGGTTAGTTTGTGGATCCTGCGCATCGAGCTCCGGCACCTGCTCGACTCCGAGGATGATGGATACATGTTTGCGGTCCATCGATCTAATACTAACTAGAAAAAATAAAAACCGAAAAAAGAAAAGTCAGGTAAGTACTTATCTACTACATACTACCTACTAGTAGGTGGCCTTAACCTGAGTCTCCATCGCCTGTTTACGGAGATTCTGTCCACCTTCAGGATGTTCTTGCAGAAATTTCTTCCCCCCTTCTTCTTCCTGCGCCCACTTTTGGAAGTCTCTGCCTCCGAGCCAGACTGCCTGCCGATCCGAGTCACGGTCTTGCGGGGAAGAGGCTCCCGAAGGCGTTAGTTTTCCCGTGGTTGCGTCGTCTTGCGGTAGGTCCTGAAATCCTTGCATCCAAATTCCATACCAGGACGTGCGCGTTGGCAGATAAAGTTCAACAGCCACCAACGCCACAACGCTGAGCAAGCCAGCCAGAATGAAATTGGAGGTGAGGAGCTTCGAAGCATTCGCAGGCTCCTTGGCGTACACTCCGACGAAAATCCCCGCGAAAACAGCTCCCCCAACTGCGCACAATTATGAAAGGTGTCTATGTATTCCATCTATTAATCACTGGGCAGACCATCACGGCTATCCCGTTTCGTCCCATCAAAAACGTCTACTATTTCTCAAGGGCAGGAGCCTCGATGGTCTGATCTACATCTAGTTCTAGAGGGAAGAAAAGCACCATCCATAACAATGCCGCAAATAACGGACCAAATGCTGTCTCCATCCAGTAGCTTGGAACCGATATATTCTTACGTTGCGCGTACTCTTGAGAAAGCTGAGGGCCCAATACGAAAGAATCACGGGTTAGAATATGGAGAAGTGTCGAAGTTGGTTCTCAGATATTTTCGTATACTTATGTACCAGGGAGGAGGGCAACTTCTTGTTACAACGTCATATCATCAACATCAAACTTAAGCTTTTCGGTATCGGTTCACGACCTTTCCATCTAATAACAATAACTTCTTGGGAGTCTACCTACGACCGATATCTACGACTGTTTCTACACTGATGCGACTACCATAAAGTCGCCTGGGCAACACCTCCAGTAAGGAATCCCATGAACCACATCGTGATCAAAAACATGGTCATCGCATGCGCAAAATAGTACTGCTTTGGCGTCGCTCCGAAGACACGCAGTACATCCAACATGCGCTCTTCCTTATCCGTTGCAATTTGATCTGCCGCTGCTTTTGCTATGTATCCTAACCCGAGCCAGTAAAATTGGTAAACCGTAGCCGGGAGGAAGAACATGAGCAACAGCCCGCCGTAGCCTAAGCCTGCCTCCTTGATACCCAAGTATTCGAATGCCAAGAGAGGCAGCACCGCGATCAGCGCACCAAAAACCAAATGGGGCACGATGGAAGCTCCCCAAGAAGCGAATGAACTGCGCGCTGTGCGCCCAACCAAGAGTCCAAAAGTCCCCATTTTGATTATGTTTTTCTACTTCACCAGGCGTCGCAGATGCCGATTGAGGAGTAGTATCCCGTTCTAGATGCCGCTTGAGGAGTGGTTTGCAGCTGTCCTGTTCGATCTTTCCCGCTCTTCTACTTCACGAGATGTGTCCCGCTCCAGTCGTCCACCTGTAGGAGATCTAGTTCCAGCCGCCTTTGTACAACTTCACAAGAAGATGCTTCACTTGTAATATGCTTCCAGTTGTCCTGTTCCAGTACTTCCAAAGATGACGATGAGGATCTTGCTACTTGAAAGATCCAAATACAGTGATGATGATGTGGTCTTCTCCTTCACACTGGATGAAGAAGTTGCACTAGTAGATAGTTGTACAGTGATGTTGTTCTTCCAGATGACGTGGTCGAGTGACCTCTTATACTCAATTTCTACAGCACCAAAACGCCACTACTCCACATCCGCATGAGCATGAAGCGCTATTCTTATACTTTTTACAGAAGTTGCCGATACAACGACCAGAAAAAGGATAGTTCTCTTATCTTGTACTTGTTTTGTGAAGAATATTAAGATAGGATCCGTAATAAGATCCTGCTTTTCTATTTTTCGTATGAAAGCTCTCTATTCGTGTTGGTTTGGAGAAGAGTGATGAAGATCTTTGCTGGTGTGATGATGTCACTGTAGGAAAGAGGAGTCAGTTCTTTAGGAACTATATCATGTGAATGATGGAAAGGGCTGAGAACGGAGGATGCGATAGGATAGGATATGATGGGATCATAGGGTAAGTGTAAGATAGGAGAGGATAGGGTGGGAGAGGATATGGTGTGTCGGTTTCGTCGAGACATCAAGGGAGCAACGAAGATACAACTAACAGTCTAAGTCGGTCGATAGATCTTCATCCTACCTATGACGACCGAGTTCGATTTATTCGATTTCGATAGCAGTATCGTCTTTTAAATATAAACGATGACGAGGCTTTGTTCTACCGATGACGGCTTGTTCGATGTCGATAACTACCGAAGTGTTGTTCGATGTTTTAAGCTGCACTCATTTTTCGAGACAACTTTATTTTTCGGTAAAATAACAACCGACTGCGACCTCATCCGATAACAGAGTCTGTCAGAGGCCGTGAAGACCACTTAGATCTCTCAGGAAAGGATCATACTACTCAAAGCGAACACACGCGACCACAGAAGGACCGCTCGAAACTAATCAGTTTCAGTTTTCAACTAATGTCTGTTTCTTGGTTGTTTTCATCATGGTCTCTACACTCTTCTAGCACGACTATCTCATTTTTTGAAACTTTTTGTGCTGGAAAAGTCATTCACTATACAGTCTCAGTCTGAGCATGATGACTTGAGTCCTCGCCTGCTCAACAGGGTTTTCATTCTGATGCACAATCTTCTTCTACGTACTTATCCCTATGTAATTTCATGGCGCAACCTCGCTCTTTACCCGTCCTATATCTATAACGGTATTGAGGGCTTCCAGCTTCCCTATCAACAAATCAATCGTATCAACAAAGCAATCCTATCAACTACAAATCGTTTCCAGCAACGAAAAGATTGAGAAGCATACACTATGCGAGTTCCAGGTGCTGCAGCTACTTCTTCTCGATCTCGTACTCTCCATGCATTGGTATAATTTTGGTATGATCTGATCACGCCACTGGGGTTTCCCCGCCGTCGAAACGTTCTACAACCACAAGTCATGGACAATTTCTGCCCGTGGAGACTTATTGGTTCAAATTCATCGTGAAGATCGACATGTGCTAGCTGCTTCGCCATAGCTAGCCTGCTAGCTGCTTAGCCATAGCTAGCTAGCTAGCTAGCTAGCAAGGCAGCTGCTTGGCCACAGCTATCTAGCTAGCTGCTTAGCAAAATCTAGCTTGGTTGCTGGCTGCTTCGGCATAGCTAGCTTGCTAGCTGCTGCGCCATAGCTAGCGAGCTTACTAGGTAGCTGCTCGGTCCTTTTTAGCCTGCTAGCTGCTCTGCCATCGCTAGCTTGCTCCTAGCTGCTTGGCCATAGCTAGCTTGGTAGCTGCTTTCTTTGCGAGACCTAGCTCAGCCGCTACTCTTAGCCATAGCCACCGTGCTGGCTAGCTTGGCCATGGCCACCCTGCTAGCTTAGCCCGGCAGCCAGAGCCAGCCGCTTAGCCTAATCTTGGCCAGCTAGCTTGCTAGCTCGGCCAAATCTAGCATGCTAGCTTTGCCATGGCCGGGCCAGCTCGCTAGCTTAGCCACAGTAAGCTTGCTACCTTAGCCACAAGACACCGACAGCCGGCCCGCTTGTTTAGCCATGAGGAGCGTCCGGGATAGTCCTCTCTGAACCAGCTGCGCGTCGCTAGCTTGGTGACTTGCTTAGGGGCTTGCGCCGTAGTTTTATCCGTCTAGTTGCTAACATATGCCCAGCGCAGCGGGCCCTTGATGGGCCCGCTTTCTGGGCAAGTATGTATAGTATCTATACGTAGTGGTAAGGTTTGCAGAGTCATGGGTTGTTGCTAGTGCTAGGTTTCATACTGGTAATGCTAGTGGTTCTGGTTGTACGAGAATATGACAGTACTAGATGTGTGTGTAAAAACACAAGCTGGAGACGAGTTGTACAAACCAAAATGACCTGACAATGAATGTCCAAGGAATACTTCACGTTCATGTTGACGAGTCAATGAATAGTACACGACAATCAGACTTCACTTAGGATAATGGGAGTTGATTTTAGACTATGAGTACATAAATTCCAAACTCAGGTACTTAATACTAAAAGGTGAGTGCTGTTTGGGTTTACATACGTACGTACCTCAATGACAATGAATAAATAAATAAAATAGACTAATCTTATTATTAGCAGAATAGTACACGAATAGAAGAGGCTCTCAATCATCAACTTCAACGTCAACATGTCCTCAGTCACCTATATTTTAACAGTAAATGTAAGTAGCTAGTCATTGTCATAATGCCCCTTCTGTTCAGTGAACTTAATCTAATCTGTGAACTTGTAATATCTATGAAAGTTTAAGTTTTTACTCAAAGTTGACCGCTGACTAGTGACTGAATTGAAGAGGGTAGAAAGTGCGTAGCGGTGTTTCATGACCTAGGTCTTGGAGATGGAGAGTAGATGAACACGCTTTTTTTTCTTGAAGTTGTGGACTGCATGGCATGGATGAGAAGCCTGGCATGGATGGACCATCCCAAAAACGTTAAATTTGTCGTCCGCAGTACCGCTTTGCTTCCGGCGCCAAAATTCGTCCGCAGCACCGCTTTGCTTCGCTGAAGAATTGCGCAACGATACGAACACAAACACGGCCCACTATCCCACTGAGAACCCGCCCCGAGCCTTAAATAATCCACAAGAGCTATGCAGATAAGACCCGACGTCTAAGCAAAGTGAAAGAAAGCGCGGACAGGCTCCAGGCGCTCTGCGTGCTCCAGCCGCACTGAGAAGCGGGGGTGGCTAACGTATGCGGGCCTTGCCTAGACGAATGCAGCAAGCACCTCCAGAACAACAGCAGTGAACAACGCCTGAGATCCACTAGGTCGTGCCACCAGTGAGATCCACTAGGTCGTGCCACCAGTCTTTGTCGTCGTGGTCGTTCAGCTTCCCTAAGAAAGTCTAACATGACCCCCTTCGACTCATGCAAGGCATGCCAGGCATGTGGATCCATGCCATCCATCATCCATCTTAGCCGAGAGGTTACGATTAGTACATTGTTCTTTCACCGATACCGACAGCAATCGTCGACTAAATTGCTTCGAACCTTTGTTGCATTACCGATCATACGTAGGCGCTTTACAGTTACAGACTACACCGTTACAGCACTCGCCTCTTCTATTCAGCATCCTACCGATCTAGAGTTGTCTTTGTCTAGTCCAGTGGAGGAGCGCACTAGTGATTTGAAGCTTTTTCTCGCGCTCTGGTCATCATTTCTTAGATGGTCATCATCTCTTGGACCTCTTCTTAGACCTCTTACTGTTCTCTTCGATTGATCCAGATTGATTCAATTATACGAACCGAGTGGCTTTTTCTACTTCTCGGACGCCTCATGAGTAGAACAAGGTGCGTGCGTCAACACTGTTGCTTGTTAAGCGTAGGTGCGAAGCGTGTGCGCTCCTACTTAATATTTTGCTTTATAAGTATATTTACTACCACATTTTCATTTCAAAAAGGACTTCTTCATAACTTCATCGTCACGTGATAACACCTCCTTGCCTAGAAGTTCTTCAAATTCCTCCTTGTTGGTTCGTGTGCTATTTTTTTTTTCAAGAGATGTCTTGGAGAATTTGCCATCTCTGTCCATCGTTTCTTCGTAATGCTATACTCATTTAGCATCCTCCGAATCGTCAGCAAACATCACATGTGATTCGACACTTCCGATCAGACCCGTATGGGGTGCATCCCGTTTTGCACGCTTTATCGTCGGCGGAGAAGGTGCTGCCTTCGGGGCTACAGGAGCTGATGTGGTTGAAGGCGGAGACGTCGACGTGGCCCCACCTCCTGGTGCACCAGCTGAAGTAGCCTTACTAGTACCTGCTCCGGTGGTGCTACTGGAGGCAGAAGTCCCTTCTTTCGTAGTGTTCGATGACAGTGCTGCTTGATTAGGGGCAGCAGTTGTCGTGTTAGCACTAGAAGCAGCTCCTTGGGTTCCCACTCCTACTGGTGTAGCGGAAGTAGTTGTTGCAGCGGCGGTTCCCTTAACGCCTGCAGCAGGAAGAGGAGATGAGGTAGCGCTCGAGTCAACGGCTTTTCCAACAACAGGGGCTCCTGCTCCTGAAGATGAAGGAGCAGCAGTTTTTGGCTGTGGCACTGCTTGAGGCTTGGCCTGTGATAGGGCTAGGGCAGGAGCAGACGAGGAGTCTGCTTTTGCAACCGCGTCAGTAGGCGTGGTAGGGGTGCTAGCTGCCTTCGCCTTCATCGTAGTCAGCGACGTATTGATGTCCTTACTCGCATGAGGGCCAGATGTAGCTGATGCAGTTGTAGCCCTAACAGATTGAGTCCCAGGTGATGCCCTAACAGATTGATTAGCAGCGGTCGTGGCAGCAAGTTGTTCACTTCCTCCTGTACCACCTGGCCCGCTTCCTGGTCCACCAGCAGCACCGCTTTTAGCTTTCCCCTTAGCTTTTTCGGCTGCTTGCAGTGCCGACTGTACACTCTTGTAGTCTTTCTCTCTGAACAATAGGTAGCTAAGCAGCTGGTAACTGGGGAAAATGCCAGCTGCCACGCCGAAGAAGAACAGGAAGGCTATGACGATTACGGGAATTAGAAGAACTAGCCAAAATTCATCGCAGACATGAATTACAACCTTCGACGAGCATGCTGTTAGAAATGAATTTTTTCAACCTTTTTATAGCCGTAATGGAAAGCACAACCGTCCCAAAAAGAGGAACATGTTTAGCATGCATGCACTTCGGCCACTATGCCAAGCTGAGCCTACGCCAGGAGTGACCTCACAGACCCAAGCCGTCGGATTCTGACCCGCGGGAACGAAAGTGTCAATACCTAGAGGATGAAATTGATTCTGTCCAGCGGGAGCGGAAGTGTCGATACCTAATGGAATTCAGATTCAAATGACAAATTTTGCCCAGCGGGAACGAAAGTGTCGATACCTAGTGTGTGGATGAAATTCTACTTCAGACAGCTCAAATTCATCTCATCATAGTAGTTGTTGTTGTTGTTGTACTAACAATATTTATTTCATATTAGGGATAGAAGTAGAATTTTTCGCAGTAGCAACGACTGACCTAGGTGATCACTCTAAGAAGTAGAGACACAACTACATGCACATTTTTTTTTTCCCTTGTACGTAGTCTGTTTCTGTACTAGAATATCTTTAGTACAATGCGGCGCGCAGTATCCTCCGTGAAGCGTCTCTGGGTTGCAGTGATCAACATGAGAACCAAATGGATGTTGTATGTCCTTCGGATCGCAGTAATTTTTGGATTAGAGGATGTAAGTACTCGTAAACTTGAAATAAGCGAGTATTATAAATAATTATGATTGGAGTCGCTACTTAGACGAAGTACTTCAAGTTCTTATGGTGCTGAGGGGTGCGCGTGGATGGCGTGCCAGCATGCGCGTACACGTGCAGGTACGTGCGTGCGCGTACGTACGTGTGCGGGCATGTGCACGTACGTATGCGCACGTATAGAGTTATGGCCTTCTACTAAGTTAAGAGCGAGTAAAGAGAGGCTTGTCAGATCGGCTCAATCTGAATAATATTATGGGCATGTGTGTTCGGAGGGGTTGTCGTCAAGCATTCGCTGCTGTCCAGCGGATTACTGCTGGCACAGGTTGGACAAGGGAAGACTAGCAGCAGCTGCCGAAGAAAGTTCGTTGGTGAAGAAGCCGCTGGCTGTGAGATGAGGAACGAAAGATGTTGCATTTACTTAAGTGCCTACTACTACTAGCAGGACGGACTTGCATACTATGTCTAAGAACAGGCAGACGCAAGGAGGACTGACACAGCGTGACTAAGTAAATGAAAGCGAGCTTATGCTCGTTTCTACTTGAGCCACATACTTTAGCTTCTGCTACCGAGCAGGTGCCTATGGCGGAGAGGTTCTGCCTATCGAGTAGCTTTTGAGTGCGTAGGCTCGGTCGTTATCGTGCATCTGCTAGGAGAAACAGCTGCGCTAGGAATACAAATCGAGGACTTTCGTGTCGAAGAAAAGACTTGTTTGTCTTTAGAGAGAGAGAGAGAAAGACGAGTCTCTCGGGGTATTCTTGTCGAGCTCATCGCGCAACGTTTGAGAGACCCGCATAGAGTGTCGGTCATGACTGAAAAAAAGCTAGTAGAAACACCCCTGAAAAAAATGCGAAACGAAAAATGGCCCCACCCTTGAAAGTGCTCCCAGCGACTTCCATCTCGTTATAGTTTACTCATGATTTCGTGAAATTCGCATGCGCGAAGAGTACTCATTCAGAGAGCAAGCTCTTCAGTCCATTTATTGCAAAAAGATCTTACTGCAGGATAGTGAAGCTGCGCCGAATGATTTGACTGGAAGAAGTTACTTATGTTAGTAGTAGTAGTAGCCGTATAACGAAAAGCACTTACTTACACAAACATGTTTAGCGCTGCTTCAGAAACGCCCAGCTTCTTTGGAGGTTTGCATAATCTCTTTGACGAGAAGAACTTGGCGGAGACTCGAGCGAAAGCAGCGCTCAGTGCTGAAGTTAATCCAGTAGGGCCTTCATCAACATCGAAGCAAAACTTTCCGAGCAGTGGAAAGTCGAGCTCGAGTAGCAGCACGATAGCGAAGCCGTCAGCTTCTTTTGCGGGCATTACTAGTACTAGCACTAGTAGCAGCAGTTCATCTTCATCAAAAAGGGTGGCAGACGACATCTTCAACATTAAAGCAAGTTCCGCCTCAAGCTCAACGAGTTCGAAAGTGAATCCCAGGCGGGTTCCTGCGGTGCACAACGACCGCAAGCTGAAACTGCATGAAGAATGTAGCCTCTTTGACGACGAGCCTGGTTATTCTGGTGCAGATGATATAGGCCACAATAAAGATGGGTCGCCTTTTGGCGGCGAGGGAAAGGGGTCGTCATTGGATAAGAAGGTGCGCGTGCGAAAAGGTAAAGGCAAAAGGAAAAACAAATACATTCCTGCGGCGACGGAATGTCTGCAGAGTAACCCTGACGCAGATCCTCGCTTGGTAATGATTTGCTTTCAAGTGTTTTAAGTACATCTGAAGGGTTAGCCTTAGCGTCCCCCTTTTCTAATGCTATGAAAACGCTTCTCCCTTACTTACTACCTACTTACTAAAGTGCACTGAAGTACACAAAGATGCGTTGCGAATGCAATTAGCGCTAGTTGTACTTATCCGGTCATAATCATATGAGTGAATGTTTCCACTGAAATCGACAACACAGAACCGGCCTACAATCGCGGCGCTCGCGGTCGAGTTGAAGATTCGGAAGCAGCAGAGTTATCCACTTGGGCAAAGAATGTGCATCGGGTTGCTTGCGTTGAAACTCCAGTCGGAGGGAAAGGTCGTTATCTATTTACTTACCTACCTTAGCATGTAGTCTCCTTTTCTAAGTAAGTACTTATGTACTCATGTTAAGACTCGTTCCTGGAGTAGAAGTGGTTGGTGAACAGTGAGAGCCGGTTCGCGGGTCTTGCAGAATCAACTTAAATTCAAACTCACAGGGGCAGGGGAGGTTAGATATACCATCCGCGGCTCGCGCTATTTTTTCGAATCAGAAAGTGCATCGGAAGTATCACGACGTTGTTTCTAGAGCGATGGACCAAGCACGCGAGAACTTTAATCCGAGGGAGCGCAAGACGCTTTTTGAAACAGTTCCGCTTTCCAGCGAGGCGATTCGAAATTTGGTGCAGAGTAAGCTGGGAAACCAAGAACTCAATCGTTTACGAGCTGTTGGAGGTATGTCGACTTAATCTTAGACTTCATTTTCAGCACTCACATTGAAAGACGAGCTTGGTCCTGAGTCGTAGTTGTAAGTACTAGGAGCGTAAGACAGATCTCTGTCTCTCATAGGTGAGGTGCGTTTGTTCTCATCTTTTCAACAGCCAGATCGTTTTACTCATTCCAACTCCCAAACACTTACAGCCGGTCGCAAAGTTATATGCCCGGTGTTACATGAGGAGTTATTCGATTTATATTTACATCTTCGATGTTGTGGAACGAAGACGACGGTCGCTCTTCTCTTGCGTATTGGCAAAGCAATAGCAGACATGAAAGAACAAGAGAGCCCTCAGGTTCCCGTCGTGAACAGAGTTAAGGGCAGAAGTTGAAGCACGAGTAGCAGTTCGACACAGAAACGAAATATCATCAGGCTCAGAGTCAGCCCTTTAGAATGACTTTAAGTCGGCATCTCTCTCTAATAAAAATTGGGTGGTTCGATGGATGCGGTCTTACGAGCTCTCCCTCCGCCTTCCGAACAACAGACCAAAGCTAGACGTTGAGTCACAAGTGAGCAGGTACTTACTCACTTACAGTTACAGCACTTACTTATCAGGATAAGCACTAGCGTGATCCAATCCTTGCATATCTCTGACAACGTAAACGCAAGCTAAAAAGGTTTATGGGTTGTTGTGAAGACTTCGCCTCCCTGTAAGCACCTACTTTGTCTAAGTGCTACTTCTACTATTTCATAAAAGTCGCAACCCTCATTAGCTTGCCGTCAACTTACTCTCCAGGATACTGTCAACATGGAAAACATCCTGGTCCGTGATGGCGTTCCTGAAGCGTTTAGGATTTTCAATGCGTCTGCGAAATCTCGACGAAAAACCGCTTTTCATTTATGGCCGAGTAAGTAAGTAACTACTACTCGTTCGAGAAGCATATAGGGATAACTTAAGTAGAAGATAGCAGCAGTGGCACTAAGTGCTTACTTTTCCTTGAGCGGCTTCATTTGGGGCACGCTCTAACCTGCGAACTCAACGTCGACAGGGAAGCTTGTTGCGCAATGTCGTTCGCGTACGGTCACGGTGGTTGAGAATCATGGGCAAACAAGGTCCAGACTCACTCTCCTCACGCAAGTCACTGCATTTGATTCCAGTCAAGCGACCCCAAGCATCGAGATCCTCTTCAGAGGTGGAGAGCAGGTCGAGCAGCGACTGCAATTGATAAGGGGCAAGCTCGTGCAAGAGCGTGAAAATCCTGCTGGCGCGCTGATGATCAGGACAGGCCCGAAAGGGTCTTATGACCGAAGTACTTTCACAAGTGCAATCATGAATATCGTCAACTCGACTCAGCGGAGTGAGAAGCAAGTGGGCGCTTTCTTGTGGGATCATTATCGTTATGCATCAAGTTCAAGCATCAGCTGCACTACTTGAAGAAGGACTTGAGTAAGTAAGTACTTTACTTATTCGATTTTCGAGGTCTGACTTTTAAGTTTTAATCTATCGTGGTACACTACGAGTATTATCATACTTAAGTAAGTAAGTAGTAAACTCTGACAGTTATACTTACTTATCTAATAGTTTCTATTTACATTTTCTGTAGTTCTAACATGCTGGTCACGAAATTGAGCCGGACGAAATGCTTGCTGCAGGATGTATTTGCATTTTCATAGGAGCAGGCGTCACCGACCTCTTGCAGATGTGCGACACGCACCTGCACGGAGATGTACAGAGGGAGTACCGCA